GAGTTCTGGGAACTGACGTAGTATCCCATTGCCTGGTCTTTGTTTTGGTCTGAAGACCGAACTTCGGCCTTGCGCGCCGACATCCCCGGGCTTCGGGCATAAAGACCGTAGCGTTCAATAGAAACCTCAATAGAAAACGTCGGCCAAAGTCTCGTAGCAGTCGAAATAGAAACAAGATTGATAGCCCCATGAAGAAGCTCTTGACTCTGCCTTTTTGATGTTAATAGTCAATTCTGAAGTATAGCCGAAATTCACCCACCGAGGATTCTCCACGCGGGGCGACGACAACAAAGAGCCCGTTTTGCAAAATACAACCGAGCAAGCCGGCGATATGAGCCTCACTTTGTTGTTAATGCCCACTCTGCCACAAGATCCAGGCCGTTAGGTCACTAGTTAAGTAGCATAGCCCAACACGTAATGTTCTAGTTCAGCCTGGTTGCGCTCGCTGCTCGGCTATCTTTGCCAGAGAGGTCCAAGGTTCAACGTTGATTTACCCTCGTCCTCCATTTTTTAGACCCCACGAGGTATCCAGCTGCCGGCCAGTCCCAAGCGTATCAGAAGCAGGCCGGCACTTGCAGGGAAGGAGAGAGCAGGTACAGTTGTTTAGAGCACTCGTATGAGGTCCTTATTGGCAAGTCGGGAAAGCATTCCATGTTTCTCCGGACGCAGTCTATGAATAGTTAGACCACACGAGCGCCCCAGCTTGCCAAACCAACCTAATTTATTAAGGTTTCGGCGGAGTTTCGATTCGTCAATGAGAAGGCTCAGTTTCTGACCCAGATGGGGCCAGTTCGTCATGCGAATCCTTCAGGGCGAGACTTGACACTACTGACAGCTCCGCCAAACCATCGCACCACGATTCCCAAATTGGCAGGAGTCAATAAGATTATCAAATTAAACAACCCGCCGGATGATTTCTAGAAGATGTCTTATTGCTTGATCATGATTTGGATAGTTTGTAAGACACCTGACTCGCGTTTGACTCGTGGTGGATTTCGGCACCCTTTGAATGTCAAAACGTCGTTTGCAGGATCTCCGCCAAAAGTCGATTTTCGATTTGCCTCGGAATTCTTGGGGTAGAATGTGTTTTGGATTTTCCTCATACCATACGGCCATACCCACTCGAACCAGGACGCGGTTTCAACACATGTGGGCCTCTTCCGACCGGATCTTCAAAGCAAGCAAGCAATCTCTCTACGGAGTACGGACGGACGCTCGTGGCTGTGTGACATATGTGTACGCAGAAACAGTACTTTGGTATCGGCCGGACCCAACAATGAATCGTAGATCTATGATTTCAAGTCGTCACCCACCTCCCAATACAATATCAAATAGTTCTTGCTAATCAACCAGGCCTCGGGAAAGCCAAGCGAAAACGGAGATCGAACCTAGCTCCGAGAATTTCGCCTTGGGTCGTGTTTCATGAGTGAATGTTGAGGTTTTTCCCCCGGAGAAACGCCGTTACGCCAGCGGCCCAGTCGCCATGGCTTCGCTAAGCAGGAGGTTTCTCGGCAAAGATTTTGAGAATATGAAAGACGTTGAAGTCCTGCATGGTCTAAAAAACGACCGCGGCGCTCTCGTTGTGTAGTACGGAGTAGTCTGTACCACTACCCAACAATCAGAGACAAAGAAGCTTCGATCTGACGCTCGGTATTGGCTTCTTCGGCCTGTATAGGCGAATGGTCTGCTTGCGGTTAGTTATGGAGAGACCTGAGCCTTTCGTGTCTGGGTAAGTCAACGCTGCAGTTGATCTGCGCCCTTCCAAGCATGGAACAGAAAAACCAACAGTTGAAATTGCTTGTTGAGTCATAATTGCTCAAATGCTGGAACAGGGGGGGAGAGGGCGGGGAACGGAAGAGTCAAGACATCATGTCTCTGGCGGCAACTTGCTGGGCGTCGCCGCGTCCCATGTTAATCCAGCGTTTATAATCTCTAGTGCGGCACAGTTAATGTGCATTGCATGGCTGTATCAGGTAAATGGGGCCTCTTGAACCTAGCCTAGTACCTACAGAGTAACTTTAGCAGCGTCGAACGGCAGCTTCTGTTATAGATCAGGGGCACACGTTGTCGGGGACCAGCAAAAGGTCATCAGACGGAACGGTTGTCGTTTGATGGACATGGTAGCTACATAACCCGAGACCGACCCAATAACGGATATTTGAGTCCCTGTGCGAATGGTATATCGGGGTAGCATCCAATAAGTCCTGTATCCGTGGTTGCAGTGTTGGTTTTGAGGCAGATTCTGCAGTATCGCGATCGCCATCCACAAAAACAGCCTGCGTCGTTTCCATCTTCACTCACCGCTTGTATCAGACTGTACGCTGGAGCCAGTGTGCGGCGCGCCTTTGACATGGGGATACCCGTTGATCAGCGTTGGCAAGGCAGACAAAATCCTGCTGTAGATCGTGACATCAACGGTCCAGTGGAAGGCGTTGAACTTTAACGCACATATCCCCAGGGAAGTCCAAGGAATATTCCGTCGCTATCTGGTTCCTAACATGGTGATTGGGCCAAACCCGATAATCAACAAGAATGCTTCCTCGGGCTAACTTCCTCCCTTTGCGAAGAGCGAGCTTGCGCGGCGAGCGAGCAACTTGGACTCTGACTGTGGAGGGGGGGATCCCTCCCGTTGGCGCCGACGGTTGGCATCGACTCAAAATGGGTCATCCTTTGGGGCGCGGGAATGGGGAGCTGAGGATCGATTCAGTGAAATCGATAACTCTCATTGGCTCCCGTTGCGGGTGAAAAAGTGGTCAAGCCATCAAAGATAGCAAAATAATCATGGGAAAATAAACCCCCCCGTGGGTTTACAGGGATTATCCTGTTTCTGAGATGAGCTTTTGACCGTCGTCCAAAAAACAAATGCCATGAGTCGTCACATTGCTTGACTGATTCGGCGATTCTGGGACTTGCTGTTCTATCCAAACTCAGTGGGACCTCAGAGTACTCGTTCTGAAGCATGGGATAAGCCGCCAAGACAGCAGTCAACAGCCGAAGATCAACTAGCTTCTTTTCGTGATGAAGTTAGTTACGTAAATCTGAGATGCTGAAGAATGTTTTGGGCGATCCGCGCATCTCGTGATGTAAAGGATGAGGATGAGTGTGAGATCTCATTCTTCACCACCGTCAGCACACGCGCAAGGGCTGCCTGAACATCAGTTCGCTTGAATGTGCTTTCTTGGGCAAAATTGGAGCCGAGTTGCCGGAGAAGGACGCAAGAAAACCCCCTCGCCCAACTGACATTGCCTAAGGTTTGGCTTATGCTGGGCTAATGCCCAGCTATCACACCCTCACCCAGACTGTCGGGACCTGACAGCGCTCTTCTTCTTGCAAGAGGTGGACAGCAGTGCTGCGCTATTCCTGCCAGGAATCGTATTCTTTGTGAATTTCATCTCTCTTCTCGTCCTGATAGGGTGGCGAACAGCAGTTGGCCAACAATAATGGTATCGAGCTTCTCAGCAAGCACCACCATACATACGAACGAATGGACGTGAAGTATGAGCCCGTATCCAACAATTTAGTCGCCCCGAGGAAATCCGAGCGTAATCCTCGCCGCTTCGGCCGTAACGATGGGTCGCTCTCGGCTCAATTACTTGGGCGTCGTGAATAAGAATGACAAGATTGTGGCTGTCCCTGAGCAGCAGGATGGAGTTCCAGAAAAAAAGAGGGGCAGCATGGCAGAGACACAACACTCAGCAACACCTAAACTCCGAGAGCTTGCGATTCGCGACAGGTGCGAGCGATCCTTTGTTCTTCATCGGGGATCTCCGCTTGATTCTGGCCCCCGCTCTCCACTCCTGCTCCGTGAATTGTCAGAGTGCTGCTCATGGTTGCCAAACGGTAGGTCCAATCGCATTGTCAAATTCTCGTCACTTTGAGGTTTAGTATCTAGATAGTTTTGAGGGGAGGCATCAAGAACCTGTCAATAACTCGTCGCAGGTTCAGTACTAAGAAGTCAGTCAAAGCCTCAAGATAATATGGCAGCAGCGGCGTCAGAAAGAAATTGCGAGGCACACTCCCTGTGAGACAATCAGCCGTGCAGGAATCTGCAGGATTTTCCCTAAGGGCCCTAACGACTCTCGTATGTTCGCAAATTCGCAAGTCGCAACCTTGTGTGTCCGTTGACGAGCTTGGAGGTGATACCCACCACGACGGCGCTGCTCCACTTGATCCAGAGGTTCCGGAGGCGTTTTTGTTGCAAGATTCGAGAGATGATGGAGGGCGTGGCTGAGAAGCGACTGGATGTGGGATTCCCCTGTCGTGGCGCCGGGCGTCGATGGCGTTCTTCTGTCTGAGACTGAGAGCTGGGAAAATAAATGCTGGTGATGGAGTTGAAGAATTTGAAGATGCGAGATTCGCTGTGCGTTGTGTATTTTGTATGGTAATGCTGCTTACCTTACCTGTTGATACCAGCGTCGGCTTCTTCGCTTGATCTGCTACAACTAGCCCAAACAAATACTGTAGACTACAAGCCATCAAAAGTCTAGAGTGGAAACAGCCAGTTTTTCGAGCACCTATCTTGAGCACAAAATATCACTATTCCTTCCGATTCAATTTCCAACGGGTGATGCCCAGCAAGCCCCTGGCGGAACTCGGCAGACCAAACCCTCAACTCTTTGATCTAAGATAATCCGCATTGTTCGTCCTGCAGACATGTGCTGACAGACCACTGGGCGAAAGATTCAAATCCCAGGGGAGATGCTAGCGGGCTTGGCCGATGAAAAGCGTGGAATGAAGGATAATAATGGCTGGTCTGTCGCCCAGTGATTTTCTTATTGGATGGCTGTTTTGTTTTATCTGGATTGGCTTGATGTTTTGTGGTCATTTGGGGTACAATAGTGATGAAATGAATGTACACAACTTGGCAAATACGGCGGTTGGGGAGTCTTCAAGAGGAGAGGAGTTTGAGGGATACCCTGCCCTTTGTGTTACAGCACCTACTACTTACTGTTGTTGGGTCTATCGATTTCATCAACGATGGATAACTTTATTGATTCGCGAAGAGGCCGAACGGGAGTAGGAAGAACTTCATTCTGTCATGAAAATACACCTTGGCTATGTCAACATACCACTACCATATGAAGTCTAGATCTCTAAACCCATTTTGTTCTACCTCCATCAAAGTTTTCTCCATGTCTCCCAAGACACATTGAGCGCCACTGGGATTGTCAGCCCTCTACCATGAGAATTGTTGCGAGAGAGTTGGGTTGGCTCAGTCCGCATGGTATCCAGTTGCAAGCTCGCAGCTACAGGTAAAGTTTAGCATTTTCCATATTGCCAATAGTGAAAGTGAGAACTCACGGATCAGTGGCATACTGCACATTGCAGTGCTCCCAATCTTCGTTGCGGATTAGCGCTGCACGAAAGCGAACAGCGTCCTCAATAGAGCAGAAACGAAAGTTCACGGCGCGAGGCTAGGCTGCATGTCAGTCAAGAAATATAAATCTAGGATGGTACTTACATAGTCAGGGACATATGAGTCAACGATCTTCTCTACCTTTCTATGGTTCGAGGTGGCAATCTTGACAAGCTCATTCATGGTAGTCTCCATGTCAACGCCGATAGCACGGACGATGCGAGTCGAGCCGAGAGACAAGTTGAATGACAGCTGGGAACTGATGATATCCACCTCTTCGCCCAGGTCCACAAAGACAGTGAACTTGCGCTCTTTGTCAAGGTCGATTCCGTTGGGATATTTGTCATAGAAAGCTTTGCACGCGGCAGGGTCGCAGAACAGGACATGGGCATTACCAGATGGGGCTATGGACACGCTCTCAATCACTCCGCCGTGAATCAAGGATAGGACCTTGTCGGGGGTGCTCCACGAAGCGGGAAGCCCCTTGATAATAACGCGTCTAACCTGAGCAGCTGAGATGAAGGAAGGTTAGATTCAGGATCAAAAGAGATGGGTGTTTGGGTGTAGTACCTGGCTTGTCACGGACGGCAGGGATACCCCAGGTCTTGAAAACAGACAGGTTCTCGCGGTCCTCCTGCACGGGCTGGCTCTTGCCGGTTTCAGGAGCGTGGGCGCCAGATTCGACGGCAGTGGGAGCAATCCAGTCAGTGGCGTTTGACTCCAAGAAGCCATTCTCGACAGCGGGAGCTGGTTCCACAGGAGTAGTGCTCTCGACAAAAGTGTTGTTCTCGGCAGGAGAGGTGTTGTCGACAGGAAGGTCTGTGAGGAGTTGCAACAATCAGCCATACGAAGTTCCATTCTGTCGAGAAGCAATCAGGTAGAAGCTTACCAATGAGATCATCAAAGGCATCGACAGTGTTGGTAGCTGCCTCGAATTCAGTGGTATCGTTGTTGACCGACTCGTTCTCAGCAGGCTCGGGGCTGGGAGGCTTGCCATAAGACTGCTCCAGCTTCAACGAGCGGGCAGCAGCCATAAAGCCAGCCGTGTCATCGACGTCAGCAACAACGGCAGTGGCCATCATGGGAGCTTTCGAAAGGGTGGGTGAGTGAAAGCGGGATGAGTTGGAAGAGATGTTGTAAAGAGAAGGAGTTGGGGAAGGTGGAGGAGAAGGGAAAAGAAGAGGGGGGGAAGAAGAAGAACAGTGAAGATTTGTTTTGATGTCGCCAGATTTCTGTGTGTTATGATGTCGTGCAGTGTGGTCAGCCCTCGCTCTTCTGAATGACCCGCTTTATATAGAGAGAGCAGCAGCAAGCAATCAATGATCTGAAGGGAAACAGGAAACTAACCTGAATCTGTCCGGCAGGAGGAGGATGAGCACTTTGCTTCCTGGGAGCATGGCGACTCTCTTCAAGGGTGTAAGAGGATCGATCCGCAACAGCTTCAACAACACTGTGAATGATGTTGGTAATATTGAGCCCGGTAAGCTCAGTGAAGCGCCTGCTAAAGTCCATGTCGTCGGCTGGAGTTGAAATCATGGGGATCAGGGAGATGAGAAGTGGACGAAAGGCGAGGAGATGAAAAGAAAGCAGTAGGAGAAATCTGCTGGGAAGAGCAAAGGCAAAGTAGGTAAAGGGTATGTTTGCTCGCTAGTCTTTCAGATTTTACCCTATGTGCAAATTCAGGAAAAGCACATTGTTTGATTTAATGGCCTTCAAAAATAGACAAAGAATTTTGACTCACTCACTCACGTCACTGTTGGGTTTTATATGACCAGTAATAAAAGCCAGAAAGAGAGCAACCCTAGATTGACTTAGTGAACCATCCGCGAGAAGACCATTTAAAACTGATCATACAGGAGGTCCTTATGACAAGCAAGGTCGACATGGGCGAGAGAGCAGGATCGCAGCACAAGCCGCACAGGAGTGAGTAAACCAGTCGCACTGATTATATCGGGTAGATCACATTGCATATCGGACATTACTGTAAAGGGAACTGCTCAAATGTGGTATGGTCCAAAGTGTGTATTCATTCGGTGTTCCAAGTATTAGACAAGAAGGATAAGTGGATTTACAAACTGTACACAGATTCATACACAAATATTGTGGCTTCGTCAAGCATTCGTCAAGTCGGAATCGGTATGCTCTCCCAGCCCGCCTGCCCTTCTACACGGTCCTCCACGAGCACCTGAAGTCCCCGGCGGCCACAAAAGCCATCATTCGCGGCGATTCGTCGAATATCCTGGTACGAGCCCCCTCTGTAGTCGTCTTCGCTTGGAACCCAAGCGGTCTCAAAAACACGCTGACCAGGGACCTCGGTTCGTCTGGGATTGTAGTGAGGCAACGAAGCCAAATGGCTTCCGATGTTGTGGATGAGGGTATATAGCCTCTCGAATCGGCGCGTGAATTCTAGCCATGAGAATGAGCGAGGGTCATATGCCACTCGCACATATGGGTTCATATAGATGCCAGTATCTTCAATATCTTCGGGGTTGACTGGAATGTCCTGAATGTCTGCATGTATAAGGCAGCATTCAGAAGCCTCCCAGAACGGATCATGAGACGCACGAAATCGGGCAACGTGGTCCTGAGAAGGCCCCGCTTTTGGCTGCTGGAAGTACCGAGCGTCGAACGCAACCATTCCTCCCCAGCAACTGCGGACCCGAACAGCATCCGTCCCCGCCAGGACATCTTTGCGGCTCGATCCATTGCCAGCAGTGGTGAACCAGGGAAAGAAAGGGAGACCCACCCCGTAGCCTTGGAGGTCCCTCGTGGCATAAGTGTCGTAAAACTTGAATGGGTTAATGAAATCGACGGCGCAGGCGGCCCGGTACTGGGCAACTCCGTTCTCGTCGGCATGCGTAGAAAACAAAAGCTGAAGCGCATCAACGGGATCAAAAATAATGTCGTTTAGGTATAATAGTTTATCAAATCGCATTTCCGGGTCTGTGTCTAATGGTCGTAGGGCTCGGTTCCGGACCTCTGCCAAGTATTCAATGCGCTTGACCCGTTTCGATCCACCAGGGACGGTCACTGCGTGCAAGTCGGCCCAATCTAGTTTATCCTCGATTACAATCGACTTGTTGCAGGAAACCTGGGCCTTGAAGTCTAGCAGAGCGCCTGCGCCTGCTGATCCACTATCATTCTCGTAAATGCTGAGAAAGACATTCTCCTCGCCGAGCAAATCAATCAGGGCAAGGATTCTCTGCCCCCATTGTCCACCGGCTATGTCTCCACCACGGTCATACAAGCTCGCAGCAATGAAGATCTTTTCGTTTCGTGGATTGCCTCGACCGTGAGTAGTCGAGTTGGCAACGGTTTGGCTAAGAGCAGTGTAGTGCGCAGGGCGCCATGTGTACGAAGGACGGAAAGTCGACGCTAGAACGAGGAGCGCGAGTAAGATGCCAAAAAAGGTCTGAAGGAAGAAGGAAATACGGCGAGGCACGCAAAGTCGGTAGCAGCTTGGTCGTTTCGAAGGGGTAAGGAAAGGTTTGGAGGGGGTGTTGAGGCGACGGTATCCGGAGTAGTAGTTTGAGCCTAAGATGCGCGATAGGAGCGGTGGGCGGTAGATCAGACTGCTGTGCTTTGGTATTGTTTGGGACTCGAAATCGGCTTCGTCGAGATTGAAGGTGCCCTGAGAGTCAATTGAGGACCGCGATCGCATATCCAACTCGTATTCGTCGGGATGGAGAAGTCGAGAGGTCATGGTGATGACTTGAAAGGCATCACAGTCAAGGCGGGAAAGGATACATAAACAGCCTACCCATTCCTCAAGTGTTTAGCCGGTCGCTCTTGGGAAACATGACCAACATTATTCTGTGAGTTTTCGCAAACTTCCAGCAACTCGCCAGGTGGAGGCTCTGGTCTCCTTTTCTGGGGCCGCGTCAGGGCGCGGGTTATGTCAGCCGCCCCGTTGCCAAGCCTACTTTGACGACGATCGATCATTCTTCCAAATAGAAATGGGGTGGCGCAGCAGCATCCATGATGGAGTCTGTGTATTCTGCTCTTCCCCGTTCGTCGTTGCCTTCAAGTTCATCCAGGCCAGCTGGAGGGGTGGGTAATTCAACGCGGTCTCTTCTCCGCTTTCAATAGGCTGTGTCGTAGAGTCGCTATATTTTTGGATCGACTAGCTGCGTACTAGCGATTCAAATTTCAATAGTTGAGATCACATGACCAGCCTGCATCATCGAAGCGTTGGACCCTGGATTCGAAAACAGACGAGAAGCGCGACGGAGTGAGAAACTAAGCACCTTGCACAGCTTCAGATGTCGATATATTCTGTCCATCTTGTTTCTCAGGACTTTCTTCAAAATCGTCTCGCAAAAGGAGCCCCGCTCTGAATCCTCTGAGCGCGGTGGCCTTCCAAACTGGGGCAAAGAGGCCGAAGAGCGGGCGGTAGACCAGTGTGGCCTCGAAACCACTCCATTTGGTGGTGGTGGTGGTGGTGGTGAGCAGCTTTTCCATATCGGCTTTTCAAGCAACTAGGGTGCGGACGGCAAGACACGAGATGCTCCGACAATGCCTTTTCGCGCGCTGCATGATTGGCACTCATCCCTGTCTCACCGAGGCTCTCAACAGGCGATAACTTCATGTGGACCATGTTCTTCGGCGTAATTTGAATCTCGAAAGGTGATGGTTGAGAGGTGACGTAGGGTATTTAAGGTACTGTGTCCTCCATCAGATCGCGATCGCATTATCGACCCATTATACCCCTCTTTCTATCGTGCCCCTCATCTTCACGTAAGCATTTATAACCTTTTAAATATCTCGTCCGTCTTCGCTCTGTCACAGTTGAGCGTCAAAAAACTCAAGGAAACACCTTATACAACAACAATGGCAGGGTTCACCTTTGCAAATTCCGCCGATAAAGTCCCCGGTGACGGGGCTCTCCCCACGGAGTTTACGATCACCGCTCCCCCATCCACAGACGTGTGGGCCAAACCCCCCTCCACCGAGCGGTTCAACGCTCCCATCCTCTACAAAACCATTTCGTTAAACACATTCAAGCGCGCTCGAGTCGCATTCTCCGCCAACTGGAGCCAGAAATATGACCAGGGTGGCCTCATTCTCGTCCTCAACGGCGCCAATGGCAGTCGCAAATGGGTGAAAACCGGCATCGAGCTCACTCACGGCAAACCCCACCTCAGCACCGTGGTTAGGGATCGCTGGGCAGACTGGAGTCTGCTGCCAGTCCCGTCAGGCGGCGCGGGTGCGACAGTGGAGATTGTGAGAGAGCCCGACGATAGCTTGTGGATATATCTGGTCGAGGGCGTCTCGAAGAACCCAATTCGAGAGGTGACCTGGATTTTTGCAGAGGAAGATGTCACTGATTGCTGGATTGGGTTCTATGCGGCGAGACCCTCGAGCGAGGGGGGAGACTTGGTTGTTAACTTCGCTTCCCATGTGCTTGATGTCACGAGCACGTAAGGTAGTTGCGTTGACAATATCATTTTCTGTACAACCTTGGTATCCTCGAGGTTGCAACATCCTGTGCAGTAGTTCTATACCTGTTTGGGATAGTATAGACCCTGAAACTCGACTTGTAGGAGCTATGTAGGTGCAGTAAGATGGGAAATAATCAAGTGGAACTGCGCCTATACACTCACCAGAAATGGCTGGTAATAATATGGAACGTGGATAGTGTTCAAAAGTGGTTGGATGTAATACCTAGGTAATGATTAATTGTCCGGGATAACAGAGATATAAAGAGCACCACGAAAAGCTTTGATAACACAAAGCCTTAAGAGTCGTACCAACAGAACTCATTACCTCCCCAAGCAAACTTTGATCAAGGGACTACTGAGATTACATATAGCTTGGAGAGTATATCCATGGTACCTAGTACTCTTCAGCGTAGTCCGTCATTGGGACCCCTAGCAACCAAATCTACTAATCTGTGCTCGAGACTTGATTCTTCCTATCCCAAGCGCTCCAGCAGGAGGACAGTTTATTTGGACGATGTAGCAAATCCAGCGGTTTGTTTAAGACAGCATGTGGTATACACCCCTTCAATTATATAGTACAGTAGGATGGACTCTATGAAGTTTAATAAGTCAATTAACTACTTCCTTGGGTTGGGCAGTTTGCCAGCGAGTGGCTGTTTTATGAGTCCACTTCATTAGGCAAAGAAGATGTGACTCACGAGTTACTTGACTCACTCTTGGTACAGCACAAGTCTCATGTGATAAAATTGAGCAATTGTGTGAGACTACCGGAGACAGAACAGGTAGCACAAGTCACAGTCGCCTACCTGAAATCATCGCGATTCCAGTTGATGGTTTGTTCAGGACGGGCCGGGAGCTTCAAATTATCGCTTCGACCTTGCAACCTGAGAAAGCTTCCAAGAGATGGAATACGGGTTGGAGAAACTGAAAGTGGGGAACTGAGATATTGGATGAGGAGCAACCGCCGTGGATATACGGAGGACAGTGTGGATACCGCCAGGCTTCTGGACACGAAATGGCCTGCCGCTGGGTGCGGATGGCGGCTTTCGCGGGAATCTCTGTACGAAGCCAAATAATAATCGGCCAGGACTGGAGGGCAACTGGTGAAAATCAGATGCCACTTGGGAGTGGAATGCATTTCATGCATGGTTCTCTGTTGCTCTGAATAATGACCAGTGCCCATCAATTAACCCGTAAGACGAGAAAGAGTGGTAGTACGAAGCTGGGACGGTTGTCCAACCATGAATCCTCCGGGGAGGTTTACCTGATGCTACTTTCGATCGAGACAGAGGAGATGGAATTGCAACTGGAGATATTGTTTTCGTCCTTGTTTCGTCAAGCGATTTTCCAAGGGGTATGATGGGTAGCGAATCACCCTGCAAGACCGCAAGGGATCGGGCAGGAATGATATCAACCCCGAGTCAGTCAGTGGATGTGGAGGATTGGACTCTGGAGTCTATGGTTTGCTGCATTGGGTTCTTTCCTCGACGAAAGAACAAAAATCTGAGAGTGTTGCGAACTCTCACCAAGGACGAGACTTTCTGATCTGAACGGCGCTTGGCCCGATCGTCCGACCCCTCCGGAGTCCGACCACCACGCCAGCTGATCTTATCATATCTGATTCTTTCCGTCCGTCCACTAACCGTGGTGACTCTGTGACACTAGCGAATTTAGTTCGGATGCACGCATCAGGATTCAGGAACTCGTGTGTTCGTGGGAGAACGCTGTAGCACAGTCGAAAAAGTAATCGTATTATGAGACCATCCAAACACCAGAGCGTGGTACATTTATGGAAACACCGGGCTCGAGTCCACTCAAGGTGGCATGATACCTATCTCGAGTGGGCTCGAGTCATCCAGTCACTGGGCCTGACGGTCACGTGGATGCACGGGCAGTGGCTCCAAGGACCCATCCAGCAAGAGAATGCCACTCTCCCGTCCTCCTTCCCCGGTGCCTTGGGGGTTCATGCGGTGCCGCGGCTTTGCCACTCACTCACCGTCATCGCCACGACCTTGAACAACCTTGAACCACCCTGCTCAATCCTCCCCTCGAACTGCGCCCTGCATTCCAATCGACCTTCAGGCGGACAATACGCACCAGGCAGCGCCGCGTCCCACGTGTGTCTCTTGACGAGATGATAAAATGTCATTGTGCCCATGGTTGACACACAGGTTCTGCGACAATTTCCGCCTTGCTGAACGAGGCCCCGCAGCCGGTTTACTCACCTTTAGCTGTTTGGCTGATTGCCTGATATTCTATTACAACTCAGCCCCGGGCGTCAAGCCCATAGGCTGATCCCAGTTGCCTTAACATCGACGTGCATAAGTGTCGCTTGACGATCGTGGGTCCTGCAGTGTTCACTGTTGGGTCGCTGGGAGTTCAAGGTCACAAAAACGCAGGAATCTGGTTTCTTGTCGGACAGTGCTGGCCATCGCGTGCCTGTGTACATCTGCTTGATCCTCGCTGCTTCCCCCGTTCGTGCATCTATGCTTCCACTCGGCACCTGAAACCCTCGCAGTCAGTTCTGGTGCACTCGCTTCGTGTTCTCCGTCCAGCGCCGATATTGCTTTTTTCTTCCTCCACCCAGATACCCCCTTTTCGTTGGCAGTGTATTTCCTTTTTCCCATTTCCAGGTGGATCTGGCTGGCTCAGATCTCAAACAACAAACTTCTTCCGGCCGCTGACGATCTCACTGCGTGTCTTCTCTTTGTCTTCAACAATCGATCTCGATCTTCGCCGTTACGATCTTCCCGCTCATACTTCTCCCGCCTTCCGAGACGACATACAAATCCTTCGACTTGACAGTAAATGGACGTTTCCCAACTTGGACATTCTTCTTTTCCCCCGCCCATCGCCTCCTCGAGATGCCCCTGCTTGAACCCGGCGCAACCGCGTATGGAACGTTTGACGATATGCGACGAGATACCGAGCACGAGGGCGAGAACCTCCTCCCAGAGGGATATGAAAGTGATGATGGCGCGAGTGCGGTGACATCCGTTGATTCGGTCCAGGAAGGAGTAAGGAAGATTGAGGCTATAAACCTCACATGGACAACTCGAACTCTGGCCATAGCTTATATTAGGTGAGTTCATACCTGATTTGCGGAGATGGTCAGCGGAGGCTACCTGCGCCGGAGTTGACTGACAGGGCTATCAGCATCTTCCTCATGGCCTTTTGTACTTCTCTGGAGGGCCAGACTATCATGTCACTCTCCGCATATGCGACCAGTGCATTCAGTAAACACTCCCTGATCTCCACAGTTCTCGTGGTTCAGAATGTGGTTAACGGTCAGTGCTGCCTGCTCTTTTATCACCATCACTACTAAGGTAGCTAACTTCCTATAGCCGTGATCAAGCCACCAATGGCCAAGGTCGCCGACGTTTTTGGCCGCTTTGAAGCATTCTGTGTCAGTATCTTAATCTATGTTCTCGGCTACATCCAAATGGCTGCTTCAACAAACGTTCAGACTTATGCCTCCGCTCAGATCTTCTATGCAGCGGGCTCGACAGGCTTGCAAATCCTCCAGCAAGTGTTTATTGCTGACAGCAGCAGCCTTCTCAACAGGGCACTGCTAGCACTGCTACCGGAGTTGCCCTTCCTCGTCACTGTTTGGATAGGGCCCACGATTGCTGACGCCGTACTCCGCCACACGTCATGGCGATGGGGTTACGGGATGTGGTCAATCATATTACCCGCCTCGTTTCTTCCCCTAGCCCTCTCACTGCTGTTCAACCAACGGAAAGCTAAACGACTCAACTTGATCAAACAGAAGCCTCACCACCGGCGCGGATTTATTGCAACGGTCCGTCGTACATGGTATGACCTCGATATCGGTGGGTTGACCCTGCTTTCCGCAGCAGTCACATTGATCCTAGTGCCCCTGACCCTTGCCGCCAATTCGAAGAATGGATGGAAGAGCAACAGCATCGTCGCGATGATTGTAGTGGGCCTCATTTGCCTCTTTCTTCTTCCTTTCTGGGAGTCGTCGAAGAGGCTTGCGCCCAAGCCTCTTTTGTCCCTTCATCTCCTTAAGCAGCGGACAGCCCTTGCAGGCTGTTGTCTCGCGTTCTTTTACTTTAGTAAGCCGCCGCATGATACAGCTTCTAATCGTCGGCACTACTGACAATTCTAGTGGCATTCTACTTTTCGGTTCAGCCATACCTCTACTCTTACTTGCAAGTGGTTCAAAATTACGATGTTGCTACAGCCGGCCGCGTTACTCAGACCTTTGCATTCACATCGACAATTGCTGCTTTTGCAGTTTCGATTCTTATAAAATATACGCGCCGCTATCGAATTTACGTGACAATCGGCTGCGTGGTCTACACTCTAGGCCTATTGATGATGCTTCTATACCGCAAAGAGGGCAGCTCGCCCGTACAGGTCCTGGGAACGCAAATAATAGTGGGCATGGGCGGCGGGTTGCTCAATGTTCCCGTGCAGTTGGGTGTTCAAGCGTCCGCCAGCCACCAAGAGGTTGCTGCTGCGACGGCGATGTTTTTAACTTCGATGGAAATGGGAGGCGCCGTAGGCGCTGCCATCTCCGGGGCAGTCTGGACTCACAATATCCCGCGCAAGCTGCTCCTTTACCTTCCCGAGGAGCACAAATCCGAAGCTCAGGAAATATTTGGCAAGCTAACCAAAGCCTTGTCTTACGAAATGGGCTCCCCGGTCAGGGCAGCCATTAATCGTTCGTACCAAGAGACGATGAATAAGTTGTTGGTACTGGCTTTGGTAGCCACTGTTCCGCTGATTCCGCTCAGTCTTCTCATGTCCAACTATAGGTTGGATAAGGTCAGTCGTCGACATATTATTCAAAGCGCGTGGCTTGGGCTAATTTGAGTAGATGAGCGAGACCTCGGGTCATCAGCCGATTCCACAAGATGAGCGCGACCCAACGGAACGATCAAAGCGAACGTAAGCGCTACTATCGCTTCTTTTTGTCCACCTTTTCGTTCCGCTGTGGCATCAGCGTTGCCGATTCGCTACGCCGGATATTGAGCGTAGTCAGCGCATCGTTCCACGGCGTAAGCTCGTGACCTATTCTTGTATATCGACGAGTTGCATGTGGCATATGCAGCAAGATTGAGAGATGCCTAGCAATGCCGGGCACCAATTTAGTCCTCCGACACGACTGGAGGCCTGGTGCAGCCTGCACATACATGTTCCATTTACAGCGTTTGACTCGCATTTGTCACGAAAAGCATCTGTTCGGCGTACTGGTTCTTTTGCACTAAACTTTACGTCCAGCTATTATGGATGACGACATCAAAATACCCTCATCTATACAATACAACTTATATAGACACGGAATCATGAATAGAGCAGATATAGTATCGTTGATAAGTTGTTGACGATGTTTATTTCCAAAAGCTTCGAAATCCGAATCGATATTGATAGGATTGCGGTGCTTCATTCTATCCACGAATTGAACAGGCCAAGATGGATGGTGGCCTGCCATAGGCATCAAACATCAGCCATTATTTCCTAGATGGGTTGGCAGGGTGAGACACGGCGGATAGACTGCTGAGGCGCAGCTTGAAGTAGGATCGGATGCATATAGCCTTGAGGGAAGCGAGGGAATTGGACAGAAGAGTCGTCAGGGTGTAATCCCCTTCAACTCACTGCTCATGGCTGTTCCCTCGGCGCGCGCGTAGGCGAGCGACTCGGAGGCCATCGTAGACCTCTGGAATAATACAACCGCCCGGACTAGTTTCCATTGGATGACAGAGGACTTCAAAGCTACGATTGGATGAAGAATGAGGATGATGTTTGACTTTTTCTTGACAAGAGGGATGGATACTTGAGGCGTGTCGTTGGCCTCGGAGTGCTGCTTTGTTCTCCTCCCCTCCTTCAAACTTTCCCTCTTGCTCTCTGGCATCCTGCACCACCAGTATCATTCATTCAACAGTCCCTCTATTCCCAGAAGGTCCTCTGGAATTTTTTTTTTCTCTTCCAGTGTGTAGCTCGGACAGAGCATCCTGGGTCTTCCTCTTGATCGCTAGAACTTCCCTGATTGCTGGAACCGCGGCTCTCCCATCTCCTACCCCTCCCTGTGAAGTAGTCGGAGCTTCTCCTGATCGCCAACTGCCTAGCGAGTCGACGGATCGCATCATAATCAAACAACAAACAGTCGAGGAAGATTACTCTGCAAGACAGATATTATTTTTGGGGCAAGTCACGCCCTTCCTGACCGATTCTGGGTGAGTTGTCGCTGGAGCAGTCGTGGCGCCAGACTGCCGCTCTGCATTGCTTTTTCCTTTGTGAATATCGTCTTTGACCTTAATTTCAATCGAGCCGTTCTTCCAGAACGTGTGTCGATCGACTGGCTGGGATATACTTGTCTACGCTGTCTTTCATCCCCTGATCACCAATTTTTTCGAGTTTTCTGGAAGGTGCACAGCATTGGGGTTAATCTGCACCTCATGAAGGAAAACCTAGCTACTTGGGGTGGTTTGACTCTGATAACGAACGGAGAGGGAACAGAAAACGACGGTAGAGGCTAAGCTAACTTGTGCTCCAGCATCAACTGGCAATAATCGTCTTCTCCGCCTCGACCCTCCCACATTGGCTGGCCCTCCGTCCTTTCACCATCGACAGCATCATTCACCGCACCCCCAACCTCTGTCAGTTCTAGCGGCTCTTCCTCGTCGACCTTCCTTTTCTCTCCCCTATCTGAAAGTTCTTCTTGCCCATCTACGGCATCCCTCCTCGTCCGGCTGCGATCGATCCGTCTTCCTCACATTCACCGCTCCTGTTTCCTCCTCTGCCTCTCTCGGGTCTAGACAACCGCAAACCGTCTCCTCCGTCCTCCTTTTTACCAGAGCACCAGATTCACTCAGATTCTCAAAATGGTTGTAGCAACTATCAAGTACGTTCTTCTGCCTTGAGCACACTGTTTTTCTCCTCGATCTATCCGCCTTCCTGCACAAACAATTCTCGTTTCCTCGCCCCCTTTTCGAGTCGTATCACCACGTTCCCTTATCAGTAGCAAACTTGCTAACTCCGCGGGTTCCATTTTTACAGGTGTGTCGTGGTCGGTGACGGTGCTGTTGGCAAAACCTGCCTTCTGATCTCATACACAACGAACAAGTTCCCCTCAGAATATGTGCCGACCGTGTTTGACAACTATGCCGTGACTGTCATGTAAGTGACGTTTGTTCTATGCGGATTGAATCGCGCGTCGGCTCCGACTGTCGAGATCGGTCCACTGCCTCCCGCCCTTGTCCTCGCTCGGCGTCGCATCTCTTCCATTCCTCCGGAAAACCCGATCATCCTACTAAAGACCTTGATGATAACCGCGCATTTACTGATCGAGAAATTCATTAGGATTGGCGATGAGCCTTACACCCTGGGGCTCTTCGATACCGCCGGTCAAGAGGATTACGATCGTCTCCGACCTCTTTCATACCCGCAGACGGACGTCTTCCTGGTCTGCTTCTCAGTGACCTCGCCTGCCTCATTCGAGAACGTACGCGAAAAGTGGTTCCCAGAAGTCCATCACCACTGCCCCGGTGTTCCCTGCTTGATTGTCGGAACGCAAGTTGATCTCCGCGATGACCCCGCCGTTCGTGAGAAGCTGGCCCGCCAGAAGATGCAACCGATCCGGAAAGAAGACGGTGACCGCATGGCCAAGGAGCTGGGTGCCGTGAAGTACGTCGAGTGCTCTGCCTTGACACAGTACAAGCTCAAGGACGTTTTTGACGAGGTGCGTGTTGCACAGGACAGTCTTCAAGTAGCCCCATTTCCAGCTGACAAACCCTCATAGGCAATCGTTGCTGCGCTTGAGCCCGCCCCCAAGAAGAGATCGAGGTGTGTCTTGCTGTAAATCAGCACCGCGCGCACTATGGAACGGGCCCGTTACTTTTCTGAGTGAAGATATTACACCCCATTTTGGTGATTTTTCATGTGTCGCGTGATACCGGAAAGACTGAGAGGGGCATGGACTGAGCTTGATATGAAATCACCTGGGGTGCTTACGAATTATACGAACGCTTTTTTCTTTTTCAACTCTTCGGGGTTGGCCAATCCTTAAAAAAGAAGGAGATCTAGTGCCTGTCGATGGATGGGTTTCTGCATGATGATTGTTACGTAGGCTTCTAGCCTTATTCTCTACTTGCTTCTTGCGGCCTACTATCCCTACTACACTTCTGAATGTTGCCTTGAACACAGTGTACCAACATTGCAAGCTCATGTCCCGCAAACTCAAGCCTACCGGACCCCTGTTCCGCGTTCCGTTCCATACCCTTACGCCTATTGTTCCTTCGACATCAGCCCTTACCCCCCGCTGAAATCCCCGCGCACCATTATTTCCCGTCTATATCCACTCCTTATTTAACAGCTCTCATCGTCTGAACTTGGCGTTGGAAGTCGAGGCGTCCTGTTTTGGTTGGCTTACGGTTCGATCTGATATTTTATTGCCTGCCGATTTGTTGCCATGCCCACCACATTTACTGTGTCATTTTAACCCTCCTGATTCCTTGAGACGTGGACTAGGTATTAGTACAGATATATCCAATATGAAGATATGAAGATCAGTCTCATTTCATCTTCTGACAAACTTCGGGTCACTCACCGTGGACCGGGTTTGTTCACCGCAATGCGCATACAAGGTTCATTCATTCTGAACTGGTTGGCTATGTTATCATTACCTAACTCGCCAATATCGCAAGACAGTGCACAGGTATAAACATTGATCTCGTTATCTTATCTACATGGCTCATATCTCATCTCATTACAGCTCATCCTTGACCGGAACCTCAACCTCAGGCTCAGATACCACCTCGGGCTCAGCGGCCTCCGTTCCCGTCTCCTGAATGACAGCCTCTTTCCGTCCATACCAACCACCCAAATCCTCGCCCGCGCCAGCCTTGACCATGCTAGTGATGATCTCATACGCAACCTGTGCAGCCGCCAATGCAGTCGTCTCACCCTTGTTATCGTAGCTCGGCGACACCTCGACGATATCCGCGCCGACAATGTTCAGCTTCTCTAGACCGCGCAGAATGCGAATAAACTCTCGCGTGGTCCAGCCACCGGGCTCTGGGGTTCCAGTTCCCGGCGCGGTAGCAGGGTCGAGGACGTCGATGTCGACGGAAAGATAGACGGGCTGCTCGGGGTCGAGGCCAATACGCTGAATGATCTTGTCAACGATACCCATGGGCCCGCCGAGCTCGTCAATATCATCCGCGTGAATCCGCATGAACCCTTGTTCTGGCGTTCCGGGGGCTGTGTAATCGCTATCATCAACACCCGTAAGCCTCGTCCTTAACCCGGCATGCGCACTCGTCGAGTTGCAGATGAGTCCCTCGCGACTGGCCTTGTGAAAGAAACTTCCGTGGTTGAAAGCCGATTGCTCAGACTGCCAGTACGCCGAGTAGCGCACGGGGTTCCACGTATCAAGATGGGCGTCAAAGTGCAGCACCGTAATGGGCTTCTGGTAGATCTGGTACAGCGCGCGCAGGGCCGGGAGCGCAACACTGTGGTCGCCGCCGAGGGTGACGAGCTTGGACCTGCCGGCGGAGATGCCCTTGGTTCCGAATTCGGACGATGCGCTGGTGATGGGCTTGCGGGTGCCAAGCTCCAGGAAGGCTTCGTACATTTGCCGCTCGGCGAGTCCGTTGTCAAAGGGGGTAATTGGGATGTCGCCGCAGTCTTTGATGGTGGCCCAGGAGCTGTACGGGTTTATGCCGGCGCGTGTGTTGTAGGCTGTTCCGGCCATTTGGCGGGCGCTGGCGGCGCGGATTGCGCGGGGGCCGAAGCGGGCTCCTGTCGGATGTTAATAGAAGCGCAGAGTAGATATGGATCTCGATTTAGGGGGTACCTGGTCTGTAGCTGACGGCAGTGTCAAAGGGAGCTCCGATGACGGCAATGTCGTACTTCTCGTCGGGCTCAACGAGGCACTTGACGGGCTTTAGATGCGCAAAGCTAGCGTGTCCAGAGAACGACCACTGGTATTCGTTAGGTATATCAAATTATACGAAGAAGAATGGATTGCCTACCTCCTGGTTCCATTTCGCAAGAAGCTCCTCCCGCACATGCTCCGGAATAACCTCATCGTCATGCCCATGGTGGGCGTGGGACACGGCGGTCCCAGCAAAAGCAAGCAACGCAGCCCAGGTCAGCTTCATCTCGAACCGAATGTACAGGAGATGAGAACATGGGACACTAAACACGTTCAACGAGAGAAAAGAGAAAGAAAAGAAAAAGCAGGGAAGAAACGACCTCGTTTCTATATGGAAACCTGTGGAGCGTAAAATATCCTGACGTATGGTAACCGTGTGTAATGCAGTCTCTTATCGATAGCGAGACCCCTGCCGATTGGCTGTGCTCGCCACCTCATCGATGCCTGGATGCCTGGCCGCATGGACTGTCTCTCAGACTTTCCTCTTTTGTTCGTTGCCCTTTCTTGTAGAATCGTTCTTCCGAGGCTTCTGAGGAGCTGTTTGCTGCTCTGCCGTGTTTGCTTCCAAGACATTGGGGTCTAGATACCTACTTCATTTATTGTTATTCCTTGACATTTCACCTCGATTGCAAGCTGCTCCGGTAGCGAACAAGATGCTATGCGGCGGGTTGTCGTAACTGGTCTGGGTGCTGTGACGCCCCTCGGCGTTGGTGAGTGATACTATCGCATTTTACGTTTACGCGCTCTCTCTCTTGACTCCGAGGCGATCCAGAGCTTGGATAAGAACATGGCATCACGCAATGCTATCCGTACTACTGCTAGCTACTATCGTGTCCCTCATCGGAGCAAGTTGCTTCTTCCGCCTTCTCTCTCCATCTTCTCCAACGTCTCCACCTCCCGAAGGGGAAGGTCCTAGACGGAGCATCATGGCGATTCCGAGGAGGGTAGCTTCACACGATACGTGGACCACTGCTTGTATCTTACTGCTTTCTCACGTGGCTCCGGACTTGTTATGCATCTATTTAGTTTAGTTCTTGGTGATTGGCTGTCTGCGCGTACTAAACTAATCTACTCATCATCATGCTATAGGAGTTCGGCGGACTTGGAAGCGGCTGCTCGATGGTCATTGTGGTATTGTTAATGTTCGAGATCGCGATGCGAGATTCGCAGATTTGCCGGCTCAGATTGCGGCCGTTGTTCCTGAGGGGTTGAGGGCTGAAGGGGGGTGGACTGCGTCGGAGTGGCTGGGGAAGGGTGTAAGTGTGCTTCTTGCTTTTCCCTATTGGCGGAGTTTTGTTGTCGTATGCATCACCGATTTGATTTGAAGCTAATGGCAATAGGATGAGCGCAAGATGGCTCGATTTGCGCAGTATGCGCTCGCCGCTTCGGAAGAGGCGCTGGAAGATGCGGGGTGGAAGCCCACTGGTCAAGATGAGCTAGAGTCGACGGTTTGTTTGCCTCAATGCTCTCTAGAATGACTACTAACTGCAATTAGGGTGTTTGTCTAGGGTCTGGCATAGGCAACTTTGACGAGATTTATGACACGGTCGTCGCATATGAGAACGGTGTTCGTCGTCCTCAGATGTCTGGAAGCTCTAAGCTGACTTTATTTAGGGCTATCGAAAGGTGTCTCCTTTATTCGTGCCGAAGCTATTGATCAACCTTGGAGCTGGCCATCTAGCCATGAGGTATGGGTTTATGGTAGGTTCCACTACGGTGACTTGTATGATTGCCTTTCTGAGCCAAGTAGGGTCCCAATCATTCGGCAACGACTGCGTGTACGACTGGAGCACATTCTCTCGGCGATGCTGCTCGGTTCATCGCGTTTGGAGATGCAGATGTGATGCTCGCTGGCGGTGCAGAGTCTTGTATCCACCCACTCGCTATTGGAGGCTTTGCTCGTGCGCGAAGTTTGGCAACAGGCTTCAATGACTGCCCTGAAAAAGCCTCTCGACCGTTTGACGCGGATCGCGCAGGGTTTGTGGTTGGAGAGGGAGCAGCTATGGTGGTGCTAGAGGTATTTCCCACCAAAGTGAAAGCCTTTTGCTACTAACTTCCTCTGTAGGAACTGGAGCATGCGAAAGCAAGAGGGGCTCAGATTTATGCAGAACTACGAGGGTACGGCTGCTCTGGGGATGCGCACCACATGACAGCTCCGAAAGAAAACGGCCACGGTGCTTGGCTAGGCATGAAGAAAGCCCTAAAAAACGCCGGCTTTGCGCCATCCGCGGTTGACTATGTCAATGCGCACGCAACGTCGACTATCCTGGGGGATGCCGCCGAGAACGCGGCCATCAAAGCTCTTCTCTTGGGCCCTGGAGGCAAGACACAGGCCGCTGATGTAAATATTAGCAGCACGAAAGGAGCTATAGGGCATCTACTCGGAGGAGCGGGAGCCGTCGAATCACTCTTTACCGTTCTTGCTATCCACGAGGTTAGTCTGGCATAGTGAATGCTCGAGCTCAGCTAACTGTTTCTAGAACGTGATGCCTCCGACAATCAATTTGGACCGGGTGGCCAATGGCTTTGACTGTAATTATGCACCGAACCAAGCTCAGGAACGCCGCATCAATGTGGCGCTGACCAACAGTTTTGGATTTGGAGGGACGAATAGCTCTCTCTGTTTTGCTAAGCATGATATCTAGACTTGTTTAGTAGGTGGAGCATTTGATTGTACAATAGACTTAGACTTGTGTACTATATATCTGAACTTCTATTGCCTCGATTCTGAGAGACTTCCTTTTCTTACTGTAAATCACAAAATAAGTGTCCTATGGTTAGGGCTGATGCGCTTGCTCGAGGGCAGATCCTTCATGAGAGATTGAGGATCAATTTTTCTGGGGTTCAACACCACATCAACTACATAAACTCCGCCAATAATCTTCACAAACGCAGCAGGACCCAACCCAATGGCTCAAGATGACACATACCTCAATTCTCTACCAAAATCATGTTTCAACAATTTTCCTAATCGACGTTCCCACCTCAATCGCCCTCGCACAGTCTCTCCCTAAACAAGCCCCTTCAAAGAAGAGTCTCCTCTCCTCACCCGCTTTAGAGACCCCGTACCCGCCATCAACAGAACCTAAGACTGCTACTGCGCGGGCGCGGGTGCTTGAGCGCATACCGCACTCGGAGAGGGAGGTTGCAGCTGCTATCGAGCCGGTGGTTCTGGGGGCATTGGCTGAGATTCGGAGTGGGTTTCAGAGTAGGGTAAAGTGGTGTTTTGAGAGGTGCTTGATTGGAGATGGCGATGCAGATGGGCATGAACACGAGAATAGGAATATGGCTTCTATTGAGAGAGGTGGCGGTGGCGTGACGCTTGGGAAGAGAAGGAGGAAGGGCGAGGCTGAATATCACCAAGATAACCAATCGACCTCTGATGGCCCTGGCATACAACCTCTTGAATTGGAGCAACCGGTAGAGTCTATGCCTACCAACCAACCACCCCTTATCCTCTCCCCAGGCCTGAACAGATTTACATCCGGGGCCGAACTACGCAATCACATCGTCAAAAATACATCCCCCTCAACCGCCACAGTCTCAATACATCCACAAAAAAATAACCCATCCAACATCCTCGCTGCAAGAGACCGACAGATTAAAGTTCAAAATCAACACCGCACATACACAATCCCGCCACTATCCACCTTCCTCATATGCAATCTCCCCATCTCAACCCCACCAACGAGGGAAACTAAGCACAACCCCATCCCGAGCCTCGACCCTAACCAAAAATTCAACCTCATCCTCCTCGACCCACCATGGAGCAATAGGTCTGTCCGGCGAAGCGGCCATTACGAGACGCAGTCGTATTCGCATTTTGAGCTGCTGACGGAGTGGGTTTGTAATCTACTACGGGTGCATTCGTTCTCGACTCCTCCTTCTGTCACTATTGAAAGCGGAGAAGGGGAAGTGGCAAGTGAGAGGGAAGATAGTTCGAGATCCGACACATGCATTGCTGCAATCTGGATAACAAACTCCGCAAAAGCACGACGGACAGCTTACGATTCTCTCACACGTGCAGGATTCGCAATTATCGAGGAGTGGGTGTGGATCAAGACGACTGTGTACGGGGAGCCTGTTACGCCCGTTGAGGGGCTGTGGAGGAAGCCGTATGAGGTTCTTGTTGTTGGGGTGAAGAAGGAGAACGAAGAGAAGGAGAGTGAGGAAGATACTACTCGGAGTATACGAAGAAGAGTCATTGCTGGTGTTCCAGATGTGCATTCGAGGAAGCCGAATTTGAGGGAGGTTTTTGAGAGGGTTTTCTTTCCGTCTCCGTCTTCGTCTGCCTCGGGTTGTGCTGATGCTGGAAGAATGAGGTATGAGGCTTTGGAGGTATTCGCCCGCAATCTTACTGCTGGGTGGTGGGCTTGTGGGGATGAGGTGCTCAAGTTTAATGATGGGGAGTGCTGGGTTGATGTTGATGCTTGACCGTTTTACTCAAATCTGATACTCCAATGCCATAGTAAGAGTCATGTACAGATTGTCTATAACTATCAGTAGTTATCATATGCAGCGTTGGTATGTCTTGCACTAAGAAGACCCAATCATTTCACATAAATCCTCAAAGGTCCAACTAAGGAAACCCATCTCTTGCACGTATCACCCACAAGATGAAGAAAAAAAAATCAATCAAACACAGCCCCCAAACTCACCAGACTAAACCTCAAATCCGGGTTTCCACCCTCACTTTCCACCTTCAAGAACCTCCTAACCCCAAGATCCAGCGCCCTTTCACTGAGCGCATCTTCACCCTCAGCCAAGGTTCCCCTCTCCAGCGGCCCCTTCCTCCTCCCATCAAGCTCCCAAAGCTTTCCATCAGCTCCCTTCACAAACGCCACAAAGTGCAAATCCACATCATCCTCCGCCCCAGGCGCCTTGGTATCGCCGAGTTTTGCCGCATCCGCATGAGCGCTCTCCAACGCCTTGCTCTCATACAACAGGTCCGCCCTCTCAACCGGTGGCAAGGGCTCCGCATCCTTTAACAGCTTCTCCAAATCCGACTCGGGGATAACATGCTTCCGCGGCTCGCCATTCGAAACAGCATGTAAGAGTCCAATAAGCCCGCATGCGTTCCGAATCGTCTGTTTGAACCAAGTTGCTGGCTCGTTGGCTCCCGAGCCCGTGTATTCGGGTAGCGAGCTGTCTTCGGCTATGCGGGAGGCTTCGTAGGTTTTTGAGACGGGGAAGACGAGGAGGAGCGCGTGGGAGGGGCGGGGGACGAAGGCGAGGAGATCCGCGTCGTCGATTGAGTAGACGTCTGTGAAGCCTAGGGATGGAGAAAGGCCGAGTTGGTGTACGAGGTGGGACATTACTTCGGGGTTGTTTTCTATAGATAGCTGTCAGCTAGTTTATTCGGGGAGGGATCATTGACTGGAGAGGAATGTGATGGTGATTGTTTGGGGAGGCCTACCAAGAGGCACGAAAGCCTTGTTGTTTTTAGGGACGTCGGGATTCTCAGCCATAATTATTTTTCGGCTATATGAGATGATTTGAGATGCTGGTGTATCTGTTTGTGCTGTGGCGACGATGTATTGGAGAGATGAGGGGAGAGGAGGCGTTGCGGGGTTGAGATCTTTGCAGTCACGTAGGTTCCACACTAGCTCCGAGAAGTAGTTAATACTAGATATTCTTTATGTCTAGAAAATACTTGAATACGAATGGATATGTCATTATCATAATTCATAATCTAGTCGCTCTATTTCTCTATAGCCGGCTTCTTCCCCTTCTTCAAAGGACCAAATATTCCCGTCCAGAGCTCGCTCGCCTCGCCAAGGTAGTAGGTCAAATCAACATCCGCCATACTTGCATCTTCGTCTCCAGAGATAGTCTCTAACTGCGAAATGAGATTCTCCAAGCCAAATGCCTTGCCCGTAGCCTGCGTAGCGCCAGCCTCAAGCATTACATTCACAATGTGGATATGGAAGTGGTAGTAGGTCGGTTGATCTGTAGAATATACTATGTTAGCAACTCCTCTCACTCTCCGTCAATACTTTCACTCTCCGTCAACAATCGACGAGAAACTCACAGTGCACGTAAAGTTTCAACTGATCGATCTCTAGATCCGGATACATCTTAACGGTCCCCTCAAGGACCCTCCTCCTCAGATACTTCAACCACGGCACGTGCCTCTTTTTCAAGTCGCGCAAACTCCAAATATCTCGCCTCTGCACGAGTGCTAGCAGATGCAACGAGCCCAACGTCTTCCGATCCCAATTCAGATCGGGAAGCATGAGGAACGCGTCCTCCTTGCCCGCCCCGTTCTCGCCCTCATCCCTCAGTATCACATCCTCCTGCTCCGTCCGCCCCTCGAGTATATTAAACACCCAATTCAGTCTTCCTTCCTCGCGCTTCGCTTGCATGTACGGCCGCACGTAGTCCCGATAGATTGCTGGCGTCTCGGTGACCATGCGCACCGTCTGGTCAGAGTACTTCTTGATGTGCTGTTCCGTGCAGGGCCAGATGAGGTTGAGTTTTAGGTCATGGGATGGATGGCCATCTGTGTCGATGCCTGATGAGGCAAGGTACCATCGGTAGATGTCGTTGTCTCCGAGGTTGTTCACGCGGGTAATAGCAGACTGGAAAGCTTGGAGGGCGGCGAGGGATTCGGTTGCGAAGGCAGTGCGTTCGGCCGTTAGTATGGCCTGCTGGGAGCCTATAGTACCGAGGAGGACGATACGACGGCTATTTTGGTCTGTGTTGTTGTGAGCTGTTTGCGTTGCTGTTGGTGCGAGGGAATGGTTTTGTGGGGTGTGTGTTTAGAGCGGGAAATACCTTGTTTGAGGAGTCGGGTGACCTCGAACTTCGAGATGAGGGCTTCCGGAGAGGGTCTGGTATCATTACTGGCCTGCATGATGGCAATCTTGAGAATGAACGAGTGTGTGATTGACAATGTTGGTTTGGAAGTCTTCTTGGGTAAATGGGCAGAATTTACGAGGCGGTCAAGCTTATGTATCTAGATTGTGGAGACAGGCCTGAACTACGATAAACAGAAGGACGAAAAGTGTAAGATCGATTTTGTACTGGGCGAAGCAGTTTCTTGAACTGGCAGAACGCGTGGTCTGTACATCGGACGGCGTATCGAGATAGTATACGTAGATTGCCTGTCTTGTATTTCCTCTAGCATGCATTCCACGAGATGGCCGCAGGAAAATCGGACGCGTGTTGGAAGAGTTTCCTGTCTAAGAACGAGGAGCGTTATCTGTACTCCTGCCTTTGCAGCCGACATAGTTCCCTGGGCGTGACTGCTGGATCTATTCTCCGCCTCTGAAAGCTCCAGCCATAGCTTCGGCGCCCTCTATGCCTTCGTCGCAATGGAGATTTATGGTCAATCAGCCTGAGTTGACACTTTCAGGTCGAAGTCCCCTTCTTGTCGTCCTGCGCTGGCTCGGTGTGCATCTATTCCTCATCAGCCCTGTACCCTGCCATAATCGATCAACTTCAACTCCAGAGGAAAGACAACATACCGCCTCCGCAAATTTAATCCACTCCTCCACCCCCTTGACATATGGATCATCCGCAGCGGGAATTGTCTCATGGGCCCAGACCACAAAGTCGCCAAACGTAGCTTGCTGCTCAAGGACCTTTATCGGCTCAGCTGGCTCGACTTCCTCGACCTCGGCTTCGTCTGAGTTGTTGGAAGTCGTACTTGGGAGTTCGCGATCTGTGTGTGTTGCGACGATACCTGTTGCGGATGCAATGTGATGCGATTAGCGTGATTTCGGCGCGCAAGCGTCAGTTGAATAGTGGTGATAACATACCCTCATATCCCTCTGGAATCTGTACGCGGCGGCCGCGCAGTTTGCGGCCGCGAAAGTACGCGGTTTGGAGGTTTTGGTCTGCGATTGACAGTTAGTCTTGGTCGATGCTGACTCGGTTGATCCTTGAATGCAAACTCGGGGACGAAGAGGCCGTGAGAGACTCGTACGTACCTTTCTCATCAGGAACAGGACTCCAGTAACGGTCCAGGGAGTTGACAGGGCCATCGTGGTGAATGCGGCACGGGAGGATGTTCGGTGTGTAGGACTTGAAGGATTCCAAATTGGATTCAGAGGGTTGTTGTGGTTGTTGAAGGGCGAACATCTTGAAGCGTGTGTAAACAAAAGTAGAACGGAGAGGAGAAAAGGGAATAGTCGACTGCCGGGAAGAAAATCGGCGGGTGATGTTGTATGCAATTTCGAGACACCAATAATCATTCCAAGTAATACTAGTCTCAATGCTTCGTGGCAAGCGAGGAGAGATAACTAAAGACGCGTTCGCGCCGCGCCAAGACATTTCCAAAGATTACTCCGTAGATGGATCTATGGTACAGAGGAGCAGTATTTAGTGCTCCCCTAGTCGGCTATATTAAACCAATTAAACCAATTGAATGCCATATATGTAAGGCCCTAGTGTAAGCCACTGTGGGGCCTCACACCAACTCTGAGTAGCTCTTTTTCTTTTTGTACAGGTAAAATGCCCTCATCAAGAGTTAAATGTGCTCATAGAATGCGCAGTATATATTAGCTACATTGACATCAGTTCGTTAACGCCCTGAAAACCACTCCTCAAATCGGTAGGCCAGAGCAATAAAACGTCGGTCAACAGTCCTCGTCATCACCGTCGCCGACATAACAAGCAAAGGAAAGATGAAAGCCGCCGCAACCGTCCAGGACCAGTAGTATATATTACTCCCAGCTTCGTCGGCCCTAGTCGCCAAAGCTTTTCCCCCAGAGCTTCCAGCAAGTCCAGTTGAGAATGGAGTTCCGAAGGACACGTATGAATGTCTGGTGGAGTAGGTATAACGAGAAAGATATTTCGCCTAGGAACTGGGCTATTCGAGACTCGAGCACCCTCTTGATAATCGGGAGGCACCTGATTGCTATTATAGAGCCTATGGACCACCAGATGTTGATGTGTTTGACTGGGTGATCCCAGTATGGCAGGATGCTGAGCCTGGAAGAGTACCAGTAGTCCTCGTAGGAGCCACCCCTGTATGGGAGACAGAGGAGGTAGATTCCACCGGCAAAGAGAGCCATGAATGCTGCTAAGGACCACCTTGATTTCTTCATAGGAGGCTTGTGTGTAACTGGGGCGACGACGCTTGCACGATTCTGGTTCAACTCCTCGAGCTCGGCAAATAGTAGCACAGAGAAGAAGCAGAATAACTCCTGGGACCCAAAGTACAGGAAGAGCGCAGCGAATATGGCTACAATCGTTAGCCGGACTTTGGGTGTAGCGGGCAACAAACCAAGAATAGTCAGGTATATTGCAAAGGATCCTTTAAGCTCGATAGGCATTGTCCAGAACTGCGCGTTGAGTCCACTGCCGTACTTGGTTTCGACGAAGCCAATTGAACTCCGGAAAGACAGAGCAAAGCATTTGAGGTGCTGCCAAATCGCGGACCTTGGCGGCGCACGAGGACACCCTTCTGCCCTGGGAAAGCTCCAGTTGCTGTAGGCGCCCATGAAGAAAAGTATCTGAGACGTCATACACGCAAATGTTACAGGTAGATAGAGACGAAGGCCTCGACGAATCACCGAGGAAGTGAGCTTGCGGTAACAGTCAGCGTTGTTATTCTGGCCGCGACGCCGGATAATTGCAAGACCAACCGAGTATCCAGAGATGACAAAGAATAGAGTGACTATTGCTTTGCCCGCAAATAGGATGCGGAATGGAAGGAGCTGAATGAGATGGCGGTTCTGTTCAGCTGGCTCATCGGTGAACCCGCGATATGGGATCGTCATTTCGCCAATGGTAAAGTGGAAGCAGGCCATGATAGCTGCTGCAATACCACGGACGCCGTCTAGCCAGCGTTGTCGGCCGTCCATGCTCCTTTTCGACATCGTCACCGGCAGGATAGAGATGTTGTTGTGTTGAGATTAAGTTAGACGGTGGGAGGGGTACCGACAAAGTATAAAATACACAGCGCCATGGATGAGAAGAACAGAAACATAGCTGCTTCCCTGAGAGATTCTCATGATTTGGAACTGGCAGTGTTCGCTTTGTCAAAACCATTATAAACGAGGATTAACTCGGGAATTACATCGGTTGTTGTTGAGTATTGGGAGAATCTGGTCCTGTTCATGAGGGCAGCAAGTTACCTCCAAGCGTAGGATTGTCGGTTTCCCTAGGGAGGAGGATGAGGAAAAAAAGGATTGGGTTGTTTTGAAAGGTATATAACCCTGATCCCAGAGCTTGGCCTTGAGCACCTTGCTCTAATGTTATAGTATGGGTAACATTGGCATATGCCAATGCAGGTCAAGGTCACAAAAGAAGATCCCTTACGAAACCCTCATAAACCCTGCCTGAGACGGGGGCTTGCGATGGGTTATTGATGGGTTGAGAGTTTCGGATGGTGGTTGCTGTGGCATGCTAGATTTCTTTCTAGTTTTTCGAGTCATACATACCTGGTGGCTGTGTGGTAAGATAGTGATGCTTGTAGAGATCCATGTAGTGAATGAAGATGGCGAATAGAATTCAAGTAGACTGGGGTATATCTAATAATTAGTATATCAAAAAAGTTTCACCTCTTGCGGGTCTTCTTCTTCTTCTTTTTCTTCTTCTTATCACCCTCCCCCTTCTCCTTATTCTCTGGCACAACTCTGACAGGCCACTTCTTCAAGTGTTCTCGCTCGAACTCGTCTTTATCCCTTCGATACAGCAGCATAGTCGCCTTCGCATCCTCCACACTCGAGTGCGCACCACCCTGAATCTGCAATCCCAGTAACTCTGACGCCAAAATCTTCAACCGCGGCGAGCCTCCACCTGCAATCTTCCGATACGGCGGATGCTTGCTCGTGTCTCTAATATCGCGCTTCGGGTGACAGAGTAAGAGAGCGTCTAGGTCATTTCGCAGCGCATGGCCGATAAGGATCCGGCCGTTTAATATCTCCGCGACTTCTTTCTGGACTTGTTCGAGGGATCGCGCGTCGATCATGTGTTTGGGTGCTATCCCGCTGACGTGTGTTCGCCAGTCCGTGACCATCTCTTTAGGGCGCACGTATGAGTCGTATACTTGGTCGCCGTTGTAGTCGACAATACTGACGCGGGCTAGGGCAGAGTCGTTGTCTGGATTTGGGCCGACGCCGACCATTTCGCAGTCGATTGCAACATATTTTCCTATTTCGACGCTAGACGTTGTTAGTCGCTGATTCATTTTCACCGCGAGAATTTCCCCGATAGCAGAAAGTTAGGTGTACTAACTTCGAAGCCCGCCCCTCATTGACCCTCGAGACCGCAGCCTTGACGACAGTCTCAACATCCTCTCCCCCTCCATTCGTCACTTCTTGCGACATCCTCTTCTTCCGATCTCTCGAAACAAGCCCGGAAGTAGTCAAAGTCCGTTTCCCTGTTCCCTCAGCGACGACTCTCCTTTTCTTCACAATATCATTTTTCTGCGGCTCACGATCCGATCTCTTGCGTTTTGTTGTCTCTGTTGCGGAGGTCGCGGATACGTCCTTTTTCTTCAAGGTCCCTTGGAGTTTCTTCCAGTTGCTCGAAAGAGATTTCAATTCCATTCCAGTAGAGTTGAGCCAGGCACTATCGCATGGTGAGTACGAATTGGGAGTTCGAGTCGGAGAGTTGGAGAAATCTGAAAGTTCAACCAAAAAGAAAATAATGTTTGCGGGGCCGCTAAATTTTGGATGCGCCTCCGCCTGACCCACTCTGATAGATTCGAGAATGTTGGCAAGGGAAAAAAAAGGGATCAATGCTTGATGATATCGATACTACTGATACCATAAGTCTTTTTATGAGTAGAGCTACGGGGTTACAAGAACTGCTACTGGTAAGAATGAGAATCGACTTTTTGTATCCTGCTGCCCATGAAATGTGATATCTAGTAGAAATATAAACAGAAAAAGAGATTAGGTATATCATAAACCAGGGACCTTGAAGTCTTTGTACGCCCATTTCTCAGTCACTTCTCTCTTGGCCTTTCTCGGTTGCGATACGGGCTTACGCGACTCGAGTTTGCCCTGAACAATCAACGTCCGGAATCGGTCGTCAAGAAGATTGCCCTCTGGCTTGAGCAGGCGTAGTGAGTCTTGAAGTTCGTCGGGTAGGACTACTTCTACTGGCTTCTCGGGAGCCCTGCCACATCTGTTAGTACTTGAGAGGGGATCGGGTTGGTAATGGAACTCACTTGATCTTGCCTCCGAAAGGCTTCCGGCGCAAGACGGAGTCATCTCCCTCGTCTGATGAATCGTCACCGTCACTAGCCAACTGGCCCTCCTGTTCCTTGAGGCGCTCAGCAATAGCCTTGGCCTGGGCAATTTGGTCCTCCTTCTTTTTCTTCTGTTCCTCCCACTTGGCCAGTCGTTCGGCTTCCTTTCTTCGCTTGATCTTGTTCCTCTGGGTCTTGGTTTTTCTCTCCGGTCGCTTCTTGTTGAGCCATTCCGGCTTCTCATACTCGCTCTCAAAACCTTCCCACGCGCTCTCATCATCCGACTTTGCATCACTATCTTCATTCTGTGCCGCTTCGATCAGGCGCTGTCGCTCTGCCTCTTTGCGCTCTTCCTCCAGCCGCTTCTTCTCTTCGTCAACGGCCTTTTGGCCCTGCTCCTGTAACAGCTGATCCCACTCCTCGAAAGTCGGGTTATAACTCGTCCCAGCAGTAGGCGTTCGCACAGCCTTGACCGCCTTTCCATTCGCCGCGAGCGAAACCGGCGCCCGCTTCAGTGTCTCCGGAGCGACCTTAGGCTTGGGCTTCTCCAGATAGTCAAACTGGGGGTCATCGAGGGGCGTGGGGTCGGCCTCATCCGCCCAGGGATCATAGAAGCCACTATCGCTAGATTTTCCGAGCGGGTTACCCTCCTTGGCCACCTGTTTCAAGCGCTGCCATTCCTTCTTCGAGACCCAGTCGCTCTTGTGCTTCTTAGTGCTGGGTTCAATCACGCCATCTGTAACCTTTGAGCTTCCACGTTTCCGTGTGTCGACGGCGCCAATTGCGGATCGTTGTGCGAGAATTTCGTCCGACTTGAGAAGCTTTTTGTGTTGTTTTCGGTAAGAGTCGCGGATTTCGGACGAGCCTTTTGTGTCGATGACGAACAGTTCTTCAGAGGGTTGTTCTGCTAACACGCCTCTATACTCAAAAGTTAAGGTCAATACCAACGAGAAGTGGTCATGTGTAAAAATACCCTTTGATCTCTTCATCCTTCAACAACCGAAGACCCTCTTGGACCTCCGTAACATCCACATTCTTTCTCCAAGCCTTCTTACCCTTCCTCGAGGGCTGGCTATATTGCTGAGGCGCCCGCACTGTAGTAGACATGTTGTCCAACCTTTAAAACCAAAGCTCAAGCAGAGACTTCGCTTTTCTGCGTGGTCGCAAGTCCGCTGAACTTTTTTAGATCCTTTCCCGATCAAAAATCTGGAATGGCTTATGTAATACGGGTAGCGGGGAGCCCAGCCACGGAACAGCCTGCGTCTGTCGCGCTAAACACTTTCGCGCCTATCGCGGACTTCAGATGATGAGGCTTCTTTTCATCATTTTCATCCGCGTCAAAGGAATTGTCGGGACCGGCCAGCGTGCTCCTATTTGTCGCGGCTGATTCTGCACATTAACGCCGGAGATTCTATCTGATATCCCATTTGATTCTGTGACGGGGTCGTCAATACAGCAGCCATGCCGGTCGTCAAAGGAGGTGTCTGGTGAGTTGCTGAGTATCTCCCGGTTATCTTCGTCGAGCTTAACTAACATTTACAAGGACCAATATTGAGGATGAAGTCCTCCGAGCAGCGGTAAGCTTACGTCGCGGACTACACCTACGCGATCGAACCGGCTCTGTTCTTTACGGTGCAACGAACTGACGATATTATCATATTAGGTCTCGAAATACGGTCTCAACCAGTGGGCACGCGTATCCTCCCTCCTTGCACGAAAGACTCCGAAACAGTGTAAAGCGCGATGGGTAGAGTGGCTAGACCCCGGTATCCGCAAGGTCGAATGGTCCCGCGAGGAGGACGAGAAGCTGCTGCACCTTGCGAAGTTGATGCCGACGCAATGGCGAACAATCGCGCCGATTGTGGGTCGCACGGCTACGCAGTGCTTGGAGCGGTATCAGAAACTTTTGGATGAAGCAGAGGCTCGTGAGAATGATGAGCTTGGCCTTGGTGGTCCTGCGGGCGCCGAAGCTGTGGCTCCAAGTGCGGATGATGTGAGGAGATTACGGTATGTATTTGGCTTGGAATTGATTCGAACCGGCTTGGTATGGTCTTGCTAATATTCCTAGACCCGGTGAACTCGATCCCGATCCAGAGTCCAAACCCGCGCGGCCGGATACGATTGATCTTGACGAGGATGAGAAGGAGATGCTCAGTGAGGCTCGTGCCCGTCTGGCCAACACTCAAGGTAAAAAAGCGAAGCGCAAGGCTAGGGAGCGGCAATTGGAAGAATCGCGGCGGCTTGCGGTGCTCCAGAAACGTCGTGAGCTCAAGAACGCCGGCATCAATATCAAGGTTGTTACCCGCAAACAGGGCGAAATGGACTACAATGCGGATATCCCATTCGAGAAGCCTGCGGCACCTGGATTCTACGATACCGCCGAGGAAGAATCCCGGAATGAGAGGCAGCGAGAGATGTTTGATCCCCGGAAACAGCAGTTGGCGAACAAGCGCAAAGGAGATCAGGACGAGGATGCTGAGCGGAAGAAGAGGAAGAATGATAAGAACAGCAATTCCGCTGCCTTTGCGGCTGCTGCTCGAGCGGGCCAAATGCAAAAGATTCGAGAGGCGGAACAGAGCAGCAAGAGGAGAGCACTGGCTCTCCCTAGCCCACAAGTTAGCGAGGGCGAGCTGGAAGATATAATCAAGATGGGTATGGCCGGCGATAAAGCTAGCAAGATGGCTGGAGATGAAGACGGTACACGAGGCCTGATGGGCAACTACTCTGCCATTGTGGGAGGAACGCCGATTCGAACACCCAGGGCACCCCCGGAGGAGGATCACATTGCCAACGAAATCAAGAATATCAGGGCACTGACAGAAACCCAGTCCTCGCTGCTAGGCGGGGAAAACACACCTTTGCACGAGGGAGGGTCATCGACCGGTTTTGACGGTATCGCTCCCCGACGCCAGGCGATTGTAACGCCGAACCCCATGGCAACGCCTTTCCGACAAGGTGGAGCCGTTGGTGCGACACCCCTGCCCGCAGGCGCTGGTCCTGGGGCTACTCCGCTGCGGACTCCCCGAGACCATTTCGCGCTCAACCAGGAGATAGCGGGTGGACAGCTCGTTGCAAGTACGCCAAAGGAACTACGGATGCAGGAGAATCTTGCTCGCCAGAGCATCCGGAGTCGACTAGCGGCCCTTCCAAAGCCCAAGGAGACCGAGTGGGAGTTGGAAGAGCTACCTTCGGATACCGCCGAGCCAACTGCAGTCACAGAGATCTCAGAAGAAGATTCAGCCGAGCGGGATAGGAGGGAAAGGGAAGCGCGAGAACGGGCCGCCGAGGCTGAACACAAACGCCAGACACAGGTGTATCAACGCTCTCTGCCCCGGCCAGTTGTGCTTGATATCGACTCATTGATAGAACGCGCTTCGCATGTCACAGACCCAATCGCCGGCTTGATTGCTAAAGAGGCCGCTCTCTTGATTGCCAACGATGCATGCAAGTTCCCTGTTCCTGGCGCCAAAATTGAAGGCAAACCTCGGAAGCTGGAGAGGCTCGATGACCAATGGCTAGAGCAAGCTCGCGCGGCCATTGCAGCAGAGGTCTCTCCCGAGAAATTGCAGGAGTTCGCAGTTGAGTTCGACAACCGTTGGTCATCAACCCGTGACAACACTCTTCCAGGACTGTCAAATTACACTGATGACGAAGAGGAGGATATATATCAACAAGAGCAGCGCATGATCGGCGTCTTTGACAACGTGCAGGCCTCGCTACTTGCGACCGCGGAGCAGGGAAACAAACTTGAGAAGAAGCTTGCGCTGCATTTCGGTGGATATCAGAACCGGGCAAAGATGCTTCGGACCAAGATCACAGAAGCCCACACAGCCCTAGAAAAGTCTAGGGATGACCTAGATGCGTTCCGCACACTACAGATATCTGAGCAAGCTGCGGTTTCAAGAAGACTTGAGAAACTCCGAGAAGACGTCGCCTTTGTGATGCGCAGAGAACGAGAAGCTCAGGAGCAATACCGGTCGAGAATGGAGGAGTTGGGCGAGCTGGTTGCTGGTACGGGAGGCATGGTAAATGGGTGGCATTGAGACTGAGGCAGAAAAGCCAGTACTGTATACACATCACAATGTATTCTAATCTACTTTCGTGCTTACTCTGGTAAGCTTGCGGTTGACTCTCCTCGTCTTCCTATGCTACTCTATTCTTAGTTCTCTGTAGCTACTGTTGTATACTCCAGTGACGGAAAGCGCGACGGGAAGAACCAAAAGCGGACGGCGAAAAATGCTTGAGGCAAAAAAGTTACCAAAGGCGGTCTCTCCTCCCCCCTTCCGACACTCTATCTTCCATCAATCGTCTCAAGAACCCGGTCGAATTTTCATCGCGAATTTCCTTCGACATAGACATTTTATCAAATTTGACCGAGCCAAGCGACTGGGCATTTCTCTGCGGACATCATGGGCGGCAGCGGGGAGGCCACCGGGACACCCGACCCCGTAGAGAAGGGGTTCGCCACCCTTAACACCATCAGGTATGTCGCAAAACGTCCTCTTTAAATGATAAAAGTTCCTCTCATGGAACCTTTGACCCTGGTTTTATCGGTCGCATGTGCTAATCAAGGTACTAGGATCGGTGTCAAGGCCATGGTCCACAAGGTGCGTTGTTCCTGCCTCGCTTTTTGCGGGTTCTTTCTGCAAAACGTCACGTGATATTCATTTTGAGACTGACCCTTGTTGTAGGATGGAGAGTTGAGGAAAGCGGAGATATTGTCTATTAAGCAGCGGAAAGATGGCCTTGCTTTCTAGTAGGTCTTCCACTAGTATTTATCGTTCGGGGGAAATGTGTTAACCACAACCATAGCGTTCATTATGTGGACTTCAACAAACGTCTGGATGGTATGTCTACTTCGAGCGCCTTTATGATCGACTATACTGATGATTCTGCTAGAGTGGATTGCTTCTTCAAGACTAGACCTGTCTCAGGAAGTCGAATGGCCGCAGCCTGAGAAGCCGGAAAAGAAGAAGACGGGACCTGCCAACAAGGCTCCGAGCAAGAATAAACGTGCCAGAGCCGGTAGCCGCGATGTCTCTGCTACTCCGGACCTCCTCACTGGCAAGAATGCCAATGTGGGCAAAATCCAGCGCCCATCAAAGGCAGGTGGGAAGGAGAACCGTGGCGATGAAACACCCATCAGTCTGTCAATTTTGGGGTCCGAGGCTTTGTCTGCAGACGGGACACCCAAAGCTGACTCCGAAGATGTCGACATGATGGACGCCAGTTTTGTCGACGCAAAGGAGATCAAGGAGGAGGAAAAGGCGCTGGGATTGATGTCGCGAGAAGAGGAAATTGAACGCCTACGGACTGGTGGCAGTATGACCCAGAACCCAACAGAGATTCACCGAGTGCGTAACCTGGAGCGGCTCCAGATGGGGAAGTTTGATGTCGAGCCATGGTACTTTTCTCCATACCCTGCCTCATATTCCGACTCAGAGGTGGTCTATATCGACGAATTCTGCCTCAGCTACTTCGACAACAAGCGTGCTTTTGAACGACACCGCACGAAATGCACACTCGTGCACCCTCCTGGGAACGAGATTTACCGCGACGACAACATCTCCTTCTTTGAAGTAGACGGCCGCCGACAACGCACATGGTGCCGTAATCTCTGTCTACTTAGTAAACTCTTCCTTGACCACAAAACCCTCTACTACGACGTCGACCCCTTCCTCTTCTACTGCATGTGCACCAGGGACGAAACAGGCTGTCACCTGGTAGGCTACTTCTCCAAGGAAAAGGACTCTGCCGAAGGCTATAACCTCGCTTGTATCTTGACACTACCCCAGTACCAGCGACACGGATTCGGAAGACTCCTCATCTCATTTAGCTACGAGCTCAGCAAGCGAGAAGGGAAGCTCGGGTCTCCCGAGAAACCACTCAGTGATCTCGGTCTACTCAGTTACCGACAATATTGGCGAGAAACCCTCGTTGAGATCCTGATGGAGTCGGGCCGTGAAGCAGTCAGCGAGAACGAACTTGCTGTCCTCACGTCGATGACTGAAAAGGATGTCCATGAGACGTTGGTTGTCTTCAATATGCTTAGATATCATGTACGTTTGCCTCCCTTCCCCTCCGTGTGATATCAAGTATTCATGAACACAACGCTAATAGCCGCCACAGAAAGGGAATTGGGTCATAGTCCTCACGGACCAAGTCGTGGCAGAGCACGAGAAACGCCTTGAAAAAGAAAAGATCAAGGGCTCTCGTAGGATTGACTCTTCGCGCCTCCAGTGGAAGCCGCCTGTCTTTACAGCGTCGAGCCGGACCTGGAATTGGTAGAGCGCCTGCGCTCTCGCCGCCTTGTTGTTCTCCTTTCCAGATTTGTGTCTGTTATCTCCAGGCTGGTGGTGAGGATCTGTATCAGCCTCGATAGGATAAGCTTCGTGTACATTTGTTTTCTTTTGATTTTCTATCGGCATTAGCAGGGGTATGGCGTTTCCGATGGCGATATACCTGGAGTTTGGTTTGGGCTTGCGTGAGAGGACTGGGGGAGGCTTACAACTATACAATACAATCTTATTAAACATAATTCATCAGCCATACTTGAGAAGCAATGTGTACTCTACCGGGTTCTCGTAGAATTCTACTGTTTGGCATAAGATGGAATACTTCGTAATTGTTCAAGTTACCACGAATATGATACACTTTCGCTCGGTCTGTATCGCCATCACTCCTAGGAAACGTATGCGTCTCGACATCCATGTCCTAACATTGTCGTTCCCTCACGGGAATATGAATAATCAAAGGTAAGTGAGTTTGTAGGTATGTAGGTAATGTCATTCAGGTTGTAGTAGTAGCGTAGCAGCGAAGCCGTCCATGTCCTTGACATGCATACAATTCGTATCCCGTGGGAAATGGCTACTTCAAAACGAGTACAGGAGAGGGAGAAGAAATAAGAAAGCGGTAGGTAGGGAATATTGTACGATTAGGACAACATTAGAAGCGCAAATGCTAAAGGAGGACAGGATGATGATGGTGGCGATGGCGATGATGGATGATGGATGATGATAATCGAAACCGAACCGAACCCTAATGAATCGAACCGAATAACTAACAGAACCCGAATTCCTCCCGTGTCTGTTTCCTACCAAGCATAGCTCATCAATAATGATCATAACCATGACACCACAGATCAATGGAGTGTCGAAACCCGGAGAATGTACTAGAACTCGAATGGTAAAGACCGTTCAGTTACTTCTAATGGGAAGCGCTAGAAGGAGCGTCCCAGGACGCCTTTCGTGATTGTCGCGGCGGCGGAGTGCTTCCATTTGCCTGCTGGGATGGCGTCTTCTTGAAGTTGGAGTTACTGGAACCCTCGCGTGGCTTCGTGTTCTTGCGGGGCTTGTATGTAGATGGGCCGCGCGGTCGAGGATTTGAGGTATGAGAACCTGCTTTCCTCTGGATAGTCATAGTCTTTGCAGCATCCGCACCGGGAAACTTGATTGAGACCCGGGTGACTGGAGAAGAAGCATCCTTGTCGTAAAAGAAAGGTTCAACACTGTGGACTTGCATCGACTTTAGGATCTTTTGACGCAGTCGCGCCTGGGAGGGTGCCGGTGCAGCTCGCCAGGCAGCTGGGGGGGCCATGATGGGCACTCGTATAACAGGCAGAGACCCGATTTCACGGTCCTCGAACATGGCCTCTATTTCCTCAACTTGCTTTGCAGTCAACTCTCCATCTCCGGCTTGGGCTTCTCCATTGTATGGTAGTGACACTGAGACTGCAGCGATATGAAGTTGCACATCAAGCGGCTCTTTAGATGCTGATGAGACCGCCAAGGAGTTTTTCTTCTCGAAAGCTGCCGTTTTCTTACCAAACAGAGTGTTGATCTTCTCTTGCCAGGACGAGGCATTCGACGCGGGAGGACGCGAGGCGACCATCGAGGCAAAAGTAGGTGGAGGAGGCGGTGGTGCGACGATCTTTGGCGGAAGCTTGACTATTGGCTTTGGCTGGGGAAGGTGTACTAGAGGTCTATTCGAGTCACCGAAATATACGGGATGAGTCGATACCTCTTCGGGAGGGGGTGGTGAAGGGCTCCGGGGATAATCTTCTTCATAAGCCGGCTTCCTCTGCTCTGTCGCCTGTGGGAAGAACCGTGAACTGCGAATCGGGCGTGCATGAGCTTCGGCAAAAGGCAGAGGGCCAACAGGGCCGGGATGTTCGAGTCCGGACAGAGGGTTTGGCATAGGAGGATTTCCATCTGTAGTCCTAGAAACACCAACAACTTGTCTCTGTCCGGTTTGGTCTCCGGAACGAACCTGTCGCCAGGTTTCGTTGAAATTAACTTGTAGCGATGGTTGGGTTTCACGCGCGGCAACCTCATTACGCAGCTTCTCGTTCTCCTCTGCCTCGCGCTTTGTCGCAACAGCGTGAAAGTCGTTCCACGCAGCAGTTCGAGCTTCGTGTTGCCAATGCGAAGGCTGTGCTCTTGGGGGTCCAATGGGACCAGGGCGAGCAATAACGCTGAGATGGTCATAGGACGCCGCATGCCTAGTCTCGGGAGATGGCAGCGGGGATATTGTTGTACTCTCCTGTGCGGACCGTGACGAGGTGGGGAAAGGCTGTGAGGTAGGAGGAAGCGATGGCTGGTCTAGGCCAAGATGATTCCGCAAACTCAGGTCTCTCGCCGAGAAGTTGCCCAGACTCTGGTCGAAGATGCCGTTCCCTAGCGTCTTGTCGTTGCTCAACGGCTTCCAAGGGTTTGTTAAAGGAGTCGGCGCACCAACAAGCTTAGGGTTTGCCGTCCACTGAGAGTATGTGTTGGGCACATTCACGTTACCCCGCCATTGAGGGCTTTGCTCATCAGGCGGCTCGGAAAGCGTATCATTTTGCTCCGGATGTTCATGAGCGGCTTGGAACCCGTTGGCCGTGGAATGATCAACTTTCGGCTCCCGAGCTGGAGAGGAAGCGCGCCGGGCGCTGGCCCCTGCAGGGGGCTTTTCTTGACCCCTTTCCCGCTCAATGAGCTTTTTCACTGTATCAGGATGATGGACCTTCATCATTCCATACTGCTTCGGCGCTCCGGTTGGTTCGGGTACAGGTGGTTTAGGGGGCGAATGAGCGGGACCAGTTGCTGTCGTCGCGGCCCGAACTTCTGGGCTCTCCTTGTGCTTCGTCTTAGGCTTGTCGGGGGCCGGACCAAGTGCCTCAAGCTTTTGCCGGATTCTCTCACGTTTCGCAGCTTCTTCTTCCTTCTCTTGCTCCAATCTTCGCTGTCGGGCCTCTAAGCGCTTTTCCTTCATGATACGCTCTTGCATGGCAACAGCATCTTCCTGTGGCGCTTGCGGCACGGTGTGCTGCCCATCAGCAGGAGGTGGTGCGGCAGGGTGGCTCAATCCAGAATCTGAGCCAGGAACTCTTTCCACAGTCAAATCTCGAGCATGCCATGTAGGACCGGATCCCTGTCGCATAGGAGAGGCGTCCCGCGGTTGACCCTCCTTTGAGTAATGGTCCCGAGCATGGAAAACCGCCTCCATCATTCCGTTTGCCTGAGAGCCACGTCTACCTTCAAAAGGTCTTTGAGCTGCGTCGGGTCTACCAATTGACATTCGGCGGCCAAAGCTTCCGCTTCCACCACTAACGTTGGATGAAGTCCGCCGGCGATTCCAATGAACTCCGTCCTGTCCACTCGTCCGGTGAGTCTGGAATGCAGCAGAGGGTTCAGCTGGCCCCACGTGCTCGCCTTGTGCTGGGGGCCGTTGCAACACGGACGGCGCGCGAAGGTTTTGCTCATTCCGCCATGCGCCCTTTCGTGGAGGCTCAGGAACAGGTTCGTACCGTCCTGATCTAGAGTTGTACAGTTCACGAGTTCCCGGTTGGCTATCCCTCCAGGAACGGTTGAAATCGTCTGCTGCAATCTCTTTTGGAGCAACAGGGGCGCTGGGAATATCGCTTGGCTTTGTTTCCCTGAACGGTACCCGTGTCTGGGCATGAACCTGAGGCATGACTGGTGACATCTTCTCAACAGGCGGGATGGGAGCCCAAGGTGACTTGGCAGGGGGGGGAGCTGGGCTCGTGGAGGAAGAAGATGGCTTCTCATTGGGCCCTTTCGCGGTAATACTAGCGGTTCTTGCTTGCCTCTCTGCATTGGCACCTAGTCTGAGAACAGTAGGGTTAGGTCCGATAGAGGTCACAGGCTTGGCAATGTATTTGGCAGCCTCTTTGACCGTACTACCCTGCTCAATAGCTCCCTCGTCTCTGATGGGCTTCTCCTTGACCTCCGTTAATATGTCCGTGGAACTCGGTGCGGTCGTTGGTTGAACCGTCGGTTGAACTGTCGGTAAAGGTTCGTGGTGAGGCTCGTTCTTTGATAAATCGGTCTTGGTCCCATCATTCCACTCGATAGTTTCTGGAGCCCAGTCATCTTCATCGTCATCAATATCAGCCCACTTGGACTCTGTTCCACCCCCATCTTCTTGTATTCTCGACGTCATGTGAATTCCATATTGCTGTTTCAGTTCTTCGTCCGTAAGGTGCTTCGGAGGTGTCTGCTGGACCGCTGCAGGAATAGAACAATTAGCGATCAATAAGTGCAAAAAGGAACGGATTTTTATGCTGCCTACGTCGATTCCTATTCCAAACTTGGTTCGGATCGGGCCCAACTCCAAGCCGAGCGCCGCCTGTGCCTGTCTTTGACGATGAGTCGCGGAGGCTGCTGGTCGTCTTCGCAACCAAGCGTGGCCGTGGGTTTTGTAACGTTGTGCTTAAGGGGGTCCCCGACGCTAATGGTGCTGTGACTTGTTAGTACTCTCGCTCTTCGTTAGTAGCAATATGGAGAGTTGCATACCCTTCTCGGTGAGTTTGGTCACGGGAGGCGTTCCTGGAGCCTTGGGAACAGAGAATTTGGCGAAAGAGACCGGCTTGAATGTGGTCGGCCGTTTCACTGACGAAGCACGACTATGTAACTTGCTCTCCGTTCGACTAGCATCAGATTCCGAGCCGCCCTGAGAAGCTGTATCATCCCCGCCATCGGATGCAGACATAACCCCATTCATCTCAAGTGCCCTTGTTGCGACTGACCCCGGTCCTTGCTTTGAAGCGTCCTGTATCGGTTAAGTCTTGGTCCCCGGAATCTGCACCCAAGATACTCACTGTAGAGGCTTGTTCACCGTCCTTTTCCCCGTCGCCGTTTTCTGTCGGCGGTACCGTGCTCGCTTTCTGATCTCCTTGCTCAACTTTCGATTTTGTTTCTGATAGCGTTGTAGTGTTCATCTCCCCCTCGTCCCCTCCAGCAGGTTTCTTGTCGGTGGTGCTCGCAGGAACGCCGGAAGGCGAAGGATCGCCGCCCGGCAAGGGTTGATTTACCACATCGTGGCCGTTCTGCTCTGCCATAACAATTCTCGAGTCTGTCAAGACAACAAGTTGCGACATCTGTTAGACATGTGTTCTGACCCTTGTAAACATGGGGAGCGAAGTGGCGGCGGAAATCCCGGGGACGCTGGAGAATGCAAAGGGGTAGCTCGGGAGATACCTATTGTTAGGGATCAAGAATCGCCACGGTCAAACTGCGAGCTCAGCTGGTTGAGCCGTGAAAAGCTCCGAACGTCCAAGAAGGCGGCGGATTAAGAGGGTGAGCGGACCGCGAGAAATGAGGTTCAAGGGAAAACGCGCGGGCAGAGAGAGCTCAAGGATAAAGGCAACAGCCTACGATATCCCGAAAGGGAGGTCACGATAGGGAGGCTCTCTTCTGAGTTGGTGGTGATCGGGTGATGGCTGTAGTCATGGATGAGTGATGGTTCAGGTTGAGTCTAAGGTGGCTGTTTTCGGTTAGCGTAGAAAGGCCAAAAGTGAAGCAAACCTTGTGGCTGGGTTGGATGAGAGCCGCAGATTCGTCCACCAGGATCTAAGAAGAGTTCCTGATGACCTGATTTATATAGTGTTTGCTCCATTGTACTCATACCCGCCACCTAATCGTAGAAACCGTAGGACTGGTTTTCGTTCGTACATCGCATGATGTTTCAAGTGCCTCGATGACGGTGCCCGCGCACCCAGTGATTCGGAGCCCGTCAAAACGATGGACACATCTACGGAGGCACATATCTTACTTCTCAAATGAACTTGAAAAACCATATAATATCACAGGGATTTGGTATTGCCAATAGCACAAGTAATCTCCTCTACGATGGCTTCTTCTAGGCCCACAGTATATACACAAATCCCCCTGCTTCAGCGCCTTATGAAAGGTGTTTAGTGGGGGTGGTTCTTGTGGTGACCTAGTACACAGTTAGCTTAAAGAACAGTAACCAGGAAAATAAGGGTAGCCTTACGGAGGTGGAAGTAGTACTCCATGCTGTAGCCGAGGATGAGAATGCCACCGATGGCGTGGGCAAGGGCTATTGTGAGTGTTCGCATCAGCTTCATGATCAAGGACCCCTAAAAAATACCGAGGTTCGTTCACTTACGCGCAGCAGAGGGCTTGCTGCCGAAGTAGCGAGCCTGGTAGCGGCCGATGATGCCGGTGGGCTTGACCTCGGGAGCAGCACCACGGGGCAGGCGGGCGTAGAAGTTCACAACGCGATCCATGCGAGCGGCATCCTTGGCAGCGCCAATGGCCTTTTCAAGTGTTAGTTATCGTAAAATCCAGCAAGGGTCACGGATCTCCTTGTGTCGCCCGAAAGAAGAGATTGTTGCGGGATGGCGTTCGGAGGATCCGGGAATATTGGGGGTGGTCTCACGTTAGGGGAAGCAATCTATAAAGACTGGTCAGTACATGTATCCTCAAGAATCAAGGTCAAATCAGATCCGCGAATGGTGTTTCGTACCTTGGGAGGGATCAAGGTCGAGAGACCTCGGCGGGCGATGTAGCTCATCTTTGCGCGGTCTAGAGAGCGGCACGTCAGCAATCTCAAGCCTGCGCTTGATTCGAACTGTATTGTTCGCACGTCAGACAAACGTTCATCAACTTACCTCGTTGTGAGCGAGTAGGAGCAAGAGAAGGGAGAGAGACAGAGGATGGGAGGAAGTGCCTGAGAAGCGGGTTGTCGGAAGAGAACGTAGGGAGCCGCACATCACGCTAAACCGAATTGGGCCTTGATTTCGACTGGCAAGGTCGCAATACCTCACCTCGTCAATTCACACTTGTTTTCTTGTAGCTTTGTTCCAGCCACAACAGACGCAATTGACACCATGTCGTTCATCAGAGCTGGAAGCCTCGCCTACTCTCGAGTAGGCAGAGTCATAGTCACCAAAAACACCCGTTTCCTCTCGACAACCGCTCTCCGCGCTTCACAATCCGAGCAATCGCCTATCAAGGTCAACCCTTCTGAGGCGCCGACTACCCCTCATGGAGAGAGCTCCCTGATCCAGAAGGAGACCCCTTCTGAGGCAATGGCTCGTCACCAGCCTGATTACGATGCTACCATCGATCATGGCACCTCGTACGAAACCCCCCAGCCCGCTCATGAAATCATGACTGACACCGGATAAGCAAATTCTCTCCCGTCCCCAAGCGTGTCATGGACGGAAGCGAGCCCGGCGAGACCGTTCCTGCTGCTGTCCTCTCCGGCGCTCCTACCGATCTTCAGGCTCGCACCGTCAGGTATGACCCCGCGCCGAGTGCTCATTATCAACCACTAACGTGATCAAGAATTTACCGCCCTTCGAAGCCTGCTACGCAATCCGGAGACTGGCACTCTCACCACTGGAGGATGGACTGGGATATTCTACAGAAGGGTCACCGGTGGGAGAACCCTCTGATGGGTTGGCAATCTTCAGCCGATTGCATGCAAGGTACCCACTTGAACTTCAAGTCGAAGGAGGATGCCATTCTCTTCGCTCAGAAGCAGGGCTATGAATACTTTGTTCAGGAGCCAAATGAGCGCAAGTTCGTCCCTAAGGCTTATGCAAACAACTTCATGCACGAGCCAAAGAAGCTTAAGCACATCAGGACCAAATAGGCCGCTCTCGTGGTTTCTCGTGTATGTATATAACTGTCAGTTTGTTTCGGGTTCGCTTTAGAATTATGGTGATTTCATGTTCTCAACCAAGATATCTACCAGCTCGTCCATGCCGGCAATTTCCCTATGAGGAACATGCCAGCTAAAACGGATGCCTCTAGCCTCTTCGTGTAAATAGGCTATGCGACTCATACCGGTCCAATGCGCCTTCGCTATATGACGACCCGGCCGATACACACAACTCAATTCTGGCTTGTTCACTTTGCTTACCGGCTCTTGATACTACTAGTAGTATCTTGCCTAGATTGTCGCGTACACGGTTTGAATTGTCGAATTGGGTCGTATATCATTATAGTATATGTCAAGCACTAAGTTGGCTATATATGTAGCTATTAGCAATTGGTGGCTATAAGGTCTATACTATACTCTAGCCATTGGCGGTACATGGTAGAGAAGTGACCTTCAAGTCTTGTTCAGAATATATCTATGGCTTATCTCACTATAAACGTACATGACTTGATCTATAAAAATGAAGTTTGTTTCAAAGGTGTACTTTGCGGACACGGGTCCATCGGCATCTTCCATCGGAACAATTGGAGAGGAGTATCAAACATTGATCAAGGGTCAAGGTCCGTTTAAAACCCGGCACTAATATGGCTCGCTACTCATGTTTTCTTGGATGCTTAGAGAAGGTACGATATGATTGCGCTGGGTTCAAGCCATGTGCCTCTCTAGACTTGGATATGAACGTTTATGATGAAGCTTGAAAGCCAAACTCAAGAAATCCTATTTGACAGATCTTAGATCAGATATCGTCCGACCCGGAAACATTTGCAGGCAAAGGAAGCCTAGCCGCAGGTTTATACCCCGCCACCCCACCTAAAATTTATTATCTGCGCCAGATAAGATCGAAAATTTATACTTACGTGCCTTTCTCTATCCCCAAGACTTTTTTTCTCGTCATTTTACCACCCTCCACCTTGAACATTCAAAATGGCGACCGATAACATAGAAAGCCCAGACACCACCGTCGCGACCCTGCGCACAGTCCTCACCTCTGAAACCGAACCGCTTGCTCGCCGATTCCGTGCTCTATTCTCGTTAAAGCACCTCGCGTGCCTGCAGCCTCCAACTGAGAAAACACTGCCCGCGATTCAAGCTATCGCTGCTGCATTCTCTTCTCCGTCAGCTCTGCTCAAGCATGAACTCGCATATTGCCTTGGTCAGACGCGGAACGTCGATGCCTTGCCGTTCCTGCATGATGTGTTGAAGGATGCCGAAGAGGATGCGATGTGTCGCCACGAAGCTGCAGAGGCGCTGGGGGCTTTGGGATACGAGAGCAGCTTGGAGCTTTTGAAAGAGCTCAGGGATAATAAAGATGAGGTTGATGTTGTGCGGGAGACGTGCGATATTGCTGTTGACAGAATCTTGTGGGAGCAATCTGAGGCTAGAAAGGCTGAGACGCTGAAGCCCAGGTATGTTTTTTTTTGGTCTCGCAAAATTGATTGTATCGCTCCAATACTATGAGTCTAACGTTCTATAGTGACTTCACCTCCATTGACCCCGCCCCGCCTATGCCCTTGACAGCAAAGGAGCCCTCGATTCCCGACTTAGAACAAACATTGCTCGACATAAAACTCCCATTGTTCCAAAGATATCGTGCGATGTTCGGCCTGCGTGATCTTGCCTCTCCTCCTGATCTTCCCACAGCCAAGCAAGCCGTCGAGTCACTTGCCAAGGGCCTGAAGGACCCCTCTGCTCTCTTCCGCCACGAGATCGCATTCGTATTCGGCCAGCTGTGCCACCCTGCCTCTGTTCCCAGCCTCACAGAGACTCTCAGTGACCAAAGCGAGGTTGGAATGGTGCGACACGAAGCTGCCGAGGCTCTCGGCAGTCTAGGTGATGTCGAAGGTGTGGAAGATACCCTGAAGAGGTTTTTGAACGATCCGGAGAAGGTGGTGCGAGACAGTATCATCGTGGCTCTTGATATGGCAGAGTATGAGAAGAATGGGGAGGTCGAATATGCGCTGCTGCCGGACTCTGGAAACCTGGCTGCTGTGCCCGCTGCTTGATTGACGGAGGTAATTGGACATTGGCTGTTTTCTCGGATGATGAATGCATATACGATCGTGAATGAAAAAAAATAGATTTTCTGGGTTTCTAATTGTTTGTCGTCTCCCTATAGCAGAAGATAAGTGTTTGACCCGATCAAGTCTGGGGAACGGGAAGCCATACTTGTGTCCGCAAACACAGGTGTAGAATACTGTACTTCCTTCGTCTGCGCTGCGCAACTGCACCGTGGTGAAGTACATTTCTTTTCTTCCACACTTCGGGCAGTCCTTTTCAATCAATGCTTCTGTCCGCTTATCTGCGGCTGTCAAACTCTGGATCGCGGACCGCTTTGCTCGCAGTGTTGAAGGGAATGCGCTGGGTTTTGACTCGGAGACAATCGTCTTTGGCACAGTATCTATGCAGAAAACAGAGTCAGCATAATCATCATATAGGCTTGCCTAACCCAGCACCCAGAAATTCACCTTTGTTTCGCGCGCCGCAAACGTCGCAGGTGAGAATCCTTGTCGGATCACCAACGGAGCCGTCCAGCAGGGAACCGCAATCCGTGCAGAAGACCAAAGAGCCAATCGTAGACATATTGTGCGCAGAAAGACAGAAATGTGCTATATTATCAAGAGCACCAAGATTGCAAGTGGGATTTGTTTCAAGTGCGATCAGCTTCAAGTCACTTATTTTCCTCACTTTTTTTTCGGCGCGCGAAGATTTGCAGACGCACGGGCCACCGATCGGTGGACAAGAAACTGGAGGCCGAGTATTAGCGCTGGGCGGTCAGGGCGGCGTGGTGGCAGGCGCAAAGATAGCGAACGGTGCCTGGCATTTAATTATTTGGAGCATCGGTTTGTCGCCCTACCATTTGCTTGGCCAGTTGGAAATGAATATCTGATGCGGAGGAGATTCGGTCTTTTGACTGATAGCCATGTCTCTGAGCGGAGCATGTCTAACCCACATTTGCAACTCTCTTCTCCCCATCCGAACCGCAGTTCTCATTAAGGGACCACTGCTATCACCATGGACCCTAACTGGCGTCCGGCCGTGCAGGTCGTCATCAACAGCCATGCCCAGGCGCAGCCGGGGGGCACGAGGGTGCCAATGCAGCGTCGGGAGAGGCCATTAGGTGTGGAGGAGGCTCTGCAGTACTCCCCCATGTACAGTACCCCGATCTTTGGATTAGGTAGGTTCAAGCAGACACCTGAGAGCTATGTGAGCTTGACTGATCCCTCTTCTTCTCTTCTTTCTCCAGATTGCATACTGCGTCCTGATGTCGGCCGACCTCCTACCACGACTTCCATCAATCATATTATACAGTCCGGACGTGCTGCGCTTAATGAGCTGAGTGACGATATCCGGTCTGAGCGGCAGGAGTCGAGCCGATTAGAGACGTCTCGGGAATATTTGCAGCACCTTCTGGACGGTGAACAGCTGACTGAATTGTGGGCATACCTCCTCTCTCATGGCTCATGGCTCTATACGATGTTAATCTAGGCTTTTTGCAGCAAATTTAAACTTCCAAATGGCACACGGAACCCTCCACCTTCAGTTACTGCTCCCGCTTCCCACGATTCTATTTCCAGCATTGGCCTTCTCGGTCCATTCTCCAAGATGTTGCTGGACTCTACAGATATCGCCTTTCGATGTGAGATACCCGCGTATAACACACCATGTTTGGAACAAATGCCCTAACTCACAAAAACCACAGATCCTACACCAGCAGACTCGGACCTTGGGACCCCGCCGAAGAAGGCCATCATTTCCTTGGACAAGAAATCACTTTCAAACCACAATCTTGCTGCGGTAGCTCATAATCAACATGTTCAACCCGCAAGCCATCTCTCAGTCGTGATCCCAGTGAAGCCTGTGCAAACCCCGGATCATACACATTTTGCATTAAAGAAGAGAAACCTTAGTGCCAATGGAGATGATAGCCTGTCGGCAATTCGCCTAAGAGCTCAAAAGGAAGAAGCAGACGCCGCTTTGGTCAAATTACAAGATATCCTCCATGAGCTTTTCGAAGCAGAAGATCAATTTGACCCTGGGACATCTGATACAGCGCCTACTTCGGTTTTCGTTTCTCTCCAGTCGCTCGAAGCCAGCGGCCCGGTTCTCTCCTCAGATACCCATATACGCTTACAGAAAGCTATGAAGAAGGTGGTGAGCTTCAATAGACTCCAAGATATCCCTTCGGATTATCTCAATCGCATACAAAAGCTCTGTGAAAGGGCGATATTAGCTGCGCAGGCGCCTGACCTGAAATTAGAGGATGCCTCGGATGAGTCTGCAGCTCATGACTGGTTGAAGAAACTAGATGACATGCACAATGCCCTCCTTGCTGTCAACTCGCTTTTGCAAACAATGTCCGGTACTCAAACAGCGAAGGATCTTTGCCCGGAGGATTTGATCGAAGCTATACCGAATCTTCTCAATCAGGTTTTTGATTATTGTATCATACCGGCTGTTGAAGCGCGCCCTGGGGGAAAAGATGCAAAGATCTTCGAACTCTGTTCCACTCAAAGACGTGTTATTGGTGGCATTATTCAGCAAAGTAAGAAGGTCCTGAGCATTTTCGCTGATTTCCTTGCGCGGATTGAGGTCTCTGAGGGAACGATCACTACGACCGAATTCTTCGCCGCGAAATTGATCTTTGTGGAGAACTCTCACACGGAAAAGGATTCCGCCGTCGGCTCTCAAAAGTATGAGTCTGTTCGACGGGGCGCTATGGACGTACTTGCAAAGATCTTCTCAAAGTACCCAGCGCAGCGCCCATTCATTCTAGATGAGATCTTGGTATCCTTGGAAAAGCTCCCGTCTACCCGGCAGAGCGCCAGACAGTTCAAACTAGCAGATGGCAAGAATATTCAGCTTCTGACTGCTCTAGTTATGCAACTAGTTCAAACCACGGCCCTGGAAACCCCTTCATCCAAAAGAAAACGCAAGGTTTCAAAGACGGAAGATGATGATGAGAATGAGTTGGCCGAGGACGACCAGGATACTGATGATGATGATGATCAGTCAGATGTATCACTTGCGCGCTTAGCGGTCAAGGTCAACCGCTTGTACGATAATGCATTGCGAAGCGCTCAGTATATCATCAAGTTTATTGTTCAAAGAGCAATGACTTCGACCAAGACGGGCGACCAGCCGTACAGAAATATCCTTGACCTCTTTACTGAAGATCTTATCGGAGTTCTAGGCTCCACGGACTGGCCTGCTGCCGAGCTTCTGCTTCGAATAATGGCATCTCACATGGTCAGTATTGCCGACACTGACAAAAGCCCAGCTACAGCGAAAAGCATGGCTCTCGAACTTCTGGGTTGGATGGGATCTGCGATCTCCGATCTCATATCAACAGCACAGCACCTACTTCCGGCTATGGAGGAAGCCAACACCGATGTCACCGACTATCTGAAGCAATTATTCGATGATTATTCGAGCCGTGCTTTGCACATTCAAGATCTTGTCGTTGCAGAAGGCCCCTATCGTATGACTTTGGAGTACTTTATGAACGGCCACAATTCAGAGAGCTGGCAGCTTACTAGTGCAAGAGGGTTCTTCCTCGCGCAGTGGGCCAAGACTTTTTGCTCCGTCTACTACAACTCGGAGGAAAGTGACGACGTCGAATATGACGATGCGACTGAGGATCTCGTGCATCTCTTCGCCAAGCTATTCTCGGACCCATTATGGCTGGAGACGCACAGGAAGTACGACAGGATATCAACGGCTCATGGAAAATTCGCCTACATCCTGACCGTCCTAAGCTCGAGTTTCTGCAAAGCGTTTGATACCATTTTGAAAGTGCTTCTGAACTCTATCACCAGTGATCAAGCAAAGGTCCGAAGTCGCAGTCTCAAAAGTGTGATTTACATGCTTGAGAAAGATCCCAGTCTCCTCGACAGGGATGCTTCAGTCATGCGTGTAATCCTTCGATGCGCAACAGATGCTTCGCCTATGGTCCGTGACTCTGCGTTGTCCTTGATCGCCAAATGTATTGCTCTCAAACCGAATCTAGAAGAAGAGGGGTGCCGGACAATCCTTGCTTGCGCCGGAGACCCAACAGCGGGAGTCAGAAAACGCTGTATTGGCTTGCTCAAAGATATCTACCTCAAGAGCTCCCGCACCGAATTAAAGTTAGCAATCCTCGACAGCTTTCTTCAGCGAACAATTGATCTCGAAGAAGGTGTCGCAACGCTAGCACGCCAGACTTTTGAAGAGATTTGGCTTACTCCGTTCCATGAGCTCATTGACTCCGCTCAAGATGCGCCGAAATTAAAGGTTGGTCTCGCCGAACGAGTGAGCTTGTTTGTCAACCTGGTCCAGAGGAGCGAGACAGCGCTCGAGACACTCGGTGCCTGCCTCGGAAAACTATTGTCTGACTCGTCCAAAACTTCTGCTGTGAACTTCAAAGTATGCAAGGCAATGGTTTCAACTATGTTTGAGAAATTAATCGAAGACAATGAACATACCGGAAAAGAATTCCAGCAGGCTTTATTGCAGACGATGACGGTTTTTGCGAAAGCGAATCCAAAATTATTCCGACCCGACCAGCTAGAGGCCCTTCATCCTTACATTGGACATCTTGCCACTGCAGAGGATCTGTTCTTGTTCCGGTCTGTGGTGGTTATCTATCGATGCGTCCTACCATTTGTATCAACATCTCACAACACACTCCTGAAAGAAGTCCAAAATGACCTCTTCAAAAGCGTGGCCAAACTGGCCCGCAACGAACTCAACGAAGTCATGGCCTGTCTGTGGACCATCAATGGTGTCTTGCAAAACACAGACCGACTGGTGAAACTCACAATTTCTGTTCTGAAGCCGATACAGCACTATAAAAACATTGATCTTGCAAGCAGCGCCAACGCAGCTGTTTTGGCGAGAGCCAAGAGCTACATTCGAATCGCTGGCTGTGTTGGGCGACACTGTGACCTAGAAAAGTATGAACCTCACTTCAAAAACGCGTTCCCCTCGTGGAAGGGCGGATCCGTTGCTGGGCTGATGGTCGATTCAATCATCCCATTTACTCTTTCAAAGCAGCCCCTTGAGCTGCGTACCATGTCGCTCGAAAGCTTGGGCTCCATTTGTCAATCTTGGCCTGCGCAGTTTGGACGGGAGGAATCAAGGCGGGTCCTCTCAGCGGTCTTTGAGGAAGATAACCCTAGCCTTCAGAACATTGTGCTCAAGTCATTTTCGGACTTTTTCGCGATGCACGAAGGAAAAGCAGAAAAGTCCATGGTACCGGCTGCCGAAGTCGCGGATCAGAAAAACACAACGAGATTAGGCGGGTCTCTGCGAGCCAGCGACAATGACGGGGCCGCAGCTCTGATAGCACAGCACTTTCTCAAGAATATGCTCCGAGTTGCGCAATCCCGGCAGGATTCGTATGCTTTGACCGCTATCGAATTGATTGCGAGCATCAACCGGCAAGGCCTCGTCCACCCAAAAGAGTGCGCTGGAGTTTTGGTGTCCCTAGAGACATCCACCGTCCCGGCGATTGCCAAGGTAGCATTCGAAACACACAAGATGCTCCACCAGCAGTACGAATCCATGTTTGAAAGAGAATATATGCGTGCTATCCAGGAGGCCTTTTATTATCAACGTGACGTCGTTGGTGATACAGCGGGTGCTCTTGCCCGTCCATACGTTGCAAAGCTCGCACCACTGTTTGATATTGTCAAGATCAGTAACAGTCGATACCAGAAAAAGTTCCTTTCTAGCCTTTGCTCCAAAGTGAACTTTGAGCTAAAGGAACTTGATACCTCGGGCAACCCTCCGGAACATCTTCTTCTTGCTCGCTTCGTGACTCAGAACCTGGCGTTTTTCGACTATGGCCAGCTCGCTGAGCTTGTGGCAACTATTAGCTGCATGGAGCGTATTGTTTCTGCGACGGGAACTATCGTGGCGCACACCATTGAGACGGAGATCTTTCCACCAAAACAGGAACCACAGGGTGAAGCACCCGCTGTATCTCCGACGACGCCGCTACCTCACGTCAACCCGGCGATATTACGGCGTCTTGCTGTTGCGGCTGCCTCGCTCTCTATGTTGTGGGAGGCACGAACATATTTGCGCCGCCTCTACGGAGTAGCAGCTCATGTCCGCAACAAAGACGGTAAACCCGCCACCAAAGAAGTCAACAAGTCGGCCACCAAGGTGCAAGGGATCACTGGTGATAAATTCTGGGAAGCCATCTCTCGAAACATGGCCTCGTTGGATAGCGAACAAGCAATGGTTGCAAAGTGCCGCGAGTTCGCTACGCTGCTGTCGATCGATGAGGAGTTCAAAATTGGGGACGTTGAAGACGCTGAAGGAGATCTTGACGCCGCCGGCGATGTTGATGATCCCGGCGCCATGTGGGTTGCTGGACAACGGCCGGTGAAGCGCAAAAGCTCGCTGTCGGGCCAAAATCCAGCAAAACGGCCCAGAGGACGGAAGCCCGGCCCAGGCAAGAAACGAAGCAGCGCAACGCCGGACGCTGATGCGGACTGGGACTAGGCAAGACCTATTTGTATTTTGGCTTTTTATTCCCCCATTTGAGGTTCTAGACGGTGCATATTGGGACAATCGGAAAATGGCGTTTGTGGAGACAGGCAGGGCTTGTATTCGACATTTTTCTTCTTCTGATCTTGACCCTGTTTTATTAGTCCATATACCTAGAAACCATTCTACAGACTAATGCATCGCACTAATACATAAGGCTTTAGTCCGATCGGATGTTCGGATTGAGGACAAAGATCCCACGTAATTCTTGATAATAAACCCACGACAATAATAGAGCAGAATACTAACGGACTCTGGCTAGTAAAGGGCCACAGTGGGCCATCTCCCAAAATGCTTGGACGCCCGGCGGAATGACGTTGCTTGTGACCAACTCCAGACGAACTTCCACCTCAGTCTGAAGCTCCTCCTTCTTCTTTTATCGCTCGTTTCATTTCCCTCAATCACTCTTTGCTAGCATCTCTACTCTTGTTTTACTTTTTTTTTGTGGCGTTGACCGCTTCTCTCTCCCTTTACACTCAGCTACTGCTGGTGGTACCGCTGCCATGAGCGCTGCGCTGCTCTCGGGTCGTCCGGACGTCCTGGCGCTGAGAAGAGTCGGGCTTCTCTCACGAAAGTTATATGCCTCAAAACCTTCTGTATCACCCAGATTTGCTGCCGGACAGTCCTCAATTCACACCCACCGCAAACCCACACCTCAATGTCTTACGTCGCGTGCCTTTTTTAGTCCTCAATTCACAATAGTCCGACATCAATCATCCACAACACCAGCGCCTATAGACAAAGCATTCCGGAGCTCCCGCATTCGAAATGCCATCGTCAAGACCTTTGCCTACTGCGGCTTCTTCATTGTCATGAGCAGCGCGGCCGTGGTAGCCTTTTTCATCTACGACGCAACAACGTACCGCGGATCCTCAAGCGCTGTAGACATCCCGGTCTCCGAACTAGCTCTTAACCCGCGTCGCGGAGGTCCGAAGAATTTGCCTATTGCAGAGGTTCTGGTGGGCGATGATGACTCTGAGGCGATGCAAGCACAACGGGACAAGCCGAGGCTGGTGATTCTAGGTTCAGGCTGGGGGAGCGTTGCGCTACTCAAGCAACTCAACCCTGGCGATTATCACGTTACGGTTGTTTCGCCTACGAATTATTTTCTTTTTACGCCAATGCTGCCGTCTGCGACTGTTGGAACATTAGGGCTGCGGTCGCTTGTTGAGCCGGTTCGGCGGATAGTCCAAAGGATCAACGGGCACTTTATCAAGGGCGAGGCTGTGGACGTCGAGTTCTCCGAAAAGCTGGTTGAGGTTATGCAGGTTGACTCCAAGGGAAAGAAACAGCAATTCTACCTTCCGTACGATAAGCTCGTGATTGGCGTTGGTAAGTGCTGAAACCCTTTTGAGTACAATAGTGCTAAACGTCATATAGGCTGCGTCACGAATCCTCATGGCGTCAAGGGTCTTGAAAATTGCCACTTCCTGAAGTCCATCGATGACGCGCGCAAGATCAAGAACCAGGTCCTAGATAACATGGAACTCGCCTGCTTGCCGACTACCAGTGATGAAGAGCGCAAGCGCCTACTGTCATTTGTTGTCTGCGGCGGAGGCCCGACTGGCGTTGAATTTGCTTCGGAGCTTTTCGACCTTCTCAACGAGGACCTGCTTTACTCCTTCCCCCGGATACTGAGAAACGAGATTTCTGTCCATATCATTCAGAGTCGCAGCCATATTCTCAACACATATGATGAAGCGCTTTCGAAATTCGCAGAGGTGAGCCAGCCTGTAGTTCTGGTACTGAAACATTCCACTAATGTAAACAGTCTCGGTTTGCGCGCGATGATGTTGATGTCCTAACAAATGCCAGAGTTAAAGAAGTCCGCGAAGATAGAGTGGTCTTTAGTCAGGTAGAGGACGGCAAGACTGTGATCAAAGAGATTCCTATGGGCTTCTGCCTCTGGTCAACCGGAATCGGTAAGCCACCTATAGGTCAACTGTGAGCGCTATTTTCGCTAACATCTTCGTAGCCCGTGCCGACATTTGCAAAAAGATCTCCGACAAACTCGTAGCGCAAAATAACAAGCATGCCCTGGAAACAGACTCCCATCTCCGCCTCATCGGAGCACCCCTCGGCGATGTCTACGCCATGGGCGACTGCTCAACGGTGCAAAACAATATTGCTGAGCACATAGTCTCCTTCCTCCGCACAATTGCTTGGGAAAAGGGCAAGGATCCCCAGAAGGTCCACCTCACCTTCCGCGAATGGCACGACGTTGCCGCCCGCGTCAAGAAGCGCTTCCCACAGGCCTCCAACCACCTACGCCGCCTCGACAAGCTCTTTGAACAGTACGACAAGGACCACTCAGGCACCCTTGACTTTGATGAACTCTCCGAGCTCCTCCACCAAATCGACACAAAACTCACCTCGCTTCCAGCCACCGCCCAGCGCGCAAATCAACAGGGCCAATACCTCGGCCGCAAACTCACCAAGATCGCCGCCGCCATGCCCGGCATGCAGGCCAACGACATTGACCACGGTGATCTCGATGAGGCCGTCTACAAGGCATTCAACTACAGGCACTTGGGCAGTTTAGCGTATATCAGCAACGCGGCGATCTTTGACTTTGGGGGTTTGAGCTTTGGTGGTGGTGTGCTGGCCATGTACCTCTGGCGCAGTGTGTACTTTGCTGAGAGTGTGAGCCTGCGCACGAGGTGTATGCTTGCGATGGATTGGGCGAAGAGGGCGCTTTTTGGTCGTGGTATGTTTTCCTCACTCTCTGGTTACATTCTGGTTCTTTGACTAACCTTTTCTTCTTTATAGATCTTATGAGCTTTTAAGTTGGATATGTATATGACATTAGAGAACGTGGGGATGTGGGCCGGTTTTTATGTAGTTCAATGTACGGTTTGGAGACATGTGCACATATATATTTTTTGGGCGGATATGCCACACCGAGGACTGAATGGCTAGCCTTTTTAGAACTGCACTAATACCACAAGGAGACTGGAGTGTTACTGTTGAGCTTGGATGGAAACCATTATTATTAGACAGGTACGACAAAGGAAAGAGGACTATTGCAAGATGAATTAAGTTTCTCATGTCATTGTGATATTGAACTAGTGATTCCTAGAGTTGATTGACCTTCCCAACGCCAGGGCTGAACAAAAAATACTATAACTAGAAGTCGCTTAATAACGATACGCTCATATGACAGCCCGGCCGGTCATGAGATCATGGGATCAACGTCTCCGTTGTTGGTCATTACAGTGTCGTTAGAGGCGCCGTTGTGGCTGGCGGAATTACTGTTGGAATCCCCAAGTCCAAGATCCAGCTTGTCGGGGATATCCTTTTTTGCCTCTCGGGCCTTTTGTTCCGCCCAGGCGTATAGCCGAGCAAAGTCACACAGCAGAGCTTCTGTACGAGCACCCTGGTTCTGCAAAATAGCGGCGTTAACCTTGGCACAGATATCCCTACGCAAGTCGGAGTGAAGAAGTGGAGCTAGCGATGGTGTTAGGTTTTCCTTGGGAAAGATGAGCAGCGCGAGCGTCTTCTCAAGGTCTTCAAGAAACTGTGGGTTTGTTGGTGCCCGTGGAGCAAGCTGAGAAGTAGCAAACTCGAGAGCGGGTGTGATGTCTCCATCAGGGTTTAGTGTGCAAGAGCGGATCAACTCCACTAGCTGCAAGCGAAGTAACGCGAAGTGCAAGGAAGGGTTTTCATCCAGTATCTAAGGTGATCGTTAGCACAATGCCACAACCAACAATGTTTTGACAATGATATTCGAGTGTGTGTTGTTGATCATACTGAGGACTGAAGATGTTTGACTATCAACAAACCCAGAGGGTGTTCTGAGTGGTGCATGAAACTTGGACTAATCATAACAACAAGGCAAGGTGGAGGTATAACGAGATGCAAGTTCTTACCTGAGGGTTGAGCTCATTGATTTTCTCGATCGCAGACTGTATATTCCCCGAATAGATGGCTGTACGAATCTCGACCCGTTCCTGGATAGCTTCGGCGTCCACAGTTTGGATGTTGGCCTCATGTGCGAACTTTTGCGCAGCAGCTGGATAGCCACTTGTCACTAGGTAGTCCATAACCAAGCGGTTCATATCACTTTGCAACGTTAGCACTTGAACAAGAAATGTGCTTGGTCAATGGAGGCAAAGAAGCAGGAAAGATATCAGAAACACAAGTTAATATGTTCTCCTCAAGTATTTTTTCAGAGAGATTCCCAACTTGAATAAAAACACATCATGAAGGTGCGGCCAAAGGCGCAGCAGAAATTGCAAGGGGAGGAACGTACGTCTTGGATGGTTTGACATCATCGACCTTGCGCTCGAAGTTGTGCCATGTTGGCGTTGAGGTTGAGGCGGTCGGAGACACCTGCTATTCGTATTAAAACCCGGCAAATACGGACGCATCGGACGCCGAGAGGCATACGTAATTAGCGGACGACATGTTTGAAGATTAGAGGCAATTGCTGGGGCTCTCAAGTGCCCTGTAGCTGGATAGGCCGTCTGTGAAGATGGAAAGCTTCGCAGGCGTAGCCCATGAGCATCGCTGAGCAAGGAGAAGAATGAAAAATGAAGGACGAAGAGAAAAAGCAGAGGAGGAAGAGAAGGGAAGAAAAAGGTCGCGTTCAGCAAGCGAAGGTCACGGTCACGCCCCAACGCTAGTCCTGATCTGTCAAAGCGGGGCTTGCTCTTTTGCAGCTGTCGGAAGCGGGAAGGAGCGTTTTGAGTCGCCGAATCTGACCCTAATAATTGAGATGATTTCTTCGTACTTGGTAACTTGAAAGGGAGCAGCTACCTTGGCGCTAGTAGGCAAATCTCACGATCTTGCAGGCAAGTCACAATTGAGGCTTTGCTGACCAGCATTTGAGGTTGCTCTGAGGCTTGAGCTTCGCCACTAATCCTCATTGGGAAGATATACCGCTTAAAATGTTTTAGCCTCTTCGCACTCGAGCGGCCAATCCTTCGCCTCTTTGCTCCTGCATCGCTTATCAGCGTGACTCTTTTCCTAGATTGGCTTCTGTTGCCTACTTGATACTGGCATTAGAACACTGCCAGAAGAGCGAGCTTATAAGCCGTCGTCACATCAGGAAGAGTAGGCAGCATGGAGTCGATCTCGCCGGTGTACTCAGCGGCCACAGGGCCGGAGAGACGCTACTCTCCACCATGGGCTGACCTGAGTATCATCGGTATTGCTGGTAGTTCCGGCTCTGGAAAGACCTCTGTTGCGATGGAGATTGTCAAGTCCTTGAATCTGCCCTGGGTGGTCATTCTCGTAATGGTACTTTTGCCGACCTCCAGCTAAGATTCATGGATTTCGGATATTGACAGGATTGGGTGCAGGATTCGTTCTACAAAAGCTTGACTCCGGAGCAGCATGCCAAAGCACACGCGAACCAGTTTGATTTTGATAGTCCAGACTCGATCGATTTCAATGCTTTGGTGCAATGCCTCCGAGATCTCAAGCAAGGGTATGCAGCTGGTCTTTAGCACCATATATAAAATTTCCTGAACTAATGTGTTTCTCCCCTTAAAAGAAAGAAGGTAGACATTCCTGTCTATTCGTTCGTTGAACATCAACGGCAAAGGCATACCACGCCTTTATACTCGCCCCATGTTTTGATCCTCGAGGGCATTCTAGCTCTTCACGATCCGCGGATCATGGACCTACTAGATGTGAAAGTATGATCCGCAACAGTGCCTGGTCCATGGTGGAGCTTACAATACTAGATCTTCGTAGAGGCGGATATGGACGTTTGTTTAGGACGCAGAGGTGAGTACTCTAGTCATTCCAACTCTAAGCCACTTCTGATGAAAGTGTTCCAGTTCTACGTGACGTCAAGGAACGAGGCCGAGACATTGATGGAATCATCAAGCAGTGGTTCAACTTTGTCAAGCCTTCATACAAGAAATTCGTTGAGCCCCAGCGGTCAGTTTCAGGTACGCATGCGTCGCTCAGAGCTCGAGATCTTTACAAGGATATATTGTCTAACTCATCCTAGACATTATAATTCCACGAGGCATCGAGAACAAAACAGCCATTGGTAGGTGTTACTATTCTATTCTCGTAATGCAGGCCTAATGGTTTAGGCATGGTTGTACAACATATACAACGAAAGCTCGAAGAAAAGTCAGAGAAGCACAGTGCAACCCTCCAGGAGCTCCGGCTCATTGCGTCAGAGGAAAAGCTTTCGCCTAATGTCGTGATCATGCCGCAAACACCACAATTTGTTGGCATGCATACAATCCTTCAAAACCCAGATACGGAGCAAGTCGACTTTGTGTTCTACTTTGACAGGCTGGCTTCGTTACTCATTGAGAAGTACGCCTCAAACACAATTCACGACGTTGTACTCCAGCATCCTGACTAACAAACCACTTTTCTATTTAGGGCCCTAGACGGTACAACATATACTGCCAAGGAAGTCGAGACACCTCAACACAACAAATACAACGGCCTAGGCCAAGAAGGCATCGTATCCGCCGTCGCAATCTTACGGGGCGGTTCATGCCTCGAAACAGCTCTCAAGCGGACAATCCCTGATTGCATCACGGGCCGCGTGCTCATCCAAACGAACGAGCGCAACGAAGAGCCCGAGTTACATTACCTCAAACTACCTCCCGGCATTGAGCAGCACTCTACCGTCATGCTCCTTGACCCGCAAATGTCCAGCGGAGGGGCCGCTCTTATGGCGGTCCGTGTCTTGATTGACCACGGTGTTGTAGAGGAGAGGATTGTCTTTGTAACCTGTGCCGCTGGTAGATCCGGTCTCCAGAGACTTGCTGCTGTATATCCCCGGACCAAAATTATCGTCGGAAGGATTGAGGAGGAGAGGGAGCCGAGATGGATGGAGACCAGGTATCTTGGATGCTGAAGATATACATAGACTGGGAAATGATATGGACATATATGCGTTTGATTTACTAGCCCTTTTAGTGCAAATACTATCAAGACTGTTACCATTACTTTGAGATCAGGTGCTTGTAATGTTAGGAACGATCGAAGGACCGTTTGATGACCTCCCCAAGAACCTCATCTCTCGACTTGAACCTCTTCGTTCAAGCAAGCATCCTTTATAGTCATTTCTTCAGACGCCATTCATGCTCGAATTCTTCAGGAACTCTGTATAGTACTTCAGAGCGGAATGCACGGACCACCTCCGAGTCCGCAGAATCTGTGGTTCCGCCGCCCGCCATAAAATTATCGAGCTTCAAACTTTTTCCTCTCAGCACGTCGACAACCGGCACATATCCAAACGATCCTGTCTGGTTTCTTCTCTGGTCTAACAATCTCTCATTCCATCACTGTAAAGTCTTTGAAACCGCCCCATTGGCGCACACCCACAATGTCAGACCGAAAGAAAAGCAAGAAAAGCGGAGGAGGTAGACGGGATGCTCCAGTCATCAGTATGTCTCCCTATTTCATTCATGTCTCCATGCCGCACAGCAGTGGAAGGTGTAGAAAACTAATGTCGCTCGCGACAATATAGCCGACCCCCGTTTCGCAAACATCCAAACAGACCCTCGCTACCGCCTCCCTAGCAAACGACACACGCACACGAAACTCGATAAACGGTTCGCGCACATCTTACACGATAAAGAATTCTCCCGAAACGCCGCTGTTGATCGGTACGGACGGAAGCTCGCGCGCGATGACACGAAGAAGCACCTGGAGCGGTTCTATCGACTAGAGAGTGAGGATGAAGAAGGGGAGGACGAGGTCGCGGACAATGTTAGTGTTGACGACGACGATGAGGTGCTCAAGGAACTGAAGAAGGCCGATAGTCGGGCGGCTGGGTATGATCCTGCGCGCGACGGGGGCTACTCCGAGTCGTCGTCTGAGGAGGAGTCGGATGAAGAGGACGAGGAGGAGGCAGAGGATGCTGGGGGCGAGGAGTTGGAGTTTCCGGATAAACAGGCGGCTGATGTGCCTGTGGGCGAAGTGACGGATCGGATTGCTGTCGTGAATCTCGACTGGGATAATATCCGAGCGGAGGATTTGATGGCAGTGTTTTCGAGCTTTACTCCGACTGGCGGGAAAGTCCTAAAGGTTGCCGTCTACCCGAGTGAGTTTGGAAAAGAAAGGATGGAGAAGGAGGAGACAGAGGGACCGCCGAAAGAGATTTTCGCTACGAAGGAAGCTGAGGAAGATGATTCTGACTCTGATGAGGAGCAGGATGAGGAAGTTGACTCCGACGAGGAAGAGGAAAAGATCAAAAAGTCAATTTTGAAAGAAGACAAGGGCGAGGAGTTCAACTCGACACAACTCCGCAAGTATCAGTTGGAACGGTTACGCTACTTTTACGCTATCTTGACGTTCTCCTCGAAAACTGTCGCGAAGCATGTTTACGACAATGTTGACGGCGCAGAGTACCTGACCAGCGCGAATTTCTTCGACCTACGATTTGTGCCCGAAGAGACGGACTTCTCTGACGACAGACCACGAGACGAATGTGAGCGGATTCCCGACGGATATCAACCAAACGACTTCGTGACCGACGCCCTCCAGCACAGCAAGGTCAAATTAACTTGGGATATGGATGACAAGTCGCGCAAGGAGGCTCAGGCTCGTGCCTTCCGGGGCAGTCGGAAAGAAATCGATGAGAATGACCTCAAGGCCTATCTTGCTAGTGATAGTTCCGACGACGAAGAGGAGGAAGGCGGTGTTGAGATTGTTGATGCTACAAAGGAAGAGGGATCGAAACTGTCACAAAAAGAGCAGGAGAGGCAACGCATGCGGGCGCTCCTCGGATTGAGCGCACAGCCGGCGTCGTCCACCAAGTCAGATGGCCCTGTTGGTGAGATGGAAGTTACCTTCACTTCGGGTCTGGCTGGTGGTCCCAACCGCGACAGCATCTTCGAGAATGAGCCTGAAGAGACCACTGTTGAGAAATACCTACGCAAAGAGCGTGAGAGGAAGAAGCGACGAAAGGATAAGCTCAAGGGCAAGGCAGATGGAGAGGAGACTGAACAAAAGGACAGTGCTGAAGGTGCACAAGAGCCACAGGAGGAAGATTTGGGCTTTAATGATCCATTCTTTGATGATCCTTCTGGCAAGGCAACCGCCGCCGCCCGGCGCAAGGAGGAGAAACGCAAGAAGCGCGAGGAACGTGAAGCAGAGGAAGCAGCCGCCGCAGCTAAGCGGGCCGAGTTGGAATTACTCATGATGGACGACGATGATGCTAAATCCGGGGTGAGGCATTTCAATATGAATGAAATTTCAAAAGCAGAAAAGCAGGCCCGCAAGAAGAAGGGCAAACGCGGGGGCAAGGATCAGCCTGCTCAGGAAATTACCGACAACTTTGAAATAGATGTCAAGGATCCACGATTCTCTCGCCTCTTTCAGAACCACGAATTCGCAATCGATCCCACCAATCCCAAGTTCAAGGCAACCGCTGGTATGAAAGCATTGCTGGAGGAAGGCCGAAAGCGCCGCCGAGACCGGGATGATCGCGAAGACCAGGAGGAGGATCAGACCCGCGATTCGAAGAAGCAGAAACAGCGGTCTAAGAAGGCGTCCACGGAAAATGATACAGACGAGTTGAAGAAATTGGTGGAAAAAGTGAAGCGAAAGTCACGAAAGGCATGATACGACACCCAGTACATAGGCTTGTTCATTTTGTATTTCTAAGATTTCTCAGCGTCTATCAAAAGAACACTAGGTGCATATACCATCCATCCACATGTTTCACAAGCAGGATTTATTTAGCCAGATTTGAGAGACAACGTATATCTACCACATAGCGGCTCGAGCTATTCTTTCTCGTGTCCGAGCTCGAGATTTACTTCTCCCTTACCTTCGCCCTACTTCACCACTACCAGCCAGCGCATCAACCGCTCGGGCGCAACGCCAATATATGACACAATGCCCGTATGGCTTTGAAATAGCATTGTCCATCCCGGCAGCTGTCTGCTATGCCGCATCCATGTCCGCCCATGCAGAAAGGATTGGCTGTGTAACGCACCTGGTCATTTGCATCTGATCTGACACAGACAAAAGGGCCTCGCCCTGCCAATCGGCGTCTTAAGAACCATGTAAATGGATGGTGAGAAAGCTGAATGCTTGTCATGAGGCTGCCCTGATCGTTCTTTGATAGAGAGGCCGAAGTGGGATACCCTCACCGCCCTTTCGGCTTCTGTTCGAAGGGCCCCAACCACCACTTTCCCCTTCCAATAATCCCCATCCCCCCTCTGCCTCCACCACCTTCTTCTCCCCTCCCCGCCTCGTGTCTACTTATCGCCCATCTCCCGGTTTGGTGGTGGCCTTCAATTCCTCTCTCCTACCGTCATCTCGCGCCCTATCCACACTCTTCGTTCGTGATCTTTATCCGAGCGACGTCGGGACTACATCCGATACAGATCCCCTCCCCTTCGGGTCGACGGATCACCCAAGCATGGTCCTCCTCCAGCGGATCGAGTGATGGGGAACTACAGTTCAGTTTAGTCTGACTGTCGGAAATCTGGGTTTTGATTCTGTTGGGCCTCTAATATATTTCATTTGAGCTTGCTGTCCGCTTTACTTTCTGTTTGACTTGAACCGGAACTGATCGTTCCGGGTTGGACCTCGATTTTGCGTTATTGCCCATTGTTATCGATTCGTCTCTCTTTAATCACCTTCGCCGGTCCTAGAGCTGCCCGAAGTGCTGTCAGAATGCTCGGCCGACTCCTGAACACCGCAGCTACGACATTGAACCCGTCGGCATATTCCAACAAACCAACCACACAACTGGATTCAGTTACCGAAGAGGAACATACGTCCGGCCTTTTATTTCCTGATGTCAACCAACTACGACGCTCAAACACGAATAACTTTCCTCTCCAAACCGCCTTTAGTTCTCCCAATGCTTCCGCAGCTGGTGCCTACGATGACCGGGGCGGAGTGGAGTTGGACCCCCTCAAGGATTTTCGAGTTATAATCGCCCAAAATTCTCTTGGTGACAGAGAGCCATGCATTCTACTCGATACTCGCGCTGATACATCAGAACCAACATCTCCTGGACTTGGACTGGATCCTCAGGTTCTCAAAAACTCTGGCCCTAGACATCATGCTCGTACCGTCTCAACCGTTTCATCCCTCTCCCGAGGACGACGTGGTCTTGTGTCTCAGTCGTCAATGATAGACCAGAGTCCGCTTTCAATGGCAGCGGAAGCGCGCAGGACGTCACCAGTAACTTCAAGTGCTTTCACTCGTGCTCGCGGCCGTAGTTCCACATTGGCCCAAGCTGGGGGACTTCAAGAGCCTGCGCATTCCCGCCACAGCCCATCCGATATGAACGATGCCGGATTGTTGAACTGCATCTTCGGCAGCAGTGCATTCAGCTATCGAGGTTCCTCTACGAAGATGCATATCATTTCTGCAGATGATGAAACTGGAGTGACAGCAGGTGCATCACCTGCGACCCGCAATTCGTTTATTCGCTCGTACACCGCTGGGAGTCCCTCCGGATTTGCCAGCAATAATGGCCGTGCCGATTACAAACCTCGGTCAAAAGTCACCATTCTCTTGACGAGAATGTTCAGTGTCAATTTACCCGAGGCGGGTGAGATATCTTCCGAGGGACCAGACTTCGCGGCGTCATTCCACCAAGAGTCACTTCCTGAGATTGGATTCCCTTTTCCTGATGTTAGCAAGCGCAAAAAGGTCAAGGAGAAGAAAACTCCAATGTACGCAGTCGCCATTGCAATCCAGATCCCGGTCCTATCCCGCAACGCCGCACGACCAGGATCGCGCTTCAGTACTCCCGGCCAGGACTCTCCCAGGCCAGGGTTGGCATGCTCCTTGGACTCTGATTATCGATGGCGAGGAGGATTCCTTGATGACACACTTGCATCTGCGCCTCCTAGCTTGGACGAGCGGATTGACATGTTGGTGGACCATTGGGACGTTGTCAACCGCACACTCTCTCACCTCGAGAGACTATCACGAAGCGAGATTCTCTTCCTGTTGAAGCGAGTAGACTCTGCCGGGATGCACCCAAAACCCGCCAAGCCTCCGAATATGCAACGGACCAATCAGACGTTCCTTCACCTGCCGGCGAATGTCTTGGCAATAAACTCGAAGCTGATGGGTGAGGCTGTCCGGAGTGCTCGTCGTATTAGTACTGCACTCCAGATACCAAATGTTGTTACGGGCCAAAGCCGCTGGGGTGTGTGGCGCGAGGAGGGTCGTTCTATCGTGCGCAGCCTTGGTGATAAGGACCACAGCTTTTTCTTTCTCGTCCTAATTACCGCCTTTCTGGGGAATCATACCGAGTGGCTGAACGCTTTGGGACCCGATTGGTACAGACGTCGACACTATTTGCAGCAAAAAGCCCAACAGGATGCCGAGCCGGCGCTTCCTTACAGAACAGTGATTGTTTGTCCCGACAAGATGACTGCCAGGCGCCTCATCTTCCTGCTTTCGGCATTTCTCCCACCCAAGCAGCGCCTCGAACCGCTCCCATCACCGCTCAGACCAGGTACCGCTGCTTCCACCCGTGCTGTCTCGCAGAGCCCGCCCAGCATACCTGTCCTGCGTTCAGAGCCCCTTCGTAAAGCCATCGAACGGCGTTCTCGTGCTCAACGGTTGAACATGACTGATCGAGATCAACATCACCGATCTGTTAGTGCTTCATCCAATGAGACAGCCCACCGGTCCACGGATGATGCTGAATCTACTGACGTCATACATCGCCGAGGTTCAGATGCTCGCTCCATTCGGACCGTCGGAATACCAATGCACGCAAGGGATGCACGTAGTAACAATATTAGCACCCCTACAACATCAACCGCCAATCCTTCAAGTGCAGTTCCTGTGCCCCATTTTGCTTCACAAGGACGGCTTGAAAGAGAGGGCTCTGATCAAGATCTTGGTGAAGACAGTTTGGCTTCCGAGACGCTATTGAAGAACTTGCAAAGAAGTGAGAGCTCAGCTACTAGCGTCAATAGCAGTGTGCCCTCTGCGGGAGGCCGATGGGGCAGTCTCTTCAGTGGGCTCTGGAGCTCTCGCCAAGAGTCGTCCGACAAAGGCGGTGCTGGGTTTTCGAAAGAGCCCCGCCATCGCTCGGCCTCTGTGTATACCATGCCGGCCAAAAGAAATCCTCCAACCCTCAGCCAAATGGTTGAAGAGGTTTCGGAAGAACCTACTCATATTGCCACAAGTGCCAATATCTCTATCCCCCACTCTTCGAATTCTCAGCGAAAATTCGAAGATGGCCCTCAAGATCTCTCATCAACAACAGACAACACCAAGGAGACTTTGTTGAAACTGTCCGTGCGGGAAGACGATGGGATTGTGGATGTAGAGCTACCTCTTCCTGGGTTCGTCTCGCTTTCTTCTTCCGGTGACTCCACTATGGCATCGCCAAAAAAGACGCGAACGTCCGTGACAAGCGTCGATGCGCTTGCATCCACGCACAGCAGCGGCTCAGGCCTCCACCATCACCAGGCAAAAGACAATGATGGGCCGAATATCAACGTCGCTGGTTGGTTGAAAAACTTTCACGACGATTACTTGCTCCAGGGTGTACGGCCCTATTCCAACTTAGAAGCTGATGTCAAGCGTGCGATGCAGTCCGAGCCTACTCCGAACAATGCTGCAGCATTGGACACTGACGGATCTGAAAAATGGGTGGATGTTGCCACAACTTTGATTGCAGATGTGCGGACCTTTTCAGTCAAGCGCCTGCGTCTTCGACGTCGGATTACTGGCGGGAATTCCCTGAAATCTCCTACATCGCCGCCTAGCCTGTCTAACCCGGGTACTCCTCGTCACTTTTCTGGCGGTTCTATATCTACCTCGCAGATCAGTGGCTACTTTTCTTCTGCCATGAGTTCGGCCAAATCCTTTCCTAGAATACGCGCAGAGGGGCTCCATTTCGGGGAGGTGGAGGAGAAATTCACAGAGGAACCTGTTATGGACTTGGACGGAACTCTTGTTGATGCTCTGGAGCGTGTACTTGCCCAGAGCGGACCGTCATCGTTGGCGCCTACCCGCGCCCCTTCGCCGACTCGGTCTCGCAAGGAGAATGATAGGGCTGCCGACACCATGACTATGCGGGATGACATCCCTACCGTTGAAGCTCCTCGTGCCGAGTGTCGTCGGCTAGTTCTAGGTGCATTAGAAGAGGTAGTCCGCAGCGTGGCAGCCGAACATTGCCGCGAGGATGACGGAGAGCTCAATCTAGCGGATAGAGAGCGCAAGCGGTTGTTGACGGGAGCGGATAATACGTTAAGAGAAGGTGTTCGCAAATGGCTTCTGGATGTTGAGGAAGCCTGGTAGGCTCTCAACTCCTATATCTTGATGACGGCCTGTACTTTTTTTTTTTCCAACCGTCACATTTATTTGTTTTAATTCCCAGCCGTGGCGTGGCGCATGGCTTGCTTTGACGACGATCAATGATTTTCCGATTTGTTAGTCGCGCCATTCTGCTTGCGGTGTTTTCTCTTTTGTCTTTCTTGCTTGTCTTGATTATCATGATACCCATGTGTTGAGTCATTCTGGTGGATAGCTTTTGCATGATACATAATGCGATAACGGCCTTTTACCACGCAGTATACAGCATTGATGAATAGTGCCTTTTCGGCAGTAGACCTCTCGATCTAATGGCCAACCCAGTTAACCTTGACCTTTGTATCCTCGCCATCAACAGTAGCGATCACATCTCCCTCACCAAGCTTAACAGTAACTACCTTGAGAACCTCGTGCGTCTTCGCCGGATCGACAACCTCAATAGCTACCTCCCCACTCAACCTTCCATTCACCAGAACCTCCAATCCATCCAACGCATCGCCCTCGGGGGCAACCAACTTCGGGTTCAGAGGCGTCACACTCCCCGGCCGCACCAAAATCGGCAGCGTTTCAAACCCATGCGTCTCCGTATACCACTGTCCACCCTCGTAGCTCTTCGCATGATCAAACCAGCTAACCCACTTCCCGTCCCCGCGCTCCTCCTCCTCCGTCCGCGGAACATAGAACGTCACGACACCCTCATCGGAGAACACAGGCGCAACGAGCAGATTCCCACCAAACATGTACTGTGTGTCAATCGAGTACGTGTTGAGATCATTGGGGAATTCTAGGAACATGGCGCGCATGAGCGGGACGCCCTCCCTGGATCCGGTTAGGGCTGCAGCAAGGAGATACGGCGTGAGGGCAATCTTCCGCTTCACGCAGTCCCGCAGAACATCCGAGCAGTCTTCGCCGTAGATCCAGGGGACACGGAAGGACGAGGAGCCATGGAGGCGCGAGTGCGAGCTCAGCAAGCCAAATTGCACCCAGCGCTTGTACAGTGCGGGTGGCGGCGTTCCCTCGAACCCACCAATGTCGCTTGCCCAGAAGATGTACCCCGCGAGGGACAGGCTCAGTCCGCCGCGCAGGGACTCGGCCATGGCCTCGTATGTGGATTCGCAGTCGCCTCCCCAGTGGACGGGGTACTTTTGTCCGCCGACAGAGGTCGAGCGGGCGAAGAGGAGGGAATTGGACTCCCCGGAGACGGAAGTCATGGTTTCGTAGACGATTTTGTTGTAGAGGAGTGCGTAGTAGTTGTGCATGCGGACCGGGTCGGAGCCGTCGTGGTAGGCTACGCCGTTGACGGGGATGCGCTCGGCGAAGTCGGTTTTGAACGTGTCGATTCCCATGTCCATGAGGCGGGTCAGGTGCTCGCTGTACCAAGTGGCGGCCGCCGGGTTTGTAAAGTCGATTACGGCCATGCCGGCTTGCCAGAGGTCCCATTGCCAGACGGAGCCGTCGGTTCGCTACGCATTGTTGATTAGCGGAGGCATAAAACACAGAGCTGGAGGGTGGACAAACCTTGATGAAGTAACCATTCTTCTTTCCAACCTCAAACAGTGGGGATGCCTGTCCGACATAGGGGTTAATCCAGATACTCAGTTTGAGTCCTCGCTCCTTTAACCGCTTGAGGTAGCCCTCTGCATCGGGAAACATCTCCGAGTCGAACTCAAAGTCGCACCATTGGTAGGACTTCATCCAAAAGCAATCAAAGTGGAAGACGCCTAGTGGGAGGTCGCGGTCTCGAAAGCCGTCCAGGAAGCCGGTTACGGTCTCTTCAGAGTAGTTTGTTGTGAAGCCTGGCGCACACGAGTTTAGTATGACTGGATAATGGACAGACAGGAGTTGGATAGGGGCAATTACTCGTAGTAAGCCACAGGTTATAACTCCACGAAGGGACCAGACTCGGCGTCCCCGTGAGAGCCGTATACCTCTTCAGAATTTCCTTTGGTGTAGCACCCCTTATAACGAAATATTCCAGCTCCTCCCCCGGAATCGAGATGTTCACTCTCGTCGTCCGCTCAGACTGTAACTCCAAGCTCACTTTCCCAGGGTTGTTGACAAAAACACCATACCCCGCGGAACTGATATAGAACGGGATATTCTTATACGCGAGCTCCGACGACGTCCCTCCATCCTCGTTCCAGATATCAACGCTCTGCCCATTCTTCACAAAGGGACCGAATCGTTCACCAAGGCCGTATAATTTCTCGCCGACGCCCAGGTCGAGCTCCGCAAGCATGTAGCCTTGCCGCTCGAAGAAGATGCCATCCTTGAAGCGGGATTTCTCGGTTGTTTGGTCTCCAACGTATCCAATTGAGCGCCATGAGTGGCCTGTGAGTTTCTTCTTCTTGTCGTCGGAGAAAACGAAGCCAAGTTCGTTGGGAGACGTGTTGATGTCGAGGTTGAGGGGGCCGCTGGCGTAATGGAGGTTCTTGCCCTTGTCGTGCATGATCTTCGCGTGGCCTGAAGAAGTAGTAAGTTCGTAGTGTGGGCCGTTGTCGACGCCGCCGGCCCTGAATAATATGAGTGATTGTCTGTATATCATTGCTGGAGAGTCGGAACGAGTACTCACCAATGCACAAGCTTGACACCAATAATGCCCTCTAACGGCGAAGTGACGCGCGCAGAGACCGTAGCTGCCAGTAGAGACGTGTTAGAAACCCTGACGTTCCTCCCGATCCTCTATTCGGAGAACTCACGAGAATTCAGTGTATCTCCACGATGTCTCTGGACCTTGTTCAACAAGAGGTTAACCGTCTCCTTCTTGTCGTTAACGTCCAATCGCTCGACATTGGTCATCCAGTCAATCCGAATGCCCTCCTGTCCAGTGCACCTCACAGTTAGCTTCTCTCACCGTCCAACCCAGATTCTGGAAACAAGCTGGTATAGCTGTTTAGAGTAGAATAACCATACCCGAAGGAGCCACATTCCCTCCGTAAACTTCATTGTGAATTCGCAGAAGACTTAATTCGATCTGCGAGAAAGGTAAAGGATACGGTGCATTTCTTGAACAATCCAAGACAAGACTGAACGCGGGCCAGGAGGATATACCCATTGCATCGCAAACACCCGACCGTACCCTTCTCAATTCGCAAAGGAGCGCGCTCCGTCTTGCATGATGGAATGGAATTCATGATCCGCCCCACTGCAACGTAGCTGGGCCGATTGTTGACAAGGCGGGGCAACAGCTCGCTGCTCCGGGTTGGTGAGGGGTAGATTGACTTGATGAGAGTCGCCGGCCCCGTCGGGGAAGGTCCTTGAACTAGTCTTACCGAGCAGGACCAATTTGATTGAAGCAAATTATCCATGTCGGGTATATCCACGAATCAGGGGCTCGGATTGCTCAAGTCAGGATGCGCCATGTTTCGGCAGTTGGAGGAGGGGAATGAGGAGGCACCTGGGAAGCGAGCTAGCTATTTTGCCTAAATTGGAGTCGGGATGATTTCCTCTGGGATTTGGAAGTTTGCTCGGGTAAAGAGACCGTTTAGCTTATGTCACATGTCTTTGCTGATTATATATGAGATACGGAAGTATACACTGCCAAAATGCCAAATAAATTGGTTTATACTCGACGTCATGCCCCGCTCAAATTCAACGGCCTCAACCCTCCACTCCTCGGACTCCCCTTTGTGATTGTACTCTCATCCCGCTGGCGACTTCTCAGATCAATCAGCGGCAGATTCCCAGCGCCCGTTGATGGCCTCGACGGTGTCCCCGGTGGCGGTGAGATGTGATGCCCAATAACCGGCGCCGGCAACTCGAGACTCGGAATCGCCGAGTCTATAAACGACGCTGTGGTGGGCGCCGCCTTGGCCGAGGCCGGATACACGAAGCTCTCGCTGTACAGCTGACCGAGACGGATGGGGTCGTTACAAAACTCCTCGAACCCGCTTAGGATATGCTCGGGGGCCCGGTAGAGGTTGGCGGAGTCGAAGCTCGATTGTGTCTGTGGGCTTAGGCTGACTGACCCGGTGATTTCGCTGAATGGGCGGACGAGGGGGGAGAGGCGTGGGGAGAGGCGATCGATGGGGTCGTAAGTGCCTGCGCGTGCGCGGTATTGATCTGGTCGGTCGAGGCGTTCGTGGCGGGGGATGTCGCGGCTTGATGCTACACTGCGTGTACTGACCAGCCTGTTTGCGAGGACGAGGAATTCACCATCGTCGGTTATCTGGACAAGGAGGCTGCCGGATTGGTGGATGTATTGAGGGTATCTATAGTCCGGTCTTCCCCAAGAGTAGCACACTTCGACATCAGGAGGAAAGGCAGATCGAGCCTCAAGGTCAAGTACAAAGTCAAACTTTTGTAGAATGACCTTTTGAAAGTAATGCGGGTCTGGCGCGTCTTGCTGATTGAAGGAAGCCGCAGTGAATACTGTGGACCTTGGACCCTTGGGTGGAGGAACCTTGAGCTTGACCCTATAAGGCTTTCGGAATGGCTGTGTCTGGTCGATGGCGCTGGCTTCGGCAATGGGCACTTGCACGAGCTTGAGGCCGAACTTTTCGGCTGTTGCAGCCCACGACTGAACCGTATCCTCGATTAGCTTAGGAGTAGTGTTCATCCAGCTAAGCTCGATATGGAAGCAGTTGGCAGGGTTATGTAGCCGGTCATAGTGTAGATCAATAACCTCCGGCCGGTTCGAGCGCCTGCGCGGGTCGATGTCGTACTTTAGAGTTTTGGATAGCATGACTGTGGCTTTACTCTTTGATCTCAGAGGCGTGCTCGGCGTTTGGGGAACACTCTGCTCAAGACTGGTTGATCGCGAGTGCGAGCTCATGGGCGAATCCTTTCGCCCTTCTCCAATTGCTGGGGTAGATGGAATCGACTTGTCTGGTCGAATCTGGAACCAGCTATTTCGCGATTCCGGACGAGCCACGCGGTACTCGGACGAGATCTGATAAAAGTAGTTGCCATCCTTGAACTTGTGCCGTCCCTCGACGTGCTGGAAGAGACCTTCTGCTTCCAGCTGCTTACCATAGCTGACGGCCTCGTCCCGGTTGTCGATATCTCGGAAGTTCTGAACGAGCCACGTCGTGAATTCAAAACCGATAAAGCAGTTATAATGGAGTCTCAGGTGCCATCTGCGATCCATCATCCGCACTCCCTTCTCGCCCTGGACAAGCTGAGCCAGCGAGGACAGACTAATATTCCGATCCGGCAGCTCTGACTCTGGCAATAGCTGTGCTGTAGAGCCGTCCTGCCCGGGATCTGATAGGAGAGTGCCCAGCTCAGCCGCAACAACTTCTGAAGGGTTTCTTGTTTGGTACATGATATTCAACGGATTGTGATCTCTCTTCTTGTTCGATGACTCGACTCTCTTCTCATCCTGGGGCACGTACTTGTGCCGCTGCCAGATATGTGTGAGTTGGTTGATACCAAGCAAGTGAATTTCTTCTTCGTTGTCCTCGTTTGGGTTCTGCATGTGTCTCTTTGTGCTCGGATGCATGCGCATTGGGATGAGGACGTATCGGACACGCCAAAAGTGAAGCTGCTGCGCCGGGTTGATGAGGTAGTCGCGGTGACCAGCAATATAGTTATCAGCATAGTTCCAATTGTACTCCTCTGTTACCGGGCGCATCTTTATATGCTTTACTTCGTACTCTAGACTTAGAATTGTCCGCATCGCAGGTGAGTAAACAGAGTCCAAGCCGCTCCTCTTCTCAGGTGCCAAGTCCGATAGGCTTCGGTGCGAGAATCGAGTCACCTCGATTTCGCTACCTCCGGTACAAATGAGGCGATGGATAGAGTGCCCCTTGGAAAGAAAAACGGTTGCGCCATTTTTCTCGAGGCTCTGCGTATCAAAGACATTTGGTGTCTTGAGTGTGTATCGCCCGGAAGCTTCGTCCACATTCTTTCCCACGACAATCTGAAACCCGTGAGAGAGACGGAGGGAAATCATATCCCGTAACAGTAGTCCGATAGTCTTTGGCGCCTCGATGCCCTCTGCATCTTCATTGGGAAAGACTCGGTACGGAGTCTGCAGGTAATCTGATGCTAGCTCGCTTGCTGTAGGGAATTCTTCCGTAGTTAACGGCAAGATAGCGGGAGATTTCAAGCTCTTCCACTTGACGACCGCGACATGTGGCGGTCTTGGATAGGCATGCTGCCATCGTCCAAACCAGCTGGTATCTCGCGAGGCCTCTCTAGGCGTGTTGCAAGGGTTGACGGATCGAACCCATGGTGCAAGAAGTCTACTCTGGTTATTTTTCGCTAAAGGCTCCCGTAGCCCGGAATTCAGTGTCATTTCGAACTTGGGGGTCGATTTCTTAGCCTGGTGCTCAGGTCCGACAACATTACTTTTATGCGGAACTTCTGTAGCACTAGTCGAGTACGATCCTGTGACCACAGAGCGTGCTGGTTGGTCCGAGTCCTCGGCTGGCGTTTTGGTTGGTACCTTTATCGATATCGGCCGCGAAGGTGTTATGGTCGGGCTTCTGCGCTGCTTTGGGGGTGTGCTCGGAGCGGGCGAAGCCTCAACAACCGTGACAGTCGAGGCCGAATCAGAGGCACTTAGCGACTCGACACTTTTGGATTCTTTGAGAGTCCCCGCCGACTTCTTCCTGCTATTTGGCGCTGGCGTGGCAGTAGCGTGTTCCGCATTGACCTCTGTGCTCGCCAGAGCCCTAGGCGGAGCAACTCCCAGCCCTCGCAGGGCAAAACTGATTGTCCGCGAAATTCGCGGCACTTTTGAAGTGGAAGCAGAAGCTGTCTTGAGAGCAGGCTTTCTCGGCGAATGGTCCTTTTTGAGCACCGGGTCTTTGGGCGCCTTTTCAATCTTTCGCCGCCATTCTTCCGGGTTCACTTCATGTTCCCGTAGATGCGTTATTGACCTCGCGGAGATGCGCTCGTGCGTGCCAGAGGCCTGAACCTCTGGCTCGCTCGGCCGCTTTTGCCTCGTCTGTTTGCGTCGGTGGTTACGACCAGAGAGCGGACGAAATACCTGATCGTCGTAGTTGTCCATCCAAGCGACTGTCGAGGATGCCTTGTGCGATTTGGAAACTATCAATTCTTTCGGGTTCGTCATGTTTTGGAGAAAAGACTCGGGTCGGAGACTATCGCTCAATTGGTGTCTGAACGGAGAGCCTCGCTTGAATGAGGACCTGGAAGGGTGGATGTTGGACGGTGCCAAGGATCGAGATGTACTCTGACCCTCTGTAAGATAAGGGATAGAGATGTTTGACTGCTCGCTTTCCATGACACCTCCCATCTGGATTTCATACATGCGCACACGTGGAACAAAAGTTTTTGACCGCTTAGTTACAGTAAACGGGATGGGAGCATTCGGGTCCTTTTTGAGAATTCTTCGGGACTCTCTGTAGGTATCAGGATTCCAGTACGAGATATCAAGCCAATGCGGGATACCGTAACTCCAATCGTGTGGACGGGTCCATGGGCCGCGTGGGCCGCTTCCTGGGGGCGTGCTTGAGATGGTGGACCTTGGTGACGGATGGCTGATACGGTTGGACAAACTTGCAAAGGAGTGACGCATCTCTGGAGAATAGCCACCGCCCTGGATGTCGCCATACGTAGAACTGGACTGTCTTCTAGCCGGTTCCCTATACTTGAACAACGGCACGGAATGAAGTGGCATCGGGCTCAAACAAACTAAATCTATAGCGATGCCGCGGTTCGTAAGTGCTTCGGTGGTGGAAGCTAGAGACTCATGCGATACTTCAAAGACACCACTACCAGGAGTGATGACAATGATAGACGTTCCTGTATGAACCATGTCGCGGTCGATATGGTCAAAAGCCAGATGGGAGGAAGCCAAATGAATGGCTTCGAGTATATTGCCACGAAGAGCGGTGCTCGGCCGCCCTGCAATGGTGGCGCTTGGAGCCGATCTTGCTCCGCTGAGAGAAGGAATAACAGGGTCTCCTGGTGTTTTCAAAACAGAGACATCTCTCAAGAACGTTCTAAAATCCTTCTTGAGCTCATCAAGAATGGTCGTCCAATGGCCGCTGGCCATGTCATTGACCACAACCCGATAAAAATCCCGAGTAGGAGCATTATTAGGACTGAGTGCATTCTTCAGATTCTCCGCGCTCAGCACAGACGGAAGCCCAGGAGCAGATGCATCGTACTCGACACGGGTAAATAGCACGATTGTGACTAGGTGTCTTGCATCTGCATTCGCCCAGCGTTTAAAGAGCTCAGGCAGAAATCCATTGATGACCCTGCTGAAGAGGATATCCCCAGTTCCCTCGGAGTCGAAATCCCACATCTCCCTAGACATTTGGATAAACAACACATACTTTGCCGACTCGCTCCGGAAAACAGGTATAGTCTGCGGCGAGAAGAAGCCGGAGAGGACTTTCTTCCCTCGAATAAAGATATTCTTCACAGTTGCCTTGATATGCCCCATAAAGGTAATCTTCTGCCCCTTGTAGATAATCTTCCCAGCCAGCTCCGACATGACCAAGCGCCACATGTCTGAGCGCACTAGAAACTGGTCCCGAAAGGAGATATCCACATGCGACGCGGAGCATTGCGCCCGATCGACAATAGAAATATACACGGTCGTCCGGTTATTGAAACCAAAGATGTTCGCGACACTGCTTGTAACCGAAAGCTCCAGCTTGGGATGCCGTGTCTTGAGTTCGGCCGGAAGTGGCCTCGCGACAAACAGACACCGCGTCTGCAGCGGTGTCTTGAACTTGGACATCGCATGGGACCGCGATTTCTTCGAGCCAGGGCCGCCGGGCTCTACATGCTCATCGAACCCCGATCGCGAACCTAATTCTGAATTGGTTGAATCACCTAGAGACCGTGCCGACAAGATCTCGATGACATCGCCATCACGCACGCCCGTATCGGCGAACGCAGCCTGGTTGAAGAGGATCTCTTCTTTAGAAAACACATCGGTGTGCACCCAGAGAGAACATCGTCGCCGATCTAGACCGGTCGAGGATGGTCCAAATGTCCGCCCCCCGTCAGAGCTGGACGGGTTGTCGCTGAGGGTCGCCTCATGCTGGGATGCGTCGATGGAGCGGGTGGAGGTGGAGACTGTGTCCAGACTCGCTGCGCTGACCTGTCTGAGGTGCGAGCGTCTCATAGGGCCCCGCATAGACATGCTTCAGCTTCCATTAATGGTGCATTGTCCTCCGAATTCTGGCGGTCGCACAGGGATTGAACCAATGGTGACAATCGGAACATTTTGAGGTCTCATCGTTGTAGCTCTTATCGAGGATGGTTGGTATCGATAGCCATCACGTGCTATTAACACCTGAGGCATAAAGTAGCCATGTGACTAGCTAGTAGGACAACTTGATGATTGGTGGATCATACTTCCTCGATCATGGTCTGTTCTGGTTGAGCATTGACGGCTCCTGGCGAGCATTATGCCAGATGTTCTAATATTGTATACATGCTCTACTAGTTGTCAGTAATAGTAGCACACAAATTATTCGCTTGAAGAGCTGTGGTCCATGTCAAGAGATACCCAGAGCTTTCTACTCGAGGATATGACAGATCATAATCTTGTCAAACTTCACAATAAAAGGGTTGAATAAAGCTAACTTTCTTTCAAGCCGAGGCGTTCAATGCAGAGCTGGTCTATGCTATTATTGCTAGATAAGTTAGGACGGAGCATCATACAGCAGTCAGCATATGACTCCTTCCTGCACAAAGACGAAATATGAGTCGAAAGAAATGCCCACTTTAACCTACGGAGCCCGTCACTCGAATCCAGCCTGGCAACCAGGGTACCACGTCGCCGTCCTACCTACCTTTGTCTAGAAGATCATTCCTTGGCATTCTACCTGTTGGATGCGTGGGTGTGGTTTCCTATCAGATACCTGGAGTGCTTCCAGATTGTCGATAATAGGAATCGGACAAAGCTCCGAAGAATCGGAAGCTGGCGCTTGAAGCCGCCTCGTTGCCTCTTGTTGCCCAACAATAATACGCCCATTACCCTTCTCTGCGCCTTGCTACCTTGTTCCTCGCTACCAAAACGAATGATATGACAGTGAGATGCCGACCATGCTGCAACCAGGGCGTCGCAATTGCCAAAGCTTGGTATAATCGCCGACCATGCAATTAACATTGGCCATGGTGCTTTTTCAGTCAGCCTTTGGTCAGGCGGGTAATTTCGCTTCCGCAAGGCTCCTCTGACAAATGACCGCTTTGGAATAGAAGAGGACTTTCGCGGTTGCGAGGGTCAAGGATACAAAAATGTGGAGTCATCTCGCCATTATGGAGGCTTTTCTTGTTTGACTGAAACCCAGGAGTCTAGGTGCCCACTGCTGACCAGAAATGACCTGCCATCCTGATTCTTGAGCTCAGGTTAGGAGCCCTCCGGAAGTAAGTGCCAGCGAATGATCATTAGGTATGTCAGTCGTTCTCGACCCACTTTTGGTCTCGTGCATTTTATGACGGTGTAGATATGCCAGATGTGCTTATTCCCAGGGGTTAAGCATTAGTTAATTAGCTCCGATACATAAGCTGTATGATACGCGCGATCTCTAAGCGATCTGCCGCATAGGCCGGAAAAGCCCTCAAGTACCGGCACAAAGCGCCATGCTTGTCAAGTAGCCGGTCAATAATAGGTGTTAACCGCGATGTAAGCAGTAGCTTAGCGTGGAATCTGATGCCGTTCGTGCCCCGTCAGCTGCGCGAGTAAGGTTTACTACCTATGTATGGAGCGAAGGCAGCTGCGACGTAGCGGGAACTGGTTGGTGCATCGGTAGAATGGGAGGAAACCTATACTATCATTTAGAGCACTGTGTGCAGATTCACCGGGAGACAGATACATGGGCGGGTGGATAATGACTGACAAGTTTAGATGGATTCAACTCCACCAGTCCTTTTCATGTGCGCGGACCTGATGGGCATAGAGAAAGATACATGAGCTGGTGGTATAACTCGCCAGAGGAACAATCCTCGGGACCTTAGTGAAGTTGTCAGCCTTAATTCCGAGAGTTCACTGCCGCCACGATGTCAGAATATGAGAACAGATCCTGGCACACCGTCCGGGCTCGCTGCGCCAACGGGTCTTTTGTCGCCAAACACGCGAGCCATTCAGCGGCCTTGAGGACGCTTTCAATGGTCCTAGGGTGCTGGATAGTGTTCGCTTTCTGTTTGACAAATAGGCTTATCAAGAGGACAGTGGTGGCTTGCATGATATAATGCACTAGGCTCCACCAAGGCGAGCGTTGGTACACCCAGGAGAGGTCCGGTGTACTCGGTAGCAATTCCAACATCTGAGTGGCGAGGTCACCGCACAGCGCAGCCGTTGTAGTGCAGAATGTTTCAACCTGGCTACCCCCTGAAGCCTGCCGAAGGAGGCGACTAAGGCAAGGCTGGGTAATGAGGATCTTGGTACTGTAAAAGGAAAAGGCAAGGCTAAGCCTTTCCTTTTCACATGCCGGTGCGCCTTGGGTGAAATGAAGCTCAGCCGGGAGCTTGGAAAGCCAGCTATCTGCTCTGCCGTTCAGCGCGGAGATGATCATTTCAATGGAGCGCCAGGATTTTCGCCCGGCCCCGGGGGCGTATAGTGCATCGATAGCCCTTTGCATGATCAAACCCAGTTCGACAAAGTAAAGAAAGTGAAGTGAACTGTTTGGTGTAAGAATTTTGGCAGCTGCGGATGCAACTTTGTCACTCTGTTTACTGGGTCCGGGTGACTGATGTCTAGAAGAATCGGAAAGCAATGTGCTCTCTGCCGACTGTGCTGAGGACCGCGAGACTAGATTCTCCATGAAAAATGACCGAGCCTCATGGTCCTCAATCAGTTGCTCCACCTCGTCGCGTGCGAATTCCTCTTCGATGAAGGGGACCGGCAGAGGAGTGGTACAAGAATCTTCAGTGCTGCTAGGGAGACGCCCGGTCATGACACAAAGCAGCACATGCAGTATGTATAGGGACCACCAGACTCTATACCGAGTTTCCCTCGAGTTTGAGAATATGATATTGCTCTCGTTTCGTAAATTCAGCCCCATGGTAACGGCTGATTGTATTGACATCCCGGAAAGCCTCCATGATCTATAAATGTTTAGGCTTTGTGCATCGAATAAGGCGAAGTGACGTACCTATTAGCTTGGCCCACCGTTAGAAGGTAAAAGGCACTCAACCCTTCAACTTGTACTTGTTGAAGGTTCGGATGGTCTAAGAGAGCAACGTTGCCCATACTGAGCTTCCAGGCTCGGGAAAAATACGCAATGTGCTCATCGGCGTGTTCATTGCCCTGCGTCAAGTCATGGGCATACTTTGTAGCAATAGCGAATATCATATTGAGCACTGCTAGCCACCGCTTTCCAGGCCGGACAGAAGAAGCGGAATAGTATGATTTGTACTGGCCCAAGAAAGTGACCTTGCCGACAATCGGGAAATACGGATGCACAACCTGGAAGTAACTGTCGACTAGCCTGTCCGCAACCGCAGCAGGCGGGCGATAAGACAAGTCAACGGTATCCATGACCTCCACCTCCAGGTTGTCTAGAAAATAATTCGCTGTGGAAACAGTACTGCGTTCTACGCCTTTTTCCATCGGATCGGGCTGAAGATGTTGTAGGATCTTCTTCAGCCTACCTATCCATGCGATTTCCGAATGCTCTCCGACAAAGCCTGTAGCTTGTATCTTTTCATCACGGTTGAAATCTTCCTTGGTAAAATCGATTGAGCCTACTGGAGAACCAGGATCAGTGGGAAAGAGAGGCGAAGGGAATTCGGAGGGTAGACGGCTCGAGGTCGGGTCATTCTCAGATTGCTGCTATAAGACATTCGTTGAGTACAGAGCTGATATGAGAATGCTGCATATGCACTCGGTTCGCAGGGATGGCGCTTACATCGCTCAGAATCTGTTCAACATACTGAGCTGACAGAGAGTCCAGATTCGGGTAAATGTTCTGTAACAGAGTCTCAAACGTTTGGACGCGTGCTGAGAGATCGCTGAGTCGCCTAGTTCACGCCGTCAAACAAACTCTAGCCTGAGTGTGGCACCCTAGTCTAAACCAGCTCACGCACCTCGCCATCTTCTCTCGCTTCCGGTCGCCATATGAACACTGTATCCCCGACTCCTGACATCGTTGACACGTTGGACGTTGCCCACTGCATTTGACTTTTTGATCCCGACAATTCTCACATGCGCGGCTGACGCGGCCTCGATTTGGTACTGTATTTGAGCTAGTTGATCGAGGGATTGCGACTTTACTATTCAAGGAACGTTCTTGAGGGACCGTGGTGGAAGCGTTGGCGACGACGTCGGAGCTGTTGGTTATTGTTTCGGATGGTGGTGCTTGAGTCGGAAACGAAGGCTGCGGGAAGGCAGGCGCTACCCACCCATAGACAGGTTCATTTTCGGGGACTTCAGACGACGGGGTGTAGGACGTGAAGGGGAACGGAGAAGGATAGTTTGTATCACTCATTATCGAGAGCCGACAGAGATGTTGGAGGCACCTTTTCGTCCGACTCCGGCTGTGAGCGAAAAAAAAAAAAGCACCCAAATGTCAATATGAGAGAACGGGATGTGGTCAGAGTGTCAGGCACGAACAGGGACACGGTCCCGAGCAGCTTTAACCAGTTTGTTCGCTGGCCTAGAATTGCAGGGCTGTGGTAGGTCGGAATTTGATGCCGATTTCGAGGTTACCGCAAAGGGAACATGAAGCGGGTCAATGCCAATTGTTGCTTTATTGCTTTATAGCAAGCACAGGAGCCCTTGGGGTCAGCAGGAAGGTTTCGTTGGAAGTACAGCATCAGCACCAACCCAGAACATCTATGTTTCTCGGCCTATAGAATTCCTTGGAATCCATTCCCTTGCGCCGTTGCTGGGCCCAAGGTCGGTGACCGCGATGGTGAGCTGCCAAACTGACGTAACACTAAACAATCCCGGCTAACGGCGACCAGGGTCCATTCATCAACGCTTTGAACAATCGATAAGGTGGCTATTTGCGGACTCTAGCATGGCCTACCAACAAGCGGTTTCCAGCATGCCTCGTCTTCGCCAGCTCGTGGTATAGCCAGTCAAAGGTTCCAGTTCGACAAACACGGGCGAGATGAGGTCTCAAAACATATTTCACTCTGAAGGAAGATATGTCACATCGCGTGGATGCCATCCAAGCGCATGTTGATGAAGGAGCGGAGTCCCAGCTCTTTCCCCTTTTCTCAGAAGTGCTTTTGTCGTCCGCCAAGCGATCGTGATCGGCAAAAGTGGTGGGGTTTCGCAAGGCGTACGTGATAGGCAGTGAGTAGCGTGGTGCAGGTTATGGTCCTCTCGGCCTCAGGGTGAAGCCCTCGATGTTATTGGGCTACTCCGAAAGCGCTGTGCGCCTGCATCTGAAGACTTCGGGTTTTCGAGGCCCCCTCATCAGGTTATCCCAAGCTTGTCATTTCGAGTCTCTTCACACAACGCCCGCAGATATATTCGCGAAAATTGAAGCCGATGGGCTATCAGCCCGATACTAAGGTACTGACGCTCAAGCGAAATCTATGACATTCGCGACCGCTCACTGAGAAAGCAACTTCACTCCGGACTGGTTGATGCTACAAGTGAGAGCAGTTAGCATAAAAGTAAGAGTCACAAGCCAACACTTCGAACTTAATTCGGAAACGAGCTCACCAATTCTATTCGAAACCCCGGTGTATGGCGACCGCGGCTGCACAAATGAAAACACATGGCAAGATGAAAGTCCTGAGCGCAGGCTGCTCACTGCGGGCCACACCGAATTGTGCGATCATGAAAGCAAACCATCCGTTCAGGAGAGTCGGGATAAGAGTGAAGTCGGGATCCAGAGAAGAAACCATCTGCCATACACCCGAAATGTTATTACAGAGTAACAGCAATTGGCATGGAAAAGAGTTCCGAGAAGGATGACGTCGGAGGCAGGTTCGATCCCCATGCAGTTGGGCTAGTCGGCAGCGCGACCTAGGTATTATCCCGGCGGACACTAGGCTCCTTATTCCAGTGGTTCTCAGGCAATATCAGACCTTGTCAGCATTCACCTGCCAGATCCTCAAAGATCATTGTGGCCCATTTATAGCTACTCCGTTAGACGGCCTTGGGATTCATCTACAACGTAAACATGACGCCATCCAGGTACTTCCATGCTGATCTCTGCTGATCCTCCACGATCTCGAGTGCGGCATAGTTGAATTCCAACACCACCTCGAATAAAACGAGTGACAACCTTGGAAGCGATTATCGGTTAGTCCAGGGGGCCACCACTACGTACGGAGTAGGTTTAGTATACCGCCCGATTGAACCATGCCGTACTAACTTCTCCGCCTCAGGTTCATTGACTATATTTTAATGATTCCACCACAGTACTAGCCCTTCGACAAGGAGAGCATTGTGGGCGCTTAGCACCTGCAATCACCTTGAGCAACCCCATAAGACTCCATTAATCGTACCGGATTCTGCGTCTTCTCCATCAGTCACCACTCGTCTCAAAACGCACCTCCATCATTAACCTACCGAGGCTGACGGCGACGAAGTGTCAGGCGAAATAATGCTGATCATCATGGCCTTGATATTATTCGTGGCCCTCAAATCAAGAACGATATGAGATTTTATGAGATTTAACAGAAGAGATGCTTCGAATCCCTAGGCCAATTAATAGAACATTTTTACTCTATATCGACTTGACTGATTGACTTCGTCGGCCAGCACAGTGGACGATGTATTTTCCATTGTGCAATCCCTATGCAAATACAACCGAAGCTTAATGAGGTATTATTGGCTCTACAGATTAGGTCTGATATGACAGCTCCTCATACGTTCAAAGAAAGTTTAGAATCAAATGACTACCTACTAGTGGTAGGTATCAGGTTCTTAGTATGCCAGATGCTGCGTCGTACTTTCGTATATGGACCATCCAAAGTAGCTAGGCCTAATCGCCGATGGGTCCCGGCCCAGCTTCAGCTCGGCGAAGAGTCAAAACGCCGACCAACGCCACAGTCACCTTTGCTAAACTGCACTCTCAAGCTTGAAGCCCCCCAACAAATCCAGTCCGAAGCGATATCATTGACTTTTATTCTCCGACACTGTATGACTCAGTATGGGTCATGAATCGCAGAAAACACAACAGAACACCCGACTCGGTCGGTGAAGCTTTGAAGCGAAGGAAGATCATTGCGTACGTCGAGGGCCATGTTTCGCGACATTAGCCCTGAAAACATATTGAGTTGTCTTTAGTTGCGAACGATGTCATTCCCATAAGATCAAATGCTCCGGTGGCCAGCCTTGTGCTAAGTGTCGAGCTGTCGGTTGTGCCGATGACTGTCGGTACCCTGCACGGGACCGCCAAGTCAAAGTCAGCGAAAGGTAGTTTAATCCGGTCGAATTTCAACGCGATCTAGGTGCTAATCGAATACAGCTATCTAGAGCAGATCTTGACCGAAAATCGACGCCTGAAGGAGCAGTCGGGCTCCTCGGCCAACACCCCCGAACAAGACCAAGCCGATGGGAGCACCAACCCCGAACTGTCTCGGCCCGCAGGAGAAACACCGGATGAGGGCAACACCAGTGTTCGGAATCCATTGATCGGTGACAAGGCATGGTTTCATGCCTATGACCCTTCAGCGCCACCAATCTTTGTTGGCGAAGCGGCCTGTACTGCGTTTGCTACTCGCTTTCGCCAGCTTCTGACGGGGAGTAGTGCCACAGCCCATATTCGCCGCACCCAGTATGTGAAAGAAGAAAATATCGCTGCCGCCAATGCAAACGAGATTAGATGGCCGACTCTTCAGCAGGCACGACTGCTTGTTAAGATTGCGCTGCAGCAAATCAGTTGTATTTATCATGTTCTCCTGCGCAAGTCCACCCTAGAGAAGCTGGAAGAGATATACAGAACCGAAGATTTTGGGTGTACGGTCAATCAGTGCAAGTTCTTCGCTCTGTTTGCATTTGGTGAGGCTTATTCTATGAGAAGTGAGCCGTCCTCTGGCTCAAGGGTTCCCGGCACCTCGTACTTTGCCCGCTCGCTGAGCTTGGTACAAGTGCTGCCCGAGAGAACTAGCATCACGCATCTAGAGACGCTGTTGTTACTGGTACGTCTCTTTCTACCGAGAAAGTATCGTGCTAATTGGGTAGTCCCTCTTTTCGTACTATCTGAACCGACGGCACTCGGCGTACGTTTTAATTGGGAGTGCCATGCGGCTGGGTTTGTGCATAGGGTTGAATCATAACATTCCCGAGTCTCAGTGCAGTGATCCGGTGGAACGTCAGCACCGAGTGCGCATCTGGTGGACAATTTACATATTTGACCGCATGTGGGCGTCGAAGATGGGCCTACCGTCACAGATACTGGACGATGATATCCATCTCGAAAAACAAAAAAAAATTAAAAAAAAACCCCTCTATGAGGAGCAGTTTTCGGACGCGGAGTTCATCCAAGCTAACATAAAGCTCGCTCGTATAGTGGGCGACACAACCGCGCAGGTATACAGTCGACGCAAATACAGCGAGACGTTCTTACAGCGGGTGCAAAAGCTGTTGAAGGCGCTGAAGAACTGGGTGGACACGCTCCCTGAGCATCTACGGTTGAACGTTGATGAGCCTGAAATGAACCGAAAGCACATCACATCAATACACCTTGCATTTAATCAAGTGCGTTCTCTCCAAGTATAATCAAATTGGTTACAGAAGTAACTCGAATAGTGCGTCATCCTCACCACCCGACCAACCCTACTCCACCTTTTCAAACTCAACGACGCTCGCCAAAACACAGACACAGGACCAGGAGAGAATATTTCACAACCCGTCTTAACCCTAGGAGAAGCTTGCATCCATGCCGCGCGCCACTCACACTCCCTCATCTTAACCAAGTGGATCAATGGCTCCCTGCCGGTATTTGGCTACTTTCACGCCCACTACCTGTTTTCTTCGTGTATCGCCCTCGCCATGTCAAGTTTCCTCCCCATCGGCAGTCCTGCAGATATAGGAGCCTTTGAAACAGGCATTGAAGTGCTCTCATCGATGAGCGAGAACGGCAACCTAGCCGCCTCGGAGTTCTACCACAATCTCAAACATGTCAAGAAATGTCTTGATCGCTACCGCGCGGAACGACAGCCTGATGACATTCGCAGACGACCATCTTCCGTTGCAACAGCCGCAATAGACGTCGCATTCACATCTGCATCTGTGGAACCCTCGGCCACAACCACCGCACAGGCAGACGCAACATCTGGTGCAATCCTAGCTCCAGAACAAGACTTCATGAACCCAGGATATCGATACGCGCAGCCAGGCCCAAGCTCTAGCTCAGGGCAAGCACTGGGACAGGAGGATCCCCTGGCCGCACGCGAGCTGCCAGGCGGCTTCACGACCGCCATGGCGTTTATGGAGCCAACAATGCAGGACTTTCTTGCGCAGTCAGACCTTGATCTAGGGTTATTGCATCCAGTGGAAGCATTTATGAATGAGGCAGAAAATCTATATTCAGGACATGAGTTTTCCTGAGACATGAAGTCATGCTGATGTATAATTATATAAGGTCTATCTTTGTCTATATATGTGATCTATGAAATATGTATCGTGTCTATGGGGTATCCAGTAAGGGTTTACAATAAAAAGCCCCAGCGCTCGCTCCAAAATAGCCAACGCAACGCACGCCCAATGGATATTTTGTGGTGAAACCATTCGATCACTTCTCAAGCGGAATCCTCCTCTCCACCCACCGCTGCATCTCAATCCCCCACCGCGCAATCATTACGACCAGGACAGCCCCAGTAAGCGTCATGAATGCAGCTGTATCAAGCCGATTTATTAGTTCATAGTCCCAACCTCAAAGTAAAGGATAGAAGGTCTTTTCAAGAAAGACAAGCTAGGGAGAGAGTAGGAAAAAGGGAACATGGGCAACATACAAATGGTAAACGTCCATCCAACCCCAATATCATCAATCACCGGTACGACCAGCGCACTCGCCCCCGCAGAGAATGTATACTGGATGATATACTTTCCGCTAATAACCTCGCTGCGACGGGAGGGGAGAGCCTCTACAACGCAGAACCACATTAGCAAACTCGTCCATAGAGCAGGACACAAAGATGGGCCCCTAAGGAAAGATATCCTACCAGCAGCATAAGTATTTAATCCATTAAAGCTGCCCATCAACCCGACACCAGCCACAAACCCCGCAACAATGGGCAGCGCCATGCCCCCCTTCTCCTCCTGCAACGACCACGCATAGACGAGCGTCGCGCCGGGCAGAACAAGGAAGAGCATCACGAGCCCGCTATTCAACCTGTCCTGCGGGAGCCGGAACCCGCGCGTCTTGATATACCGGCGCACAGTCATGTCTGCCAGACGGCCGCCGAGGACGGAGCCGATGAGGAAGCCCGACCCGGGGGCAAGGTAGAAGAGGCCTGAGACGAGGGCGGAGGTTAGGTTGAAGCGTGGGTTGAAGACTGTGCGCGCGCTGGAGAGGAGGGCGTAGAGGAATGTGGAGAGGAGGCCGCAGGTTAGGAACTGGTGTTTCTCGCTTTAGTAGGTGCCATTCTCTGTTTGGAGTGGTGTAAGGGTGGACGTACGGAAAAGAACATATTTGGATAGAGCCAGAGCTTGAAGACTGGGAGTGGATTGAAGACGTGGAGTATATAGCGCATGGTAATCTGCTTCTTGCTCTTCTTTTTTTCGGCCTCACTACCGGAGTCAATTTCAGCGTCAGGGTCAAATTCTTCTTCGATCTCGGGGACGAAGAGGAGAGAGAGGATCAGGCCGAGACCTGCCATGGCGGTTTGTAGCCAGTAGATGTTGCGCCAGCTTGCGAAAGTAACAATCACGCCGCCAATGCAGGGTCCTATACACCCAGTTAGCATGTCAAACCTTTCTATAGCTGGAGGATTGCATACCAATAGCAGGACCGGCGACAGTCCCTAGCATGAAAAATCCCACTGCTGTTCCTCTAACTACCTATACATGTCACTTGTCAGTCCAATTGATTTCTTCTCTGGCCAAAAAGGGGAGACGCACCGGCTCAAAAATATCAGCTAGCACCGTCTGCCCCATAACCATAAAGCTCGTCCCCGTCAACCCGCCGAGCACACGAAAGACGGTAAACATAGCCATATTCTGGGCTGCACCAGTACACACGGAACAAACAACCAACACGCCCACAGCAATGTTATAGCTGAGCCGCCGGCCCAAAAGCACCCGCAGCGGCCCCCAAATTAACGTCGAGAATCCCATGGCGAGCAGCACGCCGGCGTTCATGACATTCAGGATCTCCGGCGTTGTGTGGAACTCCGAGGCGATTTCGGGGGTTGCGGGGAGAAGCGATGTGCTGCTGAAGGTCACGGCGAGGGCCATCCAGCTTACGGTGAAGAGGATTATGGATTTGCGCCATCGGGGCAGGGAGTAGCCAGATGATTGGGGTGCGGAGTGAGCGGGGGACGAGCCGAGTTTTTGTTGGAGTGGTGAGGTTGAGTTTGGGGTTGCTGTCCCCGTTTGCGGGAGGGACTTTTCGGGGTCGGGGTCCATGGTGACTAGGTTCCGGAACGTGAATTGGAGAGGAAGACCAGGATTAGCTTGGTGGTTTGGTTTGTTTTTATATCGATTAGGCATGAATCCAACAGACATGGCGGATTCTTTTCCGTCCTCGGCCAAAAGTTGCATCGCCGAACTAGATTTGCGACTTTGGCTTCGGCATCCACGGCGGACTCGGGGCAGATAAGTATAGCCATGTTTCCGCGTCATCTGAGTCTCTTTGAATATTAGTAGGACTACTCCCTTGAGATAGGCTTGCGTGGTGATTTGACATACTCGAGTCCAAGACTACGCAAGCATCGAGACTCGGCATTCCAGGCCGAGCCCCTACGGTACCCAGGAGAGGGCAGATCGACAGACTTGAAAATCTAGAAACCGACATTTATGTACTATGTACGAAGATAAAGCTCAAAAATCAATACAGGAAAGCAGCTTAACATGATCAAATCACACCTTAAAATCCACCCATCTACAGCAAAAGCATACCGACACCGGCAATCATGCTGGTCATGATGTAGGCGCCGAGCTGCCACTTGCCAACGTACACGGCCATGGGTGTAGCGGCAACACCGGCAGCACCCTCGGAGGTTTCGCTGGACGAAGAAGAATCAGAATCAGAGTTGGGGTTGCCTCCAACACCGCCCTCGGGGGTGGTGACGTTGCCGGTACCGCTCTCACCGGCCTGGTCAAGCAGGCTGCTGCAGCTGTCGCTGCTGTCAGAAGCCTCGACGACCTCACCACGGCTGTCAAAGTCACAGGCGTCGGCGGCGTTGTTCTGTCCTTTGTAGTACTGAGTCATGACAAAGGAGAGCTTCTGCTTGGAGGTACAGACGCTGTACGCTCCGTATGTACCGTTGTACGCATCAGCCTTTTGGCCGGCGCAGTACTTGCCACCCTCGAGACCGCAAATGTAGTCAAAGATCTCGCCGTACTCTTCAGCGTCAACCGAGTCCTTGACCTTGCAGGTCAAGGTGCTGTCCATGCAGGAGCAGAGTTGCGCGTTGGGAGAAGGAGGAAGGTCCTCGCTGGCTTCCCAAGCCTTGTTGACGGTAGGGCAGGTTGGGATCGCGGTGTTGGTGGGAGTGTAGGTCTTGCTGTTGACCCCGGTGGCGGTGACCTTTTGCATCTGTGAAGACAGGTAGGAGAAGTCATCCTGAGTCTCGACCTTGTTGTTGTTGATTTCGACAAGACCATAGTCGTTGGCCTCTTGGAAGTACATGTAGACGATACCACCGCTCCAGACGTCGTTCATCTTGGGGCCGAACAGGACAGGAACGTCGGAGAAGGTACGAGGACGGGGTTCGATGCAGCCATATTCGGAGAAGAAAGCAGGCACGGGGTAGTCGCTGAATTCCTCGGTACGGTCCTTGTAGCCAGACTTTTCAAAAGTCGACTCACCGCACCACTCGTAGATGTTGTAACCGAACATGTCAATGCGGCTCTCCTCGTCACCGCAAATCAGATAGTCCTTCATATCTTCACGGAGCTCGGCGTTGTCATCGGTGGCGTATCCAACAACGAGGGTTTCACGGTGGTTCTTCTTGATGTAGGCCTTCATGTCACGCACGGCAGCCTTGACAAACGCAATCGAGTCGGTGTTGGTGTTGTTGTTGGCGACCTCATTACCGGCAAAGAAACCAATGACGTTGGTGTAGTTGGCAAAAGCATCCACAACACTGGTGTAGCGGTTGTACAGATCAATGTTCCACTCGGGGTCGGCGCGGTTGATGGATTCGGCGGGGGAAGACAGATCCGTGATGAGGTAGATGCCAGCGTCCGCCAAGAGGCCCATGCAGCGGTCGTGGTTCTTTTCAGGGTTCACGGCATAGGTACGGATGACGTTGGTGCGCAATTCCTTGAGGTAGGGGATATCACGCTCGCAGTTCGAGTCATCGGCCAGAGGGTCGCTGTAGTGCTCGTTTTCAGCGGTCGTCCCATTGGCGCTGTATTCCTGCTGGTAGGCGACACCGCGGATAAAGAACTCGGTGCCGTTGTTGGAGTAAAAGAATTTGTTGCCCTACGCGACTGACTGTTAGCAAGGTCAAGAGGTTGATGCGACCGGGTAGCCCACCTTTGTAGTAATGACGGGCAGGTCGGCCGCCAGGGCGCTGCTCGCAAGGAGGGTTGCACCGGCGAGGGCGGAGGAGAACTTCATGGTGGATTAGAAATGTAGCCAAGAACGAGTGTCGAGAATGGATGATCTGAAAATCAGTGGTTGATCACGAAGATCTGTAATGACGGTCACTTCTCCCAAAACGAAGCAGGCGGAAGTAGGCTTAAATATGAGGTCAACGAATGACTGACGGCACGCACACGTAGCCGTCTGGATGAGCAGAAGAAGATGGACAAGAAATAATCAAGAGGCAGGAGCAAAGAGAGAAGAAGAAAAGGCGAAGGTTGGAAGAAAGGAGGTTTCGTTAGATATGGAACCGCCGGCAAGCAAGAGGCCACTGGAAAGTGGTTTGTAAATACAGGGGCCTTACAAGATTCTCACTAATTTTGCTGTCCGTGAGAGAACCCTCAATTGGAGTCCCAGGGGTCCCTGGAGTCCCTGAGGGTCCAGTCCCTTTATGTAGGGTCTACGGGAGCGCTCCGTGTCCGAATCTGTTCGCACGCTCACCGCAAGTATCCTCTTTTCTTTGTAAGGACATCAGATAGCATCATTATACAGATCCTATGTCGCCCAGAACTTCCAAGACACAGCCAAGAGCGACAAGGCACAAGGAAGAGGAGTGTGGCCGGATGTTCCGCAACGTCAGCAGCTAAGAATATCTGAAACTAGAGCCTGGTCTCAACTGCTGATTGGTTCTAGGGACGAGCCCCTGTTACCAAATACCGTTATTACTGTAAATACACATGCAATACACCAGTAGTATCTTACATGCGCCCAATGACTTGGTATGTCTTGTTTTCTGCCAATAATGCTTGTGGTCTTGGATAGAAGCAAATGCGTTGTAATGCTCATGATTAATCATACCTCAATAGTTTAAAGACTTATCAAGGATTGGTAGGAACAATCATTTGAGTCGGGCGCCCGGTCGCACCTGCTGGAAGACTGGATTGAAGGGGTGCCACTGGATGCCACCTGAGCCCACTGCAGGTTTCAAGACTTCGGAATCCATTATTCGCTGCGACCACGAGGCCGCTATAATCCGCTATAAACAAAGCAGGATATCTCAATTGGAAACCCTTCAGTTGATCGCGAGTTACTGCCTTGCATCCATCACTTTGATCAGTGCTAACTGGATCCAAGTCTCAAAGAGTCTCCTTGCATCTTTGCATCGGTCTCTGCTATTTCGATGGCTTGTGACGTCACTTTATACGCGAGCTGCATAGCCACACTGGCAGAGCCAATAAGACGAGCCCAGCTGGCGGCCGTTTGATGAGCATGGCCAGTCAAAGGAAAGATTTCGCATCCCCTGCTGAGGTGCAAGCGCCTCTGATCCAAGATTCTTGACATGGTATGCCAAGATGGGCAAAGCTTCGCCATGAAATCTTAGCGGCGATCAGAGCGTTTTGGAGTCTGCACGAGGCCGATCAAGCAAAACAATGCGATTCCAGGCTCTGATGAAGTTTGATGTCAGGGAATTTTTAGAATGACGAAGTTTGGCTTGCTGGCAGGCTCTCTCCGCACCAAGTGCTTTTTTGATTTTTGGCTCTTCAAGGTTCGCCTGGGCAGACACTTTTGAGTTTCCTTTGATCGTCCAAATTATTATTTGTCCGTTTCCTGTAAAAATCTCTCAACAACGTGTCCCACACCAGCGGAACCCCTAGCCCCTTTTCTGATTCACCTTTTGCAAGTTGCACCTCCCCAGCCTCGTCTTTCCTTTTGAGTGCAACGAGCTCCAGGCTGCAACATAACCAAGAGTTACCCCAGGCTAAGTCTTTCAGCCACACTTGTCCATCAGGCGCCTCAAAAGGGTCCAGTCAGAGTAAGCCCATTCTCAGCTATCATTTGTCCATTTCCTGTGCCTTTTGCCCAAAATGCTGTCATCGTCGTACGGCCGGGACGTATGCCTATGGGTGTGGCTCAACCGCTGCGCCATCAACATCTACTTTTCTATATCCATCTCATTCACCCAGGCTAGTTCTGACGTTGCTACAGGTATAGCCGTGAGTTAACCGTCCTATCAAGATGCGTGAGTATAGATTTCACCATTATCTTTTCATTTTCTGATTACCGTCAGATATCTACAAAAGTCAAGCCCGAAGATCCGCATGGTACGACCATGAAGGCGAACCAACAACCCATAATCCATTCAAGAAGTTTCGCAGACGCCCACGACGGACGAGTTCTATCCAGCTTGAGAACCGATTAACGCAATTTCCCACTGCCGGCGCGATAGCCCCTTCGGAACAGATACAGCGCAACAGGGAAATGAGAGAAGGGCTAGAGGGACCGACTCACGCAGACACGTTTCCCACGCGACCCACGACCACAGACACAGCTCGGCCTGAAAGCACTCTGGAAAAAGTTGAGCCGGAGCCGTCGATGCGCAGCAATGAGCCGATCAACGTATCGAACCGTGACCAATCTGAAAGCGAATCCAGCAGCAAGCCTAGAAAGAGAAAGAGATTCCTAGGGCTTGGAAATCGGTCCGGGGGGGAAGGGATTGAAGCGTCGGCAGCAGATGCACCGGTTGATAAGCAAAAGTTTACTGCCGTGGGGCAGTTCAAAGCTACTGTCTTGAACTCATGGATCAACGTCTTGCTTCTTGCAGCGCCTGTTGGAAGTAGGTTGCCATCAATGCAGCATTCTGCACTTACTAACAGCTTTAGTTGCGTTGAACTATGTCGATGTTGACCCAGTCGCTGTCTTTGTGGTCAACTTTATCGCCATCATGTACGCTTCTCAATCCCGATAGATGACTCCGCTAACAGGTACAGCCCATTGGCAGCCATGCTGAGCTACGCCACCGAGGAAATAGCATTACGGTAGGTATGGCGAATCATCAGTATAAACAGGTGCTAACAGGCTGCAGAACTGGAGAGACAATTGGCGGGTTGTTGAATGCCAGTTTCGGGTAAGTTGCTTGTTTCCTCGTCGCCTCATCTCAAATCTGCGCTCACACTCGGTCTTATAGAAACGCGGTCGAACTGATTGTGGCCATTATTGCCCTGGTCCATGACGAAACGCTCATTGTACAGACTTCTCTGATCGGAAGTATGCTCTCCAACCTTCTCCTCGTTCTAGGCATGTGCTTCTTCTTCGGTGGCGTAAACCGCCTCGAACAACACTTCAACCCCGTCGTAGCGCAGACAGCAGCTAGCCTTCTTGCTCTGTCAGTAGGGTGCTTGATCATCCCAACGGCTTTTGACGCCTGGTCCGATGGTATGTGAAACCCTTCAAAGCATCGATTCAATCACTAACAAATCTAGCCAATACGTCGAAGATTGCACAACTTTCTCGAGGTACGTATCTGCTCAAAAGTTCAAGACCACCTTCTCACCCTGTATAGGCACTAGTATCATGATGTTGGTCGTGTACGGATGCTACCTCTTCTTTCAACTCAAGTCACACACAGATATCTATAATGCTCCAAGTCAAAAGTCTGAGAAGAGACGCCAGAAAGTGTCAGAAGGCGACGCCAGCCGGGGCATCGCACAGATTGGTCACATGTCTGCGGCGATGGCTGGCTCGCATCAAGTGTCCATGCAGAATCCGGATGATGAGGTTGAAGAGCCGCAGCTCAGTGTGTTCGTGGCTATACTGACACTATGCATCTCTACGGCTTTTGTTGGGATCTGCGCAGAGTTCATGGTATTCCTACTTTTCCTTGTTTTGCGACTGATGCGAACAGATGACTAACTGTGCTAGGTTGATTCGATCGACGCTCTGACGGAGGAAGGCAGTGGTATCTCAAAGACATTTGTCGGTCTGATTCTACTCCCCATTGTCGGTAATGCGGCCGAGCACGCTACGGCGGTGACGGTATCGATCAAGGACAAGATGGACTTGGCTATTGGAGTTGCAGTGGGTTCAAGCATGCAGATTGCACTGTTGGTGCTACCACTTATTGTAGTGCTCGGCTGGATTATGGGTAAGTCTACTATTTTCATCTCAAGCAGGACTTCAGCTAACAAATTGCAGGCAAAGATGATATGGTATGCTTTCTTGTCGTTGACATGGCTACGAAAGTCAGGGACACTGCTAACGATGGTAGACACTCGACTTTGACGCCTTTCAAGTGATCCTGCTCTTCGTATCCGTGCTACTGGTAAGACTTTCTCGAGCGCCAACCGCAGTCCCAGGCCCCTGGTCATGTGTATCGCTCGCTAACCATACAAGGTCAACTACCTCATCGCCGACGGAAAGTCGCACTGGCTCGAAGGCGTCCTCTTGATGATGATGTATTTGATTATAGCACTAGCTGCTTGGTGAGTTGAACAGCACCAAACGGACATTTACCTACCAGGGAAGTGCCATTACTAACTCGCGCAGGTTCTATGGTTGATCGACTCAAACCGCCTATTCATTCCTCTTTCTTATTTTCTACGTTGGCTTCTTGATAGACAAGACAATACTGAGCCCAGGACGAGACATTGATCAATTTAAATTGTACTGGGATTTTATATTGCGACTGCTATTTATTACTCCTTCCCTCTGCTCTTCAAACGCCCAGGTAGATTGGTGGCTAAACAGCAACCGGCAACTGTAGCTAAGTGGACGGGAATTTCTCCGAGCAAAGTCAATAGCCGACAAACAACACCCAACCATCTACCGCGAGATTCATTCATTCGCGAACCCAAAACTATGCCATCTGATTGAATCAAACGTCCGCAGATTCTCCGACGGGCATTTCCCCCGAGTGGAGTCTTTCCAGCAGTTAGTACTAACGGGGCAGCGTCGGGGCTGGCCATTCAATTTCACTGGTGATGGAACCGCGACGGCGCGACCGAGATGGCTCCAGGCTAATCGGGTAAATATTCAGGACCCGGACGGAGGGAATGCCGCTTTATTTTTTGCTGGGGCGACTTGAACACTGTGCGGAAATTCCGAGTCTTCAGTTGAGTTGACGTAAAGTAAACCCGAGATCCTCCAACTTATCGCCCAGGAAAAAAAGGTCCCAGAATAGCGAGAGGAAGGGTCAGGTTCCCGCGGCCATGTGGTTGTAACTCATCACACTTCTCCACAAATCAGACTCCGAAGCGAGCTTTGGGACCGGGGAAACCTCCCTCACAAACCAACCATACGCCATGCATGCCATATTATTGCCATGGGCCGTGGGCCGCACTGGCAGGTGGCACTGAAGGGCAGTCCGTTGCATGGACCAGCCATTGAACCCCCCTCGGCTTTGGTGTGGTTTGGTTCAATGCAACCCTAGTCTGTCCAATACCAGACTCCAGCTCACCCCAGCCTGGTAGTAGTGACTTTTAACATTTTTACCCCAGCGCAGCGAAGTACAGTGATGTCCAGTCTAATTCCCTGGCGCGTGGGGTTCACCGGATCAGACGATGGACGACTGGGATGCCCTGTTTGAGAATGCCGGCGAGGCTAAAGGTTCGGCTGGCAGTGGTGTGTCCCGACGTCACGAGGTTGAGTTGAATCATACTTGCCTACCTACTAACCCCGTAACGAGTTGGAGAAGGCGGAAATTGTGGACGGAGAATGGAGTTGAAAGCCTAGTTTCGAGTATAACACCGTCAAGGACCATGACCTAAGTGAGCCCGGTGCTCGCGGTATCTATACCCGAGTGCTTTGTTTCTGTCTACGCATGCTTTGCCGAAGCCGGTATTTGGTTGTGTATCACCTCAAGCCTGGTAGTCCCCGGGGCAGGGCAAGGAGACGAGGCATCTGGATTGCAAGGTGAAACTCGTCGCCACTGTCTCCCGTACCTGTCAAAATTCATCGCCTCAACCCGGTCCCGAAATTCCACTCCCACTCTACCAATTCACGTGCAAGACCCTTTCGTCCCCGCTGTAGCGTAAGGGCAGCCTCAACCTGAAGAAGCCGCTCTGACCTTCGGAGACCAAGACTGTACCTCTGACAAACCTATTCTGACACGAATGACCAAACTCAAACTAACAAGGCAAGGACCATCATTGGACAAATCCCGGACAGTCAGGCAGACCCATGCGCATTTGCACCTGCATCTGATCTATGCGGTTCCTCATAGGCCAGATATTCCGGGGTTGGGACTAGCAGAGAGGGGGTCAAGTTCCGAGGACTTCTTATCCGTCCGCGGCTGGAACGGGACGATGGCACTGCATCATTGCATTGCTTTCCCATCGCAGATGTCGGGTGGTTCTGCTGGAAGCTTGATGATGATAACAGAAGCACCGGGCTCTAGCGGCGAGCTTGAGGCCTACCAAGTCAGTTGCGACCTACCCTCCCCGCGACCGAGATGGATTTGGGACCCTCGATTTCGACGGGCATGGATGGTGGGAATCTCAGTCTACTCCCCGGATAGACGCGGCGGAACCTCGGGATATGGTATCTGAGGGTGTTCTGACGTTGTAGTCGCCTCAGGGCAACCCAGTCTCGTCCTTCGCGGAAGAAGAAAAGCAATATTGGCGAGTTCATAAAAGAAAGAAGAACCAGAGCACGAAAAAAAAAAGGAAAATAAATCGTTATCACACAAGTGCTCTCACCACACACAAAGCAAGGTGAGGAACTCGGTGAGAGCTGACCTCGCATCGATCACCGGAATCACATTCAGTTCGGCAGCTTGTCAGGCAGACATGTCTCGTCAGGCCTGGACAGCTCCGACGGAAAGGACTTGGCTTGTACCGCGACGAGGCACACTCGTCTTTCGTCTTCCGACCAGGATTCAGCTAGCAGATCGATTAATAGAGGGTGTTAAGAGACCAGCGATTCGTCGGTTGAGCAGAGCGCACTGCGCTATGTTCGCCCAGTCGGTACTGCGTCTAGCCGTACCGACGAGATGAGACGTAGACGAGAATGAACATGGCGGTTGTATCACCCTCCTTGCCCGCCCTTCTTTTCGTCAGAGCATGGTGGCGGTTATGCTTACTGCATTGAGAACGGGGAGAAGAAATCCACGAGAAAGAGTTCGGACATTCTCCGGGAAACCCCGAGCGACTCGTGAGGTTACCTAGCGAGACTAGCAGTGTAACGGTTGAGCGGGCGAGCCACCGTCCGTCAAAATGCCACGGCAAAATCAACGGGAGGAACAGACGTCCCAAGAAGAAAATGTGGAGAGCAGGGGAAAAATGATCGGGAGTAATCTCTGGCCCTTGTGGGTGAGCTCACCGCTGCGAATGATCAATAATAATGCATAAAAAATAAGCGCATGAATAAGAAGGCGAGAATCCTCCTATAAAAGCGCTGATATCACTTACCGGGCAGCGATTCGAATCCCATCGCAGGTGGCACTCAGCAGCGTTTCCAGGGACAGAGGCTGAGCAGCAGAAAAGCGACTGCGGGGTCAGGTCGGCGGTCTTGTGCCTCGGGACCGGTTAAATGCGCGGGGAACTTCCGTTGCCGGCAATGCGCGCGCTGAGGTCAATTCCGATCTTTTGTCGGTCGACGATCGGCTTGTGGGTTTGCCTTCCTCTTGTGGTGGGATGGCCAACTTTGGTGACCTCACAGGCATTCAAGGTTCCGGTGCTGGATGGGCTTCTTTTGCCAGATTTCTTTTTGCACATGAGGTCACGGTCGGGCAGACTGCACTCTGCAAACCTCGTCTGTTGAGGCAATGCCGTGTCGATCGGGAATCAATCCCTGTCCAACCACTCTGCCTGTGCCAGCCAATCTTCGTATTCTGCCGACCTGGAGGGTGTCCCGGCTCGTGAGAACGAGCTGAGATCTGGATCTGGCTTTCTTGGACCTTCTTCCCCGCGGGGTGCTCGTCATTTATCTCAACTTACTCCAATCTTTTGAAAAGAAGGATGGGGTGGGTGAGAACGGGATTTGACAGTCGGTTTACATGTCGGGAGACTGCATCTACGGGAAACATCCAGATCCGGAGCAGAACAGAACACAGTTATGTAATGATAATAAATGCCCGGTCAATTGGTCAAGTGACGTTCCACAGCACGGCTGTTGGTAACCGGCTTCTTCGGTCCGTCTCGGAGTTCAATCGAGAGGAGAAACTTGAAGGGCAGGAAATGAGAGGGTGGCAGGATGGGACGAGAGTTTCCAGAGGCATGTATACTCAAACTAGTCATTAAACCCGACCCTTTGGCAGCAGGCGAGAACTTGCTCTCCGTCGGAAGAACATCTGACGGATGGAACATGGAAGACTTCGGAAAGTGGGCATTTTTAAGGGCGAGGACTGACTGGTCTTTTGTTCATTTTCATTTTCTTGGAGAATCACATTCTCGGCACTCGGAAAGTCGCTCCACAATATTCACGCTCCGGCCGCTCGGTCTGGCTGCGTCGCCTTCGCTTGTTCGCTAGTGTCGACTTCTCCAGCTCCATCGCATTCTCCGGACTCTGCGCTGCTGTCGGGCCTCTCCGCAATTGCGGATGGCACTGTGGATAGGCCTTGACTCTTGTGCTCGAAAACTAGCGATCCTGTCAACTGTTTCTTTTTCGCTTCTTTTATGACCTGCGGCCCCCGTCTGCTCTTCCTCGTCTTCCTTTTTCCCTCTCTTTTGCCTCACGACCCCCTTTCGCGCCTCATCTCCAGTTTTCCTCCAGTCGGTCCGGTGCCCCGACTCTGGGCCTCGACGCCTGACTCGCTTCCCCCACACTCCGCTCTTCGAGCAGCCAGATCAGGTATTTCACCCCATTAGCGTTCCCATTATTATTTATTTTATTATTATCATTATTATCATTATTCTCGCTTTCATTTCCTGTCGCTCCTTCTTGTAGTCCACTCCTCTCCCGCTCCTTCACTTACTTGCGCTCTCCCGCTCTCCCCGAGCTGTGTTGCTTCTTGTTTGTCTACCCCCTGTCCTCTGTCCCTTGCTCTGCCTGCGTGTCTGCCGGCCTTGTACACGGCACAGAAAAAAGGGCTAGCAGCGAAAAAGCAAAAAAAGTCCGCAACGGCCCCCATGATCTGCTGCGTTCGCTCCCCTGATTGCCGTTGATGTTGTACTGACGGTCAAGCGAACAGTCTGTGGCGAGACATTCTTAATCGTGCCATCCTCCTCTCCTCTCCATTCCCCTGCCACCAAGCTTGTCACTCTCGGAATCCCGGGGAATTTTACCGGAGAAATACGGCGGATACGAAAAGTACACTGGCTCAAGGAAGGAGAAGCTACGCCCACACGTGTTGCGAGTTGCGACCGCTGTCGTCGCCGCTGCAATTTCCCGTCTCTTCAGCCGTCGAACCCTCTATCCGTTCACATCCCGTCTTCCGCTCTCCTTGCTCTTCCCTCGCGAATTTCACATCTTTCTCCCCTTGGGTGAGACGGGTCTCCCGTCTCCCGTGCTGAACGACCGTCGACACCATGCGGTCCAGCATCGCCTGCGCACGCTGCCGCCGAAGCAAGATCAAATGCGTCAATGCCGGCATCGATACTACCTGCCGCGCGTGCGAATCCACCGGTCGTGATTGTGTTTACCCCACGCCCGCGATCGGCGTTGGTGGCGCTGCCAAACGAGACATTGCGGCCTTGGGCGATGGGGAGGATCGCAATGGTGATTGGGATAGCCCAAAGAGACAGCGCTCCCGCAAGGCCGTTGGGCTTTCCTCCTCCGCGGGCAGGGATGGATCCAAGTCGTCCCTCGACGCGCTTGATTCGTCCCTCCTCACCGTCAAGGTTTGGGAGGCGGTCTTTGACCTGTTCCAGTCTCACTTTGCGACCCTTCTCCCCTTTCTCCACCCGGCGTCTTTCATGGGCCAGATCAGGCAACTGGAAACCAAAGTCAACGTCAACTCCACCATCAACCCCAACCCAAACCCCCAAGAACCCTCTCGCGATCAGATCCAGAATCAATCCCCCCCCAAAGCAGAACCCAACCCGCTCATCCCGCTGGGAGTCCTTGCTCTCACGGCTCGTTTTCACCCCCAACTAGTCGCCTACCACTCTCCTTCGTCGCCCGGAAACCCGTCGAACCCCGTTCTTGCCTCGGAATATTATGCGACTGCGCTGCGCAGCCGGCTGGCCGGCGTTGATGGCGCCAGTCTTGCCGTGCAGGACCTGACACGCGTCCAGGCGCTGCTAATGCTCGCTCTGCATGAATGGGGTATGTGCCGCGGGAAAAGCGCATGGCTATATGTCGGAATGGCCATCCGCCTATCTCAGGCTATGGGGCTTCCATTCGAACTTGAGAACGACGTAATCTCCCGCGATGCACCACCACCTCGTTCACCAGCCCTAAAGCTTGAAGCAGACATGTTTGGTATCCGCCACCGTCCTACAGAGCAGAAAGAACAGACATCAGATGATGAAATTGCGCAAGAGACCAAGCGTCGTACATTTTGGGCATGTTTCATCCTTGACCGCTGTCTGAGCAGCGGCAAATATCGCCCACGGATGATCAGAGTCAAGGAGCTCGGCATTCAGCTCCCAAGTGATAATGCCTTTGCCTTTGGAGAGCGCGTACGAACGTCCCGCTTGAATGAACCGGCTGCGAGGCGACCGCAAAGCTTCGGCTCGCAAGGCGTCCAGATTCCCAGTATCCGCCAGAGTATCGGTGGGTTTGGAGACGAGAAACTGGTACAACACAACGGTTCCGATGGTCGACCATGGTCACCCGTCTCGAGGCGCAAGGACTCGGCCGAGGAGGAGATCGAGCGGTGGGAAATTGGCGCGGACGAGTCGGTCTTGAGCCGGGTCATTCGCATCACCCGCGTCTGGGGGAGTATCGCCAAGTGGTCTTGTGCAGGAGGGCGGAGAAACGAGCAGCTACCCCCATGGCATTCCGACTCTCGTTTCTACAGACTGCGATCATTGCTTGGCGAATTCCGTGATGGGCTGTCTCGAAATCTGCAGTATTCTCCCCGCAACACAGATACCCATATCATGTACAAGAACACGCTTCCTCCTTATACCGTCATGCACGTGCTTTACTTTCTCTCGGTTATTGTTCTCCACCGCTCTTATGTGCCTTTTCTCCCTGTGCGCTGTTCAGAACCGATGGGCCCGTTGGATGAGCCGGTGGACAAGACTGGGATGCCCGAAGGTTTCTGGCGCGATAGTGCACGGGAGCTCTTCGCGGCTGCCCGTCACCTGATGGACTTGGTGGTGACATGCCAAGAACGTGGTGTACTCGTCGAGAACCCACTAGTGGGCTTTGCAATCTACAATGCTGCTTTCATCGGCATCTACGCTGCACATTTTCCGCAGATGGACCTCGACGGAGCCCTATCGCCAGTGAGGGATCACGCGCGCGGCCAAGTCCAGTCTCGCAGGGCACTGGAAATCTTACGCGAGACGCGTCCTCGTCTTAAAATGGCAGCGGGCTGGTTCCGTACTCTGAATCGTTTGCATAGCTATTTTCAAAAAGTCAAACGTGACTTTCGGCGCAACTCCCGCAAGGACATGCTGCCTCCGGATGCACTCGATTATGGGAATGGAATCATTCGCCCCGTTCGTGAAGGTGGCCCTGGTGCAGGATTGGAAGAGTTCAAGTTGCTGGAGAAGCTGTTCCTCGAGTTTGGCACCTTTGAGGACCAACTACCAGAGGGATCAGGCAACGAAGAAGACGGTGATCGGATGACAAATGTTAGCGACGCCGGAAGCAACCACGTTCGGAGTGATCCTGGAGACATGGGTGAGGGCGGTCCGCTGGATGGCGCGGGCGGCCGGCGTGAGTCCTGGGTACCCGTCAACAGCCCGGGCTTGCCGCTCCCTGGCCCAGATGGCGAACGACGGCCCAGCCTACCACTGCCGCCTACTATGGCTCTGCAATCCCAGTCGCCTTACTCCCTCCCGGCGATGCAGCACCACCCTGATTCCCACTACCCAAACGTCTCTCCTCCCAGTCTGCCTTCCATCCCACATACAAGTCCCTATGGGATTCCCGCGACGTCAGCTACTGCCCCAGGAACACGCCTCCAGCCTATCGGCTCGTGGGCACCATCACGGTCACCAGTGCCGCCGCCCCCATACACCCAGTCCCTCCCGCCTATCAGTACCGCCGCTCCCACCCACCATCTCCCGATGCTGCCGCCCCCAGGATCTGTCGGCCACCCCGGCGCGTCACCACCAGTCACGGTAGACAGCATGGACACGTTCAACAGCCTATGGGCCACAAGCCTTGGCGGTGACGATGTCCTCGCCTTCCTTGATGGCAGCGAATACACGCAGTTACCAGGGACTATGCCGTCCGAGGTTGGTGTCCCAGCCGGCTGGCTGAACACCGTCTGGACGGAGTTCGCCCGATGATGATGAAAACATTCACACACGCAAAAGCAGCAAAAAGCCATCCCTTTTTTTCCCCTCTCTTCTCTTTGTTCTTGTCTGTGTACTACTATGACACTTCCGTGACGTTTCTGTATGAATACGGCCACCACACAAGGCGGGCTGGAGTCGTCTTCCCGGATCTCCGATTGGACTGCTACTGATTTGGAAGGAAGGAAAGGAGGAAACTGGAATGGATCGGAACGAATGAAAACGGAAACGGTACGGTTTGGGTCTTTATGGACTTGATTTGAGCGCGGCGTTCTGGTGCTTGCCGGTCAGCCTGACTGGTTTTGATTCGATACTCCTGATGTTGATCATATTTTATCTGTACTCTTCTTTACTTGACCGAGAGTCGTCTTTGCGTTCATTCATAAAGTACTATTTTTTCTAGTACCATAGTAGTGGTCTGGGTTCTTCTGAGAGGCTCTATGTACTACTACATTCAGTCCTCTTACTACGGATGAATGCTCTTAGACTGAGCTGAAAACCACCCGACCCAACTCAGCAAAACTGTTATTACTCACCTAGCTCGTTCCGGACATGGTCTGTCTACCATTATCTTAGTTACTGTTGGGTACTTCTCTGTCCTGATGGTTTACTTCCTGACGCTGGTAGGTAGGTGGGCGGGTTCTTTGGCTTATTCTAGACACTGGAGCCCTAATCTCCTACTAGTATGTATCCCCTAGCCTCTAGGTAGCTTAGAACAAGTCGATGCTACAAACCCTAATCACACGCATATGAATTTATTCTCAGAGTGAGTATTATATATGATGATAATACAATATATCTATCTAGAACCAGCAGTAAGTACTCATGCGTGGAACAAGACTCCGAGAAAATGTAGTAGAAAGTTGGCTGGGTTACATTAGCAGCAGGAGGATCTCATCAAACGCTTCCATAGATAACGAATGGAGAGCAAGAAAAGATAATAAGATAAAACTAAATAGAACTAAATAAATATAAAGACCCACATAATCGCGCACTCTCTAAGGGCTAGTACTTCTCTCCCTTACCTCGTTGTCCTATGTTATATGCGAAAACAGGAAGGGCCAAGGTAGGAACAAGGTGTAATAGGAGATAGGCGACTATTATCCCTGGGCTACGGCTCTGACCTTCTATGTTCATCCATACAACCAACTTGGACGGGGAAGGTGCAGCTACCCCCATCGCGTTATACCTCCAGGCTTAGCTGGTCCGAAAAGAGCGACCCCGTGGCCTGACCTCGCCGGGAACGGGGGATGCACTCCTAAAAGAGGAATGGCACATTCATGGGTCGCTTCTTCTTTTTCTTCTTCTTCTTCTTCTTCTTTTTGCTAGAGACATTGAGCCATGAGGAAGGTGCGACCAAGGGCACCCGGACAGTCGCTCCTTCTTGTTCATACTCGACTGGTCAAGTGAGGAAGGAGCGACCGGGGGTGCACTTTCCCCAATAGAGGTCTGGGATGGCACAGATCGTTCCTTCCTTGTATGGACATCTTAAGTCGTGAGGAAGGCGCGACCAGGTACCTTCCCCTCACAGGATAGGAAGGAACGACCCTAGCCCAGCTGCAGCGTATTCGCTCCTTCTGTTTTGAGTTCCGTTGGTCGATGTAAGAGTAGAAGGTGCGACCAGTACGAGAATGTTTATGGTATAGCTGAGACTGGGGAGGTGGTGATACAATGGTGATTTCCTCTGTTGTGAGTGATCATCTTACTTTCTCTATAGTGTTTGGGTGGCTGCTAAGCCACCCTTTTGCTGTTCTTGGCCGCGCAATGTTGTACAAAGTACACAGTCTAGGGTAAAAAGAGGCCGTACATTACTGGATGCAGGTACCCATACAAACGCCATGGTATTAAGCTTAACTGAAGATATAAGGTATATGGCTCTTTTCCGATCATCATGAAGAAAATTGAAGTCTATCTGCCACCGATAATCTGGTTAGTGACGAAACATAGACTTTTGGAAAAGGATAAGAGAAGACTTGGAAGAGGATGTGATATGACGGCCGTATATCATGACAAACAAACTCCCAGCCAGCCCCAAGACTGTGTCGAGTTTAATACACGTCTTCTTCTCCCTGTTGGTAAACGTGGCGAGTTCGAGTGGGGTCTTTGCGCATTTGTTGTCCGGAACCGGTGAAGCCAACTTTGCTAGAGTTAGAATGGTGTGATATAGGGAGAACAGGGAGCATACCTCGAGCATTCACTCCCTCGCCGGTCCGGAACATGCTTTCCTTCTTTTTGCCGTATTTGCTCTTGTTGGCAAAATCCTTCCACTTGTTCTTACCCTCCTCGAGTTCCTTATTAGCCTTGACCTTGCGCGCGGCCTTTGTCGGGCGTGCAGGCCCGTCGGTGGCCTTGCTCGGCTCTTTACGCGCCTGGGTCGCTAACGCGGGGTTTATATCCGCGGCTGCGGAGATGACGCTCGCGTGTGGCGGCTGAGGAACGGGGGAGTGCGTCGAGGAACTGCCTGGGCTTCCATCAGCCTTGCGTTTTCGCGAGTCACTGTTGGAAATGGGTTTGAGGTCTTTTGCGGTCAGAGATTCGACCGTGCCATAGGACTTGAACGAGACAATGTAGACGGGGTTGCTGGAGGAGCCCGTGATGGATGTGATGCGCGCTGGGTAGAACGAGTTGTCGCCGGAAGTCCAGCGCGCGAGCACATGCTCGTTCACTGAGAAAGAAGCTGGTGTTGGAGCGGGGCTTTCCTCGGATTGCTCGACTGTTGGAGAGCGAAAGTTGGATTTGTTGTTGGACGCATACTCGTCTCTTGTTGGGCCTTTTGGTCTGCCGACGGGTGCGGGTTTTGCGGGGGCGGCTGGTTTTAATTCGGCGATGGATGTTTCAGTGAGGTTTATAAGTTCTTCCAGCTCAGCTTTGAGACTCTGTAATTCCGTATTGTCTGGGTCTACCTGCAAACTTGATTGAACGGTTTCAAGCTGGCAAAAGTCAGTATCGAACCACAAGTGGATTGGGTAGGTGTCTTACCTGAAGCTTGAACTCCTTGACCTCAGCCTCGAGGGCCGCAACGTCTGTCATGATGATGTTGGATAAAGACGGAAAAAAGCTTCGAAAGTGGAAGCAAGATAATCGCAGGGAGTGAAATCGCGTGTGTGGGTCTGATACGCTCACACTTCGCAAAGCTTGCAGTTTGGTGTGGCACTGACAGGGCGTCGGAGAGCCTGGGATTCCGCAGCGGAGAGCGGCGCACGTGATCTATTTTCGCCGCCACATGGTCCGACTTTCTTGTCAGTCACCGTACCGTTGCACTACTAGTGGGCCACTAAAAATGAGACAGAATACGAGTGCCTCAATCCTCTTAACAGGAGTTGGCCACTACGACGATTACAAGGATGGACCCCGCTGTTTGGTCCGGCGTTCCAGGGAAGAGCGAAGATAACGGACCTTTCTCTGTGACTGCTAAGATCGACATTTCCGGAGTAGATAAGCTGGGTAACGGATTAAATCTGATAGCGGCATGTCTCTGAAGGCTGAAGCCCTGCAAGAAGAGAAACTGCTAGACCGAAGTACGTGTACTATTCGCTCCGGATAGGGTCACACTCACTTGGCAGCACATCTCTGACGGGATCCAAGAAAGGCTGCGGTGTCAGTCAACCCGTCCGAGGATTTAGTCCTGGACCTAAAGGCTAACGCCGATGGTGAGTCAGTCAGAGGTGAGACGACATGGGGCCAGAATGGCCGCCAAATTGTCCTTCGTCAGCCATGAAACTGGATCGACCATCGAATCAGATCGAGACTGGGACCCAGCCGCCCAGGTGATGAAAGTCTGGGACATCCGCAATCGTCAATTGCTCGAACAGTCGAGCCCAATGAATTCTTCCCCGTGCTCGGACACGAGCGGTGCTTTTGCCGCCTTTTCGTTATTTGCTGCTTCTTATGATTGGTGCCGAATGGTTGAGATATGGGCAGACCAGCTCGGAAATCTGCCGTATATCCGAGAATTCACAAGGACTTAAGTCAGAAGGAAGGGGTAGGGAAAGGTGATAGATAGCCTGATGCGAGAGGAAGTCAGAAAGTTAGTAGTGATACCAGCGACGCTGCGACAGCGGAGGCTTAAGGCTGGACAGCCTATCGGGAGATTGCCTCAGCCCAGGGACGGAGGGGACTCGGAGAAGAAGCCAGAGAATCGAAGAATCGATCGTCTGCCTGATTTCTAAGCAGTGTTGACCATTTTTGTCGGCGCAAAAGCAGCAGCAGAAAAGTAGGATTGTTATTGGCTGTTCCGCAATGTACGGAGTACTACACCATTGGAAGACCTCAAGTCATGCCGCCGCTTTTGCATTGCCACACCCCGTGACTGTCCCCCTCTGCTCGACTGCTGCTCCTCCTCGTCTTCGCCTCCAGGCTTCCTCATCACCATCCATTCTCCGCCAGATAGGTGGCTTCTCTCTTGATTCATCTTTCAGCCAACCATCGAGTGGAATTCGATGCACTAGACGTCCTCGCCCATTCTATCTCTGACTCCATATCATTTCCCAACCCCTCTTACCTTGTTCCGCCTTCCCCTCCTCCCTCTTTCCAACAGGCAGTTTTTCCTGGGTTCAGCCGTCTCTCAACACTTGTTCTGCTCCCTTAACTCCTCTGAATTCGAAAAAGTCGGTCCTATTGCTTTCTATTGTCAATCGGTTGACCATTAGCACTGTCGACCACTTGACCGAACCAATATTCTGCCTGGACCACTTTCACACCCGATATCGTCAAGCACCCTCCTGTGATCACTACGTCGTCGCCCGCAGCGTCAGTACCACTGCCTTTACGCGGATCTTGACATCGATACAGCAGACGGGCGGGAAGCCCGACCTGGCGGCCAGCTTAATATTCCGATATCCCTATATCTACGACTCTAATAATTTCCCCACCGTCAAACATATTTTATTCAGATACAACCGGGCTTCAGGCGTACAAATCAATTCGACATGGCCGACTTCAATACAATGTATCAACACGGGCTCTACCTGTCTCCTGGTGAGCAGGATCTCCTCCTAGCCGCACTTTCATCAAACAACCCCAACACGAAGCAGCAATACAACACTAAAAAATCGAATTCTGCTACAACTGTTAACAACACACCCGGTCAAGCATCCTCCGGAAGCTTCAATGCCTCCCCCGCCTTTGATGGTTCAAATAGCCAGTTCGGAAACTTCAACTATGATGAGAGCCCTTTCCTCGACTTCAATCCGGACGTCGAATGGGACTTTCAAGGATCGGAGGATCTAATTGGAGAGTTGCCGGGAGGTGTTCAGTCGGATGAACATGAGGTTGGTGATAAGCGGAAGGAGTCCGAAGACAACTCCGAGGAAGTAACTGGAAAGAAGCGGAGGGAGAGCGACGATAAAGGTGATGACAAGGCAGCGAAGAAACCAGGAAGGAAGCCGTTGACTTCAGAGCCGACTTCGGTACGTATTCAGGTGGCTCTTCGTTGATCAGATGCAGTTGCTGATGATCTCTCGTATAGAAGCGCAAGGCACAGAACCGCGCGGCGCAGCGGGCTTTCCGCGAGCGCAAGGAAAAGCATCTAAAGGACCTGGAAACTAAAGTCGACGAGCTGCAAAAGGCCTCTGATGACGCTAACCAAGAGAATGGCTTGCTCAAAGCTCAGGTGGAACGACTCCAAGTCGAACTTCGCGAGTACCGCAAGCGTCTCTCCTGGGTAACGCACGGCAATGCGCTTTCTGCCATCAACTCATATCCGGGCAACGCAAACCGCATGTCGGGTCTAAATAACAATGACTTCATGTTCGACTTCCCCAAGTTTGGTGACCTTCCTGGTGGACGTATCTTCAGCGGAAAGACCCAGGACAAGGCCAAGGATGACAATCCTATCCCTGGTGTTATCAATCGTCGCTCCGCACCACAGGCGCAACCATCCAACAGGACATCCACAACCGCCTCTCCCAAGGAAGCTACACCTGGCAAATCTGCCACTACATCACCAATCTCAACTGGCCTTCCGTCAAGCCACATTACCAACATGTCTTCCTTTGGCTTCCGGCAATCAGGGACAGGGCCTCTTGAGGGGTCCACATCTGATTCCCCTTCATCCTCATCAGACTCTCACCAGTTCTTGTCATCCAATGGAACGTCTCCGGAACCTAGTGTGCAGTCACCAGAAAACAAGCCGCACGACTCCCACGAGGGACATTCCTGCTCGATTGATGGTGAGGCGTCCTTCTGCGCACAACTTGGCATGGCGTGCGGCAATATCAATAACCCTGTACCAGCTGTGAGACACCGAAGCGAAAGCGCTACGAACACGCCCAATCAACAAGCCAACACAAACACCTTTGAAACGCCAGACAATTTCCCAGGGCTTGACTTTTTTGCTCAGCAGAATGGCAATGCCTTTGATCCCACGCTGTTTGGAGACTGGCGGGAATCTCAGAATGCAATTCTGTCCCAGGAGTTCAACACATTCTTCGACGATGCCTTCCCATTGCCTGATCTGGGTAGCCCCTCGCATAATCTCAGCGAGGCGGGCGCTCATGCTCAGCAGCCCAAGAAGAGCATTCTTGATGAGATTGATAGCAGAATGGATGAAGAGGTTGTTCCTGGGGAGGACAAGGCACAAATGTTGTCTTGCACCAAGATATGGTACGTCACGCGTTGTTTTGGAGTCGTTTTATCCACTAACAGTCTCCTGTCTAGGGACCGCCTGCAATCTATGGAGAAGTTCCGCAACGGGGAAATCGACGTCGACAATCTATGTTCGGAGCTGCGTACAAAGGCTCGCTGCTCTGAGGGAGGGGTTGTCGTGAATCAGCGAGACGTTGATGATATAATCGGCCGCTCCTGAATTGAACGATCGACGGAACCCACCAGAGGAAGTGATCTACAGCGTATGACGCCTCGAAATCGTCTGCTTCTTCGAATTCGATTACGGATACCCCACGATATGATACCTCGGCGATTTTTTGGAGTAATAGGACACGATACATACAGGCTTGGCCATCTACTTTTTTTTGTGAACTGGGAAGCACAACCCCGAATATAACCGCAGGAAAAGCGGCTTATATCCGTTCTTCACTGGTGCAAAATTGACGAATCTTATGGATATTTCCTTTTCTTCTTCCCATTTATCTCTTTGCTTTCCCCTGCTTTTTTCGATTCTGTACAGGCGAATGGAAGGGAGGTGCACACTTGCGATTGACCTGGGAGGTCTGTACACCACAAACGCACATATCGAGTTTGGTTTTTACAATGTACTGCACCGCACTGTCGCGCTGTCGGAGGTGTTAAATGAATAAATCATCGATCAATCCATATACGAAAGAAAATGGAAACTGGAGTTATCTTTGAGCAAGGAGAGCCAAATGAAAAGCCGGGGGATCAGATCAAGGCCTTCTCTCATGTTCTGCATTCGTTTTGACCGGTTTGAAAACTTCAAAAACACGCATATACAACCCATTTCCAAAGATAATAGTTCCATGATTTTCGTTTCTACTACTAGTTCTCTTCCTGTTCCGGTTTGCTGTTTCTTCAGATATCTCTACTCCTGCCCAACTCTGTAACTATTGATTTCAACATTTCGACCGCGATTGCAATTGTGCACGTAATTTGATAGCTTTCTCGATATGCTTAGTACTCCGAAGGTCTATCCTTCTCCCATCTCCTCACGTCTTATTTGCGGGGGCGTACGTAATCGAGAGTCTCGGAAAAGACTTCCGGCTAAGTAGACAAGCAAAGGGTATCAAATAATTGGCATCCGAGAGCGGTAATAGCATACAGAAGCGGAGTGGGCTCCTCAGCTTGGGCATACGAGACAAACTATATCCTCTGCGTTACATCATTCCACAGGCAAATCCGAAAATTTTTCGAGAAAAAGTCAAAGGTGTTTTTTTGTTCTTGATTTCACACGAAGAGAAATAAGTTATTTGAGAACCGTAGGATTAATTGTAGCACATCGCGGGACATTGACCGGGTAAAAAGTTAGGTAAAGTTATGTGAAACCAAGGGACCGGGAAAAGTTAAATGTGACAATGAAGAGACGAAGAGGGAATACAAGGAACTAGAGACAAAAACAGGCTAATTAGATCAAAATCATGCCCTAGGCGTCGCCAGATGCGGCTGGCTTGTCACCGGACGGGGTAGAAGTCGAGGGGGTAGATGAATCGGCCTTGTTGAATCCTCCACGACCGCCTCGTCCACCCCTTCCGCCGCGGTCACCGCCACGCCCACGGCCACCACCTCGCCCGCCGTAGCCTCGTCCACGGCCGGTTTCGCTGTCACTGGCCCCTCCACTCTGGTATCCCCCGCGTTGTGTTGTGTTGCTACCGCCCCGATTGCTGCTCTGCCACGTGCCAGCATTGCCACGGTGGCTACCACGGTCTTCGAAGAACTTGACATTAGGCCTGCGGGGTTGGCCGGCAGGCGTGGACTTTTTGTACTCAATGGGAAGGCGATCAAGGGCGGCCTTGGCCTCCTCCACACTGCTAAAAGTGGCGACATGGTTGTACTTGCCCCATTTCTCTACCTTTAAGAGCTTAGCCTTGTCCTCCTCGGCGAAGAGATCCCGGGCAGCCTGCTCATTATCAACATTTGACACGAAGAGAGCGTTGCTTTGTTTCCGCTCGGTTCTCGGTACCGGCGATTCGCCCGGCTTTTCAGGGTGTGCGCTGCCGTTGGCCTCGACAGGAGGCGCCGATGTCTCGGCAGATTCGACAGACGGCGTAGCACCAGCGGTGGCCGGGGTGCTAGAGGGCTGCGGAGTCGCGGACTTGGGAATAACAGGGGCGGGAGATGTGCGAGCGCCAGGTCCCTTGTTGGCCGGCGCAGTCTGTTGTTGAGTGGGAGGCGCAGCACGTGTGGGAATGGGCTGAGCCTGGCCAAACTGAGGAGTAGCAACATTCGGGCGAGTAGCATTGACAGGAGAAGGAACGCTAACGGGGGCGCCGGGGGCTACTTGAGCTGCTGCGGGTTGGGCGGGTCCAGAAACCGGCGGCTTCCCGGTACGGTGAGCAAAGTTGAAGCCCTGTGCTCGCATTTCAGTTCCGATACGGCCGGATTCAATCTCGAGGACCAGGAAGCCAAAAGCAGCATCCGCCAGGTTGAAGTTCCACATGTTCTTGAAAGCGCTTTCATCTACCTGGCCGCCACCGCTGCCAGGCGTCGGTCCACCAAAGGGGTTTCCTCCATTAGCCACCGAGGGCATCCTGTCTACCACGCCAAGGGCATTCTCCAAAAGAGTCTTTTGAGCATCGTTCTGGGAGATGGCGTTTTCAACCTCAGTCCGCACAGTCTCCCAAACATCGTTAAAGGAAGCCTTGGAGGCGGCGAGTTTGCCGCGGTAGTGGTCGAGTGAAGGGTTCACGGAAAACTCATTGTAGGATGAGCCATAACGGAAGTGCAGCCCAGCGGAGACGGAGAAATCAGCCTTTAGGGTTACGGAGAGCTGGTTTAGCATTCCCTCGCGGGCAGGTGAAGCGTGGGTGACAAAGACACGGGTTTCCGACGGGTCGTAAACACGATTAGCTGTGTCAATCAGCTCTCCCATCTGCAACAGGGTGGTCCACATGGTCCCTTGGCCGCCAGCAATAGTGGTCTTGCCCTCTCCATTGTCAAACAGTTTGTGCATAACCACCGCACCTCCCAGTCCAAGCAGACGCAGCTTAACGCCGCCAATGTCCAGCAACCGTGAGTTGGCTTCATCGATAATGTGGAGCTTGTCGACCTTGTATTCTCCAGAGCGGAATTTCTCCAGTACTCTGACATCCTCACAAGCACCCCACACAGTATATACGGGAACGTCGAGAGTAAACGTCTTGTTCAATAACAAGGGAAGCTCTGAGAGGGGTAGTTGGTCTGGTGTGAATCGCTGCTTGATCGACTGCTGAGGAGGGGTCTGAGCAATCGTGCGCTTTGTAAGTTCTGGCAACAGGGGAGAGTATTGAGCGACATGCTTAAGAGTCCTATGAAAAGATCACCTGCTGTTAGCAAGGCTATCCAATTCATGGAAGGTCCAACGACCACCAATGGCAGTGATCGGATTCTGCCTGCACATGTCACTCACTTGTCCGCAATCCGCTCCAGCGAGGAGTCGTCGTAGAAACCAAAATCGCCAGTGTGGATGATGTGGTCTGCGCGGGCTTGTCTGGCCAACTCATTCAGAGACCTCAAATTTCCTGTAGAGGGGAAAAAGCAAAAGAAGCAACGTCCCAATTAGCCAATCCGCTCATCCTGTAGCGCCGCCGCAGCAAAGACAATATATCCGCAGAGACATACCTCGCACATCCGCAATACATAATACTCTTACAGGTCCATTCTGGATGATTCGTCCGTTGTTGGGCAGCAGAGGGGCGGCTCCAGGGACTGGACCGGAGGCACCGTTGGGGAGCGAATAGCCTTGAGGACCGAAGTTGTGTGGAGGACGGGGCTAGAAGAAGCGGCGAAAGATGTTAGTATCAAGAACTCAAAACAGATACGACCAACTTCGGCGCGTGGTGAATCCGGCGGACGCGTAGACCCGAAGGTGGGAGAGAATGACGTTGAACAGCTAAGCTCCTCTCGCTGTACGGGGTCGGGGGGTTGTTCGGGGGGGCGACAACAACACAGAGGGAAAACCACGTACAGAAGCCATGGGGAGGATACAAGTCAACAGTGGCGGAGTAAAGAGAGAGACAGGGGTCGAGAGAGATAAAGAAGCGACAAGAGAAAGAGGGAGGGCGAGAAAGAGACAAGAGCGTCAGTTGGGGAGATTCGAAAGCTGGAGCAAAAAAGCAGCGGCGAGTTGAACTCTGGGAAAGAGCTTCGATTATGTAAGCCCTGTTTTGTTCTGCCTTTCTATGACTTGCAAGCCTCAACCACTTCAACACAAACATTCAAGTCTAATTAGCGGTCAGTGTTGTGCGGTCCAGACAACCACTGACAAGCTTTTCAATGTAAACTTTGTGCTTCAACTTATCGTTGGGTAGGACTGAGAACACTCTCAAGACAAGAGAACAAACCAGCAAAACAACAACAATTCCCTATATACAGAGGGGCTACAAATCCTCTCTCACTTCATCTGATGGCTTCTCCTCCACAATAGAAGCCCCCTTCGACTTGCGCGATACCGCAGTTTGCAAAGATCTAGGCCCTTGCAATGCCACCAGGGCAAAATGACCACCTACTGTTGGCCGCGCACGACACAATACAGGATGGCCAGGCTCACGACCTTTGGCCGATGTGGCGACATAACGGTCAGAAAACGGCCAGTTGTGTTTCCCATTGGACATGAATCCCCAAAGGTCGTCGATAAACTCGGAGCGGGTGGTCATGTCATCGAATGTCCCGGCCAACCACATGTTCCAGTCCGATTTGGCCCAGTCTTGTCGATTGTCCAGAGCGACGCCATACTCACCTCGGACTTTCTTGAAGAATGTGTTTCCCATCTGGTACGCTTCCTTGGGAAATGTTTTGAGATCGAAAAGCACATCTGGAAACAGGTTATAGGGCGTTTTCCACGAGGAGGGCTTGTCCGGATACTGCAGAACAAAGTGCGATTTAGCTTCATCGGTACCAAGCCCCTGCGTAAAGAACAAGCTCGCACGCTCTTTGCCGATTCGCGAGTACTCGCTCAGCCCACTTAACTCTCCAAATGCCCCGAGGCCGACAGCTGCCTTGATAGCGAGATTGGTCTCATTCGCCAGAGGTCCGGCAGCGTCATTTGAAGATAGCTGATTCGCAATGTCGACGCCATTCTCAACCAAGTAGTCCGCGTACCCTCCTAGGAGCCGGATATACTTGTCTGCCCAGGCTGAATTGCCCGTTGCCCGTACATAAGCCAGCACAAGGACCATCAGGTTGCCGCACTCCTCGATGGGCATTGGCTCCGCTTTTTGGTCATCATGGCCGAGGGCGTTAGGGTAGTGTGTCCCCATGTCATGGATCACATACGGCTGTGTCCAGCGACCGGCAGCAAGGTATCGCATCATCGGTTCCAGCAAAAGGCGGATATACTCTGGCTCCATAACGTAGTAGATGGGAAATGCAGACATGATGACGTCGACTGTGTTAAGATTGCCATTGCTGGAGAGCTCCTTGACAAAGGCCAATACGTCGTTTGTGTCGCGTGAGTCGTTGGGAATTGTCAAATCGATTCCTCCCCAAGCCTGCCGGGCTGATAGAGTCACAATATCAGCATATTTATGCCCCCCCGCCAAGGTCGCCTGGCCTGTCATTTCAGTGTCAACTATTTTCGACTCAAGCAACGCAGCTAGATAATCGTCAAAGAACCACTCCAGCGCTTTGTACGTATCAGGAAATTCAGACCGATAATATCCTGTGTACGCTTTTCCCAGGTAATTGATCGCTTCTTTCCTCACGTATCCAACAGCAAAGAGCACAGAGGACTCGCCACTAACGCTGCCCAAGTCATGAGCAAATGCCACAACTCCACCGGGGGTCCAAGGTACATCCTTGCCGGATAGTTTACCGTCGTTGACAAATTGGGAGCGAATCTGCCTACATTCTCCAGAAGAAAATGAAAGCTTTGATTGAGCGCTTTGATAGGATGAGAGGATGGACTCGCCCCATATCGCCATGTCCCTCTCTTCTGTATACGGAACCGCATTGTCTACCTTGAGCGCGTAAGCTAGGGCTGAGCCCTGCCGATGGAAGCTGCAGACGGTGTTCTGCTGTCTCCCCGCCCATCTCCCATCAATGCTGGAATAAATCTGGATGTCGTTTTTATCGGCACCAGAAACACTGACAGTCAGATAACCTAAACCCCAAGATCAGCTCCGCACAGCACCACAAACAAGGAATAATAAGCCATACTAAACGGAAGCGACTGCCTCAAGTAATTCGACGGCGAGATTGGCGAAAAAAAATCCAGCGTAAAGCTCACCGGCCCAGCGTCAAGCTTGAAGATTGAGTGCGTCGCAGTATATTCCGCACTCCGAACAACAGCAGGCTGAATCTTGTCTCCAGGGCTTGGTATACTCATCAAACTATACGCTTGGCCATCAACGCGCACCATAACAGACCAGGTTAAGTTCTGCCCTGCCCAGAATTGCGGTTCGGCATAGGGAAGCATCTGCACTTGGTCGCTGGGCATCCATGTTGAGAGGTATGGACTCCGAACTGCTAGAGGATATGATGGGGGTTGCGTTGGTAGGTAAGTGACGCTCTCCGATTCAGAATCAGGAGAGATTGCTGCGGAGAGTGCTAATGTCGCCAATGATACGATCCCGAGGATCGCTTCGAAATTCAGGTACATGCTAATGTAGACTTGCGCAATTGGTGAAAAACGACATTCGTGTCAATCCACGGTATGGCATTGAGAGAGTAGCAAACAATGAGCAGAATTGCCCGTGGCAGGAAAAGTAGGTCCTCGTGGCTGTGGAGAATGTCGATCCGGCTCAGCAGCAGCTATATTTCGTCATCGAAGTGGTGCTAATGCACATCTACAACGCGAATATGCTGATAGACTAACTTGTTGCCTCCTTTGGTGAGAATAACAGGTTTCCTACAACGTGGATATCCTTGGATGATGAAAACATGAAGAATGGAATCTCCTGATGGAAGTGCGGGGAAATATACATAGAGATATATCCATCCCGCTATGACGCCTTGAGCTGCAATGGAATGCGGGGTTGCGCGATTCGATAATCTCAAGATCTGACTGTCTGGTATCTCGAATGTTCATGTCGCGAGACTCAATTCTTCAGATCCTAATCAAACATTTCATCTGTCTGTGCAGTTGACTCTTGCCAGCAACAATTCGATACACGTGATCGAGCTGTAGACGCAGCATTGACCCCTCTAATATCGTGAGCTTAGTCCAGGTTGAGTCAGTTTCTTGACTGATTTGTTGTATCATTGAGGCCGACTTCAGATTTGTTGATAGCCACTACAGTGGCGGGCCAGACTTTCGGGAGGAGTACCGTGGATCATAAAGTCGGCAATCAACAACCTCAACCATGGAACGAAGCTCTGCAAGATCTATGAAAAAGCCAGATGAATCGATTTCGGTGATGGATGATCAGGAAAGAAATTATTGGAGATGAAAAAGAGCTGAAGGGAGATTCCCAGACCGCCTTCTGGGCACTGCCTACTACTAATGGTGCTTCCAAGGTTAGGCACCTCCCCTCTCACTTGGACTTTGCCACTCTTCCTCCATATTTCCGTATTAGACCCGCTGTTGGAACATGTATCGATGGCATGAATCTGGCTGCCGCCGACCAGATGTATCCGCCGCCAGTGGCCTTCCTACCTGCAGTTATTGTTTCGCCATTCCCTCTTTAGCACAAGATGCCCTCCCCCGTTTGCCGCAGCTCCAAGATTCGAGTGAGATGAACCTCACATGGCCGCCTGTTGTCTCCTATCGTCACCCGAAATCCGAGAGCGAACGTCAAACACAGCAAGACCAACCAGAACCAAAGACATCGTCATTGCTACCAGAGCTTCCCTCAGAAGACAGCATACGTCTGGTGCGGCTGAAACCTGGTACAGCCGGTAGCCCGATCCACGCGGATTATGAAACTGTGCGCATCAACCAAATTCCTCTCAAACTATACGAGGCTCTATCGTATACCTCCGTTAAAGACCCCGCTGACTCGCTCGAACCCTGTCCGGTATTTCTAGGCAGCTACTGGGACGTGACGTACGTGTCTGTCAACTGCGGAGATGCTCTTCGGCGGCTGAGACGCCAGAAGGCAGATCGGTTGCTCTGGGTAGACTCACTCTGCATAGACCACACGAACCCCAAAGAAAAAAACGCGCAGGTATATATACTGCGGGAGGTATATTCGAGGGCGACCAAGGTTTTGGCTTATATCGGAAATGAATCTCCCGAGCTCTGCCCGGCCTTTCAATTTCTCAAAGAGATTACGGCGTTCCAACCCGGCCAAGACTACCCGGCAACCATAGACAAAGAGACTCGGAGCAGTCTACAAGCTTTAGTCAAACAGCCATACTTTTTGCAGGTCTGGGCGCTTCAGGCAAGCCTTGTGGCGCGCGAGTTTGAACTAGTCTGTGGGAGCATTTCCGCACGCTGGCCTAAGAGGCCCTTTGGCAATTCGTACCCTGACTTGAACATACCTTCATGGTTATTCAAGGATGCGAAATGGTTCCCATTCACAGGAATTGATTTACTGAAGATCTTGGCAGATGGATCTCATTACAAATGCTCCGATCCACGAGACAAGGTATTCGCCATTTTGGGCTTGATGGGTGAAAAGTTGATTGGCCCCGAATACCGAATCCCTGTTGAGAATGTGTACACTGGAATCACCGCATATCTTCTCAAGAACTGGCAAGTATTCGACGTCATGGCGCTGGCCGGACAAAAGAGAAGCTTCAACCTTCCATCCTGGGTTCCAGACTGGTCTCGGAGCCTGTCGCTACCATCATTGGATGACTTTCTACGTACCAAAGATGATCTGGATAAACCCGATGACGGCACGCTAGATTGCCCAACACGCATCAAGTTCAAAGACCTCAGTCAAGGTGACTGTCACATAGAGATAGACTCGGCCACGGGTGCAATGCAGCTTCAAGGATTCAAGCTGTACAAAGTGTCGGGAGAGACCGTCCAGAGTCAAAACTACACACACATTCGCATGTCCTTGGGCGATATGGGCTTCTTTATAGTCTCAATCCCTCAGCAAGACTACCAAGTCTCTGAAAGAGACGAGCTGTTCCTTTTGAACGGATATAACCACCCTGTGATTCTTCGAGAGAAACCAAGCGCAGGAAGCTATACTTTGGCCGCCGCTTGTGCTGTCTCGATTGGCTGCCCTGGTTCGAAACTGCTTGTACCCTGGTACCGGCGACTGAGGATACTGCTCCCATCTTCAAACTCTTTGACTGTATCAGTGTTGACACCGGAAGAAGATAACTCACTCCAGCAATTGTATTCGAGGATGGACAGCACAGACCCACCCACCGCGGCTATATTCCGCACTAGAGCCCTAAGTTTCTTGATGCTCGCCCAAACAGGCATACAACGATTCGAGAAAAGCCTTCGAGTGGACTGGAACAAATGGAACCAAGAACTCGGCTGGATGTTTCGCGACCAATCTGCCATCTGGCAATACCTCATCGAAACAACCCAACTAAGTACAGATGAACGCTGTGGCGAAGGGCACATGGACATGCGCGGACCGGACCGCTACGCTGTCGGGAAGAAATTTCCCTCAAGCTACACTTGGGATCTGACCCGCTTCTGCTGGGCCTTTCTACAACCCAGAGACACATACTCTGAGTCCGAGCTTCAGTGGTCGCCCATGGTAGACCACTTGCGGTCCCACCGCTCCGAAATCCAGAAATGGGCACAAGTTACCGAACATCTCCTGAGAGTTTTCGAATACTCTGCCGCGGCACTCGGCGACGGTCAGTGGAGGACGTTTCCGGGCGTGCTACTTCCGCAGAGCTGGGCGTCAAACTACGAGTGCTTCCAAAGTGTTCTTAACCTGGACCAGAGTCAGCAGCTGCTCCAGCAGCGCCCGCAGCTGGGGCCAAATTGCCTTTGGAGTATTGCCGAGTTCGAGCGGCATTTGCGTGCGCGCGAGGAGATTTGGCAGCTGCGGAGTGAGGATGAGCGGCGCCGTGGCGAGGATAATATCGAGGCGCATGCGTTATTGAATCATCTGGGCATGGACTTGTACAGTGAGCAGGATATCAGGATCGAATAGCTGGGTGTCTCAGATTGTCAGAACCTTTCCTCTTTTTCTTTTTGTTTAATCAGAGAAGAAATTGCAGTGATTTGAGTGCTATCTTCTCAATCTGTAGAAGCATTGCGTGAAAGTACTTTAGAGGCTCGAAATGTTGATATAGGGCCGCTCGCTATGCATGGGTCCGGATCTTCTAGAGAACGAAACAGGCTCTTCCTTGCGTCCTGTCCTCCTTCCGTCCATATAGACTCATCAGGCCGACATCACTCGCTAGAAGTAGAAATATATGTGACCAGAATACTAGAAATATCAAAGTAGCACGTCTGGCAGGCGCTGCTCGTCAACGTCCCTGCCTTACCAAACAGCTCTCACTGTACTAGATACATGCACCTGAAGCTATGACTTACCTACTGTCGCTATGCTCGTATTCCCCTGAACGACAGCCATAAACCGCCTCTACTCTCTCTCATCATCCCCATACAGGAACCCCTCTAGTGATAGTCTCATAGAACGACCCGCCGTATTTCTGGTCTCTGTCGCCGTAGAACACCAAGGGGCCCTTGTGCTCTATTGCGAGCTTTCCCTTTGCCCGTGTAATCAAATTGGCGTCAATGTACCGTGGTGGTCCTCGGGGCGCAGCATTTCAGCTGGGGCCTATTGTAGATGACTTTGAATTTGCTCGGCCCAGCAGATGGATCTTCTTCTCGTACTTTTGCCAATTCCTCAGTCAGCGGAGGGAAGAAGTGGCGCCAGACATATGGCATAGCATTCCTGTAGCGTCACTGAGCGGATTGTGTCCCAATGTCAGGTGAGAAAGCCTTGTAATTAGGGGCAGATGGCAATGTTACCGAGGGTCAGAACCCGCAGACGACGCATTTCAGCGTGTCGAAGGCCGATGTCGTGAGGGTAAGACTGGGATATATCTGCTGAGCCCAGAGGTGAAGTGTATGAGGTGTTAAAAGTAAACTCTTCGACACTGCTTAGGTTGTTTAGAAACCAGGGGACTAGCTAGTCTGCGAAGCCGGGGAAGAACTGCGTTTTGTTGAAAGCCCAACCGCCGCCATTCTTAAACGGGTTTATAGAAAGGGTGAATGGGTTAAGGCGCGAGAGCAAGGAGTGGAATTCGTCGGTGTAGAATGTAGAGATGTTGGCGAAGCTTAGATGGTGAATCTCGAAAGAAGGAATCTGCTTTGATGCCTCAATTGAATGGGCTGAGATGATAGCTTTGAAGCTTGCGGCCATGAAGGCGAACCAGGTAGAGGACTTTTCGCCAGCAAGGGGGATTTGCTCGGATATCTCAAATCATCGCGATCCCCCCCGGCCAGCCATCATCGTATGGGAAGTCTACGGTGAGATGGCGCAGGTTTGGAAAGGAAGCAGGGAGGTTTGAGAGAACCCTGTCGTGTTCTGGCGGGGAGTTCGCTTTGCGTTTGAATTCTATGAATGGGTGGCATTGACTGTGGTTTATGTGGGACAATGCACAATGCAGCGGCGATTTATAGCTATAGGAGCGCTAAGGAGGGTTGAACCGAGGTTGGCAGCGACTGCTGAGCGTTCGCGTTCGACTTGGAAGCATTGCCAGCGATGGTCCACAACGTTAATGTATCTCAAGGCAGTACCTTGCGTTTAGTTGAAGATTTTGGTGCAGAAAATCCCGACAATTGTGGGAGTGCAGACCTTTTGGTATATATTTACCTACAGTTCAACTTTTATTCAACAGTAACCCCAGTATTATAACCCTCTTGGGACCAAATGCATAAACATCTCTCTAGGCTTCTCTAATCCCGCTCGGCCTCTGCATCATCCCCAACCTGTCCCTTCAAAATCTCCCTAACAGCAACCCACGAGTTCTCAACTTCGGTGACCCTCGTTTCCTTTTTCAAAAGCGCCTTCAACTCGTCGGGAAGTACCTGCCCCTCAAAATCAAACCCAGCCTCACCCTGCAAGGCCTTTGTAACCGCATCCGCAAACTTGGCTGGATGCGCCGTGCACAGCGAGATATGATGCGTTCCCTGCGCGGCGCGGGCAATCGAGCGCTTCGCCGCCGTCACACCGACGGCGGAGTGCGGGTCTAGGATGTACTGCGAGTCCTTGTAGTAGGATTGAATGGTCGAGAGAGTCTCGGAGTCGCTGACGCGGTCGGACTCGAAGGTGTTTCGGCCAGCTTCGAGCATGGCGCTGTCGATGGGGCCGAAGCCACCGGTGGTTTTCAATGATGTGTACCAAGAGACGATGGATTCGGAGGCCTTTTCTGTGGCGGCACGGGGGGAGGAGCCGTTTGCGAGCGCGTTTTCTGTGCCTTGTTAGCCTCCTTGATGACTAGCAGAATATAACGGTTGGTTGGTGTACCCTTTGCAAGGAACCAGAGCAGACGCTCAAAGTTGCTGGAGACAAGAATGTCCATGGCGGGACTGAGAGTTTCCTTGCAGCCGTCTGACTTGCTGGTTTCATCGTGAACGGGGTGCTTCTCATAGCGGCCGGTTGTCCAAAAGCGGTGGAGGATGTCGTTCCTTTGAGATGTCAGCGGTGTTCTTGATATCTGGTTCGGCGGGAATCATGTCTATGGAGACTTACTCATTTGTGGCAACTGTGAAAACGCTCTGTTAGCAAGCGCGCGGAGTCACATCATAGGGCAGAGATGTACGTACCGACTAGCTTATCCGCGGGAAGACCCATCTTTGTAGCAAAGAAACCAGCGAGAATGTTGCCAAAGTTTCCGGTGGGCGTCACAAACCGCACCTTGTCTCCTACCTTAAAAGAAGACGACTTCTTCGCAAGCTGGAAGTAAGAAAAGAAGTAAAAGACGATCTGAGCGAGAATTCTGGCAAAGTTGATCGAGTTCACAGCGCCGAGTTTCAGGGCGTTGTTTGTGTCGGCGTCGCCGAAGAGGGCCTTGACGATGTCCTATTCTTGCATTTAGTTGCCATTCGACGGTTTTCTAGTGCAGGTAGATGCGAGGAGCGTACTTGGCAGTCGTCGAAAGTACCCGTAACAGCCAGGTTGTGGACGTTCTTTTCTGTGCAGGTCGTCATTTGCACCTCCTGGATAGGGCTAATGCGGCCCTTGGGGTGGAGGATGGTGACTGTGACATCTTTCTTGCCGCGGAGACCGTGAATAGCGGCGGAGCCGGTCTAAAAATCAGTATTTTATCACGATTGGGATATAGCGTGAACTAACATCTCCGCTGGTTGCGCCGACAACAGTCAAGTGGTGTCGCTCTATCGCATGGTTAGTTAAATCCGACTTGTACTTGCGAAATTCGGGTCTCCCCGCGCACCTTTGCCTTGCTTGCCCTGGTTCTTGCGGACGAGGAAGTATTCAAATAGGTTTCCGAGGAATTGCAAGGCGCCTGAAGTCATCAGCTCAACGACTCAATATAATCGCCGCCGGGGAGAGTCGCACAATCCTTGAAAGAATAACTCGGGCCATGGAACAGCTCAAGCAGATACAGGTTGTCCTGGTGGTTAACAACCGGTGTGATATCCTCCGCGCGGAATGTCGAGTAACTCCGATCAATGATGGCTTTCAAGTCTTCGGTAGGGATCTCATCGGGGGAGATGTAGAGGCTGAGGATTTTGAGGGCAAGGTCTGCGTAGGAGAGGTCTTTCCAGCTTTGCTGTAGTTATTCATATTAGACAATGGAGAGACTCGAAAGTCCGAATCAATTGCGCACCCATTCATCAGCAGTTGGAACTTGGTGAGGCAGGAAAAGACCGCCATCCGCGGCGAGGCCCTTTAGGACGACTGTCTCGAAGGAGAGCTGTCAAAAAAATGATTAGCGGATTGTCGTCAGCGTCGGGTCTGTGGAAAGCGCACGTCGTAGTCTCCTCCTCTCGTCGAGAGGTACTTTTGCGAATCAGTCGGCATGATGTGATCTTTATCCCAATTGTTGTCTAGATTGTCAATTGTAGATATTGAGGGGAAGATTTTCTGGTGACTCAAAGTTTCCGGCTTCCTGCCCCTCCCGACCTCGGAGTCGATTGCGGTTCTCCGGAGTCCTGCGAGGGCTCCGATCTGCCCAGCCAATGACTTTGCTGGAATGGCGCCTCTGGCCCGGTGATCAGCGCGTGCTGCAAAGTCACGTGTCATATGCTTCATTATTTCGTGCAGCGGCCAACCAAGCCACGCGCCCCTTTCCACTCCTTGTCAGGGTTACAAGGGTTACAGTGAAGTGTTGCTGAGTCTATTTACCCAAGTTATTGTTGATATTCTATTTTAATAGAGAGCCCATGGACTAGGAAACTCATAGATGTCCCCAGGCACCATCAACACCAAGCATACTTTTCGTTCAAAATCCAGTCCAGCGATTTGGGGAACCCATCTCCTTCTCCGTACCACTGCAGACAAGGTATACTTTCCTGTGTCCTGGTTCGACCTTGGAAGGAAATATCAGCTTTCTTGATCAGCTCCTCCAATGCCTTTGACGGGCTCCATAGTTTGACCTTTCCAAGCCCCCATTCCGCCGCCTCGGTTTGCGCCGCCTGAAGGATAGCCCGCACATCCTCCGCGGCGGGTTCTCGATCCTCCATGACAAATCGGAGAATGTACAGCGTATTACTAGCTGAGGAATCACTGTCAGGATGCCGGTAGAAACGATGCGTCCAGATTGCCCAGGCGCGATTGCCAGGTGGACCAGCAATAGCGCCTTTGACTAGCGGGATCTTGCCGAGGAGCCTTTGGGCGCCGAATTCCTCCTTACTATGGTGCCAAACGAGGTGGTCGTGGTCCGGTATAACCGCGAATCGAGGTTGGCTTTCAGTTGACGGCTTTGAGAGCAAAGACCGAAGTATCGCTTCATCTTTCTCACATAGCGCAGCTAGATCCTCCGAGTAGAGGGGCGTGGCGCCATGGGGTGCCACCTTGGGCTCAAACTCGAGATGGTAGCTTGGAAACGGGTTCCATCCCAGTCGCTGATAGAATCCAGGATCAATATCGGAATAAAGCATGCTAGCGATGCATTTTTTCCCAGCATCGATCCGCCAGTTGGGCAAGGTCTTACTTAATTCCTTTAGCAAGCGCGAGGCATATCCTCGTTTGCGCAACCCGGGTTCGCAGTACACGCTCGCAATGCCATGTGCGATTACTTCTTCGCATTTTCCATCCGGATCACTAAACAGGGCTCTCTTGAGAAATGTCTCGCAGGAGGCGAGCACCGTGCGCTTGTCGGCTGGTTGGTTGTCGTCTACCAAGACCCATTGTGTGATGCCGTTGTTCCGGGCGAGAGGGACGGTAAGGAGGTATGCGTATTCTTCGAGATACTGTGGGGCTGTAAGAGCGTCTCTCCAGTCGTTGGATGTTTGGTTCCAGATTCGAAGTGTTTCGCTTTCTGTCGGATGGTTGAGGCGGAGGCTTGAGGAGGCGGAATTTGGGAGGTCGTCTGAATTTCCGAGTTTGTTCGAAGGTGAGTTAGGGTTAACCGCGAAAGTGGCTGAAGCCATGTTGGACAAAGTTGGGGAAGCTGACTGCTCCGTAACTCTGGAGTAAAATGGTTGGTGGCAGATTCGAGAAAGGCCTTCTGTCACAAGCTCGCTGGTTCATAGCTCGGGTAAAATTTCTGGAGCTATATACCTTCAGTGGGGGAGGCGGGGTCTAAACGGGGTATGGCGTCGTCAGCCCCGGCCCCGGGGCCGGCTACCCCAGTGCGGGAGTGCCCCTTTTCAGCCCATGGACAGGCGACAGCTGAGAGCTCTCCGAGACTCATCCCTCCTGCAACAGTGAGATAGTGACACAACGTCATAATCAAGACATCAGGTTTGACTCATTTCAGATCGAGCGGTCAAGTCCAGCTAATGGCATTCTCCCACAGACTCTTGCAGCAGCCGCCGAACCTATCACGAGAAAGCATTCTTTCTGCGGCACGCACGCCGTTAGAAAACGCTCTTGAATCGATTCTGATACGACCTGAGATTCAGAAGCACACACCTCACCTCCCACAAGCACTGATTTCCCAGTTCAAATTGAGATTGGGCTGAAAGAATCCCTCCAATTCGATTCTCCTCGCTCCACGTCAGCAGGAGGCCCCCGCTACTTGTTCTCGAAGCACCCCTCTGCCTGACTCTGGGTCCTGTCTGCAACTTAGTCTGCATAATAATTACCCTGATAGGGCATTACTTGATTTGAAGAATCAAAACATAGTCAATTCATCCGCGGAGAGAATACCATCGTCATGCCTTTCTTTCGCAAACACAACCCATCTTCCCAGTCTCCGTCAAAGGACGAGGGGGATAGCGGGCGTCGCTCATACTTCAGTCGCAAAACATTCAGCTCCGCTACTACCTACACTAATCAATCAACAAAGACCCCTCAGGCATCATTAGCCCCAGCGTTTAGCTCTCCATCTAATCTCCATCCCCGCCCCACTTCAACCGGGGCATCTGAGACACAGTTCCTCTGGGAAGACATCAACCCGCCAGCAGAATACCTCAGCCAAGTTCAAGCACCACCAAGCTACCCATACAACCACTCTTTACCTCCGTCTCACATCTCTACACGAACCGAAGCGGAAGAAACACACACATCCCCATACCCAAGCGCCCGCATGCTCAACCAATCCCAACCAGGTCTCCCATCAGTCCCCTCTAACTCCGCCCTACCGGGTTACAACGACGTCAGCGGTGCCGTCGTGGTGGATGCTGACGGCTATCCGTGCTTTTTGTCCCCGCAGGAAGAGCTGGATCGAAAGGCCGAGCTGCAACGCGCAGTCCAGGAACGTATGATGGGGTTACCGCGGACAACAAATTTCAGCTGGCAGGCGTCGGGGAGCCCGGTACTACCGAGGTATGAGTGTGTACCGTCGGGGGAGAAGAGGATTTCTAGTTCAGGGCGTTGAGACTCAATCTGAATATTCGATAGGGGCAAGGGTGCTGTGTAATTAAAGCGTAGCTTTCTTTTAGTAGTTTTGGGATTATATGCTACCCCAGGAATCCTTTCTCTCCATTTTCCGAATCGCGACTTACGAATTAATGAAATAAGAACAGCCTGCGCTGGGCACTCACAGGATGCAGTAGTCCCGTACAGATAATATATGCATTTTCCAATCATATCTATATAGCGAGCACCCCTAGCTGCTGTACATAGATGCTCAGCACCGAAAAAGCCTCAATCCACCTTCCTCCGCATCATCATCCTCACTCACATCACTCCGCTCTCCATGAACCTCATCCTCCTCCTCGCCCAACAACCCACTGGCTGTCTTGCCCAACAACGACGCAAAGAACTCATCGCGCGCATGCAGCGTCCAGGTGCCGCGCTCCTCGGGCGCCATGAAATTCTGCAGCTTCTCATGAACATCAAAACGCATCTTTCTTCCTTTCGAGGCCCGTGTATCGACGTCGCGCTTCACTTTATCCTTGCGCATCCCTGTCACCGGGTGCACGTCGCGCGAGGGCAGGAGGTGTAGCGTGTCGAGCCCGTTGGTAATTGCATCGGACGAGGACATGCGCTGCTCAACCAGGTCACGGAGGAGGGATTGATAAAAGAGAGCATCGGTGTAAATGGGTTCTTCCGCTTCAGAGGGGTTGGAAGTCGAGGTGCCATTTGTGGCGGGCATGTTGTTGCGCGCGCGCTTCGCGGCGCGGGAGTCGGCGGTCTCGGAGGCAATGTGCGCGTCGAGGACGGCGGTGATGGTTTGTTGGGCGGATGCGGAGCCGAGGAGCTTGTTTGTCTTTGAATTGGCGAGGGTGGTGGTGTTTGCGCCGCGGACTTTGAGGGACCATTTGTCGAGGATTGCGCGGCGGTGGGTGACGGCCGTGGACTCGAGGTCGGTCATCCGGGCCCAGAGGGAGGATGTGGCTGTTGTTGAGGTGGCGGGGGAAGGCCGTTTGCGTTTCTTTGACTCGTCTTGTGTCTGCGCGTCGGCGAGGGTGAGACGGAGGTCTTCGAGGGTTGACCAGAGCGTCAGGGCGGCGGTTTCGGCTGATCTGAAGGCGTCGGCGTCGACTTCGTCATCTTCGGTTTGGTTGCGTGCTGCGACAGAGAGCTGGTTCACTGCGGTGAGACCTTTTTGGAACTTGATGCGAGCGTTGAGAAGGGCGTCAAAGGTTGCGCGCTGTTGCTTGACGGCTTTGCCCTTTGTCGCGTCGGCTTTGGCGGCTTGGGAGATGGTCGCTGCGATGGTCTTTTGGTCCGTGGCCATTAGTTGGCGGAGTTGCTCGCGGTCGTCGAATCCAGAATCAAATTTCACTCGGCGCTTTGCGGGTTTTTCATCTTCCTCATCGTCCTCATCGTCTTCGTCGTCTTCATCTTCATCTTCGTCACCATCTTCCTCTGAAATCTCTTCCTCGTCGAAATCTTCCATATCATCCTCACTACCCTCCGATCCATCTGTATCCATCCCGTCCAGATCGTCTTCAACTCGTTTTCGACTAGCAGTCTTGAATTTCGGCGGCTTCTCGTCTTCGCTTCCATCGGAGATATCATCGTCATCGCTCAGATCCTCGTCTTCATCGCCACTTTCTTCGTCGCTAGACCGCGCCGCAAATGGATCGTCGTCACTCTCGGCCTCAAGTGCGTCTCGGCTAACCCGCGAACTGGCGTACTGTTTCCCCAAGGAAATCGGATCCTCCTTGCGAAGTTTTCCCTTTCTAGTACCAGTGAGCACAACCACCCCGCAATTAATGTATGGAAGAGACTTATACTAACCCAACAGCCTGGTAATGCTCCCTACCAGCACTGGCATCCTTCACGGGTGCCTCATCATCGCTAGATTGTCCACCGCGCTCAATGTCCTCCGGGTCAAAATCTGATCGTTTTTAGCTTTCCCACTTTTTCATATAACAGGAGGCCAGGAAATTAAATATACCTCTCGGAGTAAGATCCTCCAGATCAGCAATCTGTTCCGCTAGCGACTTTGGCGCCATGACTTTCCGAATGCCGGGTTCCTGAATTCAGGTTTTTTTTTTATTTGCGGAAGAGAAATTATTTTTCTGCCGCGATTATCATATTCGATGATCGAGAGGCCAAGAAGGCGGTGGGAGCGAACAGGCGGTGCCCAGGGCGGTGAATCCTTACGCCGGCAGTATCATGATCTGGCCTCAGGCTGACATCAACTTTCGCTCTCGAGTCACCTTGTCCATAACGCGCCATGGCCGTGAAAAAAAGGCTTTTCTCGACATTTCGGTGTCTGCAACATGACAATCCACTGGTAGGAGCTTGTTGACAGAATTTTGGTTGTACTCATCTAATAATCGCAGGGCCTCCCACGATCCGGCACCCCGCCTTCGTTCCCCCGTCGCCGCGGACTCCCCGAGAAGCGCAAGATTCGCGATGTGAAAAAGGTCATTGCCGTCTCGTCGGCAAAAGGAGGAGTAGGGAAGTCTACAATCGCAGGTGCGTAGCGCTATATACCTTTGAGCACAAGAACGACAGGCGTGTGCCTGTTCAGCTTATAGTCCCAACATTTGTGAAAACCTAACAATGAGATAGTAAACCTCGCCCTCTCCTTTGCACGCCGCGGCATTCGCACCGGAATATTGGACACAGATATCTTTGGCCCTTCGATTCCTACCCTCCTAAATCTCTCCGGCGAGCCTCGTCTTGATGATAGTACGCAGTCCGCTCGCCTCCTCTCGACATGCCTATCCAACTAACGAAGCCCAGATAACTGCCTCATCCCCTTGACAAACTATGGCCTGAAATCCATGTCAATGGGCTACCTCCTCCCTCAACCCGAAGCCGCCTCCACATCTCCTCTCCACGAATCCGGCCGCTTACCGATGGACACAACCCCGATCTCCTGGCGCGGCCTCATGGTCACAAAAGCCATGCACCAACTCCTCCATTCCGTCTCCTGGGGCCCGCTCGACGTCCTCTTCCTCGATCTGCCGCCGGGTACGGGAGACGTTCAACTCACGATAAACCAAGAGATTATCCTCGACGGGGCCGTGATCGTCACGACGCCGCAGGATATTGCGCTGCGCGATGCGGTAAGGGGCTTTGGGATGTTCCAGCGCATGGATGTGCCGGTTTTGGGGATGGTGAGGAATATGGCGTACTTTGCGTGTCCCGAGTGTGGGCATCAGACGAGGATCTTTTCGCATGGGCTACATGACAAGCATGAGCATAAGCATGAGCATGCGCATGGGGGTGCAGGGGAAGGGGACTGGGGTGTGCTAGCGGAATGCAAGCGGCTTGGGGTTGAGTTTTTGGGAGATATCCCGCTCGATGCAAGGGTCTGTGAGGATGCGGATCGTGGGGTTCCGACCGTTGTTGCGGAGGAAAATGCGGAGAAAAGTGCAAGGAGGGAGGCGTTCATGGGTGTTGCGGAGAGGGTTGCTAGAAAGGTTGGAATAAAGTGGTAGATTTTCCTGCCGCTTTTGTACTTTTACGCTGTACTACTGGTAGAGGACTTGTATATTAATCGGCATATACCCCTATGTAAAATGTGATATATACATTTGGTGAATTCAAAATAATCATATGGACAAACGTCTTCTAAGCTTGCATGGGTATACAGATTTATAATCATAATCAATCAAATAGCCACAGTCGTGTAAACCGCAATAAATGGCAGGGTGTGTTACAAAGGATATAGATGTACACCGAGGGGTGTTCTCTCCGTGACTGGAAAAGGGCGCATCATTTTTGTGCCTCTGACGCCACTCCGTTCGTAGAAAGAGTAGCAGGAAGGCTATCGACGGAATGGTAAGCCGAATTATCGTCGTTCAGGAGGCTGATAACGCCTCTTGCATTGAGCACGGCTCGCGTACTCGCAGCGTCAGCCCCCATGCTAGTAACCGCGAGGGACCTTTCGTCCCCAATTGTGCTCGTATCATCTCCTGGCTCAGAGGTGAAGCCACTGCGTATCGTATTCGAGCCAGTCCGTGAGATTGGGCGCTGCGTGCTCTTGGCGTCATCGGCACGCGGAATTGTCCCTGGTACATGGAAGAGCGCTCTTGTGCTTGCGTTTTCATACTCGTCATTAGACTTCCCTTCGTAGTTTGGGAGAACAATAAGAGGGCTAAAGGGTTTGTCTGGGGGCACTGGTGGGAGTAATATAGATGAACCGGAGGCTTCCCCATTCGTAGGTACCTGGCTGGTAGAGGATGTTGTATCGTTTTGCTGTTCTTGTACTGGGAAGGAAGGGATCTTCTCCTTGTTTTCTTGGCCTTGCTCAATTGAGGCACCGGCTCTTCCGGCTTCGACACTGGTTCGTTGCGAGCGGCTCTCCATTTCCTGTTCTCTCTTGATTGTCCTCTTGTCGTGTTTGCTGGCAAACTTGCTCCACATGGACATAAGGTAGCTCGTCCGAAGGCCCTTTGGTGGTAGCGCACCAGGAGCGAACCTTCTTGCAGCTAGAGAGCTGGGCGGCGGTGTCTCACCGTCGAAATCCTGGAATCCAAACGCTAGGCCTTGGAGTCGTTGTTGGTGCACGGCAGCTTTTTCTTTGGCGAATCTATGGTCCCACTCTTCTTTCACCAACATCCACTTTATGAGGAGCCCCGGGTTGATTGTACCAACTGAGGAAGGAGGTATTTGTAGTACTGGACATGCGTGGGGAGGGTCAAGAGGGTATATATGGCCTCTCTTGTTGACGCCCTGGCGTATCATGCGGTCTTTGAAAGACGGAAGCGGATCGCCGGCCTTTCCAACAGTAGGGGAGGCGATGTCATGTGCATCCTTGCCCCTCTCTCCAGTGGTTGACTCTTCAGAGCTCTCGGATTCACTAGAAGAAATCGGGGAAATCTCATCATCATTCATGATTTCGATGCTAGAGTCCTGTGCGCGTGCCAAGGCCCAGGCTCCGAACTGAGCTATTGATCGGAACATGTACTTGGCAGGACGTGTAAAGCTGAGGATTGGGGCAACATGGCAGAGGTCGTCCCATACCTGAAGCTGTACGTAAGTACCAGGGTACTTGTGCAGTGTCTCGCGTTGCGGGTCAAACTCTTCAATGATGGTATCGTTCGGTGGGTACGCACTAGGGTTAGCAGCTTTATGCGCAACGTAAAACTGCTCATCTCGGAGCATCTCTCCGCCACCACTGATGACCTGAAGGGGAGGTAAACCTCCGAGGGAAGGCTGGAAAATGGGAGAAACGAGAGGATGAAAGAGAAGGTCGTTTGTCGTGTACATATGTATCTGGTCCTTGACTTCGATTGTTTTCCCGTTCATCACAAAGGATGGAGGCGGGCGCCCATATCCCATTGTCGGGTGCTGGGAGTCTACAGCGAATGTATTCCTTGTCTTGCCACCATTTTGATTCTTCTTTTCGCCTTTGGATGCAAAGTTCTCTGTCAGAGATCTCTTGATCTCTTTGATTTCGTCTTCATTCGGTGGAGGCCAGGCCACCGACGGCTTGTGCAGAAACCCGTGCGGAGGGATATAGTCTCCAGGATTGTCCTTGACGATACTGGGAAGCGAATGCGTCAGATCAACCCATGGAGATATCAGTATCGCACCGGCAGGTAGAGGAATCCCTTGGTCGCGGCAAATGACAAGCATACTAGGAACGTTAGTCGGGTTAAATACGGCGAGACTCATGAACTTACGAGAGAATCATTCCTCCACCAGCCGAATCTCCCGCAAAGATGATCTCATTGGGCGAGTGGTCCTGTAAGAGGAAGAAATAGGCTGCTAAAGAGTCTTGCAGCCCACATGGGAATGGAAACTGTGGGGACAAGCGATATTCAGCTTCGCAATGTTAGCTTCATCAGACGTTTTCAAGAATCAGACTCACTGAGTAATATTAGCGAACCGCATTCCCAGACAGGCATTGTGAGGACTTACCGAGCAAAAACCCTTCCCTTCAACTTTCTCGCATGCCGCTGCAACTGGTATCGATGGGTTTCGACACTTCCAAAGTAGTATGCACCACCATGGATATACAACATGATGCGCCTCTGACTAGGGTGATCCTTTCCGACACGCTTCCTCTCATTGTAATCACTTTTCATTTCAATCCACTCTCCTCTCAATTCTGTATCGCCGGCCGGGCCACGCCACTGCCACCACTCCTTCCCTCCGACTCGCGCAACCCCGTCAGGGCCCAGTTGTGTGATAAGTGCATCTGCAGCTCGCGATAAGTATTCCTTCGAGATGGTCAAGCGCGTAACTTTTACCCAGTGCGGAGCAGGTACGCGCTGTCCAGTGAACTCCTGGATATACTCAATCGGGCGCTTGGAGCTATAGTTGATGAATTCACGGATGACCGAGATTCCTTGATCGTAGGAGAGATGAACGTTTGGCTTGTTGTGTAGGGTCTTGCGATTTACATACTACAGCTTCAGTTAGTATCCGTCACTGAGCCATATAACCCGCGGAACGTACATGAGAGAAGAAAGTCGAAACGACGGTCGGAGTGAGGGCAACCCCGACTGAAACGGTGCTTAATGCCATAATGCGTCTTAAGCCGTCAGATCATTGCTATAGACTTGTAGCAATTGAGAGACGTTCAACGATATCGAAGAAAGATAAATGGTGGTGAAGGGGGTTCGTCGGAATGCCAGGGGAGATGACAGAGATGATCATGAGCGAGAGCTGGAACGGTGGGGATAAAAACTGGGCCAGGGCAGATTGCCAGGAGATTCCGTCATGGAGGACGAGGAATAGCAGAGATCATCATCGCCTTTATGAATATCTTAGCGAATCGATCAATGGATGATGAGGAAAGAAAAGCGATTGGGGGGAACCGCAGTAGCATGTGATGTCATTCGAGCCCACGTTCTCGCTGAGCCTCGTTCGAATTCGTTGCACCCGAGGAACGCTGCGGAAGAATGACTCGCGTCTGTTTGTCCGACGGAAGGGTGGTTACTTGCGCAGATGATGAATTGTTGGTGACTTGGTTACATCTGGTGAACCGTGCAACGCGCTGTCCGTGGACCCTGGCTTTGGTATCCGTATTCCCTTTGGCTTCAGCCTCCGGCTGTGCTTCTTTAGCACAAGACCCTGAATCTGCCAAGCTTCGAGTCCCTTACGGAACCCGACCACCAGCCACACCTTCGAGCTGGGCAGCGATATCCTCGACATCTTTTGCACGGGATGAGATAAACTTCTAAGACTTTCAAGTTCAAATTATTCAAAAACTCAGCAAGTGATACGTAATGCCTTCGCCGACCAGACCGCTTATGCAAGGGGAATGCTTCATCTATAGAGCCAGGAGAACAGATGATCTTATGCACAATTACGTTTATGCTGCAAAGTTATACAACCCGGGCGGTTAGCATAAGCCATACTTCTTGATGCATATGTACTACTTCCTGTAGATATCTCTTGAGGGCCCGGGAGCGAGGAGGCATTTGAGCTTACAATGACCTACTTTGGAAAATAAGAGATTACAATACGACTGCGATCTAGTAACTCAGTCTTTCGCAACGTGGACTATAATTTTCCCCTTTGCCCTACCGGAATGTAGCTTCTCATAAGCCTTGATCACATCCCCAAACTCAAACACCTCGTCGACAACCACCCTGAGCTTTCTCTCTTTCAGAAACTCGACAACGGTCAATAGGTCCTCCTTGGAATTTTCCAACATTAGCGGCACAAACCACCTTCTCCCACCACCCAGGAATCTGGGCGTGATGGTCCTCCACACGACTTTCATTATGCTCCCGGCACCGACCTGCACATAGGCACAGCCGGCCTTTAGGAAGTGGTGGCATTGCGAATACAGATTATCCGGAGTCCCAATGTGGTCGATGGCATGATCGAATACTTGCCCCTTAGCTTTGAGGGTTTGGAGCACATCTACCGCCGTATAGTCGATGACTTCGTCAGCTCCGAGCTCCCTCACAAGCTTTTCATTTCGCGATGAGCAAGTGACTGTAACGTGGCACCCCAACATCTTTGCAAACTGGATCGCAAAGACACCGCAGCCGCCGGAGCCCCCATTGATAAACACCTTCTTCTGCTCGTCGCCAACTGCACCTGGTGAAGAGGAGGGCTTGATGTAGTACTTGAGAGACTGCCATGCCGTACGGATAGAGACGCCCACACACGCGGCGTCATCAATACTCACGCCATCCGGCAAAATCGCAAGATCATTCTCGTCACAGAGAACATATTCCCCTGTCGCCCCAAATGTTCTCGGCCTCGCTAAGCATCCAAAGACAAGCTGGCCTGGATTGAATTCCCCCTTGTGGTTGGGGTGTGTTGCAACAACGCGCCCGGCAAAGTCAAGGCCAGGTGACGCAGGAGTGCTGCATATAAGAACTCTCCCAAAAATGGTCGACTGCTCGGGAACTTTGCAGTCGGCTGGGTTTAGTGAGGTGGAAAGGACCTTGATGAGGACTTGAGAGGGAGATGAAGGAGGAGGTGGTGTGCGGGCCGCAGGGTCATATGCCAGGTTTGGCAACACGCCATTAGGAATTGTGGTATTGTAGAGGTAGGCCTTCATTACCGATGGGATGGCCATGGTTCCAGCTTAGGTATTTGAAGAAAGAGCCCGGAGATAATTATCGGAACTTTATGAAATTATGGTGGGCGGAGCTTGAGCCAGCAGGTGACGTCGCCGCCGAGTCTCGCCGAGATATTGTGTAGATGAACAAAGAAGCAAATCAGTTGTCACACATTCGGTCGAGACTTACGATGGATTCAATGTATAAGGATCTGCTAGCTGAAGCAAGAAGTCACACAGAGACTCTTGAGAACATCTTTGATTTTGTCGATTTTCGCACCTCCCATGTGAAGACTGATGAAGCTAGACACGTGCCGCGCTTTCCCCGATTAGGCAATACAGCAACAACCAGGCAGCCGCCTCAAATCAAGACACAAAACACAACTTCAACTTCTTGGCTGCGCCTGTCGACAACTTGGCAAACACTGTGGGTGAACGACGTCAATTTTTTATGCCTGTTTACCCCTGAGTTTTCTCCTCAAGCTCCAATGTCCCTTGACTATCCTGTATCAATTTTAGCAGGGGAGCGACCGCATTGCAGCCCCTAATTCGACCACGAATTCCTCACGAATCCTCCGATAACAGCATTGCATGCCCAATCAATCCCGAAGTCGGGACCGCTACGGTCGCGACCGTGAACGGAATCGTTCCCGCGTTCAATCTCGCCGAAGATACTATGAAGACGACTATGATGACGACTACGACGAAGACTTCGGAGACAGCCCACGCGACCGTCGCTACAGACGAGAGGGCTACCGCCGCGCACGTGCTGGCTCACGAGCCTACGATTCTTATGATGATTACGGTGGGGACCATCGAAGGGATGTGAATGTGTACGATCGCTCTGCGGAGGATTCGCCAAGATACCGCTCCGATACGGAGGGACGAAGACAACGGCCCAGAGCAACAGCCTCGCCCAGTGCATCTCCTCGAAAACGAGAGCGGACTCGCGACCGGGATGGCGGCCACAGACGACGGAGGACGGAGGAGGATTCTAGTCCGGCACCACGTGCGCATCGGGCCAGGGATGCAGAGCGAAGTCGAGGCTTGGAAGATGATGAAGCGGAAGAGGCAGCGCGGAAACATCGCCGGCGAGAACGGGAGCGCGAACGGGAAAAGCACACTGCAACAACTTCCAAGCACCAGAGTACCGAGTCGTCAAATAGCACTGCGGGGTTACTTAAAGCCGATGCATTAGCCAGGCTTAGAGAACAGTATGAAGAGGAAGACCGCCGGCAGCAACGTCAGGCCGAAAAGGATGCGAAAGCTGAAAGAAAGAGACGGCGCAAGCGGCCGGTTGTCGCAGAACAGTCGCGTACACTCGAACCGTTCCCTGACCATGTTCCCCGCGGTCAATCCAAGGGCCGCATTGTATCGGGCGCCTATCTAGAGGAAGGGAGGAGTCCAGAAATGGAAGTCAGGCTACGTGGAGGAGGAGGTGGTGGTGGTAGAGGACCGCCGACCGAGCAGACGTGGGAGAAGCAGAGCGATGATCCAGATGCGCGCCCTCCGTTCTGGAAGCGAAAGAAGTGGTGGTGGATTGGTGGAGCCATTGCCGTTGTTCTCGTCATTGTAATCATCGTCGTCGCTGTTGTCGTATCGAAGAATGATGACGGCAGCGGCTCGTCAGATTCATCCACCGAGTCGAGTGACTCGTCCAACTCCGATCTGGATGGGATAAGTCGCGACAGTATTCCGGTGCGTTGACTCTTTTCGAAACTCATTTTGTTCACGTGTTGACTCGTTTAGGAATCTGCCCGGCGCACGGTCCTCGACCCATGGACATGGTACGACACGACGGACTTTAATCTAACATACACAAGTGAGACTGTCGGTGGACTGTCTGTCATGGGCCTGAACTCGACCTGGGACGACTCTGCTCGCGCCAACGACAATGTACCGCCGCTCAACAAGCCGTTTCCATACGGGACGCAGCCGATTCGCGGCGTAAACATTGGAGGCTGGTTATCACTAGAGCCGTGGATTACACCTTCTTTGTTTCGAGGTTATTCGGATGATGTGCTCGACGAATATACGTTGAGTCAACAACTAGGCGATTCAGCAACTGAAACGATCGAAAAGCACTACGCCACATTCATCACCGAACAGGACTTTGCTGACATCCGTGATGCTGGACTTGATCATGTTCGAATCCCATTCTCCTACTGGGCAGTTAGCCCCATTGAGGGCGAGCCGTATGTCCCCAAGATTTCCTGGCGGTACCTTCTCCGCGCCATCGAGTACTGCCGCAAATACGGGCTCCGCGTAAAGCTTGACCCACACGGTCTCCCAGGCAGTCAGAACGGCTTCAATCATAGTGGGAAACAGGGTAGCATTAACTGGCTGAATGGGGATGATGGCGACGCGAATGCCCAGCGCTCTCTCGACTTTCACGACAAGGTTTCCAAATTCTTTTCTCAAGACCGATACAAAAACGTTGTCGCCATATACGGCCTGGCCAACGAGCCATACATGCTCTCCTTGGACATTGAAAAGGTCCTCAACTGGACCACAACGGCAACCGAACTAGTCCAGAAGAATGGGATCAGTGCCTGGGTTGCGTTCCACGACGGGTTCCTCAACCTCAGCAAGTGGAAGTCGATGTTGAAGAGCGGTCCCTCGGAACTTCTCCTCGACACTCACCAGTACACCATCTTCAACACCGCCCAGATTGTCCTCAACCACACCGCAAAAGTCAATCTGGTCTGCAACGACTGGCACGCCATGATTGGAGAAATCAACACTACATCTGCAGGGTACGCTCTCACCTGGACTGTGGACTACTTGCTTCTCTTCTTGTACTAATGGACAATACAGATGGGGCCCAACAATCTGCGGTGAATGGTCCCAAGCCGACACTGACTGCGCGGAAAACCTCAACAACATTGGTCGTGGAACTCGCTGGGAAGGCACCTACGAGTCCAACGATGACACACAGTACTGCCCCACGGCTGACTCTGCACCTTCCTGCAGCTGCCGATCCGCAAACGCGGACCCATCCGACTACTCGGACGACTACAAGACCTTTCTGCAAACCTATGCGGAGGCCCAGATGAGCGCCTTTGAAACCGCAATGGGCTGGTTCTACTGGACCTGGCATGCAGAGTTCGCCCCGCAGTGGAGTTACAAGACCGGTTGGCAGAACGGGTACATGCCCAACAAGGCGTATAGTCCTAGTTTTCGGTGCGGCGACGAAGTGCCGAGTTTTGGGACGCTCGCGGAGAATTATTGATGCTCATCCTCATCGAGTACCGAGCACTGAACATGCGAGGACGAGGTGGGAGCCCGAAATCTTTTTTGGTGGAAGTAGTTTGTCTATGGCTTATCATGGTAGATAGCGGTTTCTTTTTCTTTCGTCATGACTGTACATATGGTTGGTTGCATTTGCATCGAACATGAGGGGCGCGTGAGCACAGGAAATCAACGCATAACGACTAAATCTAAGAAACACCTAGTTCTTGCTCAACCAGGCGGCTCACCTGATATATTTTATTCTTGTAGGTTTCGTCTTTTGGTTCTCTCTTGAACTACGAAGGATTAATTCCAGAAAATTTACGTCCAGTACTTCGAACATTTGAGCAGTCACGTGTCACGACTATTCGTTCTCCAACCCATTACTTGCCATTCTCGCCTTCTTCCTCACCTCTGGGTACTCACTTGGGCTCTTCCACGCTTTATGGCAACGTGTACATTTACGACAAAAGTCTACATTGCCATGGTCTACAACCTCACCTCGGGGCTGGTATTGGGATAGTATTTGAACATTTCTTAGCAGACGCTCATCTTAACACAACTTCTCCACCCAAACGGCAAACACAAATGTATGATCTGATCACGAAGAACCATGAAAGTGGCCAAATCATGCAGTCAATGCCGGGCAGCGAAGAGAAAATGCCGGACAGGACCTACGCCGAACTCCGCCTGTGTAATGTGCGCTCACAAAGGCCAGAATTGCTCCCTTTTCACCAGTTCGAGTCTGAATCGCCAAAAGTTCCTCGCTCCAGCTGTTACTGGAATGAACACATCGAAGGAGGTAAATGATGAACTCCGGGATGAACTTGTTGACATCTACCTGCGACTCATCCACGACAAGCCCCACACCCTTTTCCACCCTGCAACCTTGAGGACGCGAGTACAAGCCAGCCTATTGCCCGAGGCAGTACTCTGCAGTATCCTTGCCTTTGCTGCACGACTTAGCAGCGATCATACCATCCAAGAACGAGCAAAGGACTTCTTCCAAACTGCCAAAGAGGCTTTGAAGAGAACAATTGACAAAGTGACACTGGATAATGTCCATGCTAGTGCACTTGTAGGTAATCTTTGTGGTATAGAAGGGGACTCGAGCGGGGAGTCGCTGTTTTTCGGTCAGTGAAAAGTTTGAGATCCTCTTCTCTATCAACTCTATCAAACATTAATTCGCTTGTAGGGATCTCCTTTCGCATGGCTCAGATTCTCCGTCTTCCAGAAGCAGATCCAGAAGATGACAGCATCATGCGAGAACTAAAGCTTCGAACCTACTGGTCTTTGTATATGATCGACCAGTGGTCTTCAGCTGGTCTAGACATGCCGCGCCAGATTCCAGACACGAACCGACATTCACTACCCATGTCAGAAATGGAGTTTTGGAAGATGAAATCAGGAACCAGGACGTCTGGGATCTTGACCCCTAACCGGCAGCCGGGGCTTTGGGGTTATATGGTGATTCTGGCTCGAATTTTTGGCAAGATACAGGAGCTACATCGCCAGCTAGCCAACAATCACTTGTCTGACGCGGAAGCGGAGGAATACACCCGTCAAGTGGCCCTCCAATTTCAAGAGTTCTCCCAAAGCCTCCCTCCGAACATGGAACTCACGAGAGACAACCTCGACAGCCATGCCAAGACCGGATTAGGATCGACCTTTGTTGCTCTTCATCTGGGCTATCATCATTATTCTACCCTCTTATATTTCCATTATTTGGATTCTACTCACAATGAGGTCTCAAATCAAGCCCTCTTCGCGGCTCGCTGCAAGTTTCATGCAACCGCTTTTAGCGAACTATTGAGCCTCTCCAACGAGGTTCCAGGTTCCGAAGCTGTATACTTTATTGTTGCTCATATGACGGTCATATCGTCGTCGGCGCTGCTTCACACCCTGTTGTTCGGAGAACCAGACGAGATGCCAGGCACTCGAGAGCGGCTTTCGTCTAATTTTCAAGTGCTTCTGAAGCTGAAACAGTATTGGCCCTATGTGAACAGCATGGTGAGACCCCTTTGTTCTCCATTTTCTCAGCTGAGAACTTATGAATGCCCCTCTAGCTTGCTCAGCGATCATACTAATATTGATAATATAGATTACAAGGCTCTTCACCTTTCAAGAAGCCTGTATGCTATCTACAGACCGAGTCTACGTCGTTGACAAGTGGATAGTCAAGTTTCTGCTTCAACATGCTCTGCCAATTGAGAAAAATCTTCGCCCTCCTGCCACCCATTCCCTCGCAGAACGAGACAAATTCGCCGAAGATGCCTTATCTATCCTTCGTCCACCACAGCCCGAACAACAACACTCTTGATCCGCCCTTTGACTGTTCTATTGCTTCTCGTCATCCATAGTCTTCGACTGCATACCCATCTCGGCTGAGCTGGACAAGTTTGCTTCCTGCCCGTCGAACAGTGCGGCAATTTCTTCCAGGGTGGGTCCTTTGGTTTCCACGAAAAGAAACCAAATACAAAGACACTCGATGACAAGAATTGCGATATACACAAAGTAGAATCGCCATTGCAGGTTCTCGAGTCCGATCGGGTTCACGTACTGGTTGAAGACAGATGCCAACGCGGTGAGGGTAAGATTGACAGCAAGACCCTTTGCTCGAATATTAAAGGGCAAAATCTCTGCACAATAAGCGATTGTGAGGCCGGGCCACGCAAATCCGGCCACTCCGTAGAACAAGAATATCATTGCTATCACTGCGCTTCCGGCAGCAGAGTCTTCGCTCTGTGCGTAAGCGGCGGAGCATCTGTCAAAAACCAGGTTAGCATCTCAGAGCCCTTGAACTAGACAACCGACTCACCCAGTCCAGATACTAAATGTGATTAGCATTCCAACACCGGCAATCAGGAAAAGTTTTCGTCGTCCTAGAACATCCACAAGGAATGCTGAGAATCCGACTGCAACGATGAAGGACCATATTTGCAGTCCGCCATTGATGATTGCCTGATCGTTGGAAGATTCGATCCCAACAGAGGTAAGAATTGAATGAATGTAATAGGAAACAAGACCATTTCCCGAGCATTGAGAGAAGAAAGACACAAGTGCAATAAGGAGCAGACGCTTTCGGTTCCCGGGCGTCTTGACAAGGAGTGCCCAGCTATTACCTGCATTCTCCTTTTCCAGTTTGATTGTATTCTTGATCTCTTGGAATTGCCATTCACAAAAGGGGTCATTGCGGTCGCCGTTACCGTGATACTATATCCGATTCATTAGCAATTGCGACTGCCCAACATATCCTTGACGAGAACGGGATTGGTGGAGCAGGCTTACCCTCACTAAGATATCGAAAGCCTCTTCATCTCTGCCTTTAGAGCATAGCCAGCGAGGACTATCCGGTAGCAGCCAGATGCCCAAGAACTGGATCAACGGCATGAGGGCTTGCATGGCCACCGGGATCCTCCATGATGCATCCGACGTGTATCTTATTGTCCCAATGACTGTAAAGGCCGCAATAATGGATCCTCCATACCACAATGTATTGTACATGGTTGTCAATGTTCCGCGGTGCTGAGGATGGGCTAGTTCGGTGACGAGCAGAGGGGCTGAACCCTGGCTAAGGTTTGATCTGTGATACTCAGCCCATGAGCCTTCTGATGCAGACACGGCAGAGTACATACCCGAAACCAACCAAGAATCTACCAGCCATGAACATGCCTCGATCTACTGACGGGACGACCTGAATGATGGTACCCACGAAGATCACAACAACGCCAACTACCACTCCCAGTCGGCGACCTAGCAAGTCGGCGAGATACGAAGCTATCCCAAGAAGCTCTGGATTAGTATGCAAAATAGTATTCTTGTATCCATCACTCACAGAAAAGCAAAGCGCAGATGGCACCAATGTTCTGAATTGCTGTCATGAGGCCCAGATCCGAACCCGACGGACTACCAAAGTCTGTGAACTTGTCAGCCATGCAGCTTGGTGCGTTCCGGGTCGAAGGGTTCTTACAGTTCCGCCACGGAGGCATTGTTTGCAACCCATTCAAGAGCGAACCGTCATATCCGTTGATTGTCGATCCTGTGAAAAAACCGCCCTTAGCACGTCGAATATTCTTGTTGATGGTAATCTCAGCCCTTACCAAGGAACAGAATTGGCATCATTATATAGAGCTTTCGCAGTCCAGCATGCTTCCACCAAGTGACTTCTGGGATCTGGAAGGGCCTGGAGGCTCCGGTTGGGAACTCTGCATGTTCTGCAGATATGTCCTTGCTTTCGCCAGTGTCTTTGGAGATGCCCATATCTGATAAAGGCCTTGGCTGCTTCTGAAGACTTATTGTGCTGTTGGAGTCCACGGTAATAGAGGAGGGGTGGTCAACTTTTCCAAGGATACCTTGCGAGATTTATACCCACGAACGGGCCCATGCCAACCTGGTGTTACTTTTACCGAGCCAGATGTAAAGAAATCTTCGTGTCTCATATTCGCGCCACTTTTCCGAGGCCATTAAACCGGGGAGACTTCGATCTTGTGGAGAGCAGTAGCAGTACGGAGGAGTTCCGGGACTACCCCAACCTTCCAAGATTCTGCATCCTGAACCCAAAGCTTCGGAACGGCCGCTATTGGTCACTCATTAAATTAGCCGGAGGTTGCGGGATATCAGCCAATTGGCATCCTATTCCTCCGCTTCCCCGCAAAATGTGGTCCGATGACAAGCAACTCTTTGCACGAGGCCCAGTAGGCCGATGAATCGGAGGTTTCGAGATCTATACCGCAGTATCGCCCAATGAGAATTGTACAATCCCGAAGGGGACTGCGTCAGAGTCTTGTACAGCGCAGCATCTCCGGCGGGGGAGTCTTGACCACGCGCTCAGCTCGTTATTTAAGGGTGTAACAACACTCTCTGTTGCTGTGCACACATCAGTCTACTCTATTCTATCTTCGCACTCGTTCCCACCATGTCTTCTGAGAGCACACCAATCCCACACTTGCGCGAGACAAAGGGCGGGAAGGAACTGGTTGTCAATGGACGGCCCTTCCTTATGCTCGCCGGGGAGCTCCAAAACTCCTCGCTCACCTCAGGCGAATACATGGATACAGCCTGGCAGAAACTGGTGGACACGCACTATAACACGGTACTTGGATGCGTGACCTGGGAGATGATTGAGCCTGTCGAGGGCCAATTTTCTTTTGAGGAGCTCGACAATGTCATTCTTGGAGCCCGCAAACATGGACTTCGCCTTGTGCTCTTGTGGTTCGGCTCGTTCAAGAATGGAATTTCCACCTATGTTCCAACATGGGTCAAGACCAACCCTAAACGCTTCCCTCGAGCAAAGTTGCGCAAGGCTGGCGGAGTCCTTGAAACAGGGGACGTGCTCTCGATTTTCTACGATGAAGCCCCCGAAAGCGATGCTAGAGCATTTTCTCAGCTCCTGCGCCACCTCAAGGAGTTTGACGAAGAGCATTCAACTGTCATCATGGTACAGGTGGAAAATGAGACCGGCTTGTTAGGCGACTCTCGCGATGCTAGTGTAGAAGCCGAAAAGCACTTCTCACAACCTGTGCCGAAGGACCTGATTTCTTTCCTTTCGGACGACTGGAATAATCTCCATGTTGACCTTCAATCGAACCTATCTCACTTCAAAGCCCAATCCCAGCCGGAAGGATCGTGGACAGAAGTCTTTGGAAAGGGACCGCGCACGGACGAGCTCTTCATGGCATACCACTACGCCCATTATCTAAACCGTGTCGCATCAGCCGGCAAGGCCGAGTACCCTATCCCCCTCTACACAAATGTTTGGCAAAACTACGTCGGCGAGGACGGGGACAACGATTTTCCCATCGTCGCCGGCGGCGGCGGCCTGCCAGGCGACTACCCCTCTGGTGGCGGAACCTCCAACGTACTCGACATCTGGCAAAAATTCGCACCGTCCCTCGACTTTATCTCTCCAGACGTCTACCTGAACGAGTATTCCAGTTCATGCGCCAAGTATCGTCACCGCAACCAGCCCCTCTTCATTCCGGAACAACGCCGCGACGAGTACGGCGCCCGCCGAATTTGGGTCGCCTATGGCTCCTACCAAGCCCTGGGTGTCTCCCCCTTTGGCATCGACACACAGGAACCCGAAACAAACCCTTTCACCAGACACTATGCGCTCCTCGATTCCGTCTCGGCAATCGTCCTCGAAGCGCACAGGAACCCAGGCTCCTCCGTAGGGTTCTATTTTGACGACCTCAGCGCCCACGGCACAGACCCTTCAAAGATCATCACAAAGACCTTTGCCAACTTCGCCATCACAATCGAGCGCTGCTTCGTCTTTGGAAAGGCCGGTCCCGGCTCGGGAATGGTCATCCATCGCGGCGGGGGCAAGTTCCTCCTCATCGGCTGGGGCTTCCAGGTTCGCGCAAAGTCTCTCTCACCTACTTCGGCCTTTACGGGAATACTAAAGTTCGAGGAGAAGCTTGTTGCGAATAAGGAGACGGGCGAGCTACGGACGCTCCGTGTGCTTAATGGTGATGAGACGCGGAGTGGTATCTGTGCGAGGATGCCTAATGAAGATCCGGACTATGGTGGCTTCCCAATTTGCGTTACTATCCCGGCAAGGACGATGATTGCTGAGGTGGAGTTTTATGAATTGGATGAAAAGGATGTTTGAGTTGTTTGTTTTCTAGAACTAGTTACCAGTGATGAGGTTTATGCTTGACTCTCTGGCTAGGGTTGAGAAAGTAGTGGGCGGCGCCCAACTAGATTTAACGAGTAAAATAGAAGGATTTCGGCTGCCAGGTCCATCTACATCTACACTTCTCTGTTTTATTTATGGCCGTCGTACTTTGGGCGTTGAATGTTCGAAGGGCGACACATTAAGCTGACTCGAGTGCACTGAATACTGTAGATATGTTGTAACATTGAATGCATCAATCATAACGCTACCTCTAAGATACAAAATAAAAAAAATTTCAAAAGTATCACCTTAGTATCTCACACGCATCAGCCCAAATGATATTTTACGACAAATCCTTCCACGCCTGACCAAACCAGCGGCAATCGTAAAAAAGGGTTGACTACATTAGCTCAGTACATGCAATTAATTCATCATAATGCCAAAGGAAAAAAAGCCGAGTAGACGAAATTTATCCCACGACTAGCGCAGGGGCACAAGTGGCGAGCTCAATCCCTGTAGAGCTCCAAACCGAGGTCAAAATTAATTTACTCATGAGCGGTTAAAGGAGAAGTAGGAGCTCCAACCGCGAGCCTTGGTGCCCAGGGCCTTGGATGCATCGTCCTTTATGACGACAGCGTCCTTTTCGACGTCCGTTGGTAGTCGCTGTGGCTTCGCTCTGGCAGCTTCTCTGGGTATTCTTTCCCTGTCGCGAGGGTGTGGTCGTTGGCTTCTCGGGAATCGAGGAGTCAAAGGTGTCTTGACAGCCTGGACGACATGCCTGGCAGAACGTCGGATCTTCTCACGCATTTTCCATTGACGCTTCTTGGCGAGGTAGAACAGAGCGGCGGAGCTGACTATGGGCAAGATACAGTTAGCATTGAGACGAGCTTTTAAAGCAAATGAGGTTGGAGCACGTACATCCAATAATCACAACAACCCCAACAATGACGCAGAGCGCAATCATTCCACCAGTCGACATGCCTCCCCCTGAAGATGGCCCGGCTGCTCCAGCCGCATTTATACTTTCAATGTCATTCGGGTCATCGTAGCCAAACTGAGCGGCTGCCCGGGTGATGAGGATGGATCCGACGAGAGAAAATAGATAGGTTGTAGACATATTTGGTTTATGCTGAGCGCATGTTCCGGGTAGCATAAGGTAATGATCGAGACGCTCTTTGAGTCTATTAAATGTGTAGTATTGATGGCTTGTGCAAAGGGCAGATATTTGAGAATCGGTAGCTGCGTTTCGGGGCGTTCGAATCTCGTCTCTATATAGCGACGCAAGGATTGCGAGTCACACAAACCGCCAATCTTCAGCCATCTGCAGGATCATCACCCACTCACACAAGGATTCGATAGGCTCAGAGTTGCTTGTCCCAAATCCTAATTCGCGAGCTACGGATCTACACCACCCTGGGTTGGCAAGAGGGCTCGATTGTTTGCGCAGGGGGAGGATTGAGCGACGAATCAGAGGCTTAGAATGGCCTGTCACTTTGTGATCTAGGCGCTGGCCCTGTGACGAGAGTCTTGGCCTCATTGGGCAGCTTTGAGTGGTCAAGGGTTGCAGCCAATGGCGGGCGCACATAAACCGCCGGTGCAGATCTCTCTTTTTTTTTATAGCACATATTGAAAGTTCTCTCTTTGTGGTCTGCTGGCAACGTTTGACGGCTGTTTCGCGATTGAAGGCGGCTAGCAGGAGTACTATTTTTGTTTGTCAGTCAGAATGTTTCTGCATTCTCCGCAATGAAACGAAGAGGATCATCTCCGTTACTATCTCCAGCGCCAGGTCCTCGCACTGTAAGCCATACTATGACGACTCTTTGCTTGCTTTGAAGGCTTCATGCTTGCTCCCGTATATAATCGCCCTTTCGTGAGTGAGTGTGGTCCGTGATAAGAACGCCGCACCACACGAGTGTAGCTCGAGACGACAGCGAACGCGAGAAGCCCAGTGGATGGCGGAAGCGTACTGCAACAAAAATCCCGGCACATGGAGAGCTAATAGGGAGACAGCATCGCTTACTGGATTTTTTGAAGAAAACGGCTCGCGAGTAACTGGAAATGCTTGTGATTGAGGGCAGTGAAGATGAGTTGTAGTGGCAGAACTTAGACAATGGCCATCAGACCCCGGACGAAGGACGTTCCTGCCCTTTCGGGCACGCTCCTTCCCAAAAGGCCTCATTCCCAGAGCTCACCTCAATCATCATGCAATCTCTCCTTGTGGTCATCATCGTCTCCAATTCTGTTTTGAATGAAGTTTTGAATGAGTCTCTGGATTCAACGCATCTATCCCTGGAATGACAATCATATCTAGCTAAACCAACAACGCTTACCAACCCAGAGCCCAGCATCGGCGCCGACAGTTCCACCAAGTATCCAATGGAGAACGAAACTAATACCTTAGGAACCGGAGAGCCTCCAACGTCGATGGCGGCGATGACGACAACAGAGCTTGACGGCGATGAGTACGAAAGCAATGGGTACGAACCAAACGAGGAGCTTTTGCTCTTGCAAATAATGGAAGCAACCAACAACGTCGCTTCACCGAAGCTTGACGCCGTACTAGATGATGGGGCAGACTTGACCTGGCCTCCAGGTCAAAGGCAGCAGTCACCGTTGCTCATGGAGCGCCCACAAAGCTCAGGGATCGATGCTATGGCTTTCAGCTTTGCAAAGCCTGCGCAGAATTCAAGGCCCTTTTCGCTACAACCTCCGAGAACTTGTGCTTCTGTCACCGTCCCTCATGATACGTCAGACCAAAGTGGTCAAGCGATTAGCGAGTGCTCAACTAGAGAACAGCAGACAAAGTTTGTGGTATCTGGATCTCAACGAACCACTGATTCGTGCTGATCATTAATCTTCTAGACGCACACACCCTCCAACGCGCTCACACTCTCATAACACAGAAAGGCCATCAACCTTAACTGCACCAGCGCAACGCTCAAATTCGAAGAATCCGCTTTCAACAGGGTCCGGGGAAAGATCGAAAGTGGACCTTCAGCGTACACCTGAGTGTGAGGAAAGCCAGCCCGCACATACTGAGCCCAGTTGCGGCCCCAATCGCCAGCCGGATTATAGTCTTCAAGGTACGTTCCGAATGCGGAGCTCTACTTCCTGCTAACTCAATGGGTAGATTCGGAATCTCTTGCTGTGTTTCGAAAGAATGTACGTTGCTGGCAAAGTACCTGTACTACTGGACTCTAACACTGGAAAGCATGGACCACTTGACGCACCTGACGATGCTGAGGAGCTTGACGGGGCACCCTCCGGTGACAATCTGGAGCTGGAGACCACTTGCTTACCCGAAGCGCATTCTCCTCACAGCCAATGGAAAGTGGTCAAGAGACGACCGGGCGAGAAGAAAAGGGCGAATAAGCGAGGATCACGGGTACCCTCGGACAGCAAGAATTCACAGGTGCCAGAAGAGGTTTTGTTTCAGCAGCTGATCAGCCGATTGAGGGCTCGCGAGGAGAGTGAGGCGGTAGCTTCACATATGCAAAAGGAAATGGAGGCAAAGGTGGTAACTCTGCAAGACGAAAACAAGGTGCTGCATGAGGAGCTTCAGAAGCTTAGCAGTAAGCTACAGCAGAGAACGAACGAGGCTAGAGCCTACAAGTCACAAACAGACTCATGGAAGTCAAGACTGGCAAAGATCAAACTCTTCCTCAACGAACTCGGGACGGACTACCAGAACCTCCGCGGCGAGGCGATCCATCTCAAGGCGACTCGAAAGTCCCTGGACAAAGAACGAAAAGAGATATCGGAGACCATCGAGGATGTGAAAGCACAACTGGCTCGGATCTCCCATACTTCCCGTGATAGGCGAGGTTGTCTTTTGGAGTCGGAAAGCACGATTGCCTCTTTGCGTCAGGAGCTCAAGCATGCAGACGAAAGAGCTCGGTATGCCCATGGTCAGCTGGCGGACGAGAAGAAAAGGTCCCACCTGCTCGAATTATACATCCAGAATTGCTCACGGACTCATGACAAGAAATTAGAACTCGTCAGGTCGGGCCAACTGGAAATGACGAGAAAACTGGAAGCTGCATTTAGAGCCAAAGCCGATGATTGCGAGGTGTCTCAGATTTTCAGCGAGGACTTTGGCCAGAAGGTGGAAGAACTTATGGCCTTGGTCCGGAGCACTGCTGAAAATCTTGCGAACAACAAGATAGACGTACAGCAATATGAAAAAATTATCGCCGCATTTGAGTCTCGGTAAGACCCTAATCCACGACCGCTGGTTACCGTGGTTTCTGACTTTTTGCACCAAGAATTGATTCGACGACTCATCAGTTGACACAAGACATCAGAGAGAACTGTAACCTCACTGGCAAGAAGATGGAGGACCTGGAGGCGCAGCTCCAACTCTTCAAAACCAGCGTAAGCGAGGGCTCGGCGCTGCTCACCGAACTTTCGGCCAGCGGAGTCCGTTGCATCAATCTGGAATCGAAGCTAGATGAGACAGTTCCGGCGCTCGAGACTTTTAGGCTTGGCTTTGACGAACTACGACAAAGTGAAGCTAGTCTCGAACAACAGATGGACAGGCTGGGGAGGAGCCTGTCTGATGCCAAATTACCAGAGCAGTTTGGCCAGAATTATGTGCACATCTCCGAAAAGCTAAATCTCGAAAATGAGATACAACAACTCTCGTCAAAGCTGAAGGTGACTGAAGAGAAATTGGAAGCCCAGCGGGCAGACAGTTTCGAGAAGCACCACGAACTGCTCAAGGTAACCGCGCAGGCACACCAAGTGGAACTAAACGCTGCAAAGTTCGAATCGCAGGCTATAGTTTTGCAAGAGAAGCTTCAGGCGGCCGAGGCCAAAGCACGAGAAGATCAAGATCACGCGATTGCTCGTTCTCGTGAGCAATGTAAAGCAGATTTTGAGCGGCAACTTCATGCGTTGATAATGGAGAAGGCTGCATTTGAAATCAATATGGAAAAGGTCGAGGAACAGCTGGCTCAAAAGCAACGCAAATTGGTAAGATACTACCGATGTGGAACGGGAAATATGGCACTCACATTGAATAGGCCGAGGTTGAAACTTCATCCAGAGAGCAACGCAAAGATCTAGAATCCTTGGTATGTGCCCACATGAGCCATTACTCGCGTGTCTTTGCTAACGGGGTAGCTCACGGAGCGGCAAATGCGGATTCATGACCTCGAAGAATCCCGGAAAGAATGCATTTCAAACTTGGGGAAACAAGAGGCAGAAATTGCCAAGCTGAGCGACCAGGAAGCTGTCCTTACATCCCAGCAAATCTCCCTGCAACTTCAACTTGCCGAAGCCAACAGACGGTCTGATGGTCTTGAGAATGAACGTACGAGAGCCATGACCGAAACTCAGCATTCACTGCATGCCCTGCAAGATAGTCTGTCAACGCTTCGTTCTGACCTGGCCAAGAAGGAGGAGGAGCGTGATGAGCTAGCCAGGGAGCTTGAAAATGCGAATATTGCGAGAAAAAAACTTGAAGCAAGCATGTCGGACGCTGAATCGGAAGCTCACGCCCTGTATGCAAAAGTCCAAAGATTAGAATCCGAGATCAAGGAGGCCAGAGACACTCTCCTCCAGCTGGATATCGCGCAGCTAGAGCAGCCACTACCCGAAGCTTTGGCCCAACTAGGCGCTATTATGCAGTCAGTGAACGCGAAGCGATCAGAGCAAGTCAACCAAGATTCAGCCCAGGCATCGACAGACACGTGTTTTCGAACGGACCAAGGAACCCAAACCATGGACGATGCGATGCACATGAACTTGTGGGCTAGCGAGCCTATAACGCCAGTCGAGAATTGTGAGGCTCTCTCGCCATCAGACCAAGCAGGAGTGATCGTCCCATTTTCGAGCATTATGCAAGGATTAGAGCCCACTGATTGTTTGACGGTCGAGAACGAGCCTTTCGATATCTCTAGTATGCTTACACAGACACCGGAAAGAGTACTATCAGCCAAAGAGCTCGTGGTCCCCGCGAGGCCGGAGAAAGATAGTCCCTTTGCAAATGTTGAGTCTCAGCATAAAACCCGAGAGCCGCAGCTTTATCGCGCTTCGAATATACAACGCCCTCCTGCGGAGTATGTACAGGAACAAATTCATCAAGAAGCTGTGGTGGAACAGACCCCCATACAGCAAAGACAATCTGGTGCAGGAAGAAAAGTCTCCTTTGAAACACGGAAATCGACAGCTGAGGACGACGATCTCCAAGTTCCGGACTCGCAGGTGAACGGCGAGCCCGGCCTCGTGGTCTTATCGCTGAATGGCAGTCACCCAACACGAACCAACAGGTGGACGTACAGCAAACGCCAACGGGAAACGTTGACTGGGCAACAAAAGACCAACTCGTGCGAAGCAGGGTCGTCCCAGATGGATGACCGGGAAGAGTGTGGCGAAACAGGAAAGAATAAGAAGGCAAAGACCTGCCCAGCACTCTCCAATCCTGTGTCTCAGGCAAGAACTGGAGCCGAACTGTATCCCCGAGGAACAAGCCCTACGAGGTTGGCCTCTGGAAGCAGCCGCACTCGCTCGTCGGACGCAATGTCTAACCAGACGGGCCCGGCACGACGCCTCAGAAAGTCGGCACGGCAGACACGGGGTAAGTTTCATCCCTTTGCGTGCGATTGGGCATTGTTAACGTCCATAGCCGAAAAATACAGTGCTCGCTTCAGCCAAGGTGCTTGAACGCCCTGCATCAAGAGGCTCGCGAGGTGCGATAATCATGGAATTTACTTACCATATACTTAGCATGATTGTGGAGAGTCGGGTCACTATAAGGGGTTGGCAAATCTGAGCCGGAGATCAAAGTGAAGTTATAGGCTAGGACCATATGTATAGAATATATCGATTGACCAAAGCTGTCTTGCTATAAACGCCAGAATGAAACACCGGAATACCTATACAGCTCCAAGAATGAGATAGCACGCAAGCGTAGTTTCAAAAGCTGCTCTTGCCGCTGTGTCTAATGTACATGACCGTCGTTTGTCGAAATCGGAGCGCAGCATCGGATACGTCGTCCGCTCGAGTGGTGGTGAATAGGATGTAATCGAGGGGAGGAATCGAGTGTGAGGTTGAACGGAAACGGCGAGGCGAGGGGTTATGTTGTCTGATTAAGCCAACGTGAACGACCAATTGCCAATTGCAAAAGCGAATTTGGAGAATAGATCATTTCGCCCTCCCACCCTTCGTCGCCTCAAGAAACAGCACTTGCTTCTTGACAACAGGGTCGTACTTCAACATACTCAAGGGGCGGTGTGTGCGCGGTCGGATCATTGTTCGGTAGTATCCGGTCATTGCCATGGAGATCAGCCGAACGGCGACCGTACGTGACTTGCCTAGAGAGTGTCGAGGTCAGTTTTGGCGTTGGCTTCTGCGTTGTGCTTTGGCTTCAATTCTTTCCTCCGGTCGCACGGGCGGACTCCGCGTGACAAATCTGGGAACTTTGCGAGTGAACAAAAAATTGCGGGGTTAGACGTACTTTTCTTGGCCATTTTGGCGACTGGAACGACGGCACGAGGGTAAGTCGAGGTTTGTTCAGGAACTTTTGAAGATGGAGGTTTGCGGAGGTGCGGAAGAAGTTGAGGTAGGAGCACGTGATATATAGACCGAAACAGGAATAGTGCGCCTTCTGAGGGACATGCTTGAGCCGCCCTAACAGACTCTATAATCTCATGGTTATTGATTCTACGATGCTACTCAGTGATTAGATAGATCAGACTCGTTAACTCCATGATTCTCCGAGTAAGTGCGGTTGTAATAGAACTGGACGCAAGATCTTCAGCGCGCTTTGTACTTCCGCAAAGCCGGCAGAAGTAAGCTTTTTCTTCTTCAAATTGTGACCTATGAGGTCGCAATGGCCGACTAAAATGTGAACTTTTGACATTTATGACAGTGATAAGAACAAGGACGAAGATATTAACTAGGTTAGTACACTAAGAGATGCTGACCCATGCATTTCGATGATCCTTTCCTGGTATGGTATATAGGGCAAATCACGTGTTGCTGTGGCTGGGGGATTGGCGACAACAATCAAGTCGAACTTCGAGTCTCATCCAACTCTCAGCTCTTGGGTTTACTCCGCACATCAACCTATTCCACCTTCGACAGCGACTTCACTTTTTGCGCTTACACTTCAAAAACAGGGCTATAGCACCCAGATTATGATCACAAGGAAGAGATCCCATCACTACAGGGGACATATGACGGGCCGCATGACCACTTTACCAGAGAATCCTGATCCTGCAATGAACCCTTGGAAGGAGGGTGGTCTGTTCTCTGCCTTAGTCTCGGATCCATCCGCGCGGGAGCAACACTCCTCATCTTTCTGAGGCAGATCAACGGCATTCCGAATCTTTCCCGCCTGGTCACATGGCACTCTTTATGCACCGGCGGGGCCCTGAACGACACCATGAATATCTCGAATCTGGGACTATAAACCTTCTCTCCTTCCGAGCTTGAGACATTCATCCCACACATGCGGGGTTCGGTTACTTTCCAGGCAGAATCGGGGTCCGGAATCGTTTAGGCAGGACAACTAGGCTGCCCTCCATGCTGCCTTTCTTCCAAGGCAGATTGCTCTTTGAGCGTCAGGCGACCAGCTTCCTGCCGATCATTAGAACACTCCACATACTCGGAACACGTAGGGAAAAACAGGCGATTTGATGGTTGGTTCTTCGTGAAATCGGCACCTTCCTTATTTCCCCCGTCTTCGAGTGAGAAGGATATGCCATCCGGGACTCCGAAGTCAGCCTATTTGGCTGCTGCCGCAGTTACTCAGCTGGCATTTACTTTTATATTCCTGGTTGTTCCGAAAGAAAGGCCTCTGCTGCTCAGGCACGAGGATTCGCTCGTGTGTCAGCATTATCAATCACGTCCGGCAATCCTACCGTTACTGGTCCCGCAAAAGCCAAATATGTTCCGCCCCTAATTACAGGTCCTCAGAAGGAATATCAGCGACAAAATTTCGAGCTTGGGCTGTATTCTCAGTCGTGGGAAGTTTCGGGCTCTCCCTCATCGCAATCCATGCAATGCTATGGGTTGTTTAAGCATGATGCCAAATTGGCACCAACAGGCCATATGCCCGGCCCAAAGTCTCTGTTCCATGTACACATGCGTACAGTGTGCGTAGCGCTTACAAAGGAATTTCAACGACAATCTAAGGCCTGGTCACCCTGTTCTCCATGTGGACGGCGGCGAGATAAGGACTCGTGTCCTCCAACTCGACCCTTTTGAAATGTGCCACAGAAAGCTGTTTCTCAGGATAAGATTTGTGTACCGGGTACTGTAGCGGCTTTTGATACCTGGTCGCTCGGACACCTCATGGGCAATCACCAGGCTTGAACTAAAGTCTCTTCTCTTGACTTCCCTAGTCTTCGGTTGAACGTGCTCGACGAACATACCTGGAAAACGGGCAGAGGTAGGCATTCTTCATTCCACGGAATTCAGCAGTCAATCCATGAAAGTAGGTGTCTACTAGGCAGCACTCGCCACGATCCACATTGCATGTATTTAGGAAAAGAAAGCGAACGCCACGAGATGCAAGAAAATCGCTCCTTACAATAAAATAAACAGACAATTATTATCTTATCCGTCAATGCAGGCTTCTTCATGTTTCAAAGAACTGCCGCAAAGCAGACACTCTAGTAGCCACAGAAGATGTGAAGGAGGGTATACCAATGAATCTGCGGTCATGGAACTCTCCAGTGAGACATAAGATGAGACGTATATCGTTGCTGGCCCTTGAGGCCGACTCGACCAGACCAGACAACAAGCACAACCAGCTGAAAGCGTCCTGGAATAATGCAATAGGAATACACACACAACCAACAAAACCAACACGAACCCCCTCTTACTGGGTGATACTGCGAACTATCGTCAAGTCACTACATAGTGTCCCAAGATCCAGACCACTTACTAAGAACCTCAAATGCATCCCTGTCACCGGAAATCAGCCTAAAGCACACCCCAGCTGAACCCACCCCGGTCCGATTAGAAACGCCTTGCACCGCCCCACCGGGGACCCTCCCACTCTCATAGACTCTCACATGCCAAACCGATAATTGTATGAGCTACTAGGCGGGGTGTGATAACTCTGGAGTGTTGCACAGAGGCTAGAAAGGGGAAAGTGGTAAGGTAGAATCGGACATTGCCGAGTCGTCTCACAATGTACGTACGTACATACGTACATAGTTATCATTGAGAGACGGAGTTTCCCATCATTTTCCGTTCGCTGTGGCGACTTCTCTTGAGCCGCAGGCTAACGCGGAATTTGTCTGGCGATTATTGGGTCGGGAGTTGGGATCGGAGGTGGATGCATCCACTCTCATCGCATATGCAGGGTGTATCACGCCCGGACTTGGATTAGCCAATTCTTAATCGTCATGCAAGAAGATAGGCTGTAGCTGAATAGGTGACTCTGGCCCTTGGGGAGAGGAACGGACGGAACTCGGAAACAGTGAGTCACCGCCTGAAAGAGGGGTAGATACCTAGGTGAGCAAAGTTATTGCCTAGTTTCGATTCGAGTTGGGGAGCTTGGAGAGCTAGGGATGCACAGGTGCGGGGTCTGGATTGCTAGTGGGAGGCCTTATTCAGTGGAAAATAGAGAGAGGGAAGTGGATATTCAGTTTTGTATGTGCATCGAATCAGGATGCTTTCATTGATCATAAAACTACCAAGTCAAGAACAAAGGAAAGTATTGTGTAAGGAAAGTACATGAATCAGTCATATCCAATAGCTGTGTCCGAATCCCATCCTTTGGAGCGGGACATCCATCGTGCATAGTACTTGCATGAGTGACTCATGCGGATTATCCAGTGAGAATCAAGTGAAGATCAAGCAAGCAAGAAACCCGAGGTTTGACTTCGAAGGTCTTTTTATCGCTTTTTGAGGGGTTTATCGACTTTTTTTCGGTGCGTTTTCTCTTGTGGTTTGTAACTCCAGTGTCGTAAGCTTGAACTTTGATGGCGAGAGACAAGACGTGATTCGAACAGCGATTGCTCTCAGGGAGGGGCTCCTCTGGAGTCAATCAAGTCATGGGAGTAGCAACTCGCATGGAGGCCAACCCTTAGAATAGAAGTGCGGGGTGAATCCGGTTCACTCTAATGGGGTATGGGAAGGGCCCGGGGCATAGCCCCGGCCCGTGGGTGTATGTGGGAGCACCTGGCTGCGGTGTGGCAGGAACCATGGGTCGTATTGACGGGAGAACGTAGCGGAACAACAGACAGAGGTTGGCGCGATTAATCAGCGACGGTAGTCAGTCTTGCGGTAGACGCGCGAAGACTCCTTGACTCGCTCAACGCGGTCAGCGGCGTCGGAGTCGTACAAGGATCCCCTGCTTGGGGAGCCACGGTGAGGGGAAGGGTAGACGATGACACGGCGGCTCTTGCGGGGCTCGCGCTCGATGATCTCTGTAACCGTTGATGTGCGACGAGGAGGGACGGGGTATGTGCGGTCGTAGCTGATGATTGGTGCGCCGGGCTCGTCAACAATCACCGGCTTGCGAACCTTTTCCTTGCGCTGCAGACGGAGTCCATCCTCGATGGCGAGGAGAAGCCCGCGGGTAGCGACGTAGTCGCGTGGGATCTTGACGAGTGTAGGCTGGTTGAGGTCACGGTCGATGACGGAGTAGGCCTTTCCATTCTTCGAGTACAGATAGGCGGCAACGTCGATGGCATATTGGTGTCCACGGTCACAGAGTGCGCGGTCCTCCTGTTGGACTTGGAGAGGGTCATTGCACTGGTAGCAGTGGTTGGCGTGACGTTCAAAGGCAGTCATGACATATTGCTCATCTGCCCCGAGCTCTCGCACGGGCAGAACGGGCTCAGCAACAGTGAGTAGGGGGGCAGGCATGCTTGCGGTCCGTCGTAGACGAGGTCTCGTAACGGAGGGAAAGCTGCGACGGTAGAGTGTCTCCCTGACGGAGATGGGAGGCCAGGAAATACGAGATGAGAAGTAAGGCGACAGCGTGACGGTGTGAGCGTTCAAATATGATAGAGATAGTGATCAAGTGTAGTCAAGAGTAGATGTGTTCTGGTATGAGAGGAAGTGAAGCAAGACTGAGGGGGAGAGAGTGGACTATATAGATCCGCAAGAGGCATCCAAGTTCCAATTGTGGACCCCTCCCAGTCGGGGACTAAAATTGGAATGACGGCATTGGTCACAGGAAAAAGCCATAATGGAGGGGGGAACTGGAGCTGCAGGTGATGTTGATGGTGGAGGAAGGGGAAAGCAGAATGATCGCGAGCAGTTCCTACAGTAGTGTGGGCTGGATGGCTGCCTGGTCGCAGATGACTCGACCTCAGGCTAACTTAGCGCACAGGCTAGCTGCAGGCAGTGCCAGAGCAAGGGCGGCGGAAAGGCGGCTTTTTGACAAGAGTTCGCTCTTTGGAGGGCCTCCCGTGCCCCTGATTGGCCAGGGCGCTGCTTTCTGTCGGTCTGCTTGTCCCATCCTCACGCATGCGTGCTTTTCCTCTCTCAGCAGTCGGCGTCGAGGAGTCATCCCAATTTGCTCGTCCGTATCTCTGCTGTGGCTTGAGCCTCGTATCTGCGCCTCAGTCCATGAGGCCTCTTGTGCCACACCTCCACTTCACTGGTCGTGCCTGCCACTCTGTCTAACACTCCAACTCGAGATCCTCTGCATCGATATGCAATCCTGCCGTCATTGTCCGCACAATAATCCTGGTTTACAATTCTTGGAGCCCCTGAACGGCTGCTTTTACATGTAGCGGCATTGTGATGCCATTCGCTCTGCAACCGCTTTCCTAGCCGCGATCGTTGTCCGGAGACACTGTCCGTCCGTTAGAACCACTCTGTCGGTACCAACATCTTCCCATCTATTTTTGTCGGTTTCCAAGAATAATCGTCGACCGTCGTCGCAGATATGGTGTCCAAGCGTCAGGACCCTGAGGAGGAGTCGAGGACGAGACGTTGCCGAAAGTCGAAAGTCGGGACTCGGGGGTCGTCTCAGCCTCAATTGTTCAGCCTCAAGCCTCAACACTAACGAGCTGTGGTTAGTGAGATTCGACACAGCCCCTTTCACGTCAAGCCTTTGTGCGACTTTTCTTGTTCTTACCAATCCATGACGTGCTCCAGCCACATCTGCGAGATTATGATCATCATGTTCTTACGAGCGAGCCTCTGAGAGACGTCAGAGAGCACAGGACCACCTGCACATCAACTTGCCTCTGGGGAAAACAGCCCGTTGCACACTTGACGTGCTGACATTAACGCGCGCGGATGCACGAAACCAGAGATTCATCGCCTCCTCGGACCTCGTTGGCTCTCTCCTTGCAACAAGCCTCTAGCGCCGGGATGTTTCACTCCATCTCACTCGTTGATGCTGATGTCCAGTATTTCGAGCTTCAGTCCGTCTAGATTGAAACTCGACCTTCGATATCGAGGCGCTCTGAATCCCCTTTTCCTAACATTGCCTGATCCTATTTGAGATATGGCACTAGGCGCCAGAACCTTAACGCCTTCATCCGCATGTTCAACTCCTGGGACACGAACGCGCAACCTGGTCACTTCTAAAAATATATTGTGCCAGGAAAAGCAGAGCACTTCTCCCATTATTTCTCCTCCCCCAGGGATTCCAGTCGAGATCAAGGCAGGCTCCAAGATTTCTCAGGGCGCCTGATCTTCCGGCCCCCAAAAGCTGATGCTGCACGTACCTTGCACCATTTCTCTTCTTGTTTGGGGTACATTGTTGAGGAATCTAGGGGTCTGGTGGAATCCAAAGCTGCTTCCCGATTCTATACCACTCTACTGCATTGCTCTTCAACAAACAGCCCGGCTAGCTCAATCGGCAGAGCGTGAGACTCTTAATCTCAAGGTTGCGGGTTCAACCCCCGCGTTGGGCTTTCATATTTTTTCCTTTCGCATGTGTATTAATTTTAATGGGAAGTTGGAATGAAAATTTTTTTGTGGTCCGGATCTCGAAATTGTGGATATGCGCGCTCCACAGGTACCAGCGCACCGCTAAGTTCTAACCTTGGATCGTGGAGGTATCCACTTGTAACCTGCAGCCCTACTTCAAAGTGCGAACCAAGCCACGAGGGGTGTACGTCCCTTGAGTATGGCAACAATCTATCGTAGGAAGGGACAGCTCGAACTACTCTTCAGTATTCTATATCACTTTTGACAGAAAGTTCAGGCTTGGCTGCAGTGTGAATTTGCCTGACGAACCAGGCCGACCTCTTCCAAGCCCCACAAGCAGAACGTTGCGACAATATAATTGATACAGGTTGACAATAGCACCACTCAAGCATAACTTGACTCTGGGTAAGCGCTGGTGGCTGACAGTCTTGGTGGACTACTGAGAATATTGAGTGAGTCTACACTTATCATATGTTGGCTGATCTTCTGTGCTATAAATACCTAGTATCTATCGCCGCCCAACTCCTGCTTCTATACAATTTTTCAGTAGCGTCTCAACACGTACTTTCAATGTTTGTGTGCTAGCTTGGAGTACCATACCCAGTATATGGTAAAGCTCACTGACGAAAGGTGGGCCGCCACATCTATACTGGTTCTAATGTCACCAAGTGTATGGACATCTTTACAAAGTTAGATATTATCTACGTCCACCTTCACTAGAAGAGAGAAAATAGTACTACCAGAGCCTAGCGCACCTTATAGCTTCGGAGCTGCCGAATAGATAGGCTGACGCATCCAACATAAGGCGGTCCTGCCATAACCCTAAGGATAAATAAAGTAGGCCGTAGGTTGGTATATCCTAGACTCTATTCTATGTAGCAGTATATATATCTACATACTTGAAGAAGAGCCCGAGCTCCGGAGCGCTTGGTTGGTTAACCTGGGTTTCCTGGTGCTGGAAGCAACTCGAAGTTGTGCGAAAGCTGTTTCTAAGAACTGGGACACAGCGAAAATAGATAAAGCCAAGCAGCCCAGGAGTCTCTAGCGCGGCTGACACGGCTATGTATAGTTATTATGCAGCTCAGACTTGGTCACTTCCTGATTTTCCTCAGTATCTAATTATAGACTGACAACAACATGGCAAGGTACTCGTATTCCTCCAAGATCTATGTTTATCCTGTCAAGACGAATTCTATCGCCCAAGTCCCAAGTATATATCAAAATATTAGCCACTCCTACTGGTGGATACCGTCCTCTTCGCTCTCCCTCCATTCTCACCTCGACTCAAGGCTCACAACCGCCGTAACGCCCCCGGCCGCCCCAACCAAAACCGCCCCCACAAGATACGGCAAACCAATCCACGCGCCACCCATCCTCATACCCTGATTGAACGCCCCAGCTAGCGCCGGCCCCGCCACAACAGCTCCCAGCCCCTGTACAAGCGCAATAGTGGTATTCAGCAGGCCGATATGGTCCTCGCTCACGAGGGCGCTGACGACGCTGCGCAGTGCCGCGTAGAAGCCCCAGCCCAGCGAGAGGATGGAGATTCCCATGATGAAGAGGATGGGCTCTGGGGCGAGGGCCATGAGGATGAAGCCGATGACAAGGAGGGCGGCGCTGGTGCGTGCGATCAGGAGGTCCTTTGGAATCGGGGCGAGGCGGAAGTAGGTGGTGAGGAGGTGGGAGATTACTGGAAGGATTAGTAGGAGGAGCACGAAGTTTATGATCCCTTTCAATGAGAGGAGGATGCTGGCCTTTTGATACGTTAGGACTTTTGACAGATGTCTGGGGAAAAGACATGTAAGTGGAGACAGACCTTTGCCACTGACCAGCCGAACCTCTTTGATGCATACTGCAGTGCCAACCTCAGTGCCTGGTCGCCAACATTGGCTGCGAAGAATGCAGCTGAGATTGCAAAGACGGTCTTGTCGTTCCAGATGAATTCGCGTATACGCAGCAATTGGGTTAATGCGGAACGGAAAACCGTGCTGAAGATACTATCCTGCGTGCCCTCGCTCCTACCTTTATCCGCTGCGCTTTGTGATGTGGTCTCGTCATCCCCGTGTAAATTTTTAGGCAGCGTCTCTGGTATAAACAGCAGCACAGTCAGGCCAAAGAACTCACAGGCCAAAGTGAGGAGATACGGTAGCCAGGGCGATCTGGTCATTAGCCACGCGCTGATAGGGTTGGCTATGATTTGAGTTCCGAGAGCTGCTGCAGCGATGATGAAGAATTTGTTCGTGCTGGATCGTGTCAGTTTATAATTCAGCAAAACTGATGATAGGGCTAGTGGGAGAGGGCATGAGAGACCGTTTCTCAACTGGATAGATATCCGTTAACATGGTGAAGACCATCGAGGCAGCGATTTGTGCTCCGCCGCCACAGATCTGGAATAACGCTGTGAACCAGATGGCCCGAGGCGGAATGGCAGGACTGTTCCAACCTATACACCAAAGTCAATCTGTGTTCCCGAATATCAAAGTGTAACACAGGGGGAGGGGGGCGAACAGATAATTCTCAGCGCAACCTCCTGCAAGATGAGCCCAACCAGACTTAGAATGGTGACTTTCTTCCTTCCTACTCGATCAGCCATAAAACCAAATGGCAGGGCGAGAATAATCCCCGGCAGCTGATTAAAGGTCTCTGTCCATCCGATAATGAGCGATAGTTCGCTCTGGACGTCGGCGTCCTTGCATGTTGATGAAGATGATGCGATGGAATCGGGGTGAAGATCGCGACAGATGATGTCCTCGAGGATTTGCGTCTGGGGAGCGACGGAAAGAGAGCCCGCAAAGTCGATTGTGACTATGACGATGGAGAGGACGAATAAAATCCAGTGGGCCTGTCTGCTGTTTCTCTGGGGAGATACTCTTAGAAGAGGGGTGGTTTCATCGGCCATTGCAGTTGGATCTGTGGTTTTGAGGCTGTACCAAAAGAAAGAAACAGGAGAAGAAGACGGGCATGAAATAAGCATGGACAAGCAGCATGGTCAATCTAATTTATCATGCGGCTGACATTCTCTAAAAATCTTGTTGACTGACGCGACGGGAAACATTAAAACAAGCCTGTGTGGAGAAAAATTCCCGATCTAGATTGCAACCGGGGTGTAACCTGGTATTTCTGACAAGTTGTCGGCGCGTTCGGTGCCTGCTAGATACGTACCAACTGCCAAGGTGAAATGGGAATTGGAGTAGCACAATTCGGTTGGGTAGAAACCGGCAGCGTTGCCATTTGCGAGATAGGCGTCCGGGCCGGACGCCAGATGGGGACTAAATGGTGCAACGGGGTTGCTTACTGGCTATGCCTTCAGTCTATGATTGGTGACCGTTTCAAGGATGCTTTATTCCCTGTTTTATTCCTATGGCCTCTGCCCAGTGCCAATACTCACTGTAGAAACGGTTACTGATTAAGCTATCTTTGACGCATCAGTTTTACTGGTAGCGTACTAGTACTTTATTTCATCTGGTAAATATATATGACGTTTCGATATTGATATCTGACACCCTACCTAGCGAGGACCATGCCCTTCGCCTACAGCGATGGAGAGTCAGCGAGGAAAGTGACTTGTACTAGTTATAGATCAAGATAGTAAAACACGACATGAACTCGACGCCAGGTGTACCTAGGAAGCCAAGCAGAATAATAAAAAATAACATGCAAATCTCTTTTGAATAGACAGTCAGGTTGCGCCTGGACAGACAACCCTTAACATCCAAAACCAATGAAACCTCTCTCGCTTAAGAACATCAAGACAGAAAGATCACCCAAAACTCCATACAAGTATCCTAAGCATCATGTGCTGTTGAAAGCCTAAAGTTTGTATTGTTGATTGAAACGGTCTGTGGCCGAAAGACACAGTGCCCTGATCAGAACGTCTTCGGGTTGTAGATGCCGAATATAGGCTTCGAAAACTCCATACGCGGTGAGAGTCGTGGTGGCTCTGGTTGCCCTCGGTGCTCTTGGACCACACTTTCTACCGCCTGAATGAAATCATGCATTTCATTGAGTGGATCAACGTCCAAGGGCCCCAGATAATCCCTGTCGTCATCGCAGTACTCATCGTCTAAGTCGTCGTCGTTGTCGGCCTCATCGTCGTCCTCCATCTCATAGTTTTCAACTTCCACTACCTTCTCTTTTCTCTGATAGAGAGTATCTGTGGTATTCGGCTTTCCATCCCCTTAATCATAGATCTCCCACGGGAGATTATCAAGTGTGTAGTCCAGCGAGCCGTCAAAGGGCCTTGGCCAGGACAGAAAGGTAAAAATTGTGCCTGCGCCTCGTTTATGGGTATCTAATACGAAGGAATGGGCTAGTCAGATAGCCCGAACGGAGCATGGATGCAATACTTGATGGGGCGTGGAGAAATGAATGGTAGAGATGGCTTACGAGGTAGTATGCCCCGGATCCCATGAGAAAGTACTGCTTGCACTCTTTGAGAAGGGATTCCTTGGGAAGGTAATCCCCCATCGCTTGCTCTTTTTCGTTGTACATTGTGAGGTTCGATTATAGCGTGATTTCTGATGATATCGTGGTTCCGGTAGGTAGGTACGTAGGAAGAATTTAGTAACAAGACGGTCTGTAGAATGAAGGATCGTAAAGTATGTGGAGGACCTCAACTAGTTGAAAGGCAAAATCGTGCGTAGCTCGAGTTATTCTGAGCTTGTATTGAATGGCAGTTGGATGTTAACGAAGATGTCTCAGGATGAAGATGGAAGCAAGAGAAAGAAAAATGACGGAGAAAAGGAGGGATATAAGAGATGAGAAGGAGGTTAAAAGTTAAAGACGTGAGTTAAAGAAAAGAATGTGACTTGATTCATTTGGAGCTCGTGGAAACTATATCCGGGCTACGCAAGATATCGATCTGAACCTGTCTTCCGAAAGCTTATCCAGGGCCATAAATAGCACGGATAGAATATAGGGCAGATAAAAAGGCCCTAGCATACTGATGCCTGACTCGTATCTAAAAATGGCTGTTTTGAAGAGGAAACCCATATAGTCCCAGGATAGTCGAGGTCGATGTAAATGGAAATGGCGGACGATCAGTGGAAGAACGTGTAAGTAGGCATTTAATCTCATCGGGATATAAACACCATAATGCCACAACACTGCTTTTAAGGTAGACCTTGAATCAAAGATGAACCAGCGAAAGACATCGTCGAGGGGGTTGGGGAGCTTGTTGATACTGTGCGGCATGTCGGTAAAATCCTTAGGTAGAAGACTTACCCTAAATTGAGGTGCTCATAGTCACTGGACTTATGGATGTGGAGAGGTACGGCACAGTAACTCGGACTCTGGGAGCCGCGACTCCGTGACGAGGAGCTGCTCAAAATGATGGAGAATTCATTTTGGCGTGTGCGGCGAAAGATACCTCAATATAGAGCGTAGTTTTTGTTTCGAAAGAATCAAGGTTGGGGGAGATAGTAGTGAAACTAGGGACTGGAAGACATTCTTAAGGTCGTGTAGATGAACGCTTGCAAATGACAGACAGGGCTTGATGTGTGGTCGATAGGAGTATGCGCGCATCGTGCATAACTTCGAGTTAAGCTGGAGGCTGACCTTAGATGAGGGTTCAAACCACCTAGAATTTGACGTCAGCATTGATCTGCCCTTTGATATCAACAAATTCCACCCTGTCCTTGCCACTCACTTCAATCAAGTATAGGACAACCACACGGACTTTCTGAGTGGACGGCTTGCCGAGGGTCGCCTCGTGGCCCAATCAGGCGGTCCAGGAGATGCTCCAGGTTATTGGAGGTGGAGTTGCAGATCCGGATTGCGGCTGTCCGTTCGCGTCGACGTGAGTGAGCACTGTGAGACCACTCTTAAAAGAGGGGTAGAACACCAGGTTTGTCAAGATGTTCACTTTGCCAGTATCTCCTACCGTCACAAGACCGTCATGCAGCTCCTCGGTAAAAGTCCCCAATGCCTACTCACCTGCGAAGCAGCGCTGACCTGGATAGATCCCCAGAGTAACGCCTTACAGGATATCGTCGATAAGTACCGTCCGGACTTGGAGCATTACGAGACCATTTATCGCAAGCTGCACAGTGAGCCTGAGCTATCGGGGCAAGAGGAACAGACCTCCGCCGCCGTCGCAAACCATCTCCAGCGCCTTGGGTATGAAGTCCAGACACACATAGGTGGGTACGGGGTCGCTGCTGTGCTCAAGAATGGCCCAGGGCCTACAGTGCTACTCCGCGCAGACATGGACGCCCTCCCATTAGAGGAGAAGACAGACCTATCATACGCCAGCCGCAAAACAACCAAGAACAAAGACGGCATCAAAGTCTCTGTCATGCACGCCTGCGGCCACGATACCCACGTCGCAAGTCTGCTAGGCGCCGCTGAGCTCCTCTCATCGGCCAAGTCCCAGTGGACCGGGACGTTAGTCCTCATCTTCCAGCCCGCGGAGGAAGAGCTCTCCGGCGCGCAAGCCATGCTCGACGACGGGCTCTACGACAAGGTTCCCAAACCCTCCATCGTCCTAGCGCAGCACGTCATGCGCATGAAAACAGGCACCGTAAGCATCCGTGCCGGCCGCCTCCTAACCGCAACAGACGCCTTTGATGTTCGGATCTTTGGACGCGGTGGACACGGCTCAGCACCACAGACCTGTATCGATCCCATCGTGATCGGGGCGTCAATCGTCACGCGGCTGCAGAGCATCGTAAGCCGCGAGGTGACGCCGGGCGAACTGGCGGTTGTTACCTGCGGAAGTATCCAGGCGGGTCATGCGCCTAACATCATTCCAGATCAGCTAGATTTGAAATTGAGTGTCCGGAGTTATGATGCGAAAGTCCACGCGCGAGTAGTTGCGGCGGTTAAGCGGATTGTGGAGGCAGAGTGTGCCGCTGCAGGCGTGCCAGAGGATTTGAAGCCGGCCATGACGCGCACATTTACCGCGCCGGCGACGATAAATGATGATCAGGCGGTTGAAGCTTTGCGGGGCACGTTCGGGTCATATTTCGGAGAGAATCTGGTGGAGATGGAACCTTCGGCGGCGAGCGAGGACTTTTCGTTATTGGCGACAGCGGCGGGAGCACCGTATGTAATGTGGACTTTCGGAGGGGTTGATGCGAAGATCTGGGATGAGGCTGTCCAAAAGGAGGCCGTGAATGAGCTGCCGAGTAACCATTCGCCGTTCTTTGCGCCAGTGGTTGAGCCAACGCTGGCCACAGCGGTGGACGCGATGGCGGTCGGGGCTCTGACGTTCTTGACAGTGTCTCATCGATGATTCATCCAAATGGTGACGACCATGATAGCTAGCGAGGGGCCAATTAAAGTAAAGGATTGCCCCCAGTGGCAGTGCTGCCCGCACTGCTGCAGGGAGCAAAAAGGGTCTGGCGGTCGTCTCGACTCAAGTTAAAGCTGCGACGGCCAAACTTTCTTCCAATCAGATCTAAGACAAGATTTCTCTCCCTGAGGGTCCCGTTTCCCAAAATTAGCCTTCAAGCGGCTGACTTTCCGTCCTGATCCAGGCTTTCTGGCTTTCTGGTTTTCTAGCTTCCTGGCTTCCGCTTTTCCACTTTTCAGACTCCTTTGATACTTGAAATAATCTGGAGTTGCTCACCACCGAGACCTTTCGGAGGTTTGAATCCCGCGCAGTGCCGAGTCCTTGAATTTGCTCCTCCACCTTAATTTCACCAGCGACGGGGGCCCCTGCATTAGCATCTCTCATTTGATCTCTCTTGACAGCTTTTTCCAGAGGTCTAGCCAGACGCCTTCAGCTTACTCCAGGCGATAGTCTCAGCCATGTGTTCCTGTTGATTCTCTCAGCATTTTGTCCAGCGCCCATTCTTTTCCTCCTGAACTCTCTGCCTTTTGATTCACGCTCCTTTTTCTTCTATCCCGGATCTTTTTTTTTTTCCAATCTAACTTCTTCACTCACGCTTGGTCCCTTTCCTCTCTCTTTCTTTCTCTTCACTGTTCGGATCAAAATGGCTGGGCTCATGAACAGCCCCAGCCGCTATGTGGCGCTCGTTGTCCTCGTCATGCTCATCTTCAATCTGTACCTCTTCCAGCGAGTCGGCCGGCTGAATTCCGAGAACGAAGCCTACCGTGATATGTCCTTGCAAACCTCCCTCCCGACGGCGACCCTTGACACGAAAGTCGAACCAGCAACCGTCACCGTCACCCAAACTGTGACCGCCACAACGACCATTACCCCCGACGACAAGACCATTCCCTCAAATCCTCAAACTCCAACGCACACCCAGACCCAAGACGATGACACCACCTCTGAATTGTCCATTAAACCACTCCTCGCCCACCAAGCGATTCCCGACTTCCCCGCCAAGATCTGGCACAAATGCGGCCCCAAGGGTGTCAGCGAGCACGCCCAGGAACTCATGAACATCTGGCTCCAAAAGAACCCTCACTTCCGTCACGAACTCCTCACCGATGACAGCGCCGACCAGTACGTCCGTGAACGCTACGCCTACTGGCCCGAGATTCTCGAAGCATACATGGCCCTGACCGTGCCCATCCTCAAGGCCGACTTCTTGCGCGTCCTCATCATGTACGCCGACGGTGGCATTTGGTCCGACCTCGACGTTGTCGACGACGTTCCCGTGAGCGAATGGATCCCCAAGGAACTCTCAGACAATGCAGACAAGAACCCCATCAACATCGTCGTTGGCATTGAGTTTGACGGCCACCAATTTACTTCCTGGACCGTCATGGCAAAGCCTCACCTCCAGCACTTTAAGGCTGTGATCGAGTATGTCGTTAAGCAGCTCAAGACCGCCGCGATTGAACACCACGTGCCCTTATCGGGTCTCACCAAATTAATGATCGAAGGCGAGGACGTCGTCAAGGTCACGGGTCCGCAGGCAATCACAGTCGCGCTGCTAGAGAGTGTCTCCAAGGAATTGGGCCAAGAGGTCACGAAAAAAGACATTGGCGGTCTCAAGAAGCCGAAACTCATCGGTGACATTCTCGTACTCCCGCAAGCGGCGTTTGCTGCGTTGCAGGGCGGCAAGCCGACAGATCAAGGCCCTTATCTGGTATCGCATCAGTATGCGGGTTCGTGGAAGAACGACCAGGGCGGCGAGGAGGGCCAAAACCCGCCTGCTGCCGCGAAGGAGTCGGTTGCTTCATGATTTGGTTCTTTTTCCCCCTTCCTCTCTTACTCTGACCTTTCTCTTCGTCCACTTCTCACCACCGATAAACCATTACGCTTTACATTAAACTTTAACTTGAGCAAACTTGTTCACGTTTTATCCAGATTTTGTTAACTAGGCGTTGCTTTTATTCCACGTGTATGGTTGGATATGAATGATTGGGACGGAACGCGTGTATCTACTTTTCCTGTACATAAGACAAAGACTCTAGAACTGGCTTTTCTACTGTATTTCTTACCACTACATCCAAGTTCGGCATTTTCTCATGTCTGAAGCTTTCACGCGCAAACTGAGCTGATCTAATTCGGAGTAAGATATATTGATTCAAGTAACTCTGAAAAGAACAGAGCGATGTATGTCCATTTCTTTGTGTAGTCTACATAGTTCCAGCCTTCTGGTATATATATGCATATGCAAAATGTCCAATGTTCCAAAATCCATCTGGTGGGGGGATAGAGAGCCGAGTCCCAGCCTCGATCGACCAATATGTGCATGGCTCCTGCCACCACTCACTTCACTCACTTGATGAGATCTATCCCCTCCATTGCACCCTCTATTTCATGACCCGCAAATCAATACGGCTCCACCCACTCAACCTCCTTGCACTTATTCCCCGCCCTCCATTTCTCAATCTCCTCCACGTTCCATCCCGAATACCACTTCTTCGTTCCATTATCCTCGGGCTTCCTCATGCCGCCGAGTCTGAAAAATTGCGTCGAGACATCGCATTCGCCGCTGGAGCTGTAGCGCCATTGGAAGCATTGTTCTAGCCCTTTGCAGGCGTCGCGGCAGGTTTCGAGACTGTTGCTGATCTCGCCGGCAAATTCGATGCGGATTTCCGAAAGGTTGTCCCAGTCTTCTTCGTATTCGCGGGTGATCGGGGAGGGGAAGGGAAGATTGGAGAGTTCGGCAAAGGTTAGGGGTTTCTATAGGATTAGAGTGTTAGTGGCTGGGTTAACTGGGTGGGATTGTAGGAGGGGAAGCGTTTGAAAGAGCGTACAGTAAGGTCCAGCCTGGCTTGTTCGAAATCGAAAATGGCAGTTCGCTCGCGCGGGTGGAGATGGTGCATCGTCACAACGGGCTGGCACCAGTGCGACGGACCAAAGGGGAGAGTAGATGGCTTTTCGCCGTTAATCTGCGGCCGCATATTCTTGACTTCAATATCGAGCTCCTTCCTTATGGTATTTGCGAGCACAGAGTCACCGCAGCAATTCGTTTGAAACGCGTCATCGTATTTATTCGCGAGTCCCGCCTCGCCGCCGATGAACTGCTCGAGCAGCTTCCCTGATATGACGATCCCGCTGCCGCCGTGTGCGAATGGCTCGTTTCTAAAGTATGCGATCGAGCCGAGATACAGCGGATCTTTCGGCGGGGAGATGCGTTGAAGCCAGAGGATGAGGTTCGTCCAGACGACATAGGTGTCTGTTTCGATGAAAAAGTACCAATCGCGACCCGGGCGCTCTAGCCATGCCTTTTCAACCAGGTGTAGAAACTTGTACTTGTCGAGTTTCCAAGCCTTCTCGCCCTTCAGACTGGCCATGTCCTGGCCAGTTCGTCGAAACTCATGCTGCAACCGGTACAGCTCAAAGTCCGGGAGTGTTTCTTTGAGGGTTTCATTAAAGTCGGCGAGCGTATCTCGGAGGCGGTACGGGCCGATTTGCTCGTCGAGGTCGGAGAAGAGGAGAAAGTCCTGGACGCAGCCGAGGGTTGTGAGGAGTTGTGTTGGGAGCTTCTCGTAGACTTCTGTAGCGCCGGTCTTGATCACAAAGACAACGTTGCCCGGGTCAGCAAAGGCTTGACAACGGCGGTCGCCCGAAACGGCATTGCTGGGGTTGTACGGAGGTTGATTGTTATGATAGTTGGGGGAGGAGGAGATGGTGGTGGTGGTGTTTTCGGCAGTTGGATTAGTAGTGGAGAGAGAAGGAGGGGTGACTGGCTGCTGGTTGAGGGTGCTGTGCCGGTCCCAGGACAGGGGGATTCGCTCGTACTCGACGAAGAGCAGCAGCAGCGTACAGCTGAGGCAGATGGCGGCCAGCGCCACCCAGACCGTCTTCCGCGGCTTAAGGTTAAGCCACGAGTCTTTTAGTCGCATCGGGAGTGGAAATATGATTATCAACTAATCAAACTGGAAGATGGGGAGAAAGCAAATAATGAGGGTATTCAACCCGTCTCCATTGCTCTCTGATGGCTGGAATTCTCAAATTGTCGCCTCCTTCCAGGTTTCCCAGTCCACGGTTCTCCACAGCACCGCAGGCAGAGCCATTCTTCGCCCACCATGACGCTTGTTCGTCGAGTTTCAGACTTGTCTTGTCTTTCAGTCTCCGCTGCCAATCCACGCCAATCGTTACGCTAACACTGTTTAGCGCAGAACCCGCATCTCCACCGATGCCGGTTCGTCCATGAATGCTGACAGGTCACTCAAGGTCAGCCCTCCAGAGCGACAAACAGTCCAAGCCGAGCCAACGGCAGTCTCGAGTTGATTGTCGCTGCACACAGAATCCCAGCGACTAATTGCGCCTGACGATTGGTTCAATTGCGACACTTTATTCTATTCTTGCAGACATGTCGTGTTCAGCCCCCTTCTCTGACGAAGAACTGCACGTTCCACACACACTCCGTTCGCAAGTCGCACTCTGAGGATCCCTCCGACCAGGCAGGTCATGTCCGACCTTTCTTTGGCAGTCTTCAGCTCTCCGCCAGGCTAGACCCCGGAAGGGTGCTTCGGCCCGTCAGCCTCGCTGTTTACATGCGAGTCGAGAGCTAATTTTATGGCCCAGACTTGCTTGGTGGCCAACCTCAAACTCCATCGCCGGCGGTTGGCCTGTTAAAACAATCGGCAGGATGCCATGAGGGAAGGGTTCTAATAAAAGGCAAAAGCCTCCCCTCATGCGGGCTGACATAGACTTCTTCTTCCCCTGTAGCGACCTCGCGGGGATAATTTGATGTTGGGTTGAATTCTCTTGATTTACGTCTATACTATCTCCATTCAGCCCTGTACAAGATCTACTACCTACATTGGGATGGTAAGCATAGACGGTTTCGAGAGAAAATGAAGTCACTCGTCCCCTTTCTGGCCTCTGTTGCCAGCCTCGCCCATGCGCAATCGAACTTCTTTATCAACCCTGGCTCGCAAGCCGACCAGCTCGCCAGCGGTAACCACACGGAAGACTATCCCATCTACCAAGAGGGCGACAGCCAAGTCTTCAGCTGGATCACAAACTGGACAGTGATCAGCCTTCTTCTGTATCAGAATGAGAACGCCTCGTATATCCGTCTTCTCGGTGCGTGAAATCGCCAACTGAGAATCCATACTTTGAATACTAACCCTTCATTCAGACTTTGAAGAAAATCATCCAAACAGATATACCTACGACATGAGGCCTGACGTCGATCTCTCGTGGAACGACGTCTTCTTTTTGACCCTCTGGAACGAAAACAACGCCGAAGATGGCGGCCCTCCATTCATCTACTCCTCCTACTTTCGCATCAACGCCTCTGATTCTGATTCCTCAACCTCGACTTCAACCACCACCACAAGACCAACATCAACATCAACAATCCCAAGCACCACAACAACCTCAACTCCAACCGATTCTCCCACCCCTGAACCAGAAACAACAGCTCCCTCGTCCGACTCACCCTCAGATGAGGACGGCGGTGACTCCCTCTCCTCCTCCGCAAAAGTCGGCCTAGGCGTCGGCATTGGCCTGGGAGTCCCTGCCCTTGCCCTCGCCGGCGTCGCCGCATTCTACCTCCGCCGCCGCTCCCAAGCAGCCGCCTACCAGCACTCGCAGCAACTACCTCCCGGCGCGGGATACACACCGGGCACTGGGTCGGGATATCCCAGCCCGCCCGTCTCGGACATGAGTAACCCGTCGCCGTTCAAGTTGGGTGGGTCGAGCACGGTTCCAGGGTATAGTGGGCCTGTTGAGGCGGATGGGACGGGGTTGCAGGCTCAGGCTCAGGCTCAGCACCAGAGTCGGTTCCAGGAGTTGCCTGGGGGCGGGTATGCGCGGTGAAGGTGAAGGTGAAAGTGAAAGCGGATTGAAACGGGGTGGAATGTGAAGAGCGCAGTGGAGCTAGAGGAGCCGTTGGTTTGGTCGGGTCTGATTTGAACTTCATTTTTCTTTACTTCGCTTCGCTTCTTATTCTTCTCTACCATGTATTCTACCCTTTTTTCTTTTATATCATCAAACCTTCGGCATCTGTAGTTCTCAAAGTATGATTATAATCTGCTTAATCTGGTCGGTTACGCATTTTCAATACCTTGCATCCCAATATCCATTACCACATCACAACTTACCTGACCTCTTGAACTACACTACTCCAGTGCATGCCCATTGATCCGTCTCATTCGATCACATCGCATATCTAGACCGTGCAGCAACCTACATGCTCTTGAAAGTACGATTGGGCTCAGAGACCAAAACAATACGCACGCAGCCAGTGCTCATCATTCTTGCTACCTCCACCTAGTGTAGAAGTAGACAGGTGGTCTATGTATCAGGTATCCTCGCCATCATTAATTACAGATGTATAGATGTCAACGAAGGTGCAAACAGTAAGATGGAAAGAGAAAAGGAAAAAACGAGAAAGAGTCGAAGAAATCCAGGTCAAGTCTCGGCTTGTTGATGTCAAGAAGAAAACTAGACGTGGGCGAATGAATGATGAAACAACACAACCAACCCACTCAGGCAAGCACTCGGTATCAGTAGGGGTATGCATGCATAGCCGACGAACGCCAGTCAAGAAGCGGAATGAATGAGAGAGTATGAGAAAGAAAGATGGAATAGAAGAACCATGTCTGGGAGTATGCAAAGAGAGAAAATAGTAGAAAGCGGAATCGAAATGCCGAGATTATGTATGTGTATGTGAGGACATCGTGTTGGTCAGTTAGTCAGGTCATTCAGTCACCCCGTTCTGTTAACTCCGGAGTAACCCACCCAGAAAGGAGAAAAACGAAGAAACAAGACCAAAAGCAACGCTGGAGATGGGGGAATCAAATGCCACGAAATATAGAGAGAGAGAAGATTATGGTGGTTGATCTTTGGATATCGACGTTTCAGCCAGACTCGGCTGTGAAGCGATGGTTTGAGCCGTTCATAATGAGGCCTCTGGGAGTCGTGAAGTGTCATTGTGATATTTTCTGCTTCCAAAGCAGGGTTGTCCAGGCGGTTTTCTAAATCGCAGGCCTGCTCACCAAGCTGATGGGAGCGCGTGGCTTTGGGCTTCGGACGTTTTGGATCAGTTTTCGCAGACCAAGATTTTGCGGCGGGGTCAAGGACAGGGAAACACCTCAGCTGATGATCTGCCGAGCTCCCTCTTTCCCAAGGACACCAGGCTCCTGCGGTTTCGGGCTCCGGTCACGCCCCTTTTTGCGGCTCAGGAACGCAAGCATGCCGCTGTTGCTCGGTTTGCCCTTGTTGGCAGCATCGTATCCGTCCGCGGGTATGGTAGCACTCTGGTCTGCCAGCTCGCTCCAGCTGCCCGCCTCTTCGAGAACCATTTGCACGCCTCCACCTTTACTAGTCTTGCGCGCTGTTGGGCGCGGTCGCATAGGTGGCGGGGGAACGAAAGGACGGTGGAAATTAGGAGCTGGCGGCGGCGGCGGCGGTTGAGACAAAGGAGCGGGCGGTTGACTGCTGGTGCTTTCTAGCGCCTCGCCAATAGAAGACTGCGTGTCTTGTGCCGTCATACGAGTGGGGGATCCCTCGGTCCGGACAGGGGAGCCTCGCGCAGAATCGGGATGGGAATAGTGTCGGGAATGAGTTGAGGAATTAGTGGTTTGTAGGCACTCTTCGGGGTTTCTAGGCTTGTTAGCGCGAAGCATACACAAATTAAGTGATGAACTCACGTTGACGCTGCAATTGCCTCGGCGGCATTTCTACAACAGTCAGCGACGCTTATAAAGTATTTAAAAAAACGCAACTTACCCTCTGTAATTCACAATTGTATAATCAAACGGCTCAAACATCGTTTCAATCAGTCGGTGGAGCTCGTCCTCACGGATCTCCTTGGCCGTCGCATCATCCCGCAACTCGGCTCTTGGCTTCTGCCTTCTGGCTCTAGCTTCGAGCGGCGCCTCTTCCAAAAGTAGCTCTTCCAGATCATATGTCGCATCGAAATTGGTCTTGTCACTCGACGGACGGAAAACCGGTGGGATTTCTTTTCGTTCCAGTGCGGCAAAATCGATATCCGCAAAGAACTGGTGTGACGTAAAGCTCTCGAAGCTGATGGCACCGATTCGCCTGCTGCGGTCCTTTTCTATCAGTGCGGACATTGCGCGCAAACAGGGGATGGAAACGGCGGGGTTCGTGACATAATATTTTGGCTGTGCTCGTTTGATATTTTCGCTGAGGACGTCTTGAGACCGGCCCTCGAATGGTCGCTATATTCATTATAAGCTTACCACGTTCGAAATGATTTTTTTTTCCCCAAGCTCACCTTGTTGTAGATGCACTCGTAAAACGTAACGCCTAATGACCACCAGTCGACTTCGAAATAGTACCCCCCGCCTTCATAGACTTCAGGAGCAAGATATGCCAGGGTTCCTGATTTGCTCGTGAGGGGTTTCCCAGGACGAAAATCGGATGCCACATTCTGCCATTGAATTAGTATCGTCCAAGTTGAGCGTGTAACGGGTAACGAACAAAATCGGCCAAATGGACGTGTCCCTCAGAGTCTAACAGCACATTGTCCGGCTTGACATCTCTGTGGATGATACCTTGCGAGTGGATATATCTTAGAGCGCAGCCAAGCTCAGCGAGCCAGAACCGTACCGCGTCTTCAGTGAAGCACTTTCGCGAGATGTGGAACCGCAAATCACCGCCATTCATTAAATCCACCACAATGTATCTTATCAAGTCAGCAACGTCGGGGCGAGGACGATAGGGCGGACGCACATGTACTCTATATCTTGGAAGCTGTATCGTAAATTGCAAAGGAAGGGATGGTTCAGGTGCTCGAGCATTCGCCGTTCGCGGATGATATTGCGGACACTTTCAGAACGGACCACTAAAAGAAGCAGTTAGTAGCTGCATAAAAGCTTGAGAAAGCTATATGTACCTTCTTCCTTGCGGATATACTTCAATGCAAAGGTCAAGCCTGTGTCTTTCTTCTCCACGATACGGACCTTGCCAAAGGCACCCTTCCCGACCACACGAAGCAGACGGAAATGATTCAGGTTCACTACCTCATTGTCAGCCATGCACCAATCGTATAAACCAAGATAGCCACTCAATGGGCCCGCGCTCATTGAAAGAGGTGGAACCCGGAATCGGCTCGGCACATACCCTCATTGTCGGAGGTGACCTGTCTCCCTTGAGAATTGCCCATCTAAAAACAAAAACCGGGGAACAACAAAAGGTAGATTCGCTATTCTGCGTCACCTGCGACAGCATCCCATTCGAACGTATACCGTGTTGCCGAGGCGGGGTGGTCCGTGATCGATACCGGGTCGAAGTGAGGAAGAAACGGGTGGGCGGGCGGAAGACAAGAGGGGGATGGAGAGAAGAAAGGGAAAAAGGAACGGCGCAGGGGCGGGATTTATATGGACGTTAATGGAGATTCACTGCATGCAGACCTAGAGCAGAATATGTCAGAGGTGAGTCTTGCTGTCTTAGACATAGACAAAGAGCTGAGAGAGTTTGGGGGTCGGGCGAGTGCAGGGAGGCCGATGCAGGAGAAAAACGTGGCGATGGCAGGGTCTAGTAATCTGGGGCATTTAGTGACGTACCGGAGTAAAAGCAATGGCTGTAGGCGAAGGGAGGATGAGGCTGGTCCGGGAGGGGTGAGGAGAGGACTGTTCGAAAGGTAGAAGGAGAGAGGGAGAGATTGGTGAAAAGGAGGCCGTTTGACTGGCAATGGCCTTCTGAGATCGATGGAGATGGAGGCGGCCCGCTAGTCGGTGGATAGGCCAGAAACAAGAGTTGAGGTGAAGAACGACGAACAAAGAGAAAAGAAAGGCCCTGAAAAGCTCGAGAGCCGGGGGCACAGTGGTAGATGAATCGAATACGAGAACTTCTTTGTCTGCTCTTTGGAACTTTGGTTCTTTTGGAGAAAGAGAGGCCATCTCGTGGCCGCCACGTTTTTCACTCATTTCGTTCGCAGGCTGAGATGCAGATCGCGTTTCATCTCTCCCCATCTGCAATCTTGATTCCACACTAAATCTGACCCGTCAACTGCTGCGCTCTGACTTGTTGGATGAGTCTTATTATTGCGTCCTCTCTGTCTCTGACTTTCTAAGTTCAACCTTCTCCTGGTGGCTGCATGTTTTCTTTTCCTTCGATAGTAGCCTCGCTTGCTGCCCGGTTACGTGTCTGGTCCTTCTTTGAGTCTTCTAGAACCTGGCTGAGACCTCCAATTCAGGGGGCTCTCCACCGTCGTGGATCCTAGATTTCAGGCCCTTTTACCTCCAGATGTCGGTACTTTTTTTTTGCAGAGTGGTCCAGCAATATTAGCATCGCACTTGTATTTTCAGCCGCAGACCCTAAGATTACGACTCGAATTATAATAAGCTTAACAGCTCGCTATCAGCTGTAGATAGTTAATGTTAACTCGCTGTTCAAGGTCTTCCGCCCTCATGAAACAAGCTATCGCACCAAGACAGAGTGTCCCAAAGCCAGACAATATCCACTATCGTGTGATTCAACCGAACGCCAGCAAATCGTCAAACATCTCCCAGTCTGGCAGCCTCCAAAGTCACGTGGTGCAAAACGCCACGAGAGAGCTGGCTTACTACTAACTCCTGGGCGGGGTGTTGGCTGCTAGGGCTAGAACTACAAGATATATGACCCTTTGTCGATATTTTAACATTGCTGCATAAGAACAAATCTAATCCCATATGTACAGAATACACCCGAAATGCCTAAAATTATCCCAGACAGCTGACGCAATACTCCAACACCAAGACCCAATGCCATCCTCCATTTCACCTTGTCTTTGCATAAAATCATCTCAATTCTAACCGGCCCCCTACCACCGTCGACCGTAAACAGAATCCTCCGTCGAGGGTGCGCGCCTTTCCTGTTTACGGCTGCGATCACGAGAGGCATCCGATTCGCTACCCGAGCGGCCCTGGCTTGCCGATTCATAGCTTGAGGTGAGGAGATTGCCCTTTTGTGGCGAGTAATCGAGGCGAGTCTGATCGTCCTTGTATCGGAGCTCGGCGTCCTTTCCAAACAGCGCCATCATATCCTTCATCGTAAGTTTGGCCGCTGCAGTCTTACCCTCGATGGTGACATTGGCCAATTCGCGCTTCCGGTCTTGCAGATCGAGAATACGCTCCTCGACCGAATCTTTGATAATCATTTTGTAGATCTTGACATCCACGGTCTGATTGAGTCGGTGAACGCGGTCGATGGCCTGTTCCTCGACAAACTAAACAAAACAGGGGGTTAGTGTGAGTGCAAACAAAACGCTAGGAATGGTAAGCTTACGGGGTTCCAGAACGGCTCAAGGATGACCACGCGGCTTGCTGCGGTGAGATTTAGCCCCAGCGCACCGGCTCGCAGACTGCACAGCAGCACCCGTGTCGCCCGGTTGCTCCGGAGCTTCTCAAGGCTGGCTTCTCGGAGGTCATTGCGCATGCTTCCGTCGTATCGGGCGTAGCCGATTCCAGCGCGTTTCAGGAATGGCTCGACCTTGTCAAGCATCGATGTGAAGACGGAGAACACGATGAATTTGAAGTCGGGGGCTTCGCGTCGGAGGATCTTCAGCAGGTGGCGGACCTTGGTGGACGGAAGCTCCTGATTCTCTTCATCCCCATAGATATCATCTTCTGAATCCGAGTCTACAACGTCCCTCTGAACAATGCGCCGACTCGGCGACTCAGGTTCACTGTCAGTATCAGAATCTTCGGAACCGATCCAGTCGCCGCCGCCCTCTGCATCTTCATCGTCGGAGCCCCCTGCTTTGCCCAAAGATAGGCCTGCTCGCTGACTCTCGGGAACGAGCCATTCGCCGTCCTCTTCTTCCTCGTCATCGCTATCCATGATAACGCGTCTATTCTTGCGCGATCGAGCCATGCGATCTTCTGAGCGCCTCTGCAAGGGGGACGCCGTGAGATCAATGACCTTTTTAGATGCCTTATTCTTCGTCTTCATCCCATCGGCAGCAAAAGGCGTGTTAAAGTCTTTCTCACACTCACTGCACCGGCTGCCACCACCTGTAGACTCCGTTTGACTCAACTCCATTTGGCAAATGTCGCATTTCTTGGTCACCACACTGAGCGCGCCAAAGAGGTCCGCCATTGCGTCCAAATCATCCTTCTTGGCGGCAGACGACTGACTGTTGGTGGTGTTTCCAGTCTGCAGGAGAATATCCTTGTCTTTAGCCAGGTCGCTCTTAACCAGGTCTGGATGGTTACAGGATTGACGCAGTCGAAGAAGCAGAACCAAGGCTCCAGCGTAGTCCATTTTAGACCCATCCATCATCTTCTCAAGACTGTTCTCCGTTCGCTGTTCCAGGCGCTGATAAAAGTTCCTCTCCCCTGGCATGAAATCCACTGCCACCTTGATTACTTCACGTTTGACAATGTGGAAACCCGGGCCCTTCTTCTTCTTCTCGCCTTCGCCGTCGCCTTTCCCAGATTTTGGCTTGGCGCTGAGCTTCAAAACATCCTTTGTCCGCCGTTTCATAAAAGCCTTTAGGACTACCTGTAGGCGTTCGATTGCAAGCCCTCCACGCCCATTCGCAAGTGGTCTAGTAATCTGATCTTTCCAGTTTGCTAGATCGTTGTAAGGTTTGATTCGAAGGAATCTGATCAAACTCTGTAGCTCGTCCAGGTTGTTCTGCATAGGCGTGCCCGACAAGCACCAGCGATATTCAGCATCCAAAGCATATGACGCCTGAGTTGCCTTGGCATTGCGGTTCTTGATAGTGTGCGCTTCGTCGAGAATGATGCGGTACCAGTAGACAGAGAATACCCCAGTCTTATTATTGTTCTTTGAGACTGCATTATGCTCAGAAGTGAGGGTCCCATATGTCGTAATCACCACGTCGTAGTCTTCTAGACTGTCGGTCGATTTGGCACGGGCATTTCCATGATAGACGAGGACTCTGAGTTTTTTAGGCGCCTCAACCTTGGTCTTGATTTCAGACTCCCATTGTTTGATCAATGCAAGAGGAGCCACAACCAGGGTGGATTTGCTAAGTCCAGGCGGTAGCTTTCGCGATTCCTTCTCCTCACCATCATCATCCGAATCTGCATCATATTCAAACATCGCAGGGCGTCGCCTCGAGCCATCCTTCGGTTTCTGGTTCGTGAGCATCAAAGCGATGGCCTGAACGGTCTTCCCAAGACCCATGTCGTCTGCAAGAATCCCACCCTTGGGCAGGACGCCTTTCGCCTCTCCCTTGAGCTTCCTAGATCCGATCTCTTTCTCGCACATCCAGTTGACGCCCTGTCGCTGGTGAGGAAGAAGTTTAACATTCAAGCCTTCAACAGTGCCATCATCGTCCTCGTCTTCCTCCTCCTCCTCCTCCTCCTCAGAATCTGATCCCTCTTCGCTAGCGTCTTTCTCGTCTTCCGCGTCGAGCGTCTTTTGTAACGGAGATTTGACGCTTTCCTCTGCATCTGAAGGGCTTTCATTGACAGTTACACCCTGCAGCTGAGCAGCCAAATCGTCAATATCCGAGCTCTCCTCCTGAGCCTGCGGCTGGTCCTGCTCACTCTTCTTCTTCGACGTGTCCTTCTTGTTCTTCTTCTTCTTCTTTTTGCCTTTCGGCTTCGATTGCTTTTCATCTTCATCCTCGAATGCTCCCTCTAGTAGAGCTTTTATATTCTCATTCGCTTTGGCGGTATCCACCCACTCACTTGCAGCCGCACTACCAAAACCTGGGCCCCGAGGTAGCCGAGAAGTAGAAAAGTCACCTCCCGAAGGGGTTGTTGTAGTCAGATCAACAAAGTTCTGCAAGTTTTTGGCCGCATTGTTCATCTTCATCGGAGAAGGTTTTGAGGCGTAGAACATCTTCGGCGCCCGGGGTGTGTTGAAGGTCACATTTTCGGGGCGGCGGATTTCGACAACATCACTGTCAACCGGGCGGGACATGCGATTGTTGTTGTATGCAGAAGGTCGGACGGGCTTGAACGGGTCGAATGGTTCGCTTCGCTTAGGGGTGGAGGCAACGAGGGGAGGAATGTTTGATCGAGCCACATTTTGGAGGAGCGGATTCTGAGATCGTGCCTGCTGTTGATGATGATTAAGATGATGTTGTGGTTGTTGTTGTTGTTGATTCGGTCGGTGATGCTCTACTCGTGGGCGATTCTGCTTGGGAATGTTGAACGGGTTGCTCGAGCCATGGCTCTGGGAATAGCTTGGGCGAAGAGGCGACGGCTTTCCGAACTCTGGATGCTGCGGTGGAGGGCGGCTCGCCTGCTCTCGTGGCTTTCCCGGGGTCACAGGATCTGTTGGGGCGCTGCTTTCTCTCGCCATTGCGCTGTGGTCGTTACTTGTGTGTTAGGGCGTGGATTGCGTTTCGGTCGTCGCGGAAAAGCCGAGCAATACGTGGTTGTTATGCTCCAAGAAGGTTATGCATCAGTCGTCCATTTAAGTCGTGACGATTTCAACGAATGAAGGTAACGATCGTATCGAGGTTGGAGAAGATCTGGCAAGTGTGAGTGGAAGCGGGAACCGCCACTTTTTTCTTATCTCCGTTTGTTTTGGAATCTGCCCCAGCAACCGAAAAGCGGGGAGCCGCCACCAGGGGGGGCGGGCGGCTTGAAAGTCGACAGGGTTTCCTGAAACACCAATTAGAGCAAGGGGCTTGATGGTTTCAACCTGCTGGAGATTTACTACTTGAGCTAGTTCTCAAAGTTCCTGGATGCACGGATCATCCTATACCTCTTCTATACCTAGTATCCCCACAATCATTCTATTCCGGAACTCAAGAGCTCAACCTAAATAGTTACTGTCCAGGTCTATACCTCGGCCTCAGCCAAATAACTTTCAAGGGAATGTTGAGGTGAACTTGATCACAGTAGTATAGATAGCTAGGCCACACGGTAATCTCTACAAAACTAGGTGTATTTCTTCTAATAGACATTACTGTTGCACCGAGTCGTGCCAGCCAGGTCCTTTTCAACAAGAAATCGGTCATTTGAGAGAACAGATACATTAAAGATGGTATAATAGAAATATCTAGACGAGACCAAACCCGTCAAGAATGATTAAGCCACGAGCATCATCCCCATACCTGATCCAGGCAGGTATATCTATACATTGCCACTTCTGCTCTAGCACAAGTCGTCCAAAGGCCCTTAACGTGGAAATATTTAGTGCTCGAGAGGGCTGCAGCCAACGGCCAGAACACCACCCTAGGTCGCGTTAGTGAAATAAGTTTCCGAGAGGAAGTATGGGGTACGCACGAGGAGGTTGACCTCAGTGCAGCACTGGGGAGCAGAGTCGCAAGAGTCATCGTAGGCGTGGCCTATTTAAAAGTTAGTCGAGGATAAGCGGACTCCATACCAAATCGGGACGTACAGAGAAGGCCAATAGAGCCAACGATTTCAGCGGCGTCGATGCCCAGACCGAGGAGGATGGGGTCGACCGTGGAGTCGAGAGGGGTGGTGAGGGTGCCACAGCACAAAAGGGGAGCAATGCAGTTGGAGGTATCACGCTTCTTCTGGGCGTTGGCAGCGTTGATGCGAGCGGCGGCGTCATAGACCTCAGCAGTCAGAGCCTGGGTGAGGGCATCGTCGGTGGTGGGAAGGGCAGAGGCCAGAGCAGAGCCGGCAACGGCGAGGACAGAGAGAGCAGTGGTGAACTTCATCTTGAGAAATTGGTTTGCGGGGAGCGAAAACTCGAAAAAGGGCGGTTTTGTTGGGAGAGAGGGAATGAGAGACTTGAGCCTTGAGATTGAGAGTGATGCTGATGAGGATAGAGTCGTTGTTGGAGGGGGGCTGCTTCAGAGCTCTATATATGCTCGAGCTCGACGTCCATGACGAAGGGCTTTACAGAGGTCTTTGAAACCCTTATCTGGATCATCATGTTCCCTTCCTGAAAAAGAGGACGAGAGCTTCCGATGACGATTTTCATATACACTATCCAGAGGATCTTGGAGAGGTCAGATTCAGGCTGGGGTTGTCGCCGAATGTAGTTCGAGGCCAACCCACACATTCCGAATCAAGAGATGAGCTGCTGGTTTAACTCCACCTTGATAAGACAGTGACAAGATTCTTTGGATCCCTTGGGACCGTCCGGTGAAGAGGAGGGTTAATTCCGTGTACTCGCGAGGCGCTCAATCTCTTGAAACCAAGTATAAACCCAGTGGGATGGATCTTGGCAGCTCCTGCAGCCTGCAGGAACCACCCCCAAAAGGAATAATGAACGTGGAGTGTCCTACGTAGTCCGGGATCTGTCGAGTCTGCCAGTCGTGATTCGATCGATAATCTCCTAAGCGAGCCGGGAGAGAACAAGTCAGCCACTCGTAGAAACGCCAAACCTGCTCGAGTGAGGAAACCACAGGAATACGAATCGGGTTGTCGTCGCAAAAACCGATAGTTCGGGGAAAGCATGAACCATCAACTTGCATTCCACCTGTTAGATAGCGAATTCCCTTATCAGTGGAATTTCATCCATAGAGGCGGACCCTTTTGGTATCGAATCAGATCGACCGCCAGCTGAAGATCGTCTTCTTCCATGTCGGCACCGACTGCATTGCAATCAATCAGGTGTCCCGACAAGCTCTTGATCCGGAGTATCTATCAACACCGTGACAATGAGAGAGCGCTAGTATCCAGGAACGAGTGCCGAAAAAAAGGAGAAACGAACCATTGGTTCAAGCTCCACCACACTGACTCAAGCATTGACTGTGCGGCAAATGCGGAGGAGGCCTAGAAAAAGGGGAGACATCCAGATACTCAACCCTCTGAGAAATAGAAACTGATAAGCTACATCGATGTATGATCTTGAAGCCTCAGACCAGTGGCTAGCCGACGATCGGGCTGACATCTCAAAACCATTCTTTTTGTTAACCGCGATCAGGATCGGCATCGAAGGAGCAACTACTGTATGTATCCTCTGTCATTGACTCTCGTCTTCTTGAGCCTTCCCTTTGGGAATACGCTTCTACATCCAAATCGAGTAAGCCATCCACCTAGGAGCTGAGTGAGTGAGGCCGGGCAGATCGGGTCCATTGTGATTGACTTTCGGCTCTCTGGATACCCGGTCAGCATCGTAGATCTAGAGAAGGTTATCTCCAGATTCCTCGGGAAACCTCTATGAGATATGAGGTCCTTTACGTAAATGAAGCTCAGGGCAGAGCAAAGGCTATCAACAGCCTGTGAAGCACTGAGAGCAAGAAATGATCAGCAATCGACCAAAAGAAGATGGATTTTCGGATGAGTGAGGACATTTGTCCGAGAAAGTCGGCAGAATCGCTTTGAGAGTCAGCAGTGAAGGCAATAATGTTTGCGAAATCAAATTTGGGGGTGGCATCATCGAGCGACCCCAGACTTTTAAATTTGTTGGATGCCTCAACTTCAAGGCTTCAGTTGGGCAGCGGAGTGTGGCGGTGCAGATATCATGTGGCTTATCGCCAAGCCAATCAGCCACAGAAAGCCTCGCGACACAAAAACTTTGGATTCTTTGCATTCCAATATCCCGCCGCCCGCGAGCTCGCCCCTCCCAAGACAGTCTAGGCTTCCTCAGTAGTTGAGGACCTTATTATTTTACAGACCACGGTCTTACTCGATTTTTTCTCTTTTGGTTAACCAGAAGAAATTCAAGCACCATGGCCCCCATTTCGATCGCAGACATCGTGGCGGCCCTCCCCGCAGAGGACACCTGGGGTCCTGCCACCTCCTCGGACAACATGCTCGAGGGTGTCCCATACGCTCCTTTTTCCAAGGGCGACAAGCTAGGCCGTATGGCAGACTGGACTGCCGACTCCAAGGACCGCGATCGAGGCGGTCGCCAGGCCTTCAACCGCAACTACAGAGGTATGTAAAAAAAAAATAAAGCGGTTAGACTGGGTTACTCTTTTGCGCGTAACTAACGGGATTGTCATTCTAGATCAGCAAGTCTACGGTGCTGGTGCCTCCAGTTTATTCGCCGTGCAGGTCGCCGAAGATGAATCCTCCTTCTCCGTGGTCGACAACACTCGCACTTCAGCTAAGCGTACCTTTGGTCGGGGCGGTGGCACCGTTTTCCGTGGCCGCGGCCAGCGTGGTGGCCCAGGACAGAGAGGTGGACGTGCTGGGTTCCAGCGTGTTGGTGCTGGTCGTGGCGGCCAGGGTGGTGATCGCTACTACGACAACCGTGGTGCCCGCGGCAACCGGGGACGTCGCTTCGGATGGAAAGACTACGACAAGCCTCAGAGAACCCGCGAGCCCTCTGTAACCATCCGTCCCGATTGGTCCTTGTTGGAGGAGGTAGACTTTAACCGCTTGTCCAAGCTGAACCTTCAGGCTCCCGAGGGTGAGGATGTCGACACGTACGGTTTCCTCTACTACTATGACCGTTCCTACGACAAGGCCCCCGTCAAGAACGCTGAGCGCCGCCTTCAGTCCCTTGACCGGGCTGCTTACAATGTCACCACCTCTCAAGACCCGGTCATCCAAGAGCTTGCTGAGAAGAACGCCGCCACCATCTTCGCCACCTCCGATATCCTTTCCATGCTCATGTGCGCTCCTCGCAGTGTGTACTCCTGGGATATCGTCATTGTTCACCAGGGCAACAAGATCTTCTTTGACAAGCGCGAGGGTACCTCTCTCGATCTGGTAACTGTCAACGAGAACGCCGCCGATGCTCCCATGGAGATCGCCGAGTCCTCTGGCAAGCAAGATTCCATCAACACCCCCAGCGCTCTTGCCATGGAGGCCACATTCATCAACCACAACTTTGCTCTGCAGACTGTCGTCGAGTCGGATACTGCCAAGGTCGAGCTGACCCACCCTAACCCTTTCTACAATGCCGATGAAGAAACCGAGCCTCTGGCCTCCAAGGGATACAAGTACCGCCGCTTCGACCTCTCTCTCGAGAGCGACGAGGAGCCCCTCGACCTGATTGTCCGTACCGAAGTGGACGCTCTCGTCAAGAACCCTGTCAATGGCGAGGACCAGCAACTGATCGTCAAGGCCCTGAACGAGTTCGATAGCAAGGCCCAGGGCTCTGGTGGCTCTCTGGACTGGCGCAGCAAGCTGTACTCTCAGCGCGGTGCCGTTGTCGCTACTGAGATGAAGAACAACAGCTGCAAGCTTGCCCGCTGGACAACACAGGCCATCCTCGCCAAGGCCGACGGCATGAAGCTCGGTTTCGTGTCTCGTGCCAACCCTCGCTCCGCCGCTGGTCACGTTGTCTTGGGCGTTGCGGGCTACAAGCCCAAGGAATTCGCTGCGCAGATGAACCTTAACCTGGGCAACGGATGGGGTATCGTCCGCACGATTGTCGACCGTATCCGTGCCCTGGACGCGAACGAGGACGAGGACAAGGTTACCAAGTACATACTGGTCAAGGACCCCAACCGCTCCGTCCTCCGTCTGTACACCGTCCCTGCCAACACCTTTGAGGAGGACGATGAGGTCGCCGAGGAAGAGCCTGAGGAGAAGGCTGAGGATGAGGAGGAGGCATGAATAATGAACGCATTCTAATCACAGATGATATCTTTTTTTTTTTTACGTGTGCATATTTAAAAGTTCTAGACTCCGAGTTCAATGATGATAATGGGTCACTTTTGTTTCTTGTTTGTAAACTCTTCTGCCAGACCTGCGCCTGCAAAATCAGCAGCCTCATCCTCGCCCAAGAACTCCATCTACCTTTCATAACCTTCGTGGGGCCACAAGCATGTATCGACAGATTAAAAGGTAAGCTTCGAGACTCAAATCCGTGACTTCTACATAATATTCACGTGTAAAGTGCCACCAGCTAGTTTGTGTGATTCTCAACGACGCAGTACAAGTTGCCTCCCTATATATCCCGTACGTGCTTCCGGATGACGAACTCGGAACAACTGATCGATTTCGGCTTCGCTGAGTCCGGTATCAACTCGAATATTGGGATTCTTCAGCTTCCAAAGTTGCCTCGGCGAGACCTCGCTTGGACATACAATACTAGGTTGTACAACGTTCTCCATCATCATGGGGCTCAGGAGTCAGTGGTCTCGCAGCCGGCAGCCGGCAAAAGCATTATTATTGCTAGTAGCAGTCCCACAAATTGGGCGATCGCGAAAGGCACTCAACTTGGGATCGCGAGTCGAAGTACCCGGCGATTCATGAAAACTTGGTTGCCTTGAACCACCAGGCACTAGTTGCGCAGCAATGCAACTCAAGGGTCCGACGATTCAGGGCCAAGCAGGGTTCAATAATACATGAGAAACAAGATCAAACAGGCACACTGTCATTCCGCGACAGCAACGGCCGCACAAAGTCGGATCTGATATTGGATCAGAGGCCTCGATCTTGGCATCTTTTCGGTATCAAGTGTATCAAGTGCCTTGACTCCTTGGGCGCGCAAAAGACACATCCTTTGTTCTCCCGAGAATTGAGCCTTGATTTCATGATCTGAACGCCAGGGCCCAACGTCGGGGTATCAGCCTTGTTTGGTGTTTTCTCCGATCTAGCCAATTTTTTTGGAGAACGCATGGAGAACGCATGGAGAACGCATGTTCAAGTGCTCTTCGAAACCATCAACACTTTCTTAGTAAAGATCGCCCGATGCCAAGTTCGACCGTTGCTTTAGCCTCGAGACCGTGCCAAGGTTCCTTCTCCAAGCATACCCTTTCAGGAACAAGGACGTTTCACTCTCGAACATGTCCACAACCACGAGGACATGCCGAATCAGCTTTTGGAAACGATCATCTTTATGTGCTTTGCCCAGGACATCCGGCAGTTGCCGGCTCGGATGTAAACCGAGGTCCAGGCATTATCAACCACCTCTGGGATGTTTCGAGGATCTCAATCGTTCAAACAGGATTGGCCGGCTAAACCGCTCGGACGAACCATTCATTCGCTTCTCCTCCTTGGCTGTAGCCCTGTGGATATGTAGAGAATTCTTGGTAGCTTACTGACCAACTGGGAAATGGAGCCACTATGGTTGGAGAAGCCCTGCTTTGGCTTTTTGGTCCTCCGAGGCACAGGCATCGATGAAACAATGTTCAGCAGAGAAGGGGTTATATATAAAGCAAGCAGGCATCGAACAGAAAATGCATTCGACAAGCAAGCCGGACTCAAGTTCCTCACTGTCTCCCTCCCCCGCCCTCTCCCCTCGTTCACTCTCTACCAGTCACTCTTTAACTTCAAATCCACCATGCATTTCAAGCTCCTCTCCCTCGCTGCCCTTGCCGGGCTTTCCATTGCTAGCCCCGTTGCTCTCGAGGAGCGCCAGCGTACGTTATCCCCGCCCGCCCGTCGATCTTGGCCCCTACTTACTAATATCAAATCGCAGTCTTTGGCTCCAGCGGCAATGACCTCCGCAACGGCAACTGCCAGCCCGTCACCTTCATCTTCGCCCGCGCCTCCACAGAGCCAGGCCTCCTCGGCATCTCGACAGGCCCCGCCGTCTGCAACAACCTCAAGTCCGCCCTCAAAAACGGCGTTGCCTGCCAGGGCGTTGGTCCCAAGTATACCGCTGGCCTAGCTGAGAACGCTCTGCCCCAGGGAACCTCTTCTGCAGCTATCAACGAGGCAAAGGAACTCTTCGAGCTTGCTGCTTCCAAGTGTCCTGATACCCAGATTGTGGCTGGTGGTTACAGGTACTGTTTTCCTCTTCTGCATTGCTCCGCTGGATGCTAACGTATCTGGTACTTGCAGTCAAGGAACAGCCGTCATGCACGGCGCAATCAAGGGCCTCTCTGATGAGATCAAGGACAAGATCAAGGGCGTTGTTCTCTTTGGTGATACTCGTAACAAGCAGGACAATGGGCAGATCCCCAACTTCCCCAAGGACAAGATCAAGATTTACTGCGCGGTTGGTGATTTGGTCTGCGACGGCACCCTCATCGTCACGGCTGCACACTTTACATATGTCATGAACACCGGCGATGCTTCTCGCTTCCTTGAGGGGAAGCTTGAGTAAACATGTCTAGATTGCTAGGATCTACTGCGGGTTGGTTGGGTATATGCTGGGTATATACTTACATACCACATGGACTTCTGGATTGAGTACTCTGGTTAGATGAGGGGAGTTGGAAGACGGGCTTTTGGGGCAGGATAGGGATTCCTTTCTATTTTTCTTTTTTTTTTTTGATTATTATTAGGGTTCAATATACATACGAAGCATGAAACATTGTGAACGAAAGGATCGATTAGAAATTAAGGTATATCAATCAACATTTTACTGGTCGAAACCGGACAGCTCGATCTATCAAGTCTACACATCGAATTCTCGCTGTCGACAAGATTATATAGATGTAGAGTTCTCGCACTGGGTTTGGTATATAGTGCCCTTTCCCTTTTCTTCTATGTAAAATCCAACCGTCTAAATCATCCCCACCATGCCTATCATGGACCAAAACTGGTCGACAACCTACATTATCCATTCTCCGCAGCCAAGCTCAGAAGCCGGGACCGGCGTATGATCGTGTAGGATGTTGCAGACAGTGCGGGTTATCGTCTTACTTGAGATAGAACTTGGTTGTCTAATTCGGCGTCCAAGGCGTCCAGTCTGCCATACGGCCTAGCTTGTCGACCTTGATAGAAAGGAGCCTCGAAAAGACTCACTCATAATTCACAACACCGACAGAGGAGAGCGCTCATACAATCGTATCTAGTAAATAGTCAAAATCCCACGGCTACGGTTCGAACCACTAGCCCGTTGACTACTGCCGCGTTCGTTCGCTCTGGGATTGCCGGATGGAGAATTAATTGGAGAAGCGAGATGCAGGCCACCGAATGGAGTCTTAAAGCCAAGCACTAAGGATCTCGATCTCGACCGTTTTATTCTTCCGATCCAGCCTAGCCTCGCCCACACTCAACGGCTATCCTGGTTTCCCTCTTTCTCCTTGATTCTTCAGCTTCTCGGCTTATTCGGTTGTCTTTCGATCAATTGCTTGATACCATATACGCAGTGTACCAAACTGTCAAAATTTTTAGGGAAAAAAAAGGAACAAAATGCCCCCAACCCTCCTCCCCACTACAACCTCCACACTCCCCACCAGAGCAAATCCGAGTCCGACAAACACGACAGCGGCAGACAAAGAACGAGATAAACCCGCGCCCTCCAAACCCCGCCCGATAACTTCGTGTGCCGCTTGTCGCCTCCGCAAGGTCAAGGTATCTAGATGTTCCCATTCTCTTCTCACGTTTCTTTCCGTCTTATCCTTTCTTCTTTCTGCTGCTCTTTCTTTTATACTAATGTAGCGAACCAGTGCGACCGTCTAACCCCCTGCACAGCCTGCACAACACGCAAACCGCCAACGGAATGCACATACTCGACGACGAGCGAGGAGCGCGAGGCGATTGCGGCGGCGGACCTGATTGCTGAGCTGCGGGCGACGCGGAATAGATTGCAGGGGCAGTTGGCGAACTCGAAGTCGGGTTCGTCTATGTCTGCGGGCCCTGGTGCTGTTCCTCCTGGTTTTCGGGGTGCGGGAGGATTACCGACAGGGTATGATTCCGGAGAGGGGGAAGATGCTGCGGCGCTGGAGGCTGTGTATGCGGTTTTGAGAGAGGGTTCGTGGGATGTTGCAAGGGAGGTTGTGGGGAAGATTAGGGGTGGGGAAGGGATGAGGGGGGTTCTTGGGGAAATGGATGGAGGTGGGAGTACGACGACGCAGCTGTAGCTGTGATGTTAATGGTCTGATGATGAGTCTGCATTGCGTCCTGTGTGTCTTATTGCTTGGGTAATAGTGCGACGAGAAAAGGTACAATGGGTAAACGAAATGTAACGTATGATGAAGACGGAATGAAAAAATGCTGGTTCGCGGAGCTTTATATATACACCTCCCTGGGATATTAGAAACACATAGAAGAAGTGAACGATCAGAGATAAAAAGCAGAAAGAAAAAAAGAAAACGAGGTCATGAATACATGTCATCGGCAGGCTGCGAGAACCCCCCGTCAATCTTCGACCCGCTGACGCTGCTGAAGCAGTCCATGAGCTCAAAGTCTTCCAGCACCGCTCCGAATCCGTAGCAGCGCACTTTGTTCTCCAGTGTGTCCATGATCAGCTTCACGTCATCCCTTGTCAATCGAGGGTACATTTCGTGACTCTTCAGCGCCTGGAGTGCCATTATTGGCGTCACCTGCCCCTCTGTTACAAGTTGTCGACTCAGATTGAGCAGTGTGGACAAGTTGGCGTGTGGAAGGTCGTAGGTCTTGTGTGGATACACTTGTTCGCTGGTAGTGTTGGCGATGTAGCTAGGTGGTGGACACGTCGCCATCAGTGCGTGCCCGGAAAATGGCATATCTTCGTCTTCGGATTCTGTGGCGGATCTTCGGCAAAGGTAATCCGTGTGCTCACGACATGGTGACTCGAGTCTGTTTCAAGTTTAGGAATCAATCACACACACACAAAAAAAAAGGTGTAGGTCACATACGTCAATATAAAGTCAACCTGAAGCTGAGGATCGCTCTCAAAGATGCCTCCGTTTTGCACAGGCGGCCGACGATCTATAGCGGCCAGGGCATCGCATGGAATGGCATGCATGGCATGCATTGATTGTTGGTTGGTACCAGTATCTGGTGCCGACGAAAAGTCAAATTTATCCACTCCGTTGACCTTTGGGCTCATTCCCGACGATGAAACCGTTGTTGGCGGCGTGCTGTAAGTATGCGGATTTGATGAGGCGATGCCAACAGTCTGTGATCCAACGCTTCCTCCGGCGACCGGGCTAGATGTGAACATTGGCATCGGACGCTCAGCCTTGCGACGTTCCAGCTCGCCCTCAAAGTTGATGTTGTGTGTCGCTAGAATCTCCTTGAGCATATTGTTTTCCTCGGTCAAAGAACCGACCATTTCTCGATGTTGGTGTACAGCAAGATTGGCGGCTGAAATCTCTTGCGTGTAGGCCTCTCGTAATCGTGCCACTTCGGTCTCCAAGTCTTTGATATACTTTTCCTTTCGCTCACGATGTGTCCTACACTGGAATCAGCGTTTGGTCTACAGAACGAGGATGGCAAGACTACCTCTGTGCCTGACGGTTCAGTTCTTGTCGTCTTGTGAGAGCTGGCTTGCTATCGGGCTTGGGCCCTCTTCGTTTTGGTGGTTGTCCATCTAGTCGTGGTTAATAGCGCCCTTGGCTTTCTTGAGGAGGTACAAAATGACAAACCTCGGGTGGTCTTCTTCTGAGCCCCTCCACTAAAGAACTTGTTGAAAAAGTCTCCTCCGATCGAACCTCTCATATTGGACGAAGCTTGAGCTGTTGCAACGTTAGCAACGCACACGAGAATGGCGAAGTAGAAATAGACGAGCTCCAGCCATGCAAGGGGTGACGCCCCTCAGTGCGGTTGGTGGAATGTTACAACGCAGAGGCTACCACCCGACAAAGCCCGTAAAGCAGGATCCGGCAAAAGCAGAAGCCCTCTATTTCTCTTTTTCAAATCCATGTTCTTCCTTGGGTTGCGCCAAAAGTATGGCGAAGGAGCCGTGACATGGACAGTGGTGTTCACGCTTACCAGGTGAGCTACCATGCTGTATACTCTGCCGATGCATTGCGTCCAAATCCAAGGGCACAGGGCCACTGCTGACTGAAGTCATGGTTTCAAATAATGATGTAGACGGCACGAAGACAAAAGGAATGCTGAATGCGATCGGCGGGGTCGGCGGACGACGGCGACAAAGCGACAAGAAGCGACGACCTCGAAATAGGACAAATATTTAGAGCGAAAACACAATGACGATGCAATTCTCTACAGATTAGAAAATTTGTTGTCAGCCTCAAAATTTAAAGGACTTGAAACAAGTGGATTCGTTTTCGTCCAAGCGTCGAGCCGTTTGGCTTTGCTTGATATACGCACCCGCAGAGCCGGAACACGCGGCTTGACCTCCAAGACAAAACCAAAGACAAAGAAATGGAGAAAAAGCAAAAGCCTGCGAGTGGAAGTATAGTGTTGGACCGCAAATGACAGACAGCAGGAAGGCGTCGAATCTGCTGGCGCAAGAGGGGTTAAAGAGTTGGTGGCCAGGTGGACTCGAGAGTCGAGCAGACGAGGTAAGATAATCGCGGACGAGAAGAGAAGCTAAGATTCGGTTGGAAGACAAGCCCGCGTTATATCGATCACAGAGTCAGCCAAGCGGGTCCAGTGTCGACTGCCTGATTCCAGTTTTTGGATCCCGATGCGCAACAGCGCACTGGCTTATTGTGTTATTGGTTCCTGCGCCGTTCTTCAAGACCCAGTTGGCTGGTCTTGTAACAAAATCTCGATGGAATGGCTTAGCTAACTCCCTCTGACGAATAGGCCCAGATGAACCGCCGATTGGAGTGGGAGGCTTGAACGGATTGGACCCTCCTGCCGCTCACTAGTCCGAGGGGCGAGGGGAAAGGTGAGGCAGAAAAAGGAACAGAAACTAAATAAAAGCACGCAAAGAAAAAAAGTATCTACTCGGAGGAGCAACAAAGTATGTATGTCAGGAAAATGAGGCAGAGATTCAGAAAATCCACTGCGAAATTACTGCGCTGAGATCCTGAGCCCAATCACCCCATGGAATTTCGCCTCGGTCCAGCAATAGCGAGATTAAATCTGCCAAAGCGACAGGGTCCCTCCCGCGGACGGAGTACGGAGTACTCAGTACACTTCCCTGGGCCCAGCAAGACAACAAGAAAAAGCAAGGCTGCACCAGCCCATGATATTCTAGGCATCCTGACTTCATCTTTTGAGAACAGAAAGCAGAAGAGAGGAAACGGTCCACGAAATCCGAAGCCAAGCCCTTCCAATGCGCCTTGGGCAAGAGGGCTCACTGCTCACAAGGAAGTATACCCAAACGAGCGGACGGGCATTGGGCTTGCATCAATTGGAGCCCCAGGGCCTCGAGGCTATCCTATGTCTCCTTTGCCTGATTAGTGGTGGATGATGGTGGCTCGCCGCTGTGTGAGATCTCCACCAGTGGCTTCGTCCTCCGAACGGCGAAAACGGCGGCCATTCTGGGAAGGCTTTGACAGTTTAACCGACGAATGGCGGTGGTTAGTACCATATCACAATTTTTGAGCGCGACAGATGCAACCGTTGTGTAACATGACTGAGTACCTGCTACTCATCACTCCGATGATACTCAAGAAAACGGATCACATTCGGACCGGTCACTCTGAAGCCTGCACCGCGCCGTCAGTTCTTTGCCTTCTCCAGAGTGGACAGAACTCGTCTCGTCGTATCCACACCAGAATCTCTGGGCATTGGGGACGACGCTAGACAACCATAAGGCTAATGCACCCGAACCCCGGTCGTGATTTTTGGAGTTTTCAACGGCCGAGGGCCGTCGCGCTGTCAACAAGCACTGCACACGCAGATGCATTCTCCCCAGCATTGTGAACCTGACCATCTTTAAACCCCCTGAGGTGCAGGAGTAAAAAAAAAAAAAAGGTATGCATGGTGTGTCAAGGCAAGCAACGGAGCAGAGTGCCATCAAAGGCAAGATAACCTCGCTGCCACTCATTACTGAGATAGGGAGGTTCGCGCCATCTAAAGAAACCAATCGGGGAAGCAAGCGCACAAGAAAACTCGCCAAAGTTGTCGAACAGCCCTGTTCGTCTCATTCCGTCCACATCTCCTGGTCCTGCCAAGTTTAGCCGTGCTCTTTCTTGAAGCTCAACACTTGCCCTGGCGTCTTTCCTTCTGTCCGGCTCTCCGATGAAGAATCTCATCTCACCCCAACTCAATAGTGTGTGTCACTCTATTGAAGGCTGATGAGCGGGCGTGCTCCTTCACGGGGTGATCCGAAGTTCCGCACGCCGTTCCAGCCACTGATTCACGTTCCACGAGTCGGACGCCAATTACATACCGGAGATGAAGGCATGAGCAGAGTGGAGAGTCTTCGGGTGATCGTCGCCATCGCAAGGAAAAGTATTCCAAATCAAATGCGAGGGCAGATCTCGAACGAACTACTCCGGAGGAAGCATAACCTCATTAGCTTCGCCTTGGATGAGCCAAGAATGAATCATGTTATGATTGCGCCGGGAAGAGCCGAGCACATGCATTTGCTGCTCCAACCTTCAGAGTACTAGTCTTCAGAGCGATTCATGATTCGTGATAGCTTGGATTGAAATCCTGGCAGAGCGGCCAACTTGCAAGTTCGAGGCCTTGAGTTGATCGCGCGTTGACTTTAATCGGCCTGCGACTATTGCTGGCGATCCCAGCCTATGGAGTAAGGCACGGAGTTGCCCCATCTGGAAGTCACGCCCCCACACCAGTTTCTTCTGTTCCTGGATCCAGACGCATCCGTCTCCATCCCCCCAGCCTTCTTCATGCTTTGCGAAATGATCACCAAACTAACATGAATAATGCAGCGCATGGACAAATCAGAAATCCTCGTCCACATCTCAGCGCCCAGTGGCGTCGTTGACGACGCCCGCTATCGTGCGCAAGTGGAAGCTATTTTGAACTTCCAGTCTCACTCACGTGAGCTCATCACACTCAGAGCAGACGAGACACCATCTCATCTTGCATCTTCGCTTTTGCACTCGAGCGCATCACCGCATCTGGATACGAATAATGGGTCCATTAGTTCGCCGCCTTGCGTTCCTGTCCAGGCCGCAAAACGACCTGCTTCCCAGAAGGACTCGCTCGGTAGCCCCGTCAGTGTGATTCCGGACTCCCAACCACAACAACCAGAATTTATAGCTGAAAGCCTGCACTTGACACCTTTTCTCCTTTCGAAACGACCTCGACTGGGCTCTCCGCCTCGTTCTTTGCGCGGTGAGATACAGCGTCCGGAGACGGCAGCAACTGCTAGTATAGCAACTGCCAGCCACAATACTACGACTCAAGACGAGCAAGAGGGTGATGAATCGAAGCAGTCTACCCTACCGCCGGAAAAGCTAGAACAAAAGCAGTGGCTTGACTTGTCTTGTCTTCCCTTGGAGATCAAACCACCTCCTCCCCCAATAGCCTCATCCCCCTTCATAACCCACATCACACCAACCCTAGAGATGCTAACCAAGCGTCTCAAATCACCTCGATCTTACAATCCCACGAACCAAACCAGAGACCTCGACAATCTTGAGCGTGGATACTGGTGTCTCCGCATCAACATCGCCTCGAATGGTCCGGAGAAACCCACAGCACCTAATCCCGTAAGCTGGGACACGACTTTTTTCCACAACTTTTGGACTTTTCTCTCCGATTTCATTGCGAAAGAAGGCCGAGCAGGATGGGGTGTATGGTGCATCGCCGAAGATGAGACTCCATCTTCTCGAACCCCGGTCCCGCAAGAAACACCTGAGGGAGAGACCTCACAATTGATGACAAACAATATCACTCAACAACTCGCAGTAAAAGTCTACGCCTGGGGCGAGATTGCTTGCCATATATACCTCCTCCTCTTTCTCGCCAGCGAACGGCGAATTCGCAAGATGGGCGCCCAGTGGCGCGATGCTCGTGATATTGTTGTCATTCAGATGCCGTAGATGCATCTCCCTTCTATTAGTAACCGGTCAAGCTTCCGATTCCTTTGGATTCAATATACAAAGTACTTTATGCCGCAGAACCTCCAGCGTTTATAGAATAGGGAAACTGCGATGGTTCCTCGCTCCTTTCGTAGCTGGAAAAGCAAACCTAAAAACCCAAAACTGCTGCTGCGGGCGACCCACCTCAGTCACGTACTCGCCACATACTGTATGGGTAAATTGTTGGGAGAATGGCAAGGAAAGAGCGATCGACCCGCGACGAGTCAGCCAGTGAAATTACGACAGCCGCTCCTACCATTGTTAGACGTGGTCTCAAGAGGAACGTGCGATTCTCCCACTGATGTCTCGCTCGCATATAACACCCCGCCGAGGGAGATATTGGTCAAATACAAGGCTCAACAGGGTTGTTCCAATAAATCAAGAAAAAAAAAAGTGCCAGGATATATCCATACCCCTGTACAGCGACGCAGATGGTAGTATTTAGTGTATAGACTTGTAAAACCCGGTTCACAAAGGCGTCACTTGGTTCCTAGCAGAGATTGGAAACTATGTTACATTCAACTCAGGTGGTGTAGTATGTGTAGTGCCCAGATGAGACGGCCAGATTTTGGAACAAAGATCGAAGAAAAGGCGAGAAGAGAAGAAAAAAGAGAGGAAAGATATGGTTACAGCAAGACAAGGGAATTGCTTCGCTTTGCATCATGGCGCGGTAGGGGAGAGCCAAAGGAAGAAGAAAAACAATACAGAGTATGGGAAGACTCTGAAAGGAAAAGTTGCAGAGTGTAAAGTTGAAATGATGAGGAAGTTACAGTAAATAGGGAAAAGAATGATGCTGACCCCGAATGCTTGAAAAGAATGATGCTGATCCCAAAAGCTTGCCGAGAGACGCCGATTAGAGAAAGCTACAAGGCAGTTTGCAAAGCAGCAAGGATCAGTAGTTTAGCTCGCCGCTTCCAGCGCCGCCAACTGCGTCTAGATCCTCGTAGCTCTTGAGGCTGCGGCCCTGGACAGCTTCGCGTGGTCCCATTGCCGGGCCCGCGCCAGAGCCCATGGCGTCGGGGAAGCCTCCGGCTCCAGAGAAAGCAGCGGCAGCAGGATGCCCGGAAGGGATATAAGGAGCGCCCGTCGTCGCTGGGAGGCGGCCACCAGACCCGTGCATGTTGAACATGCCACGAGCCGGACTAAGGCGGCCAGCGCCCTGGCCTCCATGCCGATTTCCACGTCGGTCATAGGGGCCCGATCGATTGTTGAAGCGGCCGCCGCCGCGGCGCATAACGCCCGGCTGGTGCAAGCCAGCAGGGTCGCCCGTCATGCCATTGCCAGCCCAAGCAGCCGTGAAGCCAGGTAACCCCCCTGGGGGTCCCTGGAAGCCAGGAGGGATATTGGGGTTGTTGCCGAAGTAGGCAGCAGGCATTGCTGCCAGGCTGAATCCGCGAGGGGTGCCGGTCTGGTTTTGTCCAGAGCTGAGAGGAAAGTGGCCGTTGCTATTGGCGTCGGACCGCGACGGAGCGATGCGGGCGGGATCAAGCACATATGCATTCACCAAGGAGAGCTGTAGATGGTTAGCAGAAACACTTTATAATAGATTTTTTCCCACATACATCATTCTTGACACGCTCGTACCACTCCGTGTGGCGCTTCTCAACGTGCTTACGCCAAAAGTGTTCCGCCTTGAACAACTTTGTGCATTCCGGTACCTTGCAGCGGAACTTGGACTCATCCTCCTGCTTCAGATATTTCGCCAATTCTTCCTCGAGGGCCTCGTCAACCGGCTTCCCACCAAGCTTGATGATGTCCACATTCTCCGGCTCGAGGAGTTGAAGGAGTTTATCTTCAAATGTCTTGACCCAGTTGAACGCACGCTGCAGCTGCTGTTCTGACTTGGAAGCAAATCTCTGGGACCGCTTCTCTGTCGGAGGAGAGGTTTGCTCCTCGCCTTCTTCGCTAGGATCCTTTTTTTTAACGGGGAACGGCTGTCCGAGGGCACTGGCTCTGGCCACAGCCTTTGCCTGAGTGGTCAGCCCAGTTCGGGGACGGCGTAGATGGCCCCCGGGGCATTTTCGAGTAAGTTCATGAACCGAGTCGCACTCGAAAACGCAGAAGAAGCAGAAATTATACACCCGGCGAAGGTATTCCACCATCAAATCGAGCTTCTTCTTTTGCGCCAGGAGCTCTTCATCGTCGGCTTCATCTTCTGCCCAACCTTCTTCTAGTTCCTCGCCCTCTTCCGCTTCACCTTCGTCGATATCGTCAGTGTCGAAATCTGGCTTCCTCCTCCTCACGTTCACAGGTCCAGTAACCGGTGTCTGCAGCCAGCCCTTGCCGCGCAGCACTTCTACCCGGTCTTCGACCTTGGTAAAGCCGTCAGCACTGTGACCCAGTTCAGAGTCAAGCTTGGAGACGAGCCTCCTAGCCAGCTCCAAGTCACGCTCAATGCGTTCAGGAGAAGAGAAGAGGTCCCAGAGTGCCTTCTTTCGGAGCTGAGACGGCGGGGCGTGAACGCCCACATGACAGACAAAATCCCCTTGCTCTGGACCATGAATCGTCTTGTCGTTGACGGCCTCGAGGGCTTTTTCAGCAAGTGTTCCTGGTCCATTGGTGAGATTATCGTGGTCCATCTCCTCGCCCTCTTCTTCTCTTCCATCGCCTCTTTCAACGACGGTGACTTCAGATGCAGGGTGTAGCATTATCCACCCCATTCGATGGTACTTTTTCGACGGGTTTGGGTCGCTCAGGCTGAGCCATTGAAACATGTGCTCGCCAAGATGCTCCTTGCAAAACCCCTCAATGCTGTGGCGGCTTACATTTGGTGCTAATGTCTTGATGAGCAAAGCAGGTTGAGACAAAGCTTCGTCGCGAAGGTCGCCGCCCCTGGCCGGAAGCAGATCCAAAACACCCAACGTCTCACCCACAGCAGTCGTCTCGCCTTCCTCCTTTTCAATCACGCCTCCTGCACCGTCGCTCTCACTCTTATATATACCCTCCAGAGTAAAGTCGTCAAAAAGGCCTTGTTCGAGATCGCGCTCCCATTGCTGGTAAGCGCTCACGCGAAAGTCCATGACCTTCCGGCGAAGTGGATCTCGCACTTCAGAAACGTAGCGCTCTTTGAACCATTCCTCATTCTTGTGTTGCTGCACAAATGTCCTCGCCATTTTTATCTGAAGATCCACCTTGTAAGTATCGTAGGCTGCCTGTATCTGAGCTCTTTCCCGATCACGGTCTTCGCGCGCCTCGCGTTCTCCCTTGACACGATCGGATGGGCGACGCCCACCATGTTTTGCACGTTCCTTCTCCTCTTTGACTGCTTGCTCGCCCCGCCACCATTCAGCAAACCAATTGAAGCCAACTTGGAAGTCAAGGTTCAAGGGATTCGGCAGGGGGTTTGTAGGAAGTGGTCGCTTTCCTCCGTCTTGTCCAGGCACATAGCGATCGATGTTCGCGGCGATTGGCGAAGGAGGGCGACGACGGTCTTCACGTTCTCGAGCAGTGTGTTCGCGCGACGCAGCGTAATAATCATCTCTTGAAGGTCTGCGGTCCGAAGGTTCATATCGATCGATCATTACTGGAGAGCGAGAGCGCCCACGCCCACGTCGGCGATCTTGAGATACTAGAGGAAATAATATATTAGTAGGGAATAAAGCAACCGTGCAAAACTAGCTCACCAGGCGACCTGCGTCTGTATGAATCCATCGAAGCTCTAGACATGTAGGAATCCCCTCCCTCGCGGCTCCTTCCGGGTGATCCGTAAGAATCATACGAATCCATTGTGTCACGGAAAGTCCTCGTAAACGGAATATCGATCGCAGGCAATGATAGGAGCGAATTCTTCAGTCAGGTCTCATGCAGAGTTGACGGTTAGGTGGTCCGAAGCACCACGAGTTTGGTAATTTTTGCAGAGCGCAGGTGTAAGCTAGAAATCGAATCCATCACATTAGATACTGTTCTTCAAGGAGTCGTTCGGTGAACCATGGTCTCCGACCGCTGGCGAGGAAAGAATGGAACGAAGTGTGAGGGAAAAGAAGAGTGACGACCGCAGAGCGGTGGAAAAAAGTATTCGAGGTCGCCCATGACGGGAACAACAAGAAGGATAAATTAAAGGATGCGGCGCTCAGAGGAGCCGAGAAAGTGAAGAGAGGTCTGAAAACAGAGAGTAACAAGAATCCGGAGAGCCGAGAAAGTAAGAGAGTGCAGCGAGCACTGAGTGCTGGAGGGTCTCCGGGGCAATTCGGCGGCAGAAGGACGAGGGGGAAACAGGAGCGAGTGACAGAGATTTGAGATTGATAGGGTAATGAAGCTTGATGAAAGGGCACAGGGGAATTCGGCTGAGAGAATGAGGTAGGGAACAAGAGAGACAAGGGCGGGTAAAGTGGTTGGTACTCGGGCAACGCGATAGAAGACCAAAGGCAGGCGACCTACAAGAAGCCTTGTGAATAGAGTGCGTGCAGTGGCAGTGAGGCAGTCTCTGGAAGATTTCGAACCGATGATGGGAGCCAGATCCAGGCGAGACAGCGTCTACCTGCGATGTTCCAGAGGATCTAAGGACGAGGTGAGAGATCAAAGAGGAGACGGCGAGGAGAAAGTTCCAAAGAGGCTGGAGCTGGAGGATGCCGCTAGTCTGGTTTAGGATTAGCTTGGAATCACCCCAGGCGATTACATAACTGACAGCCTCAACTGCTGGCGACTCCCTCCAGACTCCAGAGAACTTGGACTGGGAAATGAATGAAAATACGTGGATGATGATATGCAGGTAGTAGTTGTTGGCTTGCCAGGTGGTAAGCTTTACAGTTAAAAAGTAGGATTCAGTTAATAGAGAATCCGCTTAAAAAAACAAATTACAATTGACGCCACCCATTGGAGAGTAGATGTCGACTTCCCTAGATGTATATTCTCCTACTTCACCTTTGGATACTTGGGGCATACAGTATTGGAGACGCAAAAATTATTACTAGGTTAACAACTCAAGTGTATATACATAATCACTCTTGAATAAGACAACCCAGAGGATATGAAAAGTGAAAACCAGGCACATTTTCTCAGCCATTCATTAAGCGCAGACTGATCTAAATCCAATAGAACACTGCCGCCCGCGGACAGTGCCCCGGCCTCGCAACACCATTCACCAATCTATGTTTCAGGTTCGGGGTATGTACAGGGATTTCAAGTGCTATATAAGTAGGGCAGGGGTATCTCAAAGCCAACAGCAAACTGGGTGTAGGAAGGGAGACATCGCAATAACGAAGGAGTGGCCATGCCAGGCAGATTAGTGGGGGGTTTTTTTTTTCTATACAAAGCAGGGAAGGGGCCAGACATCTCGCAGAGATCCGATAGATCATGTCATAAGGGTAGATCTTTGTCGTCGATTAGTTGTAAATACTAGGTCGGGAGTGCAGCGGGTTATCGACCAGAGCCATTCGTCGATCGAGGGGCGTTGTTGCTGAAATAGCTGTCGTCGATCTTCAAGATCCATTCGACTTTCTGGGCTTCTGTTCGTGCTGCGAAGAGGAAAGTGTTTTGAGGTCCATACACGGCGAAAACGTTAGGTTTGCCTCTTGTCGACGTATTATCACCGCCTGGCCCTTCCAAGAGTCGGGCAAAATCCGGCGCGTGGTCCACTCGGGCGTTGCGCAGGTTGATGGCATTGATCTCATCGCCATCCGGCACGGAATAAACGTGCAAATACGGCAGGCGAAGCTCCACGAACCGCCGTACCCAGTGAGTATAGGTGTCGTCAGGCGCTAGCAGGTATCCAGATTTGGACGACGAGGGATTCTTTGGAAGGGTCTGAACGGTAGCGTAAAAGCGCGGTTTAAGGGACAGCTGCTGATCGGGTCCACCGTTGGTCTCGTCCTCTAACGGCGACTTGCCACGAGAAGCAAACGCCGCGCCACTCGCCGGAGGCTCAGTGTTCCCGCGGATAAGGATCGCATCGATGGGATCAATCCTCGCAGTCCACAGCTTGACGTATTTCTGAAGCAGCTTCGTCTTGCGATCAGACTCTTGGCCGCGATAGGGGGTCGATCTCCCACTTCGCGGCGGCGAAGCAATAGTAAGGCTATGAGCACCGAGTGCTCCTTTTGCCGCGTGCAATTCGGCTATGCGCCTGCGGCGCCTGCGAGAGGCGACATAATCACGCACGAGCGACACTTTTCTCGGAGACCACTTGGTGAGAAGCTCCTCGCCCTTGACATAGTCATTTTGGGTGTTCATGCGCCAGAGGTCGGCTGCACGTTTGGCGGAAACAGGGCGCACTGCAACAGAGTACATGCGGACCGTCGAATGCACAATGCGTGTCGTACTGAAAAAGTTTTTGAACATCGACTGGGGACGTACGTACGTCCGCCCTTGAACCTGCAGCGTTAGGTCCATCTCGAATGAAACCGGGTCTTGTAAACGGGCAGAATGAAGGTCCCATCGAACCGTAACCTGCACGCGGTACTTGTCTGCAGTCACTCGGTCGAGAAGGAGGGACCCATGTAGACTCGAGTCCCATTGGCCTACAAGTGTGACATTGGAAGTTCCATCGGCATTGTCTTTGACCATGGGTTCCTGTACGAACTTGACCGGAACGTCTGGAGTCTGGAGGTCTTGGTCTGGTATCTTGCCCCAGGGGTCCAGCAACCGTACGCTGCCCACTCGGACATTGGCGAGGTCATCCCAGGGTAGAGTTTCCGTCGAACTGTAGGTAAGATTTACGGAAATCCGGCGCTGAAGTCCCTGGTGGAGCTGGTATGTGCCCGCGTCGAGAGCATTGCTCTGTACGACTTCCACAGGCAGGTACTCCCCCGTCTCCGCCATTTCCAGCACCTGAACACGAGCGAAAACGTCATGTCGCTCCTCTGAAAAATATTCTGTTTCTGCTATCCGTGCCGTTTTCTGATCCCGAGGTCCGTCCGCCGAGTCCTGCATGTCGTCCCAGCTCAGAAGCTTATCGAGATGCATCTGAGTTACACGAGCATAGACGCATATTTTCAGGGCTGCAGTTCGAGGGCTTGAGAGGGGTAGGCTCATGCTGTGGACACTTTCGAAACGAACCGGCGTCTCATCAAAGCCGCTGATCATCTGCGTGGTTGTAGCGCCGCCCTCTTCAGAGATGCCTGGAACGAAGAGCTGAGCGTGCACATCGGTGCCTTCCCACTCGGCGAACCCAACCATGTCACGCATGACAACGTTGAATTTGAGGGTTGACGATGGCGCCTGTGCGGACGATGGCTCAAGGGATAAACGGATGATCCCAACCACATTCTGCGTATATGGTGAGAGAACCTCTACGGAAAAGTCTTGAACCCGGGTCTCGAATACCGCTGTGAGAGGAATGTCCGCATCGCCTACTAGTGAGTATTGAGGCGAGCACGGCTCAGAGAAAGGATTCTCGAGTTTAAAGTGTTGGATGTAATCCGGTCGGTCAATGTATTGGTGCAATTGACGCATAACCTGCACGCGGCGCTGGAGCTTTTCAATCGACCAGAGGTGGATGACACATTGCTTGAAGTCAATGACGCGGACAGCAACGCATGGCTTCTTAGCATCATCGAGAATGATATCTTCATCACCAGAGATGCCATTGAGTACAAGATCGTAGGACGAGGCCATGTTATGTCCATGGTCGACAACTGCAAACTGAAAGACAACATTCTTATCCATAATATGGCTCATAACTTGAGCCTCCTTTACCAGCGAAGCGTGCTGGAGGACCTTTTCGGCCATGCGGACGTAGTTTTGCTGGGACCAGTGTCGGAAAACTGATCGGGCAATCTCCAGCTCCTTCGGATCCAATTTTGGAAAGCCATTCTCATATATCCTCGGGATCGGCTGGCCTAGTTCTTTCATATGCGACTCGAACGTCTCTTTTTGTTTTCGGAGTTGCTCTTCGTATTCGTCTCGTGCCGCGCGGAGAGCCTCCTCCATGCGGCCCTCAACTGATCCTGGTAGACCTCCTTGTGTCGGAGAAGCTTCTGCGTCCCTCAACTGATCCTGGTAGTCCTCCTTTTGTCGGTCTAGCTGTCGTTGCATATCCTTACGTACCGACTGAAGCGTGGAATAACCGTTTTGGCTGTCGCTGTGAGGAGTTCCGGGCATCGTAATGGCGGTATCTAGCGAAAAGTTGTCGATAGTACCATTGGACATGTATTTGTCGCGAACTGGGTAAGAGCTGAGAGAGTCTGAATCTTCTTCATTCTCCGTCAATCCGCGGCGGGTGGCTCTGACTTTCTGCACATCCTCAAACAGGGCATCAAGTTCATCGTCCGGCATATGATTGATGTGATCGGGGCCTAGGACTGCGCTCACAGCTTCACGTCGGGCAAGGAACCAGTCCGACTCTCTTCCACGCTGTGACGGCATTGGTGAATCAGCTCTACTCGAATCCCAGTCCAAATCCGAGCCAGCCTTGCTCAAGTTTCGCTCATGTGTCTTATTCGGAGCGGGCGAGCCGAGCTGGCTTGCTGTGACAGAATGGCGGAGTAGACTCTGTTCTACACGCTCAGCCCGTGCCTCTTGAGGGTGGTTGAATCGGAAGATGTGAAAGTCGCCCAGGATAATGCGAAATCCACTTTTCAGCCGTTTGGGCTTATCAATACGCAACCCGTTGACCATGACCGCAGCACCTTCGCTAGGTAGAACTGTAACCACGTTATCAACGTGCTCGAATTTACAGTGGTCGGCCAGAATCTTGGAGCCGTTCAACCTGATTTCCACATGGCTTCCCTGGTCCATATTGCCGACTTGCGTGATTCCGGGTTTGATGTTGTACACTAGGCACTCGGCGAGTAGCGGGTCATCGCTCAGGTTGACCAAATGCGGCATCTTTTTCGGCGTGCTGAGACCGACGAAACCTTTTTCGATGCTAATTCCGAGTTCTTCTAGAGCGGCTTCACGTTCTTTGTGGATTTCCTCTGTCCTCACTAATTTCTCCTCCCATGTTTGGTTCAGATCTTTGTAGAGCTTCTCGCTCTGATTCAGCTGCTCCACGATCTCAGCTTTGCTCACTTTGGTGACGGTACCATCCGCCTGCTGGATAGAGACCATCTGCTTTTCCAAGGGGGTATCCGGAGGATATTGTTCCTCTGCTATTAGACCGCCTTGTTCCCCTGCTGTTAGCCCACCACCACCGAGCTTTGATCGAAGCTGTGCCAACTCTTCCTTGAGTTCTCTGATCATTCGCGCGTTGGGGTCCTCGTTAACAACGGCGTGGTTCTTGATTCGCTTTGCGGAGTCGGCATAGCGAAGCGTACTCAGCGTCTCGTCAAAGTTGATATCGGCCGGCGAGATGGCAGCAATCATTGCCGTCATGGAGTTACCTCCGAGAGAATCTTTCAGCAACCATGTCAAAACTGAGTCACGATATGGTACCATGGACGCATTCTTCTTCTTGCCAGAGGCCAAATCTGCGAGAGCCGCAATCACACGTCCAAGGGTCGAAAGCGATCTGTTGATTTCAGCTCCTTCCTTTAGCCTGGCGCCAGTGGCACCAGTCGAATTCGCTCGTTCCGAGCCTGCAAGATCGACTAAACTGATACGCGATACCTTTTCCGTATCCATCGACGTCTCGGCATCATGTCGTTTCTGAGTGAGCATCAACGTAAAGACGGCATGTGATCGACTAGACGTTTCGTTCATGTTCGTCGCGGCGACCGTTCGAGCCTTATTACCCTCATCCATCAGGTTTTCAATCTCGTCAAACGAGCGGACGACGAGCTTGGCAAGATCCTCAACATACGGACCTGTCGACGGGTGCTCACGGACTTTGAGGTTTCCTTTGTTGGAGGGGTTGAGCAGATCGCGAACCCGCTCATTGTAGATTTCAAGATATGACACTTCCACCGTGCAACTAAGGTTCTTGTCCTGCTGTATCGACTTGATGCGTTCAAACATATCCTGACAGATTCGCGGGATCACACCGTACTCCTTGCCATATCCCATCATCGAATACGACTTTCCGGAACCAGTCTGGCCATAGGCGAAGATACAGTTGTTGTAACCTTGGAAAGCATTGTCCAGAAGCGGCACACCCAGGTCGATGAAAAGGTTGTCCTGGCTTGCATAGTTGGGAGCGTTCTTGTCAAAAGACCAGTACGAGCGATCAAAGGCGAAAGATTTCGGTCCTTCCACCGAACCCTTGCCTCCGCCGCGCCCTTTTGTTTTCTCTTCGGATCCTGGCGGTGGGGTGAGGATAGTCTGGCTGTCTTTCATTTGCACGATACATTTTGCACCCCGGTCGAGTTCTAGAGTACACGTAGTTTATCAGCCAGGCAAGTCTCAAGGCCGCCGCAGCGGGGATGGTAACTCACCTCGACTATTGAACGGCCGTACTCTCACCACCACCTTGATATTTCCACCTCCTCCTGGCGCCATTTTGCCCTATACCCCATGCACCTGGGGTCCGTGGTCCACTCTTCGTCCGGAGCGTTGAGACTCGAGAGTCAAGGGGGGGAACACAAGTCGCGAACGCCGCAACGAGCGCCGCCTTTTGGTGTATCACAAGCTGAATATTCCGAATCTCCCTTCACCAGTTGTAAATATGTTATACTATGTCGAGTTTTGGTAAACGGTCCTGCGAGAATCGGCGATTGGTTTCGAGTGTCAACAGACGTCATGTACTCTGTGTGCGCGCACCGCTTCGTTTGTTGACCGTGGGGAATTGTGGCGCGTCCAAGGGATTTACTTTGGCGATAAGAATTCGTTTTCTGGAAAACTTGGCATGGGTTGTTGGCGCGCACAGGGGCGATTTCCGTGAGCTGGCCAAAGGCTTTGAGCGAAAGGGCTAAAGAGGAGAATTGACCGCTCGCGAACCACCCAGCGGACCCTCCTTCCCCAAAGGCACCAGAAAAGCCACATGAGATATCGCGGGATCCGGACGGGCGATTACATAATCCACCTTCACTTGCCTCTGCTGAGGGAGCCTCAATCTACCAGCCCAGCTTCCTGGCTCCTGGGCTTTTCGTTTCCTATAGCAGCTACTATTTGCATTCAGCCTCAACGGCCGAGACTACAGAATCTAATTTGTCTTTCTCGAACCTCAACCATTATCAACAACCGCCACCCAGAAGAAACAGCAAGTGAGCAAGGACTTGAAATATCATTGACAGGCCTTGTATACTTTACTGGATTGAAGCATCACGCTATCATTCAGAGAATACATACACTATGCTGCTTTACTTGGCTATACGCAACTTTTAAGGGATAGGTGTTGATCAATGGGCAAAGGTGGCAGTAGCCACCACACCTCCCTATTTCACCCTTGAATCAAGCTAGAGATGCAGCTCGTAAGCTTGAAGGTGCAAAAGCTGACGACCAAGCAGGGCTTCTTCTAGGGTCGGTTCGGATCCTCCCTGTATACCAAGTATAGCCTGCAACGTGTCTATGGCACACAAGACCGTATTCAATATCGCAGAGACCTTCTAAACCCTAGTGTCGGTTCATAAAGGTCCCTCGAGCGAAACAGCTCTGAAGATTGATTCCACTCGGCATCGTGCCGTCAGGCTCGCACTCGAGAGCGATTCAAAAGCAAGATATGGCAAGCTGCGTCCGCGTCCGTGCCGTACTTGTCCATTCAACCGTCCCAGGAATCTGGTGACAAATTGCAGCTCGACGTACGTCAGTTGCTCGGTCTCCGTTCGAGATCCAAACCGCCACAATTCTGTCACCGTAGAGGTATTGAAGGCCTTGCTGCCATGACTCACCTTTGAGTATTCCAGCAACTTGCGCGAACTAGAGCCTGCAACCGGTAGCTCAATCTCTCATGCAGTGCATGGACAAATCAGAAAGGTATAGTCGGCCGGTACACCCGCCGGTCGGCGCAGTAACGGTCTATCGTTGCGATGCCACACGTTGTCAGGACTGAGAGAAGGCATTTTATATCGTATGCTCAGATCGGTCGGTGTCAAGGCCCTCTGTCACCGGGCATCGGCTTGTCCCAGGTCGTTTGGCTTCATCAGACTGGGAGTGAAGAGAGAGTGAACGGCTGCCAGCTCCGGTGTGTTGCGAGCCAGCTATATCATGGCCACGCCAGAAAGTATGTCAGAAGGTAGCTCCTGGTCTAAGACAGCAGAATTCGAAGCAAGAGAAGAGAAGAGCGCAGAGATAGCGCCTCCCTTGACTGATAATGAAGATAGACAATGTCGTCGAAAGAGAAATATCCCCAACAACACAATCAGAGCGATCCGGCGAGTACGGGTGACGATGAACAGACGGAGGGGGCCATCGATCCGGCATACCAAGCCGGGGTTTCCATTAAGGGGGGCAGACCGGCGTACCCCGAGAACGAGAACTCGCCTCCTCTTCCCCGGGGACAACCATCTTCAATTTTTGCGGCGGCATCCTCGTTTTGGCGGCATTCTCGGTGGGAGGGGAAAAGTGCAGTGCCAGGTTGAGGACGGCTGGATGTCTCCAACGCACTTCATGCGAGGCGTCGACGCCAACTCAGTTGACTAGAGAGAGAAATGTTTGTCAGCTACAGCACAAAAGAGACCCCATACATACAGCACAAACAGCATCTTAAGCGAGCTAAAACAGGGCGGAGTGAGGCATGGCAGCAGAAGGCAAGGCAAGGCAAGACGCCAGGCAGAAGGCAAGCAGGCAGGACTCCTATCCACCCATCCATCCATGGCATCATCCACCTCGGTTCCGTTTTCAGGTGCCCCTCCCTCCCTCCCTCCCTCCCTCGTCCCCAGCTTCCAGTATGTAGGACGAGGAGATGGACCACGATAATCTCACCCACCATCACATCCTCGCAAACCTTCCTCTTCTGCACGCAATACGCCCTCAAACTCTCTCCAAAAACCAGAGCAGTCACCAGTGTGCGATATGCTGCTGCATAACCCAGAGCCACAGCACAGCATAGCACAGTAAAGGCTGAGCAAAACCTAAACCCATTCAGGCGGCGTCGTACTAACCACACCTCAACCTGTAAGAGACGAACAAGTCGCAAGCGCGGTCCCAAGACTGAGAGCGCAGCGCAGGAATAATTCGCCTCATTATAGATTGAGAACGGCGCTGGACAACTCAGAGGCAGCAGGCCAGTCCAGTCCAGTCTGGTCCACGGCAGTTGGTCCTGGTCCGAGTCTGGTCTGGTCTGGGGTGTATGGGCACGCTGTGAGTGCTGGCGTTGGTCGGTTGGAAACAGGATTCCAGGTTGATGCCCAATCGGCTAAGTGAGGGTTCAACCCTCGACAGTTTGTTGGCAGGGCACAAATACCATATCCATCTCTTGATGATCATTGGGAAGTAATTATCCAGTTTAGGTAGTGGTTATTACATTTGGTAGACACATGCATGTCATATTCGCAACTTGTCTCCATCAAACTCTATGTATCTACTCGGGATAGAAGGGTCGGCACACCGAATCCTGCAGTGCCAGTGCCTGTTCCAGTCCTTCACTAGAGACGCCCGGACGGTGAAGATCGAGGTTCATCGCATCCACTTCCTTGAACGAGATAGAGCACCGCCATCAAAAGGAGAGAATGCATCCAGTGCTACTGCAGTAATAGCACACGTGCTTGTCATCGTCTCAAGGCGTCATTCTTCTTTCTCCTCTCAACCTCATCTCAGTTTACTGTCAGGAGATCTATCACCTACCTACGGAAACTGGGCCAAAATTTCGTGTCTCGTAGTGCGTACGTCCGTAACGAAACCGGATGGGGTCTGCCTTTAGTTTAGGGGCCATCCGCCCAGGCCTCCAGGTTCCGGAGTATAGACGAGTCGAGTTTAGAGAGAACTCCTGAGGAACCAGATCAACATCGCATTTACTCTGAAAGGCGCCGTTCATCAATACGCAGGAGCGTCCTCCGGTCCTATAGACTGTTGTAGGTGGCATGGGGAGTGTTCGGCATGGCCGTTAGAGCGTGAGATTGGCGAATGTGAGATGATGAGCTCCATGAGAGGCACAGGCTGCCCTGAGCTCACCAAAGACCAATGGGGCGGTTATACTGCGAGCTCCACACCCCGCGCTGCTCCGTCGCGGTCAAGCTACGTACATGGCAGGTCCGATTGGATGTACGGGCCAAATGAGGAGATCCTGCGCATCCTTGAATAGGACTGGTTGTCGCCTGGGCCTCTTTTATCAAGGGTTCGCTCTCGAGAGGGTATCTGCTCGGGCACGGCCTAGGCCTAAGCCACGTCAATCATCACGGGTGTAGCTGTCGTCGAATGACGATGCAGATGTCGATACCAAGCATGACAGCTGCTGCGTGGCCCGCGCTTTTCGATGCATATTGTGCTTCCCCATTGACCAAATCTGGCTGACATCCCTCCCTCCTGTGTTTCACCTCGTCATTCTGATACTCGAGCGATTGGTCTTTATCCTGCTCGGCTGTTGAAGATGCATAGAAGCCGAGAAAGGTCTAACCACCACACCATGAGGCTTCGCCGGCTAAAGATACAGCATCCACGCGAGCGAAAGAACACAACGATGTAGCGTTTGGTCGTTGTCCAGGCATACCTCGATGTAACTGCACTCCAAAGGTCAATTGATATTCTCCAGCTATCCGCTCGCACGAAACCGTCTCGCCAGTGCAGCTCGCTCGAAGTAGTGGAGTTTCAGGTCTGCGCTTGTACGACGCCAGCTTCAGGCCTTGGTCGGAAAGCTGTCACTTGCCATAAGCGTAGCAGAGGTCCCGTGGTGCAATGAGATCATGTCTATCCCAGTTCTCATCGGACTCTTTTCAGGCTTCCTGTAAACAAATCGTTCAGCATAACAATGTGAACAAGACGACACAGTTCAACTTTCCAGCAACGACTGCAGATAAACGGCATGTATTCCGCGCATGCCGTACCTTTATGGAGAACAGCGAATGTGCAGAAAGCCTTGGCAGGTGGTCAGACAAGAAGTCGCTCGGAGGTGGAAACCGGGGCTCGCCAGTAAGAATCCGAGTTTCATGGTAGCTCATCAGATAGGCTTCGAGCCGAAGATCCTCGCCATGTCCTTTCTTTGACCCAACCGCCCCAATCTGACTCCACCCACTCGGACGATAAAATCGATGTCATCGACTCGCACAAAGAAAGATGCACGGGCGAAAAGCGAAGATGATGTTCGAGGATCCACGGTACCCATCTCGTCTTACCCTGAGACAACAAGAAAAAGAAAAGTCATAACAGCAAAACAGAAAGAAGTACTTTTTCCGCCGTATGGTACTCACTTTTCTAAAAAAGAAACAAGAACTCAGAGCTTGAGTCCAGCACGATGCGACGAGAAGCGGTGTGGGGACGGTGATTCAGCTTGACGTCAGACGCCCGTCCGAGCTTTACAATACACAAAGATACGCTTTTCCAAAACATGGATCATCTCAATCTCAAGTCAGCTTTTGGCACTGGGATGTTCTTTGCTTTCCAGATATAGCTTTCCAGATGTCGTATCATCATCATGAGTGCAGCGGTCAAGTTCCCGCACGTGGCGTCGAACAGATCGGCGCAATCATCTTCCTCTTGAATCTCAACGTGTTGAGCAATCCAGCACCAAAGCTCACGGAAATAGCTGACAGAAATCAAACTACACTAGAGAGGGCGTCTTGAGAGAATCAGATATCTCCCGAGCCCTACTTATTCTTAACCTCGATAAAGGACTGCTACGCGAGAACTCAGCCAGGGTGTTTCTTCAGACAACGGGCTTCACTGGAGATCCAGAATCGAGATTCAAAGGATGTCTGCGTGGCCGGGCTTTAAATTATGGGTAGTCGCCGAAGATTGCACACCACAAGGATCATTCATCTCGATTTCGAATCTCAACGAGCTTGAAGAGCACACGCCTGAATGCCGTCCTTGGGCCTGGGTGTGGTGACGCAGACTTTCCCTCTTTATGGCCGAGTCTCTTGTCGTCGTCGGCTTCCACTACTCAACCCGCTACCATGATGAAGCTTGGTATTGATCAGCGGAAGGCGAGTGAAACTAAACGACATCTCTTCGGCTCATTATTTTGCGATATGGCTGCCCGAGTTCTCCAAGGCTGCAACCTGGAGCGTCTTCCGTAAATGGGAATATAACCGAGGCGCGCGGCGCTGGGTCATTTTACCGCCAGAAACTGTGACGGCGCCGCCCTCGTAAGGTCAATACAGACGGAGTTCCGTGGTATGGACTGAACCCAACCTTGGTCCTCTTGTCAGCTTGGGGCAGTTGTGCTCAGTGGCTCACCTTGCATGATAGGGGAAAGTCATACTCAGCACGGTTAGAAAGTATTCAAGTATCACGTCTCGAGTTACACACAGCGACAAGGAAGAGCACGATTAAAAAAAAAAAGAGCCAGTCACAAAATCTGTTGTCCAAAACGCGTCGTGATTCGCACAGACAGGCGAGCCGCCGGGAGCACACCAATAGAAGTGGCTGGTCAGTAGGTATGTACTTGGAAAAGTTACAGCGCTTGGAAAGCGTCACACTTTACTTTCGGAACTGTCGGATTTTATGCAGATGAATGCCAGGAGAAGTAGGAAACAGGGGAGGGGGGAATAAAAAGCAAGACTTTCTTTTTGCTCCGTTTAAATCTGACAGCTTCGATTTCCCGACGGCATTTCTTGAGACTCGTGCTGACTGAACGCCATTTGTGTGGAGTTTTGTATAACTACCTAGCAGACTGCATAGCATAAACTTTACAAAACGTTACCGTAATTAAAACGCCTTCCTCATGTGACAGCGCTAAACCACCAGAAACAGCAACAACACCCTGAAGCACACAGCGCCATCGACGGAGATGAGCAGACAGATTCCTTCAGAGTCCATGATCAATGTTTTTTTGAGGCTGAGTTCCTCCAGGCTCTGGGCTCTTTCAAACTTGCAAGCAAGCGAAGAGCGGTCTCATCACATCGGCGCCAAGTGGGGCAGACCCTGGGGACATTACGGGACAGTACTGGGCGCTGTTCATTTCCAAGCCAAAAGGTGATTCACTGCCGCCTCGTCCGGTACAAATGCCCCATCGCCCGCCCCTTCTCGTCGCTGCGGCTTTCTCTCTCTGCTCCTTCTCGTTGGTCATCCAGCCTCCAGTCCTTGCGTTCCTCCAGTCATCGACTTTGTCCTGCTGTCCGCACTCAGCCCATTGGCTTTGGCGGTCCTTTCCTTTTTTTTCCTACTCGCTCCTCGCTGGCCAACCCTTAAGAGCTCAGATACTCCTTCGTCCAACCGCGTCGTGGCCTGCCTTCCCACCCCATCTGCTGTCCCTCGTCGTGATTGATCACTTGGATTAACCTTGGATATTTTCCCACGGTTTTGCGGTCGAATCACCATCCCCAGGTACGTGAAATATACCCCCTTACTGGAGCACACTCTCTCTCGTCCCTCATGTGTAATTTTGTTGTACTCCAATATCGCACACCTTAATTGTTCCGTGCCCAATCCCGTTGCATCGTGTCTCCCCTCGAAGCCCAAACCAGCAAATCCCGTCACTTTCCCCATTTCTCCTGTGTCGTCTGCATTCCCCAGGTACCCTCCGGTGCATTCTCTCGTTGGCTTCCAAACCATCGGTTGTCGTCCTTCCACAAATCACATTACTTTGGCTTCATCCTTGACCCTTCCTTCCTCCACATCTTCCCCGGCTATCGTCTGTCTCTCGTTACTCGCTGGCCCGCGCCTTTGTTCGTCGTCCAATCCGGCTCGACTGACATCAGCGGCAGCCCACAGTCGCGCAAAGGGCAGTGCTTTGGTTGGCACAGTTCGCGCGCTCAGGAGCACTGGCTTCTGCGACCAAGGGAACTGGCCAGCTTACCGCGCTTTCAAAGGCGACAGGCAAGAATAATCGCCCTGTCAAGGTACCTCTCCCAGCGTTTCTCCAGCAGGGCTGAGGGTCGGTGAACCACCCACCGCGGCCCGGAAAAACCGCGACTGTGATTCCATCATCTTTCCCCTCGTCTCTTCCCACTTGGACAGCATTGCAATCCCCAAAGTCAAAACTGCATCTCCTTTTCGAGACACTGCAGGCAAGCCTTTCTTGTGTAGATTGCAGCATCCTTTTCCCGACCGTTGTATGCTTTTTTGACTTTTCATGCGGTATTGCTTTTCTCTGTTTACTTTTTTTCTGTCGCGTCCCGCTGCTGCCTCTTGACCCAATCACCACGCGTCAACTTCTCCCATACTCAACTCGACCTGCTTCTGACATATCCTTTGCAGTGCGCGTGCAATTGTTTCGGATTGCCGCTGTGTCTATTACAGTGGCTATTTAATTCTGGACTTCCCGGCGCAGTCCAGCCAATTCGACGAATTACCCTTGTCGGGTGGTGCGTCGCATTTTGTGACGAGGTATGTCATCGGCTGCATCATGAATCCCGCTTGCCAACGCATACATCCCTCAGCCCTGGACGGACTAAGCTGCGACAATCTTGGTCTTTTCCCTCCCCCCGCCACCTTTCACTCTCTTTTCATCATGACAGCGCACAAATCAAGTGCCAAAAATAATTACTATAGTAAAAAGACAGAGCTGATGATCCTTTACAGTTGCTCTTGTGCAAAGCCTCTGCTGAGCGCGTCCCTCTGACATCAGTCCTCGCGGACTCGCCGTTAAGGATCAACACTACGCCTCAGGGACAACGCTGTTTGCACCGCCTCGGGTATCGCCTGGCAGCCTAGTTGATCCGGACTCTGAACAAGGTAGCCTGCCACTTGTCGTCTCAGATAAACCGTGTATCCCCGCTCTTGCCTGTTTATTCCGTGGCAACGATAAGCAGTAGTGTGTTTCTCTCAAGCGATCACGCTTTGTCTGACAACGCATCGAGTACGAGCCTAGTCGAGGGCAACCCTGGTTAGCTGCATCCGAGCCCAACCACGTTACACTTTTGAGGTGGATGTAAAAAAAAGACGGGCCCTCCGGCGGATCTTGTTGAAGTCATTCTTGTGAAACAAGCATCCTCTCGATCTCATTGACGCTGCAAGTTGAAAGGCTCAGCGCACTGGCAAAACAGAACCAAAGGTAAGCGCCCTCCGTTCTCCATACAACCCCACCACCAGTTGATCCAGTGACCGCACGCTCCTGCGCTCCAAGTCCACTAACTAACGAAAGTCTGCAGTACTTGCACAGCCCATCTACAAATCAACCTGTCGGAATTCAAGCGGCGCCTGCTCTGTAGCTGCCCCTCAACGTGACTTTTTCATCCTCAAGTACACGCCGTCTTATATCCTATCACGCCTCCCTGCCTCTCTGCCTGTCTATCTTACTGGAACACCTGTCTGCCAATCATTCATCTTCACCGCTCCTTTTGGTCCTGGTTGGCTGGTTCCTGACATTCTTACCCGATCACTAATCAAAACAACACTAATTAGGAAGCGTGACGGTTACGCCGCCGCGACTACTCCTTCACAATGGAATACCCTCCGCAGTATCAACAGCCTCATGGCCAACATCCACACCCTTCTTCCCACATGGGCGGCCCATATCAGCCAGCGCCGCAAAATCCAGGGCCGGCTGTGGGTTCGATGACGTCTCCGACAAATCCGCAAGCACACATGCAACCAGGACATCCGTCGCATCAAGCTTCCCCCGTTGTCCCTTCGCAATCACATTATCAACAGGCTCAAAGCACACCGGGCCCTGTACACCAGCAGATGAACTTCCCGCAAGGCTACGGCGTCCCGCCTCAACAACTTCCCCCAAGTCAATACGGCATATCCCCCACTCAGGCTGCTGCCATGGCAACTGCGGCCGCGTCGGGGCAATTCTATCCGATACACTCAGATTCGATGGCTGGCCAGATGCAGCCTGGTCCTCGTGGCTCGCCACGCATGGCAGGAGTACCGGTCAAAGCTGACAGCAGGAATCCCCGGTCGCCCCCGCAAATGTCTGGTCAAATGCCCCCAATACCAGCAATGAGCTCGCAAAGCGCGCAGATGCAGCAACGCCGCATGAGCCATGTCGGCAGTCCGCACGTGCAGAACGCGCAACCTGTCTTGGGTGGTCACGTCGGTCGGCCCTCGGTGCCCCCTTCCATGCCGCCTCCTCCACACCCTGTTCAACAGAGCCAGCCCGCGGAGACTCTTGTCCCTGGTGGTGCTGAGGAGTCCCCATTATACGTAAACGCCAAACAATTTCATCGAATCCTGAAACGTCGTGTCGCCCGACAGAAACTAGAAGAACAGTTACGGCTCACCTCAAAGGGCCGCAAACCATATCTCCATGAATCGCGTCACAATCATGCGATGCGCCGTCCGCGTGGCCCTGGTGGTCGATTCTTAACGGCAGACGAAGTGGCAGCCATGGAGAAAAAGGGTGCCGGTGGCGCCGGACAGGAGAATGCAGACCTATCAAAATCGGTGGGTGACATCTCTCCCGGTCAGAAACGCAAAGCGAGCGATGGGAATGACGATACCCTCAGCTCCGCTAAGAAAGCAAAGACCGGTGCGCCAAAGGCAAATCATACCGCGGACGAGAGTGATCCCGAGTCTGGTCCCTCTGATGAGGACGGTTGATCTCTTGTCCCTGTTTACTATAAAAGATGATTATCGCCTAACCTATTCTCTTTCAACTCCGTCCATCGCGAGCAACGTGCGCGCAATGTTCTAACGGGCCCTGTTTTTATGTCTCTTTTTACGATTCCCTGTTTGTAAATTTGTTATGATGATACAAAGTCCGATATCATCCTCTCAGTGATTCTAAGCTTGTCAGGATTGCATGTATGATGTGTTTATGTTTCGTTCTTTTATATTCTGTTTTGGCATGGTGGATGAGCTTGATTTCCTCGACGGGTGATAGCCGATACCCCTATCAGTTCTATGTACCGACCCCAATAACCTTGACCCTTGCCGGTCTAAAAAAATGCAGATATAACGCCGCTCCGGGCCTACGGTTATATTGTTCTTTCCATGCGTATCTCGTTTACTGCTTCTTGGCTCTCTTTTTTTCTGGCAACACCTTGAACGTCAACTTGTTCTGGCCCCGGCCATCCACGTCGGCTCGCTTGGGTTCTCGTGTACTGCGTTTCAATGATTGGGTGGGATATAGATACGGTTCCTTTGTCGATAAATGGCCTTTGATGTCGAGATCACTATGAGATCCTTGCTGTGCGAGATGACCATCTCTGGCTGCTTGTTTTACTGCCGTTTGTGCTGATATAGGTCGTTTGTCGGTTTTAGTCATATACCCACATATATATATATAACTTGACAGGCGCCGAGTCACCCTCGTGCTCGCCAAATTCTTGTCAATCGCTAGTCAATGGCAATGGCGATTTAAAGGCTTCTACTTACGCAAACTGACTTTTTCTGGACGCCTTCACTGGGTGTCTTTTATAAGAGTGATTATTTGTGTACACTTGGCATCTTATCTTATATAGTTTGTATCTCCAGTACTGTATGCAGTAGAGTTGCTGTAAGTAAAATGGTTTAAGCTTAATAAAAGAACAATGGTGCTCATCCTTGGCAATTCTTTATATGTCATCTGCAGCAGTTGCAATGAATAAGTGCAATTTTAGAAGATCAGGATTCAGGTTTCTTGTGGATTGTAGTATGCCACTACTGGAACTGGGACAAAATCGTTCGAACCTGGCTGTACGAGTGGAGCCCTGAATAAGGCATCTGATTGTCGACGTAGAACGTAAATTGACGATGAAGCAGGCATTGGGATTATCAGCGCCTATACCAACGACCGGCGTTGTGACGATTATGTACAAAACTCGTTTATAAGAACCCTTGCTGTTCATCAAGACATTTCCACGCTTGCAGTCGCAGGGGACTATCCAAACCAACAGCTCGACCATTGCAATCCAATGCTCAGACAAGTCATATAAGCGCCCATGAAGAACCCTAGTATAAGATGAGTGGGAATAAGAAGAGCCGGAGAAGAAGAGGAAGTGGAGGAAGAGGAGAAAAAGGGGGAGGAGTATTGACGACGTTGAAGCTGTTATCAGGAGGTCGTAGTCGTAGTCATGACAATGTATAGAGTCGTGTGTAGATGTCGATATTGTATCTGTAAAATGTCAAGTGCCTCCAAAGCATACCCTGTCTATCACAGATTATTAGCGCGATGATATACTCCTAGGTTTATCAGACCCTGCAATCACTTACATATAGCAAAAGAACCATCATTTATAGAACCGGGATCCCATTCCCGACGGCATGCCAACGTACGCTTGATTGAATAGATTTTCAGAATGTATGATCTCTAGAAGAAACAAAAGTTAGGATCTGGAACGAGGGTGAAATGTGTCCAGGTACTGGAAGTGGGTACATACCATCCAAACTGGTGAGCTCAAGATTCTTTAGATGAGAGTATTCATCCCTTTCTTTCGTCATTCCCTATTGAGTTTGCAAAAGACGAATAATCAAAAGTGGTCCGAGATGGCCCACTCTGTATAAATCATACCAATGCAGCACTATTAGAGAGCCTACGCTACCTCCACTGGATTGTAGGCTAATAATATCAAGGCCTTGCTGTGTTGAACGGCCGCGATGGGCGATATTGCAGAGCCTTGTTGCGTTCCCGAGTCATGGGTGGCGCGACCCTTTTAGAGAGCCTCCGCTGCCTCCGCTGGATTGTGGTGCTCTAGGACCCTCGAACGGTTTATATCAAGGTCTGCGGGATATCCATTTGCACAAGTTAGCCAAAGTTGCATTATTTGTGGAATGAGACCTAGGGATGAAACTTACCCAGTTATTGATTCCCGCCTCCCAAAAAACACCCTCCGTGGGTTTCCAACTCCAGATTGTTACATAACAATCTCCAATTAAGGACCTTTAACGAGTTAGCTGAGTCCAAATTACCTCACCCGGGCACATAACTCCCTCTTCCAGCAAGACATCCCCCGCAGGGTCTCAACCCAACCTCCAGAGAGTTGCGTGATGGTCTCTGTTCAAGAATCCTTTCGCAAGTTACTCAAGTTCCCAAATAACCCACATGGGGAATCCTACCCGAGGCCCATTTTCTAAAAACACCCTTCGCTGGGTTCTCAAACTCCAGAGAGGTATGATGATGGTCTGAGTGGGAGAAACCCTGTTCCAGTTAGCAAATTTTTCAAATCACTCACGCAGGAGAACTCACCTAATCCGCTTTTCCCAAAAAAAACACCCACCGCGAGGTTCTCAAACTCAGAAGAGTTGTGATGACAATCTCTGTTTGAGAAACCTTTCATGAGTTAGCCAAGTTTTGAACCACCCGCACCAGGAAACTCACCCAAGTACCACTTCCCAACAAGCACCCTCCACTAAGGCTCACCTTCCGTTAATTTCAGGGCAGTCGGGGCTGGTCGGGAATGATTGCGAATGGTCGTGCTTGCCCTATTGAGATTGCAGAGTGACCGTTGGCGGGTTCGAAGAGCGGACTCGAGACCCGTTCGACCCCGGATTGTCGTCTCAGCAGCGGTGTAGGGCAGGACCAGTTTTCAGTGGTTCCTTGATGTGACCACCAACTATTAGAGAGCCTCCGCTGGACACCGAGGGACCAGCTCCTCCTTTTTTGGTGTTTTTTTTTTTTTTTTTTTTTTTTTTTTTTTTTTTTTTTTTTTTTTTTTTTTTTTGTGGCTTTTCATGAAGCGCCTGTTGAACCCAAGACCTTTCACCAGGTAAGGGCTACTCAGTCAACCTCTTCATCTTTCACCGAGCGGAGCTCAAGGCTAATAGGATTAGAGTCATATATTAGCGTGCGCATCCCCCTGACGGGGCCGCCCTGCAGGTCTTGGCTGTTGGTTGAGATCAGACTCGTTGTCTTCGTCTTCTCTCGGGCGTGCAGCCAAGGTGGGGAGTGGCTCGGGCTCCTGCCAGTTGTCCAGAAGAAGATCAAGTGCTGGACACATTTCGGACGGCGGAGGGGGTAGGCGGATTGTGGGAGCGATTTGCCGTTCTGATTCCCCACGAGCCCGAGCCTCTGCGTAGCGGACGAGGTAGCCGCAGTGATTGTAGTGGCGGCGGCGGAGGTTGTGGTTGGGAGGTTGCTGGGAGGGGGTGGTGATGGAGATCCTGAAGGAAAGGCCGGAGACGAGGAGCCAGTCGGTGGTGACATGCCAAAGGCCGACGGTACGGGGGCGTCTCCATCGTGGTCGGATCTCCGTCACTATCCGAGTCGCTTCCAGTGCTGTCATCACCTGCAGATGGTGCGGTCGAAGGAGAGTCATTGTCGGAAGAGGCAGTCGACGTGGTAGAGTCGTCTGAATCCGAATCTTGGGATGCCTCTTGCTGCTCATCATTCCTATCATGGACCCTCCTGACATGTCGGGTGAGGTATCGCCGTTGTCCAAAAGTTCTGCCACAGCCTGGATAGGCGCAAATGTGATTCAAAGGCTGATCGGCTTGGACGGCATTACGACCCGGGCACACACCATGTAGATCACCGATGACTGGATTTCGACGTTCCTTCTGGGCCCAGAGGTCATGGATTTGGGCGATGAAGGTTTCGGGTGGTGTCGTCGACGTCGTGGATATCCAGATCACCGGTGTGCACGTCACATACACACGAGAGGGATACTTCATGAAAGGTACTCCCCACAAGGACCCCAATTCCGATCCTAGCTAGGTGTCGGCGGAATGGCTTGAGGAGGTTGCGTAGCCAGCCCAGATTTGTAGTAAGGCCATCCCAGCCAACGGGTACTAGCTGTACGTCTCGGTGTTCCAGGCATGCCTGATGGAGATAGTCCTCGAGAGTGGTTTGGACTTCTCCATTTGCTGGCAGGGGCCTGTTGGATTGGTGCACAAATGCGACCTGTCAAGTGAGAGAGAACCATCTATTAGCAGGGCTCTTTCTACGCCTCGAAGCAAGTAACTTGATCGAATGGACTAGACTAGCTGATGTATAAGAAACAACATACCTTTGTGGCGAAGTTATTTGGACCAATGCCATATGCTTGATGGTATAGGCGTTTGGCTTCGCGTAAAGGCCCATTGATCAACTTCTTGCAGGTTTTCGGTACGCTCCGCCTGCGGTATCTGTTAGATACGCGGGCAATGAAAACAATGATGTCGTCGTTATTGGCCTGTAGATTGGCCATTTTTGGTGAGTTTTTTTTTGTTTAAAAAACAAAAAAAAAGAGCTTGTTGGTTGAGAGGGAGTTTTTCTCATTCGATGGAATGAGATGATGAAGCAGAGGGCGTCGGGGTTGTCTTTTTATATGGCGCTGGACTCGAATTGAATGGATTGGTGGTATCCATGGCTTCAGAAATGGGGCTTTTTTTTGTTTTTTGAAGTGTCAGCAAAGTAGGCGATTGTATGGGGGAACAGCACTTACCCGGCATCCTCATGGCAAATAATGGCACCTTGTTGTGTGGGCTTATGCCGCAGGCGTGTTATTCCTTTGACCGCGGAGGAAAAACAAGGCAAGATGAGGTCCTTTAATTTGTGAGTTAAAGGATCAAGGGTTGGCGAATAATCCCTTACTTTAAGTTGCCTTTGTGATCGTGATGTGGAAGTCTGAGAGGGCGTAGTAAGAATAAGAACAAGGCTTCAGAGAACGCGCGAGTGGTGGTTTGTAAGTAGAGGAGGAGGTCGTGTTCGAACGAGGAAAGTTCGACGCGTAGTGCTTGAGGGCTATATTTTTATTCTTCGAGTTAGGATTGTCCTTTGCCATCATTCTTGAGGTCTTTGGAGTCAGTTGTGCGCAGGACTTAACGAGGTTCCCGTACTTCTCCGACGAGATTCGGGTCTCGTTTGTTTGCACGTCGCTAGTGTCAGTAAATTGATTTCGAGATTGGATTTCTTTTGATAATAGTTGTAAAGGAAGAGGGAACTGTCTGCAATCATTTGGGGTTGGGTTGGCAACTCGGCGGTGCGTTGGACGAGGTACGCCCAAGGGTCGCACTTTCTTTGAGAGAAAGTCTCAACAACGCACCGCGGAAAGAGGTACTAGGTAGATGGCGCAGGATTTATCACTGGAGTCAGCAGAGAAGAAAAGAGAGATAAAATGCGAAAAAAAGGTATTGAGGCATGAGGGCTTACCACTTTAGCATCCTCGTCGACCAGAACAAAGTTAGGGCTAGATGGGTCACCCGGGCCTCTTGATCTGGTTGACGAGGATGCTCCGCTCTGGATAAGATGGAGATTCGCTGTATAACGGCGCGCATTCTGACTTTTGCAAAGAAAATACAGCATAGGCCGGTATCATGACTTAAAAAAAAGGAGTTCGCTGTTGTTTCCAAGTTGTCAACGCCGGTAAATGTTCTATTCGCGGGAAATACTTTCTGCAAAAGCCGAATCCTTTTGTCAGAGATATTTGAACTGCAGCCTGTGGGACTCGGATCTCATTGCTCTGGTACTAGGACGACGGAGTTGGCATGACGAGTGCAAAGGTCTTGTTTCGATTCCGGAAGCGCAAGACCCTAGATTTCTTATAACCTAACAAGTCTATAAGCAACCCAGGTACTCATCTACAAGCGGTATTATAGCTGGTAGCGCAAATGCACAGTCTCTTTTCGTAAACGGAGTCAAGGCGTACCCTTTTTGACGTGTAATGGAGAACCATAAGAGGCGAAGATCCTTTTTCTTTTATATATTTTTTTCGCTCGTCTGGGCCGAAAGATGAAAGAAAGAGATGATTTTGTGCCGTCATATAATTCATTGCTTGGCCGTGAGAACCGAACCCGGTTGCTGCAGGCCTACAGGTTCTCGATTTTAGTGCCTGGCCCAACCAGGCGTGGCAGCGGTTGCCGGGATGGGAGGGATCGTGAGAGACTTATTGAGCTCATGGAATAGATAGTTTGATCAGGTATGCGTGCTTTACTTGGTGCGCTTTAGAGAGTGGTTGGCAGGTGGGAACCTAAATCGATTATATTGCGGATGGCGGAGCTGCGACTGTCTATGCCTTCTCCGAATCTTCCAGGCTCGAACTTGCTCGCTATGAACAGACTATTCTCTATCAATGTTTGATTCCGCTAGAGCCTTGGGCTGCTAACCAAACAAAGCGCGTCTACGGCGTGCATTTCCAAGTCAATTAACCTTCGGAGTGCAGTTACATCGAGCGTTGATTATCGGTGACCCAGGTAATGTCGAGCTCGTCTGTTGCGGGTGGCAAAAGGGCTCGATTGTCAAGGGCGTGACCTCTTCGCTTTGCGGGCTTAGGTGGATCGCTGGGCTTGGCCTGCGCAGCTGGTCGTGGTCTTGATGCTGGCGCGAACAGACTCCGAGATACAAAAGTTGAGGTGAGAAACGGTCAGTCACGCGGCCGAAGACTTTTGGTGCACTCCTCACTTATCGATTGTTGCTATAGCAACTCGGCCTTACGCACCACCACCAAGTCTGACAGCCTTCAACCAGCCTCGATATCTGAAAAAATCATTATAGACGACACCCTTTGATCATCAAGGCAGATCTGAGCCCACTGCATTTATTGCCCTTGAAGGTTCGATATGGCACAACCATCACGCGAAACTCCATAATCGCCTAATCCTCAGCCCACTGCACACTACACTACCACGACCTGTTACTTCGTTACACATACCCATCCACAATACATATCGACTGCCTATACTGTACTTGTATCTCGGAAAATACATTTCACGATTCTATATACTACACGCCATGCCTCTCACACAGATCTTCCCCTCACCACCCCGCTTCCTCGGCGCAGGCGCCGCTCTCTCACTCCTACTCTTGACATTCCTTGTCTTTGGACGCTCAACGTATCTCTCAAATCATGCTGGGAACGGGTATATTGTAAAATCCAACCTCGACTCTCCTACTTCCAACAGACACTGCAACTCACAGAGCGCAGACAATGCGACGGAGTGGGAATTTTACGTCCACCGAGACGGCAATAACCATGGCTTATCCCACCAGCAATGCCAATCTGCGTTCCCGAAACTCTTTGGAGATTTGAATCATGTTACAAAAAGTAGAGCCGAGAGTGGCAAGTTTATTAGCTTTGATGAGGTCGAGGAGCTTTCGAGGAGTGGGGAGGATGTTAATGGAGATCGGGGGCTTGTGAGGGGGGCTATTGTTGGTGGGGAGGTTTGTTTTTCTATCCTATTAAACTAATCATGCCGTCAAATGCTAACATTATCTGGATAGCTCTATATCATCTCCTACGGCGCAATGCCATACACATTTACCCGAGGAAAAGCAACCCTGCACTCGCTCAACCGCGCCCTATCCGCCTACGCAGACAGGGAAACCCTCCCAAATATTGAATTTGTCTTGTCAACCGACGACTTCTTCACCCCAAGCACGGGAAACCCAGGCCCCATCTGGTCCTACTCAAAGCACCCCACAGACAACAGCACCTGGCTAATGCCCGACTTTGGCTACTGGTCCTGGCCCGAAGTCTCGATCGGGTCATACAAGGAAATCCGCAGCCGCATTGCACAAGTCGACTCGAATCTTGAATTCAAATCAAAGAAGAAACAACTCGCCTGGCGAGGAAGCGTCAGCACAAACCCCACAATCCGCGGCGCACTCCTCGACGCCACCCGCGGCAGATCTTGGGCAAGTATCCGCGAAATAAACTGGTCCGACCCGGCCGACGTGCAGGCCAACGCCCTCCCCATGGAAGAATACTGCCGCTACATGTTCCTCGCGCACGCCGAGGGACGCAGCTTCTCCGGGCGCGGCAAGTACCTCCTCAACTGCAACTCGGTCGTGATTTCGCATGAGCTCACCTGGCTCGAGGCGCACCATGGTGCGTTGATTGCCGAGGGCCCCGAGGCGAATCATGTACGTGTTTCGAGGGATTGGAGTGATCTTGAGAAAAAGGTCGAACATCTCATTGATAACCCGAATGTTGCGGAGAGGGTTGCGAATAATGCAGTAAGAACATTTCGGGATAGATATTTGACTCCTGCGGCAGAGAGTTGTTATTGGAGGTATCTGGTTAGGGAGTATGGGAGGGCTAGTGGGTTTGAGCCTGTGCTTGAGGAAACAAAAAAAGGAAAGAGGGTTAAGCGGGGGGTGCTTTTTGATACCTGGATTTTGGAGAATTGATTACAAGATTTATTGGAGTTTGGGCTGCTGCTTTAATGTATCCAAGGAATTCGAAGAATCAATGGGCACCAACACGCGTGTATATGGGTAGGGGGTACACATATGGATGTTCTATACAGTAAATGAATTACTCCGATTGTAGTTCAATTTCATCTAGCTCATCCTTTGGCTATTAGTGGCATGTAATGATCACCTTGAAGTTTCATGTTAGCTACTACACTAAGCAGTATTGTGAATGGTTAGAAAATTGAAGAGAGGGCTACCTAATATTTCAAGCTCAACGTAGAAGAAGAAAATACGGCCAACAGTGATAAATGAGAATTCCATAGGCCGTTTTAATCCTTACTTATTCGCTTAGAAACGAAAGGAATGGGTCGGTAAGATCATTAAAAGTTGTGCCTGCCAGTTCCCATACCACAATGTATATAAGCCAAGGCTTGGCTCTGCAACGAGCCCATACTCTGCAGCTTGAAAGTGAATGGGTGGATAGATACTCAAGTAGAAGAAGTTGACAGTTCCTTGTTGACGGACGTACTCTGTATAGAATCGAGGAACGATTGGATATTCTCCATATCCACTAAGCCACATTTGGACTAGTGTACCAAGAGCCAGATCTGGGCAGCACCTCCGAATCCGCCTCTTAACAGAACCCAAATCTCGCTCGTCAACTTCGCGATCATCGTCACTGTCCGCCCATGTCATCAAGACGGAATCTCCTTTCACCGCGCGACTACGACGAGGACGCTGAGTCGCTGCATTCTCCGCTATCAGAGCAGGACTCTGACAGCGAGGATGACGATTTCCTGGCAAACTCCCGCAGCACCCTCGAGCTCTCACAGTACGACCGCACAGTTCTGGAGGACGAGGATGAAACCGAGAAACTACTCACCAGAACCGGGCCGACTCATGGGCTACGTCGGCTCTTCAGTCCGAATCGAAGCAATGTCAGGATAGGGAAGAAGGAGGAAGCCCGGCGACAACGACGGAAAGAAAGGAAAGATGCACGGAGAGCGCGCCGTGAGAAGCGCCATGGCAATGACGAGGGCAATGAGATGTACGAGATGGAAGAGGGGCATCGGGATGACGAAAGCTCGCTTTTGAGCTCATCATCTTCCGAATTGGATGAGCGGGTCAAGGAGCAGTATGCTGACTTTCAGGATCGCCAGAAAGTTTCCTGGCGGAAGCTGACTCTGGTCTTCTCTGCCATCTTCGTTCTCTTCCTCATCCTTTTGCTCGGCGCGTACAAGGCCTCGGCCAGCTTCCGCTCGTCACATTCCAGAACCCTGCTATCAAACGGAACGGCCCTGTTCGCTCCTACGACGATCCTTATATCGCTTGACGGTTTTCGCGCAGACTTTCTGAACCGAGGATTGACGCCAACACTCAACGCCTTCATTGCCAAAGGCGTCTCGCCGCAATACATGCTACCTAGTTTTCCCAGCGTCACGTTTCCGAACCACTTTACACTCGTCACAGGCCTGTACCCTGAAAGCCATGGGATAGTTGGAAACACATTCTGGGATCCAGAGCTAGAGGAACAGTTCTACTACACGCACCCAAGTGTCAGCATGCAGCCAAAGTGGTGGAATGCGGAACCTCTCTGGATGACTGCCGAGAATCAGGGTGTCAAGACTGCTATACACATGTGGCCGGGCTCAGAAGCGCATATTGGAGGCGTGGAGCCTACTTACCTGGACCAGTTCAACGGCTCGGAGGCTCTGGAACGAAAGACACAACGCATCCTTGAGCTTCTGGATCTACCAGGGCTGGAGCAGGAGGGGACATCTCCCAGCCGACCACAATTCATTGCTGCATATGTTCCGAATGTCGATGCAGACGGCCACAAGTACGGCCCGAACAGTACTGAAATCAGAGGCACGATCGCCAAAGCAGACAACATGCTAGCGGGAATCTTCGCCGGCCTCCAGGAGCGCAACCTCACGGACATTGTCAACGTTGTTGTCGTATCCGACCATGGCATGGCCACAACCTCCACTGACCGGCTCGTCCAGTTAGACGATCTAATCGACCTCAGCCTAACAAGTCACATTGACGGCTGGCCACTCCGCGGAATCCGCCCAAAGAGGCCTGAAGATCTCAAAACGCTACAAAACCAGCTCTCGCTCGTCGCGACCAAGTATAAAGACGCAATTGAGATCTACACACGCGAGAATATGCCCGATCGTTACCACTTCAAGAACAACGACCGCATCGCGCCCCTTTGGGTAATTCCCAAAACAGGCTGGGCTATTGTGGAACGCCCAGAGAATGATGTCAAGGCAATGCAGCACAACGGCGACGTCTACCACCCAAGGGGCATCCATGGGTACGATCACGAGCACCCATTAATGCGGGCAATCTTTGTTGCCCGTGGGCCTGCCTTTCCACATGCGCCGAACAGCCGTGTTGATGTTTTTCGTATGTCCACACCCCCACTTACTTTGATCCACCATCCTTCCTGGCTCCGGGCTTAACAAGCTAGAAAACATCAACGTCTACAACATCCTCTGCGATTCGCTGGGAATCACTCCACACCCGAACAACGGAACCTTGCGCCTCCCATTGAAGCCGAGCGGTCTTCATTCTGACGAGAATGCGCCAGCGCTGGATGATCCCTCTGACCCACCAACCACAGCAAGTGCGGAGAGCGCCACTAGCACGGACAATATTCCAACAGCAGGAGCAACAGCAGAAGCAACAGCAGAAGCAACAGCAGAAACAACAGCAGAAGCAACAGCAGAAGCAACAGCAGAAGCAACAGCAGAAGCAACAGCAGAAGCAACAGCAGAAACAACAGCAGAAACAACAGCAGAAACAACAGCAGAAACAACAGCAGAAACAACAGCAGAAACAACCGCGGCCGCTAACCCTGGAGAGGACGCCGACGGTGTTGATTCAGATCAGCCACACGGCTGGTGGGATAGCATCTGGGGTAAAGTGGAAGAGTTGAAAGACTGGGCCAGTGATCTCTTTGAGAGCGTCAAAGAGGATGTTTCGTCTCGTGGACGTGACTGAGGCATTATCTCCCCTTTCTGCGGGGCTAGTCAAGGTTGGCTAGCAAAGCCAATTAAGCCCTGACTGAACCTTTTAAATTCCAAGGGGAAGGAAACAAGGTTCTGGCTCCCTTTTATTTATATCTTAATTAATATTAGACTAGCTTAGATACCCCTGTTGTCATTATCATCATCTATCTATCATGTTGTTGGAGAAACTCGTTGTTTTCAACCTACCTGTCGATGTACCTCGCCTTCCTCTGTACAGCTTGAATTGCTGAGCATACGGGAAAGACACTAATTAGGAACTCCAAAGTCTCTCATTCCACGGGCCATTGACTGGCAGCTGTCACTTGTCAAAGTACAGCACGTGGGGACGCAATGGATGCTTTGCGCGAACCTGCATGAAAGCATCAAGAATGTCTTGGATTCTTCAATGGTTCATTGACCACTGGGCAGAGGTCATTCAGTCATTTACATGGAAACGGAAGTTGAGCCTTGAGGTTCTTTCTCTATCTTTTCGACAAGGCAGTCTCCGATGGCCACCCTTGACTACTTATAGGACGCGAATTCCGTTCCATTTCGCCTTCTTCTCTTCAATTCTCACACTCGTTCATTGAAATACGAGAAAGCTTTCTCACTTCCTTCGTTGGCACTCAGATTTGCATCGTCTTGCAGTTCAAGATGGCCTCTACCAATCCCAACTCAACCACCGACCTCGGCACGCTTCATATGCCACCCCTCCGCATCTCCAGCCCAGACACCGTAACCGCAAGCGCAACCACCTTTCTCGAAGCCTTTATCCCGCGGTATTCCCTCTCATCTTAACTCCTCCTTGGCTATCTTCAAATCGACCTGTCGGAATACAAGCGGCGCCTGCTCTGTACACCATCCTAGTCGCGGCATCCCGCTACCTCTACACTCTTTCAACACTGCGTCTCAACGACCACGATATGGGAGGGTGACTAGATGTACGAGTATCTCATGTACTGGCTCTCGTGGCAAGTCTTTACGGAAAACTCGGTTCAATTCGTTGCGCGGACGGACATTCAGGGCGCTTGGGCGTGGAGGCGTCGCCGTGATGATGAGGATGAAGATGAGCAACAAGTCGATTCAGACGATTCAGACGGGAATAAAATGATCAACTTTGACAGATACTGGGCGAGGACTGGCGAACGGACCAGGCTTAGGCCGGTGCACTTTATCCACGAGACCCAATCTCCTCAAGCGGAGCAACCACCCGCTCACACTCACCCGCAGGACGAACGGCCGTGAATTCTCCTTCTTTGGCCTCGGCTCAGCCAACACCGAGTCTGGATCCCTCTCCCTCTCCTGCATCGGCCGGGACCCCACAATTCTCAAGAGCCTCCTCCTCGAAGCACAGCGGATCTATGTGGACAAGGACGCCAACAACACCCGCATAAACCGCTCGAAGAGGTTTCTCGGATCGTACCGCTGGGACTATTGCATGTCATGCCCCCCGCGCCCTCTATCAACAGGAGGAGGCAAGCAAACAAGGTTCCTTGTGGACTGGGCCATGTCAGCAAGCCTTTTCATATGATGTAGTTATGTTAATAGACCTCTCTGCTTTTTAGTTACTAGAATGTGAATCTGACATATCATGGATAACCAGAGATGTTACCCAAAGAGTATGCTGGATATGCATAACCACATCCCCTAGTAATATATGTCTACTAGTATACGTACCACCTACCTATGGTATCTCTAGCGGCGAAATCTTATACCCGTTTGAGAGAACGACAAGGTCATTGCTCCCCACCTTGAACGCCCACAAGTTCGGCTTCGTTGGGTGTCGCATATACAGGTCGCTAAAGTTAACTGATTGCTTCTCTAGAAAAGTATGGAAGATTCCATGGAATAGCGCACCAATGCTCGTATGTATCCGCCTCAATCTCTTTGAACTCGAATCCGGAGTAGGGGTCCAAGCAGAACCAGAACCAGTCTTCCCTGGAGGGGACCAGGTTCCCGATAAACAAGCCCTCTGCTGTTCCGGTCAAGTTAAGCACCCTGATCACCTTATTGATAAAGACAGAGCTGGGGTCACCGCGGGTGGTGTAAAAGGCCTTGTCCTGGTACTCCTTTGTGCTGAGCGGCTTTGCGAGTTCGAGGTAGCTGCTGCTTTTACCTGAAGACAGAGACCCGCTTGTCTTTTCCCTAAACTGGCTCGGCCGGCCGTCCTCGTACATCAGTTCAAAGGCCTCATCTTTGGCGAATTCACCCTGCGGTGCACTGATCCATCCGCCTCTGGCTAGTCGCGCCACGGTGCAGGGCCAGGGGGTGTTGAATCCAGTTCGATGGATCGAGCAGCGAGATGGACACCTTGACTCCGCTCATGGATATGGTTGAATTTCTTCTGCTCTGCCATCCTGCGCAGCGCCTTTCCGTACGCCCACGTGTGTGGAGGTCTACCTCGTCCGTTAAACATTACCAACTCTGAAGGTGGTGCCTCTTGCAGGCACGCAAAAGATTGTACCCTGTTTATGAGGCGGCTACGCTGCAATAATCCGGACTCGGGGAGGACACTCATGTCTAGAACTCGGACTGGAACAATTAATTCGCTGAATTGCGACAGTCCTCCACGCGCGAATAACACAGATGAGTTCGCACTTATGTGCGCTTGCGGCCACAATCTGCAACACCCATGTCCAGTAATTTACCAGCAGATCCAAACCACCAAACCGCAAAATCTCTCCTAATGAAGCAAGAATAGATCCTTGTTTCTCGCCGTTCTTTCTGTTTTCGAGCTCTTGAAAGGGCTGGATCCGCCTATCACGTGATATCATTCTTGCCTCTCTCTGGAATGCAGGACTGGAGACGGAAGACTTGCAAACTTGCCCGGCAGCTGTGTCGGAGGCTTTCCGGATGCAGTTTTAGAACGCCATGCTCAACAATATACCCTGGTTCCAGGATGTTGGAGTCGTCAGCGCGGGAAAACGGACGCAGACATGCGCGACAAGTAGGGCTATCGGTTTCGGCCACACAAGATCTATAAGTACCGCGTCGAGCTCTCGTCTGTCGGACTAGTCATCTTCGATCTTACTATTGATCGGTTACTCTTGAAAATCAAGTCCAATCTCAATTCCGCAACATGCACTTTTCAAAGCCACACACTCTCATTGCACTCGCCCTCGCGGCTGGCACTGTCAGTGCTCAAGCAGCCGATGATGCAGAGGCCACGACCGCTGTTGCTGAGGCCACTGCTGTCGACGTCCCGGTTGTTGCTACTTCTGTTCCCGCGAAAGAAGTAAAGATAACCACCACGGTCGGTGTTTCCGTCTCCACTACTGTGGAAGACAGACAGGAGCCTACTACATCCACCACGACCTCTGTGGTTGTCCCCGTCTCCACTCCTGTGGAAGACAGACAGGAGCCTACTACATCAACCTCGACCTCTGTGGTTGTCCCCGTCTCTTCTTCTTCTTCTTCTTCTTCTTCTTCTCCTTCTTCTCCTTCAGAGACCACCACCACCCAGCCGACAACCTCTCAGCCTGTCATCCCCAACACGGAGACAAGCGCCCGTGCTGAGCCCAGCGGCAGCGCGCCTGTCGAGTCAAGCCATCCTGCGCAGATCACTGCCACTGCGCATGCTTCCAGCGCCGTTATCCCATCCTCTGCCCCGGCCCCCCCGGCCTCGAGCGCACCGCTCATCCCAACCGCACGTCCAGCATCAAAGACTGTCCCTAGCTCCTCGGCGCATGCACAAAAGACCTCTGCCCACAATAGACCCACTTCGACAAGCTCGCATGAGGACAACGACAAGGGTAATGGCGAGGAAGTTGAGGATGTCCCTCGTCCCCAGCCTCCCGCTGATGAACTGATCAGCCCTGGTGCCAGGCTACTCGTCCCCGGCCTTGCCAGTCTGGCCGGTTTTGCCCTGGGTTTGATCTATCTGGCTTGATTTGAATTATCCCATTTTCTTTGCTGATTGCTCTACTCGCTCCAATGGTTGGAGTCTGGCGTAATATATTGAGGTTTTCCTTTTCGCAATTTGTTTTTATTAGGCGTTCAAATACAATCTTAGTCTGCATCCCATATTTCATGTCTTCGGCCTCTGCTTTAGTTATTGGTATTTCAGCAGCCTTTCTTCTGCCAATTTCCACCAGGGGTTAAGAGCCCATACTGGACAGCTTAGTAGCAAGGTATTGTGCCTTGAAGAAATACTGGCGAATGTGCAAGTCGAAGAGTTCTTGTCTTCCCTCAAGATAAGTGCTTGTATAACAGTCAGGTTGAGACGAAGCTATTAGTCCTTATACTATCTTTCACACACAAAGCCTGGTCTATAGCATATTTCTCTTCACTTCTCCACCTTACCCTTACTACTACTACGCACAACTACTTATCGTTGATAGTGCTGAAAAGACCCTGAACTACCAAGCCCTGCCTCCATATTCAAGTCGCCAGCAACGCCGAGCAATCATGCACATAACACAACACAACGCAGCCATGATCTTATTATCATCTCCCCCCCCCCCCCTCCCCCCCTCCTTCTCTATTCGAGATCGAATAGCAACACCACTGGAAAAAGAATCTGGTCACTTTTCACCAAATCATCACTCATTCTTAAATCCAAACCCTACAGAGACACAAGAAATCCATACAAAATGAAGCGCCGCGCACCCCCGTCTCCCCTCGACCTCGCCATCTCATCTCTGACAAATTTCACGCCCAATGGCGCGGTTCGAGGCGTTGCACCAGGGTATAAAAGCAGCGCCAATCCTCACGCCAAAGCGAATGCAAATGTTAATACCAACGCCCATGTCGGCTCAAATACCAGCTCCAAGGTTACCAATCACACCACCGTTACGACTTCCAAACCGAGTTCCAATGCCTATGCTACCTCGAACACCAGTTTCAAAACTACCAGCCCCGATACCGTGACGAACGCCCATGTCACCTCCAAGTCCAACGCAAACTCCAACCTCAATCCGAACACCAACACGCAGCCCAATCGACCCGCCCCAGGCATCGAAAGCGAGCGGCCCTACCATGAAACATACAGCCTCAAGATGGCGAGGTTCTGGGCTGCAAAGGCGCAGGCGCTCAAGGAGCCGTTTATTCCCGCGGGTGACGACGTCGGCGAGGGGATTGCAGCCGGGGATGTTCAGTATAGCGGAAGTACTGTTGGTGAAATGGCCGGCGGTGGGGCTGGGATTGATTGGGTATGTTCCTTATTTTTGTTTTGTTTTGGTTATTTATTTGTTGGTGTGATTGTGGTGGGTTTCTGTGTTTTGGCTTGTATACTTGCAAAACCGTTTTTGATACGCAGAGGCAAGTTCAAGTTGAGCACAGGCACAAGCACTAGCACTCCAAGTCTCAAGACCAGACTGACACGATGAGAAGCATGGACTAACCACATCCTCCCAGCTAGCAACCTCACAGACCCCCCTGCCAACGCCCTCACCATCCCAAACCCAGTTCGGGCAGCCAGCGAACCTGCCTACTCTCCCCAACACAGGCCCCATAACCAACGACACAATCGCAGCAATCCTAGAAAAGTGCGCCCCACCCGACCCCAAAGCCCGAGCCTGGCTACAAGCACACCTCGCCGCAAAAGCCGCCTCCGCCGCCGCCGCGCACGCACACCATCTGCGCGAGAAACTGCGCGAGCGCGAAGGGCTCCGGAAGCAGGTGCTACAGCGGCTTCGCGCGAAGACACTTGAAGCGCTCAAGGAGGCGAACGCGTCGAGGGAGGAGGCGAGGGAGGTTCTTGAGATGTTGCCGCCGAGAAAGGCGGAGGTGGAGGTTGGGGTTGGGGAGGAGGGCGCTGATGTTGATGTTGCGCTGGAGGAAGGGTTTCCGGGGGCGTTGGGGGATTTGGATCTGGCAGATGGTGAGGGGGAAAAGGGTGGGGATGTGGAGAGGAAGCAGTTTCTTAGGGTTGTGAGGGCACATGCGCAGTTGCAGAATGTTATGAAGGAGATTGAAGAGATGAAGAAGGGGGTTGGGGCTTTGGCTGGTGGAGAGTCTGAGGAGGAGGAGGAGTCTAGTGGTGAATATGAGGATTATGGAAAAGGAGATGGTGGCTGTCAAATCGGCTCGGACGACTCAGTCGACTCAGATGAGGCTGTTGACGATGTTGACGATGCGGCTGGTGAAGACGAGATGGATCTTGTGGCCTAGTCGGCGAGGGTTGTTTTGATGTACTTTAGGAGGGCTGTTCCAACAGGCAGCGAGTGTATGATAAACTACTAGGCCCTTTCTGTTTTGTCGATAGCAAGCACCATTTCACCCTTTCTTGCTCTTGCTGGACCCTTTGTCTTTCGTCGGGCTCTCCAGCTTATCTACCAGTGGCCGGTATGGCGACGCGAGCAGGTACTCTGGCGACCTCCCGAGCTCATCCCGTCTCGGCTCGCCTACAGACGGACGACGCACCTGCTCCTCGTGCATCTTGTCCAAAGGCTCGCCGACGACTTGGTACTTTGCCCAGTTGATCGGCGGCATACGGACAACATTCTGCGGCGGGGGAATCGTCCCGCCGAACCCATTTGTATCTCGTTGCCCAGCATCATTCTCGTCATCCTCGTCATCATGATTCAAATCAATAAACGCCCCGCTTTCCTTCCTGACCAGATTCCCCGCCGCAAGCTCCCGCGCAAACTTTTCCGGCTCTCTCGCCGCAGCCTCTTTCATCCTCTCCAGCACCCGTATATCCCTTAATCCCTGCTGCTTCTGCAGTTGCAGTATCGAAATCGCCGAGCGCAGCGCAATAGCATCGGGGTTCTCGCTTTCAGATATCGGGACAGGCGGCGGTTCGGGCGCAAAGGAGGCAGGTATTGGTGGCGGGGGAGACGGTCGCGAGAGTGAGCTGTATGGCGGTGCTTGTGATGTGGGTGATGGCGACGCAGCTGGTGGGGGGATTATGGGGTGCTGTGATCCGTTTGATGCGGCAGAGGGGTTGTTGACGGGCGTGAGGTGCGCAAAGACCGGGGTTACGGGGGAGTATGGTGGGCGTGGTGGTGTACCTGGGCGAGAGGCCTCGTCGGGTGGGGTTTCTTGGGTGGGTGGTTGCATTGTTCCTGGCTCGTGGAGCTTTTTGGCGCCCAGAGGCTGGTGTTGGTCTGTAAATGCGATGTGATGCGATGATCTAGGTTGCTTGCGCGGTGGAAGTGGTAAAAATGTATATAACTTCTTTGTTTGTGAAGCAAGATATGTGCTAACTGTGACCCATCCCATGTGAGGATGTGAGGAATGTTTGGGGTATGTCTGACAGGAGGAGTCGGCTGAAGCAAGCAGTGGCCTTCGATGACGAAGGCTGGACCGTATGCTTTTGTCTTATCGGCCTCCGACGATAGCGCAGCAATAGATCGGCGCGGGCAGCCCTTCTCCGCGAACCCCCCTTCTTGATGCATGCAACGACACTTGGCCCTAAAAAGTGTCGCTCTAGGTTTGTGTAAACACAAATTATTTACTCTGGTTAGGCTCAAAACTTGTATTTGTTCATAAAGTTGTCGGATTGTATGGCCTGATGGGCTCGGAATGGCCTGATTGCTCTCTGGCGCGCGCGTCTCACCGCCTAAAAAAAATCACCCCCGACCACCCACAATCTGAGACTCTTCTCCCCTCACGACAACCGCACAGTGAGCCAAAATGAAGCGCAAGACCAACGGTAGAGAGTCTTTCGATGGCAATGGCCAGCCCGACTCAAAAAAGCGCGCCCTGTCCAGCGAGGAAGTTGCTCTGCGCTTCCGCGACGGTCTGTTCGATTCCGCGGAGCAGCAAAAGTATACCAAAGCATATTCCCAGTCGGAGCCGTACGTTTGAATACCGCATACCCCAAGGTTTGCTTACGCGTGTAATGCTAATTGAATCGTTAAACAGGTACAAGCATGGCGTCATCCACCCGCTGATCGAAGACTCCCTCCTACGATCCGTCCGCGACGAAATCCAGGCGCATCTAGACTTCACCGAGAAGGAGACGGACATTTACAAGATCTTCCAGTCGGGAGATCTCGCGAACCTTGACGGTCTGGACGATGGGTCACTGTCGCGTCTGCCGTCGATCTTGAAGCTTCGCGATGCTCTCTACTCCGCGCGGTTCCGCGAGTTTCTCTCCTCGGTGACTGGCTCGGGTAAGCTCAGTGGGCAAAAGACAGACATGGCCATCAACATCTACAACGAGGGGTGCCACCTACTTTGCCACGATGATGTGATTGGGAGCCGACGACTGAGCTACATCCTGTATCTGACGGACCCGGACACGCCCTGGCAAGCGGAATGGGGCGGCGCCCTGCGCCTGTACCCAACGACGACGAAGAAGGACGCCAAGGGCGAGGACGTCAAGGTTCCTAGCCCCGATTACACTCTGAGCATCCCGCCGGCGTTCAATCAGCTGAGCTTCTTCACCGTCCAGCCCGGTGAGAGTTTCCATGACGTCGAGGAAGTCTATCACCCGGCCGATGGTGAGGACAAGTCGAAGAAGCGCGTCCGGATGGCCATCAGTGGATGGTTCCATATCCCGCAGCGTGGCGAGGACGGGTTTGAGGAGGGATTGGAGGAGAAGCTCGCTGAGCGCAGCTCCCTCTCCCAGCTCCAGGGTCGCGCGGACATCTACGACCTCCCACAACCAAAGACAGTTGCCTGCGCGACCCTGGAACTGGGAGAGGGAGAGGAGGACGCAAAGGACAAGGGCAAAGCCAAAGCTGAACCCGAGGAAGAGGATCCCAGCACAGAATTTAGCGAGTCTGACCTCAACTTCCTAATCCAGTACATCGCCCCCTCCTACCTGACCCCGGACATCGCCGACGAAATGTCCGACGCCTTCCTCAACGACTCATCCCTAAACCTAGAGAACTTCCTCTCGAAAAAGTTCTCCGCAAAAGTCCGCGCCTACATTGAGGACCAGGAGAAACAGAAGCTCCCGGCCTCCGCGGACGAGATCCAGTCAACCACGGACTGGACCGTCGCCAGACCCCCTCACAAGCACCGGTACTTGTACCAAGAGCACTCGACCGCTACCAAGGGCACAGCATCGCCCATCCAAGAACTCCTCAACGACCTCTTCCCCTCAAAGCCCTTCCGCAAGTGGCTGGCCCTCATCACAGGCTCGGATCGTATCACGAGCTACAACTTTCTCGCACGTCGCTTCCGGCGTGGCCAGGACTATACCCTCGCTAGCAGTTACGCCGGCGAGGAGCCACGCCTCGAACTTACCTTATGTCTGACCCCAACGAGCGGTTGGGAAAAGGAAGACCCGGAAGGCGATGACGAAGCCCAAGGCGAAGACAGCGCCAAAAAGGCCAAGGAACCTTCAAGCTCGGGCTCAAGCGCCGCCCAAAAACCAACCAAGGACTCCTCCTTGTTAACCAAGACCGACGAACCGTCCGTTGGCGGCTACGAAATCTACATGGCCGGCGACGATGACGACGACGACGAGGACGCAGCGATCTACCGCTCTGCGGCCGATGACGAAGACGACGGTATCCTGTTCAGCACGGCGGCCGGCTGGAACAGACTTAGCATTGTGCTGAGGGATAGTGGGACGCTGAGGTTTGTCAAGTATGTTAGTGCGGCGGCGAAGGGGGATCGGTGGGATGTTACCGGGGAGATGGGGGTTGAGTTTGGGGATGGTGATGGAGAGGATGGTGATGATGACGATGAGGAGGGTGATGATGATGACGACGAAGAGGATGAAGATGAGATGGAGGAGGGTGAGGACTAAAAATATCGATCTGATACCAGGATTCTACTATGTATATCTTCTTTAATATCAGCCAATTGACGTATTGATGCACAATAATTCTCCGATATTGTCTATAATTTGCATTCAAATTACAACACCGAGAAAAGCTTTCATACCTGTAGTCATCAAGATCAGGGCCCCCCTGGGCCTGTCCCGTCTCCTCTCGTCTCGTCTCGCCTCACCTGTTTCATCCTCTTTCAGGCTGCCGCCCTGAAGCTCGTCCAAGCCACACAGTTAGTTACGCAAACCCCCATCTTCTTTACTCTGGCCGAATCACATGTAGCCATACTATAAAATCTAGGCATCACATTATAAATTCCCAAAGGATTCTGCGAAAGGGATCGCTTTTATACACGCCAAGCCAACACAACGCCCACGATCCACAATAATATCCGAGCTCATTGACCAAGCGGCAAAAGCCGCCAGAACCCCCACCACTGCACCAAGCACAGCCCCAGCAGGCAGGATCCGGCGACCACGCCGGGCTGGAGCGTGGCCGTGGAGACGAGTACAGAGAACTGGCCCGCAGCGCCGGAGCTCGTTTGTAAATCGGAAACTAGGCTCGAGCAGGTTATCTCCGATCCAAAATCCTTTTCGTGGGCTTTCCCCCGAGAGGAAGGAATCTTTGGTCCTCGATAACCCCGAGTCGGGGAATGATGAGCTTTGAGGAGCTCGCCAGGTACATACTTCGCGAGGCGAGAGCTAGACTGGATGAAGAAGTAATGGCGAGAGGATGAAACGAAACAGCAGCCCGAGCTCCGCTTATTTTTCAAGATGATCGATCCGATACGATTATCCATGGGCGCTGTGCAGTGGTGCAGAAGGAGCGAGAGGATCGTGAACCCTGTTAGGCTGTTGTACTTTCAAGCCACCAGGATTGGGTATCCAGTTCGCCAGTCGTGAGCCACGAGGTACTCCGTACGATCCCAGTTTCCACGCTTCGACAGAGACATCTATTGAGTGTTTTAGTAGTGCAAAGAACAGTGTGAAGACAAATCTAGTCCCATCTCGCCTCTTGGTGCAGGACAAATCCCACGTGGAGCGAGCCCGTGCACGAGTCTTCAAGCTCGTTTCGTCTCAGTGGATGGTCATGGATGCAGAAGACAGATTGATGAATCGAGTCGCAGGATTCGCATTCGTATTGTTCTTCATGTTCGTTCCGGGCAAGCAATGTGCAAGCTCGGTGAATTCTCTCCGATTGTCCGGTCTCGCTTGTTCTTCCGCCTTTTGCATATCTACCAGTAGTATCTGTGTGGCTACGCCATCGCCTGGTGACATTATGCGTAATCTAACTCTATTAGGAATATGCATCGATGCTGCTTCAGTAACGTCACAACCTTGAACTCAATTGGTGACTCTCAGTTTGAGGTATACCGTATCCGTGGCTCATGCTTGCAGGTGCTTACTCCATTGGCGAATGCTGATAAAGAACGGGATGTCAGTCGGCCGACTCCCTTGAAGGCTGTTCAAAGCCACAGATGAGGAGATGAGATCAGAGTACCCTGGAGGCTGGAGCGAAAAAAACGTGGGGCGGAAGCTGACTGGGTTAATCTAGCCCTCATTGACGGTACGGAGAATATTCAACCACGGAATACGGATGGCAAGTGGGCACCGGACCGATCATTTTTTTGACAAAAGTTTTTTTAAGTGACGAACTGGTAAAGTTGTCGGCTGAATTGGAGCACGTGGCTGGATTGGCGCTGCCTGCCCCCGCTGCCCGTTGCCGGACGGCGGATGCCCAGTCATCAATCAATCAATTTGAATGGCAGATTGTCCTTGGATATTCCATCGAGTCGGGGGATATTGTCTTTGGTCGAGCGGATAGGTTGATGACTTATTGATGAGTCAATGATTGGCATGGTTGAGAGGGGATGACTGATACTACGGAGTAGATTAACCCTGTAGAGAAAATGCGGAGACAGATGTTGTGGGTGGGAGCGTGAGATTGTCGAAGATCTCCGCGGAGGCACAAACAGACAGCTCGGTCGTTTGCGATCTATGCTATCTCACCAAAATAAAAAGAAAAAGGGAGTCGATGCTAGGAGACTCTTTGTCATGTTGCATCTTGCCGAGATAAGATGGACGAGTGAAATGTGAATCATGTCTCAAAGTCGATATTTGATCGAGGTTTGTCCCTTAGTTGATAGCTGATATCGTTTCTTCAGATAGTCTAATAGATCGCCGCTTCGGAGGTTTTGATGAGGCGATGTTTTCCCATCCCTCCTATCTTCAGCCTCTGTGATTTGTATTAATATAGCTGTGAGTAAATAATTTCATGGGCAGATAATCTCCAACATGAATAAGCATGATTGATCACCGGAGTAGTCGATGATAACCAGAAGTTTGAGATGTGATCCGTAGTAGCACTCGGATATATATCCCTGATCTGGACTATGTTGTATGAAGTTCCGGCATCCAAACAGTGAGACAATATCAGCCAGGATGAACCAGGAACAGCCACAGGAGTATAATCATCTTTCACAAGCAAGGCAGTTTCGCACGGAGCTGTTCGGGCATCTATTAGGAGTATTGCCGTGCATACGAAAGTGCTTGTACCATGTAGCGCCCGCGACGTGCTCGGCTGCGAGAGAAGATTGCTGGATGGATCGGAAAATAGAGAAGCCCTGCATCTCTTCTCGGTTCAGACGCAAGATGACATGGAGTATGGCACCCTCACTCACGTGCTTTTGTTCCAGGTATCCCCAATAGCTCAGGCTCTTCATAAATCGCTTATACATCCCCTCGGATCAAACGCGAAGCGAAGCGACCATCAACCTCTGACAAGGCCCTCCCTGTAAGTCACACCGCTGCAAGTGGCCGGCGGATTACATATGTATGCATTCTCTAGGCAGCAAGTACCACCTCGTTGTGAGGGTTGTACCACACGGCCGATGCAGCAGCAGCAGCAGCAGCAGCAGCAGCAGAAGAAAGAAACTCAATTCGCCCGCAGTGTTCGAAAAAGTCCCTGGAAGTAAGAGTCGGGACTGGTGTCTGAAATGGATGCGATATGAGCTGGAGAATTGCCAAGACTCCTATTCAACAAGCATCGTCGGCTTTCTTCTCCGAGCTCTGTCGTCCAATACCACTGTTTCTAGAATCTGGGCGCATTAATGAAGATGGAGTTGGTGGCGCGGCTGGCTCAAAATTCGGGCGGATAAGCACGCGGTCGCCAAACAGGGAACCCTTGTGAAAAGATGAAAGCACAGGCTTTGACTGGCCAGCTGCCAGGATATTCTGACAGTCTGACTGCTGAGGGTTTGTCCATGCCGTGTCATTGGTGTTACCTTGCTGTCGTGGTGTGGCGTCCCGGCCATTGATAATAATGGTTACAAACAGAACACGTTGGCCTAATCCCGTTGTCCAGGCAAGCTGTCGGATTTGAGTCTGGGAAGCGAATCGGAGACGGAGTTATTGCGCAGTGAGCGAAAGCGAGCAAGCATCCAGTCCAGTGCCCCCTGTGATGGCTGGATTGCGAGGCCCGACCAAGAGCGACGCGTCAACAAACAACAGCGTTTGGCCGTCGGAAGATAGAGAAAGACAAGGAAGCTTGATTGTTGGACAGGTTGGTTAACCCCTCTGGAGTCCAGATTTGGCGGTATCACCGTTGACTATCCAGTGTTTCGTTTCTCAAGAGTGACAAGAGTCCAGATTTGCCTCGTTGCAATCAAGATGTCAGTCGCGATCGCCATTGCTATCCCTAAGCTCTCTCGGATGATCTTCAAAACTTTATTCGGAACCATCTGGTCTCTGTTTTCGCTCCTGACTCGCGGAAGACCGATCAGGAAGCTTTCCTGTCCTGAATCATACGCAAGGGCAGGCCAGCACGCACGGATATGATGTACGGGGCGGAACTCTAGAATGTACCAGCTAGGGACCAGTAAGGGCAGTGCAGAGACCTGACTTGACTTGGGAAGAACCAAGGTGTGGAAATCAGGTCCAGCATGACAGCATGTGCGTCGCCAGGAGAGCTCACATTCTTGAGAGCGGGGCCATGAGTCGGGTTCTCCGCCGCTGTGTGGTTAGTGGCAAAAGCGTGCGCGTAAGCTTCTTGTTTGCTGAAGACAAAGCAAGGGAAAAGACTCCCCTCCCATGCATTCGCAGACCGCGTGTTGTCTGACCTGATAAGACAAGCATCATCCCTTGTAAAAGCAAGACACAAACCACGCAGCTGTTCTGGACTTGGCGTCATTGATTCTTGAAGTCCTGAGGTCGAACAAGCGCCTGCAGCTCCACTGAGTCCACAAAGCCCACCTCCATGACCGGGACAAGTTCCCTAGCGGCGATCATTCCACATCCCACCATGGATGCCATGTGTCTGCTGCTGGAAAGTCAAATTAATTAGTTAGCCAAGCTGAGTCTGCTGCATTTTTGGACTCTTGTAAGCGGGGCGCTGATCTCGCCCTTTGGCACCCCAAGTCGAACCCATGCTGAGTAGCTTTCTCATCAGCAGTTCGCATGCTGATACTCGACCATTATTCATCTGAGGCTGTCTGTTCTTGAAGATCATCCGCCAAACGACATTTCCGGCGACAGCGCATCCTGCTGTGTTCGGCGGCTGCGGGACTGGCGAGAGCTGACGGAGAAACCTAGAATGACCCCGGAGTGTTCATTGGATAAGGGACTAACTGATGGATAACGGTGGACTTGCAAACTGGTCGGTCGGTCCTTTCTTCAACAAAAGACACGAGGTGCGAGAGGCAGGTGTCTGATGATGATTTCTGCTGCTGAGCCTCTCCACTGAGTCCACTCCAGTTACCAGTGAGACTCGTGCAGGCTGCAAGGAGGGCGATGCCACATGAATACCAGACCGTTACCAGATGACGGGGCTGACGACGCTTTTGGCGGTTCGCATCCCTTGGACCCCTGGAGCCGATCGTTCATTTTGGCCACGTGAATGTCGCCGGTATCGAGATCGGTGCTTGGTCTCTCTTGTCAATTTCTAGTCGCATTTCATCTGTCATGTTGGCATGGTGCGATGCCAGCTGACCCGATTCAAAGTATAATAGTTCTGGCAGGTAAAATAAACCTAAAATTCAAGACTGCTGAGAAGGTGATGAGGTGAGACTGCTTTAACCGGATCCTGATGATGCAGAGACTTGGACAGGATCGTGCCGCCCGAGTGGACACTGGACACCCAATCCCTAGCTTGCCAGGAATGTTAAACGGCCGAGCCCACACACTCTTGGAAAGTGTATTGAGCTCATCCCACTATCGTTGCAACTGGCAATTCTTCAGCCCATGGGATGCGTTTTGTTGAAAAGCAAGCGTGGTGGTTGCATCTTGCAAACAGCGATCCCCTGAGTGAATTGAGTCCCACTTCCCGGGTGACCCTGTCGGAGGCAGTCCCTTAAATCGCACCTTCCTAGGTTGGGAAAGCATTCTCTTTTAGCTGCGACCAAAGTAGCTCTGAGCCTGGTCTAGCCTTGTAGCCTTTCTTTCAAACTCCTCGTGGCTGAGCCGCCTTCGTTTGTCTGGATCCGAAGCGCTGAAAGCGGGTCAGCCCGGCACCCAATTGCCTGCCTCTTTCCATTTATTATTGTCTCTGTTGCTCTGAGGAAAGTCGAGCCCCTGTGAGGAGATCGACAGCGAGAAGGGCGATGAAGGTCCTTGGTTGCGCGCATGCTTCTCACACATGCAACAGCCCATCCTGGTGTGGGGTGAGAACAACCTGGAGGCTGCGCCGCTGCGGTGGAAGAATCATGGATGGATCATGGATGGCGCTCCTGGCTTGGCGGGATCTGCATCTTGATTTCCCAACACAGTTGCCACGTTTACCCAAGTCCGGCAAAGCTTCTTCAACTCCAGATTTCTGTGCTTCCTCACAAAAGACCTCGTCCTCTGGCTCTGAGCTGTTCTGAAGAATCGAGGAAGATTGTTTAGGAGCTCAAAGTCACGAGCCAAGGGATGTCACTTCCTGTCAATATAAAGACGGGACTTCTGAGGAGGAATTCTGTGATATTGTGCGAATTATCCAGCTGTGCTGCTGCAGAATAAAGAGCAGGGAGATGCTCGAGATATGATTGGGTTCTTCTGTCGATCCTGCCCTGTGGAGACTTTTGAGAGCTCAATGGATCGATGTACATTTGGTGCCTGGCATTCGGGCTGCGGCAAAATCCCGAATGCAACCACTCCTTGTCAAGCTGCGAGACCTGCCACGCCACCAGCTTACTGAAAAGCAGCTGCTCGATATTCTCAACCTCTGAATCTGGGTGTGGTGTGGCGGAAGTGGAAATAGGCTCTTCGGACGAGTCAACCCACCTGGCGCCAACAAAGCCACCCAGTGCACACAACAAAGGAGGATTTGATGGCGACGCATTGACTTTCCATACATTTCGGACCACAGGGTTGCTCACCAAGAGCGCATCGCTCGGTCTTCTCGGGAGGCTCGGGGCTGAGGCTATCTCAAGAGTCAAGGAGAAGCGGAACTATGAATCAGCTAACTATAGCTTAGAACTCATTTACGAGCCATGAGCCCACGAGGTACGCCAAGAATACTCTGTCACGTTCTTTCTGTGCTCAAATTGTGGTGTATCTTCCCGGAAACGTGCCCGCTTGCAGGTCAGTGAGATGTGTCTAATTTGTCACGCATCCTCTGTGTTACAGGACCAGTGACTGGTAGGGAGACAGTAGAGAGATTATAACGGAGATTCGCAAGGCAAGATGAGGGATATGAATCACGTCGAATGCCATATGGACCTCGGATGGTTCAAGTTAAATTATGGTTCAAACTTCATGGCTGAAGACTGGAACGAGAGAGTGGCATTACTCCGAGTAGTAGTACTATTCGAAGGTCACATCATTGGGAATAAATCCAGTAATTCCAGCCAGAAGAAATAATCTTAAAAAAAAAAGGATAATACTAAAAAGAAAAGAAAAAAGAAAAGAATTGCTCTTCGCCTGTCATCTTCGTCATTTCTCCTGTGCTCGACTGCTGATACTGCTCGACTTTTTTTCTTCTCAATCCCTCTTCTCTGTTTTGAGACTGTGCCTACAATCTTCCAGCATTATTTCTTCGAGTCTCTCTCTCTCTCTCTCTCTCTCTCTCTCTCTCTCTCTCTCTCTCTCTCTCTCTGTCTGGCCCGCTCGGATACCACCATCGCCAATTCTTACCTCTTCTCTGCAAATCAACCACTTGTACTCCTGTAAATATTGTTCCCCTTGGCCTCAGCCATCTAGACCTCAATCTCACAAAACTCCTTTGGAGCAGATACCTAGGCATCTTTCACTCCCGACAGAGACGCGGTATTTGTCACTGGCACAACCAGCCCGCGATCAGTGTGACCCTCTGCGATTCCGTCCCCTCCCACCTCTGTTGTTGCATCTGGCCATTCTGTTGGCTCCGTGCGCGCCCGCTCGCCCGCTCCCCGCAGCCTCGCTTTGGCTGGTCGCTTTACGAGGTTGACGCTCTGCCAGCCGTGAATGCAGACGGACGCTTTGCCCTAATCGTGCTTCTCGCCCAATTGTTAGTCCTTCTAGATCTCATGCCACGTTCTCACTTAAAACGTTTGAACCGGCACTAGAGGTAAGAGACCCGCTCCCTGGCACAGCAAACCACCTTCAGGTTCCAAGGTCTTTTAAGATTATCCCTGGACTCATTTCTCGCCGCCCGTCATTATTATTATTATTATTTATTCACTTTTTTTGAATAAAAGTCACTGGATCTTAACCCGGACTCGATCTCAAGCAGATTTTTCCCACAATTGGTCTTCCCCACTTTCTCGTTCTCTTTTGCTCCCCTTGTCGGTGATTCGATCCGGCTTCGCTCCTTGAATATTACCACGCCCCGTCGTCCATTCCCCGACATCCTCTCTTCAACGACCGCCGCCGTTCCTTGTCCACGAATTCTCCCTTGACGTCCTGTTCCTCACTCAATCTCTGTCGCATCCCGTCCCTCGCTACCAATACACCGTATCTTTCTGCTGCATTTAGACCTGCGAACCTGCTACAGGTCTACGTTCACCTCGAGAGTTCTTTAGCAGTGAAGGGGTATCGTCTTCTACCCGAAGCCAGAACTTGACCTGAGAGCGGAAAGTCGCAATTCGTTTCTCGAGAAAAAGCTTTGCATCTTGATCGCCCTCAGATATCCAATTTACGTCTTGTCGAATTTTCCGACGCATCAATACGATCCGGATCTTTTTTTCCTTTTTGCGCCAGTGTACCATACCCATCAGCAACAAAAGTGCCAATTCGCAGCTTTACAGAATCTTCTTCGCGACCAACAATCGTTGTTGCATATTCTTGATACCCACGTTACTTCTAGGACATGAGATAACGTTTTTGTTTCGGCTTCAAACTCCTTCAAACGCTCATTTCTCGAGTGATCGCGAATCGCCATGGACTCGACTCTTGGCCATCGCCCCTGGGGGCCGACCACCGCTGGGCCAGCCCCAGTCGCAACATCCTCACAGACACTACCTTCAATTTCCACTCTCACCGCAAGCATGGCTCATCCTCCAGGACCTGCGGAAAAGTCGCCGGGGAACGCATCTCTGAATACGATTGAACGCGACTCTGGCAACTGGTCAATGCCTCCGAGTACAAGTTTGTTAACCGATCCATTTGCGCTCACGGGCCATGCTCGATTCTAACAGCTGAATTCACAGGATCCTCCACCTATTCTACGGCCACGAACGGCACCGGCAACCAACCGACCCTTTCCTTCCTCACATCCTCTCAACCCTCGCCTAAACGCGTCTCGTACGTCTCCGAACGATCCCCTTACTCCACCTCTAGTGATCAACACACAACCACCCCTCCGTCGGCTGGAGCGCAACCTTCTCCAAACTTTGCCTCGACGCAGCCGGGTTCGGCCCTGCCTTCCCTCAACCAGAACTATGAAGTTCCTTCACAACGTGGCAGTATTGCGGAGCCTGTGGAATCACGGCGGAGTAGCGTGGACAGCAGGATGAACCAGGGCATCAATGCGTTGAACATAAACCCTGCTTCTCCGTACCACAGCACGAATGCTTCTCAATCGTCGATTGTGTCAGGGTTGCAACGCGAGCGTGGAATCTCGACGGATATGAACGCTTACCGGGGCCCTCGGTATGCAGGAACCGCACCTTTGTCTCCACTGGGTCCGCGAGAGCACCGTGGGTTTGCGGCTGGCCGCACCGCGCCTGCTATCTCATCGAATCCTCGTTCGGAGATTTACAATGCCGAGGCTCCCACTGCTGGTCTCGCCTACGCCTTCCCAGACCCGGACGTTGCCCGATCGAACTCGTTTTCGGGCGACAAGTCCTCGCAGTTTTCGCGCAAGGCAAGCGCTACCGAATCTCTAAACAGCATTTACTCCGAGTCATCACGGTTGCCTCACGGCCAACACGGTATGTGGATCAAAGAAGATAGACCGAAGTAAACTAATAAGCTGCAGAACTGCCTCAAAATGTACACCACCATACTCTACAGCATAAACAAGTTCGCGGCCTAATGGAATCGGACCCGCACACTAATAATACACCCTACAGCCGGACACCGGAGCTTCGAGTCACTCACAAATTGGCAGAGAGAAAACGCCGGAGCGAGATGAAGGATTGCTTTGAAAGTCTACGGGCGCGTCTCCCACAAAACCAAAATAACAAATCCAGCAAGTGGGAGACACTAACAAGAGGTACTTCAATCCCCGCGAAAGCAAAGGAAATGAACAGGTAACTGACCTTCACTAGCGATCGATTACATTAACCAACTGGAGGGCTCACTTCAAGTGGCGCGCAGGGACATCGAAGTCCTGCGAGTGGAAAATGAAGAGCTGCGTGCTCAGCAAGCAAACGGCCAGACTCGTCCTTTTGACCATCATGCGATGCCTGCCCAATCGAATGGACAGGCGCATGGGCCGATCTTCTCCGGCTACAATGCGGGACCTGGAATGCACCAAGATCAGCCGCGTACTCTCCCACCCATCATGGGCGGGTCAGCTGCGCCGATGCAAGGCATTCAGTACTCTGATGACCGACGGTGATCTGCAGTGGTTAGAGGATGTCTCCTCGTTTGCTGCATCCCGACTTTGACGAAATTATCTTGTCTTTCGCTACCTCCTCTCCTATACCATGTTACTTCTAGATCACGGTGACGGCATACTCCCATACTTCTTCAAGCGATGAATCCTTTTGTGATACCCCTGGCAACAGTCTGTTCGACATTCAGGGGGCGTCTTCTTCTGTTTGCTATATATACCTTGCATCGCCTTCATGATTTGTACTTATGCATAGGGAGAGCTCCGGAGTGCGGGTGGACCTTGGTACGGGGATGTTCTTCTTGAGGCTTATACCAGATGCGGGATTTGTTATTGTTACTAGTATTGTTACTGGGGATGGGGAACTAACAGGAAATTGGGTTGGTATCGTAGTCATGGACTCCCCCATAAAAATCAACGCTGGCACGAACCAGTTTTCGAGACTCTGATATTGTTCACTTCGCATTCATGATAGCCAGACAGATATTTAGAAACAATCGGATTGAAGAATCGATGAAACATGACTCTAGCCAATAAAATCGCCGCGGAACAAAAATAGCTCCCTCTGGCGCTTCCATCCCGAGCCCGGCGCTTACACAGTTGGTGAGCTTCCCCAACAGCCAATCCCCGCCTCCATCTACACTTCAGGCCTGCTGGTGCAGCGACCATCTTCAAACGCCATCCAATAAACTTTCTTCAAAGGCCGTTTCATCTCAGGGATCAGAGTCCCGGGAGATTTGACTCTGCAGACCAGCCATCCAGGATGTGGCTTTCTGCTAGGACGTGTCCCCAGTCTCGGCCAGGCCTTGGTGCTTGGTGCTTGGTGCTCGAGCTGCTGCTGGCTTGCTTGGGGATGGACTCTGGCCGCTAGATAAACAAAACGGGCGCATGCTGCTGCTGCTGCTGCTGCTGCTTTTTTCCTTCCAGCTCAATTTCCTCTTTCTCTCCCTGGTGTTTCTGCCTCTTTTATTTTGTGGCTTTCAAGTCTCACTCCCAGACATTTCACCATCCTCCTTTTCTGTAGCGCTCGATGACTCACGCTCATGGCTCGTGAATGATAATAGACTACGGCGTCTCAGGTACTTGACTGGGAGGGGCTTATTCTTTCGGTTGGAAGCATTGTTCTCATTGATTCACGGCGTTATATCCTTTGTCCCATTCTTTGATTCTGCATGTTTCGAAGCGCGCCAGTATAAAAGTCTAGACCGGTTTCATCGCTTCCAGCGACTTGCATTTTCCAGGTCATTGAATCTTTATTGAGCTCTGTTTCTTTCCTGTGGGTGTTTCCCTCTCTTTTCGTCTGATCAATATGTTTCCCCCATTTGGAATGATATGATATGGGACCAAGTTGACTAACACAAACACTACCATGAAGCAGAGCAAAAGCATACAAGCAAGAAGGATGCCGCCGCCCGGCTCCAGCTCAGAGAGACAGCGGGCACAGCTGACGATCCCGACAGTCCCCAAGTTTCCGTTCTCGTCGCCCATCACAGAGGAAATCGCGAGCCCTACCTCGTCGTCTTCGGAGGAACGAGAGATGGAACGGAATCGGCCGTTCGAGTTCCTCGTTAAGATGTCGACGCGGAATGCCCCCGTACACAAGGCCGTTCCTTCTGGACGGAGTCGAGAGGTTGAGCGCGAGGTCTCGTATACTGCCGAGGAACGAGGAGGAAGCAGCACCAGCAGTTTGAGCTCGTTTACGGCGCGAAAGAACCTGGAGCGGCCCGTGGGGTTGAATCTGGATATCCCCAATTCGACATCTCAGCCGAGGAATGAGGGGACGGGTGCGTTTGTGGACTTGAATGATCTCAAGGTGCTGTCGAGGGTGCGGGAGGACGAGAGGACTGCACAGAAGGTCAAGGGGATTCTGAAGAAGGGCGAGACGCGAGGGTTCCAGAGACTACCAGATGACTCTTCAGAGTCCATATCACGCAAAAAGAGAGCCTCGCTGCTTGATCCGCTCCCCAATAGCCCCAAGAAACGAAGCAGAGACGACGGAGTCTCGCCAACAGACCGTCCGATTGTCATCGGCTACTCTGTCCCCTTCGACTCGCCCGAATTCCAAGACGAGAGATCAAAGGAGCTTGACAGTGCAGGTACACTGCAGACTCCGCTCACCCCTTCTATAATGGTTACCCCCGCGAAAGAAGACAGCTTCTGGCTGCACCTAAGCCCAGAACACACTCGACCCCGAGCGACATCGAGCGTCTATTCCCAGCCCTCCCCATACCTTGGATATGTACAATCCAATGTACCCCCGGTCCCAGCCCTTCCCGCGCTGTATTCTACTGGGACCGAGGGTAAGACCTCCGAGTCGCGCATTGACTCGGTTCGAAAACGACGTTCATTCTCCACCGGTGCGTTGAATGAGAAAGAAATCTATGAGGACAACGCCCTGCCGGCAGGGCGTTTTCGGTCTCACTCGAATGAAAAGATTCTCAACCGGCCTTCTGACAGACTGACTATCAACACGACACTGAATGCACGCGCTTCGACTGGGTGGTGGAATTACATTTTATCCCCTCTGCTCAGTCGCACGAGCACACTACTCAGTCGTATGACGCCTACGACGGAAACCAGACCCCCTCTTCCCGCCATCGCAACGCACTCAGCTGGCTTGAGTAGCAACGACGAATGGTGGGAAGAAAAGGAGAGATCGTACTTCTCCCCCGATACACCAGAAGCAACAGAAGCTGCTCGCAGGCTTTCCAGCTGGCATAATGCGAACAGTGCCAACCCATTCGCCGACTTCGATTGGAGTATCGAGGAGCATGCACCGGGTAGCAGCATTAGCCCCAAGGACAAAGATATCAAGGACAGAGGAGTCGCCTCGATGATGTTCTCAGGACAGCGAATCGAGGGCGCGGCGGCGGAGTACTACCAAGCGTGCGCACACGAACTCTTCAGCAGAACACCGTACTTTGAATGCATCAACCACGTCTGCTCGATTACCCCGAAGGACAAGATACCCGCCGCGGCCGCCGTCGCTACTACTAGTCCAACATTACAGAGTACACACGGGGACAGCAGGGGGCTTCTCATCGATATCGATGTCGACGACATGCCCCGATCCCGATCCAGTGATCTTGACTCGCCGAAATCAGGAATCACGTCAATAAACTCGAGTCCGTCGGATGATGCGAGCGTGCGTATGTCCAGGGAGCTGAGAAGGTCATCATTCAAAAGCTCAAGGGCAGAACTTAACGAAAGGATTTCTAGAACCCTGACCTCGAAGATCGGCTCGCCTGGCCTTGTGTCTGAGAGCCCTTCTGTGGCGATTGACTCGTCAGCGCCGCAGAACGAAGGCCAGTCCACAAATCCGTTTCTGCAAGAATCGAGGGAAGTTCCCTCATCTGCTCCTACGCCTACGCCTGCTCCTGCGGATACAACTCACCAACCCCAACCGCCCGCAGCTTGTCCTCCTGCGAATATCCATATCGAGAGTGCACCCGCTCCGCCGCCAGCGAATATCCATATCCAGGCTCCGGCTGCTCAGCCGGCTCCGAATATCTATTTTCAACCACCTGCACCTGCTGCGCCTGCAGCACCTCCAGCTCCTGAAAACACGAATCCCTTTGAAGTACCAGCGCCAGTACCACTACCAGAACCGGCGCCCTTGTCTCGTGCCGCTCCAATCATGCCCGAAGCACCTACGGCCGCACCCGCACCAGCCGCTCGTGCAGCTCCACCTCCCATCGCAATGCCCTCTGTCGACCAGATCCCGCCTCCAAGTTATGGCGTACAGCCACCTTCACCGTACCCACGGTCTCCGGAAAGTCTGCAAGAAAGCGGCGGGATACGACTTACCAATATGCCTGCTGGACCGGCGCCTGCCTATACACCGCGCGAGAATGTCGGATTACCGGCTAGTCCAAGGCCTGTACGGACTTCGCAAGCAACCAGGACGCAGTCCGTGACTGATGGAGGGAGGACAGGGAGTCGTCGCATGGGATCCGGTGCCCTGTTCACGAACGAAGATACAGCACACCTCGTGACCGAACGACAGAGAATGGAGAGCCGACAGATGGAATACACAAGGGAAGAGACAACCACCACAAAGACCAGAAAAGCTGGCGGGTTGGCACGAGTAAAAGCCCTCCTCACTGGCAAATCATGCCTAGGCCGCAAGAAGAACAGCGAAGGTAATAAAGGCAAAGACAAGCGCAAGTTGAAGAAGCGCTGGTGGCTCCTCATCTGCCTACTCTTCCTCTCAATCGTCATTGGCGCCGTCCTCCTCGCAATCTTCCTAACGCGAAAAGGTGACAACACGCCCGTGGAATCCCAATGGTTAAACCTGACCGGCTACCCGCCAATGCCAACAGGAATCTCGACCATCGCCGGCCCCGAAGCCCGCGAGCAGGAATCGGGATGCATCAATCCCTCGTCCATGTGGAGCTGTGCGCTCCCGAAGGAGCAACAGGCCGCTAACGAGCCCTATGCTGCGAACCAGCCTAACTTCCGTGTCGAGATTCGCTTCCAGAATGGGAGCTACGATCACAGCACGGCAATCGCATCGCGGTCTTTACACTCGCAGATGCTCGCACGGAGCGCAAACCAGCTCTTTAACCCTAGCCCCTCACCACCGTCAAGTGCCGACCAGACCTTTCTTGGCCGAACCACAGACGGGAACTCGGAACCCTACGCAGGCGAGGAGACACCATTCTACATCACCCTCCTAACAACCGAGCACCTCTCCTCCCAATTCACCAAGCGCCAGCGCAACAACTCGACTAGCTCAAGCAACGACACCGACACGCAAGCCGACCCTTTCCCCGACGTCGGCTCCCTAATCCCCTCACCAGCAACAGACTCTGACGGCTCCGCGGCCGCCGCAGTCCTCTACCCGCACCCCTCATCGCAGCCCGTCCGCCTCTATAACCGTGACAAGGACAACGAGCACTACGGGTTCTACACGTACTTTGACAAGTCCATCTTCCTCGCCTCTCATACCCCGCTCACAGGGAGGAAGGACAATGTCGCAAACGACACGGACGGGGGCTCGACGAGAGAGGACGCTCGCGTGCGGTGTACTTGGTCACAGACACGCTTCCTCGTACAGATCTGGACAAAGGGGGAGAAGACCGGCAAATCGCTCTTCAATCGAGCCGCGGCGAATTCTACCTCTGACTCCGATTCAGACTCCGACTCCAGCGAAACCTCAGCCGCCGTATCGTCAGCAACAGACTTTACCCGCCCCGGCTCCTTCCCGTACCCCGTGACAATCACAATTGACCGACACGGCGGGCAGACGACGCGGAAAATGGTCTATTGCTACGGAATGGAAGAGGATACGCATGTCAACGGGACCGAGAAGAAATTCCAGATTGAGGACCGGGCTGTTAATGGGGAACTCATCAATCCTGCACCGGGGATCTTCAATCTCACGAGTCCAGACTCCGGGAATGAAGAGGGAGGGAATGAGGGCGGGTATGATGGGGGGACTGGCGGGTGTGGATGTCAGTGGGTTAATTGGGTTGGGAGTGATTGATTCGGAGGAGTTGGGTCTGGTTCTCACAAGAATCCTGAAGGAAGAATAGCGGGGGATGGTTTGGCATGGCCTGGTTGTTGCGTTGCATTGCAGATTGAATCGGACCTTGATGTTAGCATAGAGACGATCGGATTATGATCTGAGTGAGGTGTGTTGATAGATGAATTAGACTAAACAAACAAGCTCCATCTAATTACTGGTGTCACAAGCTCCTGTCCGTCTAATACTATCCAAGGCTACTATCCGAAAAGTAATCCTTGAAGCAGATCCACTGAAAGGCATGATAAATCCAAGTAAACCAAAATCATCTCCGCCCTCAAAGCTTCGCCTTCCCCTTCTCGTTCTTCTCCCATTCTTCCACCCTTTTAACCGCTTCTTTCTCCAACACCCCCTTCCCCTCTTCAATAGATTCCCTCCACTCCAGATTCTGCTTATGCCCATCCAACCCCCCAAGAACCGTCCTATACATCTCCTCCTTCATAATCCCGTAAATCCCAGTAGCCGCCTTCCCAACCAACTGCCTCTCCGCAATAAACCCAAACACCTCTTCAGCCCCTCCAAGGCCATCAACAATCCCCTTTTGCAGAGCGTCACTACCGCCAACGCGGGGCCCTTCGAGGACAATATCGCGGAATGTCGTGGGAGACAGCTTCGCGCGGAAAATGTCCATCATGGGCGTTTGGAGCGGGACACCAAGATCGATCTCGTTCAGACAGAGGAAGCCACGCTTTGGATTCATTATTCGGTAGTCGTGGTACATGGCGAGCATGAAGCCGCCCGCAAAGGCGTGCCCGTTTAGGTGGGCGATTGTGGGCATGGGGTATCTATCTCGTCGTCAGTATCATCTATTTCTCTCTTCGTTTATCTCCACACATCCACCAAAAGGGAGAAAAAAAAAAAAAGAAGGGAAAGGAAGGAAGGGGAGAAATACGTAACAAGCCTCCGGAAAAGCACCCAAAGCCATCTCTCCATGAACCCCTCTGTCTGCGCCACAACCTCCAAATCAAGTCCATTACTATAAAACTTGCCAATACCCGACGTGGAGATGACGACACCCCTTGGGTACCGGTGCTCTAGGATATCGAGCGCGAGCAGGAATGTCGAGATGAAAGAGGGCGTTAGCCGGTTGTCCGGAGGCGAAGTGAAGGTTAGTATGTAGATTTTGGACACGTCGGTTTCAGGGGAGCCTTGTAGGCTTGGTGTATCGGCGCCTGGCGTTGTGCATGTTATGTTTCCAGTCCCGTTTGTGTTGGGAATGGGGAGGGTGAAGAGGGTTGACATTTTTGGTAAGTGGTGGTGTATGAAGGTTGGTCAGGTTGGATGGGGCTCTATGCTGAGGGTGGGAAAGAGAAGATTTGGGGTATAAACCGGCTTATTTATACGTGGATTCAGAAGTATATCCACTCTTGATGTTTTGTCAAATCCCACGTGGATATCTTGAGGAAAGTTTAGTAGAAAGAGGTTGTGATTAGAAGATCGAAATCGAGAACGGAAATGCCGAGGTTCAGGATAATCTCATGATGACATGCTTCAACTGACCAGGCTGGGCGACTTCTTATTCTTGACGAACACGAGAGATTTGGCTCGTCGCTCACACGGCTTACGTCCATTTCCAGTAACTTTTATCGAAGCATATTAAGGTGAGATTTTGGTGTCTGCGTTGGCATTCAAGGCAGCTGTGCGAGAAACGCGCCACTCACCTATACTCACAGAGGTATCTATCTATTTTATGTAAACCCTGCGAACTAATATATCTATCCAGAAGAACCGAGTTTTTTTTTTCCCTTTCCTTTCTATATCCAAGCCATTCTTGATAAAACAGTTATGCTTTCTTCTTCGCAAAAAGGTCCTTGCTCGATTTCCAAATCCCCTTCGCCCCCTTTGCAATCTCATACCTCCCATCATAAAGCGGATAAATCACAACGGCAAAGAATGCGAAAAACTGCCACACGATCGAAACACTCACCCACCCGGAGAAGAAGGACTTGGTGAAGATATAATCACGATACAGCGGCATTGGCCACAGAACAAATGTGACAAGGACGAGGACGACAAAGATAGCCCATGCGATCTTCATCCACCGGTTCAGCTCCTTGAGCGTTTCCTCGCTGAAGGGATGTCGGATGTCGTCAAGGGAAAGCTGGGTTGGGGAAGTCCGGAGGCGAGTGGAGACGGAGACCGATTTCTCGTTCGCTTGCGCGGCGGTGCGCTCGGGGTCGGCGTTGGATTCGGTTGTGTCAGGCTTGGGTGTCTCGGTGCCTTGTTGGTTCTTTGTTTCCGTGCTCGCGAGGGACGGTGTGTCGGAGGCGTGAAGCTGGGCTTCGTCGGCGAGTTCAATGCGAAGGAACTCGCGCCAGTCGAATTTGTAGGGCTTGTAGAGAGAGATTACAACGGAATATAAGGCGGGCGAAAAGAATGAGCCGATGGCCCCGTAGAGCGCTGGTAGACCTGCGCCCGTTGTTGTCATGGTGACTTCACCGTAGAGCGCATGGGCAGTGCCGAGCCAGATGGCGAGGCCAGTGAAGAAGCCTAGGACCGGGGAGAGGATCGCTGCTAGTTTTGTCTGTCCGTCCCAGAAAAGAGTGAGACCGAGCGGAATGATACCCGGGCAGGAGAGGATGGGGCGGAAGTAGCCAATCCAGGTCATGTTGGCCCCTCCGTAGTTGAGGGCGATCGAGATGCCGGTGATGAAGATGGCGTGGAAGACGACGGTGATATGGCTTGCGTGCAGAAGCTTCTTGTCGGTAGCCTTGGGGTTGAAGTATGTCTTGTAGAGGTCGAATGAGAGGATGCTGCTGACGGCAATCATGGAAGACGAGACCGTACTAGTAAGGGCCATGAATAGAAGCACGAAGAATGCGACAATCCCAGAGTCTCCGATCAGGGCCTTGACAAGGTACGGCATGACAAGGCCAGCCTCCACCTCAGCTTCAGTAATGTCTGCAGGGAAGGTAGGGAAGATGGCTGTGCGATGGAGAGCCCTAGCTGACAATCCGATGACCGTTCCTAAGCCCCATGGGATGCCAAAGACAGCGACCGCGGCGAGATTGTATGCGGGCACGGTAGAGTTGACTTCACTAGCAAAGGACTTTTGCCAGAAAGCAGTATCCTGCATCTGTTAGCTTTGAACCAAGCGCTTATGATAGAAGACTCACCATGACCACGAGGGCGAGGTTTCCGAACTTCAAGATCAACCCCCAAATGATGGCTTCCTTGGATTTCATAGTTAGCAATGATCCCTCATAGTTACCGGAGATGTAATTCTCGCTGGCTGTAGCCACGACCTTGTCGTAGAGGCCGCTTAGTCCACCGACGGCGTCATGGGTCAATATCGACAACGTAAAGAAGATGATGAGGATTAAGGCCACAGCAGTGTGTAGGAAGTCAGTTAGGAAGGTGGCTTTGAGTCCTCCGACCGCAGTGTACAAGACCACTAGATCCCATCAGCATTATCTTCGACCTTGTCAAGAAAGCTAACATACCTCCCAATGGAATCAAAATAGTGGCAGCAACAAAGTGCATACCAGAAATCCCATATACTAGCTGAGAGCCAACAAGGATCATTGAAGCACAGCCGAAGACATTGTTCGTCAGGTTCAAAACAATAAAGACCAAATGTCCCACTGTGCCGTATCGCATTTTGATGATCTCCAGAGACGTATGCGCGTAAGGTACACGAATCTTGGCCATGACTCCGAGAGCAGCCATTAGGGCAATCTGAAAGCAGAGACCGGATCCCCACCACTATGTCTGTTAGCTAGGCCTGGTGTTGTATGAAGACGGACTGACCAAAGGAACTGCTAATCCGTATCTATAGCACATGGCGGCCGACAGCACCGTCTCGTTGATCCACATCCAGGAAGAAAAGACCGCCGATGCTGTTAACCCTGTTCCGACTGATCTGTTTGCGACCATGAACATCTCCGAGGTTGCAGAATCCTCAGACAAATAAGCCTTCTGGACCTTGATGGCAATCAGAATGACACCGCAGAAAAGGACGCCTAAACCAATAAGCAGGCCATAGGCAGTCCCCTGGGGTACCAAGTCGATCCCATGAATCCCAATCTGTGCCTGAGACATGGTATCGTGTAGAGGAGGGTATCAGTCAAGGGAACAAGATAAAGACTGGCGGGCAGTTAGAGACCTCACCCCTGGACCAAGACCACAGAGGATCTGCCCAACTTTATGTTGGAGCCGACTCATGGCTTGTTGATCCAGTTTCTCGCCATCCTGATGCAATCCTAAACCCAGATGCTAGTAGTTTGGAGCTGTCACGCAGTATGATATTGATATCGCGTTATGCGTCTACCGGCCGAGAAACAGGTGCGATACTGGAAAAAACGGAATAGGCCAAGTTCAATTCGCTAATATATCGTCCAGTGTGGGTACGCAGTTGTGGATATTTGTATGAGATTGGCTGCTGGGGAAGAGTATCGGGGTGAGCAATGGAGGAATGGGATGGCGTGCCAGGATTGCACTATGGCGACCACAGGAACAAACCCACGACGGCAAAAGGCCCCTCGACAAAGATTAGCTTTGGAGATTCGAGTTAAATGAAATAAGACCTAAAATTTGAATATGAAGAAAGCTCACTGGATCTTCATCGATCGTGGTCCCTGCGGCTAGCTGGGAAGTCCATTCGCTTTCCCCATGTGTTAATGACAATGTATGCAGGTCGCTGATGGCGAAATTCGAGAGCCAAGCTTGAGGCAGCAATACCAAGCTTGACCAAGAGTGCAATCAAGAAAATAGTCCCCAGTGTCCAGGAAGCTTCACAGAGTCAAGAATTCTCAGGAACTTGGCTCTATGAATATCCATGCGAGTGTCGGTATCAGGTCACAGAACTGACAATAATCAATCACTGAACTTGTTTTTGCCTGTTCAATATCCAAAGGTGAGTAATTTGGGAATGAATCAGGAATTTAGAAGTTGTCATAGAGGTTGTTTGCTGTTCAATGACGATGTTATATCACCTGAGAGCCAATTCTAAAACAAACTCACCTTGCCAACCTTCACCTCTACAAAACTCAACACGAGGAGCAACACCATCAACCCTGACTGCTACTTTCTCCCCTCTACTCAGAAAATCTCACACTTTAGGCTTGACGCTATTTAAGGTACATCTCTGCAAAGTTTGCCAGACCTTCAAGCTTCCTTGGATACAATCCGAAGACCACAGATCTAAAGGCGATCGCCAACAATTCGTTCGCATCAAGTATGAACGGACTAGGACATGAAAGTCGTGATGATCTGCTGTGAACCCATGTGGACCTGAATTGATGTGATCTCACAGCAGTGCCGAAGATAGTCTGCTTGTCGAATTTTCGAGGCAACAAGCACCCGAGTCAGTCACGCAATGCGATCGAGAGCAGACAACGAGGATTTGGAGACGGAGAATCTAATACAAATCTATGAGCAATAATTGCTATATCTGACTTGACCACGCCACTATGATCAGGTCAAGCGCAGCATATTCGATGAAACACAGATGTCGACCGAGATAGCGAATGTTGCCAGAAACTTATTGGCAGAAATCATCGATGCTCAGTAACAAAATGTCGCTTATGAATGGCGTATACTGGGCTAAATTAAGCTTATTTCTAGTACCACTCTGGGGTACAACAGCCCGTCAGACAGCCACTCCAAGCCTATCGCTGACTAGCGGCCAACAAGTAGGGATGTATCTGGATACTTTGTCAAAACGATGTCAAAGTCGCAAAGGGATTAAGATCTCTGAGCGTGAAAACAGCTACAATTTGACTTATTCTTGAAGGCGATGCATGCCCAGCGACCAGCAGCAAAATGTCTCCGAAATGTCTCCGTCTTACACGCGCCAGCAAAGACAAGCAAGGGAAGCAAGCATAAATGGCCATGACGACGGGACCACATTGCACCTATATCCTACTGCTGATGTATTCTCATCAAAATGGCAAGCATCGCGTTTCCCCATCTCGCACGGCGCCATATCCTTTCAACAACACATACCTACAGCTACGCCTACCACCCGCCATCCACACCCTCCCTACCTACACTCCTCTTCCTACACGGATTTCCTTCATCATGCTACGACTGGCGTCACCAGATCCAGTTCTTCTCTCGCCAAGGTTACGGAGTGCTCGCCCCAGATCTACTAGGGTACGGGGGCACGTCTAAGCCCACCGATATCAACGAGTACAAGAGCAAGAAAATGGCTGCTGAAATCATCGAGCTTTTGGACCATGAGTCCATCAACAAAGTACACGCCGTCGGCCACGATACAGGATGTACGCTTCTCTCCCGACTGGCGGACTACTTCCCGAGCCGTCTACTGTCGTGCTCGTTCCTGGATGTGCCCTACTCGAAGCCAGGACAGGCCTTTGCTCTTGCCATGGTCAATTCCATGACGAAGCAGTTTCTAGGGTTTGAAAGATTTGGCTATATTGGGTTCTTTGTCAGGGATGATGCGGGTCGTGTCCTTGATCAGCATGTAGGGTTTGCGCTTTTCTTGTTTGTGACAAATTTGGTTTGTTTCTAACCTCTGCAGTCTGAATCATTCTTCACTCTATTCTACCCTGAAGACCCCGACCTCTGGATTGACCACGTCGGCCCGACAGGCGCGATAGAGGACTGGCTTGTTCAAGATAAGAAAGCCCCATTTGCGCCATATATTAGCGAAACTGTAAGAATCACATCCTACCAATCACGAAAACAAACAATCTAACAACCCTAGGAACGAGACATCCACCAGCAGATACTGCGAAACAGTCACAGCTCAGCCCTCAAGTGGTATAACGCGTTAGTCGAAAACATCAACGCGGAAGATGAGAGAGCCATCAACCCGGAGCTTGCAATGCCGGTCCTAATGATATGCCCTCAGCCTACGAGGCTCGAATTACCGGGGGTCGAGGAACAAATGAGGCAGGTTGCTTCCAATCTGACTTTTGGAAGAGTTAGCACAGCGGGACACTGGATGCAGCTCGAGGCACCAGACGAAATCAACGAGGCCTTGAAGGCGTTCTTCGAGGAAAATAAGTAGGTAGTGAAAGCGACCTCGGATCGGCTATGCATTGCACGGTACCAGTTGTCGTATCTCTGGCAGAGACGCGGTCATCAAACCCTAAGACAAAACAAATATACCATGATGACAGATGAGAATGACCAAGCAATACGATACAAGATAGCAAAGAGATGATATGACTTCACTCCCCTCGATCCCCACGTTGATCCGCAGAGCCACGCCCCAGGGACCTGAAGTATAGGATTCCATGCTCTTGACGTCATGTCCACATCAGCATATAAAGTGTAGAGATACAACCAACCAATTCAGGAAACAACATTCTTTACAACTCTTATCCGAATAACAATCAATCAAACCTTCGAATAAACAAGATACCAACCTACTTCACCAAAATATCATACAAAAGCCACCAAGATGCAATCAACCTCGACCCAACAACCCCCACAACCCCCCAAAGAATCCGCCTACACCCAATCTAGCAACCCCGTAACACACAACCCCAAGGAACAACGCGAACAGCGCACCCAATCCTCAAACTACGGAAACCCCGTCTCCTCCATAACGCGGGGCGCAGGCTCGAAGCCTTCTACAAACTCCAGCATCCAAAGCCAGCGACACAATGACTCACTCAACGCCATGCGCCGCGAGGGCGACGTTGACCTAGACTACGGCGTTGAGCAGCAGCCGAATGAAGGTGCGATTGCAAACGCGGTTCAGGGCCAGTCGAGGCATAGAATTGAGGATGAGGCGCGTCAGGCGGGTGCGCATGCGGGACCTGTGGGGAGGGCGCAGGGACCTGGGGCCCCGGCGTTTGGGGAGGGGGTGACTACGTTGGAGAATTTGGATGAAAAAGGGGAGGAGCATAAAAGGATTCTTGGGGAGAGGGTTGGGAGGACGCCGCCTCTGGCCAGCGAGGAGGAGCGGTTGGAAGATGTGCGGGAGAGGAAGCTGAAGAAGGATAGGGAGTTGCATCCGACAGATGTGGTGGGAAAGGCGACGGGTGACCCGGTTGTTGGGAGGTAGACGGATGATAGAGGATTAAAGATATATTTTGTGCGTGATTTAATGGAATGTACTATTATACACGCTGTTGGTGATTGCTGAATGGTTTTGTGGACATAAATCGTATCAAGGTACACAGATGGGTATCAAAACAAATATTCGTGTAGAGAGTGATGGTTTAGCTGTCGGCGTCGTCGCCCTCGCCTATAGAGATCTTCTTGAGAGCGAGATCCTGCTTCAACTCGTGAATACGCTTCGCAAGCTTGCCCTTGAGGATATGATTCTTCTGTTGCTCCCACTTGACCGTTTCTGAGCGAATGAGTGCTTCCAGTTCCACAATCTCCTCACGGTGCTGTTGGATCTGCCGCTGTTGCTCGAGCTGTTCATCGTCGAGTTCATCTTCTGGCGTGCTTTCATCTCCGTTCGATGCATCGCTTTCGTCACCCGATGTGTCAGGGCCAGCATCTGCCGCTGGTGTTGAGGGCTTGGTTGCTATCGGTGTACCGGCTTGGTATACACCGCTATCAGGAGCTTCTTCGACCACGTCAAGGGTTGCACCATCCGCCCCTGCTGCTAGAGCGGCCTCCATCTCAGCAGCGAGGGTGTCTTCAAAGTCTTCAAACATGCCGTCGACCTCCTCCATGGCTTCGTCAACTTCTCCTTCCGCATCCTGCTCATCATCATATTCGTCGTATTCATCGTAGTCGCCGCTTTGCACATATCCTTCAGCACGATCAAACGTTGTCTTGTCGATCAGCTCGAATCGCGGAGGTCCAATGGACGCCTCATCCTGGGCTATCAAGTCTTCGACTGCTTTCTCGACCTGCTCAATCGTGCGGGTGCTGATGCGATCCCGGAAGCGGCGTTTTCTGACCCATCTAAGAGGCGGCGCTAAGCCATGCGGATATTGCAGAGTTTTGTCGTCCAGAGTTTGAACTTCAGCAGGGAGAGGATAATCCATAGCCTCAGCCTCGGTAGCAATAGGTCCTAGAACCAGGAGCATCTGGCAGATATCTGCTGACTTGTACCATCCTCGCCTGTCCCAACTCTTCATGCCTTCAATGATACATGGCAAATCCACCAACGCAGCGGCATACTGCTTGTCCCTTATCTTGAGGACAGCCCTCCGGCCTTCGCGTGTAAGTGGCTTGAATGAAAATTCGGATCGGTCAAATCGACGTTCGGCTATCGCACGCTGAAGGTATTCGCAGTCTTCTCCTGGCAGCATGCGTAGAATGAACTGTTCTTCGATCGCAGGGTCGATTTCGGTGTCCGATGCTTCCGAGTCATAGCCAACGCCAACCGGTCTGTTCGGCACAAGTCCCTTGTTCTTGATTCGGATGGACTGCAGTCCGGGCTTCTTGGATGGATTAAGCTTTAGTCGTTTAGGACCGGCCGCTGGTTGTGCTGCGCTCGCAGCTGAAGGTTCCTCCGGGACGGCTTCATCTGCGGGTCTCTTTTTCTTCTTGATGGTGATCTTTGGCTTTTTTGGCTTTTCTTGCTTCACTTGTGGTTCTTCTTCAGTGGGCTTTCGCGCGATTTTCAGGGTGAGTTTGCGTTGCAGTGGTGGAGGTTGATCTGCTGGGGGAGCCGGAGCTGGCTGAGGTTGCGGCGGTTCAGGCGCCTTTTTCTTCGAGAAGGTGAGTTTCAAGGTCGGTCGCGGCGTTTCGGACATTTTGCCGGTAGCGGCTATGTGTAGCCGCTGATGCGATGATATGAAGTTCAAGCAGTGTTGTGTTAAGAGGAAGATCGGATGGGAAGAGTAGAGGAAAGTACGCAAGGCGGCAGAAGAACCGAAGTTGTTGGAGCTCTCGTCCGCCTTCCTCTTGAACTTAAATCCATCAACACAACCACAGACTCACTTTCTTCTCTCCTTCTCTAGCGTTTTTCTTTCAGTCTTCACTGAAGACTCACTTACCCACTGGCAACATATTCTTTCAAGTCTGCTGCGGGTCGCTCACCATGTCCGGCCCGAACCTTCACAACGCTCTCCTCCGACCACCGATTATCCAGATTTTACGCGCAACAGGGTTTCATTCTACGCGTCCATCCGTCCTCGATACAATCGCCGACCTTACCGCTCGATACATAATGCTACTGGCATCTTCCACATCCGAACATGCCGCGAACGCCCACCCACACGATCCCGTACCCGTTCTAGAAGACGTTTATCAAGCGCTACAAGACGCCGGCGCATTGCGACCCCAACTACGAGAATGGGAAGAATGGTGGCAGGGGGAGGAAGATCTGCGAGGACTAGAGGGGTTTCTATCGTGGTTTGCGGGTCCGGCGAATCGCGAGATACGACGAGTCGCTGGTTTTGTTCCTAGTGAGGGCGATGTGGTCGATGCCGACTCTCTCGAGAAAGAGGACTATCTCACGGCATTGAAGAAGAAACACAGCAAAACGGGGGAGGAGTCTCGGTATGCTGGGACGGTCCTGGGGAAGAATGCCGAAGATCATCCGATAGTCATTGAAGGCGGTGCTGCAACGATTCAGGAATGGAGCTCTCAGATGCGGTCGCGAGCGCCATACATGGCTGATAGCGACTCGTCCGGTGTCAGCAGTGCTCCGAGCAATCTTTCTGATACCGAAGGCATGGAGGTGTGAGGATGAAGAAGTGTGTTGCAATTGCCTCATGTTGAGCATGAGAGCCCTTATTTTTTCAAACTACTCGCGACTACAGCTCCTAATGACCCGGAGAGGAGGCAGAATACGTGACGCTTATTGAAGATCATCCGAAATATCTTTCTAAACACCAAGGCGGCGAACTCACGGCGTGGCCGTTCAGACCGGGGACTCCGATGGCTTGACGGCAACACGCCTCGAACACGCAGTCACAACACATGTATGACAGAGCCCACCCTTGAGTGGAATTTTCCAACGAAGAGCTACGTACCTCGATTGATGGCAACAGACTGGAGGAGATGACCGGCTGTCTCTGGGGAAGATGGAATTGAAGGCGATGGTGAGCGTATTGTCAGGCTACAGAGACCCACCCGAAGCAAACACTCTGTATGTACATTTACAATTTAGCATATAAGCGAATCTAATGGATGATTGATGGCGTTGCTGCTTGGCTGCGGCCTGGCGGTGACATCAACCGCAACTACGCCCAACGTAACCAAAACTTCCCCTCCACACCACTTCAATCCATCGCCATGGTATATGCATTCGACCTGCCGACGACCTCACACCTCTCTTTTCAGAGCTATTTATCGTCTCGCACGCATCCCTCCCTCCCGCAGTCCGCAACCACTGCCCGACATGCCTTCCGCCTCGCGCTCAAAGCCCACAGCCGCCTACCCCGCGGCCCGCAGCGCGACTCTCACCTGAACTCCGTTCTCTCCGCACTCAACGACTACCTGCCATACCTTGTCGCAATCGCCCAAGGCCTCAATGGCAGGCCAATCGACACCACAGCAGCCCCCTCCGTTCCTTCAGCTGAAGAAGTCGAAGTAAGCCCGCGCGCTGAAATCGAGCCCGAATGGCGAGCAACACTCGCATCGAGCTCTATCTCCCTCAAGTCTTCTCGACCGACAAAATCCGGCCGCACGCGCGGACCCGGCATACAATATGAATTAGCCTTCACTCTTACAACATTGGGCTACGTCCTCAGTTCTTTAGCCCGGTCAGGCGTCACCCGCACCCTCTACGCATCCTCAACCCCCACCACAGAGCAACGTACAGCAGCCGTCCAAAACGCAGCCAAGAACCTCCTACAGGCAGCTTCCATACACACGCTTCTCTCCTCATCTCCCTACTTTACAAATGGCTTGGAAGCTTGCGTTGCGCCGGAGTTAGCCCCCGCGTCGCAAGTGGCGCTGTCATCCCTCGCACTGGCCGAAGCAACCCTCCTCGCAGTGTTAAAGGACGATTCATACGTTGTGGCATGTATACAAGCGCGCAATCCCAATGATAAAGACTGGATGGTGCGGGCGCCAGAGATCCCCAAGGTCCGCGCGCATGCCTTTGCGCGCTTGTGTATTCGCGCCGCGGAGTATGCCGACCAGGCAAATACCGGGCTCGGCTCGGTGGGTGCGGGGGGCAAACGTGCTGGGATTGACGAGGATTTCGTCTCGTATACGCGTGTGCTTGGTCTCGTTGCGCGGGCGCGTGCATGTCGATTTTTCGGGATCGATGCTGAGCTCGCCGGGAAGATTGGAGATGGGATTGCGTGGCTTCGCGCGGCGAAGGCGGCTCTCGGACTACGAGGTAGTGGCTCCGGGGAGAAAGAGACCGCTACGAAAAGCCGGGGTTTGTCGAAGCTGAAGCAGGGATTTAGGGAGCGGCTTGAAGAGCGTCGCATGGAGAAAGGTGCGGGGGGTGAGCGGGTAGAGAAGGGCGAGTTCGGGCCTGGGGATAACGCCGGCCGAGAGGAGGAGGGAAGAGTCGTCGAAATGCTGGAAACGAAGTGGGTACGGATGAATGATACTGTAAGTTTACCTACCCATGCAGCTGCACTATCACCATGCATTTCCCCGCTCACAACGCTAGATCAACACACAATTGATTCCATCCTCGGCGGACTACCTCGCCAACCTGCCCTCCGGTCGAGATATCTATCCCGCGCCTGCTGCGTTCAAGCTGCCGTCCTTGGATGAGGAGCATCTTTCCCGAATGCGTGCTCCGCCTACGGAGCTTGATTTGCCTGAGCTTGAGGGTGAAGATAGTGATGTGGAGAGTCCAGATGCACTGGACACTCGGGCTCTTACACCTGGCGCGTTTCCTGACAGGCCTGATAGTACATATTATTGATACCCGACATATATCCCATGAACTACTTTGAATCATAGTAGTCAATGTTGAATACAATGTGATATTTTCTCTGTGGGTAGATAGATCGCAAGACTAAGTTGGATAGCAAAACCACCGAGCAAAATCAAGCTCCAACGACCCCAATGCCGAACTACCAATCATACCAGCGAAGACATAAGACGGAAATAGTACATTGATGTACATGATAAGTTCAGTTCAAGCTAAATCACAAATGCCATTCGATAACCCACACACAGGCCGGCCGGCGCAGACAGACAGACCGTATAATATAAAAGAAACACATGATATAAGAATCTACCCCCTTCAAACATCGAGTTTATTCAAGCTCAAGCTCCTATCCCCCGAAATCCTTCCAACACAGCGAAAACCTGGCATCCACTTATGTTGACTTGGACGCAAAGTAGTTCTTCTCCTCGAACAGGTAGCCCTTGATCTTGCGCTCGCTCAGCAGTTCAAAGTACTTCTCTGTAAAATTGACACGATTAGCCTCAATTCCAGCTCCAATGCCAATTACACCTCTCTCAATTCCCTCGTTCCTTCATCCCAACACCCACAGAATCAAAATCAATCAAGAAAACTCACCCCTCAACTTCCCACACTTCTCCAAATGATTGACGCCCTCACGCGCATAGCACTTCCCCAGCTCCTCACCAACAAGTCTAGACATCATTGAGCGCACCCATTGCTCGCGGATGATGGCGTCACGAGCGTTGTGGACGGCGACGCTGTCTTCGAAGTCGACGCCCTCGTAGGTTGGCGGGACGGTGGGTTTCTTCGCGAGGAAGGAGGCGGACTCGGGGGTTGGCATTGTGATTTCGATTTGAGGGAAGGAGGAGGTAGGTAGGTAGGTAGGTAGGTGGTAGGCGGGCAATTCGAGAAGGAGGGTATGCGAGTCGGAGCTTAGATTGGATTCCGTTGAATGAAGGCTTCCTCGCTCGGGCTTCTGCCGGATGAGGAGGTGTAATGCAATTGGACGGCTGTGATTGGGTGAATTATTGGCGGTCAGAATAGGTGGATGGTCCAGTGTTGAGGACATGACACGTGACTCTATAGATGGTATGTACGAGAGATGACTCCATCGTTTATTTTTACTTTTTAATGCGTCGTGATGAACTGGATAAATATAATTAAGTATGTGAATGCTATGCTCATATCTATATCGTATACAGTAAATGTATCAAGTAAAGTCTAAACCCCAACTCCATGCCGAGTGAAACAGCTAAAACATGTGGCCGTGTGCTGATAATGTAAAACAAGCTAACACAAATTAGAATCGGAGAAGCGCATTACTCCTTCGGCGACTCAGCAGGGTATCCAGCACCCTCGCTGCCTCCAAAGGTTGCGGAGTACATGTCTTCAAAGGCGTCCTTTATGCGCGCCCAGAGACCGCGGTTCAGCCACGCGCTGTACTCCCGATACTGGTACATCTCGTCCCAGCAGTCACGGCCGAAGCCGCAGCCGGCCATGTTGACTAGGAAATCCCTTCCGCCTTCCATGTAGTGGACTTTTGGATCCATTTCGTCGCCGCATGCTCCTGGTGGGAACGAGTTGATGTAGCGCTGCGGGACAAAGGCGACGCTGTTACGGATCCATGGGTGAGAGGCGTATAGGTATTCAAGGGCGTCTTGCTCCTTGTGTTCCCATTGCATGTGCCTTTGCTCATACATGAGCGGGTCCCACCAGATATCGAGTAACCGCTCAGACCAGAGAGATCGGCGGACGAAGAACGAGCCGAGGTTGAATCCTCCGCAGTCCTGAGAAAGCAGGAAGTGGATTGAGGAAGGGTCGTTGTCCCCAGCAGCTGAGCGGGAAAGTTCGTCGAGGTACAGCTGGACTGGAGGGTGAGTGATGTTCAAGGGATTGTACTCGTTTATATCACGGTACGTGATCTCGCCTAAACGGCTAAGTAGGTGGCTCTGGAGAGAGTATGATGGCTCCATAATGAAGGTGTTGAGGTCAAGCCACCAGAACCTGTAGCGGCGTTAGCACTGCCTGTGAAGCATATTTCCTCTAGACATACCATTCTGCTTCGGGATATTTGCGCATAGTCTCGCGCAGAATGTCGACCTTCTCCCAGCCCTCGCGCCATTCGTGCGAATAGCGTTTCTTCGCAAGCATATTCACAACCTCCAACTGGTACCCCCATCTTTGCGCATAGTCCCGCTTGTTTGCGACACTGTTCCGCTCGATCGCCCATTCTCTCGCGCCTTTCAACTCCATAACTCCACCTTCAATATTCGACTCGAGTATAATCACAAACTTTCGCCCGCCTCCAAACGAAGACCGCCTGAAGACCTCGACGAGCGCTAGAAGAAACCCGCTGTTAGCATTGATCAAACAAACACACGAGATTTGGACGACATACTAGTCCAGAAGAAATAGTATGCCAAGAGAAGAAAAGCCAAGCCCAGTAGAAGCTGCGCCCTCCTGCGTCGCAAAACCGTCCTCCCAAACCACATCGAGCGCCAGCCCGGTCCTCGCCTATGTGTATTACCATCCTTCTCATTATATGCCCTCGGAGATCTGGCGCTACGGAAACGTGGAAGTGTTGCTGTAATCTGACGTTTGGATCGCGAAAAGAATCCGTTGTTCCTCGTCGAGAAGGAGGGGTAGCCGCGGACATCGTCGCTTTTCGCTTTGGCCGCAAGCCATGGATCGGAGGGACTTGGGGGGTATAAGCCGCCGTTAGGAGTCGTGGTACCGCTACCTGGGGTCAATCCGGGGCTGGACCACCCTGGGCGGGGAGAGGGTGATCGAGTCAAGGACATTGGCTGAGATTATAGAGACGGCGAGCTTCTGGCTATTACTATTCCCAGGTACGCCAAACCGTGTCGGAGAGACCGTCTATATCGAAGTTATGCGGAGATTGTAGGCCTCAAAGTCTAAGCGGCACCTGGGTCTGAGGCGATAATCGCAAAGCTCTAATTATTCGTTGCGCGAGCGCAATTGCGAGGGGACGTTATCTCTGGGGGGCGAGACGGCGCAAATCAAGGACGGGAGCGGAATACTGCGTAGTATTTAGGGAGACCAAATAAAGCGGCCATTTGGTGCCAGTCAAGGAGAAAAGTCAATGCGATCTGGTCGAGCCCAGCTCGGGCCGAGACAGAAGCGGGAGGTTGTTGAAGAATGAAGCCACGAAAGCTGAAGCCAGAGAAGATCATTCCCGGGGCCGCTTCGCCAGGGTCCTACGTAGCCCGCTGCTAGGCCCCAGGGTCTGGAACAAGGGGAGCTTGCCGCGAACGGGTGCGCCGTTTCCGTCCCTTGAAGGCTGGGGGATCCACGAGCGCTAGGGCCTAATTTCCGTGGATCAGATCCTGAAGGTTGTGCAATGAAACTTAATGGGAGGCCTTTTGCTATTTATGTGATAGATGAGCTTCTATACTGTCCTTCATCTTACTAGTACCTGGCCATTTCAAAGAGACAACGGATCCGCGACTTGGTTTCAGAAGGGGAGACTTGGGGTGCACGGGGTCAAGCTGAGACATTGCGTGGACCTTCAAGAGGAGCCAGTATCAGACCGGAAGCGAATGATCACTGCTAGTTCCGCGTTTTGTTCGTTTCAAGGAGACGTCTAAGGGTTCAGTTCGCAAGGTTGGGCTGAAGAACACAGCGCTATGTAAGTACTCCGTACAAGAGAGCACTCCGTTTTCGGCCACATGGTGGCCTAGGCAGAGTATGACTTCCACATTATTCTAGATGAGCCAGAGTAAAGATACATGTGTCGCTTTCCAAGTTTTCTCTCTCATCCACATCAAATCATTTTCGTTTGTCTCTCTGTTTTTCTTTTCTGCGTGTTTTCTCCTATTCGAGACGAGAACTCCAAAACGCAACACCAAGCAAGGGTTAGACAATGACATTCTTTTCAAGCCGTCGTATAAAGTCCAGATTTTGCTTGAAATCAACACCGCCCATAACCCAGTATACAAACACAGCATTAGACCTTTCCATGTGCCTTCTGCTGCACAGGCTGTTGGTTAGCCGCCGAATCTTTAGCCATCAGATGTCTGCGGACCGAGAACCCCTTTTCATGCTCTGGCCGCTCGCGCACGCTGTCTCCAATATAGAACTCGCATCTGAATTTGAGGAATGCATTGCGGCCGCGGTATATCGTGATGATGTCACCGGTATACAACTTGCCGTAATGAACACGCCCATCTGGCCCTTTGCGGAGCTCGATGTCGTTCACCCAAATGCACTTGCGCGTCTTCGTTGAGAGAACAGACATCAGCCCGGGTTCAGTCTTCCAGTCCTGTCCAGAAGCAATGCGCGTCTCGATTCCAGGTGTCCAAAAAGTCACTTCGAGGGCATAAGCTGGGACTCGAGCATCCAATGGGTCAGGATAACAGATACTCGCTAGAGGACCACGGCCCCAGGATGTCATTCGCTCCTTTAGGGGTAGGGTAAGGTCCAAGATTGACCCAGGAACCGTTCTTAATTTACCATACAGGGGTCGTGACTGGTCGGGTGAAATAAGCAGCCTGGGAATTACGACAGGCCCGCCAACTTGGCCAGGCTCAGCCCGCGGTTGGAATCCCAATCTCTCAGATTCGTCGGGTATCGGCAGACCGGTTTTGGCGTCCATGGTATGGGCAAGTTCGATGTCAAAGATCTCGCCTGCCGAGGTTGCGGATTCGCTGTCGAGGCCGGTTGTGCGCCGCGTAGCACTATCATCCGAGCTGGAACGTTCACTCGCAGTATCCGGGATTGGTAACTCGATCCGTCGGCTAAACTTGGCGGCCCTAGGCGTCGGGTCAGAGTCGAGTTGCCGAACCTGCTCCCGATCCTCATCGTCGCCGGCCGCGGCATCGTTACTGGGTCGATGGTTTGGTGCCTCGGTGGAGAGGAGAGGGCTGCTTGAAGTGCCAGGGTGCCACGAATTCATGTTGAGCTGCCGAACCAGGTTCTCAGCGCCCAGTAAGCTAAGTGCCGATCCAGTAACCGGGTTTTCCGGGAGGGACAGGACGGAGTTGAGACTCATGCCATCACTGATCATGGACTCACCGGTGGAAGAAACAAAATCGTGGATGCTGAAGTTGCTATCCTCAAAGGCATCCATGCCATCTCCCAAGGCATGGGAGCTGCGCACAGCGGATGATGTTATTTCTCCAAAAAGGCGCCTGGGAGTAGATTGCTGAACGTCCGGAGAGATCCCGATATTCGGAAGCGATGGGTAGCGAACATCATCAGGGGGTGACTCGATCCTAGGTCGCTTCGACTGAGCCAGGTCGCTGTCATTTGGACCTAGCTCGGCTTCGAAATCCACATTGTCCTCAAGGGAGATCTGAGAGGCATCCAGTTCCTCGGCATCTTCTCCTATGTCGGAAAGCCCGCCTGAAGAGTCGGACATCATATCATCCTCGTATTCGTCTAGATCTGGGACGTCAACTATCCATGGGTGCTTGAGGCATTCTTGCTCCTTGGGCCGAAGTTGGGGGTCACGGTTTAGTAGCTTGGAAACGAAATCGACACCCGCTTCCGAAACGCCGGCACTACGTAGGATATTGTAGTTCGGCTCGGTAGTCATGATGGTTCGTAGCATCTGGGCTCCTCGATCATCGCCTCGGCCTGTATATGGAGGAATACCGGCTAAGATATGATAGAGAACAGCACCCAAAGAATACATATCGACGGATTGATCATACGGTGAAGTTTTCGGTGGCCTGGTTCATCAGCCATGGACAACTTATCGAGCGAGAAGAGAGAAAGAACTTACGGATCACCTAGTCTGCGTCGCTTCCTCACCTCGCCACGGCGGTACATCTCATATTCGGGGTAAACTTCTGGAGCGCAGTATAAAAGCGTTCCGCAGAAGGTTTTGAGGAAGGTCTCTTCTTGCACAACTTTCGACAGACCGAAGTCGGAGAGCTTCACCTTCAGAGGATCATGAGACGCAATCAAAATATTGTCAGGCTTGATGTCACGATGTGTGATCTTTCGCTTGTGAAGATACCGGAGCGCATGAAGAATCTGCCGAGCAATGATTTGAACCATGTCTTCCTGGAGCTTCCCAACCGCCAGGTATGCAGACAGCTCTCCACAAGGAACATACTCCATAATAATGTAAAACCACCTGTCGTGCTCTTTGTGTTCAATGAACTGGACAATGTTTGGCTGTTGAGTAATATCATTAGCCAGTGCTTCTGCCATCTAGGTCCAGACCACTTACATGCTTGAGGTCCTTCATGATCCTCATTTCATTATCGACCTTTTGATCTAGAACACCATTCTTCATAAAACGACGTTTGTCAAGTTCCTTGCAAGCAAAGACATGACCATGCTGCTTTGTGGCTAGCTTATACACCACGGCGAAAGCTCCCTTTCCTATCTGCCCCGTGACATTGTACGTCGGGCCGCCCGACCAATGCATCCCGAAGGTATTCCAAGACTGCAGGCTATGGGTTGACGGTAAGCGGCGTGCAGGTTGCACAGCGCCGGGTCGTTTTTCTTGAACATGATCATCAATGTATTCTTCGAGATTTTTGTTGAATGTATCACTATGCCCATCCCTACTGGGCACGCGTACCACAAACTTGACCTCGTCTTTAGAATTCTCACCATTGACCACTTGGATAACGGATCCGTGGACTAACATTCTGCTGTTATCCTTTTCTCTCTTGCGAAGACGAAAATCGTCTACAATAGTGCCATTGGTCGACATGTCCTCTAGCATGAGAATGGACTGCTCTGTGAGGTAGATGCGAAAGTGAGTGTTGGAGATACGCCTTGATGTAGAATCGGCAGCGAGGAGAATATCTGAACGGCCGAGCGTACGCCCAAAGCAAAACCCCATATTCGGGTCTTTTACTTTCGACGAAAGTCTAAGAGCAATGTCTAGAGAGCCTCCATGTACCATGTCTTGCTGCAGAATATGCCATGGTGCGACATGAGCCGTTGCAGCCACTGCCTCGAGGGCCGCAGGCGAGCTGGGATGGAGGATACATATGACGTCTTCCAGATCTTGTCCCTCAAGTCCAGAATTACTAAAACCCGCGCGCCGAGGATCCGTGCAGGGCTGAGTTGATTCTTGCGTTGCTTCCATTTTGGTCCGGTCGGTCGCAAAGATGAGTGGGATCACCTAGGAGGAAGCCCAACGACGAAGATATTGGGATATGATGCCACAGGGGTCAAATAGTATGTGTGAGTAGCCAGCGCAGTCCTACAGATGGTCCATGTCACAGATCTGACCTGCATCAGTATTCTGAGTTTAATATCAATGCCGGCAATGCTCTGACAGTCAACAGCCGGTAACTTTACCTTTCAGGATACAGGTAAAGTGAGACCAACTGTAGTGCGAAGACTTAGGAACCTGGAAGCCTCTTGCGGGCCGCTCTCTGAGTTGCAGTAATGGATTTTGTCCGAGAACCAGCGCGAATGAGTGTTGTCCAAAGAGATCGCAGTTGATCGGGGTTCAACCAGAGATCGTCACAGGCGTATGCGAGTAGGCTTCTTGAGAAAATCTAAGGATATCACTGCTGTCGAACGATAGCGGTGAACAGTTCTTTCCAAAATGTGGTCCAAGGTTTGCAACGAGACGTCATTGATACAAGGGAGCGACAAAGGAGAGTTTGTACACGGAGACTAAGGGAGGGACGATGTATTTCTGTGGTGGGAGCTAGCAGTCAGTCATGAGGCGCTTCTCAATCACAAAGGGAAGACGGGAGCTTGGACGTACACAGTTGACAAAATCCGCCTCAGCCATCCAAAACACAACCAGCAAGGCTGATTTTGGTAGAGGCTTCTGTTGACAGAGCGGAGTCGGCAACGGGGACAAGACAAAAGGCTGCCTAGTTCGAGTCGTCGAGTCGTCGACTCGTCGTCTGAGGATCGCAGGAGGACTCGGGAGATGGCTCAGCTTTATGAGGCTTGAAGGAACGCCCAGGCAGAAATGAGGCACCAATAACCGCGTTCCTGAGGCTGCAACTCTTTGTCGAGCCAATAAAAAAGCGGCTTGCTGGGGCTCTTAGGAATCATCCATGGTTCCTTGGTTTGAGCTAATTTGGCGGATTCATGTTTTCCCGCTCCCATACATGCCTCTGGCGCTCTGTATCCTGGGTGATGAACACATCTTCCAAACGATGGTATTATGGAGAGGGCCTATATGAAGTACTCGTCAAGTTGAAAAGAACCGCCCATATTACCTAGCTCCGTACAGTCGTTAAGTTGTAGTGGGTGCTTAACTGCATAGCTACGTGTTGAATCAGGCATACTAATGTAGACAGCGAAAAGCAATCCACGGTTCACCGACTTCCATACGGCTTACTCTTGTCGGTGGCCTGTTGGAACTGTCCCTTCATCGCAAGGTCAAAGACCTGCTCCAGCCGGCTGATAGCATCATCCGAAACCTCTGCGAAGAATTAGCACTCGCTCTTCGGAAACGACAAGGAGAATGGGGTTAAAACGCACGATAATGGATGACTATCCGGTTTCCCAGGAGCCTTAACCCTTGGTCCTTTCCGATATCTGCCAGGTCGTTCGGCCCAAGCCCAGCAGCCTCAATGTCCAACCACACCATATTGGTATGGACCGGGAAAGCCAATTTACCTCCACGACTTGCCCACATATCTGCAACACGCTTTGCTTTGGCATGCGTCTCCACGAGCTTCCCGTCCTGGCCGTGAGGATCCAGTCCGAAGGTTTTGTCAAGCGCAACTCGTGCAGCTGCAGCTAAGACTCCGGTTTGGCGAGCGCCACCTCCGATTGACTTACGGAACCAGCGCGCCTTCTTGATGAATGCCTCTGACCCAACTATGATACTTCCAATGGGTGCACCCAGACCTTTGGAGAAGCACAGACTGATACTGTCGAAAAGGCTAGTGTAGTCTGCTAGGCTTCCCGCTCCCGACGCGACTGCCTCCCAGAGCCTGGCGCCATCCAAGTGAACCTTGATTCCATTGGCGTGCGCCCATTCCGTCATCCGGCGAGCCTCGTCAAGAGGCATAATCATCCCGTCCAGCGTGTTCTCGAGGCTTATCAACTTTGTGGGACAGGTGTGAATGTTGTCGCTAATCACCACCCTTTTCTGGACATCCTCGAGGGTGAGATGTATACCGTTCTTTGGAACGATCGGCAACACAGTAGCCCCAGTCCATGCACTAACTCCACCGGCCTCATAACAGATTATGTGGGAACGGTGATCGCAAACGACGGAGTAGGGAGGTTCAGTGAGGTGGGTGCGAATGGAGACTTGATTGCCCATTGTGCCCGACATAACCAGCAATGATGCCTCATGGCCGGTTCTCTTAGCGACGTAGCTCTGTAGGTCATTCGTCGCAGGGTCCTCTTCAAAGACATCGTCTAGAAGAGTCGTTTGGCAGATCGCTTCAAGCATAGACGGTGTTGGCTTGGTCATCGTGTCACCTTATTCCGAGAAGTTAGCCAAGGTCCCAGCCTACAGTAGCTAGCAAGGCCAGATGATATCCAAAGATCAGACTCACTCCGCATGTCGAATTCGGCCGCACCGGCTCCGTGCCATGCGGTTGGCTTCCCTTCCGCTGCATCTGATAAAGTCTCCATTTTCGCAATAGGACTCAAGCCGTGCCTGACCTGTAAAATAGGCAAAGCCGGTCTGAAGGGACGAAGACTCAGAAAGGGCCTGGCGAAACGGTTCATTCAGGCTCGATTTTCAAGGTGTCACTTGTTGGAGAGAGGGGACCTTTCTTCTTGGAGTCGTATCCATGGTTAAGCGCGATGTGGGGTACGCAAAAGTAGCACCAGAGGATCGCCCAACCTACACAAGAAGCTTGACCTTTCAACACTTCGTTCGGGAAACTGTACACAGGCACTTTCGAGTCTTTTAAGATTGGACAGTTCAATTTTCCCAAATCCATGAGGAGTTGCGGTTTGCTGAAGGGGCCAAGGCTCATCAGTTCATCGAAGCCGTCATGGTCAGTACTGGATGTATTCGTCCCTGATAAAGTGGAATCAGGAGTTAGAAACATTGGCTGGAGACAAGATAAAAAGATAAACCAAGCCCGACTCGCACTAGTCGTACTGAAAGGCTGATACACGCTGGAAATCCACGGGCCGACAAAGTGTTTTAACTTGATTCGGCTAAGATGACGAAAGGTCGAATGCGCAGCTCTTATCGATAGGCCGAGAATGGGAAAGGACAGTCCCGCAGCGTGGGCCGTCAGTGGCTGACTCAGCGATCCAGAACCCCTCTGGAATCTTTCGCGGATATCTCTGCATTTCTCCAAGCAGCATTCTCAAACCTCGCCAAAAGTAGGTGGCACACACCGACCGTCGACACAATCGCGGTGCATCAGCAGTTCTTCAATATGGATCTGTCGAAACTTACGCGTCCGGCCATCCTGTGCCAGTGCTCGCGATGCTCAAGCTCGCTTGCGGTGCTGGAGAACGAGTGGGCGAAGCTCTCGAATTCTTACTCGGTGGCTGCTGGCTGGCTCAGCATTGAACTTCACCGTATTACTATTTCGTCCGAAAAGAAACAAATTCCGCAGTCTTCCGAGCTGAGCTTAATACGGGGAAGGATTATCCAAGAGATTGGTTGCAAACTATGTCAACAGAAGTTGGGGGTGCTCTGTGCGATGGAGAGCGGGTGAGTTTAGTTATTGAGTTGGCGAGCATACTAGTCCAAGGCTAATATCTCAGACCGAATGTCTTCTGGAAGCTACCGAAAGTCTCATTCCGCGAAATTGTCACCATGCGCACCGTGGAACCCACATTCAAAGATGGAGAAGGAGTGCTGGAGGGTCTCCTGTTCCCCAGCTCCAAGGAGGCCAGCCACGGGACACCTGGTCATAAAGCTCTTGTACCATTGGAGCCAAATGAGGTCGATAATTACACCGTGGAACATCAAATTCAACAACAAGGTCTAAGTCTAGACCATATCTCCAGCTCTGTCAGCAACCTTCATGATACTATGTATGAGTTAAAACAGTCTTTCACCGCGATGCGCATCGAGCTGAATGGGCCTGCTCGGGCTCCGAACGACGTTGGCGACTCCACGCATGGCGACTTCAATATGGTTACAACGGTGTTGAAGGAGCTGAAATCGAAGGCGGACGAGATAGAGAAGCTAAAGCTGGAGATCGAGGCACTGAAGCTTCGGAATCGTTATATGGAGGAACAAACAGCACGTCAAACGCTTTTACGTCCGCCCTCGGAAGCACTCCTTCCAGAGGTTGGGACCCCAGGTCTTCTCCAGACAAGCAGAAAGCGACCTTTCCCCTTTCCGGAGCACTACCAAGGTGTCCGCGACAGACCAGTTGCGGACTCTTTTGACGATGATGATGGCGAAGACAGCATGGTAGACTTCTCTCTGCACGAGTCACGCATGCCTGCTATCAAGATTCCACTGAGAGACCGTGAAACTCCAACGGAGCCAGTCCATGATCCGAATGCTTTAAGGTCTCCCAGGCTCCAGATCGAAGTTTGCCACTCAACACAAACAGAGGAACCCGTCTCAAAACGACCACGCCTTTCCTCGAGTATAAATACGAGAGCAAGCACAAAAACAAGAGGGCGACCCCCAAAATCGGCTCAGACGACTCCAGACTTAGCTGAGAACACTAAGCCAACACCATTGCACGAACAAAACGGCAATGCCGCGACTACCAACCGGAATCGGGACCGGGACCATCCGTTTTCAACCCCGAACGATCAGGAAACGCCGCTCCAGAATCGTCCCGGCCGTTCTCGCAGCTTACGCAGTCGCTCCCGGCCCCCATCAAGGCATAGAATTTCAACTGGTGGTGACACTGAAAAGGATGCTGGCGAAACACAGCAAAACACAGAAACAAACGCCAAACCCGTTGTCGAATTGGAGAAGGAGAACTCACAAATTGAAACAGACGGTCACCGCACAAGCCTGGGACCCGGCAATAAGAACGAAAGATCGAGTGAGAAGCGCAAAGCGCAGTCTGTTGCGCGAGATATGATGGCGAAGATCGCCATGCAGCGGGAAGAAGCCATGGATACTGAGGACGCTCGATAGTTCTCTTACTCAGATTATATCGAAGCGGAATCGAAAATATACCCTGACTTACTTCTACAATATGTATTTTTTATTCTTCTGGACCTAATACAACTTCTCCCCCGCTGATCATTTGGTCACACATATCTTTATTATTCAGACATGGATATAGATCTAGAGAATACATATCTTCAAGGGTATCCCAACAATTCAGCTGCACACAAGATAGTAAGCCATGCACGGCCTCGGCTATCTCTGAGTTACTATTATTTGACACACATAAACCCACAGCCTTCTCTAGCACGCTCACAGGCCCTCTTTAGCGCCTGTTCTTCCGTATCCGTCCATTTAACAGTCAGCTCGTCCCAGGGCTTCTTCGACTGATACTCGTCACGGAAACATTTATGCATAGCCTGGAGCTTGCTAACCTCGCGGGGATCACCTGTGCCAGAGTATACAACAAAAAGGGTACAAGGCGGAAGGGCATCGTAGATATCTTTAATCCGTAAGATGGTCTGTGTGACCAGTTTAGAGAGCGTTTTATCATCTGACTGAGAATCCGCAGCTCCATCGATAGTCGTGGATTCGTTTGCATTCTTGGGGTCGGGGATCCGATTGCACCAGCCTCGGTAGATTTCGAGTTCGCGCATTCGTGCCCAAGTGAAATCTACCCCATCTCCGGGGATAGAGGGGTGGCTTTCGTCGCCGTTGACAGCGGCTGCTATGCCTTTTACAACTTCGTCGTCGTCACTGCACCCAATTGCGACGGTGGCTTGGGCACCGAGCCCGCGCTCGGGGCTTCCCCAGTCAACTAGAGCGCCGGTACGGCCTGTCCCTGATGAGTTTGTTTTGCCTGGTGGGTTGTGTCGGCCAAGACGTTTGAAGATGCTCTCGTTAGAGGCTTCGCTTGTGCCCCATTGTTCGCCCTTTTCGCATTTCTGCTTCACGAGCTCGAGGACTGCGCGGGCATCTTCGATGGAGTCGTGACCTGTTGTACCCTTTTGGATTTCCTTGCCGAGGTATTTCTGCGTAAGCCATTTCAGGCTTGCCTTAAGTGGCGGCCCGCGAGGGTGAGGGTAGAGGAATGTTGTGTCGACGATGAAAGGGTGAGTGAGTTTGAGGGCGTTGAGATCAGAGTTAAGGGAGTGGCCGACGAGGATTGTGCGAGGGGTCAGAAGGGTAAGGAGATTCTGCTGAATTTCGGCGAGGGTGGTAGTGATGGGATCTAGCATTTCCTTGGTGATCCCCGAGAACCGGGTAAGATAGTCGATGACAGGCCGTTCTGGCTTGACTAGTTCATCAAGCACAACTTCGCCGTCCCAGCGGACTAAGCTGATACGAGTGAGCTCTGAAGTACCGCCTTCGGTGATGCACATTTCACAATCCAAGGCGAGCACGTCTCGTCCAGCGGTCATGCTGCCTTGTTGTATTTCGGATTCTGGAACATCGCCAGCTTCCATACTTTCGACATTAGTATCTACCCACCCATGGCCTGTAGATTGACCGGTCGGTTTGCGGTTTTCCTCAAGGTATAACTTGTCATCTCGAGAGTGTAGTAGAGCAGGGTGAATGGGATACTCGTTTTCTCGAAGTTCTTCGACGGGGCTAATGAAAGTTGTTATAGGCGTCCTCTTGGAGGTGTAGTTCTTATCAACACGGGGCGGCCGAGGGCCTTTGGATGCGCCTTTGTCTTTGTTCTTGGGTAATGGAGCCATGAGAACGGCTTGTAAAGGTGAATGAACTTTATTATACTTTGAGTCTCCGGGGGCTCGAATTGGCCAGGCAAGGGGGAATATGTCCGCGAGAGGCTGCAAGGGTTCTGGGATATTGTTTCGGGTCAGTGGTCGGGGATTGAATCGATGTGACCGGTCCTCTGGTGGGAGACCATCTTTCCATCTTGCAAAATCGGCTGCCCTTGTATCGACCTCACTTTCAGCTGGTATATCCTCTGCGGCCTCTTTCGTTTGAGTGCCATCTAGCGGAACTGTTCCGTCAAGCATTCCGATCTCCAAACCAGGGACCATCAAGAACACAGCCTTCCGAATGCGGGTCGTGTTCTTCACGGAGATCCATTGTGGCGCAATACCGTCTGCAAAGCAGTAGAGGAGCAAGTTCTGAAGATCGGCAATGCGAATGGACGACTGCAGTCGGCCGTCGACATACGTAAGGAGGGGATATTTGATCTTCTCGCCATTAAGCCGCTTCTTCTTCGCTGGCCTCTTGTCATCTATACCGTGATCGGGGTCCACGAGTGACTTGTCGTCTCCGGTGTTCGGCAGTGCAGTAGAAGCAACAACGCTGTCCACTTCTGCGGAGTCGTCCGGTTTTTGGAGGCGCGACAAAGTCTGGCCTAGTCCGAATCCTGGGGAGTCGGAGTGTCCTATCACCGGGTCTGGATCATCTGAGCACCCGGAATCAGTAAGCTTGCGCTTCTTGGCTGTAGACATGTTGAAAAAAAACCCAGCTCAATTGTGGCTGCGAATGTTGTCTCAATATGGAACTGGCGCGAAAGATCCGGTTCAACTTTTGATGCGCTCACGTGATGATAGACCGCCCTATTTGACACCGGTAATACTCCGGTAATACTCCGGAGTACCCCGGAGTATGTCAAGTATCTGGAGTAGACCAGATACAGCTTTTATTTTGGCCTTTTTAAAATAGTACAGTGGCATGACAAAAGTTTGCAAAAATCTCCACAATAAGCGCTAGTACAAAGGTAGAACCGCCTTCCTAATTAGTCTAGTACGAAGCTATCCGGACCTTAGTAACTTGTATACCAGCCATCTACTTGAATAATTGCCTGTACACGATGAGGCATAGTAGCGCATAAATTCTGTAAAACCCGGTCATCGATCGCATGCCAGGCCTCTATCGCAGCCTGAGTAAGTCGCTGTAAAGTATCATTATTATCTAGAGCCCTCTCTAGCTCTGGATAAAGCTCATAGATCTTTACCTTCATAATAGCCCATAGATTCTCAATAGGATTTAGATCTAGAGAATATAATAGCTATACCATAACTTCCACGCCCATATCTGCGAGAAGATCGCGTATAATATAAGCTCGGTGCACAGAGGCTTTATCATGCATGAAGATATCCCTAGGGCCTAGGATTTCTGGGAGAAATGCTTCATAAACCCCTTGTATAACCCAGGTAGTAACCCCCCCTCGCGCAGCCTTAGGATCACCCTCAAGGGGAAGAAGACCAGTCCGTTGATTAAAGCTAAAGGCGGCCCAGAACATCTACTTCACGCCCTTGCCATAGCATATAGCGTGGACATCTCGCTCGATGATTTATTATCTTGGAGATTGAAAAGTATATATCCTTCGCGCACTAGCTCCTCGCTCAACAGAGTACTTATTAGACCAGATAACCCTGTAAAAGTCCTCTGCGGTGTAGCTTGAATATATTCTAGCCCATCTTAGTCTCTTTTCTACATTTGTAGGGGTAATTTCTAGCCGCTCACACTGCTTCCATTTGCGCAAATATAGTGTACGGAATAGTTGCTGAACTGTTCGGACTGAAGGGCTGCTTTGAACTGCCTTAGAGAGCTCACGCATCTTGATATGTTGATCTTGCTCTACTAGATCTAGTAGATGTTGTTATTCCGCTGGAGATATCTTTTTAGGCCGTCTAGAGCAAGGAGAAGACTTCTACTCCTTTCACGTGCGCTCGCGCTTTATTATTGAATAGATTGTTGAATATGGAATCTTAGGGTATCGCTGATGAATCATTTTAAATGACCACCTGATTGCCTTAAGCTCGCAGAGCCTTGCCTGAATATCTAGTGTCAATTCCTTGCGTTTTGGCATTGTTATATAGAGATTCAATTACTTCATCACGCTCTCAACGCGTTGTTTTGGCCGGCAGAATAGCTTCAACTAAGACTAACTAGGAAGCGGTCCTACTTTTGTACTAGCGCTTACTGTGGGGATTTTTGCAAACTTTTGTCATGCCACTGTACAAAACAGGTCAATCCCTTGGCGACTCTCCACGAGGGATTTCACCGCGGCCAACCGTTGTATCGCGTAAATCGGAGGCGCTTTACTCCGTATGACCTTCTCAACGAATTGAAGGTATTCTGAGACATTGTAGCGGTAGCTGACGTTGTGGTGAAGCGAAAGTTGGATTTGTCGCCTTAGGGCGCTGCTGTGCCTTGGTTGGCTCTCAAATCTCGTGACCTCAGATGATGATCAAGGGAAGCTTGACACTTTTCACTTCCCTCTCAGTTCCTCATCATAACTTCTGTGGCTTTATTGGCAGTGATTCACCTGTTCGAGTTATGACATACTGAGATTTGACTCAGGCGGTCAATAACGCATTTCCAAGATTTTCAGTGTTCTTGCTTTTTTGTATTCTACTATGGCAGGAAGTGATTCATGAGGAATCCAAGGACTTCATGCACTGCCTTCGTAGCGGGCTGCCCTATGTATTATTGACAGACATTCTCCAGGCGTAATTGTAGCAGGGATCGGGCTTCGTGCTGGTTTAGCGACATGGTCTTGATCCATGAAGAGGGTTGGCTTACGGAACCCATAAGGTATCCCATGCCATACGAACCTTGATATCTCTAATAGGCCTACGGCACCGTTCGACAGCTACCTCTTGAATAATTTGGGGGATATATGCTAGGGAAGTCGTGATGGTACTGTTTGGGAAGCTCATAAGAGCCCTCGATCGCTTAGGACCTCTTCGATCTTCCAACTATCATATCGGCATGAAAGCTGGGGGAGAAAGGAGACATCGTGAGATAGGTGTCGATTAATAGGAGCTAGCTAGCTAGTAGCCACCATTGTTCTTCCGTTCGAATCCTTGCTGGTACCATCCAACTTCTTTGTACTGTCCAGCTTAACAGGATGTGAGTTGCTCATTTGTCTTCTGCCGCGTTCTCCAAGGTAGTTTTTGCAGCAACGAGTGCGCATGTTTTCGCGACCGGTGGTAGTCGATTGTGTTGTCGGGCATAGCTCGGATGCAAAGTTGCTCCCAGTGTTTATGGACGAGGGCGGTTAGATAAGCAGGTCTTGTAAAGCTAGGAGATAGCCTGCGAGCGGAGAGATGTAGTGGGGATGTTACTTGGGATGTGAAGAACCGACAGCCATCCTTTGCTCCAGCGCATTTTCTGGGTGCCCCAGGGAACCGGCTCTGTAGCCGCCGTCCGCGGAATTGCGGTCTTGTGACTGCGCCGACAGTGCTAAACAATAATGGCTGGATTATGACCAAAATCCGAGGTGATAGATCGAGTTGTGATTCTCCAGCCGTGGGGGTTTAACCCAGATCAGATAACGCGAGACAGCCGAAGGATCATGGTGATCAGATCCATGATGCATACTCCGTATCTTTTGACTTGTTCGGCAGGGGATCGAATACCAGTGGCAAACCTTCGTTCTCCACTAGGGATTTTAGCGGTCAACTGTTGTCGATCCATCAGATAACGAAAATTTGCCTCGCCTCGCCTTGCCTCAACGCCGGTCGCGGATCCCGAATCGTCATCTCTTCTTCCTGTCTCGTCTTCTTTCTCTACTACTAGTACTTCATCGCCTAGACACTCGCACATCAATCCGGGTCACTTTTCGGGCTTCCTTGTATATTCTCTCTTTATATTCCTTGTTCTGTCACTCCCTCGCCAGACGCCTGACATTCAGAACCCCCCTCCATCCGTTTATTCCCGTTCCTCCCCGCCAACCCACCCCACATCACCACAGAAATCGAGTCAGCCTCCCTCGCCCTTAGACGATGTCGACCCTCTTGGAAATAACCTCAGAGGAGGCCTTTGGCCCTCACCTCGCCTCAATCCCATCATCCTCCCTCATAGTCCTCTACTTTCACGCCCCATGGGCCGCTCCATGCGCGCAAATGCGCGGGGTCCTGTCCGCCCTCGCCTCCCAATATCCTGTCACCACCCCGCCAACCGTCTCCTTCATCAGCATCAACGCTGAAGAACTTCCTGACATCTCCGAAGACTACGACGTCACGGCCGTTCCCTACGTTGTGCTGCTCAAAGACGGTACAATTCTCGAATCCATCAGCGGAAGCGAGGCCGCAAAAGTGCGCGACGCTGTCGAACGATACGCGGGCTCGGGAACAAGCGCCAGCGCGGCCAATGGTGCTGGGATTGGCAGCAGTGCGATCCCGCCTCCATTGACGGCTGTGCCGAGGGAGGATGCCCCGACAACGGCTACACAAGCGCCTGTGGCTGCGGCGGGCCAGGGCGTCGGTGGTGCTGCGCCGGCTTTGACACCCGAACAGAGCAAGGAGGCTTTGTTTTCTCGGCTTGCTGAGCTGGTTAAGGCTGCGCCGGTCATGTTGTTTATGAAGGGTACACCCAGTGCGCCTCAATGTGGATTCAGTCGGCAATTGGTTGGTATCCTACGGGAGCGGAGTGTTAAGTATGGATTCTTCAATATCCTCGCCGACGAGGATGTGCGGCAGGGCCTGAAGGAGTTTGCGGATTGGCCTACTTTCCCGCAACTGTGGGTTAACGGAGAGTTGGTTGGTGGATTAGACATTGTACGTACCCTTGTCTCCATTACCTTCGCCATATGTTATGTTGCCGTGGCTAACGAGTTGACTATCAACAGGTCAAGGAAGAACTCGAGAACGACCCCGACTTCCTCAACGGCTTCTCTGTCAATAAATAGGCCATTGCCTCTGCTTAACCGCGAAGAATATAAAAATTTGATGATGTGCTCATGTGTCACGTCCGCACTTTACATGTTTGCTTAGATTTACTGAACCAAGCGATGACTATTACGGCTTAGCAGGTTTACCTCGTTAGGATTTTTGCTGTTATGTTTGAGTGCCAAGTAGAATTGGTATTTACATACGAAAACCCGAAAATATGCACTTGGATATCCTGTACAAAACATTTCTCGCCGAACCGCTAGACATACATATACACATCCAATCAGTGCTTCCATCAGCGACCTAGTTAACAGCAAATCGTGTACATTCATGTGCCATCATTGTCAAGCCTTTGGCTATCACGCCGTTCTTGACCTTGTTTCCTCTAGCTCATGGCTTCCCTGGTTGTCCTGGCACCCTGGGCATCGTTTCGCATGATTCTGGAAGCCTATCGGGGTAAACCCCTTGCAAGGCGATACGCAATCACTTCTTTGCGTCCTTCTTAAGCAACTGCCTCATGAGATCCGCAAGTCCTTCGCTGGTTTCAGGATTGGCAGGCTCAGCAGCGCTTGTATCCCAATAGGGTTTGCGTCGACTAGCCGAACGCCACGCTTGCGGGTACGTCTCTTTGCACACCTGGAAACGAGACAAAACCGCATCTTCATCGACATAGGCCCCAGCAAGCCACCGCTCTCCGCGGTTGGTGTTGAACTGACGTCGCGCATGAACCACGCGGCGGTTCTCGAAAATCACACATTGGCCGGGCTTTAGCTTCAACTCGAAGATATTGGGCTTGTGTTCCAAGCGGCGCGCGAACGTTTCCAGAGCTTTTAGTTCCTCCTGCTCGCGTTTCACTGACGGCTTTGTGCCGGGCCTCGGGATCCCGACGCCCTGGAATGGAGGCGAATAGTTCACGTGCGTAACGGTGTTATAAGGACTTACAAAAGGCGATGTCTCGAAGACAGGCCAAATGTTCTGGTAGGATTGATCCTTGTGTTGGTACTCGTAAGTAATATGTGTGTTTTTCAGATCTTCGAAGAGTTGCGGGTCGTGTTTTCGAATCAGGATAGCCGCTCTGAACGCGTCCGCAAAAAGCGATTCGCCGCCATCACATGAGTTGCGCAGGCAATGGAGGAGCTGGAACCCCGGCGGGTCTTTCATGTACATGAGATCCATGTGAAATCCAAGGTACTTGTTAGTATATGCAACATTCTTAGCCTCGGGAATCGTCCGGACGTCCCACGTAGATCCATAGAAACTGTTTCGTAAGGGTCCCATGCGCGTAGCAATCTTCTCGACCATTTCTCTCGAGTCCGGTATGCCTTTCACGAATATCAAGCCAAAAGTAGACAGATTGCGCATAGCCACAGCGAACTTTTCATCGTTGTGCATATACTCCTCGTATGAAATCCAGTGCTGGGATTCTTGCATTTTTTCTGCGTTCCAAGCCATCCGACGTCTCTCCGGGCCCGTGGCAGACCAGGAATACCATTGGCGTTCAAAAGGGTACTTCAATTCCTCCGCATCATACTTCGTGACGTGATTTGCCTTGAATCCGGGGATATCTTTGTTCCAGTTGAGAGTGAGGGTCGTCCCATCCCATCCGAATGACTTGGGGGTGATATCGAGCGGGATGTCCGAGGACCGGAAGTTTCGCTGTTTGGAGTGTCTATCAACACACTGAGGACATTTACAGCCATCGCGCAACCATATATAGGACAGTTCGTGGGACTCGCTGCCGCCGGTGCTCTCGAGTTTGAACTTGATGCTATCTTTACCAAAGAAGAGGCCCTTGATGTCCCTTTTCTCTGCGAGCTTGTCATCAAGCTCCATTATGTTGCTGTCGAAATCGATGGGACTTTCGGGGGACTCCGCCTGAGCGGTAGTGGTGTGATTGCTCCGCACCTGGTGAGCGGGGGTGGGATACCGACGCCAGCAAAGCCAGGGAGCTGGTCGAGAAAATGATGCGGGAGCGCTTCGAGCAGTCATGTTGCGAAGCCCGAAAGGGGCCCGGAGCAGGACTCTAGCCATCGCCATGGCGGTTTGATAGTGAGTGGACACTCTGGAAAGGGCCAGGGGCACAAGAGCAGAAACGGTTGCTCCAGGTTTAGGAGCAACACGGGTCAAAACGCGGAGAAAGCTCACTCGGCCCCCCTCAGCCTAGCCCCGATGCGGCCCTGGCAGATCCCCGAGGAAGAGATCTTTTGGGTTTCGAAGTTGAACTTTTGGAGGTAAATAGTAAGCCCGTCGAAAGAAAAAGACGGTCTATGGTACACTACTTGACAGGGCGGATGTTAATCGAGCCCTCTAGCTCTCAAATAGCATTTTGTCCTTAGCCATGGAGTAGATCTGATTCAACTTGAAGAAGTTGTACCTGAGTGACGTACGGAGCAGAAGCTGCGTAAATTACTGTATCACGGGTATTCTATCGCGCCCTTTTTTGTTCTTTTTGCCTCAAGGAAAAGAGGAACAACCGAAAAAAGCCCTCGGAGCACAACCACACGATTCAAGACTGCGCCTATAGGATTGGCCCAGTTATTACCATCTTACCACCTGAGAGAACAGAAGAGCAGGAAACCCACGTTTATTCGATGACCGAGACAGCTGTGCGCAAGGTCTAATCTTTCCTCCTTTCCCCCCGACAATCTCCGATCCCATCGAACCACCCTCACGTGTCACATGCATGTCTGCCGGGGGAGAGCATCTAAAAGATGAAGTACGCGAACAACTATTTCTTAAATCTATATTCAGGCACCAATCGCTGACCGTATCAGGGCACACGGCGACAGGTCGTCCTTGCGGGCGGAATAGCCGGCCTTATCTCACGGTACGTACGTCCCTTCGTTGGGGTTGACGGCAATAGCTAAAACCCCAGCCTTCAATCAATAGATTCTGCATTGCACCGCTGGACGTGGTAAAAATCCGCCTCCAACTCCAAGTTCACTCCCTCTCCGACCCTGCTTCGCACGCGCACATCACCGGGCCCGTGTACAAAGGCACCCTGTCCACGATCAAAACCATCCTCCGCGAAGAAGGCATCACGGGACTATGGAAGGGCAACATTCCCGCAGAACTGATGTACGTCTGTTACGGCGCGATCCAGTTTACCGCATACCGAAGCACAACGCAGTTACTCGCCCAGCTTGACAGCTACCGGCTCCCGCAGCCCGTTGAATCCTTTGTATCCGGCGCCGTGGCCGGTGGAGCCGCGACGGCCTCGACATACCCGCTTGATCTGTTGCGGACGCGCTTTGCGGCGCAGGGGTCTGGTGAGCATCGGGTCTATGGATCGCTGCTTGCGTCCGTGAGGGAAATAGCGCGACATGAGGGCGGCGCCGGATTCTTCCGTGGCTGCAGTGCTGCTGTGGGGCAGATTGTGCCGTATATGGGGTTGTTTTTTGCGACGTATGAGGCGTTGCGGCCTGCGACGGCGTCTATCTCGCACGTCGATGGCCTACCCCTACCGCCTGGGTCTGGTGACGCCGTTGCCGGCGTGATTGCGAGTGTAATTTCAAAGACGGGTGTGTTCCCGCTTGACCTGGTGCGGAAGCGCTTGCAGGTCCAGGGTCCTACGCGGGCTTTGTATGTCCATCGGAATATCCCCGAGTATCGCGGGGTTTTCAGTACCATGGCGATGATCTACAGGACGCATGGTGTCCGGGGCTTGTACCGTGGGTTGACAGTCAGTCTGTTCAAAGCTGCCCCGGCGAGCGCGGTCACCATGTGGACATACGAGAGGGCGCTGAAGCTTCTTCAGGAACACGAAGTGGCCGCCAGTAATTAATAGATAGAGCAAGTCGTATTATAGACCCATAAATTTCAATTGATTATTTCAAGATGTGCCACACCTACGTGCTTTACTTTCATGGAGGGAATTATATTCACTTGTATTTCACGGTTGTCCGTAGAGGATCTAGCGTGTGCTATTGAGGGGAGCATAAAAAAGAACAAGAAAACAATAGGACGCTAGGCACGAAAGAAGGGGTTGTCACAAGCAAAAGAATGAGATACACTAAACCTTGACAGAGACACCAGGCGTACCAAGAATAGAACCAACCAAAGCGAGGCGGACAGCGCCTGCCGATTAGTACTCTTCCCCGGCCTCTGCATCATAGCTGTCGCCGGCAACTTCCTCGTAATCCTTCTCCAGAGCAGCCAAGTCCTCGCGAGCCTCTGAAAATTCACCCTCCTCCATACCTTCACCGACATACCAGTGCACGAACGCACGCTTGGAGTACATGAGGTCAAACTTGTGGTCGAGGCGGCTCCATGCTTCAGCAATGGCGGTTGTGTTGGAGAGCATGCTAACTGAGCGGTCGACAGGTGCGAGTTCGCTTCCGGGAACACGAGCGGGTTTCTGGTAGTTGATACCCAGCTTGAAACCAGTAGGACACCATTCCACGAGGTTGAAGGAAGCCTTCGCCTTGAGCGACGCGATGGCCTGGGTGCAGTCACGAGGTACACAGTCACCACGGTACAAAAGTGCCACAGCCATGTATTTGCCGTTACGAGGGTCGCATACAACCATTTGATTGTTGGGTTCGGCGCCTGCATGCATTGTTAGACGCGTTTTGCGTGTAGGGTGAGACAAGAGGTGGCACGGGATTCTTGCGGGGACATACATGAGAGAGTCAGATCGTGGACCTTGAAGCTTTCATGGGAACTGCGGTTGCTCGAGACCACTGGCGCATACGAGATCAGAGGGTAGTGTATACGTGGGAATGGCACCAGGTTGGTCTGGAACTCATTAAGATCCACATTGAGGGCACCATCAAAACGAAGACTAGAGGTGATCGAGCTGACAACCTGAGCGATAAGGCGGTTTAGGTGTTCGTATCCAGGGCGGGGGATGTCCAGGTTACGGCGGCAGATATCGTACACAGCCTCGTTATCAACCAAGAACGTGCAGTCCGAATTCTCGATGGTGCTGTGGGTTGACAGGACGGCGTTGTAGGGCTCCACGACAGCGGTAGACACGCGAGGCGAAGGGTAAACCGAGAATTCAAGCTTGGACTTCTTTCCATATTCGGTCGAAAGACGCTCTAGTAAAAGAGCGCCGAAACCAGAGCCGGTACCGCCACCGAAGGAGTGGAAAATCAAGAAGCCCTGGAGGGAGTTGCAGTTATCTGGGTTATATTAGCGTCGACAGTGACGATGGCATTGAGGAAGACCTACCAACGACACGACGAATACGGTCGACAACGTTTTCAACGAGTTCCTTCCCGATTGTGTAGTGGCCACGAGCATCTACCATATGTCAGTGCCTGTTTCATTTCATGTTCTCAATGGAGCTTCGGCTTACAGTTGTTAGCAGCATCTTCCTTGCCGCTGATCAGCAACTCAGGGTGGAAAAGCTGGCGGTAGCTTCCGGTACGGATCTCATCAATAGGCTACCAAGTTGTCAGCCATGTCAACCCAACGTTCTGTCCGAATCAGAGTTTCTGTACCGACGGGTCCAAATCAACGAAGATGGAGCGGGGCACATATTTGCCGTTGCCCGCCTCGGAAAAGAAGGTTTCGAACGAGCCACCCTGGTTGATTTCCTCGCCCTTCTCGGGATCCAAACGGCCATCCGGGCCCAGACCGTGCTCAAGGAGATACCTGAATTGTTGACGCAAAGAGATGATGAGCGCTTGAAGCAATGGTGAGGTTTGGGTAAAAAGCGGTGAGGACTTACAGCTCCCAAGCACTGTTACCAAGCTGGGTACCAGCCTGGCCGATGTGAAGATGGCAGATCTATATAGTGGTTAGGATAAGGTAGAGCAGTTCAGAGAACACGACTGGATGCGATGAGGCGTTTGGCGGAGGGAGTTGTTTCCGCTGGCCTGGTGTTCAGGGGAGAGGGGCTCTTCCAAACGCGTGATGCGGGGAAACAAAAGGTAAATAAACATCGGGAAATTGGTTCGTACCTCGCCTCGCATTGTCAGAGATGAATGCGATTGGAATGATGATATCTGAGGAAAAGCAAGAATCCCTGGCTGTCTTCAATTCAACAAGAGGGAAAGCTGGAGGATGTGTGAGGGTGGTCGTGGATGGGGAGAGGGAAGGTGGAGAGGAAGAAGGTCGGGATCGTCTGAGCGGGAGGTTCGTTACTAGCCGCAAAAAGAAGCCATTGCACCGCCAATCATCACCCAACTGTGTCTCTTGTTGAACAACACATCATCTGAAAGCCCAATATTTAGTCTTCTCTGCTTTTCATTCTCTGTTGAATGTTATCTTCATAAATATTGAGTACAACCACGTGTGATTTACCGCGGAATGTGGGACTATATCCAAACAAGACTGGCAGACTACAAAGTATCCATACAACTAGTAGATCCATACCCCCACGATAGTACCACTATTTAAATATCAAGGCTTGCATAGCAGGTTACTAGAATTTTGTGAAATTTTGGCGAAGCCCAAGAGTCGAATTCAGTGAAGCAGCAGCAGCCTCTCACTCTTATCGCAAGTCACGTGGCAATGCCAACTAACAGAAGGCATTACTATGCTAACTATGTTCCCCTCCTTTATCGAGGCTTAGCCATGCATAACAGACAAGCTACGACTATTCATGTATCACAGTTCTCAGAAACTGGGAGCAGGCCTCTGGGCAGCCAAAACTCAAGAGAGGGTCGCGGGTCATGGTTCGGAGATTGTGGTGCATGTGACTTATGCAAGAGAACAAGACTGCGCTTACTGCATACGGCGATTATGCAATGGTGCAATGCAGCTTTAGTTGCCACAAAGCGAACCAAGGTCCCGTCTCTTTCACTTCAACAATCCATCACAGATCGAGGAGAGAAAATCCGGTCTGTCGAATATTCTTCTATTTACACTGTACACCACACTCGGCATATCTGTGCTACTCGCGAATCATCTCCTCCGGCCTCAGGCCTTCGTGCTCGTGAGGAAAGTCCGCCGATGTCGACAAAAAGCCGGGAGTGCCTGAGGTGGCGTTCTTGGCGGTGGCCACCCATGCCCCGTTTCAGAGACGCGGCGTCCGATCGCTGACGATAACGGGGACGATTGGCTGCAGATGCAGCACGGTTACGTCGGTGGAAGAGGGCTTCCAAGGGGACTGTTTGCGTGGTGCACACAGAGTTGGACGGGCCGAGTCAGCGATAGAGCAATAGTTGCGTGGGAGAACCAAGAAGCTTACGAGTCGAGACGAATCGAAGCTGCCAAACGCCCATGGATTAACGAATCCAAGCCCCAGCAATTGCTATCAAATAATGTTCTAGGTTCTGCAGACTGGAGCCGAAAATCTCGGCCTCGTCTCCACCACGTTGAACCGCGCCAATGCATCTGTTCGAATGGCGATCGGCCTGTCTTCTCTCCCTCTGTTGCTGGAAGCTCCCGTCCCCTCATATAATAATGTGATTCAGGACTCTCTCATTGCTCTCCAATCGAGCTTCTGATTTCAGACGTCAGCTCTCAGCTCTTCACAAGCTCCAAGGGATTGATTCACGTGGAAGCTTGATGCAGCTCTCCAAATAGTAACGGCATTCGAGTAGTAAGTATAGGAGCCACTATCCAAGATTTCCCCACCCTCATCTCGGCTTGTCTCGCCTCTCCTCTGCTGGTCAATCTTTTCTCCTGCAACTTCTGTCTCCCTGCTTTGTCCTCAGTTCTGCGTCTCCTTTGTCCACTTCTATCCTACATCATTTCCTAATATTACAGAATATACTTCTCGTTTCATTCATTCCTTCTCTCTTTTCTTATCTCTCCTTATCTCTTCAGCCGAGCTTCCATACTACTCGACACTAACCATTACTTCAGTCGCGCACTTTTTTTGATTAGACATTTCATTCTATTCCCCTCAACTCTGGCGTGGTGCCACCATGTCGACGCCAGTAAAGGAGATACCAGCTCCTACATATCCAGAGAGAGAAGAAAGAGGCAGGTCCACTGATTCCTCCAGGACGTCCGACGAAGGTACCTACGTTCATGATGGTTCGCGTTACAACCATGGAGACCACCTCCGCGTTGATACTACCTATGATGATGGCGACATGCGCCCCAGCCGCTCGCCGTCGGCAAGGCGAGAGCAAGCCAAGCGACTTGAAGACGATCTAGCCGTGCTCGAAGCTGAGCGGGTCGCATCGCGTTCTACACATGAGGGTGACAAGGACGCTCGGAGCGATGCTCACTCATTGACTCGCTCGCGTTCACGCCGGGCCGAGGAAATCGATGAGTTTGACGAGGCTACAAATCCGTTGCACGAGAAAGCCGCTGTCTACAATCCACCTGAAAATCCGTCGACTGGTGTCTCCAAGTTCATCAAGAGAGTCCATGAATCTAGCATTTTCATTCGCTATTTTACTTATATCGTGCCCCTCGTTTTACTTTTACTTATCCCGCTGCTTGTGGGTGCGCTGGCATATCCAGATGCTAGTGTGGGTGGTGTTGAACTACTGTGGTTTTCAGTCTGGTTGGAAATCGTTTGGTTGACGCTGTGGGCCGGACGAGTATGTGTTACCAGTCTTACGGTCCCGTGCCCATGAACTAATGGTTCTTTAGATCGCTGCCAAAATCATTCCTACCCCTGTCAATCTCATTGCCAGTATCTTTACCAACAGCTCAAAGAAATGGCGCGATGTTGCAAAGCAGTTGGAACTTCCTGCTACCCTCTTCTTCTGGTGGTTGGGTATAGAAATATCCTTTCTGCCAACCATGAAGAATCACCATGTGGACGGTAGCAGTCGTACTCGCAGTTGGGAGAACACCGTCAACAAAATCATTATTTCGATATTTGTCTGGACAATTCTAAACCTGATCGAGAAATTCCTCCTCCAACTCATTGCTATGAGCTTTCACAGGCGTACCTACGCTGATCGGATTGAGATTAACAAGTTTCAAATCGGTAGCCTGACAAAGTTGTACGCATTCTCTCGAGACAGAATCTCTGAGACAGATGAGGCTTTCCATGAAAAGCAGGATCAGAGTGGCAGTGGCACGAAAACGCCGCTACACTACGCTGGAAAGGCAAAGGGGCTTGCTCTAGGCGCCTTGAATAAAGTTGGCGATGTGGCTGGCGCAGTCGCAGCGGACTTCACTGGCCGGAAGGTGAACAACAGCAGTCATCCTAGTCAAGTCGTTATCACACTTCTGAGGACAACTACTGGCTGTCAGGTCTTGGCCCGGCGACTCTACCGGACGTTTGTGCGTGAGGGCTTCGAGACAGTCTTCCCCGGCGATTTGAAGGAGGCCTTTGACGATAACGAAGAGGCCGAGGCCGCCTTTAGCATGTTCGACAAGGACATGAACGGCGACATCTCCATGGAGGAGTTAGAGGCTGTTTGTGTTGAAATCGGCCGGGAACGCAAGGCCATTACCGCATCTTTGAAAGATCTTGATTCAGTAGTCTCCAGGCTCGGCAATGTCTTTGAGTTCTTTGTGGTTGTGATTGCCCTTATCGTCTTCTTGACCCTGATCTCAACCTCTGCCGCTGGTGTACTCACATCGGCCGGTTCCAGTATCCTCGCCTTGTCGTGGCTCTTTTCCGCTACCGCTCAGGAATTCCTGCAGTCTGTCGTCTTTGTTTTCGTCAAGCATCCATTTGATGTTGGTGACCGTGTGACCATCTATGGTAATTCCGGTGATGCCGGTCTAGGCGATGACTACTACGTCAAACAGATTTCACTGCTCTACACCGAGTTCAAGAAGATGCAAGGCCACGTTGTTCAAGCTCCTAACAGCTACCTCAACACTCTATTTGTTCTAAACCAGCGACGATCTGGTGCGCTTGCAGAAGCTGTTCCCATTATTATCAAATTTGGGACAACTCTTGAACAGATCGATGCGCTTCGTCAGCGCCTTCTTGAATTTGTTCGGAGCGAACGACGTGAATTTCAGACCAATATTCTTACTGAACTGCGTGCAGTGACTGAGAACTTCTCTGTTACACTCAACGTTGTCTTTTTCTACAAGTCCAACTGGCAGAACGAAGGCCTTCGCCTGCAGCGTCGGAACAAGTTCATCTGCATGCTCATGGTCGCTCTGCAAGAGATTGGCATTGAAGGACCTCGCATGAACCTCCAGGGTGCAAGCATTGATATTCCCTTCCATCTTGCGGGCCACCCACCGCCGTATCAAGCCAACACTACTGTTGCTCCATCCAGCGACGACCCACCCCCAACACCCGCCCACGACGAGCATCACCATGCGGGTCCCAGTGGCGCCAACCGTCGCGCATCAATTCTCCGCAAGGGCATTCACACAGCCACCGCGCGTGCTCGCGGCGATTCTCTTTCTTCCCGGAAACACGTGGACTTCTCTCTCGGCATGCGCGATGTCTCGGCAGAGGATGTTATGGGCGATGTATTCGAAGTGCGCAGCCCTCGCGCTGAGAACATGGTCCGACAGGTAATTGCCGAGCGCCGCATCCAGGAGGAAGAGGCCGAGCGCCAGAGCATGGAATCTTCTCTTCGACGACACCAATCTCAGCGCTCCAGCCTTCATGTCCCCGCAGGCCCGAGCGAAGGCCGCCGCTCAACCGAATCACAGGGCGGACATAGTCTGTCCTCCATCAGTCGCAACAGGTTCTTCCGTCATCGCTCTGGCAGCACTCGACAGGACGACCTGATGGAACAGGGCCGTTCTGAGCAGGGCTCGTCCTCGGCAGGATACAATCCCCCTGTCTCCTCATCCTCTCACGCAGAGGAGAAGAAATTATGATCCCGACGTCGTTTCATATCTACCAACTTCAGCATACATAGATTGCTTGTGCTTAACCCTCTCACCACCTCTGTCTCTGTCCTTCATATCCTTCGATATACATATTTAACTATGCCACATATCCCCTCCTTCAAGAACTTTGCCATACTTTCACCCTGGTCTGGTACTTTATCTTCTTTCATTCCCTTGTCCGAATATACCATGGCGGCTATCTGAACCTTCCTTGCTATATCCTGACCCTCGCATTTCCAAGCCAGTTAGTCAATCTATGTTCTCTTCTCAACCCCGTCCAATCCACGCTGAAGTAATCGATCGTTTCAACAAGCGTTCGTTGTACGCCTTCAGCTTTGGAATAAGCTGCTCTCTTTTAACAATGTCCATATTTGATTTGGAGTTCATTTTCATATAGGTACTGGTGATATACATGTATATACATCACGAAGAAAAATCATATACAATACAAAAGTTCGGATCTCATAGCAGACCCAGCGGTCGCTCCAAAAATATACATTCGCACGGCAACCAAGCTACCAAACGAGTAGTAGGATCCTAATGAATAATCGGGTAGATATGCAACTCAATTTACCACGGCTTTACCCAATTTGAGGAATTTTGTATCTCGTACATACACAGTCTTGAGAAGGGTGAAGCCCCAGCAGATAGATAGATAGATACATACAGACAAAGGAGAAGAGGGACGCGTGGCGGTAGAGGATATAAGAGACCACAAGACGAAGGAGAAGAAAAAATCCGAGCCGGCGAATGTAAAAAAGTAAGGAATGCAAGAATGGAGTAATAACGCTGCAACCAGGCTGGTTGAGCTGATAGCAAGCAGATCACGCCGGAACACCCGCTCAAGCCTAAACAAGACAAAGACGTAAGAAAAATATTTTGACAGGATAGTAGGATACTGGGACAGGACATGAATGGGAGAAGAGAAAAAGGAAATCGTAAGGATGTGGGACATGACAATGATGCTACTATAAGCGACGAGGAGGTATAATTCGCGCGCAGAACAGAATCAGAAGTGAGTAGAGGACAAGACGCTCAAGTCTAGAACCCTTTTAAGAACGAGACAGTAAGCACATCTATGGTTTCTCGCTCGCTACCTTGCCTGTCGAGGGGTATTGTCCGGATCTGGATTTGGGCAAGGCGTGTGGAGGGGCCGAGGCGTGGCATCAGAGTCTGGAATAGGCGTCAGGCTTGATTGATGAGATCTCGCATCACCAAAGAGACTTGATAAGGTGATTGGAGGAGTATTGGGATATGCTTCGCTGGTACTGCCTGGAAAGACAATGGGAGGAGTGATTTGCCCTCCTATCGAGGACTCAGAGCCAGCCTCAGTGTCTGACTTTTTATAGATCTCTGTGATATAGCGAGAGAAAGGGGGCTTGGCGTATGGAGATAGCATCATAGATCTTGATGCTAATGCGAGAGGAGAGGGAGAGTGTTTCGGACTGAACTCGTCTTCAATGGACGGCAAGATGGCTTCCTCAGGAATATTGAGCTCTGCAAACTTGCTCTCCAACGAGTTTCGAGGAGGCTTAATTGCATCGCTTCCACCTTCACCAATATCATCGGAGCTCCCGCTTTTGCTTCTTTCTCTAAACTCCTTCTCTCTCTTAAAAGCATCCTCGTTAGTGCTGACGACACTGCCTCTGCTATTGGTTCTCATCATTTCGATTCCGAGTTTAGAACCTGGTCGGTTCGCGCGATTCCGCGGACTTTGTGTTCTAGGTTGGAGGGTTCCGAGCTCTTCATCTTCGTCATCTCCCGACTCTGCACATTCATGGCGTTTCTTCTCAAGGGACTCGCGCTTCGCTCGAATAGCTTCAGTGGAGCGCTGTTTTCGTGGTGTAATCATGCCCGACGGACTCAAAGTGGGCGGACTGGAAGCAGCATGAGGTAAGCTCGGAAATGGTACTGTACTAGAGGCACTCGGCGTTTTGCGACTTGAATCTTGGGTTTCTTGTGCGATATTCGAGTCCTCAGATATGCCCAATCCTCCGGCACTCTGGCCCCAGTCATCAGCCTGACGACTTACAATGACGGGGACTTCCTCAGCTTTGATCGAATCCAAGTCACCAAAATAGCTGCTGCCCACTGAATCCTCGCGGCTGGACCCTCTGTAGGAGCTAGAAGGCACAAGAGCAAAATTGGAAGACACCGTCGAGCTTGGACTATGCTCAACTTGAGCAGGAGGTGTATGACGAAGTGCCGAGGCCATAAACATTGACGGGTTATAGTCCTTTGGCGGAGGCTTCCATTGACAGAACTTGCACAGGATTTCTGTCAATTTTGTGAGGGTCGGCGGCTTCTCAATGAGGGTATCGAAATGATGAGTCTCGGGAAGATCTTTTAGGTAGCCAGTAACCGCGATAATAGGCGTGTGACGATTAGCACTGCGGGTTTCTCGGATCATCCGGGCAACGTCTGCTCCATTGACTTGTGGAAGTTTGAACTCCGTCATGATAATGTCGAATTGCACCTCACTAAGAGCGTAGCGAACTGCCTCTGCACCATTGGTGGCCGTAATAGTGCGACAACGAAGCTTCTCAAATAGGCGCTCCATGACCAATCGAGAAATCGGATGATCTTCACAAATAAGGATGTCGAGCGGCCGGAAAAAGGGACCATCCGCGAAGTTGATTTGAGAAAGGCGTCTTGAACTCTGCCGACGGCGCTGTACTTTAAGCAAAGCTTTGGCTCGTGGGTCCTCATTATCGGAAGAAGAAGGCGAGATATCAAATAACTGGCTGCGACGTTTGTAATGGCCAGCAACATATGTTTCTTTTGCAAGAGACGAAGACAAATCACCATCCTGTGATCCGATTGTCTGGGAACGGGCCCTTGCTGCTGGAGCACTGCCATGACGCTGTTGATTAAGTGTCTTATCGGGAGAGTGCGTCCCAGTCCGACCGGGCTTGATTGGGGACGAGGCTGCGGAGCCAAGCTTATTGTTGTTTGCCACGCGGGCTTGATCAGCTGAAACTGGTTGGAAAGATCCACTGGATTGATGGGAATTCGTGGTTGACGATGACCCCGAGGTCTTCCTGCGCTCATGATTATGACCCGTGCTGAATTGAACGAGGAGCGGAGATGAGGGCTGTGATGGTCGACTTGGCGAAGAATTGGCCTGACTAAGGGCAGAGGGGGACGCAGGCCTGTTGTTCACTTTCGATTGAGACATAGTCCGTTGAAGCGACATTGGCAACGGACTTCCTTCCAGTGAAGGCCCTGATGACTGGCCAGACGATGGCGGCGTAGGGCCTGTTCCTTGAGCCTGTGGCTGGGCTTGTTGTGGCGGCTGAGAAGCTGGATTATTGAACTGGCGCTGTTGTGCTTGCATCGCCTCCTGCCGAAGCTTCTGAATCACATCTTTGTTGGCCTTCTCTAGCATGGGGAGGTTCTTGAAGGCGAAGTTTCCAAAGTCATCAGCCAGGGAAGGTTCGCTCAGTCTCCTGCTCCGCGACTCCCGAACGTGCGGAGGAATATGCAGAGGCATCAATGGCCGCTTGATGGAGTTAACCTGTGATCGAACCTTGTAAAGTGCATCATGAGGCCGGTCAATGTATGAGCCAGTCGTGACTGGAGGTTGAGGAGAGTTCTCCTCTTCTTCAGTAAAAGCCTGAAGCGTCGCGCCGCGAGCGTCGAAGTATTCAGTGTCTTCAGGGTTTTCCAGATTCGGGACAAACTGAGCTTTGTCTTCCAAGAGAGTGTCCCAGTTAATATCCGCAAACCAAGAATGACTCCGGATTTCCGCGCCTCCGCTTGGATACTTTTCCTCTGTGTTAGACCCTATTCGCTCACGCGGATTGATGGCCATAAGCTTATTTATGAGGTCGAGGGCTTCAGGTGATGCTAGTTCCTCAAGGTCCTCTGGCCAATTGATCCTTCGGTTGAGTATATTTTCGAACACCTCATCTGGAGTGGCGGCATTGAAAGGAGGGTAACCAAAGAGGAATTCAAACATGATACAGCCCAAAGACCACCAATCACTCATCTCATCCTGACCGACACCATTAATTGTTTCTGGTGCGAGATAATCCGGGGTGCCGACGAAGCGTCTGTTGTGATCTTCCGGATCAAACAAAGCCATCAGTGGTGGCATCATACCCTGTTGAGGTGGCGTGCCGGTTGAGATCGAGTTGCTATGCGTAGGTTGAAGTGGATGCAAGTAAGGCGACTCTCCCGCATCGCTTTGTGCTTCCTCCTCATGTGCGCTATCAGGAGGAGGAGGCGGTGGAGCAGGCAATGCTCCCGGAGTCTCAGGTCCCTCGTTTAACGACAAGGTTCGGAAGATCGCATTCAGGTTTTCGCTACCACCACTGTCACTCCGATACCCGGATGCTCGGCGAGAAGTTTGCCTACTGAGTCCACCACCTTGATTGAGGCTGAAATAAGACGGCTGAGGCATGCTGCCAGCCACGTCTGGGGTGATGAGTGGGGTTGACCCCGGCGAGGCACCGCCCTGGAAGTCGAACGAGGCGGATCGAGACGAGGTAATGGACGTTGCCCGCGGAAATGGGCCCTGTTTCAGAAGGTCCACTGACTGTTCGTTCATACTCTTCAAGACACGCTTTTGGCGCCCAACTAGGCCCATACGAGAAAGTCCAAAATCCGTCAGTTTCAGATGTCCCTTTTGGTCGATCAATAGGTTGTCCGGCTTGAGGTCTCGATGCACAATGCCCCGACTGTGAAGGTGATCCACACCTAGTACAACCTCGGCAATGTACTTCTTGGCCCAATCTTCAGGTAAACCACCTAGAATCTTAACTAGCGAGGCACAATCTCCCCCGTTAAGGTACTCCATCACTAGGTAGAGGTAGTCTTTGCTGGAAAAGGTCCAGTAAAGCTTAGCAACGAAATCGCTTTCCCCTTGCCACATCATAATCGCTCGTTCGGCTTTGACATTGGTCACTTGGTTTTTAGCAACCATATCGGCCTTCTTGAGCACCTTGATCGCATAGTATTCACCAGTCGTCTTCTTTTTAGACAAATAGACACTTCCAAAAGCACCTTTGCTAATAGGCTTAATGATCTCAAAGTCCTTGATGGACGGTGGTGCCGGCCGTGGTTGAGGCTGACTAGCGGTAGTCAAATGGGGTGAGACAGGTGGCCGAGGCATATCGGAAGACGTAGTTGAAGATTGGCGGCGATGATGTCGGTAATGGTGAAGTGACAATTCGCCCAAATTAGTGGAGGGCGAGACAATAGGGGACGAGACACTTTCGGCTCCGGTAGAGAGGCGCGGTTTGGGCATACGTAGCGGTGAATGGGGACCAGATGCTCGCGCTGGGGATTGCTGGCGTCGCGGGGATCCAGACAAACCAGGGAGCACCAGGCTCCTGCGTTTACGCTCCATACTGCGATCAGATGCAGGTGAATCCGTTCGCATGGCTCCAGGAATGGTAGACGAGACGATGCTGCTATCGCTCTGATCGCCTGGGTCGATGTCCACCAACGAGAAGCCCCGCCGGGAAGGTTGAGAAGTCCCCAGCAGTCCGGCAGCACTCTTATGCGAGCGAGGAGTGGGACATTCCATGGGGCTAGATGACCCTGTAGAAACGGCAACAGAGGAGGATTTTCCCTCCGAGGACTGCCCTGACTGGAAGCGATCAGCGGCGTTTCGCATTGTCATCGTTAAAGCTGACACCGTTGGGAGCGGTTCAGACTCCTGACCCGCGTTCTGCGAGAGTACTGAACTTGTCGGGGGAGCTGTATCATCAATAGCGTCCTCTGGTGGAACCTCGTCATCTGATGAACTGGAATCGCTCAATTGGCCAGCGGCGATGCGTTCGGCTTTCCTCAAGGCTGCAGTAATACACTCCTCAACCAAAACAGTGTACTCGATACGGATTCTTTCCGCGTACTCGACAATCCTGCGATGACGAACCACAGCGTCCACCTTAGCTTTGGAGACCTGCTCCGTATCCATGCACAGGCTAGCAAGACCAAGCTCCTGCTCTAATGTAGTAGAGCTCGGTGATTGCCATTGAAGCACCTGCGAAATGCGAGATTCCGATTGGGGTGACATGGTCCGGAACTCGTCACCATTGTCGGCACGGGATTCTCTGAGCACAGGCATGTTTATTTCTAATGCGGTGTCGCAAAGATCAAGAATCAATTCAACTACCCGCGCGAGTGGCCGCCGTACAGCGAAAGACCGCGCTCGTGCATGGCCAGTTCCGGTAACCGACTGGTCTCTGGATCTGGGAGGTGTGGCAGGAGCAGAGCTGGTGGTTGATACAGTGCCTGATGAAGGCGCCGAAGCAACAGGAGAGGGTCCAATAGGGAGTCCTTTATACTCCGGTTGAGGCAAAGGAGGTGACCCACCATCACGGTGAGTCCCTGGCCTGCCCTGTCTTGCCTCTAGGGCATCGAGAACTTTGACAATTGCATGCCTGTGCTCGTTGAGGTTCTCCTGTGCGATCTGAACGTCCATTTCTGCCTGGTGTTCTTGAAGACAGAGATCTGAGTGCTTTTCGAACCACCAAGGAGTTATCTGACGCTCACAAATGCGGCATAAGATGGGTTCTGGGGCAGGGTGTTTAGACTGATCGGGCTCATTAGCAGCAGCCTCAGCGAGAACAGTCAGATAGTTCGCCAGAACCTCAGCACCAACACCAAGTGACTCTACCAAGGAGGATGGCAAGTCGATCGTAACTTCTCGCGGCTTGGAAAAGGGGCGCAACATCCACATAGTCTGGTTGCAATCACAAGTCAGTCATATTGTATGTAGAGCGAGTAAGTTCCAAGTCGTCAACTTACGTGAGCAACGCCTTCCGCTGTACGGTCAAAGACCATAATTCCCTGCCCTTCCAGATTGAGAATATCCTGTCCGTTCTCCTCTGATTCGGGCGATGCCTCCTCCACTTCATCAACTCCTTCTGTCGGCTCGGACTTCGTCGGCTGAGGTTCTGGCGAGGATTTGAGTACCGAATCCGGGCCTAGCTGTACCGAGACGCGGATGAAACGGCTGCGAGAATCGTCTTCTTTGAGAGATTCGATCGCATCGTGGAAAGCGTTCTTGTTGTTCACCAGAACATCCGCGATCATTCGCCCTTCTATTGTCTCCGGAGCCGTCCCCACAACCTGTTTCCAAGACGGGCTCACCCATTTGACGCGCCCGTCCAGATCTAGGTCGACAATGACATTCAAAGTCTGCTCCGCTGCCTCCTTCAAGTCTTCTCGTTCTTCCCTCATGTTATCATCGCTCAACGCACGCGTTATAGGGTAGTGTTTCGAATCGACAGCTCGGGCCTCCTGCCTCAGGGCAGTTACGGCCGGAGGGGTGAGGTATTGTACATTTTCCGTGCCCTCGCCCGCCATACTGGCGAGGCGGTATTGCCGAGAGGAGGGGACAAGTTCCTCTCGGAGAACGAGTCAAGGACGTAGGACGACGCTTAGTCGAAGAGAATAATAGAGGATATAAGCAGAGTTGAGCACAACCGTCTGCTGGGCAGAGCGGATGCCCTTGATTGTTGGCTAAGGAGTCATTCGCAGTATTAACCGGCCATGGCGGAGTCGCGGGGAATGTGAAAGAGCACAAACAGCCCTACCGCGACGGGAAACTCGATTATGAAGTGGACGCAATCTGTGAGGTCGTATTCTCTATTTCGAAGTCGAGAAGGGTTAAAAAAAGAGTGACTGATCACGTAAGAACTAAGAAGTCGAAACTTGAAACAGAGGAGCGAGGAAGCGGCTATGCGGGGGGTCTGAATGGCGCGACGGTCAACGCGAAGCCCACGACGATCGACGCCAGTAAAGCTCCAAATGAGAGTGGCGCACAAAGGGTACCTCGAGGGGCTAATCGGGGTATTGTAGGGGTAGAATGTTGAGAGACCGGCAATTTGGACGATGGATAAGGTATTTAATAGAATAGCAGGATGAAACAAACGTCAGGAAGTGCAAAGCAATGATGAGAGCGAGGTGTAGGAGAGCAGCGTGGGAGAGTCAATAATACGAGTTGGGTACGGAATTCGTGTACTGCATTGAAAATGACGGCCCAACAGGCCCACCCTCCGCTAATTTAGACTGGATCCAGGGGTACGGTATGGTAAGGAATGGACTCTGGATCAAGGAAGCAAAGAAAACCAATCAGCAATGGCGGCCTTACTAAGACCTCAACTAGCGGATAAACGGCCAACGCTTCGGGAGGATCACGTGGAGCATGCCATTCTTCTATCTGGATCACCAAACAACTACCGCGCCCTGTTGTTTTTGATTGCTCGATGGCCATCTCAATGCGGCTGTCCCAGTGCTCTATGACTGATTTCTCTCATTTCCACGAGTGCTCCAAAGAATCTCGAGATTTATTCAGTTTATCGACAGTTATGGGTCCGATCTGCTCTACCGTATGATCGCCCTTCTCCACTCCCGTAAATCAAGGGCGCCACAAACAGAGTCAATCCATTCTTCAAGGAAAGATGATTCTCAACTCACTCCAGATTCTTCCACCTTGTGCTGTGGCAGCACCATGTTTAGGCTTGGCTTGATCCCATGTTTCTTGACCCAGAACAGGAAAGGCTCGCTATTCGCCAGCACCCCGGCTCTTCCAGCATTAGCGTCAACTATACTTGATGTCGCTGAAGATACAAGACGGCTCGTCGTTCGGGGCACCGCTGCCCGTTATATTGCCAGACTCGAGCTGACTACCAACGGAATTGGGGGTTTCATGATCCGTGTCTGAGTGGCTTCTACCCATGGATATAATAGCTATCAGTTTAGTCGACATGGGTTGTCTTTTCGCAATCTTACGACTCAACGCCACGTTCGAAGAATTCTTAACGGTGCGCCGTTGATCATCCATCGAAATGTAAGTGTGATCCCAGTGATTTGTCCGACATTCCCCTCCAATATTTGAGGAGTCTTCGACCCGACACCTCTTATATGAACCATTCATATTGCATACGTGTGTGCTGGCCTGGATCATTCCAATAAGCTTCCAGGGCGCCACTTTTTCGGGCTCCAGCTCCGGTAACAGTATCAGCTGCTTAGTTGTCCCGTGGGAGGCCTGCGTCTGGACCCAGACGGTAGTCGCTCACTTGACTCCTCCCAACCCAGACGATGTCATCGAAAAAACTCCTGGACCGATTTCAAATCTCGGAATTGCAAGAGCTGCTGATGACCTTTTCTTGCTGATGCTGGCTGTTTTACTTTGGTATACCTATACTGATCCTTGAGCACATTTGACGAAGTGGCAACGCGGCTTCCGACATGATCGAGGAAAACACATATCGAACGAACTGGCACTATAGCGCACTGATATTGTCATTTTACTTGCAAGACTGACCGACCGGCACGTCCTCAGGGTTATCGTCGGTTGTCTCATGGTTTCAGTATCTCTTTGGGGTACTATTTTTCATCCACACCTCCACATTTGACGCATGCCAAGCGATGTGGAGGAGGTTGAAGGATGAGAGTGACTATTTCCTGCCGATGCCTGAATCTTTATGAACCAAACTATTTTTGTCAAGGAACAACGCAACGATCAACGTTCTCGAAAGCGTGCGAAGAGGTCTGAACTTTGAAGCTTGCGGGCTGCGGGGTAGAAAAGGTGGGGAGACCGCCGAGTGGACGATCCATAACTCCAGTTTTGCGTCTTCCCAAGCACCTTCCAAGTCCTCAAGATGGTGTAAAGTACTGTGCTACTCTAGGCTTGAGGACTCAACTGGGATTTCAAGCCGAAGCGACACACATACTTCGCTTTCGTAGGCCGGGCCCCTCCACCGCCGAGATGCCGTGGAATACCGCTGCAGGCCGGGGTTTCGTTCATCCAGACACCGCTGCTCCTACATCTCTCAAGAGATATTCAATATGCTCTTTTGAGAGAATATCCTCAAATTATTAGCTTGAGCATTACATCAGATCTTTTGATTGAGGGATGAGCACCTACTTCCATGTTTTCTTGAGAGATGTCCATCCTTGACTGCTAACGTAAATGGTCTGGATCGACACCCTTCTGCGGGGTTGCAGAGAAGAATCGAAACCACTGCTCCATGACAATGGAAGTCAAGGCAGGAAACTCAATTACCTGACTCTTTGCTGTAGTCATTTGACTTGACAAAGGGCGCGAAGGGGGTGCGGCATTTCCCAAGTCCGGAATCCTGTTGGCGGTTTATATCCAATCATACGGAGGGGCCGTGGAATGAATCAGGGCCAAGCACAGTGTCCTTCATTTCTGATTCTTGAGTTTGCTGAATTGCGATTTGCTCTCTCGTGAGCCGCGGAAGGTTGGCGACCCTGAAAGTTGAACACTCAAGGAAGTCTGCTCCGACCTCCAATTGATCTACCTTGCTGCCTCAAGATTCCATCCGCCCTCGACCCCGGAAACAGTGCTGAATGGTTCTCCACTTCCACTCATTCTGGCCCCTTCGATCCGTATAGTGTTTCGGAAAAGCGGAGTCCTTTTCCAGCCGAGGGTTACGTTTGACTTTGACCTGAATACGTGCGCTTACCCCATTCCAACACTTGGAACAGAAAGTACCGAGCTTCAAGCGCCAATGGAAGCGTCTGAAGATATCGTACGTAAATGGAACGTGAGTCTGCATCATAGCGTGTCGTTTATGCATGCCCGTAATGTACTTTGTCATCCTTGCAGAATAACTAACTACCCCATTCCCCGTGCAATACGGAAGCCTCATTGGAGCATAGAATAGTGGGATCACTCTTATCGCAGATGGTGGAGCTCATGGTTGACGGAGTAGGCAAGATATATTGGTAAGATAAGAAGTATTCCAGGACCTCTGCTTAACAGTCAGTATTAAGATATCCCTTGTCTACTCACCTCCTTCGCTAGGGTCTGCATATACATAAGCCAGCTAAGCTCAAGAGGGGGGTATGAGGTGCTCATGTTGCATAGCCCTACCTGAAAGTGATGTTCAACGGGGTTCCTCTAGATTGATTACTCTGGCAGGTTCTAGTAGCTCTGTGTACTTGAAACAGTCGCTCGATAGCTTATATTAGGGGAGAATAATTATTTTATAGCTAATTGCGCGTCATGCTTGTCTCGGAATGAATGTCCGAGTTGACTTGTAGAGTTATTACCTTATTGGCCCTAAGTCAGTACTACCTAGGGTAGGTAGCTGAGGACTAGATCAACGGCTAAGGGGACTGGGCCTAGGTACGACAAATGAACCCAATGTGTGCTTTGGGGTAGGTATATGGATTATTAGGGGTTTAGATAGCGGCAAGTATATACGTGAAGCCCCCAAATTATGCCTCGAGTAGCATATAGTACAACAAAGAAATTGAGTCTAGTCCATACCAACAGATTACTGCCCCTTCTTCTCACCCTCCAGCCGCCAGCGTTCAACAAAGTACCCAACGGCCCTTGCAAGCCCCTCATCCAGCGGAACAAGCGGGCTATATCCGAGTCTCTGCTTTGCCTTCTCACACGAGTAGTACCGCGTCATGCACGAGTACCGGACCGTGCGCCTCGTCAGCTTCGGCGTCTTCCCCAAGAGCCCCAGGACGGTCTCGGCGATGCCGCCGATGGGGCCAAGGAGCCACTCGGGGAGCTCCCAGACCTGGTTCGGCTCGACGACGCGGTTGGCGAGCGCCCAGGCGGCGTGCGTCAGGTCCCAGAAGTAGACGGGCTGGTCGTTTGTGATGAGGAAGGCTTCGCCGTCGACTTTTTCGTAGTCGAGGAGCTCGCCTTTGCCGGATTCGAGGCGTGTGTGACTGGCTAGGAGGCGGTACGCGGCGAGGGTGTGGCTGTAGGCGACGTTGCCGACGTAGGTGAAGTCGAAGAGGTTGTTGTTTTCGCCGAGTTGCATCTTGAGAACGGTGTCCGAGGCGTTGACGCCGTGTTCGAGAATCTTGAGGATCACTTGGCCATCTTTCTCGCCGTAAATGCCTGATGGGCGGAGCGCGCAGGTGAGCATGGATGTGGGGGAGGTGCGGTTGTACTTTAGGACGACTTCTTCGGCGTCCGCCTGCGAGGTTCGATTCGTGGTTAGCAGCTGCTAGTCAGGGAACAGACAAGGAGGTAGGGTATCGTGCCTTTGTCTCCGAGTAGTACTCTTGCTGCAGTTTACCCCTGATAAGAGGCCAGTCCTCGTTGACATTGATCAAGTCACTCTGCGTATCGTGCACGACAGACGCAGAGCTTGTGTATACAAAAGCCTTGCACTTGCCACCCCAATCTCCGCGAGCACCGCCCGCGACCTCGAGCAGGTTCCTGGTACCCTCCACATTGACCTGGTATAGCAGCTTCTTGTCCGTCAAGATTGCACTGGCGGTATGAATAACAACGTCTGGCTTGACTTCGCGGAACACAGAAAGCATCGACTCCGTCGAGGTCAGGTCGCCCTCGTAGTACTGCGCACCTGGCAGACGGTTATTTGTGGTCCGCAGGTCAACCACGGCGACTTTCGCGACGCATCGCGGGTATCGGTCTCCGAGACTGGGATAGTCGAATCGGGCATCTCCCTGGGGTTTCGGGAGTGCAGCGCTGGGATCGGTCTCGGAAGGGTAATTTAGCAATTGATCAACGATGTGGGAGCCGAGAAAGCCGCATCCGCCGACTACTAGGACTGTGCCTAATTGCATTGTAGGACGTTTGTCGGACATTGTGAAAAATAGATGACCTTTTTGGTTATACTCGAGGTCTGAAGGGCGGAATACAGAAGTTCGAGCGACCCGCAAGGCGAAGCTGGGGTGGACGCTGAAATCTGGCTTAATTTCGGGGTCTGTCAGTCCGTCCGTCTGGGGGCGGACTGGGGCTAACTCCGTATTTGGCACGTGACTTGCACTCTACGATGTATATCAGACGCTCAACCAACGTTCAGCCACTAAAACTTTGACTCGATGCTTCGATACAAGGAGATACCTTCCAGGACTTCGAGTGTACAGCGTTTTAAATAATATAGCAAGTGTGGTGGGCCTTGGAACGATTCATTGAAAAGAAAAACGCTTAGCCCTGAAGAAGTTCTTGAAACAACATCTGGCCTCAGACGAAGGGAAAGTGTTATGCAAGACAGTCTCTTAAGCTGATAACACAATCATCGTACTCATGGTTCAAAGAGATGCAGTGGTAAAAGGTGGATTGCCTTCATGTCCGGCCATCCGCGAGTATGCTGACGCCTGGTGTTATCTAGAGCTCAGCCAAGTGCATCTCTGGACATTGCGAGGTACTTTGTTAGCCTTGGAAATAAGCCGGGGTAGACTAGACTTACTCGACTGATCTTTCGACATCTCTCCTGAGCGTTCTTTTGTACTTTTTACGATCCTCAGGAGAACCCCAGAACAGCTTCGAAGCCTCTGGGTTGACCGTAGTACGGGGGTCGTATGGCGGGTCTTCCTCTTCCAGTGCGGCCACAATTGCTTCAATATGATGGCGCATATCTTCAGTTTTCTTCGGAAGATAGCATAGAACGCCCTGCGGCGATACACGCACATGAGAAAGTGGCGCATCCAAGAAAACTCTAGGTTGCTCCTTAGGGAATTGAGTGCTCAGATGTATCCTAATCTTGATGATACCTCCCTCGAGGGGCGTTGTCGGCCGGCCAAAGTATGTAAGTCTCCACAGGAAAGGGTTCTCGTCAACTAGGTTCAAGTCGAGCGAGTAGTTCTTGTGGTGTTTCAGATTCTCAACGATTTGCTCAAACTGGCGCTGCAGATTCACTGCGATTCCAATCTCATCCTTTTTAGCCTGGAGTCCTTGTAACTTCCATCCCTCTGTCTCTTTGGAAATATTGTCCCTGATAAGAGCTAGCCGACGCTTCAGTTCAGGATAATTGAAGTGTCCGTCCATGGCATTGTTGGCATGCTCGAAAGGCATCCACTGGAACCGACTTTTAGGCTGAACGAACCGGGCCTCGGATTCGACGAGCTGCATGTACGATTCGTAATACCAGAGAAAACGCCGCTTGCGAAGGTCAAAAAATGGTGTACTAGATGCGACGGCTTCATCCTCAGAACTGTCAGTAACTGCCGAATCCCTGTTGATAGGAGATTTCTCGGTCCCATCCGGCAATATACCCAGCGCGGCCTCTAAGGGTTGAATAACAGCGATTCGAATGGTCTCGTGGCGAATCTTGAGAGTAGGCATGTCATTAGCCAGCTTCGTAAGCGGAAAACTGGAACGCTTACCTTGCATTTGTACTGCTCCATGTTCAGTTTGTCCGAGTCCGACTTGGCATCGTCGAATCCAGGTTCGTTCTCGTAAGGATTCGAGGACATCAGGCTCTGAATTGAGATCAAAACGGACTCTAGCCCCTGCGCGGACGACCATTCCTCTCCTCTATCACCACTCCAAGTTCTAGCTAGAGAATTAGCCGGAGTTTGGTGACAGTGAATCAGCCGGATCTTGTTTACCCTAGAATCGACCTTGTTTTGCCAGTACACGTTAGTGACCCTGAGACCGCTGGATATCGCTTCATACAACTTACAAGCAGACCTTTCCTCCGGCATAGAGATTTGGACTAAACCTGCAGGACCCTCCATTGGTCGTCAAAGCACGTACGTCCGGGGGCCGCGCCGGGTACTCTAGAGAGACAACGTCAAGATCATTTTCTAGATGTCGGATATCAAGTCTGCCAACCTTTTCCGAATTTAATCGCGAACTACATCATCTCAAAAAGTCAAATCGGGTCCGAAGCGTGATGGAGATCAGCTCACCTCAAAGAAACCAAATTGATACGGAGTCTCGGGAGGACCTAGGATGACTGCGCGGACATGTCGAATATCAGATTCATCGTAATCGACAGCGATGGCTAGTAGAGATTAGCGAATGTGGCCTGGAAGAAGATCTTGCTGCGGTCGCAGAAACAACAATGATTGCTCCACTCCGAAAAGTGACGGAGGGGTTCTTACAGAGATCTGCAGCATGCTGGATCTGAGCGAGTTCCTGGACAGCACGGCTCGTGTTAGTTCAGTGCGGCTCCATACATCGGCTCAAGGAAAGAAGTTGTAGACTGTACCCTTGATATACGTAGGACTGCTTGATCAGACATCTTGGCGGGGAAAGGTCGACTGCGAATTTTGAACCGACTGTAAGGATCTCCAGGTCAACTAGGTCTACTAGAAGACAGCGTTATCACGGACCGCGCACCTGACAAAGTTGACTGACAGAAAGCAGACTGGTTGCGTGCTCCTAAATGGAAGGTGCCGGTTCTATGGAAAGGTAGAGTCAAAGAAGAGAATAGATGGGAAAGATATCAAAACAGTAAGTTGGGATGGAAAGTGAAGTGAGCGACCAAGGATGTCGTGGAAACGAGAGAAGGTCGAAGCTGTTCGATACATCCATCCAGCCAGCAGTCAGCCGTGCCGCATCCCTGGCAGACTTTATTTGCGCACTTTAGTGTATAGATACAAAAAGAAGACCAGCGAGCAAACACAAACTTAACCAAGCATTTTCCTTACCTATATGGATTCCTGTCATTTACTGATGAACCCACTCTAACTCTCCAAGTATCCACATCCTTTCGGAGCCCCAGATTTCGAAAGCCTCCGTCGTGTTTGTACGTAAAATTGTCCTGGAGGAGAAGTCTGCGATGCGGTCCATGAAATAGGTCAGAAGGTCCATAAATCTGCCTTACCACGCCCTTTCTGCAGGCCCACAGCAATCCTCCATTTACAGTTGCATGCGGCTTGTTGTAGCTGGTGCCTACTCTAGGCACCCTGAGCCCCTGTAACACGAAGAAAATACCTGATCACTAAGGTTTTTGACTGCCTGCAGCAGTTGTCAAGGCCTACCCAAAACATTGATCAAGAAGTTCAGGGACCGATCCACTTCATAACATTGGCACTCGCAGAGTCCAACCTCTGTGGCCCGTGAGGCGGCCAGGATGTTAGGGCGCCATCCCCAGCCTCGTAAGCTTGGCTGGTCAAAGACCACACCAAAAATAGCAATAGCAGAAAAGTGAAGCAAATAAGTGTCTGACCAGGGATTGCTATCCTTGAGAGTTCTAGCTTACAGTCACAAGTGCATTAGCAGCTCTTGCGCCTGAAAATGAAGTATGTCTTGCTTGACCATTCCAAGCTCATTTGTTGCCTGAGGCAGCAAGGTGTCCTGCAACAACAGACTACAGCTACAAAAGCCCTTAATCCCATTTTGCTCTGTAGAACACACAAATTCCTTCTTACATTTCTAATATCATTCAGGCTTGACGCAATGTCGCTTTTATCTTCTGATAAATACGCCCCTCGAACATCAGAAGTTCCATGTTGCTGACATGGAAATGCAAAACAAACAGCAAACCTGTTTCTCTAGGCGGTGTGAGCAGCGGTGAATCTCTCACGTGATGAACACTGACCAAGATGGAAGCATAGGGGGGCAGAGCAACAACTAACAGTAGCACCCGCACTGCCCCAAACATCTTTGGTTGAGACTCATCTTGTCAGCTTTGACTGATCTGGCTTTATTTGCCTAATCTGATAGTGAAGATTGATTCCCTACGCCTGGACCGCGGGTAAATGCCCTTTGTTGAAAGGGATCAGGAATGGTGGTGATCTTGGCCAGCGACCTCCGCCGCTTGTTGGTCTCACTTTGAGCTTCGACCCTTTCACTCCAATTCCCTTTCCCACGGGCGCCTGCGTTACTCTGCTGGGCATCATCGAGCTAGTCCTGTCGCTTAGGTAGGTATTTCTGTGAGCTATCTGAATTCCCCGTCAGGCACGCTCTCCGATCCTCGTACCTTGAATTTCCCCGCAAGTTGTACCTGGATGGCTTGAGGTGAGTTTCGCTGCTGAAACGAGCCTAAGCATGCTACCTCGCCAACCCCGCGCGAACTTGGGAGATCATTTTCTAACATAACCTTACACTTCCAGAATTTCTAGGACACCGTGGATGTACCCTTTCTGTTCTCTTTAAGCCTCGGATTCTCCGATACCACTTTCGATTGTCTTTGCCCTGTACTTCATACTACCTGACCTCGGCGGCAACCCGACACAACACACCTTCACTCGTCTGAGATAATCTCGAATTTAACAACGAAAGGCGCACGCCCGAGAACGCTTCGCACGATTTCTGGGGATACATAACTGGATTGAACCTGCAAAGGCATAGTTCTTTACGGACATGCCTCCCGGCGATGTCCCACTACCGGACAGCCTCGTGCCGGGCAACGGGGCTGTCCGTCCAAGCCTGAATACGACCGGCTATGGTCCTGGTACTAGCAACGGGGGAGGCTTTCAGACACAAACACCCACGTCACCTGCTGATAGCACCGTCCCTTTCGATTCTCCTCGCGCTCGCCCATGGAACGCGCCTACCGGTCTTGATACCGTTCAGAGTCCAGATGGTCGCGCAGGACGCCGATTAGATTCTAATGCTTCCGATCCAACAACACCGCAGGATCGGACTAATTATTGGGAAACTTCTGCACCAATGGACAGACCGCGACCGAACGGCCGATCACACACCAAGTCCCCAGGGAGTTCATCAAGAATTTGTAAAAAGTGCAACGAGCCGCTCACCGGCCAATTCGTTCGAGCTCTACAAGCAACTTACCACCTCGAATGTTTCAAGTGTGAAGTGAGTCCTTCCTATCAGTCTCCTCCATTTTGCACACTAACAATGCTGGCAGGACTGCGGACAGATTGTAGCTTCCAAGTTCTTTCCCGTCGATGCGGAAGATGGCAGCGGACAATACCCACTATGTGAGATTGATTACTTTCGAAGATTGGACCTTCTATGCCACGACTGCGGTGGTGCATTACGCGGCTCCTACATAACCGCCTTGGACCGCAAGTATCACATAGAGCATTTTACCTGCTCAGTTTGTCCGACAGTTTTCGGCGCACAAGACTCTTACTACGAGCACGAAGGCAAAGTATACTGCCATTTCCATTACTCTACACAATTCGCTCAGCGGTGCCACGGTTGCCACACAGCAATCTTGAAACAATTCGTGGAGATCTTCCGCAACGGTCAGAATCAACATTGGCACCCCGAATGCTATATGATCCACAAGTTCTGGAACGTCCGTCTTGCGCCAACTGGCCAACCTTTGGAGTACCCGCAGGTGGAAGAAGATGCGACAGACGAAGAAAGGAACCGAATCCGTGAGGAAGAGGACTTGATGGAGGAGAAAGTCTACAGGATCTGGAGTATCCTCTCCACTTTTGAGGAATCATCTGCGGCCTGCATCTCCGATATGCTTCTTCATGTTAGCAACGGTGCTTATATAGAAGGAGTACTCGTCGCAAAACGGTTCATCGAGCATGTTCAAATCCTTTTCTCTGGTATTGACCAGCTCGCAGGCGTTATCAAGGCCCAAGGGATTAAAGGTGAGACACGACACTACCCAAACAGCAAGTAGTGCCCGACTAACTCTCTTCGTCCAGACCTTGCCTTTGGCCGTGAAGCCAAATTGCTTTGCAAAAAGATTGTCGCATTCTTCGCCCTGCTATCTAAGACACAAGAGACGGGAGTTCGAAAGCTAGGCGTCACTCAGGAGCTTCTGTCGCTAGTGACTGGTCTTGCCCATTATCTCAAGCTCCTCATTCGGATCGGCTTGCAAGGCGCGCTGAAACTAGAAAGGGAACAGCGCACTCCTAAAGGCCTCCACCAGTTCCTAGATCGTCTTGGAGATCTCGAGTCGCTGCGACCACAGGAAGAGGATGAGCTATCTGCAGATCTGATGGTTGGCGTGGAAACATTAGCCGACCAACTGTCCGATTGCTGCGCTTCATGCCAAGAGCCGATTGACGACGAGTGTGTCATGTTTGGCACCAACAGATGGCACACAAAACCTCCGCATCTTCTCTGTACTTCGTGTAAGACAGACCTGACAACCAACCTTCAGGATGCTTTCCTTACTCCAAAAGACAAGCAGGCCTTTTGTGGCAACTGCGTTGCTCACAAAAGTCTTCTGAACACCGTGCAAAAGGGGTTCACACAAGTTACAAAACTTCAGCAGTTTGTTTTTCTGCTTAGAGTTGCCCTTGCTCGTCTTCTTTCTGTTTTACGAGCTGGAGGGACCCTTTCCTCATCGGGTAAGTTTTCTTAGCTTGTCGCCGTTTTTAGTACTCGATACTAATTTTGTCATAGATGGCCTTGGCACAAAGGCGCATGGCGGCAATCAAGCTACTCCAAGCGGCGAATCAGGTTATTCCCGGTCTCGGGCAGAGGGCGGCGACGGGTCTTCACTTGAACAGACTGTTGGCGAAATGCGACGCCTTCGGTCAATTCGCAACGAGCGTGCTCTCTCCACAACATACAAGAAGGCCCGTGCGTCGCGAATCATAGATGGTCCTGAAGGGCGGAGTGTCAGACCCGGTTCGGCTGGTGGCGAGGGTCAAGATTCTAGAGGAGCTGGCTTCCAAATTGTAGAAGAGAGGGACGTCAACGGAGACACCGTGACAGAGCTAACGTTTGGCAACCAGGATGCTTTAACCTTGGATGACATTCCAAGGATTGTTGCCGCGGAGCAGGCCAAGGAGCAGCGGCCCAACGCATACAGACATGCAGGCACGAAGCTCGTCGGTACTACCGAGCCCCTTCCCAGGTACAACCGTGGGCATCAACGCGGCGTTTCCGGTGCCGGTATTGATCAACTCCTCCCTGAGCAAACCGGAAGGGGGAAAAGGTATTTTTCGGAACTTTCCGCCTTGGAATTCTTCATTGTTAGGCACGTTGCCGTTTTGTCCATGGAGCCTCTTCTGGACGGCGCATTTACGCTGGAGGAGCTCCTTTCTTTGATCGAATCGCGGAAACCGACAATATGGAACATCTTTGGAAGAGCCTTTGCCAAGGACGCGAAAAAGGGAGGAAAGAAGAAGGGTGTATTTGGCGTCAGCCTGGATCTTTTGGTCGAGAAGGAAGGCACCGAGTCCAGCCATGGTGTCGGCCCTGGAGCTCTTCGCATCCCAACCCTTGTCGATGATGCCGTTTCTGCTATGCGCCAAATGGACATGTCTGTTGAGGGTGTCTTCCGAAAGAATGGCAATATCCGACGTCTGAAAGAGGTCTCGGAGTTGATCGACAACAAATACGAGCAAGTAGACTTGACGAAGGAGAACCCTGTGCAGATTGCAGCCCTGCTCAAGAAATTCCTTCGAGAAATGCCTGATCCGCTCCTCACCTTCAAACTCCACCGTTTGTTTGTGGCTTCGCAGAGTAAGTCCCACCTATCTTGCATCGCCCCCTTCCCTGTACTAACATTCCATCTTGCAGAAATATCAGATCCAGAAAAGCAGAAGCGGGTCCTTCACCTCACCTGCTGCTTGCTGCCAAAGGCTCACCGCGATACCATGGAAGTTCTGTTTGCCTTCCTCAACTGGACCTCGTCATTCTCCCATGTGGACGAAGAAACTGGAAGCAAGATGGATATCCACAATTTAGCGACCGTTGTGACCCCCAATATCCTCTATCCTAACACAAAGACCAGTGGTGTTGATGAGAGCTTCCTCGCAATCGAGGCCGTCAACGCACTCATCACCTACAACGACACCATGTGCGAGGTATGTTTTCAGCGCCGCCACCATGACATGAGGTTTACTAACTTGATATAGATACCGGAGGACCTTCAATCCGTTCTTACTGACAGCAGCTTCTTCAGAGAAAACTCAGAAGTCACGACCAAAGAGATTCTTAAGAAGTATGGGGATATTGCAAGGGGCAGCTTCTCCCAGAAACCGAGCAATGGTGGTGAAACCTTCACTATCACCAACCAAAACCGTGGAGCAAACGTTCCAACCTCAGCACGCATCGAAACAGACCCGGCTCAGGACGCTGCTGTTGCTGCTCAAATGCCAAGCTCAGTCCGACATGTCCCTGGCCCTGGAGGACACCCCCATCCAAGCGGTGCTGCCCCCCCTGGCGGCGCAGAGCTTGGGCCTAGCTTAGACTTCCGCGACCGCAGCACCAGCACTGGAAGTCAGCCCGACGGCCAGCCGCAACAGGTACCCTATAGAGCTCGTCCAAACCCTGGAGCCATGGGTGTTGCTAGTTAATCTTCGTGTGGTCCTGTTTTCGCTTGCTTTTACTCTTTTTACAGGGGGAGGGGGGGCGCTTGTCAGCATTTGATATCATGGTTTGAGCTTCACAGGAATGCTCTTGACGAATTTTGGGTCGTCCAGCCTTTTGCTTCGCCGTTATCCTACATCTTGGCTCACCATCATCATCCTTCCACTTACAGTCGATTTCATTGCGACATACTCGGATCTTCAGCTGAAACGTCATCTTGTCTCTCTTCGTCATTCAAAAATGCATTGCATCCGGCCGCGACGTTAGTCTCATCTTTGTTCTTCATAATCTCGCTATGGTTTTGGCTCGGAACTGCCTACGGGTCTCTTACTGCTCAGCCATAGCTTGCCACGCACATTTGTGGACTTCGGGTGTCATTTTTACCATTCATTTTTGTCTCCTTTTATTGCATTGCATCTGACACTCGGTCATGGACATTGCAGTACTCCCCAGCGAATGTTCCTGTCTCTTCACCATCATTCCCAATCTCTTTACCAGTGCTCGAAGCGGACCTCTCCATTGATCTGTGAGAGCCCTTAATCGCAACTACCCTTCTTGTTTGGTTTCCGCTCTCTTTATTCCATTTCCTTTTCTTCTGTTTTCTTCTCTTCTTCTCTTCTCTCTTTGCTCTTTGCTCTTTTCTCTTTTCTCTTTTCTTCCTTCCCTTCTTCTCATTCCCCGCCTGTCCAATTTACAAGACAGCAAAGATACCTATGACGAGTTTTTGTTTTTGCTACTTTTTTGTCTTAGTCCATTCTCAACATCATCATCGTCCTCTTACTTTCCTCTCTTCATTCTCCTTCTCCCACCATATCCCATCCGTCCCCTGAAGCGGTGTCGTTGAGTTTTGTGTATGTGTTTGTTTTCCCACTGGTGGTACAGGTTCAGGTCTTCCTTTCTATTCCACTTGCATCCCGTGTGATGTGTTCTTCTTCTCTTCTTTTTTTCCCAACCCTCATCAGTGATGTATGTAGTTTACAGCTGTCAATGGAATGCCTAAGGCGAATCGATTTAGTCGTGTGCAACTATCCCTAGCACATTTATATTATACCTAGGTAGTTTATATGTCAAGAAGAGAACGCGGTATACACAGGCACGTAAATAGTTGGTACAATGGGAATCACCAGACTAGGTCGGTAACGACTAAACTCCAGATAAAAGGCAGGCCTACGGACCACAAAGGATGATAAACTCCAATAAGTAAGACTGGGAGGAGAGTCTCTTGGACACATCCAACCATAGCGCAAAGTCGCACAAACAAATCACACACCCCCTCGAAAAACTCCAACCAAAACAAGGGAACGGGCTTTACGTTCCATACACCATTGCCCTGGAAACCTCTCAACTCCACATAAAAGGCTCTGTAGTTTGATATGCATGACAATCTCACAAGCAGCTGTACTGGGCTAAACCGGACGACAAAGCATAACGCATCTAAGCGCGCTTCCGCAGTGTGCGTCGACCGCCCGCTGCAGTTTCACCACCTGCCGGCGCCGTAACCTTTCGCGTTCCAGATGTGGCAGTCCTCTTCGAAGCGGCAGAGGGCGCCTGGGCTCGAGCAACGGCCGCCTTCTTGGCTGCACTGCCTGCTGTCGATGCAGTTGTTACCTTTCGCGACACGGTTGATCGAACTGTGTGTGCGACCGTGGTACCCGATGATGTAGACGATGAGACGCTACCTCTGCGGTCGCCTTGGCGAGTGGCCGGCCGCGACAAGGGTGAGCGTACGGATCTGGGACCCCCGGTGGCGGCTCTGCTTCCAGGACGAGTAGTTTGCGCGGATTGTGGGCGGGCAGGGACAGCGCCTCTTGAAGAGCCGGGGCGGTTGGCGGAAGTGGATTTGAGCGGGCTTGATGGTTTTAATGGTGACATTGGGCGAGACAGATAAGACGAGGGCTGCTGGGCTTTCTCGGGAGAAGCACGGAGTGGGGATTGAGGGTATGTTCTGGAGTTGGAGGATTTGGGCGAGAGGATCCTGTAGTCTGCCCCACGGACCTCTTGGGAAACAACGCGAGAAGTACCACTGGCGGCACCGGGTTTGGCGCGTCGTTTTGGGTTCTTGAGAACGTCGAGCTGCTCGCCTGATGCGGGGGCGTTTTCTTTGTCGGAGTAGATACCAGCGGGGCTAGCCATGTTAGTCTAGGACGTAAACAAACACCAGGACAAGCATACCTGTGCTTCCTCACTCGTCGAGGGCTAGGACTGGCAGTGGCCGCCTTCTTCCTCCCCGAAGCCGAGAGGGCTGTGAAGTTGCGGGACCCTTTTGCCGGGCTACGGTATTTCCGTGGTGAGCCTTCAAGCTGTGCGCGAAGGGCGGCATTGTGCTTCTCGAGCAGCTCGCCCATGTTCGCTTTGCGGAGGGCAATGGGAATTCGATTAACGCGTCGTTCGAGGCGTGCTCGGAGGTCTTGAGCTTGGAGGGCATACTGTGCGCGGAGTTTGCGAGCTCGTTCGGTGACTGCTGGCTGTCAGATTGGGATCAAAAGAGCACAGAAGATACATACTTTCAAGTTGCAGGTTGTCCATCAGAGCCTGTTTCTGGCTTCGCGTGATCCGCATGCGCTTTCTGGGGGGGCTGTTGGTGGGTGTGACATCGTCGATGGGATACGCGTCATCCAGGTCGGAAGACTTGCGTTTTGTCGCTGAAGACATTAGGAAATTATTTGCGCCCTGCTAATGTCTGATAGTCGAAGAATTATCGTGATTGAGCGGTCGTGGTGGTGTTGTGGAGGGGCGAAGGGATGTCAGAGGAAGTGGTGTTTGGGGATAAACAAGCGCTGACTTAATTCGTCGTTAGCTTACCTGAGCTCAACGCAACGCAGTGACATCTCCGGCTCCGTCTCTGGCCAGCTTCGACCCTACCTCCCGCCTTCATCAACCACTCCCCCTCCACCACTTTTACAGCACTTCCCGTACTCTACTTGGTCATTTCATTTCATTTCTCCCTCTTATACCCGCGCAGCTGATTGACCCGCCAAGATGTCGCTCGAAGCTACGATGATCATGTCCGTCACCCGACACCCCAAGCAAGCTCCAGACCGAAAAGCTAACCCATCCCAGCGTTGATAACAGCGAGAGCAGCAGAAACGGAGACTACACGTGAGACTACTTTACCCTACTCGAAAACCACTTATCCCTCTCGTCGGCGACGACCGGTCTGACAATAGTCACAGCTCGACACGATGGCAAGCCCAGATCGACGCAGTCAGCGTCATCCACACGGCCAAGATGCGCGCACACCCCCAGTCCGCCGTCGGACTGATGAGCATGGGCGGAAAGGGTCCCGAGGTGCTATCCACATTCACGACTGATTTCGGTGCAATCCTGGCTGGGCTGCACCGCACGAAGATCCACGGGACTGCGCATTTCACGTCGAGCATACAAGTTGCCGGTGTATGTTTTCATTCCCTCGATATCGTTTCTCAATCTGGGTATGGAATCTAACACATCTGTACAGCTAGCACTAAAACACCGCTCCGAAAAATCCCAACGCCAACGCATCATCGTATTCTCCTGCTCGCCCATCGAAGAAGACGAAAAGACCCTCGTCAAGCTCGCCAAGAAGATGAAGAAGAACAACGTCTCCATAGACGTCATCGCATTCGGAGAACTCGAGTCCGACCAGATCAAGAAGCTGGAAGCTTTCGTCGAGAACGTCAAGGGCGGCGACGGCTCAAACCTCGCCATCATCCCGCCCGGCCCGAACCTACTGAGTGAGGAGCTTCAGGCCTCGCCTATCCTGGGCGGCGACGGGGCCGGGGCCGGCGGCGCTGCTGATGGTGGTGATTCCGGTGGCTTTGATCTCGATGCGGTGACGGAGAATGATCCCGAGTTGGCGTTTGCGCTGCGTCTGTCGCTGGAAGAGGAGAAGAACCGGCAGGAGAAGGAGAAGAGGGAGCGAGAGGAGCAGGAGAAGAAGGGGAATCTAGAGGGAATCCCGGAGGAGGGGTCATCTTCGAAGAAGGACAACGAGGATCCAGATAAGATGGACACTGCGTAGATTTTGTATTAATGCATACCCGGCGTTTACCTTGACTAAACTATCTACATACACAATCCAGCCGAGTATGAGATACACATCATAATTCATAACCATCAATAAGTCTAAACAATACCACTGACCCAAATGCATCACCCTTCCCTTCAGACTCAAATTCGGTAAATCATGCCCTCCCCCTCAAGAACCCACCCAACCCGCGATCAAACCCCTCACACCGCACCGGCATCTCCAACTGATAAAACGGATTCTTCATAACATAGTCCGCATACAGCTCATAGACACTTTTCATGACCCCCTCCACATTCGGCATCCCAGGGTCCGTGAAAAGCAGAAACTTCGTCCCCGTTAGCGTCTGGAAGCACGTCAGGCGGAACTTCTCTGTTTCGAGCGTCTCGAGGCCCGTGACGGGGACCGACGGGTTCGGGTAGGACCAACTTGATGAGGAAGATGTTGGGTGCGGGGAGGGCGTTGCGGCTGTCGGGGTTTGTGTACCGCCGCCGGGGGTCGAGGCGCTGGTTGAGGAGGGGGAGAGGACTGCTGATGTTGCTGTTGAGGCGGAGGCGTGGTGTGATGGGGTTGAGGAGGAGGGGTTCGGTGTTGTTGATGTCGAGGGGATTGTGAGGTTGGGGATTTTGGGTGTGATTGAGCGGGTGATTGCGTGGATTCTGTTTAAGAAGTCTGGTTAGCATATATTTTGACATCCCAATACTGTCACCACCTTGTGCTGGTGGAGATCTGCAGAGCTATAGCAAAGCTCAACTCCTCCACAAACATCGCCATCGCCATGTTCACCCACATATCCTCAATATGTATAAATCAAGGTATAGAGGGGACAACGTACCCGTGAAACGTCCCCGCAAGAACAAGGTAATCGTTCGTAGAGAGCTTGAGCAGTCCCGGCTGGAATTCGCGCTGGTAGATGAGGCCGCCGGCCTTGTTGATTATGATTAGAGAGTAGACGGGCCTGATATAATTTGTCAGCGGCAAATCGCTTGTTAGCTGAGCTAGAGAGGAGAGACGTACATGGTGTGAGAAGAGAGGAGAATGAGGGGATGGGGGATGGTGACGGTTTGCTCGGAGGTAGATCGGTTGGGGGCAATGGCGGGAAATGGTATGAACTATGGGCGTATAGTTGAAGGAGTTGTCCGTCCAAAGAGAAATTGACCACAAGGGCTGTTGAGTCGAGCTGTGATTGTTAGTTATCGCGTGCGAAGCTCTCGGAGTCTGGGTTCTGGAATCTGGATAAGTCTGGAAATGCGGAGGTGCAACACGTGTCTATTCTGTACCCGCCTTGGGTGCGCTTTAGAGACCACTTCCTCCATCTCCACTGCAAAACAACAGGACAACCGCCTCTGTCAACTCTTCCTAGGAATCCTACAGCGCCGTCGAAACACATACTGTAGTTCGACAAATGCCTCAGTTTATTAGGCATCAGAATCTTTATCTCCCTGGCTCTAAAGAAGGCCGATGGCAAATTCCCCTCCTCCACGAACTTCATGCAAAGCGAACTATATATAATTCCCCTCCCTCTCTATCCTACGAACCACACCACACCACCCATGTACAAAGTAAATAAAACCAGGTTCCCTCTCTCCAATCAATTCGACCGAAAGACCAATTTCTATTTCTAACCTCATAAATTTCCCTTACTCATTCTCAAAGCAAGATAGTAACTACCCATGAAGAAGGTTACATCGCCTAAGCGCCGCACGCCCCCAACCAGTTTGAATCACAATCTCTCACCCACTTTGCCCATCTATCCCATCCCTCCTCCTTGCTCTCTCCTCACCCCTCATCTCGAATCGTATCTTACATCTCACAGGGCAAAAGCTCCCCAGTACAGGGGACGATCAGGGCAAAAACACCCGAGATCAAATAGGGTCAGCGTGGGTGAAGTGCGTGCGTGGCAGGGCACAGGCACCCATTCATGCGCCTGCACATGCACGCGCTGATCATGGTGCTACGTTCTAATAATACAAACTCTTCATCTCTGTCTGATGGAAGCATTGAGGGAGAGATAAGGGCTCCTGTCGACCTGGCACACGTGCTTGCTTGCGTTTCAGATCGTTCCTGGATGAGTCGATCTGCAGACTCTAAGGATGAGAGGCGCGGCCGCAGATGCCTTTGCCGAAGCCGGAGCGAGGACTGAGGAGGAAGAAGGGGGGTCTGAGGTGAGATCTTAGCGATGCTTTGCTTTGCGTTGGGCTTGGGACTTGCCCGGTACTGGGTAGTTTGCTGCAGCAGCTTACTTGTAGTAGTACTAAGATCGTGAAGAATGTACCTAGTACATGGGTGAGATACGAGTACGAGGTACCCTGTATGGTGGCTACTGGAGGTACCAGGTACCGTACACTGGGTACAAGTACGAGATGTAGGTAGTCGCTAGCTTAGGGGCTCTACATGCTTAGCATGGTTCTTGAGTAGAAAGTACATGGACAGGACTTGAGCTCTTCCAGAAGTCAATAATAACTGATGTGGAATTCAGTAGTCAAGAGTGCGTTCAATGCAATCTATATCTCCTACCCAGACATGTTTAGATTTATGTTCTCGGGGTTCTCGCCCACGCCATAGTATCGCAGGCGAGAGAAAGGTGAAAGGGGAAAAAAGGAAACAAAAGAGGTAGGGGGAAAACACAGAATATCAGTATCAGTGTCAGTATCGAGTACAGGATATCACGTCGTAAATCATCAAATATGTCATATCGTGCCATGCCAAACTTGAACGCTTCGAATATCGCACTCGCCATCGGTGTCGCCACTGCCGTTGCTATCGTCATTGCCCCTATCCAAACTCAAATCCAAATCCATCACCATACTCAGAGCGTATCTTTTATCCCATCCGTATCCGTGTCCAAATCGTACCCATGAGACCCAGACAACCCAAGAAACCAAAGGAAACCTATAGCCCAGACCCGAAGATAAACCGACCGAAGATAAACCGACCAAAGTACAAAAGAGATCAGGAAAGATAAAAAGGCAGGAGAAAAGAAAAGAAACCCTAATAGAAAAAAGCCAACAGTCAAGGAGACAGGCATCGAGGAAAATCGAGAAAGAAAGGGAAGTGTCTACTTCCGACAAAGCCCTGCAAGCTTCCACGTCCCCTTCTCAAACCGAATAATCCCCTGCTCAACAGCCCACTCCCTCAGCGGCACATCCTCCTCCTCAGGACCCGCATCGCCCTTCTCAAAGTGTCTTGCCACATGCTCCATGCGCTCCTTCCACGCATGCGGGCCCTGGAACTCCTGCCCGCAGAACCCACACTTGCTCTGCGTAGGGGGCAGCCTAAGCTGCCTCCAGCACCGCTTGTAGACCTCCTCGAGGCTCGCCTCAAAGGCCATCTTCTCGTCCTCGGTCACGGATGACTGCTTGGATCGCTGGTTCTTGGCTGTCACCCAGGGTGCGTGCATGCGGCGTTGGTGCTGGATGAAGAGGTCTTTGCGGTTGAAGTCGTTGACGAGGAGGGCGGATTGTTGGTGCTGGTGGTTTGCGTCGAGGGAGGGCGAGGGGGAGCTAGTAGTAGACTCGCGATTGTTGAGGCTGCATCGGCCGGTATCGCAGCGGTAGAAGCCCGGTTGGATGTGCTGGGAGCTGACGTGACGCTTCCATTCGTTCTTCGAGGGGAATGTGCTTGAGCAGCCGTAGCGGGCAAAGCTGCATACAAAGCGGCGTTCCGAGGACTTCTTGGTCGACTGCTTGGTGGTCGTGTCGGGAGCGGTTCGGGCTTTGGAGCGGGCGGGTGTCTTCTTGGCTGTTCTGGTGGTGCGTTTCTGCACGCCCCTGGGTTGCGTGGACTGTTTGCGGGCGGAGGTGGTGGTCTTGCGAGAGGTCTTGATGGACTCCTTCTTCGGGGAAGATGAAGCGGCTGTCGAGGCGTATTCAATGGGGTTCTGGTTGTGATAGGCTACAAACATATGGCTGCCTTGGTGTATCATCGGCGGAGCAGTCTCGCTGACTGCGCCCATGGGCTCACGCTCGTATAGAGCCAGTGGCATGGGCTCCTGGTATGCGGGAGGGGAGGGCGAGCTCTCGAAGCCTGATGTAGACGAGACGGCATCATCGTAGCTGTAGGTGGACATGCACCCGCTACTCAGGCTGTCCGACCGAGGCGAGTCACTACGGACGCTGCCATCAAAGTGGGCGTGACGAGGCTGCCAGTACTCAAACTGGTGAGTAGCAACAGGGGGGAGCGGGTACTGTGAGCTAAAGGCAGGCAGGTGAGGACCCTTGCCCGCGACGCCGTGGCCGCACGAGAAGGCTATCATGGGGTTCGGCATCGCCGTCGACATCGGATTGGTGTCATCATGGGCATAAAGCTGAGGGTCGTGCTCAATGGCAAGGGGACCAGGCCCATGATAGGCATGGAACTCGGTCGGATACGGATAGTGGCCATCCATTGTTTCAGGCACGCACCGTGAAAGAAGTACACAAGATATCAAACAAAGGATGATGAAGAGTATACACTTTCAAGTTGGTAACAAAGCTTGAGCCAGGAACAATTGAGCATCGTTGCAAACGGCGGGTCCACGGCCCCATTTATCCTCTGTTTACACTTGCTTCTCCTGTCGAGAGGAGACCAGCACGCAAAATGGGTGAGGAGGGCCGTCGCACGAATGGAGGACCCCAGAATGAGCCTCAAGGACCACTCTGTGCCCTCCATAAGCATCATCAGGAACCGGAAAGTGCACTTGATATCGGTGAAGTGGGTGCATGCGTGCTGCATGCCGACACCAAGCCCCCAGATAGTGACTGGCACTAAACTGGTCAGGGCCCATTGCGCTGGTGCCAGGCCCATTTTTCTTTTTCCTCAATCCGCCTCTCCCTCTTCTCAGGCGTTTTCTCCATGGTCAGAGCAGGTCGTAATAATACAGGCGACGAGTGCATCTGAGGATGCAGGGATAGGTTCAGAGGGGGGCGGTCAAGCGAGGAAAACCGTAAGATTACGCGACACAGATTTGTATGGAAGCCCTTTTGAGCCTCATCGAGTCATCAAGGCTCATCCAGGTCGAATAGAGACGAGCGAGCGACGAGGGCGGCCCCCGTGTCTCCCAGCGAATGAGCCTTCTGTCGTCATCAAGGCGCGTATCAAGTCGCCAAATGGGGTTGGTTCATCGCCCTTCTGGCCCCATCTCTGCCCAGTTCTCTCCACTTGTCATTAATGCGCCCAATCATCAACCCTGTCAAGTAGCGTTCGACTGGGCAGTGTTTCGGCCGCTTTGGTTTGCCCCAGGGACACCCTTCCAGTCAGACGGCTGGCAAAAGGACGCGGCGCCTTGGCATGCAGGCAGAGAGGATGCCGACGAGGAGCGCAGAATGTCAACAGAAAGCGATCGGCATGTCATAATTTGTGGGCTGTGAGACTGACAGCAAGGAACACCGATGCGAACCGTCGTCCAAGTGTAGTTTGTGGCTCGTATCCACCGTCTAAATTCAGAACAGTCACGTTATCCAGATTTATCCAGCATATCGACTTGTGAGGAGAGACTGGCCCCCAAAAAACAAGACTTGGCCTGGTCTTGACTCGCTTTGTTGATGAGCAGAGGAAAGAAAAGTGGTTGACTGGAAAGGAACGCACGCCGCACGCGGACAGTCCACAGTGGAGTCAATGGATCTCCAGTTTCCAAGAGTCCATCGTCCGTAGACCCATCACCCTAATTCAACCGCGTGGTGAGCGATTGATCGAGCGACCAGTCTGGACTTTGAAATTCTCGACCTTCACCCGCCATCACCCTCCCCATCCACGCTGCCAACTTCAAGTCCAAGTCCAGACCCCAGACGTCAGGGTCAGCCAGACAGCCAGCCAAACTTTACCAAGCCTCATTGCACAGTAAGGCACAATCTCATGAAAAGCCCGCTGGTGACTGGTCTCGTATCTTCCAATGGATGACTTTTGAGAAACCATTGATTAGGCAAGGTTAGGTCAGCCCGTCCAGCACGTTGCCGATCGCGATAACCAGACAGATCCAGCTCATCCTGTCTCCTGATCCATCACCGATCGCTGCTCGCATGGCTCGCTTAAGCGGACCAGCTAACGGGAAACAAACTAGTCCAGTTCGCTGCTGACTCGATTGATATTGCGACTGGGCTAATGGACAAGGGTGCAGCAGATACGGATAATTATGACCAACTCAAAACCAGGATTCGTACGGTTTGCGTTGCGCAGTGCGCACGTTCAACGTTTGCGGTCGCTTACACTCCCCTGGCTTTCCCCAGTCGGAGCATTATCTCGTCATTCTTTGCTCGCGCAACGAACCTCGAATTGACCCATCAGATTCAGATCGCATCCTTATTCGGATCTGCCTTGGGCGCAGCAACCCAGCGGTAGCAGCGTCGCACAACAGCAGACTAGTTTCTCTGCATCTGCCTTCCCGGCCTTCTTCAGCTGACCATGGTCCTGAACAATTCGACGTGCATGGATTGCTCTTTTCGCGATCGAACAACCAACCAGCCAACTGGGTCGAACGGACAAGGAAGACAGGGCAGATAGGAGACGGACAACAACCGCAGCGACTGGGCAGGGACAGAGCCAGACCCTTTGGCATCCGCGCCATCACCCGTTCTTCACCCAGTGACTCTTAACCTTCACCCGAAAATAAACCTTCGCCCCTGTTTTCATGCATGTAGCTGATGCTAATCCTGATGTCGACGCAGGAGGTGGTGGTTTGGCATCTGCAGCTAACACTTGCCCACCCACCTATGGATTCCTAGTTATCAACCCCCTTTCCTAGAGGCAGTTGAGTTGACCCTCGAGTGGGGGAGGGGCTAGTCCAGAACTGTCCCAAAAAGTAAACAGATTTGGAGGCATGTCGCAACGTCGGCTCGCCTCGATCAAAATTGACTTCAATCAAGGCCCAAAAAGCAAATAATACTAATCAGAGACATGCATTGCAGATTGCAGATTCCTGCGGGCGCCGGCCAGGCTGCGCCGAACCTTCTTCGGAAGACTCTCGGAGTTTGAACTTCAACTTCGGAAAGGGAGAAGCCACTGGCAGACTCCAGCCAGGGCTCCAGAGAGGCCCGAGAGATTTCAGATGGTGGGGGCCCAGTGGCAGAGAGATTCCCTTCCTAACTGTGCATCTGTGGCGCGGCGGCTATGCCCCCCATCTGAGCGGCATTGATAGGTTCGCGCTGACCTTCCGGAGTAAGGCTTAGCTAGGCTGATCCCTCGTTCTTGAATCATAATCCATTATTGATCATTGAACATTGAATGATTCCACTTCCCTTCCGGAGTAGATATTCGACGATCCGTCGAAATGTCAGTGCCATGCCCAGTTGACCCCGGGAATGTGGAATAGAGTTCCAACTTCGCCGTTTGTTCGGGCTTCTCATCTTCTGAAAAGACTTGGACCCGGACTATTGAAGTTTATCTCGGCTCCACTGGCACTGATTTTCGCGGTGACGGCGCCACGACGGAGAAACGCTGTGGCGGCCTCGTGTGCCCAAGCCCCCGGATTCCTGGCGCTTAGAGCGAAAAACATGGCGTCGGGATCCGTATGGCACGAGGAGAGGGGCTTTGACTTTGGAGGTGCATGATAATGACGATTGACGGTTGCATTGCATCTCGAGCAAAAAGAAAGCAGAAAGCAGAGAGCAGAGATTAATTGATTCGTATCATATCCTATATCCGTACAATCTGAGGTTGATCGCCGACAAAAGTAAATACACATATCAATGTAACCTCTACATCTTGACGGTAAACGCCTTGCCAAGAATGCTCTGCGCCATGTTCTTGCTCCGCTTGCTCCTCTTCAGTCTTCACTGCTTCTTCGCCTGCTGCGACTTTTTCTTCGGCACGCGAATCAGCCAGTACAGGAAAACTGCCATGACTGCGTTGAACACAATGTACACAAACAGTAGGCCCACATTGCGCCAAATGTCGTCGGGGTTGATGCTTAGTTCTTCGAGGTATTGATCTGTCGAAGAAATCGCGCACAACCGACAGTCTCCGTTCGGGCTGTCTGCGAGTAATCTGCCATGGATCATCTCGACGTAGGGGCCTAGGTAGTCGGAGCAGCTCTGCCCCTCTAGTGGTGGTATCTGGAGAACCTCAATATCTGAGCAATGTACGTCTGTCCCGGACAGTCCGGTCGCCAATACCGAAGACACTAGGTACGTGAATGGCGATACTCGGTACATGAAGATCCAAAACCGGGGAAGGGCCTGCGGCGAAGCGAGCACACTATGCTTTGTTAGCAACTTTTCTGCTGCCTGAGAAAGAGAGCGTACCCGTTAAAAACAAGACACAGCGAGAATAGCAGCTGCGCAATATTACTGCCCGTGTCAGGATGCTCAATACCGGCAATGATCATGGAGCTGAAGGTCGATGTGAAGATCATAAAGATCAAGATCAACAAAAACATCGTCCCGCCGCGCTCAGCAGTTTCGCCAGGCCCTGCATTGCGATAGAGCCCGATCGGGTAGTACCATGAAAAGTATGCTGGGACGGCCATCAAGATATTCCAAGGGAGCTCGACGCAGATACTGGCCATCATGAAGGCTTTCCATGAGTACGCTTTCGAAGGTCGCTCACGCACTTCATACAATGCACGCTGTGTACAGAAATACGGCATCATTTGCTGGACGAGATTTGGGAAGATGATGAGCAGCATAAAAATGGCAAACATCTGGTTCTGCATGCCCTGGAGACTGACAGGCTCCCGCCAGAACGTGAACCCAATAAAGAGCGGCTGTTTCCCATCAGCTTGCGGCTTCTACAATACGGGGAAGATGGACTCACAGGGATAATGCACATGGCAGCCTTGGAATAAATGTACGAGGGACTGCGCCAGTACTGCTCAAACATTCGCTTGACACAGATGAGAAACTGGGACCAGATCGGCATGGCAAATTCCCCATACTCAGGTGTCTTAGGAGGCTCTGGTTTCTGCAAGAGTTCCGCCTTCATCTGCGCAAGCTCCTCGCGGACTTGGGCGCGCTCAGAGCTCTGGTTCCAAACTTCCGACCAGTCCCTATCTGCATGAGATCCAGGAGCGGCACCAATAACTTCCAACATCCATTCGGCAGGATTCGCGGTCTTGGGGCAGGGAATCGAGCCTTTGTTTTCAAAATACTTGATGAGTGTCTCCATGTTTGAGCCAAGCTCGCCAAAGTAAATGGTCTTGCCTCCCTTTGCCAGGAATAGGAGACGGTCAAATTGCTGCATGAGGATTGCAGATGGCTGGTGTATGGTACACAGGATAGCCTGTCCATGATCCGCCAACTTTCTCATTAGCGAGCAAATGGACCAGGCAGTCTGACTATCAAGGCCTGATGTGGGCTCATCGAAGAAGAGAAGAAGGTCTGGTTTGGCTGCAAGTTCAACACCAATGGTAAGACGCTTCCTTTGCTCGACGTTGAGGCCTTCACCCAAGACACCAACAATAGCCTCTGCATATTCCTCCATGCCGAGCATCTTGATGACCTCTCCAACATAAGCCACCTTTTCTCGTCGTGGAAGACTGGCTGGCTGGCGAAGCAGCGCGCTAAAGATAAGCGCTTCACGCACTGTACTGGTTTCCAGGTGCAAGTCTTGTTGCTGGACATAGCCAGTCTTTCGCTGGAATGAATCATTACGCAGGCGGCCATCCACCAGCATCTCACCGGTAATCACGCCCATCGTAACACGGTCAGCCAAAACATCCAAAAGCGAGGTCTTGCCAGCTCCTGTGACTCCCATCAATGCTGTTAAAGTGCCAGGCTTCACCCATCCATCAATATGGTCCAGAATACGTCGATTCTCGCCTTTGATCTTAATATCGTAACAGACGTCTTGCCAGTGAAAGATCGCAGTCTGCTTGGAAATTGCCGCAGTGTGATCGTCAGTTTCTCCGGCCAGCGGTGGAATCTTCTCTGCATTATGAGATTCCTCTTCGTCGCGTCGAATATCCTTAGCAAAAGCAGGAATTTTGCCTCTTGGGAAGACGAGGATTTCTCCCTTGGAAGGCTTCGCCCGGACAAACTCACTGCTGACAATGTACGTTGCCAGAAAAAAGAACATAAAAGCCAAGATGATACCATAATTCCGCCAAAGATGCGACCTGTAGTACTCGAACGAGGTGTTCAAATAGGCATCACCGTCGATGTACTCCTGACCAGCTACGGCCCCACGACCTGAGCATATTTGAGCCGATCGAGGGGCATCTTCATACCCGGGCCCATCGGGCATATATAGCCCGCATTCAAAGGTTCGACCACTGAATTCATTGACCATGAGACTTTCAAATGCGTACTAGGGAATGATTAGTATGTTTCTGAAAATGGACGACAACGATGTACTTACTCCGATAGGGTTGATATAGTTTAGCCATCTGAACCACGGATGCATATTCCGCACGGGAATGGTAAAACCCGTGTAGATAACAAGGATCATCATGAAGATAGAAGAAGGAACCATTGCCTGCGCCATGGACCGAGAGATTGCTCCGATCCAGCGGAAGATGTTGGACATGGTTAGCGTAGTCGTAAATGAAAACAGGTAGAAGATGAAGAAGTGTCCCGGAGTCCGTCGGAGGTTAGTCATAAAGTAGAGGATGATGTTGAACACAATCGAAACAAGCACCTTGGCCGGCAAGTCGACAATCATGGAACTAATTGCCTCTGCTGATGGGTGGTATAGTGCATACTTGAAGTGTTTCTCCACTATAGGTCGCTGCTGCCAGAGAGTCAAAATCTCCAGGGCGCTTGAGAAAGCGTTAAGAAGAATGGCAAAGAATAGCAAAGCTCCGCGTGAGAAAAAGTCCTCGGTTGTGTTGCCTAGATTGAAGAACACGCTTGAGATAATTAGCGCCATAATGCTGTTGCCGATGGTGGTTGCGAGGGTCATGCTCATATCGCCTTTCAAACGAATAAAGCCTCGAGACAAGCATAATCGAATTTGCATTAGGTAGGACAACGTGTATGGCGAGCTCGCACGGGTTCCTTTTGCCTTTTCCGCAGCACGGGAACGATTGAATTCCTCAAGTTTGTCACCGCCGATGGGAAACTCATTTTGGAACGCCTCGATATCCTCGAGCAATTTCTGGCGCTCTTCGCTTGCCTTCCATCGAGCTGCAAACTCATCTGGAGTTCGAGGAACACGGTTTTCGTAGCCCTCTCGTACTAGACGCTCAGTAGGGCTAGTCAAAGAGGTGAGGAAATCGGCCGTTGTTTGCCTATCAGGGCAATCGAAGCCCATCTCGATGAAGAAGCGGCGGGCATCCGAGGCACTTCCAAAGTAAATTTGTCGGCCCTCATACAGAACAATTGCTTTGTCGAAAACGTCATAAATTGCCTGGCTAGCTTGGTATATCGCAACAACAGCGGTAGAGCCGGTATACTCTGTGGAAAGACGAAGGTTCCTCACGAATCTACTACAGTTAGCGATCCATATCAACAAGCACACGACGGCTAGGCTTCAGATCAGGAAGGAAGAGCGAGCCCAAGCCCCATGATTGTGAAGCCACTCACTCGAGAGCTGTTGAACTATCAAGACCTCTGGTCGAATTATCCCAGCATTGCAGAGGACAGCCGCAAAGGATTGTTTCAGCGATACTAACGCGCTTTCGTTCTCCCCCTGATACTCCACGAATGAACTCGTTTCCTACCTGCGTATTCATCGTGTGGCTAAGTCCGAGCATGGCCATTGTAACATCGCGCATATGAAGGGCATATTGCTCTCGAGTAACACCGGGGAACCGATTGGCCGGGGCACGCGCCATGGCTGCAAATTGTAGTGTCTCTCCAGCAGTGAGCTGGGGAAAGTGAATCTCCGTCTCCGCCTGGTAGATAACCTCCCCGCGGAAACGGCTATGCATTTCGTCCCAAGAAATTCCTTGATACTGGATATCCGTACCCTCGTCGAGCCATAGACCGTGGGTCTCGCCGGCGATCGTTTTTAGAAACGTAGAGCACCCACTGTATAGAACAACGGTAAGCATAGACCAAAGATTTCAATTCCACGGACTGTGTTACCTTCCGGGTCGTCCAAGAACAACCAGCATCTCACCACTCCGGACGAATCCCTCAAAGTCGCGCAAGATGTCAATTCGAACTCGATCCCCGAATCCAAGTTTTCTGCGAGCCCACCCGTATCCCTTGAGCCACATATTCGCGACATCAGCCTGGTAATCGGCGGCGGTTCCATAACCAAAGGCGCTCAGATTGCGAAACGAAACACCGGCCGTGCGACGTGGGTAGCGATCGGGGTCACGAGAGGCAACGGAGAGAAAGTTCTTGGTCCACTTGCGAGCATTGAACTGTTCGTTGTTGGGGTCTAACTGGGGGTCGCTAGTATCAAGAAAGGTATTGGTGCCGTCGACAGTAGTGGTCTTGTGCGAGAGACGAGACAGGCTCCTCGCAAGCGCAGTGATCTTCTCTTCTCCTTCGTGGTCAATGTCATGCTCCGAATTGGCATATGTAATGTCGGAACTGTCTGCTTTCTCTTTGGCCGAGCTGGAGCTTTGCGCGATTCCTTTGCTTTCAGTGAGCCTGGTAATGGCGTTATGGGAGCGCTGCCCCGCACCGGCTGAGACAACACCCCCGGAGGGTGCTGGAGTCAGTGGCTGTGAAGACATTGCACCGTGGTCAGGCCGCTGTAGGCATACTCGAGCGAGAGAATAAGGGAGGCGAAGAGATGAGAAAAAGGGCGAAGGCGAATGCAGGTGGGCAAAGGACGCTGGATCGGGTTAGACCTGTATACCCCATGCACCACCAGCAGGAGTGAGCTGACGAGGGCGAGAGGAGCGAAAGGAAGGCAAGAGCAACGAGCGGCAGTGAAGCATGAAGAAAGAAGGAGCTGAACGGATCGCGGAAAGGCAAGCATCCGAAGGAGGATGCGAAAATCTTAATGCCCTCGAATTGACTCTGAAGCAGGAACGACGAAGAGCCGGCCCGATGCCTCCCTGTGCTTTGCGGAAGTCCGCAGACCCTCGAAGGGAATTGGACCACCACCATGATCACTTCCATGTTTTGGGAGACATAGCCCCTTGGCAAATAAGCACGGCTGGGTTGTCTAATCGGGGAAATAGCAGGCCTAAGCGGGAGATTTCTGACAAGGTGGTAGTGGTAGTTGGAGTAGTAGTAGATGCTGCCATGCCCACTGCAAATTAAGTTCTTACACTGGGTGCTGCGATCACCTGGCAGAGTGGGTACCCATGCCTGGTCTCTAACAACACAACATTGCTGCAGCACTCTTGTCTCTGTTCAACGGGCATGTGTTGACAACCGTTGCAAGGACCAAGAGATCAGATACCGTCTGGATTGCGCACATATTACCCGACCATCGTCCGATTGGCCTCGTGTTTCGTATTAGGGACAAGCCAGGCGACCTCACGACCTAGGTGGCTTGTGATTCTACAACGTTGAGTTAGTGGCCCCACTGCCATCAACAACGGACGCGCCGCGGAGCCGAACCCCCGGATCTAACGCTTCTGGGGAAATGTTAAGACATCAGGGAATCAGCGGTGCATCCAGCAGAGAGGCAAAATCGTAACCCGGTCCGCGTCAGGCGTGCCAGCCGAGTGTCCTCAAGGTCTCAAGCAAACCTAACGCTTACGTCGGGGAATTTCTATCAGCTGGACGTCCAACTCCGGGACAGTTGAGGGGAGAAAACTTTGTGATCTCAGAGCAACGTTGGGTCAGATGTCATCTCGGAGGTTTCTCCGCATCGCACTGCGATCCAATCAGCTGTTCAACCTCCTCTAAGCGATCACGATTGGCAGCCTCAGGCAGAACATTTTCTGCCTGGCCGTGCGACGTTGCGCTTTCCATATATTATGCCACTTCGGAGAGCTTATGTACCAAGTATGGAGCTGGAAGTTGCCTAGACGTTTTCGTGCCTGTCATACTACTACCGACAAAGGTGGGATATGCTTAGCTTGTGAGATGTCGGCACGAGCCTTTCATGCTTCAATCTTCTCCAGATTCCAATCGCCAACCCATATTTCCCGGGTAATATGATATCCCATCGAAGGCGAAAGATAACATGACAATAATGGACCTGGCGATTGCAGCAGTTACGAGGAGGGAAGGGCTGCGTCAGCCTTTACGCTATCTGTCTCGCCCAAGAACTGACCCTAACCACCATCCAAGGCCGAGGACACACCGTGGACATCTAAGTCGCTGGAAATTTTGATATTACACGAGGTCTGTCACGATCTATATGCTTGTCTACATAACCAGTAAGCACTTATTACGGAAAAGAGAGCCGAAGCTGAGAGGCTGAGACTGAATATCCATTAGCATGGTACCACTAACACTCACTTCTGTTTAAATTCTGCCCTGTGGCCTTGCCAAAACAACTCGAGCCAACCAAGAGACACGCTTCATGATGACCACGATCCATGGATGCCGATGCGGATCTACTCCGCTATTCCCGCCCCCGCGTTCTGGCCTCCAGCTTTCGGGCCCAAAATCGCCTCTCAAAACACGGATTGAGACGACTAGCGCCGTTCCCCGCACGAAAAGGCTGATCTTCAACCGAGACGCACAAGCATACCGGACCTATTTCCGCTGTTACGCTTGATGACGGCGTTGCTATCTGATAACGCCTGTTTTGGTTGAGATACGCGCTCCAGTTTGGCTCGGAATTCCAAGATTCATTCCGATATCACTTATCGCCAGTATCTCTGTATCAGATGCCCACAAGGCACCGCGAACTGATGTAACAGTTCCGAGGCTAGTACGGACTGGAAATCGTTCTTAATGTCCGCTCGTCCAGGGAATCTCAGTTTGGGCGGGCTACTGTCCGCTGAATCCAGACCATTGCCCGGGTGAAGCAGTATTCTCTCCCATAGTTGACCCACCCACAACCAGGAGCCATGGACTCAGTTGAACGAACCAAGTCGTCGACAAGCAAGCCCAACAATGTCACACCCGACATGGAAACCGAGATGGCCAAAGGCGAGATTGGCATCGCGGGCCAGCTCGACATGCCCATGAAGCGCAAGTTCAACGTTTTGAGCATCATCGCCGTGGGATACAACATTTCAAACAGCTGGGTCGCTATTGCCGCTAGCTTTGCCATCGCCATTCAGTCTGGAGGCGCGGTGTCACTGCTCTATGGCATCGTGCTTGTCACCTTTGCAATGCTCTGCACGGGCGTGACCCTGGCTGAACTCGCAAGCGTCTACCCCACCGCGGGTGGACAATACCACTTCACATCTATTCTAGCCTCTCGTCGATGGAGCCGCAGTCTCTCATACTTCAGTGGTCTCGCGGCGATATTCTCCTGGATCTGCCTGGGTGCCTCGATCGGGTTGGCCGGGACAAACGCACTGATGGCGATTATAATTCGCTGGAGGCCAGAGTACGAGCCTCAGACATGGCACTATTTCCTTGTATACCAGCTCCTCAACATCCTCATCGTCGTATACAACGCGCTTTTTACCAACAAGACTCTCTGGGTATACAACGTCGGCTGTATGTTGCTGACCCATCCGCACGACCCCGCTAATCCGCTCTAGTTCTGCTCTCTATATCGACCTTTGTCGTCATAACCATCGCTTGCCCTGCCCGCTCAGAAATACAGGCCGACTCCCGGGAGATTTGGGCCAAACTCGTAAATGGATCCGGCGGTTGGCCCGACGGCATATCATTCCTCACCGGCCTCTCAACGCCGCAGTTCATGCTCTCTGGGCTGGACGCGACTCTCCACCTCGCAGAAGAATGTCTCAACCCGGAACGAGTGGTGCCAAAGGCAGTTATTGTCACCGTCCTTGTTGGGTTCCTCACGGCTTTCCCCTTTTCAATTGGCATCATTTACAGCTACCGGAACGTCGAGCTCTCATTGACCACCAAGACAGGGTGAGTAGCTCACCCGTGCCCATACCGATAATACTGACGTATTAGATTTCCTATATACTTCATCTGGGAAAAAGCCACACGCTCCCCAGCCGCAGCAACAGTCTTCATGGCCGCCCTGTTCGTCATTTCCTGCGTTGCCTTCAACGCCGTCCACCAAACCGCCTCCCGACTCACCTGGTCCTTTGCCCGCGACGAAGCCCTATTCTACTCGCGGAACCTCTCCTCAATCCACTCGTCTCTCGGTATCCCACTATATGCTCTTATTCTCAACGGGGTCTGCGTCTTCCTCGTGGGGATCGTATACCTTTGTTCATCGACAGGTATGGTCCTCCTCACATACGTGGATATAAACACAAGCTAACGAGAGCAAAACAGCCTTCAACTCATTTATAAGCACAACGGTAATCGTTGCCCAGATCTCCTTTGCCATCCCCGCCGTCCTCCTCATCCTCCGCCGCCGAGCACCGCACTACCTACCCTCAAGCCGTCCATTCAAAGTACCCACTGTTGTGGGATACGTGTCGAATATCGTCTGCGTGATCTGGGCGGTGATCTTGACGGTTTTCTTCTGCTTCCCGACGGTTTTGCCGGTTACCGGTGGGAATATGAGTACGTTTGCTTTTTTCTATCCGTTGCAGGAATGCTCGTGTGGTGTATGTACCGGATTCCTTAAGTGAAGAGCTAACGAGGTTTATAGACTATGCCTCGGTTGTTTTGGTCGTCATGCTTCTCCTCGGGCTTGCCAACTGGTACGCGTACGCGAGGAAGCATTATCATGGGCCGAGGCTTGAGATGTAGATTATTTTTTCTCAATCGCCTGCGGGATCTCTGAACTGTGTCTTTTCTCGATTTATGTTCTGCTGTTTCCTCCATATGGTCTATGATTATGCTACCAGATGGAACACGAGATCTTGAGTGTTGAATCCACAATCTCGCAAATGCCCTGCCCCTAGAAAGATGGTCCGATTATCAATTACACTCTTCTATCTTCCGCGGGTTAATATGGGGACGATATGTGCAAGGAAATATAAGACCATGGATAGGTACCAGCCGCATAAGAACCAGTGTAGAGACCCATGAATGGCTAGAGACGAGGAAAACATATCTACCCCAAGAACAGACTATCATTGAAGGACGAACTTTTTTTTTGTACACTGGTCCTTCACCCATTGAACCCACACATTTAAGCTACATACCAGAGTCTTCGAATCTCTCGGACAAACCAGAGCCCGGAAAACCAGGTACTGAAGGAAAGAAGAACTTGAACGAGCCGCAACCCTTGCTTGCTGACTGATGTCTGGCTCCTCCCTTGTTCTACTTTAGGAAAGTACCAGCTAGAGCACTAGGGAAAGTCGCACCTTCCTAACTTGGTAGATGGAAGGTATGGAAACCCTACGGCAGGAGCCACCGGGATGACGCTCTATCTATAATATGCAAGCTACCGGACCCAGACGCTCTTGGCTTTGCTGTTTAGGATTTGGCATTCTACGTAGACTTGAGCAATGGGATTAGGAAACTCTAGTTGAGTCCAGAGAGAAAGACTACAGTCCCGCGACATCTGGAGAAAATGGTAGTTCCGGTATCGTTGAAATAAAAGAAGCAGAAGAAGAAGAAAAGACCAAGCAAACTTGCCCTGACTATCAGCCGAGCATTAGGGATAAAAGCAAAGCTTAAGAAAATATTGCAGTAACATAACATAAGTTGGATCTGTCCTGTCAGTGATTAGGCTGTTCAGCAACAGTACTAATTTCGTTGATCTAATACACCCAAACTCCCTGAATGCAGTGCACTGCCGTATACCAGAGGCAGCAAGACAAAGGGATTATACCACGTCAGACAAAGAGACAAAGGAGACAAAGAGGCCCCATCCAGTCCGGGAACAAAGCCAGAACAAACGCAGGGGGCCCATATATAACCCCTCCCCTCCCACTCTGCTCTCTCATACCAGTCTGCAGTCCGTCGTCGCCTGTCACCTTCCATCCTTCATCCCACTCAACTCCAACGCGCCCCAATTTAGCTCTCTGTCACCCTGGAAATGCCACACAAAATCCCCTCCTCACCCACTCCAGAAACAGAAACAGAATACACCCTCCATCTAGCGATCCATCCCAACAGAACCCCCCTCTCGGCATCCTGGGTCCTAATCCTGCGCCCGCACCCACCCAGGCCTGCCTCGTGCACATGGTACAGTTCCTTCGGCGGCCCGGCTGAGTCGAACATCCCGTACCACCACCGAATGGAGATAAAAAAGGACTTCGAGGCCCACGACCACGAATCCTTGTATTTCAGTGCCGTGCAAGTCCTCGGGACGATCCAGGGCAAGGACCTTCAGACCTTTGAGAACGAGTGCTTCTATGCCGTGGACGCGACGCAGCCGCAGATCTTTGTGGTGAAGGTGTTGTATATGATGGCGCTCCGGGGACTGATTGAGGTGCATGTCGTGTGGAGGGTGTGGGAGGGGGTGCAAGCTGGAGAGGCGGATGCGGAGTTTGATGTCTTGTATGAGAATCGGTATTCCAGAATCGATAGGGAGTTTTTCGCTGGGTTTGGGTGCAAGGTTAAAGAGGAGGCGGAGAAGGGGTTCAGGGAGATTGAGGCTTTTAGGGAGGGGATGAGGAGGGATGCGGAGGCGGTGTTGAGAGAGATGATTGACAGTTTGGGAATCACCGGGGAATGAATGAGATGATGCTTTCTTCTGATGTTTCTGAGCAACGGACGATGTAGTCAAGCGTCTAGAAAGTGAGCAAGAGCGGCCAAAGTAGACGCCGAACGATATCGTATACTGTCGCTGGCGGTGGATCATTTGCCCGTCATTAATCTGCTCATGGTAGTGACTTGGAATATGTGAGACGACAATTGCTTGCTTTGCGACGTAAGCACAGACCGAGTTCATGCCTGCAAAGTCTGACAGGTGCACCCATATTGCGAACACACCCTTCTATTGACTCATTAGAATTACAAGCAGAATAGACATGGGGTGGAACTGCGCACCTCTGAAATTTCGAGGTCAGGTTTGACCATCTTAGTTGTATCATTATCTGCCCCAAGTCCCTGCTCTAGATGCTGATATGAAGTCCGAAGAGGCTGCAAGGCCTCAGAATACTTTCGGACTCTCAGCTCGAGAGCGAGTTCCCACATGCTCAACAGCGTATTAGGGTGATGAGCTCCTAACGTAGTCAGTCTCCTTGGCTGATAGAAATTTGCGTAGGATTTTCATGTCTGTCTTGAGTTTGACCTGGTCACAAAAAGCCACTCCTAGGTTGGATACGTCTTCTAGGATATTGGGGCGGTTGCTCCCAAGTTGGCTTTCTGTAGTTGCCAGGATCCTTTCGTATATCCACCGAGCGCTGCTGGTCTTGCCCCGACACGTTGTGTGCCGGTTTTCGCATATATACTAGGGTCGCTAGGGTGGGATTTTGCTCCCACCCTCTTGTGAATGGCAAGGCTTGTCGACATATCCTCCTAGACACTTTGAAATACCGGAGCTCGTGGGCTATTTGTCCCAAGGCACAAAGGGCTAGTAAAGTGTCAGGATGTTCAGCGCCTAGGAGCTCATTGTAACCTTCATAAGACTGTTGATACAGCCGCTCTGCATCTTTGTACTTTTCTTGAAGTTGGAACACATGGCCGAGATTACAAGCAGTTCCGGGTATAGCGGGATGTCGACCCTCAGCTTCTCGAAATCTGATGACGCCCGTCGGTACATTGTCTCGGCCTCGTTAGAGTCCCGTTGGTTGCTGAGTGCTGCGGCGAGATGGCACACAACATTCAGTTGATCTTCCGACCTGGTTTCCGACCGCTCGTAGGAGGCCAGTGCAAGTCGATATAATGCTTCGGCCTCTTTTGAATTTCTCTGCGCATTTAGAATAGACCCAAGTATAACAGTGGCACGGAGTGTGCTGTCGTGTTCGAGTCCGTAGATCTTCTGCGCCGCTTCCAGTGTCTGCACTCCCAGATCCTTGGCTTCTTCCAATCTGCCTTTCTGAAAGGCAAAACGTGTTGCCTTCGAAAGCAAAGGAAAACCCACCTCGCGTAGTCAGTGTCTGTTTCTATTGCGGATGGGAATGAAGGTATGGTCACACTGAATGTGCTCAATCGTGTGCCGTGTTCAGGACCAAACCTTGTCGCTGGACGACTCGCAGCACCATGGCGGAGAGCTGGCAATGCGGGGCAAAGTGAGCATCGGCCTGCTCAAGCGATCCGAAGTCAAGTCCATGGCAAACCAGCTCCAGGCCTACAAGATTAGTATCAGCATTATGATCACCACGGCGTCTTTGCGAGTTGGACGGCACAAATAACCCGCTTACAGGACAACGGCGTACGATGGTCATATAGACGGAGCTCTATCCTCAACACGCACATCACCGAGGAAATAAACGAAATCATATCAACGAGACGGAGCGAGAAAAAAACCACCGCGATTGAAACGACGGATCAACGACTCGTCAGCGTAGGCACAAGACGCCAGATGCTTGGCAGTGCCGGCAACGATGATCCAGCCTTCGAGGAAGAACAGACACCAGACCTGCTGGAGAGGGGGCAGGAAACACTCGAAGCCTCACGGAGGTTGCTCGGTGGGCGTTTGGCAAAGGTGCAAGAGGCCCAGGCCGATGCCGCAGCTGTCCCAACCGCCAAGCATGTCGTTCGGAAGCCAGGGCTCGGGGGTCCAGATGGGAGTTAACAATGCACCAATGAGTGGATTCACATTCAGTATCTCAAAGTAGGGAGATTCGCCGCGTCGTTGTTGGCTACCGTTGTGGTGGAGGCCCCAGAGTCGGTGTAGACATTGAAATTCAGTGGCGGGTGTGGTGCCTGTATCTAATCGAATAGCAACTGGCAATTTATTCCACAAATGTGAAGGATTATGCTTGCTAAACTGCCAGCGGAAGTAAACTTTCGAAACAAAGACACTGAAAGTGCACACTTGGACCCTGGCCTGGTGGGGAGCCGGATGTTGGAGATGGAAGTCTGCCATCCACATAACATTTCTACCCGAGTTGTTCCAGGCCAAAGCTTGAAAGTGCCTCATCAGTACCAGGGATGCTGATTTGTCGTGAGATTTTCAAACTAGGTAATATTAGTATAAACTCCAGGTCTGAATCAAACATCCAACATCATCCACCTCGGTGGCCTGTTTAGGATACCATACAATAACAAGTAATATTTGATCCTGAAGTATAATACAAGGTAGTATTAAAATGATCACACCAACACGCGCCTTGGAATAGTGACAAATAGTAAAGAATACTAAAATATTACGGGAGTAAAGGAAGTAGTCATACGCTGTATATAAGTGAAGATAAATAGTGTAGTACAAGTATATATATCCAACTCCAAGCAGCCCAGTAGCATGCGAATAGCAAAAAGGTGTAAAGATCATTATCTCGCAGGGATCATATCGACTATCCATCAACACATCTCACAGCAGTCGAGGCAGCACTCACCCCCTTCTTCGCAAATAAAACAGCAGAGGAGCGTCGCTAAACTGTAGGGACAGAGTTGTTAGCAAGGAAGATGGCTTTGTCGCACGACACACCAGTGTGAAGGGAGGCGCAGCATACCAGGCTTTACAACAGTTGCCGCTCTTCTTTTCTGGTTGTTTCGGTGGCATTTGTCCTTGCCCAGGTGGTGGCGGCGCGTAGGCCATCTGCGCAACACAAAATCGCCAATCAGTTATCTAGCTCGTCTCGCCCTAGTCCGAGGTTTCTCGTACCTGTGGTTGTCCTTGCGACGGCGGATAGGGCTGTGGATGTTGACCGGGTCCCGGCCCCCAACCTTGAGACGGCGGAGGATACCCTTGTTGCGGGGGGTAGTTCTGTGGAGGGTAATTTTGTGGAGGATAGCCGTGGCCATGTGGACTCGGAGGATAGCCCTGCTGCGGACCTTGGCCTTGATATCTGCAACGAACGAGGCTCGTTAGTACAATTGCGAAAGAAAGGTAGCTAGAGGATGGCGCCGGGATTTGTTCGTCCGGACCAGGCGACGTGCATGCTTTGCAATCAATCCAGTCCAATCGCCCGACTCCCACGGTCACGTCCATCGCCATCACCATCGCGACCGAGCTCGCCGCAAGCGCAACAAATCGACCCAGAGAACGCCAACGCGGAGAGTACATACGTAGCTTGTGGTGGAGGCCCCGGAGGCCCCTGGTTATAGTACTGATTAGCGCTCATGATTGCGCAGCAACGAGCGAAAAGTGAAGGAAACCGAAGTCGTCGCCGTGGGAGTCGTCGTTGTCGCTGTCGTCGGAGACGTCGGCGGTGTCAGTCCGCGTGCGCGAAATTCAAGATCGACAGCGCGGTCCGCCCGGGCAAAAGAAAAAGGAAAGATGACGAAGGGTCCGGAAAAGAATGCTTCTCGGCCTTTGGGGTGACGGGCAAGAGCCAATGATGCGAGGGAAGGGTCTATTTCCAAGAAAATGCCAAGTTTTAGGAGGAAATGGAGTGGTTGTCGAGAAGGGGGGTCTCTCCGATCGAGAGGGGTCGTCGGTCGGCGCGGTCGGTCGTCGGGGAAGAGGACGAGAAGGGGAGAGACTGAGGGAGGAATGAGACGGGAGGGGGTGGAGAAGAGAGAGGGAGAGAGGGAAGAGGAGGAGAATATCTTGAAAATTCGGCACGAGTGACTGAGTCGAGATTAATAAAGGGAAGATGCTAAGATTCTCGTGGTGCTCTCCTCATGGTTGCGAGATCATTCGGGGTCTTGTCCACGCACTCCAACTGGTTTCCCTGCATTTACCGGTTTACCGCCCGGCCTGGTATTACCGACTGATACGCCTGGGCCCAGCCGACCATCCCGCCTCAACCATGGCTTTGTCCATTGTGATCACTATCGCCAGCGAACTATTGGAATAATAGTATTATACCGGTGGGTAATCGAGTGCTTATTGATTCATAAACCTTCCATCAAGGAGAGAAATAATTACGCCCGCTAGAACGTCAAAAAGTAGATAATTACAATCAATACACCGTTGGTACAGACCAAACCCGCCGTCTGCTCAGCCTCGTCCTAGTACAGATCAACGACTGAACTGCGGGCCCCTAGCCACACAGGTGGATTTGGTACTGCGTTAAGTACTCCTGACATTTGGCTGCTGTGCCACCGTCGCCGGTATGCGTGGCTTTGAGATTCAAAGAGGTTAGTGACGAGCCGACAAGAGTCAGTTCTCCCAGGGTCCTGGACCGCAAATAGAGGGTCCAAGGACCAGAAGGGCCCACTGCATCAGTCACCGCCGACACCCAATTATAGCCATGTCCCTTTTAATAATCGCCGCGTTCCGGATTACCGGCACGACTTGCTTCCTCGCCCTGGCCTGGGATGACCGACTGACTAACAGACTCTCATGTGGCTTGCTGCTACCGCTTTCTTCTGTCTCGTCGTTCTCAACATCATCATCATCATCATCATCATCACCAGGAGTTTCCTGCACACTTAGCAACACACAGAGATAGTACAACACACGAGCCTGTTTGAATTGAATTACTGCCAACGCGTAGCAGTAAGCTGGGGAGAGCGCTCTTTCGCTTCCCATCATGGGTGCGGCAAAGGCGCGGATGGTTCTGTTTGGGTTCTTCGCCGAATCTGTATATTCAGAACATAGCCTCGTCGACTGTTCACTGCTCATCATGCATTATGTCGTATCCATCCTGGAGGCAGACTACCAGGTCGAAGAACCTGAATAGCAGACTCGAGGAGGTAGCAATATCGGAAAAGAGTAAAGGAGAAAAGGAAATTGTAAAGAGATATCCCAAGAAAAAAAAAAAGAGAAGAGAAAAATGGTGAGGGAGCACCGCTGCAAAGAAGATCAAGAAATGAGAAAAAGTTCAGAAGGATGTATGAGAATCGAAGGAAAAAAATCCCCCAGAACAAGCCATGATGGAACGAGAATTGAGAAAACTCAAGAACAATCCACACTCCTGTGACACTGTAAAAGCACGCCAAGTGTGTACAAGAATGGGTAAAAGTCTAGTAATAGCAACAAACTGGGAACACGAATCAAACGTACGAACCGACCTCAGGCACTAGAGGCAGAGGCTGAGATTCAAGATAGCAAGCGTTCTCAAATGACGACGGGTCCATGCCCATCGCTGGGTATGAGGCGAAGGCATCATAGCCCGTCACGCCGGTGGAGTTCAGCCCTTGCGAGGACAGATCCTCGGCTGAATCGGTGAATGACGACTCGTCTACCGAGTTGAGCGGGACGGGCATCAAATCGTCACCTAAGGGCTCTTGGTCAAGGGTAAAGTTAGGAGCGTTCTCGTAGACGAACTCCTCTTTCTGGACCATCCAGAGCTTCAAAACATCCATAGGCGGGTTGGTGCCACCGCCTTTTCCGCCTCGCTTTTCACTGTCTTTGCCACGACCACCTCGACCGCGCTGGCAGGGGTTGAAGTGGGTGCGACGAAGGTGAGCAGCAGCGTTATAGTTGGCGCCGTACCGCTTGCCATTTCGGCAGGCTTTGCAGTTGGCCAGGAACTTCTTGTCCGGCGAGATGTCCACGCACACCCACACTTTTCGGACTACGGCATGAACACGCTCGATATGCCGACGCAGTTCATGTTCGCCGTGGAACCCGTCGGGCTGATCATTGCACATCGTGCAATACGTCTTTTGACGAGGAGGTCTTTGAATGGAGGCCTTGGGAATAGCCGCAACTTCTTTTGAAGTGCCGTCCAAGGATGAGATGCGGATCATCTTATGCTCGGCCACCTTGGGTGGGGAGCTGCTTTGAGACTCTGTCTTGGGAGCGATCGGCCTAGCGCTGTGCACAATCTGCTCTTGCGTTCTTCGCGCGGCTCTAGACGGTTGCGGACTTGACATAGCATCACTTCCGCTAGCCACAGAAGGGTTCATATCAATGGCAGTAGAGTGACTGACAAGAGGCATAGATGTCGTGGATGGGACTGAGTAAGAGTATGGCAGGGATATTGGTGCAGCAAGGCTATACGGGTCTTGCTGAACAAGTTCTTGCGAAGTGGGTGTAGTGGTATTGGATAAGGGGATATTCAAAGCTGGGTTTGGAGGAAATGTTGAAGGAGGCATGGCAAAGGAATACTCTGGGTCAATACTTGGGCCTAAGGAATCGACGCGCATCATTTCCACGCCGCCACATATTGAGTCGGTTGTTTTGCTGCGGGTCATGTCAACAGCGGATAGCGTGGGTTCAGCGGACGTCGTGGCCAAGTGTTCTCCGCCTGATAACTCGGTAGGGCCAGAGGGGAGGAACTGCGAAGGTAGGGAGTTCCGGTGTTGTGATCCAACTTGCACAGGGGTTGTCGAAAACGCCATAGAGTTGGGGGATGCGTGAGTCTGGCCCTGAAAATCGCCCAAGCAGTGTTTGGTGTACTCGGACGGAGTATACTCGCTGACGTCTTCGAGGGCGCGTCGTTGGTGTCCGAAAGAGTTACGGTACTGGGTCATGGATGTCATAGAGTGCTGATATGACAGTGGGACTTGTTGACTCTGCGAACGAACCATAAGTGTCGGTCGGGGAGCTGATCCAGAGCCGGAGGAGGAAGCGTTGGCCGCCTGTGACATTGTTCTCGAGAGTTGCCAGGTCGATTCCGGTACAGGGGAGGAGGACGCATGTGAGAGGCCGCGCTTCATTTCAATGCGTTCTGGAGGATCCGAGTTCTGCCAAGTGTCAATCCAGGGACTGTTGGCGGGAGAGAGGAGAGTGAAGGAGAGACGGAGGTAGCGCAGCAGGAGCAAGGATGGGTGGGAACGAGAGGTGCAGAAGAGGCGGGACGGGAGGAGAAGACCAAGGTAGATCACATACGGTGACTCGTCTCTTTGTCGGTGGAGGTCCAGAACCAGGTAGCGTCCGCGGAGTGTCTTGTCGTGTCCGTTTCCCAGAATCTTCAGAAGAGGTGGTGTTTTGGCCAAGGATGCTGGAACCCGATACTGGTCGATAGGCGGGTGCGGCTGGTGAAACAGCTGCCGGGGGCATGAACTGACTAAGCTTCTGACTCCAGAGTTGATTGCGCTGCTCTTCCGGAAGGTGGGAGTATTGATCCAAAAAAGCGTCCCGGTACCCAGAGATCGCCCTTGTGAAGAGTTCGTCGTCGGCCATGGCGACTGTTGAGGGCATGGTGGTGTTGGTTGTGTTCTCCTTGGTTGGTCTCTTGGATGAGATGGGAAGAACTGCTGTCAGCGTGAAGATGAAGATCAAGATGACTGTATAGGGTTGAAGGACGGGTGTCGGGGGGTTCTGAAGGAATCAATCAGTATTTTTTTTTGTTGATGCCATTCCGCAACAGACTCGTCGCTAGAAGTAGAGGGACAGAAGGTGGGGAGACAGACTGTGAGAGGGAGCGACGATAAAGATAAAGGCCCGATAAGGAACAAACGATGTACTGGGAAGGTGCGGTGGATGGAGGGAAGCAGAGAAAACAGCTTGGAGGTATGGTCGCACAAAGTGTGGAGGTGGGCAGCGACAAAGAGGCTGAGATGGGAAGAGGCAGCAGGAGGATATGGAGCAGATGATAATTCCCAACAAGGACTGGGAAATGATCAAGATGAGGATGAAGGGAAGAAGGCAGAAGATATCCTGGATCGATCCACGCCCACCCGCCAGGATCGGGTTAGCCTCAGTTGGCTAACACTACGGGGTCAGGATGAGTCTTGGGAGGCCAAGGTACAAGACTAGTGGTGCTAAAGGTACGAGCAGTTCATGGAAGCTCGAAAGCAGAGGGGATCATTGGATGACGTGGGGAGGTCTGGACTCAGGAACGGTGTTGTGGATGGGCAGGTCATTTCCTCGAAAAGGGTCAAAAAGGAAATTGTCGATGGATGGATATTTTGGTCGAAGATCAGAGCGCTAGTGGTAGCCCGAGCCTGAAGCAGCCTGGGGCAAAGAAGCGGGAGGAAAAGGAGTCGGTGACACGCTCTGAGTGGCCGCTGGACTGGAGCTGCCCAGGAGAGGAAAAGTTGGCAGTGTCAGGAGTTGGACAAGTCGTCACTCGACTAGTTGGCGATAGTAAGAATAGGAGTGGTACGGCGGGATGGAGGAGAAGACAAAAAGTGAGGCGCCCAAACGGATCGCGCGCCCGCACCTCCGACCAGCGACTGCAGATGCTGACCTGCCATGCTCAGTCATCTGGGACACTCTCAGACTCTTGCCAGTTTGATCTCGCGGCCTCTCGTGCCCGTTTATTCGACAACGTCTTTCCGTTGCCTTTCAGGTTGTGGGCTCTTCCTCGTGCTCAGCCATGGGGGCGCGCGTACTGCGGTTCTGCGCTGTGGCCTCTTGCAGTGATTAAAATCCAAGGATTTCCTGTATGTATGCCAGCCCAAGATCAAACCGGTGTGAGTGGTTCTCCAACTGACCGTGTGTCAACTTTGCAGGCCACTCGGGACGGTTTCAAGTCTCCCCCTCGACTCTCCGGGTGCCACGTTGTTCTGGGCTACACCCGTTCGGGTTTCTTTCCCTCCATCACCCTGAACCTGAACCTGCGCCCAACGACTGCTTGACGATAAGGGACCTTGCTGGGCGAGCATCGCGGTTCAGTCGGTTATTACTCTGCGCATGACGAGCCAGCCGACATCAAACTCTTCGGCGGGTGTTCCGTTGTCGCCCAGCGGCCCAGGGAGCTGCGCGGTCGCGACACCGGCCAATTCAGGCAACCTTGCACGCAGTCCGTCCTCGCTCTTCTGGAACACGGCGCATCAAGGTTCAAAACATGCGAGGTCATTTCTAAGATATGTACCCAATGGGAACGGTCGGTACCAGACGGGAGATTACCAAGGTTCGAGCTTCTCGGTGCTCCCGATCCCGGAGATCGAGCAGGCAGTCTATACAACAAAGATGACTGTGACAAAACAGGGAAATGCGCTTTCTGCCAGGGTCTCTGCGTCATTCCATTCCAACTCAGATCCGCTCTTGGGATATACTCCGGAGTAGACTCTGATGACTGTCTTGAAATAATCGTTTTCAGGCTCAAGGTGGATCCAAATCGTGGATCTCACGTGGTGAGAAATCACGTGATGTTCGATTGTCCCTCATCGAACGTTTCGAAACACCGATTCTAACTCTACACCCGGAATTAAGGCCCACATCGGATCCATTCAAAAACGCTCATTATTCAACGGAGATTGCTCGGCAGATTCGCCCGGTGAAAATTGGTGACGAAATGAGAGGATCTGGTTCTGCGCCAGCATCGAAGCAGGACCGTTCAGATCCGCGAGTCATGTCCCAGCACGGGAAACTGTTAATTAACGCATGCAGATCCAGTATTTTCTCCGATCCAAGAGCCGGGCTCAACCGGAGCGTTGCGTAAGAGTGAGGGAGCAGCTTCGAGTCTTCAAAGAGCAGCTCAATAGCGCAATCTAGTAATACAAGACGGAAGGTGAGGTGCGCGCCCGGCTCTTTAAGACTGGAAGTACATGCAAACGATATCCGTCTCGCAACCTGGTCCGCTCTTACTTCGCTCGGGTGAAAGTCTTCGGCCATGCACCGGGTCTACTCCGCAAGCTTCCGCTCGTCAGAACTCGTTGCAAGCTTTCAATGGGGCCATCAACTAACTATTCAGACCCATGTCCTTCTCGCTACCTATATCCTAGTATCCGGTGATTCCCGAACGGCCTCTTTCATGGAATGCCTCCAGAGACCTTGGCATTGGGCAAGGTATTGATACAGCATAGATAGGCTTTTTCGCGTAGCTTGATGAGTATACTCAAGCTTGACCAGCGGCCAGCCTGCCAGCTACGTGGGCACGGACCAGGCAAGACTCTGTCGGCGCTCCATCGCGCCTATCCTCTTAGTGGTGAATGGCTTTTCGCCGCGCCTGAATATGTGACGGCCTTTGCCGCCTCGTAGTCTGTTACTGCAGCTATACAATGAGGATGACTTCGATATCATCAAGAGCTCTGCTTCTCCAAATCCCAGTCACGCCTCGAAGTCATGTGTTACCTTGGAATTCTCGAGTCTCAATCAAGCCATGCCTATCTTTTAGGGCATTATGCAGCAAGTCTGGTTCGAGTTGATCTTCATAGTTCGGGCTTTGGATAGAATTATCAAAGCCAAACACCTCGTCAGAAACACCATAGCTTATCTCCGGTTAATGTTAGTGCCATGACTGGTATTCAGATCCAGCCCCCTGTGTCCGCGACTGTCTCTGCGCAATCTGCACGATAGGGTGAGGTACTTCCGGCGGTACGAATGGGCTACTTGCTGAACCCTTACTACGCATGGACTTTCTCCGCAGTATGATTACTTTTGCTCTTCGGTTTCATACGCAGTACTCTAGCTCGTTGAAGCGGACTTATCAGCCTGGCAAACACAGAACCCCTTGACGACTACTGGGAGAATCGAACCCCGAGAGCTTTGCCTCCGAGCTGTATTGCTCAAAGGCAGGTACACATTGCGTGCCTTTTAAGCCCTCGAATGCTACGCGGGGGAGCGCCAGTGCTTGGCATTGTACAAGATCAACTGAGTGATACGGAGTATCGATATAACTATTTCTTCCCTCGAACTGTATATCAAGGTACAGAAAACACTCTTCGTACCAGCATTCTGCGATACGCTTATTATTGAGGGGTGGCCCAACGATCGGAACGCAGTTCTTAGGACGCCGCATATATATCCAGGGATTTTCCCAGCTAAACTCCTCACCCACGAGGCTCAACCCAACCCAATCTTCTCAGCCCAACGCCCGAAGCCTCAGCAGGCTCTCGTCCAGCCACAGCCTCACCTCACTTCACCTCATTCTGACCCCAGACATCCCGGAACCCCGAGCCCCTGCAGAACCCAATAAGGTATCGATGCTGATGCCTGATTATTGCATCGCCTTCCATCCCATCCCGTCTCATCCCATCTCCTCAATCCCATCTCATCCCGTGTCATGTTTGCCTTACCCATCGAACCCTCTCTTCCACACCCCTTTACCCGCCCAGGCTCTACCCATCTCAACCGTCCGATGCAAGAAACCGTTTCGGTCAGAGTGCCGCTGCCTGGGCGTGATTTTCTAGGTTAACGAGTCCAGGGTTCGGGTTCGCGACCAGAAAGGCGATCCGAGCGCCCCGGGACACGAGCCCAAGCCTGATCACGCATCCGCACACCCACCCCGCATGATCGCCTTGAGCTGCCATTATTACCCTGACCCTGCTGATCGATCGATGGGTAGATAGGTAAGCTTGGTAAGCGAGGTGCTACACCGCACCGCTAACCCAACCATCACCCGATCAGGCTGTGCAATCTAGCTACGGGATGACGGGGGCTTGGTACGTATTCATCTTCGTACGCAGTTATCTGTGTGCTTCGGAGTTAGCAAGTCAGTCGGTTAGTCCTTCATCCTTCATCCTTCTGCCGCGATGGCCGACTTTATCTACTTGGTTGACAATACTTAGCTGGGTAGCTAGCTACGCCCCGTCGCCTTGTTGAGGCATGCTTCGGTTCGTTCGAACCCTTCCCCCTCTTAGTGTCCGGGCCTACCTACCTTTCTACCATACAACGGCGGCTGAACCCAAAACTTACCCTTACAGATGGCACTGCTGAGCTGAGCTCGCTGACCGCAGCTTGTTGAAGTGATTGAGCTCCTCCACATCGGCACCCATCTCAGCAAGCCGCATGCGTAAGAGATTCTACCTCAGTAGAACGGTGGCTTTCAAGTGAACGCCCGGGAAAAGGAACTATTGACATAGATAGCGTTGATGATCGCTTTCCTTCGCCCTTCCGACTCGCGCTCCTGTCGTCTAATTGCCTCGCCTGGATACAGGCCAGGCCATTAAATTTCTAGGTAAACGATGTTTCTTTCTTGCTCGCTACAACGTAAACTATATACATCCATCCACCTCTAGCCTTAATACAACCGAGTCTCGCTTCAACCTCGAGCTCCAACAAGCCATATCTGCTCATCCTCATCTGATGGGACATGCGCTTTTTGCTACCTAGCCATCTACCTACCTACCTACGTTTACCAAACCGCGGACAGAGCAGATGGAATATTTACTAGTACGCATAGTTAATGGCCCTATTATTCTACAATATCGTCATTAAACACTTACAAACACCCCTGATAATGCACGGTACTTTCGCCACCTATTTGCTCTTCCCTCGCGTGTGATGCTATGCTATAGATAGCAACTACTCCAAACACAGACCTAGACCGGGATTCCGCATCTGCTCGGGCATAATGTAGAGGGCGGTGCGCGGCTGACCTGCGTAGACATTGTCCTCGATGCTATCTTGTTTGTGTTTGCTTAACCGGGATGGCGGGACGTTGGGCAGAAACGTCCGAAACCTCCATCCCATTCTTGAAAGATCCTGGAAACGAATCTGGACATATCCCGTGTATGTCGGTGGATGAGTAGGGAAGTCGAGTCGTGGAGGTGGCGTCTGCGGGGCCATTCTTTGGGCTTGCAGGCGTGAGTTGATTGGGACTTTTGCGGATATCGAAAGGTAGTTTTTCGGGGTCATGCACTACGAGGATGTACATGAGAGCGTATGTACCTCCTCCAACCAATCAGGATTAGATCGCCATATATGCATGATCCAGGACCCATGCGAACGAACTTAGCAGCCGTGTTAGCAAACCCCAACAGGTAAAAACTTCCCACGACCAGAGTATATGGTATAGCTTAACTACTGAAACCTGCCCTTCTAGACCCCAAACCTCCCCGCAGGCACTCTCTCATGACACAAATGATTCAACCTTTCTGTAAACAAGGAGACATAGCGTAAACACCGCCTTTCCCTTCAGGCTTCCCTCGGCCGGATTGAGCATGTACGGCGCAACGACCGAGGTTACTGTGGATAAGAATGTAGTATGTACCCCGGCCCAGAGTAATTGTCCTAACGCGCAGATTGCTTGCGCCGACTTTGGCGGCGAGTGCGTAGGGAATTGGGCTAATTGTACAGCCTATAGATAGGGTGTCATGCGTTAGATTTTGCCCAGCGAGGAATTGGTTCAGGGCGTTGGTTTCATTATAGTAGAAGAACCAGACCATCAGCAGGGCGGACTGCGTCCAATGGATGGCGGATGACTCGGATGCTACGCCTGGGAATCTGTTCACTAGAATCTTGTGGAACTTTGCGACGAGACCTGTTAGGTGAAAGTGTTGTGCATGAGCATCAGATACAATAAGCAGGAGGTGGAAGCGAGATATACCACAAGAGCTCACCAACAAGGAGCACTTCAATAGAGGGGGCCAGGAAGGTGATGGTGACAAACCCAGCCAGCAACCAACGACACCACGATGACCTTTCGAGCACCGGATCTCTCAGTCGCCCAGCCGTTGATCAAGGCGCCCCCAACCAAGCCTACCAGCGATATCAGATTCAAGGCCGTTTGCCACTTGGCTGGGATACCGTCTCCGCCGCCCTCCACGGGACGCCATATTTCTCCTGGAACTGGGGAAGGGCATGGAAGGAGTGGACGATCTGCATATCGCAAGACTTCTTGATCTAGGCAGATACCTTACTTTATGCATCGATTAACTGTATTGCTTTCCCATGTGTACCTGCTCTTGTATAGAAGCTCCACGCAACACGTGACAGCCGTGGACCCATCTCCCTCCTTCCCAAGTCTTCATAGGCATGTACTCGAGCATATAGACTAGGATACCAAGTCACACAAACTGCTTAGCCAGCCACACTGACTACCTACTGCGAAGGCCTAAGCTCATCGGAGACAGCCACCATCCTTTGAATCTGCCCCGGGCTAAACTCCGTCCTGCACGCATCATTGCTATAATCCATATGATTATGGATCGGATCCAAACCCGGTAGAACCAGGCACGAGTCGCGGGACTAAGCGAGAAGTTATCAGCAAACACCACGCACATAAGAGGGAAAAACAAAACAAAAAATAATAACTCACCTCCGGACACCCCACCGCCGGCTCCGCCTCAGCGGGGGTATCATCCACATAATCGCCGCCAAAACAGCCATCCTGGAACGTATGTAGGAGACCGAGCCAGTGCCCGACCTCGTGCGCCGTGATGCTCCCCGTGTTGTAGCCCTCTTGGGAGCCGCCGGGGATGTACGGCCGGGACATGACGACGCCGTCGAGTTGGGGTGAGGTTGTGTAGTCCCAAGGGAATGTTCTAGAGACGATTCAGGATCAGTTTCAGTTGCTGGTTACTTTTCATGCGGGGTATGGCCGGCGCAGATAGGGAGGACGGACTGTTTAGGCCTGGCTGGCCCTTGAAAGGCTCGAAGATGCGAGAATGCAAGAGAGGAGTGAGGGAAGAAGAAAGAATAACGCACGCATATCCGGCAACATTATCCTGAATCGCATGCACAATATACAGATTGAGATCGCGGACGCCCCCTTGTCGAAGCTGTTTGATCTGCGCATTGCTTTCGCCTTCGGGGTCCACGGGGCCGAGGCCCTCAAACAGGGCTGTCTCTATCCCCGCAAGCTGGAAGGTGAAGCCCACGGGAGCGAAGAGGGTGTTTAAGACTGTTATCTGGGTGGGTGATTAGTGGTTTGTGTTGAAATCAACGACGATGGAGGTACGTACCTGCTCCTCGATCTCATCCTCAAGTCCACTATCGCTCTCACTCTCCAAAATGACATGGACGTAAACCTGGATCTGTCTCTCGTCCTGGGGCGGAGAAAAGACAAGTCCTTGGGCTGCGCGCTCGGCCTCGAGAGCTTGGAATGAGCGGTGGACCGAGAGACCTGCTTCCGAGGGCTCGGAGGTCCCGCAAAAGGCCGATGCGAGGTTGCTCAGGGTGAGGCTCAGACCGAGGGATAGGAGAAGAGTTGGACTGGGAAGCAGCATGATGTAGGCTAAGTAGATTTGGGTGGATAGGTGGAAGGAAGCTTGGACTAGGGTGGTTTGATTCCAGCTGGTATTGGAGATTGTCTTAAGGGAGGAGAGAGGAGTTATATCTTTATAAGCCTTGTCGAGTTGCTCTTTTGAACGACTCTTCTCTGGGGATTACAGAGGGATCTCACTGTTCGTTGCTTTCTTTTTTTTCTTGATCGAGGACCTGCCTGCGCGAGCACATTATGTTCTCTCTCTGGCCTCTTATGCATGTCAATCACACCGACACAAGTCTGACCCCGAGCTCCTCCCTCAATCGCATCTATACCCGTTCTGATCAAGTAACCACGCCACATTGTCTTGTGATAGACTGCGGATGTTGATTTTAACCCGTCGATGCCCCCGGGGGGGAAGGCAGTGCAATCCAGGCCACTCCGAGGGAGGTACGTTTAGTCGCAGCTCCAATTTGGGCCTCTTTCTCTCTGATCCTTGTCTTTTCCGCTCGTTCTGGGGACTGTGCTCCTTGAGGGGTCGGTTTAGAGAATGCATACCCTACTCCGCGACATGGGTCAGCTCACATGAACACTTGACAATCTCCTAGATACACATTGAGCCTGAGATCTATGGATGTATAGAAAGTTGTGATCAGCGGTGGCAGCGCCTATCATGTATGAGCGGGGTGTGTGTATGCACGGGATCACTCCAAACGGTTGCGTCCGCAGCTCGAACTGGTGTCTTATATTCGGAACTCCCTAGGCTCCATTGATTCTCCGCTGATTATTCCCCGTACTCCGGTAAAAAGGCGAAATAGGAAGACGTCCGAACAGTAGGAACCTAGATTGGCGCCGCGGAACTCTATCGAGTCACACGCAGATGATTAGTTTCTAGGATATCATGTCGAGCCTGAGCCTGAGCCTGAGCCTGAGCCTGAGCCTGAGGCTTGGGGTTTTGAGGAAACGCACGATGCAGTGACTTGATATCTTCGATGAGCAAGATGCGCACATGCAAGGGCACCACTGCACCCCAGTCACATATGTATGGTCCTCGCAGCACCCCACGCTTACTACAGAGCGTGGGGTCCGGAGTCGGGAGTCCGGGGTCCGGAGTAACTCTGCAGCGCGCAGATCAGGGATTCGAAGAGGTGGCTTTGAATTAGTCAGTTATGGACTACGTGGTTTACTCATCTTGTTCAAAGCCAGTTTACCGCTCTTCTTCTATCTTCCTGTGTATGAAGATCGAGGTGGCGCAATGGAGATGCTGGGCCACCGCGATTGCGATTGCGGTTGTAGGTCTGCTTGCGAGCTGGCGGTTAGGGCTAGAGCACCATCAGCATACTCTCCGTCACTTTTCGCCCCCAAATCTCACCACACACACACAAAAGAAAAGCCTGCAAATGTGATTCAGGCACGTAAGGTTCGTGGCTGTTGATATGATGGGCCAACCAGTCCAGGCGGCCAGGGCACTCACTCGACGTTGAGATCAACGGGAACTCTCGCTTCCGAGGCAAGCGAGCGCTTGCTTTTCCGGTCTATCGCAATGTCGCCATCAAAATAACCATCATTATTCTCATACTTTGAGCCTAGTGCATATTTCTACTAACCCGTAAGGAACCAGGGCATACGCCTGGTTGGCAAGTATGAACCAGTACACCGTCAGGCCAGGTTCCAGGGCAGCCTCTCGGCCGTCATTTACGCCAATGAGCGCCAATTATGCTTTACCTGTCCTTGAGAACTGGCCTCTTCCGAACAAATGGCTTGATGAGTTTTAGAGAGTGCGAGGAATCTGGCCAAGGGGGATGAAGATGAGGAAATTATGCAGGAGGGGACAACTGCTCGGAGACAGGGTTGGATGGAGTCAGCGGTCTTAATTATGGCCTCGCCCAGTTCTCCAATAGCTGTATTGCCTCTGGTCTCCTTGAATGCTACCTTGAATTCTATCCAGACTACCAGCATGCTGCCAATGTGAGAAACCAGCACTCACGCAGCACATGGACACTCTCGCATCACACTCGCCTCGACCGCGCTGAGAAAGCTGCTTCTACATCCACAATTCATCCCAGCCACTATAGAACTTGCTTCAGTTCAACAAGACTGCTCTGCGAGAATCAACCCCTGCAGGAAGTGGTTGTCAGCGCCCAGTATGGTGCAGTTCCATGTTTGCAGTCGCTCGCGGTCCCGTGGGCTGTCAAGGGGGATGTCGGATGTTCCCTATCTTCAGGCCTGCGTCTTGGGCGATTACTCGCAGGACATGTGCGAAGTAATGGGAAAGCCGCTCAGCATCCACAGAGCTAATACCCTGCGCATCGAGACGTGACATCAATGCAACCGCACTCTTCCCCACACTGGGCTGGAAGATGAGCATCATGGCGGAAGATGAGAGAGAGTGCGCGGTACTCCAGGTCCAGTCTGCGCGGTACCCCTCGCAACGGGAAAATTCCTATAGCTTTTTTCGGCTTCTTGGGAGAGAAGATCCCCCTATCACGCGGGGATTCCCTGATCAGCAGGGTCTGGAAACCACATCCGTCAGCTGCATCCGCGCTACACCTACTGCTGCAATTTCCCGTCACTTTCGGTGCTCCTGTGCAAAACGCACCTCCTCAAGGGACTTGGTCGTGGTCTTGCGCTGATGATCGACTCACTCAAAGCCTACTGTAGTGCCAAACTGGTGTGTTTTCGACTTTCGAGAGTGCTTGTGCGATTTATACATCTCGAAGCGGCGACTGAAGAGTGGGTCAAGTCGGTAAAGGTCCCAGATCCCAAAGACTACTAGTAAAATCTGATAACTCACCTAGTATGTTCCCGAGATTCCATGTATTTCTGTAAGCCCTGTACGGAGGTACTATGGTAGGCAGTGTCACTTCGATTTGGGATCTACTATGTGGGCCTGTCTGTGGAGTGGCATTGCCCCTTGCACTCTTAGGCTGTGGCTGTGCACGCCTCTATCTTTATAAACAAGCCCACCCCGCTCAATAAAGATCAATTATCTCCGAGAGCCTCAAGACCAAATTTAATGAAGCAAAGCGAGATGCCACTCCTCCGCTCCCTCTACGCCCTCCCGCCCGAGCTCATCACGCTGATCGCAGGATCCCTCTGCGCGCACGATAAAGTGAACCTCCTCCGGGCTTTCCCGCTTCTCTTGCCCGTCCTTCCGCGAAGGGTGATTCTCGAGACGGATGGATATGGCGCCGAGTTTCTATACGCCTTATCCCCCGTGTACAACGATTCGCACAGTGACTGGGATACAACGGGAGAGGAGGAGTCCGGAGAGGACGAGGAAGTAGGGCTAGCAGGCTATCCAGAAGCAATCCTCGAACACGAATCAACATACATAGCGTGCCCAGACACAGACACCGACGCCTCAAGCCAAGGCTCCCCAATCTACATCCCCAGCCAAGCCCTGGCCCCGGGATCACGAGCAGGGCCCGCGCACGAGGGAAACAACATGGTGCACGTCCTCGCGCAAACAGGCGACCTGCGGCTCCTGCGCGCCCTCGCCATCCTCCACAATACCCCTCCCCTCCCCGTCGACCGCATGAACCACCGCGACCGCACGCCCGTCTCCCTCGCCTGCGAGGCAGGCCACCTCCCCATCGTCGAGTTCCTGGCGGATTGCAGCCCCTCGGGACTCGTTAGCTGGGACGAGCACGGTATCATGCCCGTCTCCTGGGCTGCGCGCGGGGGCCACGCGGAGATAGTGCGGTTCCTGCTCACGCGGCCGGCCATCACGAGTCTGTCGCCGAAGCACTGGTTTGAGAAGTCGGCGTGTGCTGCGGCGAGGGAGGGGCGGGCAGATGTCGTCGGGGTGCTGGTCGAGGCGATGAATTCGTATATAGATCGAATTCAGGCTCGAGCTCGAGCTCAGGCCGAGGATAATCACAGCGCGGCAGCAGCAGCAGCAGTGAACGGTAATGACGCGACAGTAAATAATTATCAAAACGCAACCCAGTGCGCATGGCTCCCCCTCCGCTACGCAATCGACGAGGGATACACAGACATTGTCGAGAAGCTGCTGCAGGTGAAAACGCTGGATATCAGCAGACGGGGCCTGCCCTGGCGCAAAACACCCTTGTTCCTCGCTTGCCGGCGCGGGAATGCGAGTATCGTCGAGTTACTCTTGGACAAGGACAGCTCGAATATCAATGCTGGGGATCCGAGTGGCAAGACGGCGCTTGCGCACGCGAGGGAGAGTGGGAATATAGATATCGCCGAGTTGCTGGCTGCGCGGGGGGCGGTTGAGTAATGGGTGTACACTACAAGATTGCAGATCCGTCAATACGATCGCTGGCAGGGAGATGATCTGACTAGCTGAGAACATGATGCATTTATAGATATACCCTAGGCCCCAAACAGGCGCCGAGAGTTCTCCTTGGAAATGAGCATAGCGCCAAAGCTCTTATCCACGAGCATAAAGGCTTTCCTTCCATCGTAACGAATCCTTCTGGGTCAGCACCCACCACGGAGATCTGTCAACACCATAAAATACCCCCTGCCAGAGCTCTTCGCCCTGGTGCTGGACCACCTACGCGCTGACCGGGGATGACACAGCAAGGATGAGATTCATCTGAAATTAGAAATGGCTGGCCATCGCATTCCGCGCCATCGCCCGATCCGATTCCTCTTCGCGATGGCTCAACCTTTGGCACATGACGGGCCAGGGAGCTTTCTTGCATCCAGTCAAACTGTACAGAATAACTATGGCAACTCGTACAGTATAACCCTAACCAAAGCCCGGAGCTCGCGCATCATACTTGTGAAAGCAACCACATGCCTCCTGACTAGTTTTCAATCTTCATCAACCTCGCACCTCCGCAACAGCGCCATCTCAATCGTCATCCCCGGCCCAAACGAGGTCGCAACCACATTCTCCCTCTTCCTGTTTGCCACTGACCTCAGCTTATCCAGCAGGATCAAGACTGTCGGACTCGACGAGTTCCCGCGCGTCCGATACGTCTCCCGCGTGGCCTGGATCTGGTCCTCGGTCAGTCCGAGGACTTCTTTTGCGCCGTCGATGATGGCTTCTCCGCCGGGGTGGAGGGCAAAATCAAAGTCGTGGATTGTTAGCTGCTGTTCTGCTTGCACATGCCTCTGGTAGGATGGGAGGAGGGTCTCGAAGATCGGACCGATCGCGTGCTTGACGTGACCAGGTACCGCGCGAGTCAGCGTAGTGTGGTAGCCTATACCAATCGAACCAAATCAGCATCACATCCAAAGCCAAAAGACGAGCCGGGAAACAAACCATCCCCCTCGGTCGAAAATCCCATGTGCTCAATTGTATCGGGGATAACATCATGCCCCCATTCGAGCAACCGATACACCGGCCTCACACCCTCGTCGTCGTCGTCATCATCGTCATCGTCATCCTCACCATCCTCACTATTCCCATTCCCACTACCCTCCCTATCCTCCGCCAACGCAACCTCATTACAAAGCACAACCGCCCCCGCCGCATCGGAAAACAGCGCCGCGACAATACTAATCCCCTCGGGGTCCCCCTCCCTCGCGACCTCGGCCAGATCATGCCTTCCATTCGGCATACACAGCTCGCACGCAAACGCCAGGATCCGCGCCGGCTTCCCGCGCATACTCGCGCCGCAGGCAAGTTGAGCCGCGGCGCGCAGAACCGACAACCCACCTGCGCAGCCGACACCGGAGAGGAGGGTTCTGTCGAGCGCCGGGCCGGCGGCGGGCGAAGACGAGAGGCGGAGCCCGAGTTTCTTGGCCACGAGCAGGTCGTACCCGGGACAGCCCTGGTTCGTGGCGGTGACGGCGACGGTGTGTGTGATTTTGGTTGGCGGGGTGCGCGCGTCGCGGAGGGCGCGTTTGCATGCGGAGACGGCGAGGTCGACGCCGGCGGTGCGGAAGAAGTGGTCGATTTCGGTGATGGTGGGTGGGATCGATTGCGTGGCGAAGCCGGTCGTGTAGGGGAGGATCGAGGCGCGCGATTCGATTCCCGTCGTGTGGTTGATTTGGATGAGTTTTTTGAGGCTGGACGAGGTGTGTTAGGGAGGGCTACCGGGATATCCAGACTATGCGTGGGGTTGGGGGACGTACCCTGGGCGCTCGGTATCGTGGAAGCGCGCTGCGAGTTGGTCGAATTGATCGGGGGTCATGAGGTATGGGGGAGACTGGTGGCCCAGGCCGGTGATGTAGAGGGCTGGAGGGGTCGTCATGGTGGATATAGTAGAAAAGAGCAGTTAGAGGAAGTCAGATGGCAAAAAGGAGCTATGTATCGATTCAGACGCCAGTATGAAGGATGGTGACCGCAAAGAGGTTCATGAAGCGAGGCGCGGCGAGGTTGTGTATTGAGGAAAGACTGAACGGCCTTTGCGCCCTCTTTAACAGGGCTCGAGGCACTCTACAGTATAATACTGACAATCCGTTGATTCTCAGACAGACTCTGCAAAGATTCCTTGCAGGGTGGGGGGTTTTCCTTCGGACTTGATCCATCGGGACTCCGAACGTTCGGACCACCGACGCCAACTTAGGGCTGAACTGCCGAAATGCCCGATAGTTACATGCAGCCTGCTTTTCCTTCCCATCTCTACCCTGAATCATATCGTAATCACAATCCGAATCCGAGTCCATGTCGCCAACATGCACACGGTTAATATTGACGACTCAAATCTCCCCTTGTATACCGGCACTGCACCATCCAATCCCAACTCATTTTCAAACAATGCCACCACATCATCCTTCCCACCCATCGCAATCTGCGGCATGGCAACACGCCTGCCCGGCGGAGTCCACACTCCGTCAGCGCTCTGGGACCTGTTGACCACAAAACGCAGCGGGCGGTGCCGCGTCCCCGCGAGCCGGTACACCGTCTCTAGCTTCCTTGGCCCTGGCAAACTCGGGCACGTCGCAAGCGAGCACGGGTATTTCCTCGACGACGTCGATCTGCGGGATGTAGATACGAGTTTCTGGTCCGGGATGACCCGAAAAGAACTCGAGGCGATGGATCCGGCGCAGCGGTTGGCTCTCGAGGTGGTGTATGAGTGTTTGCAGAGTGCGGGCCAAAAGGCCCGCGAGTTAAGAGAAAAGGATGTGGGCGTCTTTGTCGGGACCTTTGGAGGCGATTGGAGCGACTTGGATAGTCGCGATCCCCAGAGGTATCATATGTACCGCATGACGGGACAGGGGGACTATATGCTTGCGAACCGGGTGAGTTATGAGTTTGGATTCGGGGGACCGAGGTATGTCTTGTCTTTTTATCTTCTCTCCTCACTCTCAGAGATCTATTCATCTCTCCATGAACGAAGCACCACCTAACACTGGGGGCAGTGTAACAACCCGAACAGCCTGCTCCTCGTCTCTAACAGCGCTCCACTCCGCCTGCCAATCCCTCATAGCAGGAGACTGCAGCTCCGCAGTCGTCGCGTCCGCAAACCTCATCCTCAGCCCGGCCCCCTGCATCATCATGCAAGAGCAAGGGATCATCTCGCCAAGCGGATCCTGCAAGAGCTTTGATGCAGGTGCAGACGGCTACGCGCGCGGCGAAGCCGTCTCGGCGATCTATGTCAAGAGCCTAGCCGATGCCATTCGCGATGGGGATCCCGTCCGTTCGGTCATTCGGTCGTCGTGTGTCAATTCTGCATGTGCTTTAGCATCAACTCCAACTTCTGGTTCGGGCGCGGAGGGCAAGTCGATTACGACGCCGAGTGCCCTTGCACAGGAGGTGTTGATTAGGCGGGGACTGGAGCTGGCTGGTGTGGGTGATTTAAAAAGCGTCGCTATGATTGAGTGTCATGGCACTGGGACGCAGGTGTGTCTTGCATTCCTCCACTGTCGAGGTTGAACTGGTCTGAGGGTACTAATTGGACCAGGTTGGCGATCCCATTGAAACGACGGCCGTGGGCAACGTATTCGGCGAGCACGGGATCTACATTGGATCGGTGAGTCCCTCCAGCAGAGGTAACAACGGTGGTAGAAGATGCGTTTGTTGATGATGATACTCTATAGGTCAAATCCAATCTCGGTCACTGCGAAGGCGCATCGGGCCTAACGAGTATTATCAAGATGACCCTGGCCCTGGAGAAGAAGATCATTCCGCCCAATATCAACTTTTCGACGCCGAACCCCAAGAGTGAGTTTCAAATCATGTTAGATTGCAAGATGTGATCTCGATTGGACCCATTGACTTGTTCCTCCTTTAGTTCCCTGGCAGCGTTTCAAGCTCAAGGTCCCCACCGAGCCAATCCCCTGGCCTGCAGACCGCGCTGAGCTGGTGGGCGTCAATTCCTTTGGGATCGGGGGGTCGAATGCACATGTACATGAGAACAAACTACTCGGCTTCAAGTCAGATGGTAAAGGCTGACAAAATATCCAGGTCCTGCTCGCCTCCGCCGCCTCCTCCGGCCTCACCCCATCCGCAGCCAGCAAAGAAACAGCAACATCAACCTCATCATTAACCCCGCACCTCCTCCTCTTCTCCGCAACACACCCTTCCTCCGTCTCACGCAGCATAAGCGCCCACCAAGCCTATGCCCTCTCCCACCCAGACTCCCTCGCCGACATGGCCTACTCGCTTGCACTAAAGCGCGAGGTCCTCTCCCACCGCGCGTTCTGCGTGACGGATGGCGAGGACAATTGGGCGCCGTCGAGGACGAGGCGGACTAGGGCTACCGCGGGACAGGTTGCAGCTGCCCCGACGCTCGTGTTTGTGTTCACAGGGCAGGGCGCGCAGTGGCCACGGATGGGGAGGGAGCTGATCAAGACTGTTGCAAGGTTTCGGGAGAGGATTGAGGAGTTGGATCGTGTGTTGGAGAGCCTAGAGGATCCGCCGGGGTGGAGGTTACTCGGTAAGTTGAAATGCCCGCGTCATGGCTAATGCTTCGTCATACCATACGAGCATGAGCATACCTGTATTGACGACACGTATGAAGACGAAATCCTCGCCCCAAAGCGCAAATCCCGCCTCTCCACCGCCGAATTCTCGCAGCCCTGTACAACAGCACTCCAAATCGCATTGGTTGACCTTTTGTCCTCCTACGGCATCCACCCCGCCGCAGTAATCGGCCACTCGAGCGGCGAAATCGCCGCGGCGTATGCTGCACGGGCTATTACCGCCGCGGATGCAATCAAGATCGCGTACTATCGCGGCAAAGTACTTGCCACGCCCAGTCCCAGTCGCACTGGTGCGTCTGCCGGGTCTGAGCCTGAGCCTGCGTCACGAGAAGGGGGCATGGCGGCCGTTGGTCTGGGGGTTGAGCAGATCACGCCGTACCTCAAGCCGGGGGTTCGAGTTGGATGCGAGAATAGCCCCGAGAGTACGACGTTGACGGGGGAGAAGAAGGTGCTGGAGGAAGTGGTGGGCGCTATTGAAAGTGAGAACGAGGACGTCTTTGTGCGGTGGTTGAGTGTTGATCGGGCATACCACTCGCGTATGTTGTGATTGATTCTGTCTCGGATGCCGCTGTTCCTGAGCTCGATGGACGAGTGCTAACGAGGTATGCTTGTAGATCTTATGGACCCCGTCGCCCCGGCGTACGTCGACCTCCTCACCAAGGCGCGGGTTTGCACCGCGAATATAGGTATGGATCCTTCAATCGACTTCTTCTCCAGCGTGACAGGCTGTCTCCACGACAAAACAAAGCTACTCGACCCGGCCTATTGGGCGCAGAACCTCGTCTCGCCGGTCCTCTTCTCGACAGCCATGACCTCGCTTTGCCAGACCCATCCTGGACCAAAAGCCTTCCTCGAACTTGGCCCTCATTCCGCTCTATCAGCTCCTATCCGGCAGATTCTCAACCACCACCAGGCTCCGTCAGCATCAGCATCAGCGCCAGCGCCAGCAGACGAGTACATCCCAACCCTAATCCGAAACAACAACTCACACCGCGACCTCCTAACCGCCCTCGGTGAGCTGTGGCTCCGAAATACCCCAATCGACCTCGACGCGATTTTCAACACAGCCAAGACTAAGGCTGAATTCCTCCCGGACCTCCCCCTGTATCCGTGGCACTACACCCGCGAAGAAAACGCAGAAAAGCTCTGGTCGGAGACACGCCTCGCACACGAATGGCGCTTCCGCCAGTTCCCGCATCATGAACTCCTCGGCGTGCGGGTCCTCGAGAGTACAGAGGACAATCCATCGTGGAGAAATGTTCTCCGGGTGGAGAGTGTGCCCTGGGTCAAGGACCATGTTGTCGGGGGCCAGGTTGTTTTTCCGGCGGCGGGGTTTGTGGGGATGCTGGGGGAGGCGATGAGGCAGGTTACCGGGGGATCGCTGGAGGGGGGCTTTACGGTGAGGAGGTTGGGGATTCGTGCTGCGTTGGTTCTTTCCACCGAGGCGGAGGGGGATGAGGGTGTGGAGATGGTCACGCAGTTGATGCGCACCGACGCAAGCCCAGGGCCAGCGGGAGATCAGACGGGGTATACCTTCACCATCCACTCGTACCAACCGAAACCCAACGGCAAAAAGGGAACCTGGATCAAGCACGTCGTCGGTCGAGTCTCCTCTGGGCCAGGCAACTTACCTGCCCTTCCCCCAGCGGCCCCCTCACCGTCGGCCCTCCCCCGCGCCCTGTCTCGCCGCGCCTGGTACCGCAAGATGCGCGAGATGGGTCTGGAATACGGGCCACGGTTCATGGGGTTGAACGACATGTCCGCGCATCCTACTGAGAAGAGACTCGTCGCCACCGTTGTGAATGAGATCCCCGAAGCAGGAAAACAGAAACCGGGGGAATCAGTCTACGCAGTCCACCCGGCCTCGCTTGATTGTCTGATCCAGGCAATCATCCCGGCGACATTCAACGGATTAACAAGGCGCTTTCGATCTCTCGGATTGCCGACGTATATAGATGAGATCTACGTTTGCCCTCCATCAGACTCCTCGATGACAATCGAAGCCCGCATCGACCAACACAAAACTACCGGTACAACTACGACGGACATCTCACGGACAATCACAGCCACCGCAAACAACCAGCTCGCCGTCCGCATTTCAGGCCTGCAGTTGTCAACCACCAGCATCACACAGTCCAGCGATCCCTTCCCGTACGGCCCGCACGCAGCCGTCGAGCTCGAGTGGCGCGAGGATATCAATCTCGTCCGCGATTTCGGTTTTCTGTTCCGCCCTGCGAGGATCGAGGATGCGGCCGATGAACGGAGGCGCGCTGAAGTGTACGCCCTCCTCGACCGGTTCGGGGCGGCGTGTATATTCGATACGGCGCGGCGGCTGGACGGTGTCGAGGTCTCGCCGGCGAAGCCAGGTCTAGTGCATTTCAAGAGGTGGGTTGTGCGTGCGAAGGCGATGATGGAGTCCGGGGCGTATCCTGGGCTCCGTGCAGAGGATATCGGCGCCCTCACACAGGCCCAAGATGTCGGCGGCACAGAACGTACCCAGAGGACTACTCTCATTGAAGACCTATACAACTCGCTCCTCAACCCACCCACCCCGGCCAGCGCGCCCGCAACAGCCCTATACCGAATCCACCAGTCCGCGCTCTCTCTGCTCTCCGGCGAAGCCTCCGCGCTGGACCTCCTCTCCACGGACAACACTTTTCATGCCGTCAACGAGCTCGTGCAGAGCCACGCGGATTATAGTGCGTTTCTCTCTCTCCTCGCGCACCGGAAGCCGAACCTCCGGATCCTCGAGATCGGCGGTGGGACGGGGGCGACGACGAGGAGGGTTCTGGATGCGCTCCGCGCCGCTTCGACGTATGCCGAGCGGATGTACTATTCGTATACATGGACGGATCTCAGTCCCGGGTTTGTTGCCGCGGCCAAGAGGACGTTTGCGGGCGTTCCAGGCATGGAGTTTGCGGTGTTAGATATCGAACGGGATCCGCTGGGGCAGGGCCAGGGCCAGGGGTTTGAGGCGGGCTCGTTTGATTTGGTTATTGCTTGCAACGTGAGTCACCATCCATCCATCCATCCATCCACCCAGGTACAGGTCCGTTTGTCGATCTAACCAAAAAACAGGTCCTCCACGCAACAACCTCCCTACACACATCGCTAACCAACATCCGCCCGCTCCTACACCCGGAAGGCCGCCTGTTCATCCAAGAACTCTCCCCAGCCACAAACGCACAATGGATCAACTACATCATGGGCGTTCTCCCCGGGTGGTGGTCCGGCGAGAACGACGGGCGGTATCCGGAGCCGTATGTCTCAGTTGAGCGGTGGGATGGCCTTCTCCGGGCGGCTAGATTTGGGGGTGTAATGGGGTCCGGGTTTGATGGGTATTCGTGTAATTGTATTGTTGCGGGGTTGGCGAGGGACAGGGAGAGGGAGGGGAGGAGGGTTACCTTGTTGCATTCGGGGGGTGCGGTTTCGGACGCTGCGGAGGGGATGGGGAGGATTCTGGTGGAGGCTGGCGTTGCGGTTGATTATTATGCTCTTGATGCGGTGCTTCCTCCTCGCTCGGGGCAGGATGTTGTATCCGTGCTCGATCTCGAGGCGCCATTCTTCCACGATGTGGATGAGGCTTCGTTCGAGAACCTCAAGCGGCTTCTCTCACACTTGCACCAGCAGCAGTCAACCGATGGCAACAACAACAGCGGAATCCTCTGGCTCACCGGCGCCAGCCAAGTCGCCTGCAAGGACCCGCGATACGGCATGGTCAACGGCGTGGCACGCGTCATCCGAACAGAGATGAACATCGACTTTGCGACGGTCGAGCTCGAGGATTTTGCAGCGGAGACCTTGGCACATGTACCGGCGATTATGGAGGAGTTTACGCGGCGCACGTCTATTGACAAGAATGGCATCAGGGCGAATATGGAGTGGGCTGTTGCTGGTGGCAAGGCTTTGATTGGGAGGTATCATTTCATCCGCGTCGAGGACGAGTTGGAGCGGACTGGTCAAAGAAATGAGAGCCGGGATATCGTCAAAAATGTGCAGCAGACCAGTCCCGGACGGCTTGATACGCTGTGCTGGAGGGAGAAGCCTGCCTCGCTCTCCTCCTCTCAAGCCCTCCTCGGCGAAACCAAAGTCCTCGTCCAGGTTCGAGCCGTCGGACTAAACTCGACCGATCTGCTCATGACAATGGTAACAAACCCTCTTCTAACGGACGCATCCTCAACAACCCATCCCCCCGGCCACGAAGGGACAGGCCTCATCCTCGCCACCGGATCGGCCGTGCACGACCTCGCCGTTGGAGACCGGGTCATGGTCACCGGCCCCGGATGCTTGACGACAACACTGCAACTCGATCAACGTCTCTGTGTTCGCATGCCGGATTCCCTCACGTATGAAGACGGCGCGACGATGGCGCTGGCCTATTGTACGGCTATTCACTGCTTGCTTGATATTGGGCACTTGCGGAAGGGGATGACGGTGCTGATCCACGCAGAGGGTGGAGGGAGTAGTATTGCTATTGCCGCGGTGGATGTTGCAAGGATGATGGGGGCTGAAGTAGGTTTCCCAGCCCATCTGTCCTCTCTTCCTACTTTGAAACTCCGAGCTAATCGACGGTGTATCCTATAGATCTTCGCTGCTGTGTGTTCCGACGAGGAGACGGAATTCCTCATGCAGACCTTTGATATCCCGCGCCATCGAATCTTCCCCTCTCGCACTACCGCGTTTTATGCCGGCATCATGGAGAAGACGAATGGTGTGGGCGTGGATGTGGTGCTCAGTCCAGACTCGGCTTCAGGCCAGCTGCTACACTCTTCTTGGAATTGCACAGCCGAATTCGGAACGTTTGTCGACATTTCTCAGGGCCAGTCTCGTGGCCAGAGTCAGGGTTTGCTGGGTATGAATCCATCCGACGCGAATAGGACGTTTGTCCACTTTGATATTCTCCGGATGATTGAAAAGCAGCCGCAGAGGATTGAGAGGTACGTACATGAGGCAGGCTTTTGCTATTTTGGACCCGTAGAGGGGAAACTAATCTAATTGACTTGTATAGCCTCATGGCCCGCACAATCGAATACTACCGCGCAGGCCTCGTCCACCCAGTCACGCCCACAACATTCCCCGCCGAAGCCCTCGTCGACGCATTCCGGCACATGCAAACCAGTGAGCAGCACCAGCACATGGCCAGAACCGTCATCACCATCCCCAAAGACACCACTCTGCTGCACGCCGAGCCGTCTAGACGACACCTCGTCCTTCGACCGGACCGCGCGTACCTCTTCGTTGGCGGCCTCGGTGGCCTCGGCCGCTCAGTCTCAACCTGGCTCGCCGAGCACGGAGCCCGCCATCTCGTCTTCCTCTCCCCGTCCGCCGGCACCGTCCCAGACGACGACTCCCTCCTCGTGGAGCTCGCAGTTGCGGGATGCACAACAGCTCGAGTCTCGGGGTCCGTCAGCAACATCCAAGACGTGCACACCGCAATCCAAGCCGCAGGCATCCCCATCGCGGGCGTGCTCAACGCATGCATGGTCCTCGCCGACACCTCCTTCGCCGACATGACTCTGCCCACCTGGCAAAAAGCCACCGACCCAAAAGTCCGCGGAACATGGAACCTGCACTCCGCCCTGCAGACCCTCCAGCCCGAGGAAGCCCTCGACTTCTTCCTCCTCTTCAGCTCGATCAGTGCCGCGGGGGGACAGTGGGGGCAGGCAAACTATAACGCGGGGAATACGTTCCTCGATGCGTTTGTCAGCTATCGGCATAGCCTGGGGCTGCCTGCTGCAGCGGTGAATGTGGGCGTGATGCAGGATGTGGGGTATCTGGCCCGAAATGAGAATGCGGAGTTGTTGGAGGCCTTGAAGGCTACGGCGCAGTGGTTGAATACGGAGGGGGAGTTGCTGGATGTGCTTGAGCTTGCCATGCTTCGGTCGTGGCCTGGTCAGTCGGGGACAGGATCCCACGTCTCCACAGGCGTATCCGAATCGCAAGGCTCGATGCCGACCAGCGCCACTGCCACTGCCACTGCCGCTGGTACTGCTTCCGACAAGTCGGGCACGCGCTGCAGCTACGTCAACCACTCGCAGATCTGCATGGGGATGCGCTCAACCCTCCCCATGGATGCGCCGGGGAACCGCACCGTCTGGCGCGGTGACCCGCGGATGCTGGTTTACATGAATGTCGAGAACCACGAACAATCCCTTTCCGGATCCAGCACGAGCACAGACTCCGAGCAGGTCCTCGCCCAGTTCCTCCGCGAGGCCAGCTCGGATCTAGCCGTGCTCAGGGCATCCAAAACGGCGGAGGTGCTTGCCGCCGCGATTGGGCGGACGCTGGCTGGGTTCTCGGGCTCAGGACAGTCGACGACGGACGAGCCGCGCGCGAAAGCGGGCCAGCCAGCGGAAATCGACATCGACATAGACGCCTCCCTTTCCACTTCCGGAATCGACTCGCTCGTGAGCATGGAACTGCGCAACTGGATCCGGCGCAAGATCGGAGTCGAGATCAGTGTGCTGGAGATTGTGCGGGCGGAGTGTGTGCGTGAGCTGGGGGTTGTTGCGCAGCGGAGGCTGGTGGACAAGTATGAGGCGTGTCTATAGGGTGGAGGCATAGGTTGGTTGATCTTCTACTAGTTTTGATTCTTTTGGAGGTTCTTTTATGGATTTGGTTCTTCACAAAGAGAGGAAAGTTTATCTCATGGTCCTCGCTGATTGGATGATAGAAATTGAGTCTTGATCACATGTCGACGAGATCCATGTCCGACTCTCTCGGTAGTCTCCAAGGCTTTGTACATCATATGCAGGACCGCTGGATCCGGCGATGATGCGCGTTGGCGGCACGAGGGACCAAGGCAGCGACACCGGACTCCGTCAAGTACCCGCTTCATTGATTGCGGCTGACAGTGACTGTCCCTTGGCACAAGTTTGCTAATGCTCGTGCCAATGCTTTGGCCCCATGACACGAACCAGAGTCGCAAACTCTCCCTTGTTTCAATATGGTCACGTCAGAATTGCATTTGGTTACTATCTGCATAGACCCCTCTTAGGCTGAGGTGATCTCCACACATCAATGACCCTATGGCGATCAACATGGACCCTTGGTCACTGAGACGCTACCCCAATTCCTCAAAAGGACGATCCTCTCTTAGTGTCCGCCCATCTCTCTCCAGAGGACAAAGACACTCCATTCCATCCCACCCACCTATCGCGATTGTGATACTCGGTGCAGCATGCTGCAAACCCCCTTAGCGGCCGAGGCAATCAATCAATCAATTCCCCAGGGGCCAGTCACAAATGCGATTTCTGCCGTGGGGCCAGCCGGCCGGGCCATGTTCAGCTGAGCTGAGCCCATTCCAAGCTAGTGCACGGGCCAGCTGAGCTGAGATCTGTAAAGGCCCAAGAGCCCAGGCGCCCAAGCGCCCAGAAGACCTAGACCTAGACCTAGAACTACATACATATTAGCCAGCTTCTGCCGGCTGCTTCTTTTCGTTTTTGTTTCCGCACTCGATCGACTGCACCTCCCGCGAACCTCTGCCCTACCTGCTATTCTATTTACCCTGCCTCGGTCCTCAATTGAAGGAGAGCGACCTCGGACCGGGAAAAATGAACCTGAACCTTGATGAAACCGAACCATTGACCCTCCGCTCCGCCTGCTCGCGCTGTCATGGGCATAAACTCCGCTGCGTGCAGGTTCGCGGGGCGCAGGGCTGTGTTCGGTGCACGAGGGCGGGTGTCAAGTGTGTGGTGAGGCCGTCAAAGAGGGTTCGGCGGGAGCGAGAGCGAGGGCAGACAATGACAATGACAATGACAATGGGGCAGAGCAGAAGGGGTTCTCGTTCAGAACGCGGTAGCAGCAGCAGGACGTGTCTGTGTATGGAGGCCGCTACGCCTACGCCTACGCCCACGCCCACGCCCAGTACGACTCCTCCGGAGACCAGAGCTCGGACGCAGTCCGTTGTGGAGAATCTGCCGCTGACGCGTGAGTGACATGTATATACAATATCACCGGGTAACCGCTAACGCTGTAATCCCATTCAGCATACACTCCCACCAATGGCTTCGACAGCGTAGACTACTGGGGCTCGTTCGAGTTGGGAGACGCGGTTTCCTCGCTGGCCGCATCGAAAGACGACGATCCGGTTGGCTTTTGCATATTCGACCCCGCGATGCAGGTGGATGGGGATGCAGACGAGGATCGTGCTCTCCTCGATCCGGCAGCGCTGGGAATCCCTACCTGTAGTCCGCCGACGAGTGCGAATCTCTCTGCGGTACAGGACTGGGACGACCAACCGCCGCCGGGCAATAGACCAGCAGTTGGCAGTGTGGGTGGAGGTCAAAATGGAGAGGACTCCCCGTCCCGGAGAGAACCCACCCCGGCAACCAAAGACGAGGAGCACAGCCGAGCAAGCAAGATCGATGAACACGGTTCTTGGATCGGAAGGCTTTTCAGTCTTCACGCGGAGCTCGGCGAGCATCAGCGGGCGCTGGGCGCCTTTGTCGAAGCCTGTCGAGCGGGATGCCAGAGGCCTGAACCACCGGCATTGCTTCCGGGGTTTCCATCCCAGCCTGAGTCGGGGGCGTCGTCATTCATGGAAACAACATTCCGCCTGACGATCGAATTGGTGGTTCTCGTGGGCGAGCTGACGCCCTTGAATTCACGGGGAGGGACAGGGACAGGGGCAGATCCAGATCCAGACGCAGATCAAACCACACAGCCCAGTCTAGTCTCCTCCCTGGAAGACACAGCAAACATCCTCCTGATGCTATCCTGCTCCACACGCCTCCTGGGTATATTCTCCTCGGTCTTCACGTGCTTCCACCAGATCCTCATTACCGACTCCGCGCAATCAGAGCTCAAGCTCAATCACATCCACACATTCCTCCCCAAAGTCTCCATCGGCCCCGTCCCGGTCCACGGGAGCTCCTCGCGCCTCACCCTCGCAATGGTCCTGGATTCGGCGCAGAATGTGGTAGCAGAACTCACCGCGGGTATGATGCGAGCCGTGCAGGTGGTGGTGGATGGGGACGAGGATGGGTTAAGCACTACTCTGGAAGAAACGCAGATTCCAGGGCAAGAGGGTTTGAGGGATTGTGCTTTGGAGCGGGGCGGGCGGCAGCTGTCTGGTCCGATAGGTAGTCTGGGCAGAGGGAGAGGGAGCACTGAGACTAGGGTCAGCAAGAGCCGTGGTAATGGTATTCCACCGTTACCAGCACCGTCATCTTCATCTTCATCTTCAGCGGACCGTGGATGTGGATGTGGATGTGCTGCGAGTAGCGCAGCGGAGGCGTTGTTCACCCCATGGCAGACGACTATCCGCATGGTTAGCGCTACAGCTTTGGAGACCATTAGAGTATTGAAAGAGGCTATACCATAGATGCTAGATAAAACCACCTAGAGGAGGATTCAATTTACAATTTACGCCATTGAGCTGAGAGGTATACAAGGAACCAATCTTGGCGAACAGAGAATTCCATTCAGTTTATAACTTTATATAAGACTCATTCATCTCAATCTCAATCTCTCATCTCGGCTCATCATACTCTGCCCATCCCACTCATAACACCAACACTGCCCACATTATTAGGTAAGTAACAAACATAGGAAGCATAAGTAGCTTAAGTAGCAGGTGGGCGCCACCACCAGGGCAGCCAACAGAAACCAGAGCCGCCAGGGCTCGACATTAAAACAGCGTAACGTAACATAGCGTAAGGAGTGGCGTGGATGCAACCGAAGCGAAGCGAAAATAGCAGAATCAATCAATCCCAAGCAATGGCACGCTGAATCGACACGAACACGAACAGTTGGGTTGTCCGGACAGAGGGAAAGAGCTTAATCGATGCATGGGCGCTCGCGCGGGTTCGAACTTGACGCCTTCAACGGCTTCATAGCCCACCCCGACAAACACGTCCAGCCGGACCCAGTCTTCCTCCCCTCGTCAAAGACGCTCCCAATCCCCTCGAGCAGCTTACTCTTATCCCGGCCCATCTCCATCTGCAGCTTGAGCAGCCACTGCTCCCACACCCAGCCGCCCAGCAACCCCGTCACGGACGCGACATCCGCCGTGCTCCCCAGCGGACCCTGCACGGCCTCGTAGTCCTCGATCAGACTCTTGACCCGTGGATCGGGAGTTTCGCGCGGCGGCGCGGGCTTCTGTGGCTCTGTGCCCATGGGCAGGCAGAGCCAGCCGCGCTTGATGCCGACAAAGTCCTGCTTCCGCAGACGGTTCAAGAACCCTTTCGTCGGGACGGGGTCGTATCCGCGGATCTTGAGGTTAAAGGAGAACTCGATGGAGGTGGCAGACGCGTAGGGTCCCGCGCGCGAGATTTCCGCGTCCATGACGAGGAATTCAAGGAACCCGCCGGGTTTCAGGCACCGTCGGCACTCGCGGAGGCAGAGGTCGTACTCGTCGAGGGATTCGCCGGCCGGGCGCTCGGTTTTGAGAAAGGCTGGCAGTGACCGCGCGGAGATGACGTCGAATTTGTTGTCGGGGAAGGGCAGTTTCCACAGACTCGGCACTTGGATGTGCTTGTGGTTCGGCGGGCCTTTGATCGCGTTGTTGACCTGTTGGTGCGAGGTGTATGCGGTGTATACCTTGATGTCCGGATAGTCGTGCGCGAGGTGCCAGGCCCACTCGGCTGTGGCGTGGCCGCCGAGGTCGAGGACGCGGATCTGGCGCCGCTTGGGTTTCTTGGGCGCGGCGGTGCTTGTGCTTGTGTTCGTGCTGCTGCGCTTTGTGAGACGCTCGCGGACTGGGCTGGAGACGAGGTTCCCGCCGTACAGGTACCTCAAGGCTTCCATGGCCCACATCGGCTGACTGATCTGAGAAAGAACCAACTGTTCCTTCTCGACCATGGAGAACTGGGCCTTTTCGGCGAGGACTGTCGGGAGGATTGAATTCCGGGGAGCCTGCGAGAACGGCCCGCTGTATGCCGGGCGCTTCGGCGTGACCACCTCGTATTTGCCCATCAGACAGTTGTTGTGCAGGTCGGACAGTCCCAGGCGGGTGGATTGGACAGCGTCGAAGCGGGTTGCGCGGTGCACGAACGTATCCCGATTCCGCGACTGGTCCAGGAGGAACTTGAACCCGCGCCAGTAAATCGAGTCCTTGCTCGCCAGCAAACCTGGAAGAGAACTAGGAGCATCGGGCACTGCCTCGGAAATGCGGACGGACTGCTTCCGCTCAATATGTGGAGACGTCTGTTGCGGACTCTTCACGTCAGGAGCATCGGCTGGCTCGTCTTGTTCCTCGAGTTCGTTGACTGGGTTGGTTTCGCGGAGGGCGGCGAGGTACGAAGCCTGGGCAGCCAGCCAGACGCTGGTCCTATCGAGGCTGGACAGCGCTTTCTCGCGTAGTTCCTCTGCATAGTCCTCGTCCTGCTCGTCGGGATCATATGTCGTGACTGGCCGAGAAAGTTCTTGAACACCTTCACTAACCGGGCTCAGCGAACCCTCTGTCGGTGGGTGTGCCGGACTCTCGGGGATCCTGATGGCAGTCGGCGGGGCGTATATCGCCGTCAGCTGCTCCTCGTTTGATCGCTCAGGCAGATCAAGGACGCGCTCGACGATTTCACCTTCAGCGCGGGGGAACGGAAGGTTGTAGAACCTCTCCGCTGTAGCAGACGTCGGTGGGAGATTGGATCTTGGAATGGACCAGGTGTGCCGCGCTCGAGCACCGAGTGAGTTGAAGAACCCCCCAGGTGACGGAATGCTTAGGCCACTGAAGCTATACTCTGACAGCTCCGAAACTGGCGTTTCATCGTCGAGGCGACGCGGTGGTGGCGGTGCAGAGAGCTGCCACATCTCCTCGTCGTCTTCCGAGGTCTCCGACCAGGGCTCCGGCGTGCCCTCAAGCGGGATAAACTGCAGCGTCGCCAAGGCGCCCTCGGGGAGAGAAACGCCTCGATCGGACGGAGTGTCCTCTCGCGGAGGCTCGAGTTCGAACTGGTCGGCAGTCGGAGTGATCTGGCCGGGTATCCGTGGAAACTCGCCGATGAAGCGACGCCAGTCATCGTCGGCGCTTTCAATGGCCAGCTCAATGCTTGGTATCTCCTCGGCAAGCTCGTTTGCAATCTCGTCGGGATCTTCATCCGGGTCCGGGAGCACGTGGATCTCGTGCGTGTTCCAGTCGGTATCTGGCAAAGAACGCAAGTCCGGCGTTGACGGTGTGCTGATGTTTGACACCTGGTCCGACGACACACTACCGTCCAACGAGGGAGTTGCGTGCATTGCGGGTACCGAGCGAGCGAGCATCGACAGCGCAGCCGGCGAAACCGGAATCTTTTGCGGGGGAGTCGGCGGGACCGGTGAGCTCTTGACGGCACCGTGCAGTGACGGCCATAGGTTCGACGACGGGATGGTCAGGGTCGGAAATCGCTTGCGAGCAGCTGGAGACGTGAGAGAATCTCTTCGTGTCGTCGGCGTTGCCAGACTCGTCGGCCGCGTACTCGAATAGGACATGCACTCGTCGCTGAAATCCGACTCGTCATCCGTCGCATCGTAGAGGTCGTCAAAATTCCTCATCTGATTCTGCCAGTCGACATCCGAACATGATGACACCGACCCCGCAGACAGGGGTGAGAACATGCGTTTGCGCAACATCGCAGACGGTGACGAGAGGCCTGCAGTCCGTAACCTGAGCTGTGGTGCTGGTACTTTTCGCTCATTGTGTGTTGGACTGCGTCGTCCGGTCCTGTCTGCAAACTGTGTTTCTCGCGCATCCTCAATTATAGTATTAAGCCTCGTGCCTCGGACCTGCCGAGAGGGCGGGTATCTAGCAGTTGCAGGGCGACTCGGCTCAGCCATGGTGCCTGGTTGAAATCTGCCAGAACGGATTATTTGTACGTGTGAGCGAAAGAGTACTTCTAGGGGTATCTCAACAGCATGCGAACCCGATCAACGGGGGGGTTGTGACTTGGGAAAGATGTCGAAAACAAAGAATAGAACGAATGACGGCCTCGCTACCAGAGCTCAGGTCGAACAAACAACAACGGCAAACACGCAAACAAAAGGGCAACTCCACAGGAGAGAGGAACATGGGGATTTCTCGCGGTCGGTAGCGCGAGGCTTCGATAAATACATCTTGGAGGTGGGGAGAGCGCAGATCTGACGAAGGCGCCTTTCTCACCCGCCACCATCCGTGCAGAAACCTAATGCAACAAGGTGCACGTCGGGCCCAGGAATCCTGGTCAAAATGGAGGTCACGGTGCGGTCATTGGCTGTGGTTGAGCAGGCGCTTCGAACAGGAGGGTCTTGCTCGACGCTGAGAGGCAGGCTGGGGAGGTCAAATCAGCACCCAAGCAGAGCATCACGCCAATCAGAGCGGACGAACCCTTTTTGTGACTGCAATGAACCGCCGCTTAGAGTCGTGTTCCCAGTCACTCTAAATTGACCGCGCTGATTGGTGTGATGGCCAGGTGCAAGCGCCGGGCAGCCTATCTTTAGAAATCGTGACTGCAATCCGTCTCTGGAGGCCACTGAGGCCGCTGTCGGAGGAGAAAGGCAGCGAGGGCAGCGAGCACTCGAGCGGGATCAGCAAACACCGCGAGCCTATCTCCTCCCAAATTCATCCCGAAGGGTAGCAACCATCTTGCCTGACCGACCAACCGGCGGCAGTTGGGTACCTAATTATGGAAGATCTGACCACTCCCCGCGTCAGCATCCCTCATTAATTAGCGAGGTTTCTCTCACCCATCCTGGCAGGAAAGACGGCAAAGGATCTTCCGTCGCAGGGGAAAAAATGATCAAGGTCACCCGACCACAATTTGGACATCTCGTCGAATTGGTGGAGGGAAAAGTGACGCTAAATGGACGGACCATCAACAGCGCATTCCCGTGACCACGAGTCTCGACCGCATTTTCAGGCATCCAGGCCAGGCTGCCCCACCAGGCTAAGCTCGATGTCCCACGTGAAATGCTTGGCCCTAGCCCTTATCAAGCTGGTCGCTTTCCTAATCGGGCTCTCCGGAGTGACGTAGGCCGGAGGTGTCGGTGATATCAGTTGCTGCTAATCCTTTTTTTTTGAAGCCTCATATAGGAGAGCTCCGCGGGCAATCCATTACATTAGCCGGATCCCCTCTCTTGTTTTCCTCGAGTTTACCATCCCGTACCTTGCATCTACCTGCAGCTCCGCATCCAATCCAACTTTCCACCCAGCTACAACTATACATACAACACTCCCCGCCCAATCTCACAACAAACCCATCCATCGCAACCATGTCCCCACCAGCAATCATAGCGCCCTCAATCCTAAGCGCCGACTTCGCCACACTGGGCAGCGAATGTTCAACGAAGATCGAGCAGGGCGCCGACTGGCTGCACGTCGACATCATGGACGGCCATTTCGTCCCCAACATCACCTTTGGCGCGCCCGTCGTCACCAAGATCCGCTCGCACGTCCACAGGCCCGCGCACCCAAATGGCAAGGGCACGTTTGATTGCCATATGATGATTGCAGAGGTACGTATGCATGCATGCAGGCGATAACACACCAAAACCGAGCCGGGATCATCCGTCTCCGTCTCCGTCCCGTCCTTGCATACATACTTCCGATCCGGAATCAGCAGGAAAGCGTCAATGCTAACTCTCTCTCAATTGTTAGCCGCACAAATGGGTAAAAGACTTCAAAGACGCCGGCTGCGACCTATACTGCTTCCACTACGAGGCGGCCGTCTCCTCCGTCGCTGCCACAGAGCCCGCCGACGCAACGACAACCCGCAAGACGAGCCCCAAGGAGCTCATCCGGTATATCCACGAGCAGGGGATGCAGGCGGGCATCGCGATCAAGCCGGATACGCCCGTCGATGTGCTGTGGGATATTCTGGCGAATGAGGACGACAAGGAGAGGCCGGATGTACGTTACTCACTTTCTTTCCCTTGTTTTCTCTCAATTCTACCCTATTCGCTTGATATTATTTTTTTCCAGACCCATTGTGCTAACATCTGCTACTTTATGCAGATGGTCCTAGTAATGACCGTCCACCCGGGCTTCGGCGGCCAGAAATTCATGGCGTCCGAGCTCCCCAAAGTCCGCGCCCTGCGCGAGCGATATCCCGATCTGAACATCGAAGTCGACGGCGGACTGGGCCTGGGCACAATCGACCAGGCTGCGGAAGCCGGCGCCAACGTTATTGTCGCTGGGTCGGCGGTCTTTGGCGCGCAGGACCCGGCCGACGTGATTGCGAAATTACGCGAGGCGGTTGAGAAGCATAGGAAATGAATCCCAGAGGCTGGAGGGGCAATGGGTAGTCGGTTGTAGTGGGTGCCTGGGATATATTTGGGGTGGAAAATGGGGGTGCGTTGGTAGAGTGTACGAAGTCATGTCGGGTGTTATTGTAAATAGATGGTTAATTGATATTGATTCGATTTGCATTTGGTGCTGACGGGTGTGAGTGGGAGGATTATAGTGAAATAATGCAATGTCATCGTTCCACTTTACTCGATATTTGGTTCAAGCGACTTTTCCCGAACAACCCTGCATGATCTGCTTACAGGCCTACGCGAGACGAAAGATCAAGGCACCGAATGCAACTCATTAAATAGTACACTGAACAAGGTAAAGAGACAGAGGCAGACAGGGCTCAGAAATGCATCAACCGACCAGGACTGTGGTATATCCGTACAGATGTAACAAACAGCGCAATGCCGAGTCATAAAACCATAAGTGTCGTTATCAACCGGCGAGAACAACCGACAAGAGAAAAAAAACCGATGATCCCCGGAGCAGGAACCTTCCTAGTGTTACAAGCGAGCGATACAGCAACGATATTTGAACGGTCTCATTGATCACGCCTCGAGCGCCTCATCAAGAGCATCATGACTGTCGAGTCTCGCCTTTTCATCACGGAGCGACTGCAGATTGGTCTTGTGGTTGGCGGAGTTGTCCACGCCGGAAATCGACTTGCGCAGCTCCTTGGCCAGCCTCTCTGCCTCTTCCCTGGACTCAGCTACAATGTTCGAGTTGCGGTGGTGGTTGATCAGCCCTAAAGCTTCAGCATTATCAGCACGAAAGTTGGCAGAGGACTCCGCAGCAAACTCGGGCACCAAAGGCGGCCGGGACCCAGACTCTGGGACCTCAGGAGCGACCGACGTGCGACGTACAGGTTGGAGGCCACTTCCTTCCTTGGGTTCTCCGGTCACAGAAGCAATCTGGGGCTCGGGGGCCGGTGCCGCGGGTTTGGATGAGACTGGTTTCGCAATCGCCGTGGACTCTTTGGCTTTGGCGGCGGCTTGTTCGCCGGCTTGACGGAGCGCGACGGCGATGGAGTCGTCCTTTTGTGTTTCCTTCTCGGGAGGGTCTTGGATCTTGATTGTGCTGGGCTTGGGTGTGGGGAGCTGGGGTCTGGCGGCGGGTGCGGAGGCTGTGGTGGTGGCGGACTCTGCGAGCGGCGCGATGGGAGTACTCGTGGCAGGCAAGCTACTGTCGAAGTCTTCAACATTGTTAATCTGCATCTTCAACTCGCCGTACTCGTTCCATTCTTCGATTTGCTCGAGGTCCTACAGTAGACAGTTGTGTTAGCCGTGTTGCTGCAACCCGACATCAGGGGAAGCGGGCCAACATACGCCGACAACAGTCCCGTATTTAACCAGACCAGGCAGCTTCTTGCCCTTTGAGCGACGGCCCCAGAGCTTCCTCGCGGCATCGTCGGTAGCAACGTCAATTGCGCGGAAGGGGATCTTATTCGCCTTGAGGATGGTTTCGAGCCGTGAGGTGGCGGTGATGATGTGAGAGGACCCCGCAGTTAGGGAGGTGTAGAGGTAGAGCGTGGAGTCGGACATTGTAGCGGTATCGACTTGAAAAGTCACCAGTAGAGAGTGGACTGAGTGGATGATGCAGTAAAGGAAGGAGAGAGTCAAAAAAAAAAAAGAAGTGATGCAGTAGAAATTCGTTGAAAGTTGCAACGGTTATCAGGGGGATGAGGCGCGTGTGCCTGTCCCTCTCTCCAATAAATGCTGGCCCGCTTTTCCCTCCGCTGGGCAGCGCTTTGGTCGTGGCCGTATGACGTGGCCGCTGGTCACGTGCTGATAGCCCACCACCAGTGCTCTTTATCGGTGCCATCGATGTCATCCAGCATCACTTCTGCACTCCAATCGCCAGTGCCACCTCCGCAATCATGGATATACTGCTATCTAATCAGACGAATCACTTTCCAAAACCTCAATTCTCTACACCCATGCCCAAACCTTGCCTTCCCCCGGGTTCAGCCATCGAAAAAATCAGGCTCAGGACCGAACGCGACCGGGATCCAGAACCTCCCAGTCTGATCAAGGAACCGAGATCACCGCAACCGTGGCTCAACCAGGTTGCGAGATCCGCCTCTCCTGGTATGAGCTCATAAGGCGAGCCCGTAGCCAACTTACCGAGCCACGCTGCAGAAAGTGCAGAAGCACATATCGAGGATGATCAACATCGCCACGGGCCTTGACGTCTTGAAACAGACGCCTCCCATTGCTGGGTTTCACTCCGGGTTCGGTTTCCACTTTTCTTCTTGCCATTCGGTATGCGCACCGCGCTTCATCCTTGCTGTTATCTCCACTCTTCTGCGGGTAGCTCGTTTTGATTCAGTCAGATCGAATTGAGGTGGCCTGGTTGAGCTGACTTGAGAAAGGTAAGTTAGGTAAGGTTCCAACCTGTCGCGCCCAAACTGTGCACACCCTATTGCGGTGCAGGTTCGGGTTACGCAACCCCGGCGGATGATGCAACTTTCGCCATTGCGCTCTGTTGTAGCTCCCTCCTTGAGGGAGGTTTACGTCTGTGGTTGCAGAACGACTTCAATTTCGTCTAGTGGTGCATCTCGAACCCTGGTCATCTCACCAGATATTCGAGCAAATATTAGAATAGGCTTTTCAATGATTCTTTGATTGGCATCAAGGGCCGTATGCGGAGGTCAGAAACGCCCAATCCATAAAGTTTCTCTCAATCACGATCTACTTGAACCTCTTATCGAGCACAATATGACCTCATCTACACTCTAATATCGCTCAACCTTTGGGGATCCGAGCTCAGAAAATAATAGGTGTACTTACGGACAATCATTGCACCAGTATCAGTCTCCGAGTCAATCTTAGACCCTCCCCATGTATTTCACCGGAAAGGGTAGTAAGTAGTGACATGCGCGCCACTGACGAAATATATATCAGCATCTATCTGTTCGTGCCGAATGCATAAATATCCCAACTTTGTATATCCAACTCCATTGAAACGTTTAGTCAAATCATAGAGCTGCTACTCCCAGAATTCTCTCCTAGAAGAACATGGTGTGAAACTCCATTCCGCAACCCACTCCGCGCCATCAACCTTGGGCTCCCTGTAGGTAAAGACCCCCATGACTTTCACTCTTCGTTACAGCAGGCACCATCCTCCTTACTGTTTCTTCCCTCCAAAACCTTGGAAGCAGTCTAGATATATACCATGATTTGGAGATGGCGGAGAGGATGTGCTTGTCGGTTACGGGTTGGCATGGGCAGACTGTGGACTGTAACAGGCATTCTGGTAGGATATGTACCTGGAGAGAGATACGGGTTGAAGCAGACAAGTCTCTTGGAATGTGCATGTATCCAATCAAGTATGCAAGTTCTCTCCTTCTCCCAGTAGGCTAGGGTCTCCCCTGCCCCGCCCCGCCTATCCCACACCCCAATCTATCTATTGCTTGAGCACAAGCAGCGTGGCGTGGCGTACCTAGCCTACAGTGTCCCCGTATCTCGCGATAAATCTACTCTTTTATCAGCTGCCGCGTCGAGATCTAGTCTTTTCTTTTTTAAAAAAAATGTCTCCACAAGGCTCGGCTCGAGAGAAGCGGACCGAAATCAAAACACAACACTTCCTAGGCTGCAGCTTGGACCTACCTACTAGGGCTTCTCGAGGTCGTCTTTGTCTTCGCTGCGGTTCCAGACGGGCAGGGGCTGCTTGACTCGGTGGAACGATACCTGATGAACTGCACGAATGATATATTAGAATAGGGTAGGTACATGCTCGGGTGCGATGAAGTAGCAACGGAACTCCAGTCCTGCTGTCCACTTGCATGGGGGGCACGCACGCTGCACCAGTTGCCTTTAAGCATGCACGGAGCTTGAGGAACTCGCAAAGCTTACAATCTTGCTTTCGTTGCGGCTTCTTGTACTCGGGAACTTCAAATTGGTGTGTGGCGTACGTGCTCTAGTTTGGTTGACAGATTGTACTAGTACTAGTCTCGTGCATCAAAGGTACGGGTTGATGTCGAGTACACCTGCTGCCGTTCATGCCCGAGGCCAGACATACAGTATAGCGCCTCTTTCTGGACTTGTGTGACTAGATAGATCTATCGGAACAAAGGTTCCATGCTACCCTATCCGACCCTACGCGTCGTAAACAGGGCATCCCGACCGATTACCCTCACCAATCAATATCGGTCCCAGGCTCTGCCCTAAGCCAACTTGAACTATCAACCATCCGTGCTCTTTCCAGCCTTCTGGTCTTCATGAGCAGCACCACCACTCCCACCAGACCCAGCGTGAACAAACCCCTGCTCCGTCTCTAGCCTCTGATCAAGCCCATACTCTCTCACAAAGAGACTAAACACCAGATTCATCCCTGCAAACCCACACAGGACCATCCAGATCACCTGGAACGACTTGACCAGCGCGCGGCGGATCTCTCTCGCCTCCGAAGAGCCAGCTGATAGCCCGTCCAGGACCTCGACGAGGGTGACTGCATTCAGCGCCCGATCACCGAATGTCTCGGTGGTCCTGTTGCGTATACCCGCCAGCAATCCGGGTGAGAGATGCCTCCGCAGCTGGTTATCCAGGATAACCCCGCCCACCGCAACACCCAGCGCCTGGCCCAGCGACCGGGCGAACAGCACCAGCGTCGCCGCAACACCGACCTCGCGCTGCGGCACAGACGCCTGCACCGCGATCGAAATCGACGGGAACAAACACCCAATCCCCAGGCCCGAAACGCCCTGGATAAACACCCACTGTACGACACTCGTCTCCTCATCGAGGAGGATAAGCAACCCAATACCCAGACAGGTAAGGGCCCAGCCAACCCACAGCGCCCAGCGATACCTGCCTGAGATGCCGACGACGACGCCGACGAGGATCGCGCAGGGGACGGTCGTGATTGTCCCTGGGAGGGAGGCGACGCCGGCGACTACGGGCGTGTAGGACTTGACCGACTGGAAGTATTCGGGCATGTAGTAGACGAGGCTGAAGAGGGCCAGGCCGTGGAATGCGCTGGTTGTGTAGAGGGCGAGGGTGGTGAGGGAGGGGAGGACCGAGACGGGGATGAGGAGGGGCTTCTTGCTTCGCCTCCTCGTGCTAGGGCTGGTTTCGGTATCGAGTGGCCCGCCGGCTGATCTGGCAACGAGGACCTCATACCCCACGAACGCAGCCAGCCCCAACGCCCCGAGAACCAGCGGGACAAGGGTCCGCCAACTCTCCCACGGGTGCTGCACACCACCCCAGGTAACGGGGATCAAAAACGCCGTGACAGACGCAGTGAACAAAACCGAGCCCGGGAAATCAAACAGGGCCAGTTTCTGGCGTATCGTCCTCTTCCTCCTGCTCAACGTCAGAAACATCCCGATTCCCGCAGCACCCACAGCCACGATCGGCAGATTGATCCAAAAGATCCACCGCCACGCCCCGCGCACCGCTAGCACGCCACCCAGGACTGGCCCCGTCGCGCTCCCCACCGCCCAGACCGTACTCACCATCGCATTGAAGCTCGCGCGCTGCCGCAGCGGGACGAGGTCGGTGATGATCACTGTGGTGAGCGAGACGAGGCCGCCGCCGCCGAGACCCTGGATTGTGCGGCCGGCGAGGAGCGTGCGCCAGGAGTGCGCGACTGCGCAGATGATCACTCCGAGGGTGAAAAATGTCAGTGCGGTGAGGAGGACGGGGCGCCGGCCAAAGGCGTCGCTGAGCGTCACCCAGATGAGCATGAGGATCGTGCACGCGAGGAGATACGAGGTTCCGGCCCAGAAGGCAGAGGGGGAGGGGCCGAGGGATGTTGAGATTGCCTATATCATATATAGAGGGTTAGTTGTGAGGAAACACAGTGGGTTACAGTGGGTTAGGGTTGCTGGTGGTCTTACCGGGAGGGCAACGGAGAGGGTCGTCGCGTCAAAGGCGGCGGCAAGGTTCGTAAACGCGATCGCCCAGAACGCGAGCCAGAAGCGGATGCCGAGCTGAAGCTTTGCAGGGTCTTGCTGCGGCTCGGGGGCATCTTGTTCTGCTTTCCCCTCGGGTGGGTGGTCAATGGCTGCGTGCGTGGATTTCATTGGGATTGTTCAGTCTTGCCTTGGAGAGACGGGTAAACGAACCTCAGACAAACGGTAAAAGGACAGAGAAAGAAAGAAAAAGAGGACTTGGGCAGTCAGGGCCAGTTCGGAGGTCCGAACGCCGAGTCCTTTGTTGCTTGCTTGGTTGTCACACAAGCATGGGATCTGCATTACCACAGTCTGGCAGGTTTGGCCCATCATCCAGGTACATGCTCAGCGGTCGGAATCAGCGGAATGGTTTCAGTTGGTCAGTCGGGATGCCAACATCCTGGCAACATTGGCCAATGAATATGCGAGTAAAGACATTTTCAGGACAACTGCAGCTGCGTGGAGTTGCCCTAACTCGCCGTAACCGCTGCGCCAACCAAAAGCAAACAAAGATCTACCACTGGACATCGAAACCCTGCCCTAAAGCGGGTGGTAGATAGAAACATACATCTCCCCCGTCGCCAATCCATCCATCACAGCACCAAGGCTGACCAAGACCAAAACAGATCCTGTACTCGCCTAGCAGCCCAGTCCAGCGACTTGAATGAGGGGGAGAGCTCGGGTAGAGCTGAAAAGACAACATCTGGCCGCGAGCTTCGGCGATGGTGATTTGAAGTGTACAATAGCAAGGGAGTCGGCGAGAGTCATTGTGCTGTTGGGTACTAGCTGCAGCTGGTCCAGGATATATATGCGTAGGGTACACTTGCAAGTTTCCGTTGAGAGGGTAGAGAGAAAAAATGTTTATATCGTCCATCTAGCTGCTCTCCTGACTCTATGACCATGGCCACTGTAAGCACCAAATCCAAGTGATGCAGCATCACACCCCACCTCTCTGCCCCGTACGAGCCTTCTAAGTACTAAAACCTCATCGATCCAGGCCACCTACTATACTCATTCTCCTCAACCCCAATAACCGTTCCCTAAACTGCCGCGCACCAATCTTGCGCCGGAACAAGATATCCGCCTCACGATACGACCGACCCTTATGCTCCGGCAAGAAGAAATACCCTGGAACCCACATCGCTGTCGCTGTCCCACCTCCTACATACCCACACCTGCCCGCAAGATCCCACCGCGTCGGATTCAGCATGCGGCTGGCCAGGTAAATCATCGGGATCTTCGTCACATAGTACGCGGAGCGGCCGACTGCCGTGCTCAGTGCACGCAGGCGCACCGAGGACGTTTCGGAAATGATCGCGTAGACGAAGGAGATGAGGACGCCTCAGGCAGGCCGGCCTGGGCATAGTTTGTTTTGGGGTCCTGTGGGACGCTGGTGATTATACCTAGGGTGAAGAGGGAGAGGATGTTGTGCTAGTGCCCTAGAGGTAGACTGTGCGGCGCCGGGACCGCGAGGTCAGGAACCAGGAGCCGGTGTTTGCGGCGAGTTGCAGGCTTGTTGTTATGAGGTTGAGTTGGAAGGCTTTGTAGGGGGCTACGCCGGCTTCGGTAGCTGTTAGCTGGTTTCTGCATAGAGGTGAAGGAGAGACGGAAGGGTCGACGCACGCTCAAAGAAATACGTAGCCTGATTGGCAATCAGATTCCCTGCAGAGTTCTGCGACGCATACACGAGGCAGGTGGCGAACCGCCCATTTGTTCTTGTTCGATTTCCACTGTACGCTCAATCATGGCGAGCGACTGCTGCGCCTGCTCTTCGGTTTTGGCGCCCAGCCGCTTGATCGAGCGGAGGGCTTCTTCCCTGCGGCCGCGGCGGATGAGCCACCAGGGAGACTCGGGGGCGAGGGATATGAGGATCATGAGTGGTGTCTACGAAGATGACTTGGATTAGCATTGAACTGGTAGTGGGAGGACCGCGGTGGCTCACCGGGAAGATCCACTGCAGGGCAAGTGGCACGCGCCAGGACCACTGGCAAAACACCAACTTCCTCTGGCTAAGCATTACCAAGCACGCCAAGTTACGCCAGCCAATGTCAAGGTCACTTGAGCTTCACTCAGACATCCCCTGAGATAAGCTCACATAGATCTCGAGTTGGACGATCCAAGATTCGCTACACCTGAGCTCCTTGGCGCATGATTCGCCTTACAAAAAGCCTGAAAGCCTACCTGAGATACTACGAAGATGCCGATGCCAAACGAACCCGACTTGAACCGCTCGGGAAATTAATCGATGCCTATCATGAACGAGAGCATTACTTGCCGAGCCATGCCCAATTACCTAGATTGACATGAACCCAATACCATAGGCCCAGCCAGGGCTCGTCCTAGTCCTAGTCTGTCGCGTCCAAGATCTCCCCGTCCTCCTCTACAGAACGTATCTAAAGTCCCGATTCTCAAACTCGGTAAGATCCCTCATCCCGGCCTCGTCGCTCGCCTCTTTATTCGCGGGACCGTACAGCTTATCCCGCGAGCGGTTTATGCTGAACATGTATGCTACACAGCACATGGTTAGCGTCAATCTGCCTAATGTTGCTACGGTACGGGCTTGTCTCGGTTTGTCTTGCAACGGCACGACTTGAACCCGGTTCCTTTTGCGGAGGTCTACACAGGTAGGGATATACGTACCGAGAAGGAGAAGGTGACACCCAAGCTTAATCGCATATCCAACAAGCAGCCCGATCGTTGCACCGGTAAAGTGTGGCGCCTCGGACTGGTTTACCACGAATGGGCCGGCAAAGTTGCCCCAGCAGTATGCGGTGCTGTTCAGCTCAGGAGGTCCCGTTAGTTTCTGCCTACAATATACAAGTTTCGAATGGAAGAGGGGGGGACGTACAAGACCATAGCACTAGCCAGCGACCGATGCGTATACCCGGCCATGTTCGACGAGATGGTCGTGAGGGAGACGGTGAACCCGACAGACTGCGAGTTCACTAGCCAGAAGGATACGAGGCGGCCCCAGGTGTTGGAGCTGGGGAGGTAGGCCATGCAGGCTGCGGCGATGGTGCAGAGGAGGTTTGCGGCTGTTGCAGTGAGGAGGCGGGCTTTACCATGATAACAGGGTTAGTCTTGTTGATATCAGGATGGGAGAAGGACTGGTTGGCTGGAAGGTACGTACAGTTGGGAACGTTGAGAATGATCGTTCCACCGATTATAAGTGCAACGATCTGCACCGCGTCGCCGACGGACTTGAGCTGGGTGGTTTTGGTGGTCGTGAAGCCCATATCGCGGATGATGATTGTTGAAAAGGAATTGACGACGCCGTTTGGGATGGCCCTGATAGATGAATAGAGTCAGCAGGATTTCCAAGGGTTCCATAGACAAGGTCGATTCCAGCTTACGCGGCAAACACACTGATAAACAGTAATATCGTCTTGGGATCCATAAACCCGACGCGAACCTGGTCTTTGCTGAACGACTTGTTCTTGATCCCAGTTTCGTTCCCGGCGACACGTTTGACGGCGATGAGCCGCTCGCGGTGCGTCAAGAACCGGGCGTTTGATGGTGCGTCGGGAAGGGCGAACCAGATGACAAAAGCCCATAGGCAGGTGGCGCCGCCGAGCTATTGCATGTTAGTCCTCGAGGTAGACGTAAAGCATGACTGCCTCAGGGCTTGTGTGCTTACAATGTAGAAGATCAGCTCCCACCGCTCAGGCGTCATATCCTCGGGCAGCTTCGAGACACCCATGGAGATGTACGATCCAATCTACGCTGTATCAGCTGATGGCGGCGATTGACGGAAGGAGCATGAGAGCATACAATACCGCCCCAACCGAGTGAAGAGCTAGAATCGACTTTAGATCTTGTGAATCGGATGAGTTCCTAGGGCAAAACAAGACTTACTACCAAATACACTGGCGGAGAGGAATCTCGCGTCGGGTATACCAGAACCCCGTCATCAGTGTCAACCCTCTAAAGACTTGTCAGCTCGAGCCATCTTTGATACGATTGTAGTGGACTCACGGCGTGACGGCAGCTTCGAATATCCCCATAAAGACTAGCCTGTGGTCAGCTATCTCATTGTCAAGCTTAGTCCATTCAAGGCCAGCACCCACATCGCACAGCCACTATATATTAGTCAGTTGCAATAGTTTATTCCGCGTGAAGAATACCCACATGCACTCGAGTAACTCCGACTCTGCGTCATAAGAAGCACCATGACCCCCCACAACAGAATGCTAATTGCAATGACGCGCTGCGCAGGGAAGCGCCCGATGAGCCACCCGCAGGGATACTGTCCGAAGAAATACCCGGCATACACCACTACATGGTGGATGTGAGCGAGGTGAGCAAGCTAGAATTAGGGTTTAACTCACTCGCCGAGAGGTAATTAAAGTCGCGCCCCTGAAGCCCCAGAGCTTCCTGGTACCCGAACAGATTCGCATAGTTCAGCGAGGTCTTGTCCATGAATTGTAGAGCTTGCGTGATGAGGAACATGGGTAAGATGGTGAGGTCCAGCTTCCATCGCACTCGCGTATACTGGTAGGAAAGTCCAGTCAGCCATCCATGTACGCCAGTTGCTGACATCCGGGCTTGACGCACCTCGCGATCGGAGACGTCAAGGTCAAGCGCCTCGACATACTCCCTGTATCCAACAGCATTGTCCTGACCAGCGAGTTCGAATTCGATTTTACTAGCAGCAGGGGCGACGCCCTTGTCGCTCGCACGTCTTTCAACGTCTGCCATACTGTGAGCCGGGAGACGTGGGCTTGAGATCTCGGATTGTACTGGGGCCAGGGAGCTTAGTGGAGAAGTGGCTGGAGGGTTAATCTTATATACCCAGTTAAGGAGATGTGGGAATAAGCCGGTCAAGAGATTTGGGGCCCCGCTTCCCCACAGGAGTCGAGTGGGTTATCCATCTCCTCACTCGGCTCGGGCCCTCGCCGACTCGCCGCGGGCGATTTCCGCGCTTGGAGTAAAGAGAACATAGTTGGAGTATGTCATGGCCCTCAGTCGAGTGAAATATACACAATGAACTTGATACACGCAGGCCAGCGCGCCTTCTCCTCACTCAATCCCCTCCTGCATCACACTTGCAACAATGGGCGGCCATTTCTCCAAAATACACAAAACACCCACGCCAGCACTCACCCCTAGACCCTCTACCGACAAAAACGGATACCTCGCAAAACCAAGTGGAAAATGCTGCCTCAAAGGCACAATACACGACGGTGAACCTCGGGGCCACTGGGAGACAATCGCCGACGTAACCACATACATCTCCACGCCTCCAAAGGACAAAGCGAACGGCCACGTCCTCCTCTATTTCCCGGACGTCTGGGGTATGTTTCCCAACGGGTTGTTGGTTATGGATGCTTTTGCCGATGCGGGATTCTTGACCCTGGGGTTGGATTATTTTCGGGGGGTATGTATTCTTACTCTGTTGGCGGGAGTTGATGGGGTTATCTCAAGGCTCAGTGCCAATATCGATAGGACCCGGTCTGGAAACATCGCAAGAACCGCCACGACACATCGAATTCGGACTTTGACTACGAGGCCTGGAAGCGCAAGCATACGACTTTTGCGGATGAAGCGGTCCCGAGATGGGTCAAGGCTGTTATAGAGCGCTATCAACACAGCCACAGCCATAATACCACAGGGAAAAAGACCAAGTTCGTCTGCGTGGGCTACTGCTTCGGCGCACCATATGTATGCAACATGCTGGCAGGTGATGGGGATAGCATCGTAGCCGGAGCCTTTGCCCACCCGGCCTTTCTGAAGGAGAGTCATTTCTGTAATATCCAGAGTGCGTCGCTTACTTTCCTCTCCTACGCTCCAAACATATTGCCGTGTTCTCTCTAACCAATACCCACTAGAACCGCTCTTCCTCTCCTGCGCGGAAACAGACCACACCTTCGACGGCCCTTCTCGGCAGCGTGCCCTGCAGATTCTGCAGCAGGAGAACAAGACGTATCACTATCAGCTGTTTTCCGGTGTTGAGCATGGGTTTGCTCTGCGTGGGGATCCGGGCGATCCGTATCAGCGTGAGTTTGTCCATCGTGGCATTTTAAGGGTACATGTGGCTCGGGGTGCCCCGACTATGTGTGGATGGGAAGAATGGCAGAATGCTAACTCGCGTGTCTTGTTCACACAGGCTGGGTCAAGGAGCAAAGTCTCGCGGGGATCGTGGGTTGGTTTGAGTATTGGCTTTCGAGGGTGAGATGATAGGAATAAATGGCCGAGATAGGTTTTGAATAGAATAGGCCAAGTACCGTCTAGGAGAAAGTAATCAAAGTGCCGTATGGCTTACTATCAAGCAACAATGCAAAGCTATCTATGTGGCGACGCTCCATTGGCAACTATCCCATACATCAGTTATGGCTTCGTCCAGACTCCAACGACGAGGGAATGACACCATGAATGGCATAGACATACTTTGCTAACTTAACAACAGGCAAAGCACCGTGCTCCCGGGTGCAGCTATCCTGCAAAGCAGCCAAGGGTCCGCAAGCTTGGTGGACCGCAATCCTCGGCGAGACGCCGGGGTGTCCAACCGAGCATCAGACGAGCGTCATTTTCACCGCGGGGAGTAGCCGATATAATGAAACTCACGCAATAGAAAGAACTTAAACGACCAGTTTCGCACCAAGAAATAAACAAATAAGAAAAACGAGCGCAAAAAAAGCATAGTCTCAATTGTGTGTCAAGAGCGCAATCCAGCAAATTATAGATCCCAAGCTTCGAAAACTCAAACCCCAACTCTGCCCACAATGCCTCCCCCACGAGCATTCGACTTCACCGGCGACGTCGCCATCGTAACAGGTGCTGGCTCAAGAATGGATGGTATGTACACTTTATACTATACCTCACTTTGCACTCCACCCTCTCATTCAGCTGTGGAATCAACCCAAACCAGGCTGACCAACCCTTCCAGGCGAAATCGGTAACGGCCGCGCAGCCGCAATCCTCCTGGCACGTCACGGCGCAAAAGTGGCACTAGTCGACTTCAACGTCGCGTGGGCAAACGAGACGAAACGCATGATAGTGGAGGAGGGGAGTGGTGGCGAATCTGGGTCGAATGTCATTGTTGTACAGGCAGATGTCACGGATGAGGACTCGTGCAAGAGGGCAGTCGAAACGACAGTGGAGGTCTTTGGAGCCGTGCATATCCTTGTTAATATTGGTCGGTCTATCCCATTTTTCAATGCTTTGCTATCGAAGCCCTCAATACTATGTACTTACCGTGGGATAGTCGGTGTCGGCGGCGCCATGGGCGACGCAACGAACATCAACCTCGAAGCATGGGACAGGGACTTCCGGATCAACGTCACCAGCATGGTCCTCATGGCGCGGTATGCGATTCCCGAGATGCGGAAGCAGGGGCGTGGGTCCATTGTGAATATGTCGTCGGTTAGTGGCTGTGAGTTTTCCTCTTCTCTCCTCGCTCGTACCAGTTCATCCATTTCCCTGAGAGCTTCGGACAAGTTCAATGGGGCAGCGCTGATGATCCTCGGGACACAAGTACTCGGCGGCAACCCCAGCCTCCTGTACCCAACAACAAAAGGCGCAATCATCCAGATGACGCGCGCGATGGCGGCACAGCATGGGCGCGAGGGGATCCGTGTCAACTGTGTCGCGCCAGGAATGGTGTATACCCCGATGACGAGGGGGAGAGGGATGACCGAGGAGATGAGGGAGGCGAGGATTAGACAGAACCTTTTGGGGGTTGAGGGGACAGGGTGGGATGTTGGGTATGGTGAGTTTTCCCATTCCTGATTGAAGATGGTGCGTGTTGCATTACAGTTGGGCTCACTTATTTGATATCATTGCAGCAATCTTGTTTCTTGCTAGCAAGGAGGCGAGGTGGATCACGGGGTTGATCATGCCAGTGGATGGAGGGGTAGGTCCTCCATGCTCTCCTTCGGGTCGAATGAGATCATGATAGCTAACGAGATTTGACGGCAGACTACAGCCGGACGGGCAGACAGGCCTGCCTTGAAAGCGGATTCACTGGCGGAGCAGAACACCGGTATCGCGAATTAACAAACCCACACACATAACGGGATACTCGGCGCGTCTCAGTGTCTCCGCCTCAGTTGAGCCATAGAAGCTCTCCCACATTCATTTGCATCTCCGGAAAACAATCCAGCCTGCCCATGGAATCCATCGTCGCTGCGTTGAGAGAGGTCTCCATATTGAACTCCGAGGGAAGAGGGGATGAGCCAAGGTATGGGAATGCTGGAATATATCCGCTGTTAGCTGTGGTAAGATTGATGCTGGGATTGAGGTTGAGAATGGGCTGATGCTCGAGTGGTTGTTGAAGAGCAACAGCAACTGTAGCGGTATTGACATGATCGGCAGCAGTGGCGTTTATTGTGGGCGACGCAGGTGGCCGGTTAAGTTCTTTAACAATAATATTCAAACTCCGCTCGAGAAGCGGACACCGTCGCATCCCTGTGTTGAGCGCTCTGAGGAAGGTTCGCAAGACCGCACTGCCGGTCCCTCGGCCGTTTCTGGCATCGTCTAAGATGGCTGAGGCGCCGGTGTAGATGCAGTAGCCCATAAGATATGTAATGTTCTCGAGGCCGAAGGTGGATTCCAGTAGGAGGATCAGTTTCTCGATGCTTTGGGCAGCATCTATGCATATCTGGTAGTATGCAGGAACTGAGGACCAGAATGGGCGATGTGCGAGGATGACAGATGTGTAATAAAGGAGGCTAAAGACGCACTGTTAGAGAGAGTTCGAGTCCAAGTGACTCTACTATAAAGTCAAACTTACTTCTGCGCAATGATATGTGGGGGTGGGCAGATTTCTGGGAGACTGTCTGGGTCGTATCTTAGGTGGGAGGGCGAGTTGGCGCGCCATGACTCCAATCGCAACTTGATATCTTTCAATGCACCCTCGGTAATGCTTCGGCTTCTCCGAGAGTAGAGCTGGATGATTATATCGTTGATGATGATGGACAATCTGCACGAGTTCACAAAGCAGGCAACAGAACGGCTTTTCATAGGCGGATACTGGTTGTGAGTGAGTTTGGTCAGATTCAGAGAGTCCTTATAGTAAGGACACCACGTTTCGAGTTCAGTTGAGTCGTCCACTGCATCAATAGTTAGCCTTTGCCCGGGCGACATAAGAGAGGGACAACCCACACATATCCAACGTATCGTGATTCAAGGCTTCAGTAACCGCTGGTAATCTCCCAGCGTACAAGCTTGTGGCCCTTTAAACAGTCGGTGTTAGCGAGTCACACCCAAGTTGAATAAGCAGGCTTGCTCCTACTTATCCCAGAAGTAACAACTCCAGAAAAGCCTCCACCGCACCTCCAAGTCAACCGGATTCATGCCCTTGATTCCCGGCCCAGTGTGCTGCAGGCCAAGATCGCTCGCCATCCGGAACGCAATGCCGCTATACACCCATGCCTGCGAGATTGATCCATGTGCAAGATCCCGCGCGCTCAGCTGCAGTAGAGCTTGTATGGTTGGTATGGAGCTAGGCTGCTGAATGGCCGTTCCTAGCAGCCGGCGGGCTCTGGTGAGTAGAAGCTCAGCACAGTTTCCGTCCTGGTATTTGGCGGCGTGTGCGCATATCACCGTTAGTAGAAAGTCTGAGTAGTACCGGCCACCAGTTGCCATGTCACCTGGAACCGTAAGCGATCGTGTCACCAGAATATATTGCATCTTATAACCAGATAGATCCACACTTACGCACAAAGGCCGGCCGATACACCCACATAAACATGGGCGACACCCAAGTCCAGTACAGGTGTAACAGCTTGGCCATAATGTGACGGGGTATTCCAGTCTCTAGAGAGGCATTCCCTAGGGCAAATTCCTCCCATGTTGCCGACTCCTTGCCATATGCAGTTAGGAAGTTGCGGGCAGTAGCCCTGGTTGGTGGGGTACCACATGCCGTTGGCGTCTGTGACCCTCGAGTGTCTACCTGCGGATCATGGACTGCAGATGTCGGGCCGTAGTAGCATATTTTGCCGTGCTCGTCCACGCTCAGCTCTGTAGCGATGGGATCATTTGATCTCAGGCGCCTCTCCGGAGCCTCGTGGTTCGCTTGGTATGCTTGTGCCGGGGGCCCTGTAGTGGTCGTATCGGATGGACCATGAGAAGTACCCTGCTGATCGGAGTCTTCCGTGCGCGGTGGGTAGTAATCTCGCTGCGACGGCACCGGACTCTCTGAACTAGGTGAAGGCACTCTGAGACCGGCGATATCCCCACCGGGAAACCCAGAGCCGCCTACAGCAGCGTGCATCTCAGCCAGCGCCTTTTCAGCCTTTTCAAGCCGCTTAGCCATAGCAATAAATTCAGAAATTGGCGGCGGTTTATCGTAGCGGCACTCCTCGTTGTATATTTCTCAGGTCTTGCAGCTCGGCTGACCTCCCTCACAGCGCACCTGAAAGAAACAATATGTCAGAGCCTACCATCAAGGGTTCTTTTGAATAACCGCAGTCTTCGTACCTTTCTAGCGCGACAGTTTGCACATGTTAGTCCTCTAGCTCTGCGACTGCGCTGCGCTCGTTGAGCTCCGCGAGTAGATCGCTGTTGCTCCATGCTGAGTGTTACTGACAGATGTTTTGCCATGCGATTTTGGATGATGACAATGGGAACGTCCTGAGATACGACGTCAAAGGCCAAACGACAAAGGCCAATAGGTTCCAGTGCGCCAGAATTCACCCCGCAAAGATCGGCCCTGATGGCGAGTCATTGGTGGAACTAGTGCGATCCATCGTTGGGGATTTGGAGTAAACCAGCCGCCACCGGCTATCTTCCGCGGAGAATTGCCGACAGCCGGAGTTGTTGGTTAGTGGCGGCAGGAGCTGCTGGGAAGGATTAGGATGAGTACAAGAACTTTCATAGACTGACCCGTATCGATGGAGATGACATTATGTTTGGTTGGTTGTTCAGAGGAAGAGGGTTGGTGAACATGTAGGGGTGTTCCGGAGGTGGTCATGCACCCGATCATCTTGAATACAATATGGTCAGTAAAGATAGCTTCATAGAATAGATGTGGTATACCTACCAGTCTGATACCAGTGTCAATGTGGAAGCCCTTGAGTTGAGAGCAGATTGCCTGTGTTATCTCCACCTTGCCTGTCGGATATTTGGGAAAGACCACATTTCGTGGGTAGCACATGACAACCCTGCAAAGGATAGGGTGTAATCAAACGGGAATAAAGATCTATGTACTCCAAGAATCAACTAGTCTATGCTATAGAGGACATCTACCACTCACGCCCACACCCCAAAACCAACTTGCCTGACTAACATCATCCCTCTGCAAACCGACTCCTCGATCTCAACACGCCCCCATACCTCCACAACCCAACCAACAGCACACAACATACAACATTCGCAAACGCCAGCAGACTAATCCCCCAGTCCAGTCCCATCCCCTTAAACATCGGGCGCGAAAACATCACCGCCCCCGCCGCAAGCATCGAGCGCGCAAAGTCATTCGCGGCAAAGAGCGAGGCCGCATAGCGGGGGTATGTAAACGCAAGATACTGCAGCATGCAGGCGATAATGGTAAATGTGCCAAGAATCGTTAGGGAGAGCCCGATGGTTGGCACGATCCAGTGGATGTGCGGGCGGGATGTCCACGCTGTTATGAATAGCCCGATTGGTGTACCGAGGCAGGTGATTATAGCTGGGACGAGGCGGCCCTCGGGGGCGCCAAAGGCATCAAAGCCCTTTGACGGAAAGTGGCGGACGACGGAAATGTACCAGTAGGATGCAATCAGAGAGGATGCGATAAAGAGCGCGGGGAGGACGGCAAGGAACGGGAGGCCGGAGAGCTCGAAGCGGAAGTGGTAGACTTGCTCGAAGATAAGCGGGAATGCCTCGAAGAATGAGTAAAAGATCGCGTATACGAGGCTCGTGTAGAGTGTTGAGAAGAGCACGGCGGGGTCTAGGACGTTGATCTGCGCAGGCTTTATGATTGCATTGTATAGAATACCCTTTGGGGTGGTGTTTGTGTTCGCGGTGTCGGAGAGGTGCTCGATTTCTTCCTTGGTGCGATATCGCTCGTTTCCTGTGATCCTGCGCAGACGGCGCGCTCGATAATAGAGGATTGTGGATGCGTATGTTTCAGGGACGAAGAAGAACCAGACGAGGCAGACCGGTGCGGTTACCCAGAGCATCTCCCAGGAGACCCAGTGCCAGCTGGTTGCGGGTGCGCTAAAGTTTGCGATTACGGGGGCGAGGGCTGGTCCAATTACAGCTATCAAGGTTAGTCTTATACTAGCTGAGCTCCTAAAGGTAGACTTACTGGACACGCCCCAGAGAACAAGCGCATACGGGACCTGGAGCAGGGGGTATATGTCTCCGAATGAGGCGCCGCCAGTTGCGAGGGCGGGAGACCCTGATACAGTTAGAATAAGACAGCAAGCTTGGGCTCATCAGACCTACCAAAGAAACCAGTCAGGAATCGCAAGACGAGGTACCCAGGAAAGTTCTGCACAGTCGCTGCACCGATCCAGAGCATCGTGTAGATAAACAGGGTGATTATATACGGGGCGTTCCTCCCTACAGATGCAATCTCACTCAGGGGCGAGAACAGTAGCGGTCCAAGACCATCTACAAGTAATAAGTACCCAGGAAATTTGGCTCGACTTAGGAAACTCACAGCCAAGAACGTATAATGCCAATGCCAGAGACGAGACTTCGATGCTGATGCCGAACTTCTCCACGACTTCAGGCACGGCCCCAACAGTGATGGACGAGCCAAAGTAGACGACGAAGGAGTAGAAGCTAGACAGTTAGTCAGTATTCGCAACACAAAATAAGCTCAAATATCATACCAGATAACGAATGCAACGAAATTCTTCTTGAACGCAGACCAATTTTGCGGATTCTCGGGGTCGTCTGAAGAAGTCAACACTATTCGCGATGGCCACTATAAAAACCGGCTTTCGGAGACAATGTACCTGTCGTGTACCAATCAACCAGTATGTACCCCTCTCTGGTCCGAGTGGGTTTGATAACCTCACTGTATTCCTTCTGCTCCGCGTGGAGTGTCTGCTGGGTGACCAGACGGCGGATGGCATTCTCGTCGTGTTTCTCTTCATCCCCGCGTTCGAGATCCGTAGTTGAGATGGTATCTTCTGAGGTTATGCTGATGGAACTCGATGAGACGGGCTCGGCCGCCTGCGTATCCTTACTGCTTTCTTCGGCGGATGTAGGGTAGTAAGGGTGCTGGAATGTGTCTAGCTCCTCCACATGTCGAAGGTACTTGTCCTTGGTGAGGAACCGGACAAGCAGGCCAAAGGGCGAGTCCCGAATGACGTCTAACATTTTGCTCAAATTATCAGAGCAATTGTATCTGCTCAAACGCTGCCCCAGTGTTGTGTTGTGCCATCAGGCGACCTAGCTCTTATAGCATACCAATATGCCACCCTGGCCCGTCTGTACAACACTCAATTCCTGGTGAATCATCAATGTGTTTGTTTGATAATAAGATTCTGAAGCAATCTTTGCCCATCCTGCGTCTGACATATCGATTCGACGACGCTCAACGTGTACTACGAGCGCTGCTCAGGAGCTGACAACCCTATCTGGAGAGCCAATGGCCGCCCCCAATGCTTGTCGATTTCTAAGCACGTTAACCACAACGGGCCCTCCGGAACTCCGGTCCAGGGCTGATCTGCGGCTAGAATCTCCAGAGTCATGATTATTCATCGTAAAATCTAATCAATGTTTGCAGCCTGGATTTCAAAGCTGCATGACGACATTTTCTGCAGAGAGGACATGTATACGTGGTGATTTCTACCCCACCTATAAATATGGCTTTGGTGGGTCCAGGGGTTGCTGCTTTTCCGACTCTATACGGTGTATGCACATCAGGACCCTCGCAAGATTGATCGCCATAACTATCGCCATGAGCGGAACAACAAAGCTACAGAAGGCGCTTGTCGTCGAAGAAATTGGGAAACCACTTCGCCTTGCTCAGCGCCCGATCCCAATGCCTGGACCGGGCTGGGTTCTTGTTCAGGTTGCGGCTGCTGGAAGTAAGTGGGTCACTATATCTCGAGATTCTCGTTGAGAGGAATAGTCCTGAGCTAACATCCTGAACAGTCAACCCACACGATCAAAAGGTACGCAGGGAAACGCTTTGGAAGCATCGCTCCAGCGTACCAGTACATAGTACGTCTGGGGAACTAACCTGTTGTCTCACATATAGGGTCGCGACACTGGCCTATTCATCCAGCCCTACACCCCGGGCGCAGTCTTGACGCAGGACATATCCGGTACCGTCGTCTCTCTTGGCGCCAACGTCTCGAAATTCCGCATCGGCGACCGCATCTTCGGCCAGAGCAACGTCCTCGACGGTCCCGACCAAGGCGGCCTGCAGCAATATACCCTTCTTCACGCGGACTATGCAGCCCGGATCCCGGACAATTTGAGCTTCGATGATGCGGCGACGATTCCCGTTAATGCAGTTGCGAGCTTCGTCGCGCTGTTCCATGAGAGTGGATTGGGGCTGCACCCGGCCGAGTTCAATCTGTCCTCGGAGAAGAGCGATGTTGTGGACTACTCCAAGGACACGATTCTGGTCATTGGGGGCGGTTCGAATACGGGAAAGTTCGGGCTGATGTTTGCCCAACTTGCTGGATTCGGTAAAGTGATTACCACAGCTGGTGGCACGGGTGATGCAAAAAAGATGGGGCGCTTGCGGTCCCTAGGTGCGACACATATTATTGATCGAAATGCGTCGGACGCAGAGATAGAGACGCAGGTCCGCGAGATTGTCGGCGACAGTCTGATCTACGCGTACGACACAGTCAATGCCGCGCCGAATCAGGGCTTGGGTCTAGCTGCCTTGTCGAGTTCGCACAAAGGGACACTGATCACGCTGATGAGAGGTGGTGAGGTTCGCGAGGAGATCGCGCTCAAGAAGGAGGCTGGGTACCGCAAGGCGCAGGTGCTTGGAGTTAGCCATAAACATGGGGAGTTTGCGAAAGAGTTTTGGAATAGGCTTCCTAGGTGGATTGGAAGCGGCATTGTGAGGCCGCTAGATGCGGTTGTTGTTGAGGGGCTCGATGTCGATGGGGTGAACAGGGTGCTAGATGAGTATCGGGATGGGAAGGTGGTTAGTAAAACGCACGTTCATCCGACTGCGTTATAGAAGATGGGAAACCCTAGCCCTAGAAATCAGACCTAGCGAGCCTCATAATATAGAAGACTGCTTGAGCTTTCGTCCTGTGGCCTATTGTTGGAGCATCGTAGCCTTATACAAACTCTAGTGTACTAAGGTGTATCGCACAAAGACCGTCATCGCTGTAGCAGCTATTTGCAGGTGCAGTGGCCAAGAGGGTGGGCTAGCCTCTTGTCTGTGTTGCAGCGGTCTTTCAAGGAAGTAAGTTCGGTCGGTGTTTAGCAATCACTCGAGATACTAAGGACCTTCGTTCGCAAGACCTTGCCTGGGGAGGAGAGACCTTGAGTAAGTCTACTCGGGGAGGGCACGCGGCCAGCTTGGTCATGCAGCAATGGCAGTACGGTCCATTCTGTCTGCTCTTGCTTATGATTTCATGCCGGTATCGCAAATATGGTCCGTGGTGCTTCTTGCAAAGAGGTTTTTTCGCTTAGCATGGCCACCGTCCAACTCGCTATCCCCGCAGGCGATGAACAAACAGTTGGGTGTTTTATAGCGTTCGTGTGATTATACCTTTAGCAGGAAAGTCCACTGAAGGCCAATGGTGTGCAACTAGCGGAGCAAGCGACCTCGGGAAGGCTTCCAAAGTTGGTGACGGACACCTTCGAATCAGAGAACTTAGGCCCTGGGTATACTTTGACCACGTCTAGTATCGTGGCCCATTAGTTTTTATTGTCAGTCTTGCACTGTATCGGCTTGAAAAAGAAAAGCCAAGACCACTCATGGGAATATGGACACGCGCCAGGCAATGTCGCAAAATCACACGGTTTGGTGTTGCCAATGGGGCAATGGGTCAATCACATTTCAAAAAGCTGTTGTGTTGTTGTGGCATCAGTAATCCTATGACAGCAGTCTCTACCTCAGATTAGTAAATCTCAAGTAGTAATGCTGCTCACTACGGCTGATATGCATATTTCAAACGAGATAGATGGAGATAGTAGAAGAAGTCTGTGGGTACTAGTAGATGGGAGACAGAGTGAGATTGGGATTCGATCTGTCCATCACTCCAGTTGAGACGAACTACACTCACGTGACTCCATACTGCACCAGATCCTCAGATCGGTCCAGCTTGTTCTCCGCAAACGAAGATACCCCTCAATCACCTTCCCCAACCGAAACAATGCTGTTCTTCAGGTAACTCAATCTTGTACCTCAAGCAATATCTTCAACAAAATTCCGCGACTGACACAAATCCCGCTCGCAGCTTCTTCAAGACCCTCACGAACCAGGTCGTCACGATAGAGCTCAAGAATGACATCCGAATCCGCGGAACGCTGAAATCAGTCGACCAATACCTCAACATCAAGCTCGACGACATTGATGTCCTAGATCTCGACAAATACCCACATCTCTCCTCCGTGAAGAACATGTTTATCCGTGGTAGTGTGGTACGCTATGTGGTGTTGCCCCGGTCGGAGGTGGACGTCGGGCTTCTGGAGGATGCGACGAGGAGAGGTATGTCCTTTGTGCACGCCCGTCCTAGCCAAGAACTATCTGTGCTTGACTTTTATTCCACAAAGGAAAAATTGCTAATTGCAATTGTTTTGCAGAGGCTGCCAACCAGGCGGGCAAAGCTCGGTGATCTCGTTCGATCGATCCATTCCCTCTAATATAATGCGCTTTTACGATATTACGCCTCTACGGTCTCGTCCGACGCTATCGCCCTGGAGCAGAAAGCCCAGGAGACCGCGTGATGATGCGAGATGGTGTGAAAGATATCCGGCTGGAATAACCGGAAACCAATTGAAGACATGTTTGCATTGCTGGCTTCAGCGACCGAGATTTTCATGGGCGTTACAGTCAGTTTAGAAGAACCCAGTGAGAGGTCCACTTGTAGCTTTGCGCATGTGACTGCTCCAATAAAACTGCAAAATGAAGAGCTTCATGAGCCGATTCCATTATTTCCCATTTCGTAAAATCCATAGTCATGTGACTTCGTGTCGAGACTTCGCCGCGCTCCGATACGGTGGCCATTCTGCACAACCACGCGACATTCTCTTCCAGCTCTTAAGAATACATATACTTCAAGTCTGCCCTGCTGCAATTCCTCGATACACATCCACGATTCACGAATACACACATGATTAGAGCCTCAAAACAATGCACCTTACTTAGCACCGCGCCAATTTGCCCCTCGCTCGTTTCCACTCCTACGCACCAAACACCATCCATCACAGCTCAAACCCAACTCCTATTCCATTATCACGCGTCTCGAAATGGCCGGCGCCACTCGAAGAACATCTACACCCTCGAAACCCTCCTCCGGCGCAAGGCCGCAGTCCTCAAAGAAACAAACGAACACCCTCCTCAACTTCTTCCAGAAAGCAGACGGCCCGCCGAAGTCAACCTCGCGACAGGCACGTATCACACAGTTTACTTCTCAAGGAGAGCGGCCGAATTCACGCGTTACAGCGCCGAGACCGCGTGTGCTGAGGAGGGAGGCTAGTTCGGCGAATGGGAGTGACGAGGGGTTGTTTCTGGGGTCGAAGGGTGGGCAGGTGGCTAGTTCGGAGAGGGAGCGGTCGAGATCGAGGTCTCGCTCGCCAGATGACATTTGGGATGAGGGGATGGGAGCTACAGAGTCTACGAGCACGGGGGAGGAGAGGTTTAATGAGACGGGATCTGCGGTGAAGCGGCAGAAGGTCGAGTCTCTCGGAGCTAAAGGTGATACGGAAGGAAAGAGGGAGGCGGCGAAAGCGAAGAAAGTCAGCGGTCCGTTTATCGATGAGTCCGATAGTGAGGATGAGGGATTGGACGCATTTAAGGATCCTGGATACGGGGAGGGACACATTATGTCGAACCCAACGATAACAGAAACCGATTCGAAGGAAACAGCAAACAGATCACCTTCAAGCGAAGAGGAAACGGCAAGGAAACGAGCTTTCGCCGCCGACGTGCCACCGCTGGTAAGAGAAGCCACGAGCCATATGCAAGATGATGATTATCCGGATTTTGACGAAATAGACGGGGACGAAGAGGGGGATCTCTTAGATATTGCAGACGAAGAAGCGATGAGGAAACACGAGGCTTTCGGGCTCGACACAAGTGCGGATATTGATGATTCCACCGACGACACTCCAGCTTGTCCGGTTTGTCAAGGCAGTTTGAAAGGGTTCGATGAGGGGGTAAGTGAGGCAACTCGAAAGCGGAATCTAAGCTCATGTTCCTATAGGCGATTTCCGCACATGTCAATGACTGCCTGGATGGGAAACCTAGCACAATATCACCAAAGACACCGTCGAGCGGTACTACCCCCGAGCAAGCTCTTACACAAGCGGAGCGTGCCGCCGTACCGAGACCAGCGCAGGCCGATCCGTTCAGGCCCAATACATCTCACCCTTCAAGCGCATTCTCTAAGATCCTGGCAGGAAACGCTGAAGACACTGCGTGGGCGGAGGCTGCAGCAAGCGATGCCGCCTCTCGGGGTAAGCAGGCTTATCAGAGAACATGTCCTTTTTACAAGATTATTACGGGCTTTTCAATATCGGTCGACGCATTCCGGTACGGAGCTGTTCAAGGGTGCAACGCGTACTTCTTGAGTCACTTCCACAGCGATCACTACATTGGACTGTCCAAGTCATGGCGCCACGGCCCGATCTACTGTAGCAAAGCCACGGCTAATCTCGTGCGTCAACAGCTCAAGGTTGATCCGAGGTGGCTTGTTGACCTAGAGTTTGAGAAGAAGACCGAGGTGCCAGACACGGGGGGCGTACAGGTGACAATGATGGAGGCTAATCATTGCCCTGGAAGTTCCATCTTCCTCTTCGAGAAAGTGAGTTCCGGGCCTTCTGGTCGGATCCACAGAGTCCTGCACTGCGGCGACTTTCGAGCCTCACCCCAACATGTACGACATCCTCTCCTACGGCCTGATGTTGTCGATCCAAAAACAGGCAAGAGCTGGCAGCAGCGGATCGATGCTTGCTACCTTGACACGACATATCTCAGTCCGAAATATGCATTTCCAAGGCAGTCGGATGTCGTAAGTGCATGTGCAGAACTTTGCGTACGTATCGACCAAGGTCAGTACGACAGTCTCGGTTATATGCCTTTTCAGACAGGCAGTACAAAAGCCGTATCGAAGAACCCGATCAGCAAGTTTCTCTCATCTGCGACTGACGCTCTGAAGTCATCCACTCAGCCCGGACCGAAAGGTCGGCTCCTCGTGGTTATTGGGACGTACAGTATCGGCAAAGAGCGCATATGTCTGGCCATAGCACGAGCGCTGAAGAGTAAAATCTTCGCAACGGCAGCAAAACAGCGCGTGTGCGCCTGCCTAGAGGATCCCGAACTCTCCTCATTGCTGACAGAAGACCCGCTGGAGGCCCAGGTGCACATGCAAACACTGTTTGAAATCCGCGCGGAGACTCTGGCGGACTACCTTGACTCGATGAAGCCTCACTTTACCCGGGTAGTCGGCTTCCGCCCAACCGGGTGGACGTACCGACCGCCTGCTGGGAGGACTCTGGAGAACCCGCCGGTGGCGACCGTGCTCCACTCTGCACACTGGCAGACTCCGTTCTCGGTGCGCGACCTGACGCCGCAGCGTGGGAGCACGCGGGAGAGTGCCTGTTTCGGAGTGCCGTACAGCGAGCACAGCTCCTTTCGCGAGCTGACCATGTTTTGCTGTGCATTGCGGATCGGCAGGGTCATCCCGACGGTCAATGTTGGCAGTGCGAAAAGCCGTGAGCGTATGAAGGGCTGGTTTGACAAGTGGGAAGCGGAGAAGCGGAAAAGCGGCCTGTACAAAGTAGAGGGAGACGATTGGTAGCTAGAACTGCACACGATATACATGAAGCCACGATTATAACGATTCCAATGCATTCGATATCTCGAGACTGCCGGTGCATAACGTGGATAAGTGCTGAGTAATTATGCACTTGGCATCTGGGGCACAGGCCTCCAATCAAAGTCAGGGCAAACAAATCACCACCGCAATTTAACCACACTCGATCACCTCTCCAGGCGGGGGACGAGACATCGTCGGCGTCTTCATTGGTCCTGGGGATAGCTTCGCTTGGCATCGCGATGTGATTTGTTCATTCATGCCCTATAATGCACAGGGCAGCATAACCGAGCGTGGTGGGCGGGGAAGCTTGGTCGGGGGAGGGAATCGGCTGGCGCGCAGTGCGAGGACGACCCCAGACTCCCGACCTCGACTTCCGTGCGGTGGCTTTGCCTCGGGGATGCCCTCGTCAGTCGCCCACCATAAATATACCCCTTCTGCTGGTCCAGGTTGGCTTCATGCATCATGGACTGACTTTTCGACATACCTTTCTATCATTACCTTCGCCCAGTCCTCTTCTCCGTCTCTTTTTACCTTGCCTTTGCCTTACAATACTCTTGTGTTAAATCTCCGAAAGCCACTACTACAAACCCGGTTAGTGCGGCTGCACTTTATTTGCTTCTTCCTGCTTTTTGTCCGCTCTGCGATCGGCTCTTCCTCTGCCTGATATTGTTAGATTCTACTGACGCGGTGTACAACCTTAAGACTTTCTAGTCGATCTACCCATCATGCTCGCTGATCAGTTGTCAGCCGAGCTCATCACTCCTGCGACGGTCGCCTATGCCTTGGCTGGGCTGCTGGCCGCTTACTACATCGTCCCATACCTCCAGACATGGCGTCTGAGTGACATCCCCGCACCGGGCCTGGCTGCCTTTACGAACTTCTGGCTCCTGTTGCAAACCCGCAAGGGTCATCGTTTCCTGGTCGTCGACGAAGCTCACAAGAAGCACGGAAAGCTTGTCCGCATTGCTCCTCGCCAGGTTTCTATTGCCGACGATGCGGCTATCCAAGCCGTCTATGGACACGGAAATGGTTTCCTCAAGGCGTATGTTATACCTTGGCTTGAAACAGGGTGATTCTTCTAACGAGTGTAGTGACTTCTATGACGCTTTTGTCTCTATCCGCCGCGGTCTTTTCAACACTCGCGATCGTGCCGAGCACACTCGCAAGCGCAAGACTGTCTCTCACACCTTCTCCGCCAAGTCAATTGGCCAGTTCGAGCAGTATATTCACGGCAACATCGAGAAACTCGTCAAGCAGTTGAACCGTATCTCCGATCTCCAAGCCAACCCCAAGAGCGGCTATGCCACCATTGACGCCCTCAACTGGTTCAACTTTGTCGCCTTCGACATCATCGGCGATCTCGCCTTCGGCGCTCCTTTCGGCATGCTCGACAAGGGCCAGGACATTGCCGAGATGCGCAAGTCCCCCAACGACCCCCCAAAATACGTCCAGGCCGTTGAGGTCCTCAACCGCCGTGGTGAAGTCTCCGCTACCCTCGGCTGCTACCCTGCTCTGAAGCCTTATGCCGGATATCTCCCTGACCGCTTCTTCCGCGATGGTCTCGAGGCCGTCGAGAACCTTGCTGGTATCGCTATCGCCCGTGTCAACGAACGTCTCCGCCCCGAGGTCATGGCCAACAACACCCGTGTCGACCTTCTCGCTCGCCTGATGGAAGGCAAGGACGAGAACGGCAACAAGCTTGGTCGCGCTGAACTTACTGCCGAGGCCCTGACACAGCTCATCGCTGGCTCCGATACCACTTCCAACACCTCCTGCGCCATCCTCTACTGGGCTCTTCGTACCCCAGGTGTCATTGAGAAGCTCCACAAGGTTCTCGACGAGGCTATTCCCAAGGACGTCGATGTCCCCACCCACGCCATGGTCAAGGAAATCCCCTAGTAAGCCCCCATCTTCTTTGTCCCGCAAATCAACCCCATCTAACAATATTCCAGCCTCCAATGGGTAATCTGGGAAACAATGCGCATCCACAGCACATCAGCCATGGGCCTGCCTCGCGAGATCCCCCAGGGTAACCCACCCGTCGAAATCTGCGGCCACATGTTCTACCCCGGCGACGTCCTCTCCGTCCCCACCTACACGATCCACCACTCCAAGGAAATCTGGGGCGCCGACGCCGACAAGTTCGTCCCCGAGCGCTGGGACCCGGCTCGTCTCACCGCGCGCCAGAAGGCCGCGTTCATCCCCTTCTCTACTGGGCCCCGCGCGTGCGTGGGTAGGAACGTTGCGGAGATGGAACTGCTGGTTATCTGTGCGACGGTCTTCCGGTGCTTTGACTGGGAGTTACAGCAGAAGGGGGAGATGGAGACGCGCGAAGGGTTCTTGAGGAAGCCGTTGGGGTTGGATGTTGGTGTTAAGAGGAGGACGGTCGCTTGAACCGGTATAAAGAATATGTGAGAATATTGTCTGTTTCGAATGTATTCGAGTCCGTCACGTTGCATTTTGTTCGATGCGTTGTGGTGTTGGGATGGTTATTGGAATTGACCTACGACTGAGGGAACTTGGGAGGATATGATTGCGTTTGTACATCGCATTTGAAGAGGATCCAGCGAAGGACTTCCTATGACTGTATGGAGATTTAGCATGAATTCATGACATGTCAATTTTGTTCAATGTGTACTAAAATAGAGAATATTGATTTGTCCTTTAGTAGCACTGCTCAGCGGTTGTGTTGGTGATTCCGAACTATACATTTCGGCTTGCCAACAACTCTTGGGAAGGCACGAAAGGTGCTTGGTGTTTTCCGATAACTTGAGCTCTACTTTACGCCACTTTATCTCTAACATCCTTCTTAATGTTATTATATTGCTATGGATGCATTTCATATGCTTGTTATACTTTGTTACAGTGCCTTGCACAACCACCCTGCCCACCCACATGTCATAATTTTTTTTTGGTTTCCTAAACCCTCATAAAGTGGTGCTAGTACTATAATGGTTAGAATGAAAATAAAGCTTCTTGGCAGGCTAGACCTGGTTTTGTAATTTCATAAAACTTTGTTCTTGCTGAACTACTTGCGTGATTTGCTAAAACTACGCTACTTTAGCTGTTCTTCTCCCGCCTTACTTGGCCGAAATTTTCAATGTTCTTTTTATACATGCATTTCGGGCCTAAAAAATAGATGCATGGCTAGAGCATGAGTAACAAGACTGATTCAATTATAAAGCACAAGGCATTGGTTTAGTCCTGGGGGAAGGTAATTATCCATGATCACAAATCTGTAAGGGATATGCAATAGGTTGGTTATGTATAAAGTCACTATACCAAGAGTGATATTCGTTCAAGACTAAACCTTACCCAGCAAGGTGATTGAGATCCCACGGAGATACATAAGCAAAAGGAAGGTAGTATGCTAATGTTACAATAGGAAGTCAATGACAAGGCTTTTCCTACACACGGATATTTTATCGGAGCCACCAGAGGTCATAGCTGATGGCCTAGATCCTCAGGCTACTCCGTAACAAAATCATAGTCGCCAAAAGAAATTCATGACACCTCACCCTTTGCAGCCTGCAGGGTTTGAATGTGATATAATATAATCACTAGCATAAAGTGCACTAGGCGTAGGGTACATTGTTAGGAAGAGTGTCTGTGGAGGTTTATTTGTTCTGACAATCTAAGAGATAGTTCCCTGCTGTTTCCCACCAACAAGGGTGCTTAATAAGGATTGACAGTGCGGATGATCTAAGCCTAATACTTTTTTCAGGAGGTTAATATACGTCTTGAGAAGACTAAAAACATCAGGGATCGTGCCTGGCCTTTGCCAAGTAAAGGCAAAGTTATGCATGCTTGCCAGTGTCAGGATGCTCAGGCCCTAACAGCTGTTCTCGCATCTTTAACGCGTACACCTCGAGTTCTTCCACTTTAACCAAACGTTCCTGACCAAAGTATGTGGATGCCAAGTTGGCCATGCTGATGAGAGCATCAGGATGCTCAGGACCAAGGACCTTCATATAACCTTCGAGTGCCTGTCGCTGTATGGCCTCTGCCTGCTCATATTTGCGCTCGTCAGCAAGTACTGAACCAAGGTTGCTGACACTATCAAGAGTATCAAGACCCTTTAGTCCGCAAGTTCTTTCCCGGAATTTTTAGGACATTTTGAAGCAGGATTTCTCCCTGAGCTACCTTCTATCGCTTTGCAGGCATCTTCCTATCCTTGTAAGAAAATTATCATGGTTATCCTGATAAGCTTGGAATTCTGCCCTTTCCACTAGATACAGTGCATGAGAGAGGTATTTCCTCCGTGTTTGTTGATTATCATGGTTATTGTCCGGAAAAACCTTGCCCAACTATTTGGCGGCTCTTTCTACACCTTTTAAAGGTCTCTCATTCATAGAGCCAATTTTGAGTAGCAAGATGCGCAAGTTGATATAGACTATCCACGGAGGCTAGGAAGTACAGTTAGTATGAGTTTCAGCGGACATTTATAGGTCAGAAGCTACATTTCAGTCATTGTTCAATCTCAGCCTCTTGCCAAACATCTTAATCAACATCCAACAGATCTGGCTCAAGACCGAGTAATCTGCAACCACTGCACAGACCCCACTTAATTCCAACCTAATACTTTCCCATCACCACGAATGGGTCCTGACAAAAGCACATAGAAATTGGAAGCCTCTTGGCGGTCCGCTCGAGGTGGAGATATCCAGAATAAATCCAACAACCAATTTCAATTTCTGGAAGGAAGGAAATTTCAAAACGAGTCATGGCTTGCCAAGTGATTTAATTACTGCGCTAACTGTATAGGTACTAGCTCCAATCTTGAAGGATTGGCAACTGGGGCCAGGGCGGTTGTGCAAGGCACTGTATTCCTCCAAGTCTTTTCTATATTACTACGGCAGCGTCATCCGGCTTCCGGTGGACAACAACTACGGATCAGAGGAAGAAAATGAAAAAGGTCGTAAATATATCGATTCATATATATTTTATCATGAAACCCATGAGAACCCGAAACCGCTAATAATTGTCCGCTCAACAGACATCCAAGCGCTCAACGCTCAACGCTTACCGCACGCAGTATCCACCGTCAATGCGGAGATCCGCACCGGTAGTATAAGTGCTAGCGTCCGAGGCCAGGTAGACGTAGGCGCCCTTCAGCTCCTTGGCATCACCGTTGCGGCCCATGGGGATCATGCTCAGCCACAGATCCTGCACCTTCTTGTCGACAAAGTCGGAGAGACCGGTGTCGATGTATCCGGGGGAGATGGAGTTAACACGGGCGAAATCGCGCCACTCGTTGGCGAGCGAGCGGGCGAGGTGGATGCACCCGGCCTTGGCGACGTTGTAACTTGTCTGCTCCTGGGGGTAGTTGGCAATGTGTCCGGACATGCTGGCGGTGATGACGAGGGAGCCCTTGCCGCGGGCCTTGAAGTGAGGGCCGACGGCCTTGGCGCAGTGGAATGTGCCGTTGAGGTCAGTCTGCAGGACCTCCATCCAGTCTTCGACCGAGCCGTCGAGGATACCGGAGTTGGCGGTGCGGCCGGCGTTGGCGATGAAGGCGTCGATCTGGCCGAACTCGGCGATCACGTCCTTCACGAGCTTCTCGACCGAGGCGTAGTTGCCAATGTCAAGCTTGTAGGCCTTGGCCTTGATGCCGTACTTCTCGGAGAGTTCGCGGGCGTTCTTCTCGCCGCCCTCGGGGCGCGAGGCGTAGGTAAGGGCGATGTTGGCGCCGAACTCGGCGCAGCCGCGCGCGGCTTCGATACCCATGCCGCGGGGGCCGGAGGCACCAGTGATGACGACCGTCTTGCCCTTAAGGCTGAAGAGGTCGTGGAGGGAGTCGGCGGTGGGGACGGGCTGAGGCATTGTGATTGTGGTGATTGGGAATATTTCTTGAAAAGAAGAGAGAATGGATTGAATATAGAGCGGTAGTTGTTGGTGGTTGCGTTTAAGCTTTATAGAGAAGGGGTTCAGTACAATGACATCAGAGTGACTTCAGAGTAACTTACCGAAGGGCAGTGCGATGGAGTCGATGGAGTCGCTGCTGGATCTTTCAAACCGGATAGCAGAGAAGCGGAGGCACAATGATCTATTTATCCCCTCCCCTCAAGTCTCGGACAGGGATAGTCCGGATGCTCGGGTTGCATGGTCATTGCAATGAGCGCATGCTGTAATCGCTGACTTGCTTCCCGGCGCGGGGCTCTGGTTGGAGTCTATGACGCCACGATAGCCGGCGGGGCGAGTACCTGGCTGGAAAACGCGGTTCGCACGGATGTTGGTAGGCTATGTTTGGCTATTGCCAGGTCGATGTATCAAGGGCGGGGTAATCATTAGGGAATTGACTAGTAAGCCAGCGCTTCGTGTTTCCAGATGAGACGCGCGCCGGATGCGCGAGGCATGATTTGCTTGCGCGATGGTTTGGGTTTGCTTATGCCGATGTTTGTCAGATTTTGTGAGGCCTCGGCAGCGAGTGCCTGCTGACAGAAAACTTGGTAATTGCGATAAGCCTCCCGCTGGTGAGGGGTAGCTACACGATAGCGGGGTGCTGTGCCGATTTCTAAGAGCTTGGGAATTGATTCAATTGTGTTATTGATCGTTCTGTCATCTATGTTGTTCGTATCTCTGTTGTTCGTGAGGCTCGGCCGTACACGTCGTGTCCTCGGAGCCTCACTCTATACAATCATGCTGCTTTTGGTTTTAGCGGAGGAATGCATCTCCCTCTTCGCTCGGCGCGTGTTTGGCCATTGAGATCGCGTCTTGCCGTCCTCGCTCCGCGTTCACCATCCAAACAAGCGGCATTGGGAGCAGGATCAGGATCCCAATGAAGATGAACCCCGATCGGACCGAGCCCGTGGCGTCGATGAGAGCGCCCACGATCGCCGGGCCAACGAACGAGCTTCCCTTGTCCGTCGCCGCATAGAGCGCGTAAAAGGCGGCCTCGCTGCCTGGTGGGATCAACTCTCCAAAGAGCGAGCGGCAGTACGACGAGAGTCCACCGGACACGACTCCATGGATGACACCCAGTGGGAAGATCTCCCAGGGCTGCTGAAGTCCGAGGACACCCCACTTTCGAATAAAAGGTATATAGGCCAGCATCCCATACAGCGGAATGATCTCAAATAGTGCTAAGCAGACTAAAATCGTGTGATTCGAAGCCAGTCCGAACCGGCGCGATACCACTGGCCACAAGAATGCGCCAGCGATTCCCGATGTGGTGGCCGTGACGGATAGCAGACCTACAGAGGTGGTGCTCAAATGCAGCTCCGTCCGCGCAAAGAGGATTGCCGTTCCGGACACGGTCGCAATGGCGTCTGAGAGCAGAAACCAGGCAGCCAGGAATATTACAACCTGACGCAGCTTCACAGCGACCTTGATGGTCCTCCAGAGGGACTTCCAGGCAAACCCTACTAGGCGTAGCCAGACGCGCCATTTTTGACGATACCCAGATCCCGGGGCAACTCCTTCCAACGGTAGCCCGGGGCGTGTACGTAGCCACCGACTGCTGACAATGGTAAAGGCACACCACCAGACGCCCACTAGCAGCAAGACCAATCGAAGCGGAAGCGTCGGGGTGGATTTGGATATAGATGTTTTCGACAGCGTGAAAAGAAGCAAAATACTGAGTATCTGAACAAAGACCGCGGCGCAGTAACCTAGTCCGACACCCCGGGATGATATGTGAGTGGAGAGCTGAAGCTCCGAAGACGTAGAGCCAGTGTCTTTCTTAGATTCTGGCTGTGTAGGGCGACTGTTATCCTCCTCGTCTGTCCATGATCGCAGAGAGAAGTCATCCCCTTCGCTATGCAAGCTGTGAAGTTCGTCTCCGTTCTTGCTCGGGATAGGCTGGACCGACGAGTCATTTGCGACAAGGATCGGTAGGAATGAGTTCAGAACTACAAATGATGAACCGAGACAAGTGACCCCGATAACCACGAGGAGGGCGCCGAGAACAAAGACCGGAGGCGCAATCAGCATGAAGAGCATGGACGTTGCGGAGCCGACGAATCCGAATGCGAGCAGCAGGGTCTTTCGGTTACTTTCTGCCATATATATCAGCAAGCGCGTCAGCCGGATCTTTCCTGGTTGTCTTACCATAATCCGCCAACGCACTGAAGGACACTAGGGTCAAGGCCTGGACGAGCACCGCGAGCGAAAAGGTATACATGGCAAAACTCGCCGTGTTGATGGTCAGGCCCATCAACGGCACCACGCAGGCCTCGTTCACCGTGGCCGTTCCATTACCGGCTGGGGGCGCGTCAGGGCCGACACAGGGCCGATGGCTTGAAGGAAAGAAGCCCTGTTCACGAGCCAATTGCTCCAAGGTGAGGGGTAGGAACGAGCCTGGCGAATATTAGCTGGTGAACAGCCGGTATAATCGAAGGAGTGAATACATACCGACACCGCAGACAGCAAACACTTCTGCAGCAATCCCATAAGCATACCAGCCCAGAATCTCGCGACGCTGGGTGGGGGTGGTATCTTCGCCGGCATAGCGCGGAGATCGGTGCCGGTCGGTGTCCGCCTCTTCAGGCGACGACGCAAGCCTGGTGAACGACGCCATCAGGGATGAAAAGAAGCGAGAATACAAGATGGATGCACAGGAACAGAAGTTTCCAAGAGAGCACCATGGCTGGGAGCCATCAGTGGAGCTCCCAGCAGCAGCTCTGCGTCGGCTCGTCCAACGGCGGTTCCTCTTTGCCTGATGACGGAACGCCCGGATAAGCTCTGACCGCTCGACCTGGCCGGCAGAAACTGGCGGTGACGGCTATCTGACTAATGCTTGATTGGCTGCTGCGATCTATACCAAACACCAGTATGTGTGCTACACATTGCGAGTGGTTATCAGAACAGGCAGGACGGCTTGATGTTGACTGCCTGGTAGTTGGCGCAGCTGCAATGTGCAACTAATCGGTACTGCTGAGCGACACAGCTTGTCGCCGGTCTTTGTGTTGCGTGGAAAGTACCCGACTTCGCTTTCCTGACGACAGGAGCCGCTACCGGCCCGAGCCTGTGTTCTTTCCTCCAGCAGAAGAGCAGTGAGTCCCTCTTTTCTCTCTTCCGTCTTCTTGTTTTGCTGCTCATGTTTTGCGTGTCTGTCATTCCTTTTTCTTTCAATTTGTACTCGTCTACGTTGGGCTCTCGTCGCTCGCTTCATTCGTTGCTCTACACCACTGCCCGGGTTTATATATAATAGCACGGGGGCCGCGGCCACAATGTCCGTCATTATCAACTACCTCATATTTGCCTTTAGCAAACTACTCTACCGCATACGTGGTCACGACTCTCGGCAGATTATCAATCATATATCCTTCAGAGAACACCCTCAGGCGAACATGATACTCGAGGTTCCGGAATGTGGCCACTCCGGCTCTCCTCTCCTCCCAGACCATACCTGTATTGGCGAAAACAAACCTGGCAAACTTCCTGAGCTGCGCTGGAGAACTCCTTCCGACCTTGACGTCAAGGAGTATGTCCTCATATGTGAAGATCTCGACGCTCCCATCCCCTTTAGTGTCATCACGCACGGCCTCTTTTTCGGAATCCCTCCAACTGCGAGGGAAGCTTACCACGACGATATCGAACAAGATATGAACTGCACTGGACGTCTTACTCTTGCGGGCTGGGGATTTGTTCCGAATGTGGTGCGGTCTACATATACTGGGCCTGCTGCCCCCTTGGGCCACGGAGTTCATCGCTACGTCTACACCATCATTGCCCTCGATGAACCTCTACACTTCGATCGCCCGGATAAAGTCACAAAGAGCCAGGTGAAAAGAGCCATGATTGGAAAAGTCATTGGTTGGGGTCAATGGGTCGGACACTTTGAGCGCCCATGGCCACGCTAAGTGCGAGCGTCGTGTAGGATGACCAGCGAAGTCGACAGCTGACTTTTCCATACGGTTGGGACTAAAGACACGGGAGGTGATGGCAGTTGAAGGATGCTAAGCCGAGGCCGGCACTTTCTATTATTCTTTCTTGTTTGTATTATCCTAATTGTCCTCCACGTGTCCCCACGCATTTCTCCCTCCTAGTGCTCTGATGGTTCCTGCTAGATGACCCCTTCCTGTCTTGATGATTCAACCCTAAGAAAAGTACGAGGGATAATTCACGCATTTTCGCTGCTAAGGCTGGCTCAGGCTAACATGGAGCCACGCTCTGTGGACGTGTACACATAGCCTCGGCCCCGTCTCGGTCAACTCCCTATGTCGCGCGATCAGTACCCAAGCTACGCGCAGCAACGATATCGTACTTACCTGATTCGACATCGATTTGCTCCATAAAGACTACAACACGCTGGATCGTCGAGTCTACCTTCGACTCGCATGCCCTCAACGTTGAAGCAGCAACCCTGTGCGCCTGTCCACTATCCTTAGACAAAGATCGGAGTCCTTTCAAGAGCTCAAGAAGCTTTATCGAGTTCTTGCCAAGGAGCATTCGGACTAGTACCCCAGTCTCATCCTCATCTAGCTCCATCTGGCCAAGCTGTATCTTGCTTCGGATGCACAAGAATTGTGGGAGAGATTGCTCAAACGCAATGATTGATGGATCGAATAAGGAGTTCTTCCGAGACACGTTGTACGCTAGACACGCCGCTTCGAAAAGGGCGAGACACTGCTCAGTGAGGGCTGGAATAGCCACCAGAGATGACCCTGCTTTGGCACGACACTCCTTGCATCTTAGCATGGCTTGTCCTTGGTTGTGGATGCGATCGACCAAGCTAAGAATGGTCTCTAGTTCCACCACTGTGTGCAAGCTGTGCAGCTCATTCATGATCTGTTGCGGCCATATCGAGCACTGGCAGCTGCTCTCAGGCTCCATAATTCGTGATTCAAGGCAGTCAAGTACTCGATCGGATAATTTGCTTGTCGTTAGACGGGTGTGGCCGACTCTTGCTGTGTTTCTCCTGACGTACGTCGGCATCGCTGACTCCTCATGCATTCAGCAGTTCGGCCCCTGAGTCGCCCGGGCATGGTTGAGACAGAGACTTCTAATATGAAGGTTGCAGCAACCTTCACGCCTGATTCCATTCACGTGCCCGATGACGGCGTTAGGCTCGACGGATATGGGATACAACCTCGGGTTCGTTGTTGAAGCGTCATTTCAACAGCCTCACACTTTCACACTACATCAAGGCGTGAACCTGTCAGCCTGTCCCTTCACGCGGCCAAATCACCGTGAAACCACACAAGCTCCCCGACCCGCCGAACGTCGTACAGATATCTATTCCAGACAATGACTTTGGTATGGATGCTCTGCTCATTTTCTAGGTTACGATCATATTCGACATTGATGCTCAAGCTCTACCCGACAGTGGAGAAAACTGTCATCAAAGCAATGATGTCGCACTTGAGATTGGATAACGATCATTTTACAGGGATCTGATGGCATTTTTCTCGCAGTACAATTCTCACAACTATCACCTAGCATACGAAGATTGGGCTCCCTAAGAAGGACCACGAGATCTTGTAACTATCGCATCTTCGACACACTCGACACACTTTATGGCCTGGTCATCAAATTCAACTTCATAATGACCGACTTCAACCTTTGATCTGTTCCCCTCATCATGTCCAGTCTCCCGCGCGCTGACGGCCCCAGAGACTCTTGGGTACAGAGACGAATGCGATGAACTGTTCCTAGCAAACCTGATAACCGACTTTGCAAGACTCGTTTCACAAACTGAAACTTATCTTCTGGAGGGACGCTGAACCCTCCAATGATCAAGGGACATGCCTCCAGCTGCGTTCTGAGATGCGTACTGCCCCCTTTGTACCGGCGAGTGGATGATTCGGGCCTGTAATCCTGCACCAGCGGGTTGAAGTACTCGGGGAACAGCCTATCTATAACATCACTCTCAGCAAATGTTATTGTGTCTAGCGTGTTGATGAGGCTGTCAATGCTGACAATGACAACCATGAGGAGATTTACTCGAGTTCGGGAGCAATCACGGCACTGAAGAATGGTTTCTGTCAGCTGCTGCAAAACCCTTTGACAGGTCAAAATGGAGTCGATGGCGACAGAGGGGCCTGTACGCGAAGCACAGATGTTCACACGATTAAGATCCCAGACGGCCTGTTCATGGGTCTGACACTGGCGAGTATTCGATATGCCGTTGATCCCTGCCTTGAATTCGTCGTCGGAGAAACTGTACTCGTGTGCCCGTTTTGTGGCTTTGATTTGAGGAAAAAGACTCGGCGACTCGGCAGCAAAGTCGCCACCGAGACTTGAGAGCGGCTGCTGCCAGGAGAACGAATCCTGCTTGAATTGCCCTAAGCTGGCAGCAGCGCTTTGAAACACCTCTTGTGTGCTGGTCGAAAATGGATCCGGGTTGGTGAAACAGGGGTTGGCGCCTGCGTAGTAACTCGAGGATGGCAGATCCTGTGCCTCAGACGTGGCGTCAGAGAAGCTGTCAGACTGAGCCGGCAAATTGTCCAGATCAATCGACATTTTGGCTGGTGTGTCGTCTACCTTGATCTCGTTCGCCTCGAAAGTGTCTAGGAACCCGCGGTCCTGGATAGGGTCGGTGAAAGGATTGGACATGAACTCATGCAGCCAGCTATCAGACGCCATATCAATGTTGTCTGAGACTATTCGAAGATTGGAAAGGTCAGCATTGATGCATGGCAAAGAAGCAACAGTGCTGTAACTAACAAAGGGGCGCTGCGGTGACTATGTCCATCAGCGTTGGAGTCTGCAGATTCATCTCCTCGACCACGAAATCATCTATTTGGTTATGGTCGAAAGGTACTGCCTCGAAGAGGGACTTGTCGTCACGACTGTCGGAACGATCTCCAGAGCTAAAGTCTGGCATCGGCTGCTCCCTGACTACCTTCTTCTTCGACCCGCGAGCTTTCTTATTGGGCTGACTGTCGATTCCAGCCTGGCCCGTCGGTGAGTTGTTGATCGAACAATCTTTTTTCTTTGCTGGCCTTCCTAGTCGCCGAGAGATGCTATAAACGCAGTCTATGTTGTGCTTCTGACATCGCTTGCAAGAAGGTCTGTCATGGCTGCAGCGGATCTTGGCCTGTTGACAAGCGTTGCAGGTTGAGCGAACCTTGACACTCTTTGGAAGTTTGTCGAGAGAGAACTCTCCCTCTCGGAGGTGATTCATGATGAGTGATAGCCTGTGAAAGCATGAAGAAGATGGAAGGGGTTGCATCGTCGATGCCGTATATATGGCCGCAGGCAGGTAGTCCAGGATGGGCTAATCGCTCACACCAACCCCACTTCCATGAGCCGCCAAACGTTCTGCAGCTTAAGAGGATACTGAGGTGCAGGTGGAGCCCAGGTAGCAACCGTACTGCACCTCTTGCCTCCGCTTAGCTCCTCTTGGGTTACCCGACCCACGTACCACATGGTGTGGACAAACCCCTAAGGATTTTGGGTGTTCAGCCTGTTTCTGGTGAAAGACAAGCGTGGTTTGTACGATGCAAGCTGAGGGTGCAAATGCTTATCACGGGCGTTGTGAGACTCTGACTACCGTATTCTATTCTGCTTCTGCAGGCTCATCACCACTAGCCCAGAGCTAGGCCCAGACCCTGCAATTGAAAGTGACGGACTGGACCAAATGAACATTTGAGTTGATGACAGTTTCAAAACTAGTTTAGTGGTTTCCCCATGTGAGTTACACCCTGCGTTGGAACTAACAAATTTCCGGAGCAACGGGATCAACGTGGACCATTAGGGGCCCGCCGGATAGTATCCCCTTTCCGCGATGATATGGGTCTGTCCTACATGACAGCTTGCCCTCGCTGCGAACCTCTCACATGCTCCCGAGCCTCTGCTGCTGTTGAGGGCAGAGGCGTCGCAGTCTTCGGGTGTCCACAGGGGGCCGACCGTAGCCACGTTGTTACCGGACTCGTGCGAGGATGAGCGGTGCTCGTCACAGACTCGCTGTTGTCGACATAGAAATAGTTTCCAGCTACGGGGAATTGGAGCCCGGCAACGTCTGTGAACTGCCGTATGTCGAATCCAGCCCTCGCCTCGACCGTCTTGGGGAAGATGTGACCAAAACAGTCGGGAAATTTGTACCCCCTGGGTTGCCTATACAGCAGATACACGTACCGATGATGCGTGTGGGGCGGCGGTTGAGGAGCAATATACTCTGCCCCAGAGGTCGAATTAACCAACCCAGGTGGCGGCATTACCCATTCGGCATCAGTTGTGTGTGACCCAGCAGGTTCTAGCCAAAAGTTCTCCCGGTGTCTGATGCGCATGTTTGGCTGATACCAGTGCAGAATCACCGTGTATGCATCCCCGTACACGACGTCTAGATCCACAAAGATGAGGAGATATGTCCACCTTGGGTCAAGCCCGTGTCTGCTGATTTGTGGTAAGGGGTATGTGTCTAGTCGAGGTCTATCAGTTAGCGCCTATTCGGTGGTTCTTCTTCATTATGCTTACATTTCATCGGCAGCGTATCGCCAGGGAAGACCCATGGCGTATGGGGGTAGCGAAGGTGGAGGATTGGCAGGTCGAGAGGCAGGGGGCCGTGCAGCGTTGCCGCAAGGGGGCAGCGTAGCAGAAAGAGGCAGAGTTGCAACAGCAAACTGAGAATCATCTTGATTCCTTTCTTGTTCTTTTCTTTTTTTTTTTTTCAGATTATCCTAGAACTCCTGGCTGGCCTTGCAGTACTTCTTACCCCTAGCCGAGGAACACCTGCTTTATACAGAAAGAAAATGATAGCATAACTTGATATGTGTAACTTGAGGCTTTTTAGACCTCGGTGACTATTCACCCCGGCGAGTTAATCCGGTATACACACCGGAACCACGTCGAATATCGACTAAAAATCCTTGAGCTTCTACCGAGGCCATCGCCCGCTATTCAGCCCTCTTGCCCTTCCCCTCCATCCCATCTTTCAACCACTTCCGCTCCCTCCTCTTTTCCCGCTCAACCCTCCACCGCGCCCCAACAACATAAACAGTCCCAAGCAACGGACAACAAACTAAACTCACCACCCCAGCAGCAACCGCATATGTCGCTTTCACACCAAACCGGTGAATGCAAGGTTCAACGAGTGCCGTGCTGGCCGCTCCAAAAAGGCATCGCACGAGGTTATTCGTCGCCATCGCAGAGGCTGGCGTCCTGTAGTACAGGTCCACCAGGAAGATATTCATCACGTTGTAGGAGGTGGTTATTGTAAATGCGATTAGGAAGATGAGGACGAGGCAGATAGAGAGTGGTGGAGTTTTGGGGAGGAGGATGGCGTAGAGCAGAAGGGGGATGGTGCAGAGAAACTAAACAGGAAGGGCATTGGTCAGTTTGTTCTGTTATCAGTGAGAAAAGTGCCCGCGGGGGTGGACATACAGTCATGGGCCCTCCAATCTGTAATCTGGCCCGTTCGATGGGAAATGCCGTTTCTTCGTCTATACCTACCTCCATCTCCGGCTTCAGACTTTCCTCGCCACCAAGCAAATCTCCTTCTCCACGGATTCGTTCGAAATGGCTCCGCACTCGTCGGTAATTCCAGTCAACGAGCACCCCGTTCAGCATAGAGGAGGCGAGAGATCCTAGCCCCGCGGGGATAAACACGAGCCCGATACCCAGCTCAGAGAGGCCGTACATCTCCTTGAAGAGCGAGGGTATCCCTGCCATTACGGCATAGTAACTTGCGAAGACGAGGGCGTTCGAGAGGAGGAGGAGGGCGGTGGGTCGGTGGAAGAGGATACGCAGGGACGAGAGGGGGTCAAATGTGGTTCTTGTCTTCTCGGAATCGCCGAATGAAGGGGAAGAGGATGCACAAGATCCAGATCCGTTCCCAACAACCCGTCGGCATGTCTCTGGAAACCGCATTCCCATCCCGACGCCGACTACCGCGGCGGAGACAGCCAGGAACAAAAAGACTCCTCTCCATCCTGCATACTCGCAGATCACTCCGCCGAGGACTGGTCCTAAGGCCGGTGCAAGGATATTTCCCATCGAGGTGAATCCCAGGTAGACGCCGCGCTCAGCGGGTGTGATGATATCTGCCGCAACGGCGGAGGCGAGGGCCACTGTACCGGATATTCCTGTGCTTTGCAGTGCGCGTAAGATTAGGAGGGCGGGATAGCTGTGTTGCAATGCGAGACGGATGTTGGCCGCTATGTAGATGGTGAAACAGAGGACGTAGGCGGGGCGCCGGCCGGACGTGTCTGCGAAAGACGTTGTAAAAGTTGGGGAGAGGGCTTGAGTCATCTGATCTCTTTGTTAGCTTGTATGGTTTGGGTGGTGGCAAACCTTGTGGGGGCTGTGGTAGGAAGAGGGAGAAACCATGTAAGTCGTGATTGTAAGATTGATATGCGCGGAGGAAACGTGCAGGTCTGCCGCAAGCGCATTGAGGGCAGGGTAGTAGATGTTTGCGGAGAGTGGCGAGAAACTAGATGCAATTGCAGACGTTAGGATAATCAGGCGTTTCTGTCTAGGCGTGAAGATAGAGTAGGGCTTCTTTTTGGAGTGAAGGAGGGGGGTTGTTTCGGTTGCCGAGGCCATGATTTTTCGCGCCCGGATGAGCACTATCGGGGCTGCAAAGGTCGCATGCACCGGATAACTTCTGTGTTGGGAATTGAGAAGAAAACCATGACACACAGCGGGTTGAAATATCCATTGAAGGTAAGATTGCCCTTTTTCGCCAAGTACAGTCGCTTCGACAGTTCATGAATTGCGTCGAGAAAGCCAGACTAAACTATCCGAGTCACCTCGATAGCAAGCAAACAAGCAAAAGCCACCTGCGTACCAGGTACATCGATCAGGTACGCCTCAGATCCTCGAAAAGATCGTGTCCTCCCTCACGTGTCCCGTGTAGAGATGCGAAGGGCGAAACAATTTGCCGTTAGTCACTGCTACCAGTCAGAACTAGCCGATATATTACCGTTCCCGGGCTCGGCCTTACGCATGTACTCCCGCCAGTGAGCCATGATGCCTATGATTCGTTGTGCTAGCATGGCGGCCGGCAGCATTTCGAGTTCGAATCCACTGCAAGCGAGGAAGAGATCAATCAGAGCTCCGCTGCCGTTCAAGGACAGATGCGGAAGACGGCTTACATTCCGGTGAAGACAAAGTGTCCATAAAAGTCCGCGTTTGGATAGAGGCCTCTTCTTCGAAAGTAGTCGTCCTTGGATGCAGCTTGCTCAATTACTTCGGCTAATTTCAGAAGATTTGTCGGTGGGAGGTCATTAAGAATGGATTGGATGGGCCGCACGCGCGGGTCAATGGTCTTGTATGAGCGATGCCCGTATCCGAAAAGCTTCCTGTGTCCTTGTTTGACCTCCTCGAGAAAGGCGGGTACTCGGTCGACAGAGCCAACTTCCTGGAGAGCATGGTACCCGGCCTCGGTCGCGCCAAAATGTAATGGACCCCAGGCTGATGCTATTGACGTGATTAGGCAGGAAATCGGATCAGCCAGCGCGGACGCCGTGACTAGGGCGGAAAAGACGGTGAGCGCCATTCCGTGCTCTGAGTTGAGCATTGCGAAACGGCGGAAGCAGGAGACCTTCAAAGGGTTTGGGAAGCCAGTGGCAGGATCGATTAGTCCGGACATGATGAATAGATTTTGACAGTAGGTGTTTTCTAAAGTGGGTGGGCTGAATTTCAGCCCTTTGCGGTGGCTAGCGACTGAGCCGAATACCACCGCGTATCCAGCAACAGTGCGTAGTATGGCGAGATCCAGATCTTCTGCATTGCCTTGGTATAGCCTAGGGTCCTCTGAAGCGGGAACCGAGTACGGCATTGTAGCGAGATACGCAGAGAGCCCCATAATCATCAAAGATAATGGCGGCGCGGTGGCTCTGATCGATTAGCCATGGGTGAGACTCAGTATCGGATCCAACTCACGGCATGGCGTGTATAGCGTGCTGTACACTGTCGGGTACGGCCAGCATATGCTTTGCCAGGTCTCGACGAAGCCTCTCCCTCTGTGCTGCTGTTGGATACAATCCCCAAACAAGCAGATGAAGCATGTCCTCAAAGTCACTATTCCACATTTCTTCCAAACTATAGCCTCGGAAGAGGATCAATCCTCCTTCATGGTCCCTAAAGCATGTCAGTAAACCCAATTTAAGCTCGCGATAAGTTGGTGTACGAGAAACTTATCCCGGTTTCCACCACAGTCGTGTTCAGCAATCCAGGATCGTGAATTCTGAGTCCAGCGGACATCTGGTCCGCCCGATTTGCTCCTCTTCCTGGGGCTTTTATACTCTTGAAATCTCGAGCCAAAACGGCATTTTGCTTGATAGGAATCTCATACTGTTTGTTGGTTCTTGAGTCCGTGACAAACAGAGTACCGGAAGACATCTAGATCGACTTGGCGTAAGGATTGACTCACTATGCCCATGCGGGAGCGCGGCTGGTAGGTGGTGTTAAAGTGGTAGCCAGATATATCGAGTTATAGGACATTGCGAATGCCTGAGATTTGACCCTTTCACGAAAGACTCGTCAGGGTGCAACTTCCATGTTTCGTCGCCCATGTCCTCGGGTAGCCTAGGCTTTCCCCCGTTCCACAAACGGGTACGTATAATCCAATCATGACGAATAAAAGTCGACTAAAGCCAACGTGTGATGGGCATAACCGTGGAGCTACTGCCTGTGACTACCTTTTGAGATGTCTCTGCATTGAAGCATGTGCCCAGGGTTCATGTTGGGCGAGGTTCCTAGAGCGAGATGATACAGATGGAAGCGACCAAATGGGACCAAAATAATATTCCTACTTATTTATATTATAGCATCAAAGTAAAACGGGATGTCGTGCCATCATAACTCGTCTTGCTCAATTTCGTCGTTTATTGAGGCATGCGCTCGAAGGGCTTCTCCAGGTGCTCCTGGCAGAAAGGAAGCTTGCCGACAGTCCAAATCTCGGTGTCCTAGTCGCAAACCGGGTTAGTGGATACTCTGCGCAAAGGGTGTCTGCTGACGTACAGGCTTCAGGTTTCTCTTGATCTCAGTGTCTAGGGTACCGGCCTTGAGGGCGATGATCGGAGGGGCGGCTTCGGGGTCGTGGGCAATGGGGGAACCGCACTCGGAGCAGAAGATACGGTGGACAGCCTTTCCGGAGCTGCCAACACCCGCCCAGCTCTTGGTGGGGCCGTTGATGGTCAGGGAGTCTTTGGGAACGACCGCGACGAGAGCTGTCACATGTTAGCTTATATTTCCAAGGAGAACCGGTTATCCTCTTCATATAGGCGATGGTAAACATACAGTAGGTAGAACCGGTCTGGCGCTGGCAGTCGTCGCAGTGGTCGTAGGCCGTGATGAGGGGCTTATCAACACCGGCGGTGTAGGTGACAGCACCACACAAACAGTGACCAGTCAAAGGCATTGTGAATGGTGAATTCGAAGGGATTGGAGTGGAATTGAGACTTTGAGTAGAGGTCTGATTGGACGGGAATGAGGAAATAGCGATCAAGGTGCTCACGGATTGGGGACCTTTGAGGATGGACTGCGGAGGAAGGGGTATTTATACCCTGCGGTGACCGACATTCTGAGACTGAGGCTTCTGATGATCAAGGATTCCACGGTCCACGCCCGGTCGATAGCTGGCGAGGTGTAAAGCTAAACTCAGAATTTGTCATGACGGAGTCACGGAGTCACGGAGGAACAGAAGACGAGGAGGGGCCGCAGAAAATCTTGCGTCACAGCCGGAGCTCCTGCCTCCTCCTCCTCCCCGCCCTCGCATCGAGCCCATTCCGCTTCTCTGCTTCTCGGGGTCGGCAATTGCCTTTGCCACTGACTTTCTATAATCCTTACTTGATCTACGATGATTCCAATTCCATTCTGCTTCAGTTTTATCGCCGGGTTTCGCGAAACTCGCGCTGATTGAGCTTCAGGATGCAATGGAGGGGCACCAGCACCCCCAGCGCTATTGACGAACCAGAGCCACTTCTCCATCCCGCATCTCCGGAGCAACACAGACCAAGAACCAGGCCAACCAGCCGCTCGGACGGTTCTCCCCTCCAGTGGATCGCGTCGCAGCTCTCAGCTCCTCCGCCATGATAGGCGACTAGGAGATGCGGGCAGCGGGGCTCATTGCCCGGTCGGAACCTTGAGCTGCAGCGACAATCTCAAATCAATGATCCCTGCCGCAAGTATTTGTCACGGTCAATATACTCCGTCCGCCTGCATGGAGGGGCAGTCATGATAAGCGCCTGCTGCTGATCCGCAGATCCGCCTTGATCCGCTTTGCCATTTCGCCAGGCACCAAGAGCTTCGATACGCATACGAACATACCAACTGGAAACATGGAAACTTCGAGATCCTGTCATAATGGTTGATCTCGCGCTCCGGCTATTCCTGGAAGAGCTTACACATGATGATTCATGTCGCCTATGTAGGCTGATATCAGCCCACTAGTGAACCACTAAAGGCGCGACTGGAGATTCTCGGCGCCCTGGATGCAATCCGGTCAGTGACAAGTACATCGATGCAGTGTGATTAGAATTTCCTCCCACCGCGTTTTCAAATCTCGAATTAAATAGCAGGATTTGGCACTTTTTGATTGGTCGCCTACCCAAGAACAAACCCATCATGAAACGCCGACTAACGCGCACTTGATATTTGGACAGATTATGCAGCACGAAGGAACAACAAGGGCCTTATTTTTCGGATGACAGCAGCTACGTATCTCTGTTAGGCCGTTCTCGAAAGTACTGATAACTGGACTCGATCTCTACAACCCATATGCACCTCTCCCGCAGGCTTCACAGAGATACTCCTACTCTTGGGCTTTCTAGTTTCGGACGTACATTTCGTCGGCCAGAACGCTTATATACTTACTTTAATCGCCTACATTAGCTTCCACGCCGCGCGTGAGCAAGCTTGTCCGCCGCGCTCTTCTAACAGTCAGCACCTCAGCCAGTAGCGCAGAGCTATAGATAGGCCCCGCAGTTTACTCACCTGCATCTGAGCCGCCATCCCACCTCTCGGATTCTGCCCACCGTAGATCCTTGCTTCCTCATGCTGTGCTTCGCTCGCATCCTCTTTTGTTACAAACGCTGGCACATCCGCGGCCACCGGAGGAAGTCCGAGGACTTCATTCCTGTCTGCGAGCGACCTGACTTGTGCAGAGATAGATCCAGCTCCGGGAGGTCGATTGAAGGCACGGCCCTGAGTCCCAGTTAATAAAATCTATCTTGAAATGAGACGGCGGAAATCGAACCTCCATCTCCTGAATTTCCCGCGCGTCTTCCCGTGTGATGTGACTCGGGGGCTTTTGGGAGAGCTCATCGAGCTTTGCTTCAAAGTTCATCTGTCGCATCGCAAGACTTTGCGCGGTCGCTAGCACAGTCATGTCAATTTCACACGTAAAACGTTCCTGACTAGTGAGCGCTGGTGTCAAGTACATACCTGAAGGGCCTCCATGAATCGGCCCACCCCCTGTGAGTTCGCTCTCCATCTGACCAATAACCGAAACATCTTCTGGCGTAATCCGTTGGCCGGACTCGGCGGCACGCTTGAGGTCATCAACGGAGGGTAAGTCGGAAGACATTTGGAATTGATGTTATCGTTATCTAAGCGACTTGCTATCAGCTGGAGCTCTGTTGCATATATACTTTTTGTCGCCACGGTGATGTCAGTATCGCCTAAGACCAACATTCGATGACATCAATCGCTAAACATCGGCAGATTGCCACATGAGGAATTGTGTTGTTAGGCTTGCGAGAGTCCTGCAAAGATGAGGATCTTGAGCCGCAACGGCATCAAGGCGGCACATGGCATTTGAGTATATATAACGCGGTCAAGTGAGCTCATCTGTTCTTCGGCCCAATTCTTGTCTGGGATTGCTCTCTGCAGCGATTATGCGTCTAGGATATCTCAACGCTGACGATCAATCGGCACCCCTTGCCTATGAAGGATGAGATGGCCTGTGCGTTTGACAGCCCGAAGCACGAGGAGCAATAGTGCAGGGCCCACGAGGCTTCAAATGTTCCTTTACTACCAGCCCGACATTCGGCCGAGTGTTGCCAAAGCGCACGCTGCAGTATGCGCAGGGCAAAGCGTGTCTGCCGATATGATCCACGAAACCCAAACAGGAAGGTGAGAGCGACGCATAGATTCCACGGCTGTCTGTCTGACAACAGTAACCTTGACCGCAACGAAGGCACGAACTGGTAGCACGAATATGTGCGAACCTGACGGCATGATGCCTTGCTGGCTTTGCTACATCGCGGTCAAAACACCAGTCACTCCAAATACCACACCATCCTTCAGCCAATACAACCATCGACTGGTACCATGTACCCTGCGATGGAGTGCACCGCCCGATGTTACTGTAGTCGTTGACTGGCAAGGCAGCAGAGGCATAGGTAACTCCAAGTGTCGGTCGTCATACTGTAGCATCAAATTGCGCTTTGTGTGCAAGGATAGCGATACTCGGGTCGGATGTCCCTAACCGTGACGTTTGAAAACGCTCTCGTCTCCGTGCTCGTGAGACTTTCATCAGATGGTTGGCTGCCTCCTTGTGTCACGCATAACGGCCGCATGTGATACTGACGAAAGCACGGCAGTCTCCTCGGCTTTGCAGCACACCTGCTATCAGTTTGGCACCATCGATGACCATGAAGAATGGGCTCGTTGATGAAAAGACCTTTCTCGTTAAGGGCGGTCTGAATGGGAGAATGTGAGAGCAGGGGCCACCTATTCCGGCTGGCGCCCTGAGGCCCTTCACTATGGAGGTAATACTGCATAGACAGTCACGGGATATGTTCTGCAGAGAAGCTCTCAGTTGAAGGTGATGACTTTCAAGGGAGTTGAAATGGATTTATATGTTCACTGTGGTCAACCACCTCCAGCACAGACGACCGGTTTATTTCTTCTATAAACCGGAGCAGGCAACCTTGGACCGGAACAAACAGGTTTTGCGCAGCCCAGACGCCCCTCTTCCGGATTAATCCTGCCCTTTTCAGGTTGGCGGGTGAGCGAAAGTGGAAGGGAAAAGAGCCCGCAAGGAAAACTCAAGCCGGTGACTCCGGCCAATAATCTTGAGCACCTATCCGGTACCGGCTCCGGTTTCGTCGTCTTGTTTATGATAGTGATCCTGTGTTTAATGCGGAAACGGTGTTTGTCATTGCAAGGGGGAGCGGCAGACAGCTTCTGTGTTTTGAGAATGCCCCGACCTGAGAGCTTCGGGGAGATTGTACCTGAGTCCTGATCTGATAGACTACTGCAGGTACCTGGAGTACCTAAAGTTCGACCGCAACAACTCTAGCTCGACTTATAGATCCTCGCTGAAGTTGGCAGAGGGGGCGGACCTTACTGGCAGTTCGTTTGGTTGACTTTCAATTTCCTCAATTTCCCTCGCCAGCACATTGTGATAGCGGCCGAAGCTGATTGGGAGTTAGTTGATAGCAGTGTTGGTGGCCAGTGTCAGGTACGGAGCGAGGCACCCCCTCTCAACCGCTCAAACTTCGTCAAGGTGGTTCTTGACTTGACACGTTCGCTCACAGGTAACTGCTTGGTTTCACCAGATCAACAGTCCGTGGTTTCCTGACAACTTTGTCTCAATGCCAGTGGCCAGGTAGGGAATGAGACTGTTCTTGGACCACAGTCCATACCTGCGGCGTGAACATCGCTAACATATTGCGCCGGTGTAGACGGTACTGGCTGATTAGAAAATCAAAATTCGAGCCGGGCCTCATAGAGTTAGATACTGAGTCAACAGACGGGCGTACTAGCGAAGACACCCCGAGCGGCAAGCACCTTCCAGTAAACCCCGATCCAGCGTGGACAGCCACCACGAAGCGAGCAGTCCGATACACTACACGGCTCGCGCCAATAAGACAAACCGAAGGAAGATCTTGGCAGTGTTGCTCGAAGCTGACTGTGACTGGCTTTTGGAAAGCTTGTTCCGGACAGCTTCTCCGACTCCATTGACTCCCAACATATTCAATCAGAGCCCCACCCTTTCCTTCTCTATGGTACCCTTCACTGAACAGATTGTTTCAGGGCCGTCAAACCTGGTGATATACCACGCAATCTGCCTTGGTGTTACCCTGGAGCTCAACCCTGGAACGCTCGCTTGCTGGCTATAGCCCAGACTGGGTGCTGTGATGGAGGATCCTCTGGATACATCGTAAGCACCCCCATAACCGTTCGAGCCCACGGTTGAGCCGTCTTGAATTCCAGTTTCCGTCGTGGCACCGAGCGCGGCTCTCCAGGAAGTGTTGCATACTGATCTAGCCACGACTGTTAGACCCAATAACAAAAGAGGCAAGAAGGCGTGCACAGAGTGCCGCCAGCAAAAGGTACGACCGCAATTACTATCATGACTGGAGCTTCCCAGGCGGTGCTACGGTGCTGACCATATGGCCTGTCAACAGGCGCGCTGCGACGCCCAGCAACGACAGCCGTGTAGCCGTTGCGAACGGATGAAAACTGAGTGTGTTATTTCCGATCCGTTTCGGCGCGAGCATAAGCGGCTGTAAGCGTTACAATTTTCCATCTTTACGGCAGGCCTAACTGAGCGCGCAGGAAGTACTCGCTACTCGAGAGAGAAGCCAAAGAAATGAGGCGCCAACTTGAGACGACTCAGCCTGTGACTGCCTACCAGCAGGCGGATGGAGGAGCTATGCTACTCCCCAAGCCTCTAGAAACAAATGTGAAGCATACAACAACAGTAGGAGGTCTCAAGGCTGACGATGTCAATGTTGCCGTTGGTATCACTGTTGGCACACTACAACCTACATTCATCGTTGACGCCAATGCCCTTCCGCCCCTTGCTGCTGCAACACAGGCCGATCTAGACAACCCTCACCTCGCAGCAATCGAACCGGGATCTGTGTACAGGAATACGGCCAGTGGGCTCCAAGCTCGCCCCCCGGCCTTGCAGCCTCCTGTTGGCTTGGGCCCTAGTGTCCCGAAGGCAAAGGAGCTAGCTCTGGCCGGAGGGGACCCCAACCGTACGCTGCCACGTACGCTCGGCGGAGTTACCTTGAGTGGAGAGGAGATCGAGGCAATCTTTGATCTGTAAGTAGAGTTCAGCCTACTCCACTTCACCCCTGACGGTCCTTAGTTACAACAGACAGTATGCCCACTTCCTTCCGATCCTCGATAAGACTGCTACGCCCAACCAGACATTCGGACAATCGCCCTTCCTCTTCTGGGCCGTGATCGGTGTGGCGTCGAGGACCTGCGCGAAGAACCCGACTATCTTCCACGCTCTCGCGAAGCATATCATACAGTTGGCGTTTACTGCTCCGATCTCTGGTTGTGGACCCTGGAACGTAATTCAGGGTCTTCTGCTTGTGTTGAGCTGGCCGTTTCCCAAGGACGAGGGTGATGTGGATATCATATTTCCGTTGAATGGCTTGCTGCTTCATGTCGCCATGCAGTACGGCATGCATAACCCTCTCTCCGCGCATGAGTTCTACAAGTCCAAGCAGCCTCTTCCTCCTGACACGGACATTGTTCGTCGCTCCGAGCTGTGGGGGTATACCATCATCATCTACCAGCGGTAAACTGTCCTATATGTGACGATGTACTGAGCTAATGCGGTGCAGATCTTGCCTGATGAAGGGCCAACCTCCTCGCTCTCTTCTAGAAATGGCCAGAGACATTGACCAACGCAAAGTGTTGCATCAAATCATCTCGCCTCAGCTTAGAATTGAGATGGTTGCCCAAGGCATTGTGACAGAGTGCGGCGCAGCGGTGAGCGAGTATGGGGTTATCAATTTAGCCAAGGAGCGAGAGCATGGACTCGACCTCCTTCTTCGTGCTTATGAGCAGCAGATCTCGAATCTACACACCGAGAGCCACACCAGTACGTGCTGCCCCGATTTTGCGGTCGGTTGCTAAGTAGTCCTCAGGTAGAGATGAGCTCCACATTCTCGTCGCCAGTCTCAGTGTCCAGGGAATGCACCTCCTCAAGCATCACACCCTGTATTCCGATCGGCGTCTTAGAAAGTTGGAGACAGTGGCCTGCGATTTGATTGATGCGATCCAGACGCTCGCTGATGAACTCGAAACCCTCTCTGTCTGTCCCTCGCACGTCGTCTACGGCTTGCTTCTATCTAGCGCGATTCTGCTCCGTATCATGAAAGGCCCGGGCACTACCATCGTAGACAATTCGAGAATAAAGGACTACTTTATGGTGTCACTCAACCTGGCGAAGCTCATGATAGTCACCAACGGCGACCTGCCCACGAAGATTCTGACAATAATGAGCGGGCTGTATAACAGCACCAAGGCGTTTCGACGACCAGACGGCAGGCCGATGATCAATCTTCGTATCCGCAGCCGCCTGGCGCTGTGTCCAATCATCGATGCGATTTGGTGGTGGAAGGATGAATGCGAACCGCCGGTCTCTAGTACTTTTCTATCCTTCTGACCCTTGTCTCTGCACATGCTAACAACTGCCAGCGGAGGAAGAAGACGTGGACGGCTCCTCAATCGCGCCGGAGGTACCCATAAACATCTACGACGAGCAGCTGTTTACTGACTTGGAGTGGGCGCTCACTGAGGATGCGTTCAATTTCAGTCTTCCTGAGCTTTATGATCCGCCACTCGAGACTGCCTTTCCTTAGCCCTTCTCCCCTTCTTTTTCCGTTTTTGTTTCTCTGTTCTTCTACTTTCTCCTTTCCAGACTGCATGAACGGTGTCTTTGAACTCTTTCGAGGTGCTACTGCCAAGCTTCGAGATCACTCAGAGAAGTATGGATTGCTGCTGGCAGCATCTTTTAGGCTGCTTGGCTGGACCGTTGAGGCTTGCTCTGGTGGGTCGATGAGATTGCTTTGAGAAATTTTTGTTTAAGAGAAATGGGGCTGGTTTAAGGGAAATTGACTGCAGATTGCAGACCGGTGTTTTCAACGTTGGGTCATTGGACTTGGCTATGACCTGCACAAGAGGTGGTTATTCTTCCATCAGTGTTTGATAAAGGCGATAGATTGAATCTTGAAATGGACGAACTGAGGTATTGTTTATGATTGAACCTGACTACCAGGAGCTAGATAGAGCTAGAAAATTCTGACTGCCGATGAAAGGCCATTATCGTCCCCATCAGGTTTCTCTTGTAAGCCGAGATGTTGATCCGTGTACGCCAGACCTCGAAGTGAAGTGGTACAGCCACAGGGCTTCGAGTCCCACTGGAGCACGAGCCTCGGCACCTCTCGCTCAAGAGCACCATTTGTATCCGCCCTTCTTACTATCTTTTCCTTTTCACTTCACTATCTTGCAGGGCAGTTGAGCCTCAAACTCACAGAGACTAGAGGAAAGGTGACCTCTGTATCCCCCGACTTAAAGCTTGAATTGCTCACCCGGAGCCAGTCGTACACTGCTGGCTGCTTATCGTAGGCTACACAGAATGCAGGACAGAAGAGGGGTATCGCGGGGCTTCTGCTGTGTTGCCGTGATGGTCGGATGACCAGTAAATACGCGCCTTGCTTATGCTCCGGAGAGGGTAGTTTGAGGTCTGGATATGGTTTGTTCTCTGACTGCAGCAGCGCTGGTTGCTTCAATTGCTCCTGTAAGGGGTTGAGTCCAGGTTGCATGCAGGGGATGTTGGCTTGATGGGGTCCAGGCTTTGTGAGGCCTTTTGCGCTGATATGCAGAGTTTTTCATGGACGTGGATGCTGGTTCAAAGGATGGTGTGATTGTGTTGTGTTTGTGTTTGGTTGGTGAAGTGAAGGCTCTTTCCTTCCTCATTCTCCTCAAGTAACACTTATACCGTCCCACCTTTTACCTCGTCCTCCTCTCTTTTTGCCACCTTCTATCTCTTTGATCTATACTCGTCGCCGTCACTATCTCACAATGAAGGAAAAAGACACAAACGACCCCATCCTTGCCCCCGGAGACGGAACCTCAACCGCCGCCGAAACGAGCTCTGACGCGGTCGAGCAGCTCCGCCAGCTCAAGAAACACCACCACTGGGACCCCAATCTCCCCGACGAAGTCGCTCACGAGATCGAGGATGCCCTGCACACTACCAACGACGACACCCGCCAGGAAATTGCCCACGACCTCCTCGACAACTCTCCGTACCCCGAAGTCCGCGCCGCAGTCCCCAACCGCGATGAAGGCGGCCACTCGAACACCATCCGCGCCTGGGTCATCGGACTCCTCCTCGCGACGATTGGTTCCGCACTGAATATGCTCTTCTCGATGCGCCAGCCGTATATTGTCATTCCGTCGTATGTCGCCCAGGTCGTTGCGTACCCGATCGGTCTTGCGTGGGCAAAGGTCATGCCGAATAAGACGTACAAGGTTTTTGGTGTGAGGTTTAATCTCAATCCGGGTCCCTTCAGCAAGAAGGAGCACGCTATCTCTGTGATCATGGCCAATGCAACCTTCGGTGGTGGGGCGGCGTACGCGACTGATGTTCTCCTGGCGCAGCGCGCGTTCTACAAGCAGCGGTATGACTGGGCCTTTGAGATCTTCATGTGTATTTCGACACAGATGCTAGGATTCGGGCTCGCTGGCTTTGTTTACCGATTTCTCGTCACTCCTGCCGCCATGATTTGGCCTTCGACATTGATCAATACCTCGCTTTTCACTGCGTTGCATGACCGTGGCAAGCCGGATCCGCTCAAGGTCAGTGGCTGGACGTTGGGAAAGTACCGCATGTTTTTGTACTGCATGATTGGATCGTTTGTGTGGTACTGGTTTCCTGGGTATCTGGCCCCGTTTCTCAGTGTCTTTGCATTTGTTACTTGGATCAAGCCACAGAATGTGATTATCAATCAGCTATTTGGTGGATGGACCGGTTTGTCGTTGATTCCGATTACCTTTGACTGGACCCAGATCTCGGGATTCAATTTTAGCCCGCTCATCGCGCCGTGGCATGGGATTGCAAATACCCTGATTGGGCTAATCCTTTGGTGCTGGATTGTCACCCCTGCCTTGCACTACAGCGGTGTCAATCACTCGAAGCACCTCCCCATCACCGACTCCACCAGCTATGACAATACCGGGCATGTGTACAACGTCTCGCGCATCCTGACCAAGGAAATGACGCTAGACAAGGCCAAGTACGAGAGCTATTCTCCTCTTTTTCTGTCTACCACGTTCTACCTCTGCTACGGTCTTTCGTTTGCAACCATAATTTCCGTCCTTGTGCATACTGTCCTGTTCCATGGCAAGGACATCTGGGCGCGTTTCAGAGAGGTTGGCCAGGAGGAGGAAGACATTCACGCCAGACTGATTGCTCGCTTCAAGCCAGTTCCTATCTGGTGGTACGGAACTGTTTCGCTCGTCATGATTGGAATGGCCCTTGGCGTTACCCAAGGCTACGATACACATCTGACTTGGTGGGCGTTTTTCCTCTCTCTCATCATGGCATGCATATGGATTATTCCCATCGGCATTATCGCAGCCTCGACAAACATCTCCATCGGCCTGAACGTCATCACCGAATTCGTCATTGGTTACATGCAACCCGGTCGGCCAATGGCGATGATGTTGTTCAAAACCTACGGGTACATCACCATGTCTCAGGGCCTATCTTTCTGTCAGGATATGAAGATCGGCCACTACATGAAGATTCCGCCACGAGTTACGTTTCAGGCACAGATAGTCGCCTGCCTCTGGTCCTCGGTCGTGCAGATCTGCGTGATGAACTGGGCTCTCGGCGCCATCCCCGGTATCTGCACCCCACACCAGGAGAACCACTATACCTGTCCAGGAGGCCGTGTCTTCTTCACAGCTTCAGTGATCTGGGGAACCATCGGCCCCGCGCGCATGTTCTCACCCGGCCAGATGTATTCCGGTCTCATGTGGTTCTGGCTCCCGGGGTTCCTTCTCCCAATTGTATTCTATGTCCTCGCTCGTGTGTCGAAACACGCCAGATGGGGTCGTCACATCCGCCTGCTAAACGCACCGATCATCTTCGGCGGCGCGGGCCTTATCCCGCCCGCGACTCCGCTTAACTACCTCTCCTGGGGATTTGTTGGGCTCGTCTTTAACAAATACATCCGAGATCGCTGGCGCGGATGGTGGATGCAGTACAACTACGTGCTGTCGGCGGGATTGGACGTTGGCCTGGCGTTGTCGACGATTCTCATTTTCCTTGCGCTGAATTTGACGAAGACGGATTTTCCTAGCTGGTGGGGAACCAGCATCGCGGCTGATACGATGGATGCTCAGGGAACAGCGGTGCAGGTTACGGGGGAGAGATTTGGACCGGAGAAGTGGTGAGCACTGGCTGCATGCCTTCGTGATTCTTCCATTGCTGTATTCTGCTCGATCGTTTTAGCCGGGAGGGACGTGGTTATGGCCACGTAACGACAACCCTACCTACTTATCTGATTCCGAGATTAATGTACTACAGACTTAGAACATAGTTAATGAATCTGTTCTGGTAGCTCCATAAACTTGCTACACGACATCCTCCTTTTCAGAAAGCAAAGTCTTCACGGTAATACCAACCCGACATGCCGGGTGTGGGATAAATAGCAGCAAATTGTCCACTGTCGATCACCTCAACCCATCCGTGACGCTTCCGGAATCCCGCACATCTACATGAAACGCATGAAACAAGCTCTCCGCAGTCCACTACCCTCACGCTCCCTATAAATACGCAAACCCAAAACTCACAGTGGCAGCACCGGTTCTTACTCTTGAGACCAAGAGCCCAAGGAAAATAAACAACAGCCAAGCAAAGAAAAGCATCTTCACCACCATGAAACCATCGCCAATCCCATTCCTCTTGTCCGCCGCCGGCCTCCCTCTTGCCTCGGCGGGGGCAACACTCTGGTCGGGCCTATTCAATGAGACGTATACCGTGGAGGACTTTGACAAATGTACCTCCCCCCGCCCTTGGTCACCTTCTCCGTCTCCCCATCAACCCATCCAAGCACCGAACCTCACTCCAATAGAACCCAAACACCAATCTAACAAAACTCATCAGGGTCCTGGTCCTCTCAAATCCCCCCCTGGCAATGGTACATCCACGGCTCCGCCTCAACACCAACGTACCTCGGCGTATCAGCGGACTTCAAGAACCCCAACGCAACCCTCCTCGACGAAGCCCAGGGCGTGCGCATCACAATCGACGACACATCGTCGTGGAACGGGCAGAATATGATGCGCTCCGAGCTCATTCCGCAGATTACGGCCGGGGTCGATTTGGGGTCTGGAGTGAGGTACTATCACTTCTCGGTTAGTGTAGGCGAGGAGAATTTTCCCGACGCGGGATTGGAGCACCAGGTTGGGTTTTTCGAGGTTCGTTTTTCCCGTGCTTCTCCCCTACTTTCTCCGGAGGTGGAACTTTACGTCTTGACTGGCAGTGAGACTAATATCGGTACAGAGCCACTTCACCGAACTAAAATACGGCGGCTCCGACTCCCAAAGCCTAACCTGGTACGCCGGCGGCAGTTCCCACTGGAGCACGCCCATCGAAGCTGGCGTCTGGTACAACTTCGCCTACGGAATCGACTTTGGCGCATCAACGGTCTCTCTGTATACATCTACAGGCGGGGATCCGCTGGAACTCGTGGTTGAGCCCGTGTCTGCGAGCACGTCGACGAATTCAGCGGACTGGCATGTGGGCGTTCTAAGACTTGATCAGGCGGTTCCTGGCGTTGGGGGGCAAGAGGATTGGTTTTGGAGTGGGGTGTATGTGGAGGATGGGGAAGGGGGTGTTACGGTTGATGTTTAGAGGGTCGGTGAGTGTGTAGGCCAGAGAAACGAGAGCCTCGAGGAGGGAAATCGGGGGTAGGGGGAGAAAGCAACGGTGTGTGGTCATTCAATGTATATATGTTAAGCTATGAATTGAGTATGTGTCTGAAACCTAATATCCTTCCAGGGTCATTGAACAAGATCCTCATGGTGACACTGTCTAAATCTGATTGAGATATATCACCTTCAGACGAGTCATGGGCACATCGGGGCAAGAATGCCTGGCTAGGGCTAAATGATTCAGATCTTCTTCCTTACTGGAACCCTTCGTAGACTTGATGCCCCCTGCCATTCTTTATTAACCATAGTACTTTGTGCAAAGCATCCCAGTCCCTGATTACTTCCACGATCGTCTCCCGCCAAAAAGCCCTATCGAGTCGATGATTGGCCAAGAGCGCATTCTTAGAGGCGGGGCGCTTTAACCGTGTCTGATCTAGCGGGCTTCAAATTACGCGCCAGCCAATGAAAAAACCATCCTGGAGGTGAGAGTCTCCACCCCGCCAGCTGGTGCTGATCTACCCCAAGATTGAGCATCTGAGGCCGTCAGCTTGTCCGTCGACTGCAGCAACTTTCCAGGCAAAGCTCAGACACCGCCCTCGTTCCCGTCACAGTATGACGCAGCAAAGTGGCAAGTCAGTACAAGCAAAAAAGTCTCGGCAGGGCGCGCGAGGCGCGCGCAAGGTCAAGACAGGATGTCAGACGTGCAAGTACGTGGGCTCCGGGTATCTCTAACAAGTAAGGGCCTCGTAGATACTTACGCAGAGTATCAGGACCAGACATAAGAAGTGCGATGAGCGCAGACCTGAATGCTCGAGATGTCTCAAGGATGGATGGAGATGTGATTTTGTGTCTTTGTCGCCATTCCTCGCATCATCACCGGTGATGGCTTCATCGCGAGATCAGCACCCTGATGCTAGTAGCCATATCGCTTCTCATACTCATCTCTCTATATCAATACGCACTCTGCGATGCCCCCCTGCTCGACCACTTACAGAAACTGAACTCTTGCACATGGAATACTTCCACCTCATCTGTGCCAAGGAATTCGCTCTCTTCTTCGACCTCCCTGTGTGGGAAGACCTCATACTCCAGCAGACGCACCGCGAAACGTTCCTGCACCATGCTGCGCTCGCCATCGGTGCCCTCAGCCGCAGCCGATATCATCATCTTGTTACCTCCACCACATGGCAGCTACCGAACGCAATCCCCTTCTCAATTCGGCAGTACGGCCTCGCCATACAGACATTGCATAGCCGATTACAGGGAGACCAATCCTTCCAGGGCCTAGAACTCGCCGCGCTAGCTAGTGTGGTCTTTAGCCAGATTGAGTTTCTACTCGGTATGGACAGTCAGCTGAAGGTCCATTTGCGGGCGGGATGTGCCGTGCTTGAGGAGCTTGGGAGGTGCGACGCATCTAGCATTGGCTCGACAAGGCCCCGGATCCCTGGTTTTTGTGGAGGAGGACCTTTGCGGCATCGTAGTAGTTACCCCGACACTCTGCTTTCCAACGCAATCTTGCAGCTCTCGGCACAGGTTGATTCGTTCAAGAGGGCCCGGCGGGCAAGGCTATGACCACCAGTAACAATATGAGAGGATTTGAACCTACCCTGCCAAAGGGCATCCTGGGATTCCTTAATACGCCATATTATAATCATTTTCTGAGCCTTCTGCTTGCGGGTTGGTACCTACTCTCGACACCCAAGTGCGAGGTGAAAACAGCGGGGGCGACTATTGAGACCAACCAATCAAAGTCTCTGGAGCGTAAATGAGCGATTTATGGTTGTCATGCTGCCCTATCTACAATGATAATCTCTGAATCCATCGAAATCCATCATCTCCGTGTTGGCCCAGCCCGTTATATCCGATTTACGCTGTGGCCAATGGCATAGTACTGCACTGGACTCTCCGGGCATCTAGCTCCGTGCCTGCCATGGAGAGATTGTGACGCAGACGTAGGCTGAGCGGTCTATATAAAGCAGGTTGCTCTTCGCAAAGGAAGCATGAAAAGGAAAGATTCAGGCCTAACCATCGCACAACCCTTTACCGAAATATCTATCCTGTCTGCGGTTTACTCATATCATAAACTACCATGGCCCCAATCACACCCTTCAAAATCGACATCCTCGACTCTCGTCTCCAACACCTCCGCCAGAAACTTGCACTAACCGACCTTCCAACCGAGCTCGAGGACCTAGATCCGCACAATGAGCAATGGTCCCGTGGTACTCCCCTGTCTGAAATAACGCGGCTGGCAGCATACTGGAAAGGCCACTTTGACTGGCGCAAAGTCGAGGCGCGGCTGAATGCTGAATTACCCCAGTTTACCGCGGACATCGAGATTGACGGCTTCGGGAGCTACAATGTCCATTTCGTGCACAAGCGGAGCAGTGTGTCTACTGGTCAAGGGGAGCAGGTAATTCCCGTGCTTTTTCTACACGGCTGGCCTGGTAGCTTTCTGGAAGTCAGCAAGATCCTGCCTCTGCTCGTTAACGGCGCAGAGGGCGAGCCGTCGTTCCATGTTGTTGCGCCGAGCTTGATTGATTTTGGGTTCTCAGGTGGGAGTAGGAGTGTACGTTCCATCGTCATTATGTCAGGGAAAAGCCATGCGTCAGGCTAATTTTAAAATAGAAAGCCTTCGGCATGCAACAGCACGCAGAAGCATATCATAAACTGATGCTCGCCTTGGGATACGAGGAATACGGTTCGTTCACTCCACCACTACATCCATATGCGGCCACGAGACGCAACAAACTAACAGCCCCTTGCCATAGTAATCCAAGCCGGCGACCTCGGCTACGTGATATCCCGCCTCATGACCTCAAAATACGGCGCGACACATATCAAAGCCCTGCACACAAACTCCGCCATCCCCGCCGAACCAATCGTCGGATCCCACCCGGCGCTACACACCGAACTCCAGAACGAAACCCTGACTGATTTCGACAAAGCCGGCCTCGCACGCACAGCTTCATTCTCCAAGGACGGAATGGCATACGTCGCCCTCCTCGCGACACGCCCGCAAACACTCGGCTACAGCCTCACCGACTCCCCCGTCGGACTACTAGCCTGGATCTACGAGAAACTGCACGACTGGACGGATGGGTATCCCTGGACAGACGACGAGATTCTCACGTGGGTGTGCCTCCACTACTTCTCGAAACCCGGACCCGCCGCCCCGGGAAATCTGTATTTCGCACTGGACCGCGATAGTCCCGTGCCGGGGAATCCGTTTGCGGTCGTGCAGGGGTATATTCCCGATGTGCCACTGGGGATCTCGAGGTTTGCGCGAGATTTGGTTCTTTTGCCGAAGGCGTGGAATCGGACGATTGGGCCTGTTGTTTTGCAGAGGGAGTATGAGCGCGGTGGGCATTTTGGGGCGTGGGAGCGTCCAGCGGAGATTGTGGGGGATTTGAGGGCGTTGGTGAGGGAAGCCAGGATTGGTTAGGTCATTGAGAGGAGAGAGATGTACATAACCTTACTGCGAGAGCTTGGTGATGAGGTTACTTAATGTCATGGATTTGAAGAATTCTACTGGTTACAAATGATTGTGACCATTATCTCCCTAAGCCGAGATAAAGCTGCAAAGGCTCATCTGCCTATACTACCCTACTAGATACATGGTTCAATGGTACTTGGTCTTTATTCTCACAGTGTAGAGGGTTTATTGCTCAGTGCACTAGAAAATAGTGCCAGGGAATAACCAACCAGGCTACTACACTATGAATAACTGGGTAGGGATCTGGATATCATCCAGCTAACACGCCTTAATTCTCTTGTACCCGTGACTCATCTTCTGAACCGTAAATAGTAATGGGTGGACTTCTCCGGTCAGGAGGAAAGCTAGCCATGTTCCAGAAAACCCCAAAAGGGAGCAGGAGGTAATACCTGTTAAATTAGATAATGCTTAAACAGAGAGCTAAAAAGGGTAGTAAGGCAAAAAGCGCCGTGATTGCAGATCCTCTCGGCTAGCTGGCCGTCCGGCCTGGACCCGTCGGTATACGGCTTGAGAATGTGTCTCAAATTGTTTGTGAAGTTTAACCTGTGCCAGGTCACGAACAGGGACACCGCGCCGGCTGCAGACCTGTTGGGTGGTTCTGCAGACCGTTGTCGATGCGCTGGAGCTGCCCTTATTCACCCCAACAGGCCGACGAGGCCCGTCGTACAGGCAGAAACATCGTTGTGATCTGTTCGAGAGAAGAAAGGGAACGCGAAGACACAGACACTACGCGGCAAACCTCCAGCAATAAGCGTAGGCCTGGCGAAATCGAGCGCGACGAGATGTTTTATAGAATGTGTGGATTGTTCCATCCGTGACTCCTTTTGGGATGGCTCGATCGAGGCCGTACACGATATTTATTCTAGCATCAGCAACAGACCGCTGTTCCATATTTTACCCGTCCGTTCAGGCATATGTTTGAGATTACATTCCCCCGTCTATGGCCTAGTATTAAAAAGGCCGTAATATCAACCAGTCTGTTCCAGCTCCTCGTGCGCGTCAAGAGCAAGGCGCACGCATTCCCGCATCCCCATCTCCACTGCAAAGGTACCCTGCATTCCCTTCCAAGAGCTTGAGCACTGCTAACTCAAGAGCCCTCCGTGCAGCTTCTCTATTCGCATATTGCAGCCTTAAGGTGTTATTGCCAAGAGAATACAGCTCAGGATTCTTGAGGGATGAGTTGGCCGATGCGAATCCAATTGCCATAGACATACACTTGTAGGGATCACATCGCATGTGCGTAACTAGTTCAGATGTTGAAGATCTTTGAGTGCTCACCACGTCTCGTGAGATATCGGAGTTGCTGGATATCTCAAACCATATCTCTTCTATGCCCTTAATGGTTAGCTGCTTCAAGCCATGCCTCAGAACGGGTGCCGGGAGCTCTGTGTTGATGGCCTCTTGATTGTCAACTTCCATTCTGCTCGCGTAGACGCTTGCTAGCCTCATTGTCTGATATAATGCGTGACAACATTGACTTGAGTCGCGAGAGAAACGCGTCATGTAGCAGCGGTGTTTGCCTGAGCATCTATGCTCTTGAGGCTTAAGGCCTGCTCCCCCATGTACATAAAGAACGATCCAAGACCGCCAAGTATCGGACGCCGGCTTGGTTTCGGCCCTCCCTCCGTCCCCGCACTCAACGTTCGCAAGGGCGTGCCACAAATTGGCTCCCCGGATTGAGTGTTGACAAGGCGCCCGATTCTAATTGAGGTGCTTAGCGACCGCTGTCGTACCGCTACAGGGAGTTGGTACCTGTTCGATTGGACGACGAATCTTCACGCCAGGGATTCGGTGTTAGCGGCTTAATTCCTGCCAATGTCGTACCGTCGCCGATTTTTGCGGGTTGCGGACAGCTCGTGGCTACATGTCCTTTCTCTCCGCAATTGAAGCAGGTTTTCGTGGCCAACCATTGTTCTCTTTGCTCGGGAGTCCTGGGAAGCCTGGCACCCAGTAGGCCATGATCTACGCTGTCTTACTGTCTTCAAACATAGTAAAAGTTAGTCTCGAAGCCGAGCCTTATAGTCTCAGTGACCCAATGCCCAGCCCTTGTTAGGCAACAGTCAGTCCCGGCCCGGGGTCACGATGATTATGTCAATCTCTGCGCGGGGCATTGGCTTCCCGTAGCCCTCGCTATGATTGCCAAATACTCTCATACGTTCCCGGAGCCGGAGCTATGTTTGGGCCTGTGCCAGAAGCCTCAGGCAGTTCGCCCTTGGAGAGTAAAAGGCTTGATCAGCGTAAAGCTGCTACTCGGGGCGTAGACTTTTTGGGAAGCATAGTGCCCCCAATCAGAGCCTCGTTTGTACTTTGGGAAGAGCGGGGCCCCATGTATGGGGCATATGCAAGGCGTCCGGCGTGGGCCATCCAAGAGGTCCTTTGAAGAGCGTGCAAGCCAAACAATCAGCAACATGCATGTCTAGGTGCATTGGCGGGCGATTTCCCCTACAACTCGTTCTAGGGGACGGTCAAACCTACGCCGGACGCGGCAGCATGTGAGCTGGGGGATGTGAAAAGGTCATCAAGGCTCCCATCCCCAGCTCTGCCACAGACGCGCATAGTGTGGCTTAGAGTTTGATGGTTTGCCCAAAGCCATCTTCCGAGGACATTCTATGTCTGGACACCGGGCCGGACGGCTCAAGGCAACAGCGAACACCCGCAGTAGACTCGAGCAGACGGGGCCCACCACCTGGTGTCTGGGGGAATCCAAAGCGAAAGACCACGGAGGGCTCATTGATTTAGGTCTTTAATGTTCCGAGGACTTTTTCTCTAGATATGACCGGGGTGAACATGAGTGAGCGGCTCAGAGTCTTTGAACACCGGCTTCCCACTCCATGCATAAAACAACAAACCCCCTGGATGTGCACGATCCGTCCTGGCGCAGTTCTACTACTGGCGAGTACTATATACAGCCACAGTACATCCGCCCGGGGTGAGCTACGCGGGACCCATAACCACTAGGGCATCTACCTCACCTCATATACCCCTCGCTCCATGGCACATGCTGTGTCTAATATATCCTTATAGTAGAGCCCTGCTTCCTATAACCTTTGTAAGACCTTATAGACATGCTTCTAGTATTCTTCCACGTTCTATAAGAAGATAATAATATTATTAATATATACTACTATATAGATATCTAGGAGGTCATAAAACACCTAGTTTATATATCCTTAGAACATCATGGGTGTATTAGTTAACCTAAATAGTATGACTAAATATTTAAATAGTCTATACTTCATATAGAAGGCTGTCTTCCACTTATCCCCCTTTATGATGTGGATACGATTATATGTATTATAAAGGTTAAGGTGAGTATAAATCCATGTGCTACTTAATCATATAATAGTCTTATTAATTAATAGAAGGGGGTAGTGATTCTTAATTAAAATAGTGTTAAGCCTATGAAAATCTATATAAATATAGACTCCCCTATCCTTCTTAGGCGTGTATAGTAGTGGTGCCCCTATAGATGACTTTAAGGGTTGGATCTAGCCCTTTACAAGCATGGTTTAAATTGTTGGATGGTGGAGGTCATATAAAGAAATATGTATTATATATACCTAGCCTTAACTATACCTGACAGGGTATAGGGTGGCAATTTTAATGGTATATATAATAAAGGAGGGTTTTGCCACTAAATATGGACTTTGATTTTTAATATTTTAGGATCTCTAGTTTTAAACTAGATACATGAAGAATTCACACACTTTTATACTTCGAATATTTATTAGTAGAATTCTATAGAATTCTATAGAATTCATATTTATTTATAAGGAGATTAGTCTAGATCTTCTTATATTTATAAGAAGATTAATCAAGACCATTCCTTATTTTCATGTGAATATAGATACCTTATAATTTAGGCATTAATGTGTGCCTCAGGCATCTATCTTCCAATAGGATTATATCCTATATCTGAAGATCCATGCTTATATTCAAATGACAAGCTTATATTAATGGTCTTTGTTGATGATATGATACTTATATATCATCTAAAAAATAAATCCATGGCCATTAACTTTATAAACAAGCTTAAAAATAAATACGAGCTTAAGGAAATTGGTGAGGTAAATTAATTTCTTGGCATTAAAATTATTAGGGATCGTCCTAATAAAATATTATAGATATGCTAGGATAATTATATTAAAAAAATTGCTCATAAATTTAATCTAATGAGAATGAAATCACCCAAAACACCTTTGCCAAGTGAAAGTCTTATTATAAATGATAAATACCAAGCATCTAATGAGCTTATACACCAATATTAACAAAAGGTTAGCTTATTATTATATGCTACAGTCATTACACGACCAGACGTTGCAAAGGCAGCTCAAATACTATCAGAATATTTGACCAATCCACATGAAAAGCATATTGACCCTGTTAATCATGCTATATCCTATTTATATGGGACCAAATACCTAGCTATTAAATATTGTGGTCAATATACCAGAAAACTAATATTTATATGTGCTAGTAATGCTTCATTTATAGATAACCTACAAAGAAAAAGTTCTGAAGGTTATATATGTAAATTATTTAATGGTCTAATTAATTGGTAAGTAAAAGAGTAAAAAATGATTACAACTTCTATAATAGAAGCTAAATTATTAGCATTATCTAATGCTGATAAACAAATATTCTGGTAGAAGTGATTATTTTTTACATTAAAATTTAAACTACCTCATACTATTCAAATTTTATGTAATAATAATCAAACTATTAATCTTCTAACTAAAGAAGACTCAATATACAAGACAAAACTAAGGCATGTGGATATTCAAAAACACTAGCTAAGGCAAGAAATTATAGATAAAACTATAAGCCTAGCCTGGATATCTATAAATAACATGCCTGTAGATGGCTTTACAAAAGTCTTAACATCCCAAAATTTTGAAGCATTTAAAAAGCAACTTAATATGGTTGATATAGCTTCAAAACTACAGCTT